ACTTTGTTATATGCGTTGTATGCACTGTGTGCCCCTGCCCCTGCCCGCGTGGGTTCCTCCACGGTTCTTGTATGGCTAGTACCATAGGTTGCGGGCTGGCGTTCTCCGCCTTTTCAAGGAACTCCTTCTGAGTTGTTGAGTTCTTGTGGACGTTATACTGTATAATGGTGAGGTTGTTCGGTCGTTCTAACATTGGCTCATCTCGGTGTCCTCTTGTTGTTTCTTGGCTTGCCCGTTGTCTACCTGGGTCCTTTGCTCAGCGTGGATCTGTTGGTTGGCTAGGTCGTCTTGTGACGATGGTATTTGAACCTCTCCGCTTGATGTTAGCCAATCGCCTCCGCCGTACGTGGTTTGTGTAGCTAGCTGTGATGATGCTTCCGGCAGCGTAGCTAATCGGTTGGGTCGCGTAAATTGGGCGGGCTGCGTTCCACTTCCGATTCCAAATGCCTCGTTGATGGCGGGTTCTTAGGTCTATATCCGGCAATATTATATCTTGTAAGCTAATTTATTTGTTATCTTCTTTACTAATTTAGGATAAGTGTTCTATTGCTTAAGTTAGCTCTGTAATATTTCGGTAACTATTAATCCCGCTCATCCCCAAATACAATTTTCCTGAGCAACTCCTCCTCCCCACTTCTGTGTACAAGCTCCTCAAAAGCCCCCACCCCCTTCCCGCTCAACAACTCCCTCGGTGATCCAAACTCCACTGCTCTCCCTTCACCCATCACAATTATGCGGTCGAAGTCCGCGATTGTGCTGAGCCGATGCGCGATCACAATAAGAGTACTGTTCCTGAACTCATCTCTAATGCTAGCTTGGATGAGCTCATCGGTCGCCTTATCCACTGCGGAAGTAGCTTCGTCTAGGACAAGTATCTTCGGGTGTGACAGGATGGCGCGAGCTAGACAGAGTAGCTGGCGCTGGCCCTGAGAGAGATTTTGACCGCTCTCTGAGATGTGGTTGTCGAGAGACGAGAAAGGGTTCACATTTTGCCTACTATCACTCTCTGGTACACCTTGCTGTGGAGAGATCAGGTGGACCCTTTGCAGCGCTTCTTGCAGTCTTTCATCAGAGTGTTCCTCGAATGGGTCCAAATTCGAGCGGACGGTGCCGGAGAAGAGCACCGGGTCTTGAGGAATGATCGCCAAGCGGCTTCGCAGGAGCCTGAGCTTGATGCTTGATATGTCGATGCCGTCAATAACGATCTTCCCTTCTCGAGCTTCTAGGAAACGAAAGAGAGCAAGCGTAAAAGACGATTTGCCCGCTCCAGTCCGCCCCACGATCCCAATCCGTTCGTTCGGCTCGATCGTGAAGCTGAGTTCCCTCAGCACCGGGGGTAAGTCTGGCGCATATCCAATGACGAGGTCTTCTACCTCAAGGCGACCTTCTGCTGGCCAAGCAGCGGGGACATCGGCGCCGTCTTGACTCTCGATTTCCAACTCGGAGTACTCCACCACTCTTTCAGTAGCATTCATGCCCAACTCCACAGTGCTATACTGCCTCAGAACCCACATCACAGCCATGGAATATTGGAGCGTAAAGGTCAACGCAAACCCGGCGAGTGGTGCTCCGAGAGACTTCATCGACACCAACAGCAATGCCATGGCGGTGCTGAAAGCTGCTCCAAGCAGTCCTAGTCGAAATACTAACCACTGGTTGAAAACCCACATGTACCACAGAGAGCTCCCGTAGTTATCGATCTTTGCAAACATGTCCGCGATGTACACATCAGTCTTTGAAAAGGCACGGATGGTGCTCACACCAGCCAGAGCGCTGCCGAAAAGGTCGAAGATAGGTGATTTCGTAACACTCTCCAACCGTTTCGTTTCACGAGCACCTTCCAAGAAATGAAGAGCAAATCGACTGTTGACACCAATGAGCATTGCCGCAAAGAAAGCCATATATGGTGAGACCATGATCCTGTGAAACCTTAGCGTTGCGAATGGATATATATCATGCAAGGCTCAGTTCATGAGAGTCCTCGGAGTCGCTCAATCATAAGTAATGACTACGAAGAACAAGAGCTTACCCAGCGATCGTTATACCAATCACCCGCAACGCATAGTTGATCACCATTGCAACTGCCGTACTCATTTCGGAGTCAATGACTCGAAAGTCGGTTGTAAATCTGTTCAGCACTCTGCCAATGGGAACAGTATCGAGCCATCTGATTGGTGCGCGCAGAACTGCATGCGTAAAGTCGTGGAACAAGACTCGGCTTGCTATAGTTGACGCTTTGAAGACGACATAATATCTTACAGCGCCCTCAACGCATAGCAACAGAGAGATGCCGATATAGACTATGAGATAATATCGCAGGTCTGGGTCGAGGTCCACAGCCTTCAATGGCCGAGTCGTGATATTGTAGCTAGGAGCATTTCTCGAAAGTCCCGTGATCATGGCTTTTGGACTGTAACTGTCGGTCCACATTGCCAGCCACAAGTACTGTCCGTAGAAAGTGTGTTAGCATTCCACTTCAAAAGGCTTCAGTTATTCTTGAAGACAAGGCTTTTGATATCCTCGAGAAAGTAGAGTCACACACCTGACCAAGGAGTCCGGCTTCAAAAATAGCGAAAGCCAGGACGATAATAGCCCAGAACCAGAAGCCACCTCCAGCGGACATGTAGCGCCGGTAGACGGCCCAGGAGATACGCCCACGCATGGTCGTCTCGTCTTCCACAAACTTCTTGGGGATAGCTTTCGGTCCGACGGAAAGCCCTCCGTCATCAATTTTGTCCGACCTTGCGCTGATCGTAGAATGTCGCCGTCTTTCGGCTCCATGGCTGCCGTTCAATCGTCCCTCAGTTTTTGCCGACGATGAGGCTCGTCGATGTTCATGTATGGGAAGATTAGGAAATGTATCACCATCTTCGGTATCAGAAACAGCATCTTCTTCATCTTTCAGGATTTCGTCCAGCTTGCCCCTTGCCCGAAGTTCCTCCACTAAGCCGGCTTGGTCGACCGTACCTTTGTTTAAGTGGACTGAGTACTTCGTTCTGGGAAGACACAAGCTTGCATGATGCGTGACAATGATTCTCGTTCGGTTCTGGCCGAGCTCCCCCGCGATGGCGTTTTCTAGCAAGTGGAGACCCACATGAGCATCTACGGCACTGAAAATATCATCCATGATGAGGGTCCCTGCGCGTGAGTAAAGCGCTCGAGCGAGTGTAATCCTCCAGCGTTGACCACCGCTAAGATTGATGCCGTGGGCGCCAATTTCTGTCATGTCTCCGTCGGAAAGAAGGAGAAGATCTTGGTGTAACGCACAGGCAGATAATACCTTTTGATAGCGGCTCTCATCGAAAGGTAAGCCGAAAAGGACATTGTCCCTGAAGGTACGATTCTCAATCCAGGGTTGCTGACTGACGAAGGCAACAGCTGGCTTTATAATCCAATTAGATGATGTAGCTGTTCCATCATACCTATCATTCAGCGGAGGCGATGTGGGAACAGTAACTGTGCCCTCCAAGATCTCAACCTCACCAAGAATAGCAGCGAGCAAAAGACTTTTTCCAGATCCAGTCTTTCCAGAGATTACACTGAGCTCATTGGCTGGGAACGAGATGTTGATATTCTTGAGAATGAAGGTTTGGTCGTCTACATCCTTGTCTGATGGCCACGCAACGCTCGCGTTGGAAAAGGATATGCAATCCCCATTGACAGTGTTATTAGTTTTCTCCGGAGCATTAAGGTATCTTTCAATTCGTTCAAGGCTAATCCATGCATTGATTACGTTCGTAGTGAGCTCCGGAATCCAAGACATTGTGGCCTGCAGTTGACCCAATAAGCTGATGGTGGTGAAGGCAACAGACGCGGAAAGAGTTCCATAAATTATTGCGTACACTGAGATAGATATGGAAGATAGGATCACGGGTCCAGTGAGCCAGGAAAAGATGAGGACAACATCTGCTCGAAAACCAGTCCATATGGCATCGAGTTCGAGATTGCGAACGGCCATGATCTTAGCCTGCCAACGGTCTTCTTGAGCAGAAAGTTTTATCTGACGTATGCCAGCTAAGGTCTCGTTTAAGATTGCCAATTTTCGGTCCCTGGCTTTCATAAGATCGTCCTGTTCAATGTGAGAATTTGTCGAACACACTTTCACTAGATGAAATCCAAGTGACCCAACGCAGAGGGAACCACACATAGGCCTGGGGCAATCGTCGATATTGGTGAAACATCAGAACGTACCTGCGCATTGGTATACTTTCGAACAAAATACCCGGTGATCGGAAAGATCACCAGTTGCCCTGCCATACCCGCGAGTAACGGTCGCCATCTAGAACCCAAGCATGTATTAGCGACCTCGGGTCTATGTTGGTATCTCAGTTTTGAAAGAGCTTACCCAATGAGAAGAGCAAGGAATGTAAGAGACATAGCCATTTTGAGAATGGTTAGGAGGAAGAAATTTTGGTAAATTGCGGTTTCTGAGATTCTCGCGGCATCGAACCCGACTAGATTTATCGTTCCCTGTCGAGTTTTCTGGACGTATTCTGTTTGATCATCTTGTGGCCCAGACTCTGGATTCTTGTCGGAATCTCCACTTTGGATTTTCGTGGCTGTGTCTTCCTTCTCTGCCCCTTTGACGTCTTTGCGCCTCATAGATTTTGAGAATATCAGCGCCATGAGCTGAATCCGCATCGGCACGAAGACGAATGCGCGGCTTGAGTACCTTGGAATAGCATGGTCAGACAAGGTGGAGCACGCTGGAAGGTCCCACTCACCACATATAGGTCTCACCCAAAGTATTAAGCAGCAGAAAGAAACCCAATCCGACAGCCCAAGAGAGGGAAGACACGCTTGCGGCTGCTCCGGGCGATTGGGCTTCGAGAGATCGCAATAGTTTGTACAGAGAGATTTGAGGCATGAACTCGAGCACGGCAAGGATCATTGTGATTAGATGCTGCCACAAGATAGCAGGTCCATGTGCCATGATGACAAGCTTTGCGAGTTTTGCCGTGCGTTTTTCTTCATTGAAAGAGTCATGCAACTCTTTGGCTCTTGTATTATGGTCCATTGTAGGCAGATCATCTACGGCCAGTTTCTGATGTGATACGATGAATGTTAAGAGCGAGTTTACCCATGAGAACGTCATGTGACTCAGTGCCGACACTGTCCACTGTCGATCCACGATTTTGCCTTCGTGGAAGACGTCGGGCCGGCGAGGAAACGTGAGACAAACGAGGAAACCGAGGGCAAATAATAGCAGATTCGCTAAGAGAAGTTCCCGTTTATGAGAGGAAGTGTTCCAGATATTATGCCGCAGGAAGACGGTTGAGAGTAGCACAGCTTGTTCGAGAGCTCCTAAGAAAGCGAACCTGTATCGCTTCACTGGATCATGAGTTAGAGCAATAGCGACAGCCTGGGTAAAGAAGATTGCCTAGGATGTGGTTAGCTTGAACCACAATTTGCATCTTGAATTCAACGACAAGACGAGTCTTGGGCGAGAGGACGCAACGCGTACGACCTGAAGTGACGCAGTTGGAGAACCGGCATCGCTGTGTGCGGAAGGAGACAGCTGTGAGGAGCTTGAAGCCCAGTGAGGTCGGCATTCGAGAGAAAGAAGGCGAAAAATAACGGGCGACTCACATAGGCTGAAAAGTTCAGCCATTCTGCCACTACGTGCTCCAATTCGCTGCTCGATGCCGTCCGCGTGTCCAATACCGCGAGTGTGAGGGATAGGGCTGCCGCGGCAATGGACGAGAGCAACAGGACGGCGCGCTGCAGTTTACACGAGGAGAAGTCTCGTTGGCTTTCCACTGTCGCACTCCCATCGTTGTCGACGTAGAGATTGTTGTTACCAGGCCACGTGAGGTTGTTCTTGACGCGGGTGAGGTTTTCGAGACTCGGGACAGTTGCGATCGCCACGAAGGCAAGGGCTAGCGTAGCAACTACCAGCTCCCAGGACACCATGGTGGATAGAACTCGACGGTGCTGAGCTTGTGTACTGCAAAAGTGAATTTACACATCTTTTTAATGTGGTTTTTCTGGTTGCGCCCTTTTCCGTAACGCAATAATGGATGACTCAAACGAACAATGCCGCCAAGAGGCAACCCGGACCAGTTAGGTAGGTGCATGCACTGTTGATCTGCAGGCCTCCGGGCACAGAATCACAATTTTTCAATGAGGTGAGTGAAATTCTATATTGCTGTTGAGGGCAAATGACAGCCATGCTCATGGTCTAAACAGATCTCTGCAGAACACTAAGATGCACACAATTCAAAAAATCAAAAATCTATGTCCATTTCCAGGGTATTGATTTCAAACCAAAACGTTCCACCGGGTATACTCGTCTAAGCGTTGGGTGGGTAAGCTCATGCCCATTTCCCCAGTAGAGCCATTATGCCTGCATCTTGTTAGCAATGAGCAACGTTTAGTATTGAGTGGAGTTGCTTACCTGCACCTACACACATCAACCCAAACGCACTTAGAACAACCTTGATAGGCGCCTTCTGCATGTACGGGCTGAACATGAATTCGTGCGCCATAAGCTCGACTAAGCCAGTGTAGATCAAGATCCCGGCGCTGATGGAGTCGAAGACACCATTGACAATCAAGGTCGTTTGGGACCCTGGCGGGTATGATTTGCGCACCGCGAGGCCGATGGCAATGGCAATGGGCGTCGATAGCCCATACCCAATCCCGAGGATGTAGGGCGTCCACCGCTTAGAGTTTGGCCACGGTACGGTAGCAAGTCGCGAGCCAAGACCAAGGCCTTCAAATGTTTGGTGGAATACTAATACGACATAAAGGGTCCTGAACTCCGCGCCAGAGACCGCCAGTGTCAGGCCGATAAAGATTGAGTGGAAGATGACGCCAAACTCGAGGATAAAGATTGCGGTCAACTGAGCTTCGTACGACTCCGGCGCCAAGCCCTTCTGTTGCCAGTCAGGCTCGACATCAGCGTTGTCAGTGTGTTCGCGCGCGTGGCCTAGATGGTCCTCTCCAGGGGCGTGGTGGTTGGAAGTGGGACTGAGGGTTCCGTCTTCCTTTCGCGCTTCTAGGATGCTCAGTTCATCCCCGTGACTGCTGCCACGAGTCTGAACGACGTCGTGGCTATGAGCGTGTCCGTCGGAGTCGTGACTGTGAGCTCCTCCAAAGTTTCCATATCGCATGGTCATCAGTTCGAGGAAGAACAGGACGATGATGGTCATGAGTACTATGCCCTCAACCCAGTCATAGCTGGTAATGGGACCGGTCAGACACGGATTTGTGAGAGCCTCATTGGCAGGAGCCAGCAACTAGGCCGAGTCAGGAGTGATGAGAGCAAGCAGAGGAAGTAGCAGACTTACATGAATGAAGGCAGTGGCAACGATAATGCCAGAGCCAAAGTATTTGGTAACGAAAAAGGCCCAGTCGGGCACGCCGAGGCCTCTGTGCCGATGAGCGTAGACCGGAAAGGTTGCACCTGGTGAATAGCATTAGTGAAAGGGCGTAACATGGGCTCGGCAGACACCTTACCCATGAGCGATCCAAGGAGGATCACGAAGACGGCGGAAACACGCAGGCCTATCCTGCCGTCGAACTCGTTCGAGGTGTCGCAATGGCCCGGGGTTCCGATGAGATCGTCGTCACTTTGCTGGCGGGCCACGAGGCGGGCGACGTCGTGGGCAAAGTCCATGGCGCTGGGTGGGCGGTACAGGACGGCGCACGGCGTACCACGGTAGACAATCACAGGCGACACAAAAGGCTGCACTGGCGGTGGTGGCACGGGTGGGCGCTTGAGGATATAGACAGATGCAGGGGACGAGTGCCGCGGAGGGCTGCAGCGAGAGTAATTGAAGGCGCGACTGATGAGCACCCTGATGAGTTTTTTGCTGGCCCGTCAGCAAGCATCAAGCGCAAGAGTGCGGCGGCGGAGACAGCTGCAGCGCTTGGGGGAGCGTGGCTCATGCCGGCAAGGACAAATGGCAGCTTGGTGTTGAGTACCATGATGTCCACCACCGCGGGCAGCCTGCGTTCCCAGCGTGGCCGTTTGTCGCATAACTCCAGGGACCTGAAGGCCATTGCTGGGCCAGAGCAGCAGACAACTGGCACAAAGACGCCTTGTAGTCTGCTCTGGATTGAAGGGTGCCACAAGGCCTTTCCAAGGTCCCGAAGCCAGAGGGTAGTTCTCGAACTCGGCTGCGTGCTTCTAGCGAAGGGCGTCGTTTTCTTTCGTCAGCACGCCAGGATGCCCTCCCCTGTCGCGCCAGCCTTCGACTCGGCTTTGCTTCACCGGGCCCGCAATCTTCAGCCTCGTCGGCGACATGCCACTTCGCCCCGCCAAGACAGGACTGAGAACTGAGAGACACCCGAGCAGGGTGCTCCTGTGTTTCTCGTCTATCCTTCCACGCAGGGCATAGGAAAAGTGGCACTCCATTCTAGAGCAAGCTGTCTCCTATCTGCCACTGTCTGGGGTGCTTTAACGAGTTTCCACCCAGTCCAAGGCGAAAGGGGGGTTCTATCTCATTCGGATTCCCGAAATGCATTGGAGTACCCCAAGCAGTGGCAGACAGCTGTACACCCGGGCAGAGCACTTGGTGAGTGTGTCCACCAGACTGGCAGACATTTGCGATGATTGGGAAAAGGCCCGGTGGGAAGGCTCCAGGACGAGTTCTACCAAGTACTTTGTTAGCTAACACGCACAGAGAACAGGGCGACGAAGGCTCAACTGCGTCCCAACTCGTACCATCTTAATCTCCGAAGTAGAGGCTCCATTGTATAAGAGCGGCCATATCCAATCTTAGAAGGCCTCTTACAAAGTGCAACTCCGCCATCAGTGGCTAGGACCCAAGAAACCCAAATGCGGGGAAGACGCGTGACGGCCAGGAACGTCATCGAGATCGGAGATCTGCCGCCATGGCAATCTCGACAATCTGCTCCCGTCATCGACAGCGCCGCAACGTTGGACTTAGCGCGAGTCGTGATGGAGAAGTGCTTGGCCGCCAGCGAGCTTGATCCGAGCCTCTCTTCTGTGCTATCATACACAGCTCGAGCATCTACATGAACGGCGCGGAGCCGAATTCCACCAGCTCCCGAGCTAGTAAAGTAGTGTGAGAGGCTCCGTGAAGACTCCTCGCCACTCATCCAATGAAATCAACACGGTTAGCCAGACGCGGCGGCCAGAGTCACAAGCTCTCTTACATGACGTACAAGATACTCGCATCTATAAGCTCTTTCCGAGCAATGCCTGCCGCTAGTAGCTACCTCCCCACTGCATCATTCCTGCTTCTCCGCAGCTGCCTAAAGTTCCTCCCTTTATAAAGGCTGTGCACCCTCGCGCGGGCTGTCTCTAACCCAAATTCTTTCTCCTTAATTAACCTCAGCATCATGATTGATCCCATCCAAGCCATGAAGACTAGCGTTGCTCCAATCCCCAGCGTCGTCCCAGACCGCCCCGAGTACCAGCACGTCCACGAATCTGGCTCACGGACACTATGGGTCGTCTTCGTGATCATGATCATTGCCTCCATAGCATTTGCGGGCATGTCCTGGCGGGTCCCTGTGGTACGGTCCCATCATTCGGCATTGGCCTCGCTGTCCAGCACTAACATCACCAATAGTCTAAACGGCTCTACTACGTTTTGACAACCATGATCACCATCTTCGCTTCCATATCGTACTTCGCAATGGCAACCGGCCATGGTATCAGCTACAACCACATCCGGGTCCGCGAATCTCACCACCATGTCCCCGACACTTTCCACGACGTCTACCGCCAGGTCTTCTGGGCCCGATACGTTGATTGGAGCGTTACCACGCCGCTCCTCCTCATCGACCTTGGCCTTCTCGCCGGTCTCAACGGCGCACACTTGCTCATGGCTGTTGTTGCCGATGTCATTATGATCCTTACGGGCCTCTTCGCTGCCTTTGGCTCCGAGGGAACGCCTCAGAAGTGGGGTTGGTACACCATTGCCTGCATTGCATATCTGGTCGTTGTCTGGCATCTAGCTATTAATGGGCGCGTTACTTCGAAGGCCAAGGGCTCTAAGGTTGGAAAGTTCTTCATCGCGATTGCAGGTTTCACTGTCATCATCTGGACTCTCTATCCAATTGTCTGGGGCATTTCGGTAAGTGGTCTCCACGGTTTGCTCTGCATCTTGAAATGTACTAAATATGATTACAGGATGGCTCTCGCAAGATGTCTGTAGACTCGGAGATCATCGCCTACGCTGTTCTGGATATTCTTGCCAAGCCAGTGTTCGGCGCCTGGCTCTTGATCACCCATGCCAGATTGCCAGAGACAGACATCGACCTTGGCGGGTTTTGGTCCAATGGCCTCGGCGGCGAGGGTGCGCTTCGTCTCAATGATGAGGACGGTGCCTGAATGTCGGTCACGGCCTAGAGGACCCGGGCTTTTCCCTTAGCACAGACTGGAAAAAGTAAAAGCAGTTTCTGATTGATACAGCGTTGAGGGGGCTTAGTGTTTGGAGTGTTTACTCTCTTCATACTGGCCATAAGGTTTACAGATTAATTGTGCAATGAATATTAAGTATGCTTACGCGTCTCCCATCAACATAAGAAGCGAGAGTAATAACATCACTCGCACGTGTCTTAAATTGGGATCCAGGAGCATATTCTCATAAGTGTCCTAGTTCACGGCTTCAAGCTGTGGATATATTGTTGTGCCATAGTGAGCAGGGTAACACACCACTGTAAGTCTTGTAGATGGCTCGGCTGATCTGTACAACCCAAGCGAGGTCCCCCCTTACCTAGAAATTGAAATCCTGACGCGCGTGTAGACAGCTTCTATGGAGTAAGTACCTATAATTCGATCTCTATTTGAAGGTTACAGTGATAAGCTATAAGCCTGTGCACACTCGTTTACCACTACTTGGGATACTCCTATAAACTTTTAAAAGCTAGGTTTGTTGTCAATGCTCCCAAAAGAACCAGACTAATGGCCTGATACTGTACCAAAGGCCGGCCAGACCTTCCAACCTTGGTTAAGAAAACGACTGTTTTCATCGCTCCTTGCTCGTCTTGAACGCTCCCGATACATCAGAAAGCAGAGACCATACATCACTAGCTGTGAAGATTCTCAAGCAGCTTATATCACGCAATGAAGAGAAGCCTGCTCGTTGCCTCCATGGCGCTGCTCGGGCTTGCGTAAGTCGACGCTGCTGCAAGTACCGGAAAAGGCTCTAATCATGCACAGGTGGCCTTCGCCTCTCCCAGACGCAGACTCCACGTGTACGATTACCACCAGGAAGAGGCCATCCTTTGAGACCAACTGCACTTTTTACGCTAAGACAAAGACATGGACTCGATACATCGACTGCGGTGGATGTGCGCTTACAACAAAGTACTACGGCCTTGGACTTGTAAGTGTACTATTGGAGTGCTGTATCTAGACCTTTGGGCTGATAGCTGACCCTCATGCACAGCCCTGCCGAGCATCTACGACTATTGAAGGCGTCGCCCATGTGACTGAGACTTCTTGCGAAGCGTCTAGGCCAACGGAGCTGATGGATGGCGTTGCATCAGTCACGCCCACTCCTACGCCTCAGGCGGAACTCACGCCAGAGGACAAGCCTTCAACCACGGCCGCGTCTCCAGCTCCCACGTGCACCCAATTCGTGTTCCCCAAGATGATGGACGAGAACTTCACCGAGGGCGTATGCCATGAGTACCCGGGCACGTCAACAACAACCACATATACGGACTGTGGAGGCTGCGCGTTGGAGACGTTTGCCTTTGGGCCTGGCCCGGTACTGACCCCTTGCACGGCGACGGTGACGGAGGAATACTGGTCAGTCATGACAGAGACCGCGTGCGAGACGTCTGGGTTGCTATAAGTCCTTATGTTGCTCATTTCATAGGGTACATAGGATATCGCTAGTCTTTTAGAGGAGACACGTCTCGTGCATTGATGCTGTTTGTTTGTAAGCTCTTGAACTGAACCGTGTGGTTGGCCAGGCATGCCAGGCAATCGAAACCTTGGAAGTGTCTCTGTTTCTAAGCACGTATTCCTGGCGCGGTCACAGTCGGGATGACCTGGAGTGAATGTCACGCCGATCGCGAGACGTCACCTGGCACGGGCCGAATGGTGGTTGGCCGCGCGACGCCGCTTGCAGGGCGGGAGTGGCTTGTTTCCCCCGCAGGTGCCCAGGTGGTAGAGGAGCTGCCCCGGTGGACAGCACGTCTCACCACCAGCCAGCTCCCAGCTACAACCACTGATGCCATAAAGCCTTCTCTCGCTCGTAATCTCCACCACCTTCTCCCACACCACCCGCGCCGCCAAACTCAAAGCGACAACCCTCAACATGGCTGAAGAAGCTTCGCCCATCGACCACACCCCCATCTCACCCGTCCGTGCCGGTGTCCTTCGCCGCAACTCGCTCGAGAAGCACTTGCAGCATCGTCCGGAAGCTCAGGATCTGAAGAATAGACATATCCTGCTGGATACTACGGCTGCACCGTATGTTTACCTCTAGCGTGCAAACCCTCATGTGTGCTGCCTTTCTGAACAAAGAACACTGGCTGACCGAGCTTTTGGGTGACAGGGCGCTGCAGTCCAAGGCGCTGGAGCTCGAGCGACAGCGTGCGACTGACAATCTGAAGAAGGGACTGTCTCAGAGGCCCGAGAGAGACGAGCTGGTTGAGCGTACGTACTACTTCTCGCCTGCATTGCCCCCCGATTCCCCCGAATCTGACCTGTTGTATACGCTTCAAACCTCATTCTGACACTCTTCGCGATCACAGGCAACATCCTCCCAGACTCGAACGCTGCCCCTGCTCTTCAAGGCCATCAACGCGAACTTGAGCGCCATATGCGTGCGAACAGCCTCGAGAAGGGCCTGCAAGGAAGGCCCAAACCGGAGGATTTGGTGAAGCAGGGCATTCTGGAAGGTACATAGCCTGCTACAATCATACCCGCTGTTTTACTGGCTTTACCTTGCCATTCATGCTGCTGAAACAGTAACTGACTTCATGTAGAGGATGAAATCCCTGTCAAGGACGCCTAGAGCCTCGCCGACGTCGAGCGATCACGAAGTAGCAAACATCTCATCTGTACATGAGTGAGCATTCGGCCAGAGCGGCGTCTGTAAACAACATGGTCAGATACCCGAGTCAACATTCATTTTGGGATAAATGAGATGAGGAATCAAGGAGCCTGGACTTGCGGCATGCATCTACGGAGCACGAGCAGTTGAACCATTCTCCTTGAGGCCACTACAGAATGTGCTAGTGCTCGAAGCCGTGGCTAGCTTACGTGTACCCAATGGCAAACTGTTATGGTATATTGTGAGTTGTGCCAGCGCGTGCACGGATAAAGTACTTTGGTTTTCATGTGAGTGCGTGCGTGTCCGCAGATGGTCAGAATATATGATCAATGGCTATTTGAATGTTTCAATTTCAACTGGGACCCAGCTTTCTACCATGCGGCACAGGGCTTTGATCGCTGCCGACAGTCTGAAGGTGGGCTAATCAAGCTTCACTCGAAGCTTATATATTGGACGAGCTTAATTACCACCCCCCTTTTCTCTTGCCATAACCCGCCCTGAATTTAGCTTAGCTCCGGCCCGCAACAACTTTGTCCCACCAATTCGAAGCTTTAAATCTGCAACACCACGAGAGTGAACTAATAGCTATATACCAGCCTGCCACCTGCCATTATATTTAGAACAGAACGTGCCTAGATAGCGAAGCATTTAGACTAAATAGCTTGCTATTATGCCAGGGCCTTAACTATAAACTACCTCCTTAGGAGTAGATAGAGGCCCTTTCCAGAAAGGTAGTAGACCTTATGCTCTCCTCTATAAATGCGTGGCAGTCCTAGTGGCACAGGGCTAGAGGGGTATAGTAGGTGGTGAGGTCACGCGGGTTAACGTAGATTCCGTATTAAAGCCTAGTGGTTCTGCTTCTAATTGGTGAGACAAAGTTGTTACAGGCCGGAGCTAAGCTAAATCTAGGGGGGGTTTTATAGCAAGAGAAAAGGGGGGTGATACGAAGAGAAAGGGGGGTGATACGGAGAGAAAAGGGGGGTGGTAATTAAGCTCGTCCTATATATTTCTCCTTGCTATCATATAATCTATTAACTTACTACGCAAAATATCTGAATACATTCATCGGCTCGTTCGTTATCTTGTCACAGGAGACAAGCAAAACGAGTTCAGCAAATCATAAAAGCCCTAAACCCAATTTAGGACTCCACATGAATAGACTCGAGAAGCATATTAAATATCAGGGCCCTTTGGTTGATTGTCACGCTAGGCACGAAAAAAGTGGCACACTCATCAAGTACTCTGCCCGTGTGTACACCTGTTTACCACTGCAGGAAGTGTTATAACAAGTTTCCACATAGCCCAAGGTGAAGAGCATTTATCTTCTTTAAATTCCTGAAAATACATTGAAGCAACCCAAGTAGTGGCAGACAGGTGTACACATGAGACAGCTTGTTCTAGAATTAGTGTGCCGCCTTTTCCATGCCCCGCTTGATTGTTTAGGGGCCTGTGAACCGACGGAGGCGGGGCTTATGATTAATCTTTACTATCGTGTGCTGGCGAACTATACGTCCCCTGGGCTTGCGGTATGGAGCGGGTGATTTGAAAGTTGCAATTTGGCTTTTATGGGTGATGTTAGATATATCTATATACGAAATGCTTTCCGTATTATTTCTACTGAAACAACGCGATCTTGTGCTTGCTAAATCAAAGAGATATTCTATCAAGTAAACTGCGCCTGTTTTGACCACTTCTCCCTTTGCCTTCATTGCGGTCTTTAATAGTCTTATCTTGTCAGCTTCTTCTCCCTGATAAACCACGCAAAGACCGCTGAACCGCCAACAAGAACAATGCTAACTGTGAATGCCGCCCGTGTGCTCTTTCCATAACAGTCTCTTACGATCTCTCTGACACCGGGTTCCAAGGTTTTGATATATGCCAGGCTTTGTCTGACCCGTCGGGCAATCTCAGCAGCATCTTCGCCACTATTCAGTGCGTTCTCTAGATTGAGGCGCAGGACTTGGTTTGCAGCAGTGGCGCAGATAGAGACTCCGAATACACTACCAAGAGAGCGAAAAAGATATGAGCATGCTGTTACAACTGCTTGGTCGGCTTGATCGGAGTTGGCAACTAAAACTGTCAGATTTGAAGGTTGCGGTGAGCTCAATGCGTGGGAATGACTTACTTAGGCCAATGAGGGTAGTGGTCACGCCGATGCCGTTCGAAAAGGCGCAAATCATCATACCTAGAATGATGCCAATGGTGGAATTGACAATCATGCCCGCGAATAGAAAGACTAGACCCAGACCGAGCACCAAGTTGGAGTAGGCAATGACTGTGATCCAGTAATACTTCCCTGTCTTCTGCATATAAAACCCTCCGAATAGGGATCCTGAAACGCCACATAGAACTCCCGGTATGAGGCGTAATCCAGCTTGGGTAGCTGACATGCCGTCGACGACTTGAAAGTACATCGGGACGTAGAACAGCGCCGCCAGCCAGCCGCTGAAGGAGAAAAAATTACAGAGATAGCATGCGAAGAGTGCACGGTCAAAGATTATGTGGCCTGGGGCGAAAGGATGTGAGGCTACGAACATCTCAACCAGGACGAAAAGGATGAAGAGGGGTATAGACACGGCGACAGAAACGATCGTGATGGTGTCTTTCCAGGCAAGGTTGCTCCCCCGATCTAGCCCAAGCAGTAATGAGAAGACAGCGAATATGAGGACGAGCGCTCCAATAAAGTCGATTTTTTGAAGCTTGACTTTCCAATGGCTACTCTCCTGCTTGGGAAGCTTGAGGACGAAAAAGACGGCAGTGAACGCAACCAGGCAGAGCGGCGCCTGGAGGATGAAGGGCCACCTCCAGCCGATGGAGTCGGCGAGAATGCCACCAAGTGGAGCGCCTGAGGCTGCACCAGTTGCAAAAATGATGTTAATGTACCCTTGCCACTTCCCACGCTCTCGAAGTGGCACAGCATCAGACATTAGGATCGAGACGACGGTAGTCATCCCGCCGCCTCCAATACCCGCGAAGGCACGAGCTGCGATGAGCTGGCTCATATTCCGTGCCAAGCCGCAGAACAGACAGCCGAGACCGAATACCACGTACGCGAATAGGAGACATGGCTTTCGACCGAAGATGTCTGATAGTTTCCCGTATAGGGGTTGGAAAGAGGTCAGAGTTAAGAAGTATCTAATTCTTAGTTACTCGAAGCTAGAAAGATTTGCACGTAGGTACGCACGATGTAGCTATCCAGGAGGTTTTATTAAGTGCTTTGAGGTCTGTGCCGATGATACCGTAAGTCGATATAATGATGGTTTGGTCGGCAGCGGACAGGAAGATCTGGGCACAAGGAAGAAACGTTAGTTTACCCCACAGCATCTTTATAGCTAGATATACTTACTCCGATTGCTATCGCGGGGATGATGTACTTCAGCTTCTTCTGTACGTCGGGGAGGCCCTCGTACTGCTTTGGCGGGACTGCCTCGCCAGCGCCGGCCTCGCGTTCGACATCACTTCCATCCTCATAGGTCTCGTCATAAGGGTCTGCGCCCTCAGGCACAAGCCCAGCACTTGCGTCTACGGGGTGAGTCGATAGATTTCGATGTTGGTCTGGCTTTGGGAGCAAAGGCGAAGTCTCGGTGTGAAACGTGGAGTTGCCGTTCTGCATGGTGGGGTGATGGCGGAAAATCGATGACTTCAGGGAAACTAAATTTGCATGAAGCAAGCTGCAATGCGGTTCACGGCATCATATAGATAGTCAGGTACACGCAGTGAAGCCTTTGTTCGGGACCAGCGGGTGGCATATCTCCGACGAAGACGCCAACCGCTGGCCGCATTGCAGCATCACTGAGAAAGCTTATCATCGGCTTCACTGTGGATCCGCTCGGAGCTGCCTTAGTGTGCATAGAAGGATCGGCTTTACAATACCGTTTTCATCTTGATGCCGTAGGACGACGCTATACGCGCTGCAGTCTCTCAAAAAATTGTTTGGTTATATACAGTGCTTCCCCCATATGCTGCGACTATGTGCTTTTCTGCGCCGAGAGTGGCAGGTTGTCGAACTCTTTCTTGATGAACTGCCTCACTTTCTGCAACCCTTCCTCAACTACTTCCGTGTCGTTGACGTACCCGATCCGCACATATCCCAAGAATTCTTTGCCGAAGGATTCATCTCCAGGGACGAACATTACCCCCGTCTTCTCCAGTAGCTGCTTGCAGAATTCCACTGCGTCTATAGGGCTGTCCGGGGACCCATCTTTGTGGAACTTCACAAAAGCCGTGGTCCCAGCAAGAGGCTTGACCCATTGACACAGATCGTCATGCTTGTTGACAAACTTCTCTAGCAGCTCGAGGTTTTTCTTTGCAAGCTGGATGTTCCTGGCAAGCAAATTATGGACCGTGTTCGCATCTAGAGCAAACGCCGCCACTTGTTCATCCACTTGACTGACTGATATCGTCGTGTAGTGCCGCGCATGCGCAACCTTTTCGATGATGTTCTGGTCTCGAGACGCCATCCAGCCTACACGTATGCCTGCAAGGGCATATGCCTTCGACATGGAGCCTGTTACCGTGACTTTGCTGTATCCCATATTCAGCATTGACGGAGGGAATTCGGACTCCACAGGAGTGATAGAGTGGAAGATTGGACGGTAGACCTCGTCACTGAGAATCATCATGTCGTCTTTGGCTGCTACTTCAATGATTTTCTTGAGGAGTGACTTCTTCAGAACGGCACCGGTGGGATTGTTGGGGTTACTGTTTCGAGATGTGTGAGTAAAGGCCCCCAAGAGGGATGAAGTGAGAGTGCTGCTCCAGGGCTACTTCAGAGTGAAGTCACGTGACCTACTTTATGACAATGAGCTTCGTGTTTGGCTTGATGAGAGCCTTGAGCTCCTCGATGTCTGGTATCCAAGCCTTCTCGGGCCTCGCGTGCCAGAGATCTACTTCAGCACCGAGAGAGGCGGGCACGGAGTAGAGGGCCTGGTACGTGGGATAGTGGCATATAACATGATCTCCAGGGCCAATCAGTGAGTAGAAGTACAGGTAGTTTGCGGCGATGGCTCCAGGCGTCGTCAGGATGTTTTCCGGGGACAGTGGTGAGCCGCCTCTGGAAGAATAGAGTCTGGCAAGGTTGGATCTCAGAGCATCGGAGCCCCGGATGGACCCATAGGTCAACTTCCGTGCCAACTGCAAGACCTCAGCAGACTTGTCATCTGAGAAGGTCTTCAAGTCGTCGATCGAGATGGACGCGCAGCACGTCTCGGCGAGCTGGTACTTGGCTTCGGTTTCGTACTTGTCCATCCACTGCACGTGGTAAGTCTCCTATTATCAGATGTGGAATGCCATGGAACCACCTACCAGCTCCACGGCAAAGGGCTCGAGTTGCACCATGCTGGCTATGTGGAGGAGAGTTACTGCTTTCTACTGGGATAACTGACAAGGCAGGGCTGGACCTTATAGGCGTGAAGGAGCAGTGCTGAGACCGATCCGCATGGAAAGATGCCAATGCCAATGTCAACGAGAGGGCGCGATGTGCCGCTTGGCCGTCCCAATCAGCCGTCTATGATTAGTGGTACGTGAATGCTGCAGTCAACGCACGGTGAATGGCTCTCGCAACACGCATCAGCGTAGCACATTCACGTCGGCAAGGCTCTCCCGCCCTGCCGCACATGCTCGGCTGGATGTCCTTTGGGGTCGCATCAGCTGCCTTTGTGGGCTGAACTCGCGGCCGACGGATCGGCCTTGGCTTCGGGCAGTGCCACGGACAACTGAGGTGATGATTGAGCGCTGCGTCTCCCCGCAACAGCCTCACCACAGCGTGCACAGCTCCCGACGGCACCCACCTCCACAACGTCTGTTTACTCACGCTCCTTGAACCGTCGGCCATCACCAGTCGCCCGCCAGGCACGCCCCGCTCCCGTGCCTCTCGTCCACGACCGTCTACACGCCCCCGTCGTCTCTGCCGCACTCGTCGACCTCTCAAGCTTCGTCGCCTGACGGAGCTGCGCCATGCGCCGCACACGATGGAGCTCCTCTCTCCTGCCCCTTGCTGCCCTCCTGTGGCCAGCGGGAGCCCAAAAGACACACCGCAACTATTCCACTCCGGTTGACGACCTGCTCGACGCGCCCTTCTCTCTGTACGATGACCGGCCAGATGGTTGCCCCCCGTGCTTCAACTGCAACCTGGAAGACTTCGCCTGCCACCAGTTCGCCCCGTGTAGCAAGGCGAATGGAAAATGCACCTGTCCACCTGGGTTCGGGGGGGAAGACTGCTCCGATCCAGTCTGTGGAGGGCTGTCTGATGGCAAAGACAGATCGCCCCGACAGGACCGATACTGCAACTGCAAAGAGGGCTGGGAAGGCATCAACTGCAACGTATGCAAGACTGATGATGCGTGTAACGCTATGATGCCCGAAGGCAAGGACGGCGTCTGCTATAGAGAAGGCCTTCTGGTCAAGGAGAACTACCAGATGTGCGACATCACCAATCGAAAGATCCTCGACCAGCTCAAGGATCAGAAGCCTCAGGCAACCTTTTCTTGCACCCAGGAGAATGAGGAATGTAACTTCCAATGTAAGCATCTGAGCTCAGTCCCATCCCTCTTCATCTCCGCTAACAAAGCCAGTCTGGGTCGATCAGAAAGAGTCGTTCTACTGCGCTCTGGACACGTGCGTCTGGAGTGCCTCCGCCGAGACCAACCGCAACACTACACAATACAAGTGCGAGAACGTCAAGTGTAAATGCATCCCGGGTCGGATGCTCTGCGGAGAAGAGGGCTCCATCGACATTGGAGAATTCTTAGCCCAGTCAATCAAAGGCCCTGCCGAATTCTCGTCAATCTCGACCGAGGGGGGTAGCAAAGAGGATGGTAGCATTTTCTCTGAGCCGGCAATGAATGACCTGATCTCGAGCGTTTTCGGCGACACGAGTATCTTTCTCAGTTGCAATTCTGGAGAGTGCCTGCACAGGACGGAGTTGCCAGGCTACGAGCGCCCGGTCAAGAAGATCAACACGCCACTGATTGCAGGCGTCATCGCGGGCTGCTCGCTTTTCGTCGTCGCCGTAGTTCTCACCGTATGGTATCTTTCAAGGAGAGCCGAGAGGAGGAAATGGGGCGCCATCCACTTGTCTGACGACGAAGAAGATGAGAATGCCAAACTGCTAGCGGACCATAAACCAGCTGCGCTCTATTTCCAGAATGTGGCCTACCAACTGAATGGGAAGCAGATTCTTTCTGGTATCACTGGAGCTGTACACCCGGGCGAACTGTTAGCCATTATGGGAGCATCAGGCGCAGGAAAGACAACCTTCCTTGATATCCTTGCCCGGAAGAATAAGAGAGGTGCAATCAACGGGGACTTTTATCTCAATGGCGAGAGGGTCATTGACGACGAATTCAGGAGTGTCATTGGCTTTGTCGACCAAGAAGATACTATGCTTTCCACGCTCACCGTACACGAAACCATACTTGACTCTGCCCTTCTCCGACTTCCAAAGGAGATGAGCCGCACATCCAAAGAGCAGAAGGTTGAGGATGTGGAGAAACAACTCGGCATTTATCACATCCGGCACCAGGTCATCGGTTCCGAGGAGAGCGTACGAGGTATCTCCGGAGGCGAGAAGAGGCGTGTTGGGATCGCCTGTGAACTTGTCACAAGTCCAAGCATACTTTTTTTGGACGAGCCCACGAGCGGTTTGGATGCGTTCAACGCCTTCAACGTAGTTGAGTGTCTGGTCAGCCTTGTGAAGAACTACAATCGGACCGTCGTCTTCACGATCCACCAGCCACGTTCCAATATCGTCGCATTGTTCGATCAATTGATCCTTCTTGCGAAGGGAAGGACAGTGTATTCCGGCCCTTTCTCGAGCTGTCAACCATACTTCGACGATATCGGGTATCCTTGTCCTCCAGGGTTCAACATAGCGGATTATCTGATAGACCTCACCATGCACGCTGGAGCAGCTCATCCACCTATCGACGAAGACAGTCCTATGTTTGCCCGGGACGGGCTTCGTACCAGCGCTAGTAGCGCTATTGCCGTCAAATCCATACCTAGCATCTCCAGCATTGGAGCTGAGGCTACCGGGAGCCCTAGCGTTTCTAGTATTCGACCTAAGGGCAAGCGGCGGACCTCAATCAAGCAGCAGCAGGAGAGGGAGCTTTTCACGAGGAAAAAGAGCAACGCTCCACCAGATGGTACGACTACCCCAAAGAATGATGATGAAGTTCCACTGCTTGATCCGCGCGAGAGCAACGTTCAGTGGCTAAAATTATCCCGTCAACAAGGTGCACCTCCTCCTCAGATTCTCGAAGATCCCGACGAGCTTCCTCCACCAGCGAACGGGGGCACCGGAACAAACCTAGACACTCTCGTGGTCGCATACGCCACGTCCGACGTAGCTGGATCACTCCATGACGATATCTCGGACGCTATCGCCAACGCAAACGAGGCAAACGGGACGCCACCTGGCGAATATGCCAACGGCGTAGCGATCTCCGGCAAAGTGAAAGGATTCCGCAAGGTTGGCTGGTTCGGACAATTCGCAATTTTGTCCCTTAGGACATGGCGCAATCTGTACAGGAACCCTATGCTGATGCTCACGCACTACGCGATTGCTATCGTTCTTGCCGTATTTCTTGGGTTCCTGTTCTATGGCCTCACAGACGACATCAAGGGCTTCCAGAACCGGCTAGGTCTATTCTTCTTCGTGCTAGCTTTATTTGGCTTCAGTACGTTGACCGTTTTGACCGTCTTCGCTCCAGAGCGCCTTCTCTTTACTCGAGAACGAGCGAAAGGATACTACTCACCGGTGTCCTACTTCGCGGCCAAAGTGCTTTTCGACATCGTGCCATTGCGTCTGATACCGCCTATCATTCTAGGCGCGATCGTGTATCCTATGACTGGTCTGATACCAGCCTGGCCAGAATTCTTGAAGTTCATCCTCTTCCTCGTTTTGTTCAATCTGGCCGCCGCTGCCATTTTCCTTTTCATCGGAATCGTGTTTAGGAACAGCGGAGTAGCGAACCTGATTGGTATACTAGTCATGCTTTTTAGTCTCCTCTTCTCGGGATTCTTCCTCAATCAAGAAAGTATCCCCATCGCTGCTAAGTGGCTTCAATTGGTAAGTTTACATGACAATAAAGCTGCGACCCTGTCACTAATGCATTATCTAGCTTTCGATTTTCCACTATGCCTTCGAGGGCCTCATTGTCAACGAAGTTAAATACCTCAGTCTCGTCGACCACAAATATGGACTGGATATCGAGGTTCCAGGTTCTGCTATCCTTAGCTCTTTTGGATTCAACGTTCTAGCTTTGTGGCGCGACTGCATCAATCTCGCGGTATTTGGGGCGATATTTGTCGTCCTAGCTTATGCTGCTATGCATATACTTCTGCTTGAAAGGCGGTAATTAGATCAGGATGCAGCGATTCTTTCACCTTGTAAATACAGGCTCTCATGAATGACATGTCATTCAATTTTCTGTTCGTATTCCACTTCACATTTCCTTGTGCATATTCGTGTTCTCAGAACACGATTTCTTCGCGGAAGTCTCTATTCATGCATACAACAGGAGTTAACGTAGGTGGCAAGCGAGCTGCGCACCCTTCAACTTTTTGCAACGCGACACCTTGTAACTACAATGGCTCCACCAAATAAAAATCGTTTGCCGTACAACGAAGGAGAGATCTTCCTTGCTATCTCATCTATCGATTCTATACAAAAGCCTAGTGCACGACGCGCTTCATCAATATACAATGTCTCTGAATCCATATTAAGTTCCCGACGCGCTGGAACGCGTCCACGACGCGATTGCGAGCCCAACTCAAAGAAACTTACTATGCTTGAAGAGGAGGCGATTATTAGATATATACTGGACCTAGATGCACGTGGGTTTTTGCCTACGCTAGGCGCTGTACGCGATATGGCAGATTTACTGCTCGCTGAGCGCGGCGCTGGCAAGGTTGGCCAGAAGTGGCCAAGGAACTTTATTAACTGGACACCTAGCCTTATAACATAATTTAATTAACTGTATAACTGGCAGAGGGCCCTATATAAGGATCCTATAACTATTAGGGCCTGGTTTAACCTAGTAGCGCGTATAAAGGCTATATACAGCATCTTAGATATAGACACCTGGAACTTTAATAAGACTAGCTTTCTTTTTGGCAGAATATTATCTTAGCTTGTTGTTACAGGCTTAGAGAGGCGCAGCCGGCCAAAGGCAATACAGCCAGGCAATTGCGAGTGGGCTACAGCAATCCAGGGAGTTAACGCTGCTGGGTGGGCAATCCCGCCATTTATCATCTTTGCAGCTAGGTACCACCTTTCTGCCTAGTATAAGAATAGAGAACTACCTAGCAATTAGGCTATTTTAGTGAGCGAGAATAGCTGGACAATAAATAAGCTTGGTGTTGTATAGCTACGGCACTTTAAAAAGCATACAAAGGGGAAGACTATAGGCGCGCGCCGGCTGCTAATTCTAGATGGCCATAACAGCTATAATTCGCTAGAATTCCAGGCAATCTGCAAGGAGAACAATATCTACACTCTCTGCATGCTGCTATATTTATTACACCTCCTACAGCCGCTTAATATAGGCTGCTTCTTGCTATTAAAGCGCGTGTATAGGCATTAGATTAATAGCCTAGTACGCGACTACATTAACTATATTACTAAGCTTAAGTTCTTACCGGCCTTTAAAGCTGCCTTTAATGCATTATTTATAAAGGATAATATCTATATAAGCTTTTAAGGTGCTAGCCTAGTCCTATATAATCTAGATAGGGTACTATCACAGCTTAATATTAAGCCTTGGACACCAACCCCTCCTGCCCCGCATGTTACCCCATGGGAATTAAGAACACCAAGCAACGCGCACAAGCTAGGGTCTTAATTAATACTAATTCGCGATTGGATACAGAAGCATCAGGATTCTTCTCCTATATTAATTATCCGGTTGCTTAATCAGCTTACAAGGGGCGCCAAGGGGATGAGCCATAAGATCGTGTCTCTGGACTTGAGAAGGCAAATGAGGCCGCCACAAGGCGCAGACAACGCAAAAAGAAACGGATCCAGGATAAAGGCACCCTGACAATAACAGAGGGAGAGGAGATTAATGCTTAAAGGGGCATTAGGCAGCAGCTAGAGAGTGAAACGCGTCAAAATGAGGCGCCATCAGGTGCTAGCCGGCAGGCTTCAGCGCGCTGTAAGCTTTGCAGACAGCCTGGGCATAACTCACGAACGTGTGAGAAACGTACTGTAGATACTGCCCAAGCTTAGACAGCTACCCTACTACTAGTATTTTCAAGCGTTGTTGAGATATATAGCTATGAAGGCAGAAGACGTTGGTGGGGTGCGCAGCTCGCTTGCCTGCGCAGCTCGCTTGCTACCTACGTTAACTAGAACTGTATCTATCAATCTTACTTGAGATTTTCGCATCGCTAAAGGTGCTCTTGTGCGTTCACCTGTCTACCAGTGCTTAGAGGGCTTCAACGACTTTTCAAACAGCCCAGGGTGAAGACCTTCCATCACGATTGATTATCTGAAAATCCATTGAAACACCCCAAGCAGTGGCATACACAATAAACCAAGAGTGCCACCTCCTTAACGCCCCGCATGCTAGGATAGATTCAGTATATGCTGCGAAGGTGGTCCGGCGTGGAGACAGCGTAGGCGCAGAGAACGGAATGAGAGATGTTGTACAAAGGAAGAAATAGACTGCACGTATATAGTGATGAAACCATCAACACAATATATATGTACAGTGAACCTGTTGAGTCCAATGGTTTGCTATAGAACCGGTGCAATGCGCCTCCCTATATGAGCCCACATCAATAATAGTACAATAGAACTTACAAGCCAGGGTACATCATGTTAACCTCCCCCGATCAACCACAGATGCGTCCACCCCGGGCTCTTCTTCATCCAAATCTTCATCCTCGCCATAAAGGAGTAGGTCTGATTCGGGCTGTCCAAAAAGCCCTCGCCAAATCCTCTCCCATAGCCCTTTCTTCTCAGCCATGGCTAAAACCATGACGATTGGAAGATGCCATACACTGGCCCAGAACAAGCCCCTCGCTGTGCCCTTATGTCCCTTCTCCCGCCAAAATTGCACCGCTTTATACACCATCCAGCCATTGATCACACTGCTCGTCGCTACAAACCCCCAATCTGTGACGCCCACGTAGGTGAGTCCAAAGCAGACCGGGAACATCAGAATCGCGTAGCGTAACGCGACACGGCCATTTTGCGCAGGATTGACCCAGCAGAGCATCCGGTACCCGGCGAACTTGTACTCGTCACGGATGGCCCAGCTGAGGGCATTGAAGTGGGGGAATTGCCAGGCAAAGAGGAGCGCTGCTAGCAGCCATCCTCCTGCACTGCCTTCTCCGAAAAGGAGTTCCTGCCAGGTCCCATTTTGAGCACATTGCCCGGCGGCAGCAGTCCAGCCCATCAGCGGTGGTATGCCACCGACCACCGCTCCGACCCAAGTGTTTATCACCGAGACCCGCTTCAGAGGGGTGTACACACCAGCGTATAGGAAGATGTTCAGACCGCCGAGGAAGGCCGTGGTGGGGTTGACGCCGTAGTAGAGGGCAGCAACGCCAACTGTACCACATCCAATGGCGAAGAGCAGGGCGCCCGTTGGACTGATGAGCTTGCGCACCAATGGCCTGTTCCGGGTACGGGTCATCATGGCATCGTATTTGGGTTCGAAGAGCATGTTGAGGGCGTTGGCTGAGGAACAGCAGAGGGCGGTTCCCGTGGTGAGGAAAAGAAGAGTGAGGGTCGAGAGAGAGGGCGCGGCTGTGGCGGCTGGAGCAAGGAGTGCAGGCACTGGGTATAACGAGTAAGGAGCTGTAGTTGTGAGGACAATTAGGAAACTGAGGCGCGGTTTGGCCAGGGAGAAATAGGTCGTGAGCAGTCGCCGGATGGAGTTGGCGGGCAGGTTCGACGATACGGTGGTGAGGCGGGAGGACGCATCTGGGGCAATGGGGTAGCTGGCCTCTGCAGATTCGGGCTCAGGGGGGTCCTTGCGGAGACTTTCCTCCCGTAGTCGTTTTCGTCGTCGGTGGGGAAGCTCCTGGGGTACTTCTTGTGAGGTTTCTTTAGCGGAGGGCGCTGCTCGGGGGAGCTCTGCTGCTGCTGCGGCGATAGCCTCCTTCGACTGCGGGGAGCCATTGCGCAGGCCACGCGTTGTCCGTCCAAACGTCTCCTTCAAAGTGCCATTGGCCCAGAAATAGTCCCTGGTGAAAGTGCTTCGCCCGGCGGCTGCGGCAACAGCACCGCGCTGCGAGCGGATTGAGAAGGGTCGGACGGCGGCGGGCGATCTGGACAGGCGGCGCAGACAGCGAATGCACACGCTGCTGGTGTTTTCAGGCAGGACGAAGGACCGCAGGATTGGGGGGCGGGCGAGCATGGCGGAGGGTACGATTGCCTCTTGACATTGGGCTGCACTGGCGGTGATGCTCTGAGAAGCAAATCCAAGGCACACGGGCCACGGGCCACGCCGCTCCAAGCCGAATCAGCGCCGACCAAATGGTCAGCCCACCGACATACGAGCATCACTGCCGTGTTCACTGCACGAGACTGCCTTTCTTGGGAGGGACTAGGTATTATACAATGCTAAGCACGTCTAAGTAAGCTGCCAGGGGGCGTCCTCGTCCTCCTTCGCCCGCGAGAATGCAATGTAGTAATCCACGGATAGAACCAGGCCCAAAATGATGTTACAAAACCCCTGCTCCAGAACCTCAGTCATCCTGCTCCTCGTCCGTCACGTAGTCGAACTCTCCCGGGACATCTGCTTCCTCTCCGTCGTCGTCATCCTCGTCGACTGCGTTCAGCACAGCAGCAGCCTCCGCCGCTCCACTGTTCGTGCTGCCTGTATTCGAGTCTCGCGTGGCGTACGCGTCACTGATGCGGTCAGTGAGAGACCGCCCCGGAGCACCTGGCGCTGGAGCCGGCGCCGTCTTCTTGACCTTCAGCTCGAGAAGAGTCTTCGGCTCTGAAGGTTGCGTGTCTTCTAGTACTATAACGCCACCAGTTGCCTGTACTACTGATTAGTTTATATATTGAAAATGAGGGTGACAAACTGACCTTCTTTACAGCGACATATCGCTCTTCGGGGAAGCTGATGTATTTCACCTGCTGGGGCAAGACTCGCGACATGTTCTCCAGCTCGTAGCCAACTTTCTCCTTCTCAACCCTCTTCTTTAGGGTCTCGGTCGATGGAGTTCCCTCCTTCTCTCCCTCGGACTTGTCTTTCTCGTCCTTGCCCCTTGATGATTCATCGTCAATGTCCATCTTGTCGTCATCGGCGCTCGAGATCTTGGGCGTAGTGGGGGTCTGATCGATGTCCATACTCTCCCGCCGTTGCTGTCGAGCCTTGACTAGTTTCCTACGCTTGGCTTGCGCAGTTGTGGACAGAACTGCCGTCTTGACCTTCTCCGGCGCCTCCTCCGCCTTAACCTCCTGCTCGGGTGGGTAATCGAACATGCTCGGACGGGTGTTACTGTGGAACTTGAACGACGGGATCTCTAAATCTTGGTCGACGCCAATAATAGCCGTAGGTGTGAAGGCCAGCGACAAGAAGTGCGTCAGTGGGAACCAGTACCAGTACTGTGTGAAGACGGCCATGCCAACAATGGCAGTCATGTTCAGGTTGCCTGTCTGCGTCTGGAGTCCGATCGTGCAGTTGCGGCCCCCAGCATCGATGATACCGAGTGCTAGAGCGCAGCCAAATTTAGCCATAGCATCCTCGTGTCGGTCGCCAATGATCTTCTGAAGAGTCTTGCGGATAGTAGCAACCTTGGGGTTCATCGCCTCGTTCTGCTGTACTAAGATCATCGAGAGCGAGATCAAAGCACCTTGTCGAACGAAGTCGGTCGAGTCTTTCATCATGGGCTCCAGCAGATCGATCGCTTCGTCCAAGCCAGTACCAGCGCAAGCGATACCCAGGGCCATCGTCGCGCCGTACCGAACGTGCGGATTGTACGACTCAGCAAGCAACTCCACCATGCGGGGCACACTTCCTGGTTTCCTGAACAGGACGAATCCAAGACTCATTACGGCGACTCTTCGGACGTCGTCGCTGACATCGCTCACAGCAACGTGGAGTAGTCTTCGGACTGCCTTGTTGCTACTGCTTCCGCAGTAGGCCAACGCGATCGTCATGATTCCTCCGTACCGTAGGGTTGGGTCCGGGTCCTCGAGTAGGCCGTTGATGAGCTCATCAGCTGCCTCTTGACGTCCATACATGATGAGTGCCATGCCCAGAGCGAGACCCCGCACAATCTTCTCGTGCTGAGTGTCGTGGGCATACTGGATCATATCCTCAAGGGCCTTAATGTTCCCGGTGCCTAGCATAACCAGTCCCATGGACAGCCCCACGGCTTCACCGTTGATTGCCGAATCGGTGTACAAGACGGCCTTGAATGCATCGAAAATGTCCTCCGAGCCCGTCGCCATTCCCGCAACACCAAGACCAAGGGCGCCGCCGTGCTGGACCACTTCTTCGGAAGCATTCTGGAACTGTTGTAGAAGATAGTCCAAGACATGCGTTCCATGATTGCAGTAGATCATACCCAGGGCGTAGAGCGATCCACCTTGACTGAAGTGAGAGCCGGGTACATTGCTCTCCTTGGGTAGGTATGGCTCCAATAGCTTCTGTCCCTGTGTGATATTGCCTCTGTGAATCACTCCGAGGGCGGCTGTTGCAGTGAACTTCGACCAATTTACCGCTTTGCCGAGCCATTCCAAGTTCTCCCTGAAGAAGCTATCGTTTGTAGTTCCTGAATTCATGAAGGCATTGGCGAATGTGACTCCAGTATGGAAGATGGAGTTCCTCGCCTCCAGGCTATCTCGCACCTTATTTAGAATATTTCGATCGGCGTGGTTGTTGCGATAGAGGAATTCTAGATTGAGCTCGATGCTCTTGGTACCCCGGAGTATATACCGAACAGAGGTATAAGCCTTCTGATCCTCGTCCGAAGCCACTTTCGGCTTGGTTCGAGAAACTACCGTGGATATTGTCGGGGCTTCGTTACTGTTGTCTGCGTTTGACAAGAGTCCGTCTGTCTCAGCGGCATCCTCTCCGCGAGGCTGTACAGCACCTCCGTTGGCTGCAGGCTTTGCGTCTTGCGCCTCCTCCTCGTCCTCTTCGGTCTCAGGCAACTCCTCCATGACCTTGTTTAGGAATTCCTGGGTACCATTCTCATATAGGTCGAAAGATATTTGATAGGCAATGGCTAGCGATCTTGCGTCACCCTTCGACACGAGTTGGCGCAAAAGGTTGGATGCCATGGAGTGTTGATTCAAGTAAACAACACATTTGGCAATTGAGAAATAGTCCGGGTTTGGGATATCGTTGAGCAAATCAAGAATGAGTCGAAGAATCTGCTAATGTTACTACTGCTGTATGAGAAGGTTATCAGGGAGCTTATACCTCATTTCGAAGTCCTCTTTCTTGAACCACGTTCATGCAAATATCCAGGACATACTCCATGAGCTCTTCGCTCTTCCCTGGAGTGTCACTTTCAGCTTTCTTGCCCTTCTTTTCATCCTGGCTTGCGCGGAGGAAGGCTTCCCGAAGGACGTCAAGATTCCGAGCTTCAATAGCAATACCAACGACCTGTCGGTATGCACCAACTTCGTAACAGCTCTCAAAGATACGCCTAATGGTTGCCTGCAAATTCTTTTGAACACTCCTCTGTAATGCCAGCGGCGAAGGATGAGCGCCAACTACGCCCGCGTTTCCACCACCCGGAATGGAAGGGTCAAAGGTTGACGAATCCTGCCTTGACAGGAGAGATTTTGAGGGCAGAGTTGATTGTGAGAAGGGCGTGGTTGGAGACGTCATGCTCGCAGATGTGCTGGCGACTCCGTTCGCAGTCGTGAAAGACGTTGTTAACTGAGGCGGCGGCTGATTGGCAGTACTCGCCGGTTTCGGGGGGTTATGCATGGCCGACAAAGCGATGTAGGTATCGAGACATTTGGCTAGAGCACGTATTGTATTAGTGTCGATGTCGTTGGAATGCGAAGGAGCTTGCGGAGTATATAATGTTTTCGGGAATGCTGGTTCCCAGAGCGTACTGGGATTCGGGGAAAGCGTGTCGAGCAGTTATGACTTACCGAGTATGGTTTCCTCAAACTCTCCGGCATGGTGTATATCGAACAGTTTGCCGGCACCCAGTGCAAAAACCATGCTCTCATCGTACTCCTGTAGCTGATAGTAGACCTTGGCGGCGACCAGAGCCGCGAGCTCTCGTTCAGCGAAAGATTCATCTTCGTAGAGCGCCTCACTGCCACCATGATTAGTATGGATTTGTAGATGATGGTATCGACTGTGCTATGACTGCCATCCCTAGGCTGTAGCTACGAGGGCAAGGCAGTCGCCGGACAATGGCCGGGCATGACCCGGGACAGAGTATCTGGTTATAACTCACATCTGGCTCACAGACCCGGCGACTTCTGGCCATAATAGATCGATGTCCTTATTCAAGCGCTGAAGGGCGAACGACCGGAGGGCTGGATCGGGTTCTGACAAGAAGCCAACGACGCCGGCGGCAGATGTAAGGCCGACCATGGCAGCGAGGGTTTCTGTGTAGGCGATGTTGCAACTGTAGTGCGCGCGGTTGTGCGATGGGGACGGAAAAGGAGCAGCGGATGGTGATGGAAGCAGATGGAGCTGTTGCTCGTAACGTGGCGCCTGACGGCGGGTGCTGCGATCGGCGGCGGTGCGAGCGGTGGGTTGATGGTCGATGGAGGAGAAGGGACGTAGGCGACCGGGTGAAGGAGAGTCGAGAAGAGACAGGAGGAGATGGTGATGGAGATGGCGCAGGCGGTGGTGTTTTGGGGGTGCAATCGTCAACGCGATGAGCTGCTCGTCACCCGTGCTAAGCTGTGGGACCCGTGCGTTCAGGCACCTGGCGCCGACGTCAGTCCGGCGAGGCGCGTACAAATACGAAGTAATGGGGGACAAGCGATTCTTCTTTCGACTGTTTAAAATACTGTTAGGAGCCAAGGTGTACTTCATCCGCATCTAGTCACAAGAAGGCTGCTCTGTGGCTCTGTGCAGATGGTTTCTTCGTGCTGTCTTCGCTAAATAGAAGAAGTAGGAGCACCGGCTGGCGAGATCACATTCACTATGACAGGCAGAGTCTTACGATAGAGGTCAGACTGGTGCTATGAAGAGACACCAGGAATATGTAAGGGTATCGCTTCGGACCTTCCAGTCCTCCAAAAAAAACCAAGCGCCGGCTCATGCCCCCTTTGCAGCGCCGGCATAGCTCCCTAAGATAATATACAAAGAACAACCATCTCCAGGGCTTCATATGGCCCGCGACAAGACGCGCAAGTTATTCACCAACATTCCCACTACCCCCTCGTACGTGCTGGGCAGTTTTTGGTTAATCTTATCCGCTTCGCGCACCAGCATGTCCCCGTATAGCTCCAGTTCCAGCTCGTGGTTCTTGACACCTGACTCATTGACCACTTGAGTTAAATCGATCTGGTAGGTGTTCTGGTGTGTGTACGACATTCGATCCTTCTTTCGTTCTTGAGGCAGACCGCTCTCTGCAGCAGGTTCAAGATCATTCACCGCTCGGGGATAATTGATTTCGAGGTTTATGCTGACCCGGTAGTCCCATTCCGTCTTCGGGGAGCTGATATGGAGGTTGGCGATTCGGTGCTTAATGATCTTGCCCAGCTCTCGCCCAGTCTTCATGTCCCTACTGAGACGAACTCTTTTTCGAAGGAAGGTCTGAAGGAGAGCTTTGGTGGCCGGGGAGAGGATCTCGAAACCTGCATGGTTGAGCTCGAAGAACTTGTCGATTTCTTTGACATGTTTATAGTCTAGTGGCGCGCGAGCTCGAATACGGTCCCCCTTCGCGTCCGTCACGCATCCATTAAGGAACTTGTTCATTTTCTGATGTTGCGCCTCCGACATGGTGCTGACGAACTTGATGCTGTCGCCCAGATCCATTTCATCCACCACGCATTCCGTCTGGTGTACGCCTGTGAAGCGCTCCCCAGTGCGCTTGTCTTGCATCTGGCCCCATTTGGCCTCAATCTCCACCTGCGTGTCTGGCGACTCCGCCAAAGCTCTCCGTACAGCCGAGTTCATCACCACATTTTGCCAAATGAAGTCGCACACGCTGCGCGTGATCTCATCGTACGGGGTAATGTTTGTGATCGAAGGCTCGAGGGCAGGTTCAGGCGCGTCGTCGGTCTCGATATCGTCTTGGACCGGGGCTTGGATTGGCGGCGCGTGGGGTTGCATATCTCCTTCTCGAATAGCCCAGATCGGTATGGGATCGTGTCGTTTGCGGCGCGGTCGTTGCGACGTTTGCTTCGAGGGTGAGGCTGGAAGAGGCGTGCGCTTACGTTTTCGAGGGCCATCGTTGGGAACTGCGTTTGATGGAGTAGAGACACGAGAGGGGGGTGTGGGATTTATGAGCGACCTGATGTCCATAGTGTGTAGTGTGTTGTGTTGCGAAGCTGTTCTGTTTCGGAAGAAGCCTTGTTGAACTGGAAGTGAGGCTGTCACGTGTTCCCTTTATCCCGTTTGCGCCAAGGCCGATCAACAAATACTGTCTCTCGTCACAAATATCCGCACACTGTTCTGCCACCGCTTGTGGTGCCTCATGGTATTTTCAGAATTCCGATGTAGACGGAAGTCCCGCGTTTTGAACAACGGGCAAACTCGTCAGGCCACCCCAAGCAGCGGCAAAGGAGTGTGATCCGTCGCCGTCGATTTCTGAAGATTTGCTAGCACTCATCAATAGGCATGTGCTTCAAGGGTGTGTCAATTGAATCAGAGGACACTGCTATGCGGTCGACGCCGTCTGAAGGCCCTCGGCGAAGTTTCACACTTATCAAATCTAATAGCAACTATCAAAGCTAATGGCGCTCATATCTCAACTCCCGGCCCCTACCTATCCCGCAGAATAAGTAACAGGGTTCGGCGTCGTCGCCTGACATGGATTTATAGTCTCGAAGCAGCTTGTATCGTAGAAAACAACATCATCCCCGACCTCAACATTCAGCTGGCTCCCGGTGGCGGAATAGTACGTACAGCTTCCGGTGATATAGTAAAAGCTCTTGTACTCGTTTTCAATGGCGATATCCCGACAACTCTCCACGCTGGATGCGCTGGAGGTAACGACCTCGTACGCGGGCTCGTCCGGGGGCTCGTCCGGCACTGCGAAGACCAATCCACAGTAGGCTCCCTCTGGCGGGGTGGGGTTGGCGGTATTATACGGCGTAGCAGTGCAGACGGTCGCAGCTGGGGTGGTCGAAGATGCTGAGGATGATACAGAGATCGAGGAGGAAGCAGGCATTGAGGGCGTTGGCGTTGGAGAGGACGTTGAAGCTGGGCTCGCCGCGCACGGATCGACACGAATGAAGCAGTTCTCATCAAAGAAAAGCTCCCAACCGCCGTTGTCGTAAGGGCCAACGTCGAACAAGCTCTTGGTGAAGAAACCGCACGATCCGTGTTGTTGATCCCCTGATATGCCCCAGTAGAAGCTCGCATATCCTTCAGCCAAGACAATGTTACTGCATTCTTCCAAAGAGTCGGACTCGAAGGCGCCGCCGAAAGAGTCGGTGTCCGTAAAGCTCGTGTACTGGGTGCCACAGATGGCACCCGTTGGCGGGCTGGGATTGGTGGTATAATATGGCTGAAGGGTGCAGCACTCGGTGGTACTCGTTGAAGTGACGGTGGATGTTTCGACCACAATTGGCGTTGCGGTGATGGTGGGAATGGCCTGGACTTTGTTAATATTCCCGAGTCGTATTCAAGAAGTCAGAAACCGCTCACATATTCTACAGTCGTTTCCGTGGATGTCAGAGTGGTAGTGGACACAACAGTCTCAGTTGGCACATCTAAAGAAAGGCAACTACAAGCGCTACTCAAGCCCGCGTCATCGATTGTAGTTAAGAGCTCGCTGCCAGGCGGAGTCGGAGTTGGCGATGGACTAGGGGTCTCGGACGTGGTAGAGCTCTCGGAACTGTAGATTGAGGACTCAGGAACGTACGAAGATACTCCGGAGCTATACACTGAAGTACTGTGGCTGTATACTAAAGAATCATGGCTGTATGAGCCAGATGGGTGAACGGAGCTGTTGTGGGGGATAGAGTAGTAAGGCGCCGTAGTAGAGGTTGGGAGAGAAGCTGTTGCCGTGACATATGAGTAAGTAGGAGAGTCCGCGTAGCTAGATGGGCCTTGATACCCAGACTCAGAGTCTGACGTCTTCAGACTTGATGCCTTCGGAGAAGAGGTCTCGGCTGCCGTGTAAGCAAACGAAGAGTCGGCATATCCGGACGACTCGTGATCAACGGACTCAGAACAAGGAGCCTTCGAGGAGGTTTCTGTGCATGGACAAATCGTAGTTGTAGCTGTTACTATGATCGTCTTTGCAGCACCACGGGGCATCAAGGGACGTGGCGGATACGTGCAAGTTGTCTCTGTAGTCGTTTCGACCGCGGTGGAGCTGATAGGATCGGCGGTGACGGTCGTAGCAGCGGGAAAGGTCGTGTCCGTCCACATGCTCGTGCTGAAAACTTGATCAGCCTCCTAAGAACAGATGGGCGAGAAGTTGGATTTGGGACCTACACATAAAACTCGGAAATATCAGTATAGGTCTGCGTCGACAGGCTCAGAATTGAGGAGCAGTAAGGCGTCGCCGCCGCACCGAGAGCAGCTACGATGGCATTCTGTGCTGGACATCTTCTGTTTGACGAGGACATTTTTAGTGAGTGACAACGGGCCGAAAGCACAAAACGAATGGACGCAGAGAAAAGCCTCTGCAAGTGATGATTGATGACGACCTGAAAGAAAAACGGGCGACATAGAGCACTTTTGAGGCTTTAAGACAGACATAGTATGGGGTGCTCGAGCCAACCGGCTGCCATCATACCAAGACATGGGAGACAGTCCAGAACACGCTGGGATAGGAGAATGAGGTTTGGTTTGCTGTCTAAATAGGCGCCACGGGCCAGCCATAAGAAGTAGTCTATCGGTTCTGCTACAATAGATTCAAGCCGCTAAAACCTTAGCCAGGGGTAAATTCCAACACGACAGCTAGCCACACATGCTGGGCATGAAAAAAGTGGCACTTTCATCAAGTACTCTACCCGTATGTACACTTATCTACCACTACATGAAGTGCTTCAACAAGCTTCCACGCAACCCAAGGTGAAGAGCCTCTACAGGACTTCTTTGCGTCCGGTGACCAAGCGCTAAAATCAAGCCACAAAATTACCGTATAGGGTACTACTTCCGGACGCCTTTAAGGGGGAATAGCGGCCTCCTAGCCAATAGATCTTCAAGCTACTTCAACATTAGCCCAGAAAAGGCAGTTTACCGGGGGTTGACTCAGTTTTCGCGCTAGGTCACCGGACGCAAAGAGATCCTGTATCTTCTTTAGATTCCTAAAAATACATTGAAGCACCCTAAGCAGTGGCAGACAGGTGTACACGCAGGACAGCTTGTTCTGGGATTAGTATGCCACCTTTCCCATGCATGCTGTAGTGGAGTGGCCGACTCCCAAGCCTCGCGTAGGATGCTTCGTCTCCAGACTAATGCTCTAGGATAGTACTATGTAATGAGGCGCTTTGGTGGACAGCCTTACGACCTGAATGAGACGGAATGAAAACGGTTGGCAGGCTGAAAGCACTCGAGACGTGCGGCAACGGGGAGCCTTTCGGTGGGCAAGGCCATCTAAATTCTATGCAGGAAGAGGGTCGAGTCGGTATAGGCCAGACGAGTGCAAAGCTGGCCGTGCGGACTCGCTAGGTTGTCTAGAAGATTGGTGTTTCCTCCAGCTAGAGGTACCTACTACCTCTTCCCGAGGCCTCTTCCCAAGTTCTCTTCATCATTTTCTCATCATCTACCACTGACAATCTAATCGTGGCCTACAATGCATCATACACACCTGCCGTCCGCCTACTCCCAACATGGAGAGGTCAGACGAAGCTACTCATTTAAACCTAGATGAGTATAGACTTCATACATTCCGCTCGACTACAGCAGTCCCATGAGGCTACTCCGACTTCAAGGCCCAAAGAATACCGAAAGCCCCTTACACGGAAGTATCATCGATGCTCGCTTACCAGGTCTTCCTGTATGGTATCATGATATTCTCTCGCTGGTACTGGATTACTCATCCTTCAAGGCATTTTCATATGTATAGGGTGGAGAGACATATCTGAAGCAGCTGATACTCGACGGAACCCACAAGCAAGACGATTGGTTCCTTGCTCCGTACCTTTCCACACAATCATTCCCACAACTGATTTCGAGACCTCCAGCTCCATCTTCCTACTGCCTCCCCTGAATTTCATTTCGCGCTCGTGGGAGATGGGACTGTCAAATCTCTCAAGAAAGCAAGAGCAAATTCAAAGTTATTTAGTAGTCCCAGAATTATGTGAGCCATGGGAAGCGGACTCACCACTGAGGAATCACAGAACTAAAGGCTCTCGGGTACCACGGTCAGAGGTCTGGGAGCTGTGGGCCCTCTTTGTCAAGCGTTGCGTGAGCAACAATGTGGAGATCCGCGACATCTCCTATTAAAGGATACCTAAGAAATCATTGAGAATCAAGAACTCATCAAAGAGCTCAACGAAAAGCTAAGAAAACACTGAGGTTCTTGACCGTTTTGTGCGATGTCTTCAAGCAACGTCAGTTCCTCATGTTTGGGGCGGGAAGAATCGGACTAGCACCATTCTCGGCAAACTTCATGATACGATTGCGATTATACCCGGCCTGCATACCGGTTTGGCCCTCAGAAAAGTCGGAGACAGTGAAGGGTTCGTCATCGTTGGACCGTGCTATGTTTAGGCCATCATGGATGTAGAGGCGGTCCATGGTGTTGACGAATGGGGGCATATCTCGTTGGTCTGATTCAAGGGAATTATGAGTAGATGACACCAAACATCTAGCAACACGAACCACGAACAGCTCATAGAGAAGCTCCTTCGACCTCAAACCAGACATACAATAAAAGGACCTCGCTCACCCCGACCGATAAGATCACCCAAAACTGAGGCCCCTATGGGGAACGCATTCAGTACCCGCATATATGAACCTACCTTGCTGATCGGCTACACACCTGTCCGCACTTGTAACACAAAACTACCGTCTACAAAATACGAGATCACATGACCCACAAATCCATCTCTCGCTAGCATAAAGCGCGCTTTCGCTTCCTGTATAACGTGCCCGCTCTGAGGTTGACGATCCCTACTAGTAGTCTAAGAACAGCGCTTCTCATGGCTTCCTCACTGGAGCAAACTCCAAAAGAGGAGACAACGAACCTTTCAAGACCTCCTGAAAGCCCAGACACCCCAACGTCCATATCCCTCATCAGCTCCCTCCATACTCTAACAATAACCCCATCCGCCGCCTCACGAGCCCTCAACATCCCCGAGCTCCTCGAAACCATCCTCCTCCTCCTCTCATCCACCTTCCACGACCTCGTCTTCGAGCACCCCACCTACACCCTCAACAGCGAGCCCCTCTACCACCTCCTCGCCCTCTGCCGCGTCAGCAAATTCTGGCACAATGTAATCATGAACTCCACCCGCTTTCGCGAGCCCCTGTTCCTGCATCCAATACCCAAACCCGCCGACACCGTCACAGACGCCGACGACACGGATGCCGCGTACCAGAAGTGCGTGAACGCGGCGCGGAAAGACCTTAATCCCATCCTATCCTCATGGGATCAAGGAAACCAACGCCACCGCGATTTCCGGCTTGAGGCTAATCTCGGATCCACGCGCTTCTTCAAGGCTATAGAGGCGCGGGAGGAGTTGCCGCGGACGATGCGGGGATGCTGGTGACGCAGCCGCCGTGCTGGGCGGCAGAGGTGGAGTTGAAGTGGAGTATGTTGGAGGGGAATTGGCGGTTGGAGCCTTGGACTAGGACTGTGAAGATCAAGGTGAAAGAGGAGGCTGGAAGTCTGACGTTGGGGGAGTTGCACTGGGTGCTGAGGAAGCATATGCGGCCGCCGAGGAAGGCTGGTAATTATGGGGCGCATAGAGCGCATACAGCCGTTTTGAGCTTCTTCTAGTGGAGGGAGCGGTTTGAGTGGTCGTCGCTTTCAAATCACGTGAGATGCACGTGATGTTGAGTCTCCTCTAACACGTTCTCAGCTCTCAACCTCCTCCAGCGAGCTATGAGGACCAAATCAACGAGTCAAAAAATACTTAAAAACTTACACAGCTAAGAAACCAAAAGATCATACTCGGCTCTCCATCTCAATGACCCTCCCAACTAAAACTTCCACCAAATTCTTCCTCCCCATCAACGCTCCGAACACTTTCTTTCCCATACTCCCCCCACACACGTCTTCTTCCACCTTCCCTTCCTTCTCATTGCCCTCACTCATCTGTTCGTAATGAAACCCCAACTTCGGCACGACGCAATTATCCTCCGCCCGCGCCGCCCTCACCTGACACACCTCCCTCTCTCTACACGCTCCCTCCCCACCTGCACAATCTCCCACCTCCCACCCCCTCTTCTTCCTCTCCCAATACCCCCAAAATGCCCCCTGATCCCTCTCAAACGCCTCCGTCACGTTATGCCAAAATGCGGGACTCAGCTCATCGCCCTCCTCCAGCGGCGGCGTGACCAGAGGCCCGTAGACTTCGGCTGCAGAGTAGTACTTTTCCCATACCGGGCCAGTGGTTTGGAAATCAGGGGCGGACATGTTGGCGATGTAGGTGACGCTGTCTAGCACGGCGAAGGTGGCCGGGTCGATGGTGTAGAGGCGGAAGGAGGGATGGCCGGTGTTGGGGGTTAGGGCGGGGGCGATGTAGGACATTGCGGCGGCGGTGGAGAAGTGGCGATGGGGGGAGGAGTAGGAGAGTTCGAATTCGTCGGAGTGGGTGTGGCCTATGAGTGTGTTAGGGTGTGAGGGCGGGATGAGGGTAAGGGGTAAGGGGTGAGGGGTGAGGGGGAAGAGGACTTACCAAAGAACATTGCAGCGACCGTGGCCTCGTACCGATTCACGATCTGGTCGAAGTAATTCGAGTAGTCGTGGAATGTGTCGCGCAGGCCCATGGGCATGTGGCCAATGATGTAGACGCGGTCGCCTGCGTCCTCGGCGGCTTGGAGTTCGCGGACGAGCCAAGAGAGTTGGTCGCTGGGGTCTGGTTCCATGGGGTCTTGATAGAGCCAGTAGTTTTGGATGTAGTAGAGATTTGTGTTGAGAGAGATGATGCGGAGGTTCGTGCCGGGATGTTTTGTGGAGTATGCGCCGAAATTCTTCTCTGCGGTTGCGGCTTCGTCTCCAATCCATCGAGACCAGATGTAAGAGAGGGTGTCGTAGATCCATTGGGGTTGGGGAGCAGACTCGACAGCAGTAGAAGGGAAAGAGTTCACAGGGTCGGCTTCGTGGTTGCCGATGGTGCCATATATGTGTCCAAGTGAACTCATTTCAGCATAAGCGAGATCAATGTTGATGGTGTTTTGAGCTTGGGTGGTATTCCATATTGCATGGTCGATTATATCGCCAGTGAAAATGCTGAAGGAAGGACCGATGTCCTCGATAGCGCGATACATGCTCGTCTCGAGGCTCAGTGGGACATCGCAGTGATGATTTCCATTCGGCCCGGCTAGACTATCGGCACCTTCAAGGGATTTCGGGATACTTTCAGCTCTGCAGCAAATGTACGTTGTGCAGTTAGTACTGGTCCCAGGAACATAGAGTCGATCCACGTGTATATCGCTGAATTGCACGATACGTATTGGTGTCTCCCCGCTGGGGGCCGGTCTCAGTCTCGGCGATTCCTTCTTAGGGAAAGAAACTTTATAAGGTGTAACCTCTGGATAGTCACAAACGCCCATGAAAGTGATGCAGAAGAGCTTCGATGTTTTCGACCCGATTTCAATTTGTCGAAGGGCATACGCAATGATTGGACCTTCCCGGGCAACTGCACCTTCACATACTTCGGGATCTTCCTAGAGGCTTATTAGTAGTTTGCACTCTAAATTTGACATCTTGCGTACCCCTGCAAGTTTGCATAGTTCGGTCATGGTGGAAAGGAAAAGAGATTCGTTGGCTTTCACAAGGCGCTTGAGAACTGCCTGGATTGCCTGGAATACGATTAGTTTTGATTCGCACATTTCTTTCTCTTGCATTGAGGTTGCTGACCTCGCAAGCCGTGCAAGTCGCTCCATTCTCAAAGCTATAGGCAATGTCGTTAATAAGCTCCTCGCCCTTCCTCCTCAACATCGTTCCAGGAGCATCTCCATTAAGGAACGCTGTTAAAGACACCCCAACGAAGAGCAGCAGCGACCAAAAAGACCTCTTCATGGTCGCAGTTGAGTATCTGTGACGTTGGAATACTCGGGAGAATAGAGGCCAACGCCACCAACGACGTCACTGGATGTCGAGCCTTCGACCGTGGAGAATGGGAAGGAGCCTTCTACCAGCCGCCAAATATAGACTGATGATTGAAAGGCGAACTCTGAACAGTATTACAAATTATAGTACCTGAGAAAATGCTCGAGAGGTGTCATTTAAGTAGTGAGGTGCATGAGGTCCTAAATGATGACACTGGTGCTGGTAACCGAGCGGAGAAAGCAAGCTAGGCTATTCTAATCCCTAATGCATGCCCGGAACTGCCACCATGAAAAGCATTGTTTGCGTGCGAGTTTCCTTCCGTGCTCTATAGTTGTCTTCACGCTGGGCGTGAAAAAGTGGCACAGTCATCAAGTGCTCTGTCTCGCGTGTATGTACACCTCTTTGCCACTGTCTGGGGTGCTTCAATGCATTTTCAGGAATATGAATGAAGGAGAGAGAACCCCTTCGCCTTGGACTATGTGGAAACTTGTTGAAGCACCCCAGACAGTGGCAAACAGGTGTACACATGAGACAGCTTGCTCTAGAACTGGAGTGCCACCTTTTCTATGCCTCGCGTGGTAGTTAGGCCCTGAAGTATTCATAGGTGACTATTGAGTCTGAACGTAACCTTTGTAGTGGGAAAGTGAATCAGTCGAAGCCTCTCAAGCTTGAATTCGGATTCGATGAGATCCGATTAGTCGAGGCAATCTAGGCAGCAATAAGTAAGTATATGTGGACTAGTAAATAGTTTAGCAGCGGATACACTTCCAATCTGCATACACCCTGTTGGCGCTGTCTGAGGTAGCCTCACAAGTTTACCAGTTGGCCAAAATGCCAAACTTCACCCTTATTTGGACTGCTGAAAATACATACTATGAAACTCCTCACGCAGCGGTAAACGAGTGTACAGATGAATGACGAGGCATTGTATTGAGCCCTAATATTAAAGACATTGAAGTGCCCCAAGCAATAGCTGCAGCACCCAAAACAAGAACTCCACTAAACCAATTTGGGGTATGAAAATGAAAACGCCTTAGAGCCAACTCCGAGCTAGAATATCACTCGTCCTTCTCCCTTCACCAAAGTCCCATTGGACTATCTTCTCATAATCCAAATAATCTGCAGCGGTCCAAAGCCAGAGCTCCAGTTCAGCGCCACTTAGACGCGAGACCTGCCCCAGCGGCGGCGGTGGGTGCCGTCAGTGACCGCATTACGGTTGCCAAGCTTGTGATAGACATAGAGTCCCTACACCATTGTTAGTCTATCCCCAAGCGTTCTCACGTCTAGAAAAACTCACCAAAAGCGCACTCGCAAGCCAGAAGCATGCGCCGATAAAGCTGAAGGCCTCCGCCGCCTTCCACTGGCTGCAGTACCCGCCGTTCGTGAGCCCGCTCCAGCGCCAGATACCGCCGCACGACAGCCTATGGATCCAGTTGACGAAAACACCGAAGGCGGCGAACCAGGCGGCTGAGATGAAGAGGTCGAAGGGATAGTGCATGAACTGGGAGGTGAAGGGGAGGAGCCAGACGAGGGAGAGGAGCACGCTTAGGCTGGAGATGACTACGGCGTAGATCTCGCGGCCCTTGGGGCCGACGCCGTATTTGTCGTATTGATGGAGGAAGTGGGCGCTTAGTCCTAGGACGACCTAGATGTGAGTTATTAGTGGGTTGTTCCGTGGAGTTTGAGCGCAACCTCGTCAAGGATAGTCGCGCAAGGACTATGCTCATTCAGAAGAACGAGCTTCCACCTCGACTGGATTCTAGAAAGCGTGTCCAGGCACCACAGACAGCGGCAGAAGAAAATACAGCATATAGAGTTACTTACTGCAGCGCACACAAATTCGCCGAAGCGAAGAAAGATTGACACGAGGCGTGAAAGAATCATGGCCGACTCCTTCAGTGCGGTTGAGGTCTCAGTTGTCTCGAGAAAGATTGCAGTGAGAGCTGCTTAATAGATATCGTTGACAATGAAGTCAAAAAGGTAAATTGATGCAAGCGGAAATAGATGTTCACTTGCTGTGCTGTGCTCTTTGTTTGCCTACCAAACGAGCGAGGCCTCCAATCCTTAAGAACCCAATAAAACACCACCAACAAACAACGACGTCAGTCCGCGAGGTTAGTCACATCATGTCAGGAAGTCCGCCACGTAGCTGGCCGCTGGGTCAACTTTCGTGGGCCCTGGTCTTCAATCATCCCATTGGCCTGCTGCGTGCCACAAAACCACCCGTCCTGTTTTACCTGCGCAACCTCTCCTGCCGTGCCCAACGACCTCAGCTCCAAATCTCGTCAAGACCTACCACCCTGGCTGAAACGCAGAGACCCAGGTCGCTGAACAGGCCTACATGCCAGCAGGTGATGTTGAGCGCGTCGCTGTCCTCGCGGCCAGCCAATAACGTTACAGACGCGCGCCACATCACACTCTCGGCACGCAGAATCTGGGACGTTGAGGCGCAGGCCCAAAACTTGGTTGTCGAATCATGCATCAGACTCCGGAAGGCCTGGTTCTTGTGATCATCTCGAAAACGGGTGCGATGGGCGACCCCGCGGATGGAGCAGGGAAGTTCTCCGAAATAGCCGTTGGTGCCTTGAGAAATTTGCACATGCACATGATGCGGGGAGTTGATGATGGGTGCTTGGGACGGGGCGGGGAATGAGGTTCCAGCTTCTCTGTCACCCTTGCCTAAGGGCCGCCAAGACTTGCCAGTTGTCCAGCGATCCAAGGTTCATGCTGGGCACGAGAGAATAAGATTCATCTATGCTTTGTCCCTAGCTAAAGTATCAGTAGCCAAATTCATTTCCGGTCGTTGTTTCTTCGAAGGAAGGGAGGTTGTCGGGTGCGGAATGTATCTACATGCGTCATCAATTTCATAAGCATTATTCTGCTGTTCGTTGGGTGTAACGCTTAGAATGGAATTAGGAAGACGGATCTTGAGAAGTTTGATGAGGATGGCTGTTCTGACTTTGCCTATGGGAACGTGGTGTCGTAAAAGGCATTGCCATATAAAGCATGTGATTGGATATATACACTGCTCTATCATTACCACCTCCTGCCGTCTCACGCTCTCGATCTATCTTCAACATCACCTCTTCAACCCAATCCTATCTTTGAGTCCAGCACCACTTCCTCTCTTCTCACCATCTGTCGGGCTCCGCAGCTTCTCCATCAAACCTGCCCCGCTGCCTCGTTTCTCGCCCTCTGTCGGGATGCGCAACTTCTCTATTAGACCCGCGCCACTGGCCCGTTTGTCAACATCCGTAGGGCTCCGAATATTGTCCATCAAACCTACGCCGCTCCCATGCTTCGAGTGCCCTGGCTGAGTGTCCAAATCCGACTCCTCTTCTCTCTCCTTCTCCTTCTTCTCGATAATAATATCCATAGCTTCTTCGGTCAATTCTTGCCGATTCATCCGTTCCAACACGTCATTCTTCCGGGTCCTCTTGTCGCCAATCAGAATCAAGAGACCAGCAGTAGCGTTGCACGTGATTGAGCAGCAGAGGATGACAGTCGTCAGCGCAAACGGCCGTCGTTTATAATAAATGCCCCATGTGCATGCACCGAGAGCAATTTGGAACAACGAGTGGCAATCCAGCAGCACGACGACAGCCACCAGCAAACGTAGTGGGAATGCGAAATGCGTTTCGGTCTCATGGGGCTTGTAGAAAGTATGAGAGTTGGAGAACTTGGTTTGGTGGTGCTCTAGCTTGGCTTGTTGTTTCGGAGTCAGCATCGTGAACTCCCACGGCGCTTGTTCAACGTCGGCTTCGTGCGGCTTGACGGGAGCGTTAGTAGCAGGTAGGTCGTTGTGGTCGCGGAGTTCGGGGAGCATCTCGTGGTCTCGGCGTTTCCAGGTGAGGTGGTGGTAGTGTGCGATGAAGGCCATGTGGTAGGTGTCGACTGCTCTAAATGGTGCGAGGCCGTCACCAACCACAGCGAAGAGGGCTACCATGATGTTGTCGATGACATTGACGAGGTAAATCTGCCTTCCTCCAACGTTGATCCAACCTAGCATCCACAATTAGCTGAAGCTCATTGATTCCCAATCCAAGAATACCTACCGATCAGGAACAACACCCAGGCAAGACCAAACACAGTGATAAGAAATGCGTAAAGAGTGACAAGAAAACCAAGTGCTGCTCGGTTGTTAGCTACCTTTCACTTGAGTCCGTGAGGAATAGCTTACGTCTTCGTATATACTGCCCAAACCCTCGCATCTGTCGCTTGAACCGGGACCTCTTCGAGTGAAGCATGTGGCGCACGTGATCATTCAGCTCCTTCTTATCCTCTATACTCCACCCTCTGAGATCTCGTCCTTCAGGTAATACGGCGAAGCGTGAGTCACTCAATCGGGAATCAATCGTTGCGATAGTTTGAGTGTCGGTTTCCAAGCGCTGTAGACTCGGGGCGTCCCGTCTCCACTTTTCACGCCGTTCGGCCTCCCCAACAGCACCAGCAACCTCTTCGTCAAACTCATCGATTTCGTCCATCTGGTTCGGTCGAGGCCGTAGGTTGTAGGTCGGTCTTCGATTGATCCACTTACCAAGCTGAGGTATGAAAAGAGAGTTTTGGACGTTCGTCAGAGATGTGAGAGTTGCTACTTCGGGGTCTACACACGAGTCAGTATCGCTTCTAGGCATGTCAGATGTGTTTGCACATACCAACCGTGTCGAGGACATCGACCATGCTCGCGTCGTAGTCGTTGGAAGATATAGTCGAGGCGGGGCCCTTGCCGTTGCCCCCAGACTTTCGCCCTAATCTGGACTCCACTCCGTGCCGGATCCTCGCCCACAGATTTGAGCCCTCTTCAACTCGCTTTGGATCCTCAGATCCAGTCCGAGCAGACGAGGCTTCGTCGACGGTAGACATACGCGGCACGCTAGCCGCTGGCCGTAGTGTGTTTACATTCTGGCCAGCGCCTTGCGTGTTCACACGACCTATCGACTGTGCTGAGGGCAACCGCCGAATTCCAATACTGGGCTGTCTAGAACCCGCTCTGGGTCTTTTGTTGTACAACTTCTGAATGGGTTCCGGCAGGCTGCTCTCCCGTGTTGGTACTGTGAGTTTCGATGGGTCTTGAGCCGAGCTATGGGGCAATGGTCAGTTTTTAATCAGATCGAGTGGCTGAAGCTATCACCTCGAAGGATTAGACGCTGTTTTCCTGACGGCAGCATCGATAACATCTGGAGAAGTAGGTAGAGGCTTGTGGACATTGATAGGCGACCGCGGAGACTGAGACGACGGAGCTGCAGCAAAGTCTTCCACTGCTATCGCAGGTCGTGGACCGATAATGCCCTCGTTGACCCCTATCGTGCTGGTGCCATCGTGTGCGAATGCATTCGCGTGCGGCACCGTCAAAGAGCCGCTGGGTTCGTCTTCCCTCCTAGTTGGGGTGAGTTTGTCGCGGGTCGTCTTCGCGGCACTCTTAAGGCGGTCCATCAGGGGAGGTTGAGGTTGATGGGAGCGTCGTGAAGGCGAGGAGGGCAGACGACCTCCGTGGACCTTGGGAAAATGCAAACCATGGTTATCTGACGACGAGCCTCGACGTGCTGGCGAATCAGTGAATCTGAGGCCCAAACCGGGCAGCTTTAGTGATATGCGCTGGAGGAATGACGACAGCGGGCTCGATTCCCTTGCGCAGATCCCGGCGCCGATTGCGGACTGGCTTTCCCAGGTTCTCCTATTTCCTCCCCTGCTCGACTGCACGTCTTCCTCTTCACCGAGTTAATCGAGGTTCTCTCTATTTTGTACAGCTCAGACAATGGCACATAGCCCAGCGTCTTTCTTGAGGAACTCGCGGCGAGTATTGGAACATGTTCTCAGGCATCCCACGATAACCGCAGCTGAGAAGATGGGAGAGGAAACTCCGCTTCGATCAACCACCATGCCAAATCCATTCCCCGCTAACCATGTGTCCATCGGGCCTTCTACAAAGGTAGGAAATAGATTGTCCCACCTGCCTGGTGTGACATCAGAAGCTCGACTAAAAGGGCTGGGGGCCTACGCTGGGCGTGAAACAAGTGGCACACTCATCGATCGAGCACTGTCTCGTGCAGGCCTGTATACACTTGTCTGCCACTGCTTGAAGTGCTTCAATGAGGTTCCACATAGCCCAAGGGGAAGAGCTTCTATCTTATTCAAATTCCCGAAATTGCATTGACGCACCACAAGCAGTGGCATACACGCGCACACACTCACGGCGGCTTGTTCTGGAATTAGAGTGCCACCGTTTTCATGCCCCGTGTCTCTTGACTTCGTCTGCCCCCATTTCCCTCAGCTCGACGTGTATTATGCAATCTGTAGGATCCTCGTTTAAGTCACTGCGTAAATGTTATTAGGTAGTGAGTGTAATGGTGAGAACAAAGTATTAGTCTAGGCGTTGGCTGCGAGAGCGATGGAAGTGAGGCATTCGGCTTTCTTTGGTCATTGTCGATACTCAAGAAAGACACCTTGAGACACTCGTGGTGACATGAGAGCGACGAAGTCGATTGTTTTTCAGAGCATTCTAATTTCACTATCCCAAGCAAGCCCCTGGCCAGACATTCTCTCGTTAGCCAAGGAGCGATCTCATTTCAGATATACCCTCGTTTCCAGCTGCTCAGCCCAAATTTCCTCAATTTGCCCTGCTGATCAATGCTACCCATACGATTGCCATCCAAACCAACGGCATTCCAGAACTGGCATTCCACTGCGGTCTGCCAATACCATCTGCTTGCTAATCTTCAACCGGAGACTCTAGTTCCATCAGTTCATCCCACTCACGCCAACAACAGAACCTGATCCCAAGCCAGCGCAACACCTCTCCAGCCCAATCAACTGGCATGGGGCAGCGACCATATCCCGCTTCTCCGGATCCTTTGTAAACCAGTGTGACTAAGATGGTGGCAATCGAGGTTTGCTCGATGACAGCGAACCAATCAGGGTGGGTTTCGAGCTCTTTGGGCTTCTTGGTGTGGAAGGCGAGTACTTCTTCGATGTGCTGGTCGCTGCCTCCAGCATTGCCAGCGTCGATACAGATTTGAGCAGCATAATCGTTACGTCTGCCTCTGATGCCAGAGTTCATCGTATTGAGAACGCTCTTGAACTCTTCGTGCGTGCCGTCGCCGGCGAGATTGTACAAAGGTTAGCATGCAAACTTCGCTTCTGGTTCGTCGCTCTCCCCGCGGAGATCTTTATCAGGTTCGGAGGTGGATGAGAGCGAAGCGTTCCAATCTGGGCGCCCCATGGTTTCGAGACGCAAGACCTCGCCAATGGCTGCTTCTAGGCTGTGACGCATGGCGTCTGGAAACCCTTCAAAGTTGTCGTAGACGAGGAGAAGATTTCGGCAGGATATGGACGTCTCAACCTCGGTCTCTGAGTGCGGAGAGCACATTTCTGGTGTGATTTCTTAGCAGTGAAGGAGAAAGCACAGAAGTATTTAAGTCGTGTCGAGTGGTATAGACTAGAACAAACAAGACCATAGACTTACTTCAAGTGGAGGAGTAGAAGCCCATTGAGGTGTATCGATGACAATGAAGAGATGGTTTCTAGCTCAGGTTCATCTCAAAATTGACTACGCAAAATTGGGAAATACTTGCATTGAGGAGTCCTCCCCACGAGTCCACCAATGGCGAATGATGTTTGCGACAGAACTTCCAACGAAGTTCACATCCTCAAGAACTTTGAAAGTGCTCTCCAAATCTTCATCCTCTTCAACCTGTTCCGCTTGCCTGTCTGCATCGCAGAAGGCCTTTTGAGTTGCGTCACGGTGTACTTCCACCGTTGCGTAAATCGGATAGATGTAAGAGTCGTCCTCGGAGTTGTGTTCCGCCATTGGGGGAGAGCGTGGTGGGTGTTGGTAGTGGAGATGGGGAAATGGAAATGCGGGCGGACAAGCTTCCTCTGAAACTTTGGCCAAAAATTTGAAAATGATGTCAATTGCGAGCTCGAAAGAGATTGGAATGTAACTTTGTCATGTAATCATCGCGAACCCGGAAGGATTAAGACTTCTGGTCTGAGAATGAAGATTTGACAGGAATGAAAAGGGACTTACCATATAAATACGTACTGATCAGTATCACAAAAAGAGCTACTTTTATCCTTCTCGTATGTACAATTGAGTGAGGTAATCCGAGATTTGACCAAGATATATACAAACTTCAGCTGCGAAGTTAATACTTACAGCGAAGATTAAAAATCCCTCAAGCATGAATATCAGACTCCACTCAACTCCCACAAGAAGATTACAGTCAACTTGGATCATTTCCCGCTTACTAAGTCCTTGACCGACTGTAGCACCCCCTTCCCTTCCTTCTTTCCCTCTTCCACCTTCTCCCCAGCATCCGCCATCAACTTCTCTCCATTCGCGACCCCCTCCGTAGCCACCTCCTTTGTACTCTCCCCCACACCCTGCACTATTTCCCTCAAATTCCCTAGCTCATCCCGCCCCTCCCTCCTCGTCCTCCTCCTCGCCACCTGTGCCTTCATTGCCTTCTCTTCCTCATCTCTGACCTCCAATTCCTTAATCCACTTATCCCGCTTCTCCAGGCGCAGCTTCTCGGCCACCACGCCCTCATACTCCTTCCGCTTATTCCGGTCCTCCTGGTAGTATATGCTGCCACCCAACATGGCGACGATGGTGAAGCCTTGCGCGTAGATGCGGCGGCGGAACATGACATTCGTGCGGTTGCCATCACCGCGGCGGATGGAGCGGGTGGCGCCGATGAGGGCCGCGACGGTAAGGACGCAGCCTAGGGGAACGAGCGGTTCTTCGCGAAGCCGGCGGAAGAATTTCTCGGCGCGGTTTTCGTTGTAGAAATCTCTGAGTGGGGTTTTAGCTCATATGTTCAAGTTGGAAGAAATTTGACGTAGAGAGATGGGATAGACTATGCGTTTGTTGGTAAATACTTACGCATTGCCGTCGAAGGAGGAGGGGAGGGGTGTTTCTCCCGACATGATGGCGGAGGGACGCGGTTAGTTTGATGGTTTTATATGGTTACAATGGCTTTAAAACTGGAGCACGCTCTAACTTAGAGGCCCTAGCAGAGAATTGAGTAGGCTTCGAGGTTTGATCGGCTTAGATGTGAGGATGGAAATGGTCATGCCGCAATGAAATGGACCGAAATCGATTATGTCATCACTTTTGCCAAGAACGTCAATGGCGGATCTCCGTGTGCCTGGTGAGCTTCGGAATACATATCCGAGGGCCCATCTCCTCAACACCTCCTAATTCTCGCTGTTGGAGCTACATGCTCGCGCCCTCTCACGCCCTTGCTGCCGCGCCATGAACGAGGAGGCTTCGTCCTCTGCCGCGCCACCGCATCATGAGAGCCCCGAAGCCGATAGCATCGCGAACGTTGACGAAAATATCGAAGATGAGGCTATACTGCGATCGAGGGAGGTAGAAAGTGCATTGTATAGGAAGAGCACGGGAAAGCGGAAGCGTATAGCATTTCTGGATAGCCTGCTTCGGGAACTGGACATGTTAATCTATCTTCAGCTCATCACGATTTACTATATGGAGTAAGCTTTCAACCGATACAAAACCTAGTCCGTAGCCCAAATTCTCCTCTCCATGCTAACCAAAGCTTGTCTGTAGCTGCTCGTTCTTCTGGCTATTCATACGCGGGTGCCTGCATTTGTTCACCCTTACGCCCCTTCCCGACTTGATGGTCGTACCACCACGAGAAGAACAGAGGGCATTTCTACCCCTAATACTAGCTCCCTATATTACCTGTTCGCTCCTACACCTGACCTTTCCGCGACCATCAGCCGGCGAAGATACCCGGGGATATTTGCATGGAGGCATGATAATAGATTTCATTGGGCAGCAGGGGCCGTCGTCGAAATTCCATCTCGCAGCATTGGATATCTCGGTAATGGTATTGCAGGTCGTAATGCTGTCAGTGCATGTCAAGAGGCGGAACTTGAAGAAACGTCTACCTAAGCCGTCGGGGACAGAAACGACTCCAACCACAGCTCCAGCTACGGAGACAGCAGACCAGCCACGAAATCCGGAACAGGACGCAGATGCTGAAGAACGTGGGGTTTTGCGAAGGACGGATACATTCTCGGACATCGGACAAGAGCCTGACGAGGAGGACGAGCTGCTGCCGACCGCGGAGGATGCCAGCACGAGACCATCTGCACCAGGCGCAGATCTTCTTGATGCACTCAACTCTGGCCAGGTGGTAATAGCCGACCTGCACGTCCTGGATACGCTCTGGGAGGAGCACGAAACTTATTCGGCAAATTTGACGGCACGGTCGAGCGGCGCAAGCAACACGGCGAGTGCATCTCTCGGTACGAACTTTAGCGGCGCATTCGATACGTTTCGTATGCGACTCGGGGGTGGTTGAATGGGGATTCGGTCTCGTCAAAAGCAAACAACCCTGCATGAGGTATTGGAGCTGCTCGTTTCACGGTTGGCTCTACTTCTCTTCGACAAAGCACGTTGCCGCATCCTTCACAGAAATTGCCTCGGAAGTGTCTCCGCGAGACTCTCGGCGTATCGATTCAGACGCCGCCCAGTGAGTATACGAGTTGTTGAGGACAATAGACCAAAGAGTTGAGAACCTGAGGCACATTCCTGCGACGACTGGCCTCGGACGTCTCTCTGAGATATCTTCGAGGCAGCCACCTGCACACCCCCACGACACCACCTCAACTTAGCGTTCTATGCGCCGGCCGCTGTGCGTCGCCATGCCGTCGCTGTCCACAATCCTAGAAATGGAGCAATCCATTCAATTCTGCGTTTTACCGAGCCGCACCGCACCACTCCCCGTGCCTTTTCACTGCTCGGGTGTCGGGATACCGCGATACCCGCCAGCACCGCCCTGGGCACGGACAAGGACATGCGCCACAGTAGCTTAGTTGAACGACCCCTGCTCTGGAAAAAAAAGGTCCTTCACGACCCAATCAGATAGTCGCGAAAAATGTAATCTCCACCAGCTCTGTTTCTGGCATAACGTGGGTTTCCGTGTGCAAGTGAAAAAATTCCCAGGAATCTGGGAGAGAGCAGATATGGGACGAAATTGCGACTTACTCCACCGTCTCAGCACCCCCAAGCCGCGTGTGGCGGTTCTAATCAAGCTTCAGCTGTGGCCCAGCCCCGACGTCAACGGCGACGTCAAACGTCTTCCGCCAAATGCAGCAAGACATGCGGCAAGCCAAAACCGCTGCGCCGCCAGTCACCCCCCAGAAACACCAATCCCCGAGCCTGAAAAATCTGAGACACGCTCCCGCTCACATGACCAAAGCTCTCTGCAACTCACACTCCCCCTCCATCCCGCGGCCCACCCGCAAAACGCACGCACAGTGACAAGCAGCAGCGAGCACGGGGGCAACCGGTGCCGGTCTCTGGCGCACCCCTGTCATGACCCGCTGTCCGCCTTCATGCATCACGCACATTAGCGCGCCCAAGCCAAGCCAGCAAGCCCCGCCCTGTCCCAGATTAGGACGGGTGCGCGGCCGCAGATGCGGCTGCAGGGGTGGGTCCTGGACATGGGGCGCTTGGCAAAGGCTGCGGAGCGGGGATTGGTTGGTGGTGTAAAGAAAAGAAAATGTGTTAATTGCTCCGAAATGGAGGCGCCGAGGGCGGCGGTAGGCGGGGCGCGTTTTGGGCTGGGTGCTTTAGAGAGGTTTTAAGGGTTCTGGACTGGGCGGTGTGGGTGGGAGTGGTGCTCGGGCTTGGCGATGGGGGGTTGGTGTTGAGAAAAAGGTGATGGGTCGTTTTCTTTTCTGTGATGGCTAGGGCAGGGTTGGGGTTTGTGGAGGGGTGAGAAGGAGACGTAATCGCTGTCTATGAATGATACTGTATAGTGATCATAGAGCGTGAAGTTCCAACTCTTAACATTTCAACCGCTCAACAGCTGCCTCTGCCGCAAGAGAAAGAACGACTCCTCACTATCTGATCAAACTTGATCGAAATCGCATCTCGATCTCCCCATCTCGATATCCCCATCTCGATCCCCATCTCATCTCAACCTACAAACCCAGATCACAGGTCACAATTCTCGTCACGATCTCCAATCTCCATCACACCGCCCGTCTGCCCTGTCCTGTCCTGTCCTGTCCTGTCAAGCATAACTCCAGCCTGCATATCCAACTTTGCCCAGTCCCGAAAACCGCCCTAGTGAAGCTCATACCACCCATAATCATAGCCGCGCCAGCCACTCAAAACCCAGAGAATGAACTGGATTTGAATTTTCCACCGAGGCAACCAGGCGCTGTGGCTGGGATCGGGAAGGCAAGTGCCGGCATGCATGCATTGCTGAGTCGCCGACACGTCCCCGCACTGTGGGGCACGATACAGCTTCGAGCGGTCAAGGATGCCAGGTGGGTCAGTGCTGGTACAGGACGGTATCCACACTCAACGTCAGGTTGGCGGATACTGTGTAACTGTATTGCTTGAGCGGCATTGAGGAGTTAGAAACTTGGAGATGGGATGGATGGATGGATGGATGAGAGGAAGTGCGACTGAACTTGATCGGCTTGCGATCCTTTCCCTTCATCCCTCATGCGGATTTGCAGAGAAAACATGCGACCTAGGTCCTGGGTTGATAGGTTGAGTTTGGCACAGGGTGCACGAAACAACTGCCGTACCGCAGTCGTTGCTTGCGCACGTGCACCTGTGAAAAACACGCGTCCGGAAGCAGTTGGGAGCTGCAGGACATTGTTGACCCGCACCGCGCCCCCAGCTTCGGCAAGGCAGGTGAGCCGAGCTCACGCATTAGCCCGCTCCGTCTGCATGCAGCTGTGCAGCTGCTCCAAACCACCCAAAAACGTCTCCACACCGCTGGGTATAATCACCGGCATCAAAAGCTTATCCAACCAAACAGCGGGCACGCAGGAGCTGGTGTTGGGAACAGCAACCCTCGCATTGCATAAGCGTCCCTGCGCAATGTATGTCAGGAGGAGTGCGGACAACACACAGGCGATACGATGAGATGCGTTGCGATGCATCGAGATTCGACTGTCGCAGAGCGTGATTGTGGGCCCACAGTCGTCGTTTGGTCGCTCCATATCGCTCGCACTACCTGGCTCTGATCCGGTTCCCCATCCACTTATGGAGCAGCAAGGGACTCCCTACCTCACCTCACCATCAGGATTACCCGATCCGGCCCTCATCCCCTCAAGCCACTTCAACCATCCTCCGACTTTCGGCCCTCGATCGCAGTCTCCCCCCTCCTCCGCCGCCTCCGTAGCCCTATGGCAATTTCCCCTCAGCAGCAATCATGATAAGATGGCGCCCTGGTTTCGGGCCTTCTATCAAACCTAGCCCTTGTGCTGCTTACCGGGTTGGTAGTGGCTGGCTGGCAATGCACGTTCCATCCCGAGCTTGAAACGTCGTTAAACGGCTGCCAGGTTTCCGCCATACGCCTAACGCGCAGGCTCACGCGCGTTGGTGCCAACCGTCCACTACGGATATCCTCCCGCCTCGTGTTTAAGGGGTGCTAACCAAACGTGCCCAGACAACCACCAAGCAAGTGAAGCTGGTAAAACTACGGCCCTTTCTCGGGTCTCCCAAGCGTCTACGCATGAATACCAACACAACTCGTAAGTCCCGGGAACGACTACCGCTGAAAGTCGTTGTATATTGTAGGATTAAACAGGCGACGGCGGTGGTCAAGGATATGCCCATGCCAGTCTTGATTCGAAAGAGATATCCGTGCTAGCAGCACATCGCGCCGCAATGCGACGAGATTTCGATGAGATGAAATGAACCTGGACCTACGTCCCGTCTCCCCGGCCGAGAAAATCGTATGTTCCACAGGACGATCACTCAGATCTGCAGTCGCCCCCCTTACCAGCTCTAGCAACGCGCTACAGATCCCCTGTCAACTGCAGCCTCGCGCCGTAGATCTCCTTAATCCCCCAACGCCGCCCGAGGTAGTCAGATGTGCAGGGGTGCAGGGGTTCAGGTGGTCACATCCACACTCTTCCAGTAGTGTCGGAATCAGTGCCTAGGCCTCACCAAGCGCCCCTCGCTCGAGTCTGCATGCCGCATCAGGCTTGTCAACGTTTCAAACCGGACACTCACCGTGCCATTGGTAGTTAGATAGCGGCATCGAGATAGCGCAGCAGCCGCCAGGATCTGTAGCGCTTCTTTAGACCCGGCCAACACTCACTTACTCTTGAAACTACTGTTAGAAACGGGAAAGGTACGTGTAAATGCGACTGCCATCTTGGAAATTTTAAAATAAGGCGGACGTTGGGGCTGTGATTGGTTTGAATTTGATCGGATTTCTTTTCGGCTTCGATGCGGTAAAGGCGCTATCGGCAGAAACCGAACGTTGTTTTCACTACGAAAATGTGCCGTCTTGAAACGGCCCAGTGGATTTTGGATTGCGCGCTCTGGCTCCCCTCTGCCGTACCCCTCTCGTTCGCCCCGTTGACCGGAGTGTTTCGTGTGGCTTCGTCGAGGGCTGGGCTACTCCCCTCTCTTCCATCTGCTGACCGTAGGGTGTTTTCCCCTTCCCCCTCGCTGGCGTCTTCTCTGCGTACATACAAAAGTCCCTCAAAGCTTATTTCGAGACTGAAAAAAGGTGGTATCATGGGTTTCGATCCGCGAAGATCTTAGATGGTAGTCTTTGGTTCTATATGCAATTCTGATGTGTAATAAGAGAGTAAGAAAGGAAACAATGCCCTTGTTAGGGATATATGTCGGAAGACGGTGCTTAGGAGGTTCTGGGTGCTAGTGGGTGCCATGTCGTCTGGGATGGCATGAAAAAAGACACTGAAACGAATACTCGCAATGCTCTCAATAACAATAACGTCTTAAGAATCGAGTTGGTACGTCTCGCGTGTACTGTACTGCGCCATTCCTTCCACATTCGTGAACTGTTGCATATCGGTAGAAGAGAAGATAGTGTGATGAAATGGGGTAATAATAATGATGCACCGATGTCGCCGCTTCTCCGAGGGTATCAACTTCTGTTATGGAAAAAGAAATGCTGAGGTGATGACTGGTCCAAATTGTTGCTTTGCGCCGATGAAATCCGAGAAGTGCTTATGCAAATGCTGCCGCCGCCGCCGCCGAAAACGCCGATATCGATATAGTGAAAACCCCGAGCAAGGAAATCGGCCGATTAGTGAGCCACGGAGAATTGTCGGTTTGTACGAGCTGAGAGCTATGTATAGTTTGGAAATGTTCACAATGAATGTGAGGTTGGGTTTCAGAAACCCTGGTATGTGCGTATAGTGATACGATCACTGTCTGCGGGTATCTCGTCCGGGCATAGGAGGCCAGCTCCTCTCGTACCTGGCTTCCTGAGAAAATGGATCCCGGAGAATTGGTCGTTGAGGATGTTGCTGGGGTTGTGTGGACTCGACGTGTTGCCGGATGGTGCGAGAGTCATGCTGCTGTTGCAAATGCTGCTGTTGTGGCGAATGCTGCTGATGCTGATGTAACGCATGGCCACCTTGATTATGGTTCCCGGTCTGCGATGCTGGTACTGGGACAATCGAAGGGAACGCTGTCGATGTATAGGGTTGATGTTGAGACCCAGGCCCTGACTGTGGCACTGGTGCTGGAGCGGGTGCTGGTACGTAGGTGCTTGTGCGCCTGCGTACATTTCGCCCAACATCTCGATGCTCTGGCGGCTCGGAAAACTCAGAATACCGGTTCGGCGAGTCTGTGGCAGAAGACGCCGCAACGCTTGATGGAATCGGGGTTCGGCCAATGCGTGGAGACGTAGGCCGAGGGAAATGTACACCAGCTCCCGGCTGCTGGCCGATGACATTGCGGAAGTAGTCCCGCTCTGCCTTGTAGTAGTCTAGGTCTTCGTTTGCCTCGCGCAACTGCTGTTCCAACTTGGCGATAGTGGAGGAGGCCTCCTTCTCCTTCTCTTTTCGGCGCTGGCGAAATCGGGCCGAAGCTCCTGCGTTCCTCTTCCTCTTTTCATCCGCTGACTTAGAGGCTGCCGACACATCGACCGGGATTTGGATTGAGTGCCCCTCCTGAGTATTTACAGTTAGTATTTGATAGCTGCTTTGGCCAGTAGACGCCACAGGAATGTAATTTCGTTCTGATTCCACAGAGAGTGGGGGGTTGCTGTACTGCTGCGAAGAAGGCGTGTCACTTCTCATCCTAATGTACGAGGATTGCGCCGGACCACCCTGCTCATACGGATTCCCTGTTAGTTGAGCTGGCTGGCTAAATGGTGAAAATGACGTAGTTGGGCTTGCACTCCCTGACTGTGGGAATCCCATGCTTCGTCGTCGTAGATCTGCTCTTTGTAGTGGTGGTGTGGGCGCTGGGGGTGGGAAGTTGTACTCAGCACGATGAGCAGCCGGTGGAGTTGGTAGTGGCGGTACCCCCGAAGTTCCTGGCTGGACCATGTACGCGCGTGTGCCTGGTGAGAGGAACGGCGTATGATGAGCATCAATCGTTCCAGTAGGCGGATTGAGCACTCCCAGACTCTGAGTCCGATGTAGTGTTGGAGATCTTGGGCTCAGAATGTGCCTCGCGGCTCTTCCAACGCCTGGATACGGCCTTCCTAAACCGTGGTCCTCCTGGGTCGAATCTACACTAGTCGGTCGACTGAGAGAAGGTAGACTGCCTGCAGGTGTTGACTCCATTGGGGAAGGTGATTCCATCTGAGCTGCACTTCGCCGCTGGCCCCGCTGCTCGATTAAATCTGAGGGGGGATTTAGAATGGACTGCATTCCCAGAGATCTTCTCCCATCCGTAGACGGGGTTGGTGGGGTGCGCGAGACCTGCCGTAGAGGGGGTAGGGAGACACCTCCTCCACCTTGCGAATCCGGGGTGGGGTCCCGGGAAAGCGAGTGCATGCCCATTCGGTGGTTTGCTGGTAGAGGAGCATTCTGGCGAGGCCTTTGGAAAGAGTCGTCATGATTAGAGCCAGACTGAGATCCTGGGGCGCCTTGACGGGACATGGATCCTTCGTCGAAGCTCCCCCGACCCAGCTGTGCCAACCATGGGCGGTCCTGGGCTGAATTTCCGGCGTGAGGCGGCAGAGGAGAGTCTTCCAATCGCGGCCGAGAATCGGGAAACAGTGGAAAAGTTGCTGGCAGAGGGGTTGGAAAGCGCGGATGGTAATGACTGTGAGATGAAGGAGGAAGCGCAAAGAGAGCGGGAGCAGCCACGATGACGAGCGGTAGGGTCGTTTTGCAACGGCCCGGACAGTTTGGTGGAGGGGGAGAAGAAGGTTGCAGTGACTCGGGAGAAAGCAGGAGCAATAAGCGAGTGGAGCAGGGCGAGCGGGGAGTGTCTGGGGGCAGTCGGGAGCGGGACGATGTCAGACAGATCCGATTAGGCGTGGATAGGCTTGCTCAGGGCCATGATACATATCAAGGTCGGGCTGTGAAATGAGAAGGCAGGGCCGGCGGAGGTCTGAGGGCGGGCACGGGCGAGCAGCAGAGCAGTGTCAGTTCCCTTTGGGGGCCGTGGGGAGCAGGGTGGATTTGAACGAGCCCGTGACTAGCTGGCGGATGCGGGCGCGCTGTGCGCTCACAGCCACTGATATAGGGATTGTTGCGGTGAGTTGGGCAGGCCAAGGCTGGCCGCACGATCAGCCCGAACCCGGGGCCTGCAGCAAATCATGCCCGAAGCAACGCGACGGGGGGGCCTGCTTGACGGCCAGCCCACTGCCGGCGGGGGAGATGGGCACAGAGCGCGGGCGGCCAGCGCTGCGAGTCGTCGCGAGCAGCGTGCATGAGCGAGAGCGCGAGCGACGAGCGGCACATGCGCCCACGACGGCGAGCCTGAGGCGGGGCCAGCAGCGCGGAAGGCGGCAGCACCCCGAGCCACCAGCTGCCTGGCAGTGCTCCACCGTGCTCCAGCAGTCTGCAACTGAGCTCCAGCAGCGCTCTGCCCCAGGAGCCGTCCCGCGCCTGTCGTGGGGCGTGATGGGAGCAGCTGGTGCGACGCCCAGCACCCGTCTCGCCCTTTCGCGGTTGCTGTCAGGGTGGCAGCATGGTGCACATACAGCGGACAGGCGGCGACGACAGCGCAGCCATGCGGTGCACGGAGCGGCAGGCTGGCCACGATGGCGTGGCAGGTGGTGCGCCTTTGTGGCCGATTGGCATGTCGCTGGGCGCGGTGCAGGGCCGGCGTGGTGGTGGAAGCGTCCGGGGATGCTGCATAACGGTCCAGGAGGCCTTGTCGTGATCAAGCCGGTGCGACGCTATCGTGCAGCGAGAACGGCTAGCCCGCTTCCTGCTGCTCGGGAGCGTCGAGACGCTGCCACCAAAGAAATGTCCGATCGCTGGTGCCAGATGCACCTCCTGCAGATGCCCTCACGCAGCCCACCCACGCCCCCAACGGACCCCAAGTGGCTCAAACGCACCGCACGCAGCCCGACGAGCGTCAGCACGCCGTGTTGTGCATTTGGCGGTGGCTGTCGAGAACGGCTGGGGCATACGGCAGTTCGAGTCCAGTGCCAAGCATCGATCCAGACTGCTAGCGGCATGAAGCATCTCGAGGCTCGCTTTGGGCGCGGTTTTTCTCGGACCGCCTCGCTCACCGTGTGCTGCTTTTGGAGTGTCGTCCGACGCAGGAGATGCAGAGCGAAGCTCAGCCCTGCCCCGGCCCGCGTTGCAAGGGTGTCTGGGCATCAAGAGATGTCGGTGATGCTAGGATAGAGACTCAGGAGGGGCTCGTATACTGGCCACCCTTGGCATGCACATATGTGTACCTTGAGATTCCCAAACCAGAGCTAAAAAGAAAAACGTGGTAGACGCTCCATCACGTCTCAGTTCCCATCATGTACTGGGGAGCTTCAGACAGTATCAGACAGGCAGAAGCCGGTACTTCAGACAACAGCCTGAGTGACGACGTAAAAGAACCATGAATTCTGTTGAGATGTCCAGGAGCCTAGGCAGCTGCAAATTCAAGCTCTGTGCGTGCCATGGTCTTTCTTCGAACTCCGGTGAGGAGGGCACTCTTGCCATGGATCTCCGGGTGTGACGATGACGGCATCTGGTCGATATGTCGGGCAGCATTCCGGGGCCACGGTTCCCTGGTCAGACCAGAGAGTGCTCCACGCGCATTACTCACGGGCCCAGGTGTCCGTCCCAGCGCCAAACAGCGATCGTCTGCAAGCGATGAGCCGCCGCCGGTGCGTGTTCTCGGGTCCTCGCAGAAGCGGCACGGCGGGAGCCTGTCAGCGACGTCAAGTCCTCGGCTGGAGCGCGAGACACCAGGAGCAAGCGAAACGGCGTCGACACATCACTTCCCGACACTGTGGTCGACCGAAGAAAGATGACGCCCGGCTAAGGGATGGAGGGGAAATTGCGTCGACCTGTCTTTGGCCCCTTCGCACCCGTGGGGGTGGTTCCCACGAGCGAGAGCCCCTGCTGGATGATGCGCTTCCTGGTCCTCTTCCCCCAGACGACGGGGTCCTCTGCAGCTGAGGACCACCGTGGTAATCCCAAGGCCCACCACGAGGTCCCAAGCACTCGTTTCCTTGCGATGGTCCTCTCTGAACAACACCACGGCCGAACAGAGCGCGTTTAGCTGTCGTCCCGTTTAAGCCAGCCTGCTTGAAGACAACGACGGGTACCCCTGCCGCATTGCAGGCCTGATCATGTGCTAGCAGCCGACACCAGGTGCAGAATCCTCCCCGGCCTGAGAGAATTCTGTGATTGGGCGTTTTTGCTGCTTTCTGCGACGCTGTCGTGCACGACGCAGGAGAAGCTCTATGCGGGTGAGGAGTGGCATGCTTGTCGCTCTTTCCCGCGCACATGCCCAACCAGACCCACGTTTGTGGCTCATGCAACTGGGTCGACGACCTGCCCCTTCGAATCCACTCCCGTCGGTGCGTGTCATCTGCATGCACTCGCCGCCGGCCAGCGTCGGCTGCCCCGTTCCCCGCACGAGGTGGCGGGGCCGCCTGCAGTCGGCAGATGCGGTGCTCACGACCGTCGGCAGCTGCGCAGACTGCAGGATTCCTAGTGGTGAGTGTGTTGGGTAGGTGGTACCAGATGAATTCGTTGAAGTCTAGGGGGGCATGGCTCGGAGTGGGTGGCTCCCGGGACCGCGGGATTCTTCTTGAGCCCTGTTTCCAGCGACAGATCGGGAGCCGTTTCGAGATCGCAGATTCCACAGCTCGCCTAGAAAAATCCACCAGCGCTTGCCCGCTGTGCCGCGTCCGAGCTGTCGGTTCCGAAGCCCAGGCAAAAGCAAAACCAGCACGGCGTGCGACCTTCGCTTGCAGTCTGCCGCCGGTGCCTGACGAAAGCGGTAGCGGCCAACCTCGTTGCAATTCGAGTCCCGTGACGTCGTCAGCCGGCTCCAGTCGTGTGGGTGAGAACGGGTGCTTGCATCTCGGGTTGGCGTGTGCACCCTCCCGTTCGTTCCCCTATCGCCGACCCTGGTGCCCCTTGGCCTGGTGCCTTGATTGGAAGAGGCTCTCCGCGGCCCCTCCAGGGCCTCGCAGTCTTTTGCGGCTCCGCAGCCATGGCCTCATCTTGTGCATCGATATGAAATTGCGTGTGCGCCAGGGCAAGCAACGGGCGCACTGCTGCTCCTGGCCAGTTCGGGTCCGTACGTACCTTTGTACTGTGTAAGTCGCTGTGGTAAGACCAGCAGTCCCTGCCAAAGCCGTCGTTATTCGCCCTGTTATGACCAGGTAAGGCGGATACGTAGATCGAAAGAGTCGTGAACTCCGCACATGCCTGCGTAACCTCCCATGCATACATAGACTTTCGCATGCATTGCTCTTGAGAGCGTGAGCTGCTTCCTGCAAAGCATCCCTAGCTGATGACCAGGCCTGCAGGGATCCTCACAATTCACAGTCTCTGAACACGACGTCCCTGCTCTTCCATGAAGCTGATGCTAATCTCCGGACACACCGGAGCAAACACCACCTGCGACTGGAATACGCCACTGGCAATTTCGAGCTCGCCTGCCTTGCTTCTATTGACGGATTCAATAGCATCAACCAGCTCCGATCTTTTGCCTCTGCTAGACAGCCGGTCAATCAACAGCCTTTTCAAGCTTGCTTGGGTCCAGTCCAGATATCCCAACACGCGGGGCATAAAAGAAAGTGGCACTCTCAGTTTGAGCCACTGCTTCTTGGGGTGCTTCAAAGCATTTTCAGAGATCTAAGCGTGATGGAAACTCTCTACCTTGGGCTGTTTGAAAAGTCATCGATGCCCTCCACGCAGTGGCAGACAAGTGTACACACAAGACGACTTTTGAGTGTGCCACTTTTTTCTCACCCAACGTGCCCAAGTTGTGGCAGATGAGAGTACCTGTTCCACATGACACTTGATGCTCGATACGACAGCTGCCCTAGACGCAAAGTCAGGCGCCGGACATGCAGTAGCCTGTCATGGTGTTGTGCATCTGTAATCCCAGCATGCAGCAGTCCCTCAGCAGGGCTGGCTGAAAAGGCGTTAGGCCACCCTTCCATTAAAAGCTGGGCTATCGAAACGGGTTGACAGGATGCCAGCATGACAGGCGCCCTGCATGCATTCAGTTCGTCACGTCGCTCGATGTCAGCCTTTTAGAGCATCTTCCTGCGTCCGGTGACCTAGCGCGGAAACTGAGTCGACCCCTGTAAATTTCCTTTTTGGGCTATTGAAGCGGTGGCTTGAAGACTCATTGGCTAGGGAGATGTTATTCCCCCCTAAAGGCGTTCGGAATTGGTACCTTATACGGTAATTTTGTGGCTTGATTTCCGCGCTAGGTCACCGGACGCAGGAAGATGCTGTATCGGAGTCGAAGGATGCATTTTGGACAGAGTTTAGCCACCGGCCGCTCGAAACGAACAAAGAAACGAAAGGCGCGCCCAAAGAAGATGACCGAAATTGCAGGGCAGAGGCCATGATAGGCAAAGCTGCTGCATGTGGTGTTGTGGGTTCAACCCGCCAGAGCAGGCAACGGCGGCATCCTTTGCAAATCTGCAAATTGCACGCTGCAAGCCATGCTGGAAATGTCAAGGTTTTTCCAATTTTCATTGGTCCAGTGCGCCATTCTTTGACCCGCACTGTCCTCTCTTCATACCGACCGCAGACTCCACATCTTACTCTGGAGGCGAGGGCGTGATGCTGCGGCTGCAAGCTCCTCGATGCTTTGACCCTGCTGTGTGGCGCTCGCACCGGCACGTCGCGGAGCGCGCGGGATGGCGGTTGGCGGCGCGTGCGGGTGCACGTTTGATGATGCCAGAAATAACATCGGACTGAGGATCCTGACTCAGGTGACGAATTTAAGGCTTGTGTCTTGTGGAGCGCCAGTTCGTTGGGAAACGCCTCATGTTTGATGGGCTGTGATGAACTGTGATGGCCTCGCATTGGGTAAAGGCCGTGGGATTCTCTCAATCGGGCATTCCGGGATGTAGTCGATGAAGCTGAAGCGTGAAAGGATGGGAGATGGGATGGGAAGACGTTTGGTCAGGGCGGTATCAGAAGGCAATTTTAGCCGAAAATGCCAAGCCTTGCGAAGTAATGAGCAATCCAATACCACGACAGTAAGATACATATGTTGACGAGAGGATTTTATAACAACTCTAGTTCACGTTGTATAGACTTGTATATGTGATGTGGTTTCCTAGTAGTGCAGGGAAGCTGCTGGAAATGCGGCCAGCCAGTGCACCAAGACTTCTGTCCAGACATCCTTGGGACACGCGGAAGATATCGTGTATTAGATGGTAGGGAGAGTCATCCGTCCATTTACTGTTGCTACTTTCCTTGTTAAAACCTATAAAGTCATCGATCATCCATGTTAACGTCTGTATGGAGGCTTGTTGGCTATTCATGCGCGTCATGCTGTTTCTAAGTCATTTGTCGTGAAAACAGCAGCGATGATGCTAGTGTAGAACGTGACGACAAGCTCACCCCGACGACAAGCACATCGTGATGATAAGCATACCCTAACCATGCATGTGTGGGATGAAATAAATACCATGTCGAAGATCGAACCTCGTCTACAAAGCGAAGGGTTCCGACTCCTCCATCAACAAACTCTAAACTGTCTCCGTACCGGACTTCCACCTAAACTTCTTCAGGCCCTTCACGCCAACATGGATCTTGAACACGCATCCAGCCATCGTATCCGGGTTCTCGTCGCCTCCTGCTGATGTGATGACGAGGTCCTCGCCAACGAAAGCAGGGCACGTGACGTTAGGTGTTGGGCATGTAATTTCTACGGCGACTTTGCCTTCAGGAGATATCCTGAGCACCTTACCCGAGCCGTGGAAAGCACTCCACATGTAACCCTCTTCGTCGATGCAGTGACCGTCTGGTTCCGCATCCAGGTTCTCAGCCCATCTGAAAAAAACGCGGCGATTCGAGATGGCGCCGGTCTCCGCATCAAAATCGAAAATATAAATATTCCTTGTGGGCGAGTCGGTGAAGTACATGTGTTTGTCGTCAGCGCTCCAGGTAGTGCCATTTGGGATCGTGACGCCTTCGAGGATGCGGTGGAGGGACATGTCTGGGTCGAGGCGGAACAAAACACCTTACTTTGTTAGTACGTTCTATGTCCTATTCTGCTATTGATGCTGTTGGTATAATAAGCAACAAAAAGGACGGTATGAACCTACCTTCATCAATAGGATCTTTGACCAGAGGGTCATCCATGAACCCCACCCAGAACCTCCCTCGACTATCAATCGCCCCATCATTCGCCCGCATGCGCTTATCCTTACCATCCTTCAGCTCCTTCTCACTCCATACCTTCTTAATGTATTTGTACGACGCCGTCTCGCGATCAAAGATGCCATAGCCATGCTTTCCACCAAATATCAAATCCTTGTCATTGCCCTCGATATCGCCCGTCACCCCGATCGAGACATCTAGAGATGCCGCGACCTTATGCGATGCGGACCCTTTGGCGAGGTCGACGGTATGTAGTTCTTGTTTGATGATGTCGACAAAGCGTAGCGTATTCGTCTTCTCTTCCCAGAAAGGCGCCTCGCCCAACCCACAGGAGAGCTTGAGCCAGGGCTGAACACAATATCAACCGCATGCAGTTTGAGGATCCTCGGAAGTTAAACTCACCTCTATAATCGTGTACTTCCTGATCTCACCCATTGCGTCGACAGGTGCTCTAGAAGAATGCGGTCGCAGCTTCGTCGTCGAAAAGACTTCTGCCCCTCTAGACCTTCCGCGTCGTCGGTCCATAGCTTCCGACACCGCGTGCCCCATTTTGGACACCAGATGCCGGTTATCGGCCTGAGAAATCATTTCCCGCGGGGCCTCAAAGACTGTCGTAAGCGGTACGTATTTGCGCAACAAATAGCGTAGAGGAAACTCCACAGCCTGGCATTTTGTGCTTATCGTCGTTCCAGGTGGTCGAAATGGTGGGTCCAGGGCTGATTGGGTGATTGTACAAACCAAAGCAGGAGAGGAGCGGTGCTGGGGAATCGGGATTGCGATCCGCGAACCTGGGGGCCGACAGAAGGCTGTAACGGGTGTTCCGATTGTGGCCTTAGGCATTAAGTATACCCCAACTTTTTGATATCACGCTCACCGATACTTCGCATTCTTTACGAATTATCGAAACTGACACTTCCAGATACCATGTCACCGATCATCTCACTGAGTCATTCTTTCGCAGAAAGCAGCCGTATCATCGTACCACCATAACTCATTGCCGCCGTGATACTCGAACCACAGCCACATGCTCCCGCACTTCGCGCCCTTTGCGTGCTCAGATTGCAAGGCCGTGGCACTGGAAAGTATTGGGATGCATGCTTGTCATGGGCCCTAGTAGAATGAACCATGGTTGCATGTCTGTCACTTGCATGGACCATGTGCGACATCAAATTCGGTGACACAACGACCAGATCTAGGAACCACGCTTCAGGGTTGTGGAAGCGTGGCAGCAAGGTATATACACGTGTGAAGTCTTGAGTGGGAAGCCATGAGCGGCATAGAAAGATCCCGAGATTGGCGAGGTCACATGTGAAAGGTGCCTATGACAACTCTTCCAAGGTGAAAGCATTGGGTTGGCCATAATCACTTCGCAGCTCTCTCGACAGCCACTTCTATTATATCATGAATCGCCTGAAATTTTTCTCATTTGCATTCTTCAGTAATTTAAAGCCTATCTGAATATCTGATACCATGACAAAGCGGCTCAGACAGCGGAAACCACTACACTCATACCTTTCTCCAGACGCTGTACTATCACGGCACATAAGGACTTCCTTTCCCAGTAGCCCATCTCAACACCACCAACGGAACAACCAGCGTAACAAAGGAACTAACCTCGAAAACGACAAGCCAAGCGCCAAACCTCGCCGACTCGAACAACCATCTTGGCACCGATTCCTTGACTCTATAATCCAGTCTCGCATCGTACTCTTCTGATGTATTCCATTTATCCACCCAAGCCTTCCCTTTAGAACTCTTCGGCCTACCCAACAGCGGCGACACTTCTGACGCATCTTCTAGATCCAACCGACCATTCCCTTCGATATACGGCACCTGAGGCTCCGTCAACCTGTCAAGACGAAACCAGCGCTCCATAATGTTAAGACTAGTCAGAGGCGGTTTGCCACCCCAGTACGCGATCAAATTTGGCCAACCAGACATGAGCAGGATCGGCCATGTGAGTGGTTGTCTGCCGCCTGTGGACCACTGAATGACGAGGCCCATGCCGGGATCTAACGAATCTTGTAAGCAGCTGTGACAACACCGGTATAAGTGGGGTTTGGGTATGCTCGTACCATACGTCCAGTATCCCATATACGTGCAAAATCCATCTACTATAATATCAAAGCTGTAGTTCAGCGGCAGCGACAACACGAGCACCGCTTGCAGCAGCGTCAATCGCTTAAAGTAGCGCTGCAGGATAGGCGCAAGCTGCATGAGCATGGCAGAGTGCGCCGTCCAGTAGACGGCGTACGAGAAGGGGACGAAGACTGGATCGTTGGGAGCCTTTAGGGGTAGCCACTCCAGGAGATGATGTCTCATGAAACGGGGGCTGTAGATGAGATGTTGGCCCTACATCATATTAGCACAAGGCAAAAGAGAGGGAAATAAAATGAGCACATACTCAGTCTCCAATCGTTTCCATCCAATAGCAGATCAGAGAAGTGGAAAGGAACAGGAAGCCATAGGTCAGGCGGCGGTTGCGAATGCTGTTGGCAATCGAAAAGCTGATGATAAGACTGCCTCCGATAATATTGACGAGCTCGAAAAGGCGATACGCAGGAGGGTTCTGGATGGAGGGAGGCGTGGGTACGCCGGCCCAACGATCGTTTATGGCTGGTATGAGTGGTAAGTACGGTCGAGGAAGCAGAGCCATGATCTTACTATAAGCATCCATCTAGCCAGTATTGGAGCACGATTAAGGTAAAATTGGTGTCAATGCAGGTTACAGGAACTCCAGGGTCGAATGGCGTAGACGCTACGGAGACGGGGAGGCTGATATAAGTATACCCCACACTCTTCTCCGAATTTCGCGCAGACTAGTTCGAGTCGAAGGTATGTCAGATACACCGTAGAACACCTTAGTTTTCTAACTGTCTGCATAGTAGTCTGTATACAATCTTGTGGAAAGTCAGTTATTGAATTTAGCTGCACGTGACGACAAGTCATTTTTACACACTCATCATCTCGATCCCCGCTTCGATTACCCCACGCACCCTCCAGACTGATTAGACTTCTTAGACGACTTCTAAGTCACTGCCTAGTCTTCAGTAGGTGGGCTTCAGGTTGTCTGGCCTCCGTAGTCTTGGTAAGATGCCCCTCGATATGTTGGTGAATTATGCCCGCTGATGAAGCTTCTCATAGACAGACGACCTCCACTCTCGCAGTACTCAATCAACTCCTCGGTCGTTCCCCGTATTCAGGTATCAGCATCCCACAAGCACGCTTGCAGATATTATAGGAAGTCTCGTCTGGGCTACAAAGAATCTATCAGAATGCTGTGCCAGCCCGAGGTATCTCTAGCTTCAAACTCACCACTACTAGTACGCATGAACGGGTATTTGACTGCCATAGCCGGACTCAACTTCCACTTATCAGTATTCGAAATACAATACTTTGCCGTGAATTGCGCTTGCAGCTCCCGAACAAGCCCAGCGTCAAGATGTCTAGATCCTGCGCTCGTAGCAGCACTAGTATCAAGTCTCTTGCTGGTAATATCAATTTCAGCATCCATCTCCTCCTTGATCTGCGCTATTGCTGCTGCTGGCTGCATAGAAAGCTCTTCCGGAGTAAAGTTCGTGCGGATAGACATGTTCGTGTCTACTGCAAATTCCAGGCTCCGGTGCTTATCATCACCTTCGTACGACACCTGGCGATCGTGAAAATCGGCGGTAACGATCTTCTTTCGTGTCTCGAGAAACAGTGCACGCATGAATACCGCAACGCCTAAATGAGGTAGTTCGATGACCACGTTTTCCAAGATATCTTGCAACACGTCCCCGGCGTCGATGGTATCCTTCCGAAAAAGCACCTGGTCACGTAACTCAGGCCATGGTATGAAATCAAGCCAAGGAGAGTAGCGAGTCGTGCATATGACGATGGATTGGAGGTCGGTAGGGCGGAACGGTCGGCGGATTGCTTCGCGGTTTGCAGAGGTGGGCTCGAGGCGCCACCGGACAATAGATTCGTGGAGTCTTCCTTGACCCTAGGATATACGTGAGTAAAAGGAGTATAACTTGTGATGCAGGAGTCCCTACAATACATTGTGCGTATTCCTCTAATTGGGTCCAGGAGAAGAGAACGCGTACGGCTGCTGCTAGCAAACTTTTCCAGAGAGCTTCTGTTAGTTGCTGCATCTGGGAGATGTAGATGGATAGCACCTGCTCGAAGTTCTCCATGACAGATGAAGACTTGGAGGAGATACTAAGGCCAGGGCTACATGCCAGGTCCGAGGGTTGAGGCTCGGTGTGTGGTTCAGCCGGTTGATTGGTGTAAGATTGGAAGAAAGGGGCCTCATCATGTAGTAGATTTTGTTGGGGAGATGGATTTGATTGCAGAAGTATCTCGTGAGCCATCATCTCGTGGAAAGAAAGTTGGCTTTCAGTATTGTAAGACATCTCTGGTATATGCGTTTCAATGCAATGAAGACTAGGGTCAATTGGCTGGCTAAGGTCGCCGACGGGTTTTGGAACCAGGTCATCCGCGGCACTAAAGCTGAGAGCATCAAGGCATTGGCGAGAGTGGTGAGAAGCTTTGGTTAGGGTAGGGACGGTTGCGCTTGAGGTTATAACAGGAAATGTGCCTGAACCTTGTCCCGTTATGTTGTCCCGGACTATGCTTTCGTAAAACTCCTGGCGAGAACCACCAAAGTGCGCCGATGAGGCTTGAAACTCCTGTTTTCGCAGCCCAGAGGGTGTGATCTCTAGATAAGCAGTAGATTCTGCAGTTTCTGAAGCCTCTCTATCATCTGCCTGGAAGTTGAGTTTCTCATATATAGCATCACCTGCATAATGCGCTTCATCAGCTTAGCCCTCGAATCCCACAACACAACACAACACAACTTACCGGCACCATCCGCCGCATGCGTGCTCAAACTGATCATACTCTTTCTCATCCTCAGTAAACTCTGCTTGAGTTTCGCATTCTCATCCAGGACCTCCAAAAACGTCTTGGTAAGCTTCGGGTTCTTCTCCATAAAGCTCGCATCATCCTCGCCTGCATCTTCCTCATCAACAGCAGACCTTATCCGATCGACAAAGGACTCGAGCTCCCGTATGCGCGCAATCTGTTTCTCACGAGCGTGCTGCTGCGCGATGCGGTTCTGAACCCTCTTGCGCTCGACCTTGGATTCCGCGGCTCCTGTGGGCGGTTGTGAGGTCTTCCGACGGGTAGTCATGGCTGATGAGCGATGTTGTGTAAGTAGAATTTGGTTTATTATAGCTGCAAGTGAGTTGATTTGAGGTGTAAGTGTAGAGTGTACGTCGCCCTAGACCGCACGAAGCTGCTAGGTTCTCCAGCTTTTCCGGCAGTTCGGAATTGCCGGCGTTGGGCCAGAAGGTGGGGTACACTTCAAAATCCGGGGTACATGCATTTTGATATGGCGACTACGCATTGGTAGCTTCTATACGCCTATAAGATGTGGGATTGGCTAGCTACGGTGGTAGTTAAGAGTTTTGAAGTTGGAATGTCAGGGTTTCAGTTCGATGTCGCTCGAGATGATCCTTCGGAAAGATATATATATATATATATATATAGGAGAACAAATGCTTGCTGATTAGTGATGAGACGTATAGGGTTCGGCCTTGAATGCTGCCAGATATTGAGTAGAAGTACTAAATTCGGGCCGCTCTATGAGAGATATGGTTGAGTGAATATTCAAGATCACGCGAGTTTCACGTGACAGAAGTACCATCCATCAGCGACTTGCCACGCGGGGCATGGAAAAGGTGGCACACTAATTCTAGAACAAGCTGTCTCGTGTGTACACCTGTCTGCCACTGTTTGGGTTGCTTAACGTATTCTCAGAAATCTAAAGAAGATAGATGCTCTTCACCTTGGGCTATGTGGAAATTTATTGAAGTTGATGAGTGTGCCACCTTTTTCATGCCTAGCGTGTTTACAAAACACATAGCTGGATGTGTCTCTCCACCCTCGGTAAAAATTTGGGCCAGAAAATATAAAGTGGAGGACAGCTGGTGGAGGATACAAAGGATTACAGGTGGTCAAATAGCAATAAGATTCGCCCCTAGCAGTAACGTGCCGACATCGGGATCTATCTGCCTCTTTTCCGCTCACCGCTCGACGACCCTACGGTTTGCAATCTATTCTTGTCATTTGAATGCCGCATGCTGTCGAGAGCTCGAATTCTCGACCTCGCTATCATCGGCCCAGATGCGGGATGGCAGCAACACAGCCCATCCGCAGCTCGGTACACCGATGCGGCTGATTGGACATGACTTCGTATTTCCGCAACCCGGCCAGTTTCGACATGTAGCCCTGCTAGAAAGCGCGGAGTGGAGAGTTCGGGGCCTACTTGGCAATCTGGGGCTGAGAGCCTCACCGGCCCCTGATTCGGCCAGTTCACACCACAACACCATGACGCGAGCCATTCACACATCGTGCAATCCGCCACTCGCCTCGTATCTTCCTGACAGCGGCCTCAATTGGCTCGTTTGCTGCAAAAGCGAAGTTTCATCACAAGAGCGCAGAGGTGCCTTGTCCAGAACCTCCACAGCCAAGCTCGCGCACCTCGTCGATATACAGCTGAAGCCTGAATTTCTTGGCCGAGGAGAGCCTAACGGCTGCTCTGTATTTATCATGCCGTCTTCTTGCCCCCATCTGCCGCGCAATTATACCAGCTTCTGCACCACTGTTGTCCATCATGAAGCTCAACTGTGTTGCCGGCCTGTTGCTGGCAGCTATTGTCTCCGCATCACCTTTCGTTTCCCGCGGTCAGCCTACCTGCAAAAACCTTAAGGCTGATGCTAACAATGGAGGCCGCAAGATTGGCATTGTCATTGATTCGTCCGGTTAGAATCCCTTCGATATGTGGACAGACTCATCAAGCTGATTCAATCTTGAAGGTTCTATGTATGATACGGATCCTTACAATCTTCGTATTCTCGCGGGACAGCAGATCAACGACTGGCTTGTCACCTCCAAAGAGGCCAGTGGTAGCAGGAAGGAGGATTTAGTCACAGTGGTGGATTTTGACGATGTCGCAACTCTTCTGTATCCGCTGGGAGACCCGTCAGGCGCGGGCGATACCTTCAAGCTGATCGATTCCATGGGAGGTACATTTATTGCTGCCGGCGTCGATATGGCGACAACCGAGCTCACTAAAGGCGGCCACGATCCCACGTCAAATCGATCCGGAATCGTCGTTCTGACTGACGGATCAGACTCCGATACTGCCACGCTGATCGACTCCATCAACAAATGTGGGCAACTCGGAATTCGTGTTTCTTTCGGGTTCCTGGCCTACGATGCATCGTATCAAGACCCAGAGGTACTAACGGCCATCTTGGGAACCGGCGGGATGTATGCGACCATTGATGGCGCAACGGCGCAGAACTCTTTCGTAAACTTGATGATCGTTCATGGTCTGACCGGTAAGGACAACCCTTCACCAAGCAGTGCCACTACCCTTGTCAATGGCCTCTCTATTGCATCCGTCATGGATAGCTCTGGGTCAAATACCTTGACATATACGGCAGAAGCGAAGGAGAAGCTCACGTTCTCGATCACGAGCGTAAATGCCGGAGATCTCACCGCCACGGCTAATGATGCCAACGGGAAGACACTTGGCACGACGACCATATCTTCATACGGCTACTCCGAAGACCTAGTTGTAACTGCGGTATCAGACGGGGACTTACAGCTCAAGATTTCGGGAGACTCGGGCCAAAAAGGCGCACTGTTCATCGTCGGCGTCAACTCCTCCATTTCCATTCAGAATTGCACTCTAGCTTCTGGGCGCTCGTCCGGTCTTAGTAAAGGTGCAAAGGCCGGAATTGGCGTTGCAGTACCGTTGATCGTGGGTCTTCTCGCTGCTGGGTCATTCTTTTTGTGGAAGTACTGGAAGAGTATTCCTGGTATCGGGGGCTCGGGGGCAGCCTACACATCAAACCCCCCGCCTATGGGGGATCCGTCTCCTCACAAGCAGCCCATGGTTCAAACGGACCCCTATCATCCGAACCATGCTGACTCGAATAACATCCCTCCTCAAGCCGATCCACATTCCCCGCCAAATCAAACGGACCCCTATCATCTGAACGATGCCGACCCGAACAACACCCCTCCTCAAGCTGATACAAATGCCCCCCCAAATCAAACGGACCCCCCTCCAAACCAGAATGGCACCGACCCCTCCAATCAACCTACCAACAACCCCTCACACCACCCCCACAAACCCCCTCGTTTCCGTCTCTTTAGTCGCCGACGAAGGAACAGCAACGAGCAGCAGCAGCAACCTCAATCCGGCCAGCTCCAGTTCAACCACACCACCAGTCCCGTGGCTTCGCCGCCGCCAGCACACGTATATCCAGCGCAAGGGCAGCAGTATCAGCAGCAGCAAACCGCCCAGCACTACGAACAGCAACAAGCACAGTTCCAGCCACAAGTCCAATTAGAGCAACAGCAGTATTTCCAACACGGCGATGTGCCGCAGCCGTATTCCCCTGTTGGCTCGCCACCACCACCGCAGCAGCAGCAGCAGCACCTGTATTCTCCAATAGGCTCGCTACCCACCCCGCAGCAGCCGTATGCGTCCCCGGTGCAGGGCTATGCAACACCTATTCCCGTTCCTGCTCCAGCATCTCCTCAGCCTCAGCAACAGCAACGGTATAATGTCAGCCCCGTGCTATCGCAGGCTGAGCTAGCGAGCCCAGCCCCGGTTCGTCCTGAGGTCCATCGAAGGCCGGTTGGTGGGGAGGGGCAGTAGTGGCGAGAAGATACGTGTAGAAGTTTAAAGGGACAATGCCTCGTCATAGAAATCCGTACACCTGCCTGCCACTGTCTATGGGGCTTCAACATACTAATAGAAGCGGATACGCTTCCAATCTGCGTACACTCTGTTGACGCTGTCTGGGATAGCCTCATGAGTTTACTAGTTGTCCAAAACGCCTGACTTCTCTCTTATTCGGTATGTGGAAAATACTATGAAGCTCTTCATGCAGCGGTAAACGAGTGTATAGATTTCTGTGACGAGGCATTGGAGCATGATGATTGATTTTGCAAGAGCTTTTAGAACGCGATATGATGCCGTTTGTAGTTCGCAGTCTTTACCTGTCCTCTGTTTGGTTTGGAGATAGCTCTTTGAGAATGATTGGGTAACACCTGAACTAGAAGGGTCGTTACGGGATAAACAAGTGGGGCAGACATAGGAGATTTGTTGGTAATCTTATTTCGTTTCTTAGACCAACCGTTGAAAACGATGAGATACCCATCAAGGATGATCTCCCACGCTAGCAAATGATTGCATACCGATACAAAAATCACAGCAGACCAACCTCAGCATACAATAAAGCTCTATGCCGCGACTTCACTCAATCCTCTTCTTCCCTTCCTCCAAGAAGCCCAGCCTGGCGTCACTCTTGCCTCGCTCGTGTCTACCTACCAGCGGGCCTATCACAGGATTCTGTTGGACGTGCGTTAAGGCGTCCTGGTAGCCCTCGATGCCCCATGGTGGTGTATTAAGTTTAGGCCAGTTCACCTGAGACATCGTTAGTTCTAACGGTTTCACAATCTGCGTTAGCGAGATGAAAGCCGAACTCACGTAAAGAGTGCCATGCGACCAAATGAAATTCAGTGACGCCGCCGCCACACCAAGGAAGATAAGCATGAGTACCCTCAACGGCCAAACGGTAGCATCAGGGGCTCTGCGGGTAAGCGAGCCTACGAGGACAAAGAAGATGCTGGCAGCGAGGATATAAGGGATTGACTGGATGAATAGCGGCCTCCGATCAACGAAATGGAGCATGCTGCCGATGCCAGAGTCGGAAGGCAAATACGTTCCCAGGAACAGATCGAAGCCATCCTGGCGTGGCCCGTCCATGAAGTTGTTCTTGACATATCTGGTGATTGAGTTGTTGAGATCTTGGAGCATTCCTGCCTTGGTGCGCTGGCCTGTCCGTGTGAAATCAGTCTTCAGGGCGCCGGTGCCGGAATACGACTTCGAGACGACATCGGCGTTATCAGCCCACATGTTGCGGAAGAGGAACTCGAATGCGGCGTCGTCCTCTGCGTTCTCGCCTTCCTTAATGATTCCAACGTCGATGAGCATGCGGCTAAGGATATACCGGCCGAGCATACTCTGGACAACGTTGGTGCGGTCGAGACAGTCCATGCAGTTGGTGCGAACAACAGCACTCTGTTGGCGACGGACTTCAACGCGAGCGGAGTCGCCTGGCATATCCACGCCGCGGAAATAGCCATGTTTTAGGACAGGGCCCTCGATTTGCTGCATCAATATCTTGGCGCGATGCCACTGAAGTCCCTTGGTCTCGTTGTGGAAATCGAAGTAGACATAGTGGAGGCGATCGAAAGCTTGCTTGTTCTCGTCTGGCTCAACAACACGGAACTTCTCGTCTGTGGCGCTATCCGATTCAATCTTTTCAGACGACGTTCCGACGAGGAGGTTGAACATTTGCTCATACGCTTCTTTAACCCTCTTCTCGCGACCTTTTTGGTTGACTAGATTAACAAGCCAGTTGTCACCATAGAGCCGAATCTGCTCTGCAAAATGCAACTTTGCGGCATTGGTGGCGCTCTCCACGCCTCGGATCTGTAGTTTCGGGGTATACTTCAGGGTGTTGACTTCAGCCCAGTAAGCAGGTACGCTTCCTCTTGTTTGCACATATGCAAGGACCTGGACTTCCTTCCCGGCGGATCCACCTATTTTGCCGTTTTGATATCCACCGCTGCCCTCGAATCCTCCGAGACCTCCGGACGCGTGGTCATTGAGAATGATGATCTGCTCGGTCTCGTTGAAGTTTGAGACGTTTCCGTTGTCATCCAAACCACGAGAGAAGTACCGGGTGCCGGCCCTATGTCTTGATCTCCTCGTGATTAGGATGAAGGTCAGAGGTGTTCCTTTGATGGACGTGTTCTTGATCTCCATCATCCCGTACATGACGGGCAGAATATAGGGGTCTACGGCTGGCTGCGGCCCGATGGAGTGTCTGTATCCATAACTGCTACCACCACCAGCTCGGAAATCTATCAAGTCGGTTTGCACGAACTTGTTCCAGAAGAATCGATCGTCGGCGCGTTTCCAGAAAGGCGTAGACGAGTCGGTCTGCGCTTGTCGCTGGAAGCTGTTTGTGACGTCGAACGAATACGAGAAGTAGAGAGGCGAAGTCTTGAGTAGAGTCTTAAGCAATGTGAGATACGTGTCCTCGTCATGGTCGTGCAGAGGGCGTTCGCGGAGAGGCAAGAACTCGGTGGTGATGACTTTGTAGATCATATGGCCCTTGATCCTCCCCATAGGCTGTGCTTTTGTGATTACAATGACATATTTGTCTACGAGAAGAGGTAAGTGAAAATAAGAGTAGTGGATCCACTGTCTGTACCTAATCGAAGCTTGATTATGCCCAAGATGCCAGCTATGCTTGAAACGCGCTTCGAGCCCAGCAGCTTCCCATCATGCAACCTGAGATCTCCAGAAGGCCGGTCGACAACCAAGGTCGGCAAAGAGGGCGACGAGGGGGAGGAGAATGCGTAGTGGGACGGAGACGAATGGACGTTGATATCCCGGTAGGGCAGGGCTGTAGCCATTGCAGCGGAATCCTCGATTGCCTGAGGGCTCTTCACAGCTACAAGGTAGTCTCGCGACGAGATATCCGCAATATGCCCTTGGTGAAGTGTTAACGCAAGGGAAGGTTGAGCGTATGGGCGGTGTTTTGCGTGCTAAGTATTTACTACGGCCAGCCAGGGATGACGACAGCAAGGCAAGAGGCGACCTGGGCGGCGGAGGAGCGAAGCGCCAAGAGCTCCCGGGCCATTCATCACAGGGCTGGCAACCTTTCAGCCACCGCTTGACACCTTTCATCGTCCACCGACAGCAACCCGAAGACTCTGACCCCGACGGCCCTCGCTCCCGCCGACGTACTCACCCCCGCACCCGTTTGCTACCCGCCTGCTTCAGCACCTCCGCGTCCGACGGCCACCTCGTTCCCTCCACTCCACACCACCAACCATGGCCGCGCGGATCCAGCAAGGCGCCCGCCCTGGAGGGACCCGCTTCGCACAGTTCAAGCTGGTACTCCTAGGTATGGGCGCAAGGAGGACGAGCATTTCCGAGAACCTCCGCTAATAGTTGTATAGGTGAATCCGCCGTAGGAAAGGTTCGTTGAACGGCTATCAAGGCAGCAGTTCACAAGTACTGACGGTAATACCAGAGCTCGCTCGTTCTACGGTTTGTAAAGGTCAGCGGAGCCCTCGTGTACACGCCTATTCCGAGCGCACATGCTAACAGCCACCAGGACCAATTCGATGACTACCGAGAGTCGACCATCGGCGCCGCTTTCCTCACCCAGACCATCGCCCTCGACGAAACCACCACAGTCAAGTTCGAGATATGGGACACCGCCGGACAGGAGCGATACAAGTCTTTGGCACCCATGTACTATCGGAATGCCAACTGCGCCGTGGTAGTTTACGACATTACGCAAGCAGTGTGTTTGGAAAGCTGTACCCCGTCCGAATAAACCCTTGCTGACCGCAGACAGTCCTCTCTAGACAAGGCGAAGGCGTGGGTCAAGGAGCTCCAGCGACAAGCCAACGAGAACATCATCATCGCCCTCGCAGGCAACAAGCTGGATCTAGTAACGGAGAGCCCGGATAAGCGTGCCATCACCACCGTCGACGCAGAGCAGTACGCCAAGGAAGCCGGCCTGCTGTTCTTCGAGACTTCCGCCAAGACTGCTGAGAACGTGCGGGAACTCTTCACTGCGATCGCTAAGAAGCTGCCGCTGGACCAGGCTGGCCCACGAAACATCAGGTCGGGCCCCGGCGGGCGCCAGGGCGTCAATCTGAGGCCAGAAGCGAACCAAGCGCAAGGTGCAGGAGGATGCAATTGCTAGATTGCCCCGAGAGGGTGTGGTGCTTGTGGTCTCATTGATATTCGTGGGTTCGATTCGTCTTGTGTGCAAACATTCTCCATATGGGCTTGGAGGAAGCGCTGCGGGAGAGGGAATAGGGTGGCTAGAAGAAGTCCCTCGATTCTCAGTGCCTTGTCTTATCTGTTTAGGCTGTGGTTTAGTTGGCTTATTGGGCCTGGAGCATCGGGCGCAGTTTTCTATAAGAGTTGAGGGAGTTCAATTCCGACAGATCCAGTAAATTCTAATGATTCCCATAGGATTTTTGACCTTGGTGTTGCTCTTAGTACCTAACTAATCACAGCTTTACGGGTTGACACCGTTTGAAGTGTGCCTAAGTGAGCTCCCACGGGCTTTCTAGTACACTTGAATACGACCCTCAAGGATCCGTTGGCATTGTGTCAGAGCACTTCAAACCATAAAAGACAAATTCTCATACTCTCAAGAGTCTGCCAAAGAGCCACAGCGCTCTCGACGTCAATGTCCTATTTCGATTAATTCCTCACGTGATCATTCTCTGAGCCAATCATGGCCAATATTTAAATTCAGCTTCATTACCATTGGTCATCGAAGACGGAAGTTATATCTGTCACGTCAGCTCGAGGAGACGAAGAAACTGTACGCTCAAATGCTCGCCGGGACCCATCCTTCGGTGTCAGTAGGGAACAGGGTAGCTGATTCTGTGCTGATGCCCGTACAGTTTGTTCGTTGTTTTCCAATGCCAGTAGAGCATCATTGGCGCTATGCTGCATAACGTTACCTGCCTCAACAGTTTAGCGCCCGGGTATTCCCTGTATACCTAGGTAACGTCATGCACGTTTCTTCAGCCCTCCCAATCATTGGCGAATAAATAGATCCCGCAACCTATTTCGTTACCACCTCTCGGAGCATCATCACGTTCCCGTGCCTCACAAGTGAATGAGAGAGAGGTTCCTGCATAAGTCGCCATGTTAAGTCCCTTTGAAACACTTTCCTCCCAACAATCTCTCTTTCTTATTCCCACTGCCTGGTTTCTCGGGATCTCTCCTCTTCTCCCATCGCAGCAATGCACACTTCAATCCTCTCTTTCATCCTCGCCCTAATCTTCGCCCTCTCCGTCAATGCCCACTGGAAAGCACCTACCCACCACAACGGCTACCTGAACTACACCACCATCCCCGGCCTCTTCCTTCAAGACTCCCCCACCACCAACGCCTCCACCTTCAACTTTACCGCCTCAAACTTCGGCCTCATCCCCCGCCGCTACCCAAGCGACAGCACCTGGCCCAACCCTAGCCCCGGTGCAGGCAAGCCCACCCAATGGCAGCGCCTAACCCACCACATCACTTCCCTAAACACCCACTCCCCCCCAAACGTCCGCTACGCCCTCCTCTACCTCGGCCGCCACGGCGAGGGCTACCACAACGCCGCGGAAGCCTTCTACGGCACGCCCGCCTGGAACTGCTTCTGGGCAGAGCGCGACGGCAATGGCAGCGTCGTGTGGGCGGACGCTGAGATCACACCAACTGGCGCGCAGCAAGCGCTTGCCGTGAACGTGTTTTGGAAAAGCTTGATTCCGGAGGGCGTGCCGCTGCCGCAGAGCTATTACACGAGTCCGCTGCGGCGGTGTCTGGAGACAGCGAACCTGACGTTTGGGGGGTTAGAGTTGCCGCGCGGGCGGGAGTTCAAGCCGACGGTGAAGGAGGGGTTTCGGGAGGGGATTAGCGCGCATACTTGCGATAGGAGGGGGACGAGGACGGCGATTCGGGAGGCGTATCCGGGGTATGGGATTGAGGCGGGGTTTACGGAGGTGGATGAGCTGTGGGAGAAGGGGCATGCGGAGACGAGTGGGGATCAGGATTTGAGGAGTAAGGAGGTGTTGGATGAGGTGCTTGGGGGTGACGGGAGTACGTTTGTTAGTGTGACGAGTCATTCGGGGGAGATTGCGAGCTTATTGAGAGGTGAGTTGGGTCTTTTCGGAGGGGAAGTGGGCTAATGAGGTGTACAGTACTTGGACACCAGGAGTTTAGTCTCAGTACTGGAGCTGTGATTCCCGTGTTGGTGAAGGTGACGACGCTGAAGTCTGCGCCGGCGACTTCTACTTATGAAGCTTTCACGTCGGTGTCGACGTGTGCGATGGCGCCGACTGTTACGGCTGCGAGCTGTAATGACTGCTCTTGTTGCAAGTAAACGTGGGCTGGATTGGTGCATTTGAGCGTATTCGGGGTCTCAGAAGAACCTTATCTGAAACGATGGCTCTTCTACAGTGCCTTGCCATAGATATCCGTACACTTGCCTGCCACTCTTGGTGGGGCTCCAACTTATAATAGAGACCCGGACAGCTGTGTACACTGTACTGACGCTGTCTGGGGTAGCCTCGCGGGTCTAGTAGTTGTCCAAAATTCTGAACTTTTCCCTTGTTCGGAATACTAAAAATGCTATGAAACTCCTCACACAGCTGTAAACGAGTGTATAGATTTCTATGACGAGGCATTATATCTTCATTTCGTGAGAGAATATGACTTGCCTGGAGAAAAGTGCAAAACGCTAACAGTCATGATGGCGAGTACGAACACACCAAAAAAACCACGTTCTCCTGGCCATGAGGAAACCCGATAATTGACTAGACCCTTTAATTGCATACGGTAATGCAAATGCACCCAACCGCACTCTATTTAAACGCCGTCCGTACTCGAGATGACTAGTTCCATCCAATAATGCCTTCCGCGATGCGGGTCTCGCCAGACTGCGTCTCGGAAACAACAGCCACCCGACGCCCTACAATACCATCCCCTCCAACTTCGAGAGGAAGCCGCGGGGATATACCCATCTCGGCTCCGCCTGTCGTCTTCCACAGGTCTTCTGGCCGTACTGAGAACGAGTAGAGGGGTGTCTCGGCTACAGAGGTGGTTGGCGAACTCGACCGAGAAAGATCGCCATCATGGCTTTGAGATATCAGTATGAGCATCGAAAGATCTTAACAAATATGTGTCTGAGAAACACACGAAAGTATGGAGATTGGCACTTCGACTTACTGTATGTCCACCCTCGAAGCACGTGATGCAGTCATTAGATCCAGTCCCTGCGAGAACTGCACCATGGTCGAGTCCGTCTGCCCACTCTGGATATCGTTAAAGAACAAGTGCCATTTTTGGCTCGGTATCGCCTTGTGAGATGTCTTTGGGGAGTCGTATAGTGGATGAAGTATGGCGACTAGGCCGCCTTGACTGGTCCTCGATGATTCGCCGTTGCACATTGTGGGTTAAGTCGTGTTGGTTGGATGGAACCTTGAGAAGGAGAGTTGATTAGATGTTTGGCTGGATCATGAAGGAGATAATTGTTATATGTAATTGAGATGTGGAAGGCGGTGCAGTAGACCTCCGAGTGAGCAAGTTTGAGTGATTTGCCAAGACTTGGAGCATTACGGTATATCGCACTCACCATCACGGTACCTACCGAAGGCTAGATCAGTGACCGGGTTGTGCTGGATTTAGTGTGAAGCTGCGTGTCGCAAGTAGTAGGTTCCGAACACATGAGCACCTCTCTAGTCATGCAGTTGGGTTTTATGTGAGTAATGGCACGTTCAAAGCCTTTTCATTTCTCCTTGTTAAGCACTAAAAGAGTATCTTGGACTATTCCCCTCATTCTTAGCTCAGGCGCTAGGCCTATATAATGTGAATCGCTTGGACATGATTCCTAGAGACCAGCCTTCAGCGCCTTGAAGGCGTCTGCTTGCTTGCCCAGATAGCGCTCCTCCGCAGTCTTCCAGTTGATGACATTCCAGATATTCTCCACGTAAGCGGCCTTGCCATTGAGGTACTAGACAGCTATTAGCCCTTTACAAATCTCGACTTAGACATCAAGGCTCACCTGGAGGTAGTACGCATGCTCCCACATATCAACACCGAGGATCGGGACCTCACCCTTTCCGACGACTGGGTCCTGGTCCTTGGTCGTCACGATCGTCAGGCGCTCTTCCTGGCCAACCTGGACCTTGACCAGCCATCCCCATCCGCTGCCCTGGATGCCCAACAGAGTGGTCTTGAAAGCGTCCAGGAAGGCCTTCTCGTCGCCCCAGGTCTGCTTGATCTTTACCAGAAGCTTCGGTGCAGCGGATGACTTGGCCTCAGCAGAGCTAGCTGGGGCGAGGTTCTGCCAGAAGAGGGAGTGATTGATGTGGCCGCCGGCGTTGAAGCGGAAGGCCTGCTGCTGGGAGACCTGGGCTGGGATATCCGAGGACTGGATCGCTTCCTGCTGGGACTTCACGGCCGCATTGAGGTTCGTGACATAGGTCTGGTGGTGCTTGCTGTGATGCAGCTCCATGATCTGGGCCGAGATGTGGGGTTCGAGGGCCTGCGGGGGATCAGCAAACCTGGCACTGCCATTCTAGAGGCTGGTGTCTTTACATTGTAGGCATACGGGAGCGCCGGGAGGCTGTAGGTAGTAGCAGACATGACGGCGACGGCTTGAGGAGCCTCTGGCGTTCCTGGTGAAATGAAGTTGCCGAGCAGCGAGAGGATGCCGACGGAGGAGTTGAAAGCTTTCATGATGATGGCGTGATGATGCTCTTGCCAATCTAGCGATTGCGGACCAGCAAGGTGCTCTCCAGCTGCGCCTTCTGTGGCTGGCTGCTGACGGCCGTCTCGATGGGGTAACTGCCTGTGCCTGGAAACTGCCTCAATTGCGCTCGATCCAACGCTGGCGCTAAGCCCGCGATCCCGATGGCCAAAAGGATGCAAGAGTGAAATATGGAACGTGAGACGGTGAATTGAGATGAAGTATCAAGTTTTTTGATGGAATTGGACAACGAGTTGTGTCTGCTCTGACAGAAACACCAGCCTCAGAGGCGGAGGGTTGAATGGTGTCTATGGATCCTCACGGTAGTGGGGTTGGACATGGAGCAATCCAGAGCCAAGCGAGACGAACAGACACAGCAGCGATGGCTTCGCGATGGTTGCATCTCTTGCTGACAGCTTGTCAGCTTGTCAGACGGGAAGCTTTGATGTTGAGCTCTCACCAGTCTCACGTGACTAAGACTACGACTACTACCTCCTAGGATTTACCACTATCTCCGAGTCACTCATCTCGTCACTCCCACGGCTGAGCACGCAAGTCCCTCTTAAACAACGTTGTAGGTGTTTCCTTTCTCAGTTCTGTACGTATTCCCACATCATGTCTGCCCCGCTAGCCAACGTCGGCATCCTGTCCATCGGGAGCATGGGCTTGGGCATAGCCAAATTGCTCCAGGCCCACAACTACCGCGTCTTCACAAACATTGCAAATCGCAGCTCTGCAACCCAAGCGCGCGTGTCCTCGGCCTCCATCAGCCTGGTAAACACTGACACAGAGCTCGTTGCGCAATGCGACTACATCCTCTCCATAGTCCCTCCTCGAGATGCTGTAGTGACGGCCGGCCGCATCATCAGCGCTCTCAATGCGTCGCCAGCTCCACGACCAACCTCGGGCCACCCCCTCTACTTCCTTGACCTCAACGCGATCTCGCCTTCTACCGCTCGCGCTATCAATGCTACCTTTGAGTCCCAGACTCCGGCGTTGCGATTTGTAGACGGCGGCATCATCGGCGGCCCGCCCTCGGTCGCCTCAGACTCGACCTGGAAACGTCCTGGCATACCTATCTCTGGCCCCCACGCCCTCACTGCAGCCCCAGTCAACGGCAAGCATCTCGCAGATACGCTGAATACCGAATACGTATCCCCTACAATTGGCTCTGCGTCCGGCTTGAAGTGCTGCTTTGCGTCGATAAACAAGGGCATTGCCGCTCTCGCCCTACAGTCCTTCAGCACGGCATCCTCGCTAGAGGTTCTGCCACACATGCAGAAGTATCTCGAGGAATACAGTCCGGCGGTAGGGCAGCTGGCAGCGAGAGGCTTGGTGGGATGTCCCCCGAAAGCGTATCGATGGGTGGAAGAGATGAATCAAATCGGTTTGTGTTTCGAGGAAGAGGGAGGATGGGGTGCACAGGGCCAAGTTTTTGGAAAGGTGGCTGAGGTGTTTGATGTCCTCGGAAAAGTGGTGGATGAAAGAGGAGGGACGGAGGGGATGGGAAAACCAGAGGGCGTGGTGGAGGTTTTGAAGGGCAATTTACGTGGTAAGAGCAGAGGAGTTCCCGTTGAAGTCTTGGAGCAGGAAGATAGATAGAATTCGCCATCCAACGACGTAACCCCCATCCTTAGCCAACATTCACCCATACCAAACACTATTTCGCGTACTTAAGGTTTGTATAGCTTGCTCTTTAACTTGCCAGCACACCTACAACACTCTCACCACACCACAGCCCCTCTATCGCACCCACTTTTCTAGCTACATAACCTATACTTCCATTATGTGTTACGAAACCTGTTTCATCGTTCTCCGCGGGGATGTTTTCTCCTCTACACCCTCCTACTTCCCTGACGTCCCCCAACGTCCCGAACCCACCCCAGCGCCCCTCTTAACCCCCTTCTCCGGCCTAGACCAATTTGAAGCCTCCTTCGACGACGACACTCGCGGCGCAGCCAGCCACCTCCTCGCCCCTCTCATCCCCCTGGGCAACTCTATCGAGAACTGGGCCCCCGCCTCCTTCCATAAAGCCATCACGACCGCCTTCCGCCCCGACCTCCTCGGCGACATCAGCCTGATCTACTCCAAACACCTCTTCCCGCCGCCCGACCCGAAACGCAAACGCTTCTACGCCCTCGCCGACAAACACATCGCCATGGCACCGCCCCCCATGCATCCCCCCTTCGCGCTCTACACCGGCTCCGGCGCCGCCTGGTACAGCGACGTCGCGCTCCTCTGCGAGCACTCCACCGCGTCCGCCTTCGATCTCGCAAACGTGGAACAGCTGCACATGCAGTGGCTCTACCAAGCCGAAGAAGTCTTCAAGGCGCAGCCGTTCCGGCGATACCTCCTCGGCATCCTCTTCATCCGCCCGGCGGCTATTATCGTGTACAGCGACCACTCTGAGAATGTGGTCAGCTTGCCGCTGATGTTCACGCAAAGCGGAACAATGCGGCGATGTTGGCGCGGTTTGTCCTGCGGTTTGTGGACAGTGGGAGGGTGGAGAGGGGGCAGATGCGGACGGAGAGTCCGTATCTGGATGCGTTTTGGTTTGGGAAGTCTGGTGGCGGGAGAGGAGGGTGCTGCATGTGAATGAGGTCGTTAGGGGGCCGTTCACAAGAGTGGCGTGGGTGGAGAGGGTGGGGAAGGCGGAGGTGGAGATGGCGAAGGGGGAGTTGAAGGTGATAATGGAGGAGAGGGAAGATGGTAGTGAGCAGAATGAGGATATGGACGAGGCAGACTGTGAAGAGTATAGGGAGGTTGAAGATGAGTATGCGATGCGTGAGGGGAGTGGTGAAGAACATAGGGAAGGAGATGTGGAAATAAGCAGGAAAGCTGACATTACTGTCCCCCCGAAAGCTGTTCCTATCTCGTTCGCGTGTAGGGGCGGTTTCGTTCAAAAATCGGCCGAAGCTGCTGGAAACTAGACGTCTGTCACATCTGCGTCTATTTGGGACAAAGTCACTATCACGGTCACGGAACACGCCCGAAAAGAACCTGCTCAGGCTAGCGAAACCAAACCCGCCGGCGATGATACCACCATGATGGATACCTCCTGCCAGGAAACCCACGATTGTGCGTCATCTGGTGCACAAGGCAGCTCCTCAATTCTAATCGAAGATGAAAATACCGTCATGATGGATGTCTCAAATGCAAACCTTCAGGATCTGGCATCAACGCCGGAAGATGGTAAACTCGCTGAAGGACGCGACGATACCTCCGTGGCGGCCGAAGATGGCTCAGAGAATGGAGACGAGAAAGCAGAAACAGACTTCCCCGATGGCGACGCAAACAATGACCAAGTCTACCGCGAACACATAACCGAAAAGTGGGAGGATAACCTCGCCAATGACGACGATGAGTGGAGTAGCTCCACAGAAGAAAGTCCAATGACTCCTCCGCCAGGTATGTCAGTCATAAAATGTGTCAGGAGCGATGCATTCAAGCCACGCAAATCTCGCAAGAAGTCCAAGAAGACCAGCACTCCTAAGCGGCGCAGGGATCTCGATACATCGGAATCAGAGGACTCTGATAACCCGAAAGCTCCTCCAGCGAAGAGGCGGAGGCGGAGGCGGCCCAAAGACCTGGATATCTCAGATGTTGACGACGACAAATCTCTGTTTGGTCGTGTGGGGAATAAAACAATACCTTGCCGAGGTCCCACCCGCAATAAAACCGTATATGTAGATTATGGGGCTGAAGGGCCCTTACCTTCTAAGTTCCGCATGGATGACTATTGGGCAGACCAGGGAAAGTTCTGTAATCCCGATCAGCTAAGATCCGGTTATTTCGACTGGTGCGACCGTGAGCTCAGCGCCGGAGAGGTCGCTGCTATCAAGGATATGCACAAGCGCTTGGACGAATGGCATAAAGAGATATACGGCTATGAGGCAGAGGCACGAGTTCGGCGGGCTAGCCCGGAGGGCGCAAAGCAAGTAAAAGAGAGGGAAGAAGATCGGTATAGGGGAAAAGCGCAGAGGACGGAGGCGCTGTTGGAGCTCTTCTGGGGCAATAGGCACGATGCCAGATTCCCGTTCGCCAAAGAGGGGGGTGTTCATGCGAGGGGCTGGAAGATGAAGCTGGAGAACAACCAGTGGTATCTCGAAGGCTCGGATGTATGCAAGAACGAGACGAGAAAGTCGTTGGTCTTCGAGCATCCCTATACGAAGCGAGAGCGAACCGAGAATAACATGAGCCTCGAGGACAAACGGGCGTACGGTGTTGCAGACACTGGTTACGTCAAAGCGGCAAAGACATACCTGCATGACCCCCTCGTGGTCGACGAAGATGGAGCGGAACTTTCTGGTGGTGGCCGTGAGGGAGTAGCCGCGAATGCCTGCGTCTTAAGACTTCCTGGGAACTCGTAGGGCCTTCTAAAAACTCGCTACCCCGTCCTGAGGTTGAGATAATGCGGGATTTCCTTACTTTTAATGACCATGGCATCCCAACACCGTACTGGATCAATTCCGCCTGGCCCGAGGATGCGAAAGGCCAGGCTATAGCCTCTGGACAGGTACCCCCTTGCTATGCGGAACTGACAGATATAAGACCGCAAAACTCTCCGAGGAGGATGACGCAGCTTCTAACGCCGTACTGCACTCCGCTCAATGACGTAGTGCACTCCCTGAGGAGTCCAAAAGACCTAATGCGGATTATAAGAGACGCAATTATCGTCTCCTACGACGCCTAGATAAGCGGCGACAGAGGAGTTATGCATGGGGATATCTCAATCGGCAACATTGTCGTCCCCCGTCAATACACCCCCCTCACCGGGAACACCACCTTCTCCGACCGCTAGGGCACCCTAATCGACTGGTCCAACACCCTCGACAAGCACGGCCTCTCCTGGCGCGGCCTCACCCACAGCACACCTGGTTTCACCTCCACCTATCTCTCTATCCCGGAGAATCTCACGCACCGGAACCTCTGCCACGACATGGATTCCTTCTACCTCGTCATCCTCCAGTGCGCCACCGAAGGCCCACCCCATCTGCACTACGCCGACGGCCCGGCCCCCCGCTTCATGCGCGCAATAGCCTCCATCGGCGTCGGCAGCGGCAAGAACCAAAAGATCCCGGACGAGCATGGCTGGGAGCTCCTTAAGCCGAACATGCGCACCGCCTACCTCGCCGACGAGAAATGGTGGCAGTGCATCCAAGCGCTCGGCAACATCCTGCACCGCGGCCGCTGCCAGCGCATCAAGTGCGTGATCAAGCCGCCGCCAGCAGAGGCGCCGCGTCGGGAGGTTTCATCTGCACGCACGCGAGGCCGGGCCGGCTGGGAGGAGGAAATACGAGCGCGCAATGAGTGGGAGTTGTCTGAGTACCAGGTGTGACTGAAGCGGCAGGAAGAGCTGAAGAAGGAGTGGCATCGGGTGCGCGCTTGCATTCCGAAAAATTATGCCTGGGAGCCGGATAGGGAGCGGCAGAGGGGAAAGTTGTGGGAAGGGGATAAGGAGGATATTGAGGAGCATGAAAAGAATGATTTCTCGTGGCGCGCGGAGCATGAGGATTTTATGCATGGAGGCAAGTTTGAAAGGGTGGAGGAGGAGAGGAATGAGGGTGTGAAGAGGTTTTTGGAGGCGGTGAGGGTGATGGATGAGTATGTGGGGGATGGAAAGGCGGTGGAGGAGTTTGGGAAGATTCATAGGAAGCGAGAGCAGTGGCTGAGGCGGAAGCTGGAAAAGGAGAAGGCGGGCGGAAAACCCCCGGATCTGCATTATATCTCATTTGAAGTGTGCCGAACTTAACATCCTATTCGGCTTATGTTAAGAGAGGGACTGATCTGAGACGGTGAAGGGAACCGTGCTTCGATCAAGCAGATAGATTCTAAGTACTGCCAGGCGTCTATTACCTTCGAGGACTTACCGACCTACATATCAGTTGCGCAATGGAGCAGCAACTTGAACGGCATGTATAGGCGGAGACGCGGTTGCTGGAAAACCCCTGTAGTCGCTTGACTTGCCCGAGGCGTCATAGCGCGGAATCCTATCTCTACCTCCTCAAATTCCTCTTCTACCTCTCCATTCCGTTATTGCTATCTCCCTTCTATGAGGCCACCTAACGGCGTTCTTCTATACCAAGAATTGTATCATGCTGCCGCCTTCTTCTGTTGCCTCTGCAAACTCAGCGTGTCTGGATCCGCAGCAGCGGCTTACGTTCAACGACAGAGGAGACATGGAGACAGGGAGTATCATACTCAAAACACAAAGAGACTGGAATTCTTTCGAACAGGTAGTAACAAGACATGCATATGCTCTTCAACTAGCCTTACACGAGCTACAGTCTTAGGTCGAATGATGGCCGATTCCCGAAAACACGCACTCCTAAAGTATTTGTGTACGAAGCCTTTCCGATTAACCTTTTTGGATAGGTAAGACCTCAGTTGGCCAGGATACATACCTAGGAAAAGACACCATGAAGCCAGTGCCATACATCTGAAACGACGAATCAGCCTCAATACGGACCTCAGAACTACATCAGGCCATGATTTATAGCTCCACACCTAGCCGATAGGCGGACGGCCGTTGGTTTTGTGCCTGACTACGATCCATTCAGCGTTCACCCTCGCTGTGCTTTTTTAAGCACCCTTTCCTGACCTCGGCCTCCGCAGCCGGTGAACGCCTGACTACGTTTAGGGCGACTAAAACGGGGTCTTGCGCTGCCATTCCAGCCAGTTGCCGGTAGGTCAGGGCTATACCCTGGGATTCCAACCTACATATGCGCTCGAGGTCCGAGCACAAAAGTGGGCCAGGTATCCGGAAATTCTTCATAGCCCTCTGAGCAGCATCACAAGCGTCAATCACGATTTCGAAAACTTCCACACAACGCCTTCCATTCATCGATTTTCACGGAGGACATATCTTTTCATTTGACGGCTGGCACTGACAACTTAACCCGCATTTTTGTGCTGCATGCTCTTGGCTCCCATCGCAAGGCTGGAGGGTTGGAACGCCAAGTAAGCTAGGCACTTCGTGTCTGGTGCTTATATTTCTTCACCGGAAGTTATCCCTTTCTTATGTGGATCGTTGATGCACTTAGTTAATTCTGATACCCTCGCACCGCTACTGGCAGCGTGCGCCAGATGGGCTCCATGCCGACTCATTATATGTATACGCTGTACTGCCATCGGTAAATGTTGAGATTCTTCTTGTGCTTTTGCCCTCCCCACACTCGTTCTATTTTCATATTCTTAATTTCACATGCTAAAGTATGAGGCTTTCAGCAATCAAAATACTCGCGGTATGGGGTGTTGCTTGCTTTTGGGAAGCAACAGCCCAGTATGCATACACAACTCCGGAGCCCGCTGTTAATGACTTTAATTCCGTGAACATAATCACTCAAGGCACTATTGCTCAATTTGTATGGCTGATCAACTGTGCGTATTAACCTTAGAGCCCCAACCGGATCATCATAGGCTGACTATCGGTGCAGCAATGTATCAGCCTACCATCAGTGGAAACACTGTTCTCAACGACGACGGAGAGTGCTCTCTCTGGCTGACATCCTTTGAGTCCGAGGATTATACTTTATACTTGGCAGGTATGTATGCGTACCCTTGTTCTTCATGGACTGGCAAAGGTGTCCAAAAAGTTTCTTAGCAGTGCTGACTCTTCAATCATTTTAGCAAACGTGAAATCCGGTGGAGGTGGATTGTGGTCTTACAAGGTCGAACTCTCAGACGACGAAATTAGTGACAATGATGGAAAGTTCGTCTATTGCATCAAGCCTGTCGTCGATTCCATAACCAGCGACTACCCGACAACAGAGGATGAAGTACCTTCTCGTGGGTTTCTCATCCAGCAGGCCGTAGAAGTTGGCCCTCACAACCCCGCTACTCTTGCTGCCAAATCGACAGCAGCTGCCGCGCCGAGCACAGAGGCTGCTGCTTCGTCCGCCCCAGCGGCCGCCACAACGGTGGAAGCCGCTCCGCAGTCCTCGGATCAAGTTCAGGCTATAGTCATAGTGACAGGGCAAGTAGCTTCTTAAACAGTAGCTGACAACACTGCTGCAACAACTACCGGGCACTCAGAGTCTGGCGCCAGTCAAACCGGGAGTACCAAGACAGCTGGAGGGAAGAGTAAGACGCATACTGGCACATCCTCATCCACCGGTACGGCCGCCGCCGCAGCTTCCACCAATAATGCCAACAATGCCAACGAAGAAAAGTCGACCAGTGGAATCTCTACAGGTGAGAAAGTCGGCATAGCCATTGGTGTTATAGGGGTTGGATTGATTGGAGTCATTGGAGGTATTCTCCTCTTCCGACGACGACGTAGCAACATGCAAAAGATCTCAGAGATGCCGCCCAATGGCGCTCAGAACGCGACGCCGCAAAACAAAGCAATGCCTCCGGGACCGCCACCTGCTACCGGACAGTACTACGATCCACAGAACTCGATGCGAGAGAAGCCTGGCTACGCTGTACTCGGAGGTCAAAGCGCGCCACATGCTGCCGCACCGCCGTATGCATCCCCTACCGCGCCACCTCAAGGTATGTACAAGCACAATGCGGCTCCAGGAACAGTATCGGACCCCTTCCAAGGCGCTGCAGAGATGTCTGGTGTATCGGGACGGTCTGGCGCTGCTCAGCCTGGTGCGGTTGAGATGCCGACGAACCAAGGGCATGGCAATTTGTACGTAGCCGAGCTCTCGGCCTACGGAAGAACAAATTGATGCCTCTCCAAGACGTAGCTACTCAGGCATGGTTTCGTAGAAGGCGATTTTGTCTTGTTTCTGGTTGCCAAGCGCTGGTTGTATTTAGTTGCGAATAAGATCGAGAACGGAAATCTTTCTCTAAGATGGTGCATTGTTATAGCGTTGGAAGTAATACAGTAATGAACATCGAAGATCCAGTCATTTAAATAAGAAAGAGCGTCGATCACTAGTAGTGTTTGAGACATGACCTTGTTGGAGATATTGGGAAAGACACGTGGATAATCAGGCTCTTTCTCTTTCAACTTTCATGCGGAGTAATTTTTGATTTTAATATGCCGTTACAATCCATTTCGTATCTCTCAAATTCCTTATCTCTTGGTATATACAATGTGTAGTATTCTTATCTCGGTGACGAAGTAAACGTTGTGCATGCATCTCAATATTGCTTAATCAACTCTTATAAATACATCTTTCACTTCTATTTCTTGATTCTCACGAGTCACTTGTTAAACAGTTCGAAAACTGGCTGATCCCAAAACACCGTCATGAGCCAATCAGCAAGCAATAATTCCGAATCCGCGGCGGCCATTCCAGACATTGATTTTGAGGTCTTCGAAAGGTATCTTGGCCTTGATGCGCCGTTGACAGTACCCATCTCCCTGGATTCTTCGTGACCCCGTGATATGTCTGATTGAGGAATACTCACGACACGTCATAGAAGATATCACCGAAAACACACCGAGACCTACTGAGAAGTATCGAGAACTTTGGCTCAGAACAGTTTCGATGCTCAACCCCCTCTTCCCCACGGCTACAGAACTTGAGTCATTTACAGCTTCTCTGCGAGATCGAGTTTCAGCAATTATCCGGACTCGGGGCTTACGTGAAGGCACAGGCACAGGCACAGACTTTTACGAGCTTTTCTTTGAGATACGTAACACCATCCAGTCCTATGCGTGCCAGTATTTTCTCCAGCTACACCACGATCTAGCTACAGACGTCCAATTTTGGACGGAGCTCTATTATGGGATCACTTCATTCGGACTGCTCTTTTGGCCAGCAGGTCCAAAGTCAGCGGAGGAGATTTCTACTGACCTCCAAAGCATTCGTCACCGCGTCCTATTTGGAAACCTTCGTACGATTTTCCTGAGTGTAGAAGAAACTGCAGCATTCTGCGACCCTCCCGATGATGATTGTGGGATTTGCGTCAGTGGCTACGATCAATATCACGCTCCTGTAAGGGCTTTGGCCTGCAGTCATTTCTTTGGCCACGGCTGCTTGCTAAGCTGGCTGAATTTGAACAACAGGGCTACAACCTGTCCTATGTGTCGAGCGCCCCTTGCAGTAGCACCCCCAGCCCTAGCATCTCAATCTGAATTAGAAGAACGCGCGAATGCCGCAGCTCGTCAAACTTGGCTAAGCTGGATGGATGAGCCGGACCAAGAGGGGTCTGCTCAAGATGAGTCTAAGTCTGAGCAAGAGGAGTGGGAGCAAGAGGAGTATGAAGGCCGCACATCCTAAGCACACTCATATTTACGACGACCAGAGGTGACATTCGCCCATGGCTAAGTTACGTGCCGATACGTGATGTAGAAAGAGAAGGCCATACTGTTCCTTTCCTAATCTTAGTTCTATGCTTTGAACAGTTCTGCTCCTTTAAAGCACTGTAATATAGAAAGAAATAGAACGATATACGTACTCTACCACAACCCTTCAAGAGGACATTTCGGTTTCCGTATAATCTGCACCGGGACAAGTGAGAAAGGGACTTTGTGGGTTAAAGATACAAACCGGCGACCTTTGACCAAGCTTTCCGCCCCCAATACTAGCTCTGCCCTCCCGCGATCAATCCATACTTAAAGAGGAATTTAGACGAAAAGCGGATCCACAATTTATAAACGAGCACACCAATCCCATCGTCTCCTAAAGCTCTCGGCGAATCAGCTCCGGGATCTGCGCTGACTGGCGTCGCGGGGATTATGGGGCTGATTTCGGTGCCGCCAGCCCTACTCCGTATATCTACTCCAAGACAAGCTCTCGGTTCTGTTCCTGACACTTCCTTACCTCTCACCAGTACATACCTGCAAAATACCTCTGTTTCTTTCTTATCCATCGCGCATTTCTTTGATTTCCAATTCTTGATTCTTGATACCCGAAGTAGCCGACTCAACCGGGCGACATATACCCAACTTCCCCTCCCATCCCATCCATACAGCTTCAAATCGACGTCATGGCTGACGCCCCAGAAGTCGTCCCAGGCAGCATCACACCCATGTTCCCTTCCGCCATCTCGCCCGCCCCAATGGCGCCCACGGCCAGCGACGAGAAGTCGCCTGGCCCTCCTCACGCTCCCAAGGACCAAACGACCAAAGCACCCCGTACCGCAGACGTGTCCGACGAGAAAGAGATTCTCCAGCCAGAAGCTGATGAAGTTAGCCCAAAATACCCGATCGACGCGCAAGAATCGCCGAAAGATTCCAAGAGTTCGAAGTACGGGTTAGATAGCAAAGCGGCGCCAGAGGCCGACCGAAAGAACCAAAAATATCCTGTGGAAGAGCAAGATCGGACGACACCGAAATACCCTGTTAATGATGAGGCGAGTCCAATTGGGGGCATCAAGCCCGATAACGACTTTGCGGGGTGCCGGGGGATTGATCCTGGGGGTCTGGAGGATGCGAGTCTTGTTGATCGGAGGAGACTGAACACGGATGATGAAGGGGAGGATTGGCATGTTCCGCTGTGCGGGTGCTGTAGTGAGGAGTCGAGGAGTTTATGTGAGTGCTAGACCGTTGAACACTAGAAATGGGATGGTGAAGGATGCTAATATGGTTTCTAAAGGTTGCGAAGCTGCGTTCATGCCTTGCATATTAGCAGGCCGGCGGTATCTGCGCGTTAAAAACACCAAACCGAGCGAGATGACTAGTACAAATGCTTATGTGAGTCTTTATCCTGGCGTTTCTAGATAGCGCGAGGAAACGCCAACTCAGTCTCAGTGTCTTGGCTGCTTCGTCTTCACTGTTCCGTTGACACCCTTCTGGTGGGTTATGGGAATGTCCACACGAAGTGAGATCCGACATAAGTACGGCATACGGGGGAGCAACAAGGATGATTGCATGACACACTGCTTTTGTGCGTGGTGCGCACTCGTACAAGAAGAAAAGGAATTGCTATGGCATGAAGAACAAAGAGTCGGAAGTGGGTTAGACAACGGATACAGAAGGGGGGAGCAGATGGTTTATTCTCCCGCGAGGTAGAGATTAAGACAGAAACGCTGAGGACCAAGTCGATAGGAACCGATAGGCGTGTGTATGTTCCTTAGCCAACGGAGATGGCGCAAGTAACTCGTCTACAGCCCCCCACGTGCGCTTCTCAACGTAAAGGAAGGCCTTCAGCCCACGTAGCTGCAACATCGGTGCCACCACCGCTTCTTGCATGGCCTGTTCATCATATCGCGTATGACTGTGATGGTTTAGTAGTACCCACATGTCTGCGTCTCCCCAAACGGCCAGACTTTTATATTGGTGTCGGCCCAAGAACCAATCGAGGATTCCTGCAGGTCACGAAATCTGCAGCGTTGTGATAGAGGCCAGACCCTGAGATGGGATACTTTGCACGAACCAGAGGAAGGTTAGTGGATGAGCAAAGTTGAACGTGTTGGTTGAGTAAGGCAAGTCAATTCGCTTAGTGTAGATTTGCCGGCAGGTTAACAGAAGGCTCGGATTCGCACGCGAGACTCATTCGGCCAGCGTGGTAGTACGGATCAATCGCCTAGGGGCTTTAAAAGCATCTAGGCTCAGGTCGGAAGATTCCCGAGCAGCGCAGGGGACGGACTCCTCGGAAAGTCGGGAGGCAGTGGAAGAAAGAGCCCTCAAGCACTTTTGGACACGGATCTCGGCGGGCAGACGAAGCAGAAGTGCGGATGTCTGCTCGAAGGAGAGCTCCGCAAGGCCCAGCTTCCGAACATGTCTATTTCACTTCTATCCCTTCTTCAGATGGGAGATGCAACTTCAATCTCGAAGAGGCCATTTAGGCTAGCGGTCAAGACACGTGTTTGACGCGTCCTAACGCGTCTACCTGACCTCTCACACCTTTTACCTCATCTCACCTTTCCGTCATAACCCGCGCATTTGTCTCCTTCGTATCTTCTCGTCTCGCCGCCCATCACATCCTCTCTCTCACTTTAATCCGGGGATTTTCATCTAATCTTCGCTCCGAACTCAATTCCTGAACCTCACGAAACCGGCTTCAAGAAACGGATTCAAAATGAACACCTGGAAATTTAACGGCAGTGTCCGTTCACTACAGATTTTCCTATACCAACCTCCCATAGTCCGGCCTCAGACGGCTTGCAAGTCACCGCACGAGCGACAGAGCACTTCACCACGCAAATCGGTATCATCAAGCCAAGACACAATCAAGACTGAAGTCTTGAGGGACGGCGGTGAGATAGACTTCGCCGCAGAAGATGACGATGACTCCAATGATTCCGGGCCGGACGATTACCCGGATTTCTATGAAGATGTCTTTCGGGGTCCTCTGCCGTGGAACGATGTTCACTGGCCTGTCAAAATCAAGAAAGAGACCTCTCCGTCTCGTGGCCGCCAAAGGCAGACTTTTCATCCTCTATCTGAGAACGAGGCCAGTCCATCTTCTCGGCAACATTGCTCAGGAGGGTTTCCAGAAAGCCCGCTAGTTAGTGGTGGCAATGATCTTGGGAGTGCACTTGAGTCACTGAAGGAATTGGGAATAGCATATGAAGAGGATTCGGAAGAACCGGAGACACCATGTCCGCGGCGTAGACTTAGACGTCAACGCATCAATCAAACAGCACGCGTGAGTGCATACTTTTCTCGCCGACGGGCTTCAGCAAATTCGTCTCCAAGGCGTGGGCCACACTCAGCTAGCCATGTCCGCGGCGTAGACTTGGACGTTAATGCATCAATCAAACAGCACGCTGGGCCGCCCTCAGCTAGGAGCGGAACACGACTGAACTTTTCGAAGTTCGAGAATCTGTCCGTCCTAGATAGATCTGTTGAATACGCTCCACGTCACACCTGGGCTGGACGAGAACGAGCACTCCTTTGTGTTATCCAACGTGAGGTAACCCGATATTAATGTATCGAGCTTAAACACTAGCCCCTCGAGTAGGATGGTTCACATTTAATAAAGGATGGGATGCTATTAGTTTCATTTTCAACAAGTTAACAAATAACACCCTTCGAGAGACACAAGTGAGGCGCCAGTGGGAGAGTCTAGTCTTCTTCGGCTGTCATCCAATTTGGAAACAAATTTACGATGACACGCCTTTCGAGGATAACCAGGGCGTTTTCAAACAGCAGCGGACCGAAATATTGGCATGTGCGCAACAACACGGTATCAACTTTCAACTCAAGATTACTGAAGATGCTCTTGCAAGAGGAACTCCTTGGCTCTCCCTATCTCCACAGATCCGGCGCCAGTTCAAGGGTTTCCAACAGCAAATACGAGATAGAGAGTGCACACCAGAGGTCCTTGATGCTTCCTATAGAGCCATGGAGGAGGTTGTTTCACCCGATGCCACTCGCCATGAAGATACACATACTGTTTCATCACCTTTTTCGGCCGTTCAGATAACACCGCCCTCGTATCAGTCGACGCCCTCGAGCTTTTCCTCGCGCGGCGTACGCTCGTTGTTAGAAGCTCCAATACTTGCCTATAGAGTCCATGATAGAACCAAACATAGCCCACTTGTCCCTGAGGTGGGCTTTAGAAGTGCGTTTTTCTATGGGCGCCAGCGGGGCGTCACGAACCCTTTACCCTCCGACCATGATCTACTTGACGCTTTCGCGGAAAAACACTTCTGGAAACATGCAGAAAGAACTTCCCCATTTGTCTCAGTGTCGACATCCCTTCTCTTTGCAATCCTAATGGCAAAACGCTCCGCCGAAGAAGGCCAAACCCCCTTCATTGCAATGATTGACCTTACTGCTCTTAAAGGTTCAACCTATTCCGCCTCAGCTGTCATCCGCAAAGTGAAGCGAAGTGGCGATCTTCCCGAGATGCGATACAAAGGCACCGCGGAGTTACTTATTTGGGGCGAGATCCCAGAGACCGCTATCCTAAATATTGTGCCCTACACCGAAATCGAACACCTCGCAGCTACGACACCAGCTGTTGGCGCGATCTTGCGGCTGGATCTGCTTGATCCTAACGCTAGAACATACTACTTACATAAAGATCTTATGATGAAGCCAGTGCGTCTAGACCCGGCAACGGCAACGGCTCTCGGTCAGCTAGCAGATCATTGTTATCTCGGCCTAGCTCCTCCTGCGCAACTCTCCACATTCATACAAAGCGTAGTGGATGGGTTTGCAATCGACGCCACCCAAGTCCTCCATGACGACAAAATCATGCACAAGCTGGGGATGTATTTCCTAAACGCGCTCAACCGGCCTAACCAAGACGACGGGGCCATCATTAACGCCTTCATTAATGGCGTCGAAACCGCCAACGAGAGCCTGGAGCGGAGCCGAAGGAGCCTGGTTTCTCGGTCACGATCACGGTCCGGACGAAAGCGCGGCGTCTAGAAGCAGGACAGCGTAGTTACCCCACAGCGTGTTGAACTTTTACCGTGGTCTCTCGACCCTCCTTGAGTTCATTAACGTTGTCATTTTCGTGAATAGAGTAGACTACTTTATGCAGTTTCGAACGAACCGACATACAATGCTTCGTCATAGACATCCGTACACTCTTTGCCGCTGCGTGAGGAGCTTTATAGTATTTTCAGCAGTCGAAGTAAGAGAGAAGTTCGGCGTTTTGGACAACTGGTAAACTTGTGAGGCTACCCCAGACAGTGTCAACAGAGTGTACGTAGATTGGAAGTGTATCTAATGCACCCAGTTTCAATTAGTACGTTGAAGCCCAATAGACAACGCCTTCTGTATCTATACTAGAAGCAATTTATCATGGCGCCTGCACGTCATAAGGGTGATTATATCCGGTCCTGAGACTAGTACGTTGGACGCCTCTATACGTCGAGGTCCAAGGCAAGGCAGGGAAGGTCACCAGAAGCCTCAACCTCGGCTAGGTCACCCCGCCGTCGATCTCCCGCTTCGAGTTCAACTCTTCCTCTTCCCTTTTGTCAGTTTTAACTCCAACGTCCGTTCTTCGTTCAGTTGCGCGGTCTCAATAATATGCCCTTGTCTTACCGGTGATCGGGGAAACATGAAGGCGGTGGTCATCAGCAAGTTCAGTTCGGTATGATTCTGATGATTCTAGCTCTATTCTATCAAGATCTTCGTCGAAGGTATTCATGTTTGGCAGAATCTCCAAGACGTTGCGCCTGTCGATGCACCAATCCCTAAGCCTAATGGACCACGAGACATCCAAGTCAAGATAACTCATGCAGCTCTCACCCACGTCGATTTATTGTACGCCCAAGGCCTGCATCAGAACAACCGTCGCCATGTAGTCCCACCTTTTATACTTGGTACTGAGTTCGCTGGAATCGTCATCTCTTCACCTCCATCGTCCTCCTTGAAGCCAGGAACGCGAGTCTTTGGGTCCGCGCTTGGTTCTTTCGCGGAAGTGATTAGTGCCCATGAGGGAAGCGTGCGTAAAGTGCCCGACACTTGGACCAACGAAGAGGCTTGTGCGGTTGGAGCGAGTGGTGTGGTCAGCTGGGCGAGTTTAGTGCCTACCGCAAAGTTACAGAAGGGAGAAACCGTTCTTATTCTGGGGGCTTCTGGCGGATTAGGCATAATAGCAGTCCAAGTCGCCAAGGCAATAGGGGCAAAGGTTATCGCTGTTGTTGGAGATGAAGAGAAGGATAGACTCGTGCGAGCGTGTGGAGCTGATGACGCTGTAAGATACGATATTCCTGGTTGGGAAGGTAGGGTGAAGGAGTTGACAGAGGGTGGCGAGGGCGTTGACGTGGTCTACGATGCAGTGGGAGCCGTCCAAAGCAGTATCAAGTGTCTGAAGTATCGAGGGCGCGTTGTCATTGTGGGCTTCGCCGGCAGAGGTGGGAATGTTGAAGAAATCAAAGTCAACAGGGTGCTTCTAAAGTCCGCGACTGTCTTGGGATATGTACGTATGGCGCCATCTCGGGCTTTTGGAACTGGCCCTAACATTGTGCAGAGGTTTGGAGAACATGGACGCCGTTTTCCGGACGAGACAGAAGCTATCTGGGATGAATTCATGAAGTTTGTGGATGATGGCAGCATCAAGCCTATTGTATTTAAAGAGAAGTACGGTGGACTAAGCAGTATACCGCGAGCGCTGGAGGACTTGAAGGATAGGAAGACATGGGGAAGAGCAGTGGTTACGATTAATGCACAAGCTGAAAAGGAGATAGCTAAACTGTAGTAGCTTAGCCTATTCGATCGTTGCAGCTGTCGTCCACATCATGAAGACTAGGATACGGTATGGAACCAAACCTAGGACTGTGTGCGTGCTGAACGAAAGAACCGTCCTTTCTTGTCACCTGGGTATGTCGTGAATCGATAAAGAGATTGAGGCATTGTGGCGCTTAAATGCCAAGGTGCCAAGATATGTGGCGGAATCGCGGCGAAACCGCGTCTCCGTCCTAGGCCGTCAACAGTTCACTTTGCCAACAACCTTCTATCACCCACCACACCCCGCCTTCGCCTTGCTGCTGACAGTTGGGTGCATTGAGCTCACATTGTCTCGCGCTATTCGTCGGAGACACGAACCGGGGCCAGCAACACGGACCCTTCCGACTCTTTCTTTGTCCTCGACCAACCCGCACGACGAGAACCGTCCCATCACCTTGTCACAACCACAGCCATGTCCGCACATGATATCCATAGCGGCTCTGAGTCCGAGGATGACTTCAACCCTCAGCCCGAGATCGACGACGAAGATGCCGGCGACAGCCAACCAGCGAAGCCCCGAGTGAAGGAAGACGTTGACAACGACGAAGACGACGAGACGGAGCAGGCAGCAGCTCCTCGCAACGGCGCCGCTGAAGGTGCAGGCGATGACGACGCGGACGAAGACGAGGCAGAGGATGACGAGGAGGAGGAGGATGAAGAGGAAGAAGAAGAGGATGAAGTTGTGGTGAGCATGCATTCAGCCTCAAAGCTCTCTCACAGTCTAATGGTTTCCTAGGGTCGATCCCGTAAGCGCAGAAAGCGAGATGCTCGCATGCAGTTCATCGATGTTGAGGCCGAGGTCGACGAGGACGAAGAAGAGGAAGAGGAAGAAGACGACGTCCCCGATGAAATCCATCCCGATGACCTCTTGGAAGCCGCTGGCCCCGACCTTGACGACCGACGACATCGAGAGCTCGATAGAAAGCGCGAAGCCGAAGCCGACCTAGATGCGGAGCAAGTCGCGGCACAATTCGACCAGAAGTACAGGCGTAGGGAAATAGCCCGCGGGCAAAAGGCCGCTGGTCCCACACCACTGGATCTCCCTACCGTCGATGACCCTTCCATATGGGGCGTGAAGTGCAAACCTGGGAAAGAGAGGGACATCATTTTCGCTATCATGAAGCGAATGGAGCAACGGCAGGGCACACAGCACCCATTGCGCATCTTTTCGGCCTTCGAGCGAGGCGGGACCATGGCTGGATACATCTATGTCGAAGCCAACGGGAAGCAGGACATGCTGGATGCCATGGCTGATATTCCTAATGTCTATACTGGCAGTGGACCCATTGCGATTGAGGTCAAGGAGCGGCCTGACCTTCTGCGAAAGCGGAAGAGGGACCCTCTCAACCCAGGGGATTGGGTCCGAATGAAGAGACCGCCTCTTTATGCTGGAGACTTGGCTCAAATATACGAGGTCAACTCTAACGGACTGGAGTGCACTGTCAAGCTCGTTCCTCGTCTGGACTACGGATTGCATGAAGATATCAATGCTGCGCCCGATGCAAACAAGAGAAAACGAGGAGCCGCGGCTGCTGGACCACGACCGCCACAGAGACTGTTCAATGAAGCAGATGCCAAGAAGAAGCACATGAAATTCCTCACGCAGATTGGCAGCGCTGGAACGAAATCTTTCCAGTACAGGAACGAAGATTACACGAACGGTCTGCTCATCAAAGACGTCAAGATCAGTTACTTTACCAAGAAGGACGTCAACCCTACCATGGCTGAGATGCAGCTATTTGCTCGACTAGGTGAAGATGGAAGCCAAGAGATTGATCTGATTGCTGTGCAGGCCGCTCAGAGGGCCACCACTACCGGGTCGTCCTTCGTCCCTGGTGACAATGTCGAAGTCTATGAGGGAGAGCAAAAGGGAGTCAATGGCACAACTGTGTCGGTAACTGGTGATATTGTCACCTTGAAGGTCACGTCGGGTGAACTGAAGGGCCAGAGTATCGAAGCTCCCGTCAAAACTCTCCGCAAGCTGTTCAGAGAAGGTGACCATGTAAAGGTCATCGGTGGTAGCAAGTACATCGATGAGGTCGGGTTGGTCACTAAGATCAGGGATGACAAAGTTACCCTGCTTTCGGATTCTACACAGCAGGAAATCACTGTTTTCAGCAAGGACCTCAAGAGAGCAGCCGACTCTGCGCAGCTGGGTAATGACTCTGATTTTGAACTGAGTGATCTCGTGCAGCTCGAGTAAGTACCATCTCAAGTCCTTCGTGATGCAGAATGCTAATAAAAATTCAGCGCCTCGACTGTTGGATATGTGATCAAAGTTGACCGCGAAGTTGTTCGTGTTTTGGATCAAAACGGATCCGTTCGCAATCTCTTGAATTCCCAAATCGCCTCTGTGATTCCATACAACCGAAACGCCGTGGCAACAGACAAGGATGGCTCCGAAATTCGACAAGAGGACATGGTGAAGGAGATTGGAGGCGAAGGCCGGACAGGGAAGGTGGTCCTTATTCACCGGGGCTATCTCTACATCTCCAATCCGACGATATCAGAGAACAACAGCATCTTCGTTGTGAGGAGCGGCAACGTCACCACGATGGCAGCAAAGAGCGGCCGTACCCAAGCCGCTGGCCCCGACCTATCGAAGATGAATCCAACCATGATGCAGGGTGCGAATGGAGCCGCTATGGCGCCGCCTAGGACCATTGGCAGAGACAAGATGATTGGGAAAACCGTCACCGTTCGCAAAGGCAATTATAAGGGCCTGCTGGGAATAGTCCGAGACTCAAACGGCACGGAAGCCCGTATCGAGCTGCACACAAAAAATAAGGTTATTAGTCTTCCTAAGGACCTCCTAGTCATCAAAGACCCAGTCACTGGTAACACCATCGACTTCAACGGCAAGCTCGCTAATCGCTCCCGTGGGATGCCAACGTCATATGGATCAGGGACTCCTAGCAATCGGACCTATGGCGCTGGAGGTCAGACACCATCATGGGGTGGCGGCGGTCAATCTTCCCGTGGCCCTTCTTGGGGGACACCTCATGGTGGAGGTGGACGCACTCCAGCTTGGAACAACTCTAATCGCACACCAGCCTGGAACGGCGCAGGCAACGATGGCTCTCGTACATCATATGGTGGAAATGACGGCTCTCGGACAGCGTATGGAGGCAACGATGGCTCAAGGACAGCATATGGTGGTGCCACAGCCTATGGGGGCAACGATGGCAACCGAACCGCATACGGAGGCGCCAACAGCGGTGGCAGAACTCCAGGTGGCCCTACATGGGGTGCTGCTCCTTCGGGTTCAAAGACCCCTTCCCACGCCTCCAACGGCGCAAACCCGTACAGTTCGAACACTTATGCCCCAACACCCGGCGCATACCACCAAGCGCCGACTCCGGCTGCCTACAACTCCTACGTCGGCGCTCCAACCCCTGGTGGGCCTATGGACGCTCCTACCCCTGGCTTTTCGGCGCCGACGCCTGGTGACACTGCACACCATCCGACTCCGAGAGGCTATGGCGGATATGGAGGTGGTTACGGGGCGACGCCTGCCGCTGCTCCGACACCGGGAGCGCCAACTCCTGGGGCGTGGCAGCCGGAAACACCTTGGAATAACCCCGAGACGCCGGCGGCTGGCGATGATGAACCACGGTACGAGTGAGATAGGCATACTGGGGTTGTGTGTCGAGGGTACGGGATGTCCTAGTTCAGTGGAGAACAATTAGGGTGGGTGGGCATTGCGAGGCGTTGGGACTTGAAAATTCGAGTCTTTTGTATTATTCATTCAATCCAAGATTTTTCAGTCTACCTCTGGTCACAATATGCACCATTCTACAATGCCTCGTCATAGAAATCCGTACACTCGTTTACCGCTGCATGAGTAGCTTCATAGTATTTTCAGCATTCCACATGAGAAAGAGACTCGGCGCTTTGGACCACTAGTAAACTTGCGAGACTACCCCAGACAGCGTCGTCAGGGTGTACGCAGGTTGGGATATTCTATCCGCTGCCCTCGTTTTCTATACATCGCTGCTCGAAGCCCAAGGAGGACATGAGAGATCGAGTTCCGTTTCAATTAAACAATCACCGTGCTCGCTCCTCCTCGTCTCCCTCATCACGGGGCATTTGCACTCTCATCAAGCCTAACATATTACCCACAGGCCCAGACATTCCCCCTTGCCCCTTCAAGCTCTCCAATAGATTCTTCGCAAGGTTGTAGTCAATGTCGACCTCATCTTCAGAAAGATCATTAGCATCTTCCTCGGATGGAATGGCTTTCTCTTTCCCCTTTTTGCTTCCGCTACCACTCTTTGTAGTCGTCTCGCGAGGTGGAGGATCCAACCTCAGAGCGCCAGCTTCCTTGAGCTCTGCCTCCATCCTCTCCATAACATCCCTGATCTCATCTCCCTCAATCACATCTTCTTCGTCCCCATCTGCTGAGTCCACTTCTTGCACTCTCGCAAGTGCTCGTGCCTCCTCGACTAGTGTGGCTTTGTCTGTAGTAGATGGCATCCCCATCATTTCTCGCATCAAGCGGGCAAATTCAGCTTCATTGAACTCAACCTCCTTGTCTTCATCACTGCCGTTGCTTTCATCTTCATCTGATTCATCATCGTTATCGAAATCCATATCGTCCAGTCCCTCAGCACCCTCAACGCCAGCTTCATCGTCGTCGAGAAATGATTCGAATCTTTCAACCATTTTTCGCAAATTCTCTTGAGCCGTCTTGTCACCAAATCCCGTGTCTGCCGCATCTTTCGCTTCCATGCCCGCAGGTTGTCCCGCTGTTTTGGCACCTTTCCCAGCCAGCTCTTTCTCGAAGTCCTCGAAGTTGATATCAAGCCACTTCTCATCGTCTTCTCTGACACCCCATTCTTTGATTTCACAATCACTTGGTAACTGCTCCTCTCCGCTTTCGATGTCTTCTACCAGCAGCTTTATCTCGCGGACAGCTTTCTTATCTTTGTTCTGCTTATCTTGAACCAACATCTCGAAGCCTGCGGCAAGTTTGAGGCCAATCTCGGCCTTTTCCAGATCACGGCTATTTGGAGTCTTCGACACGAAGGAGGCGAGAGCACCGCCCCATAGACCGGGCGGCACCCACTCTTGACTTCTGAGTTGCGCGAAGAGCGTCCTGGTGAAGCGCGTACTCACTTGGACGAAGTCTTCGGGAGGAAATATGAGCTCGGTGGTCTCTTTACGTTGCAGCGAGCGGAGTGATATGGGGTCGCGGAGGTAGAAAGCTTCGACGGCTGGTGCAATGTGGGAGGGACTAGCGTGGAGTATTGCTGCTACTTTCCGTGGAATTGGAATAGTGGCGTGGTGTTGATTGTCAGATATGGCAGACGGGTATGATGAAAGTCGGTCGAATGCCTCTGACTCGGTTTTGATGAGATTTTGAAGTACTGTCGGAGCAGAAGAAATGGTCTGGAGGGACTCCTTGAGCGTTAACGACGTGGTGTTAGATGGTGAGCTCAGTGGTATGATTAGAAGTTTCGAGTTATTGATCCACACCTGTCTAAAGTTAGCAGTTTCTAGCTATTTTGATTCGTGAAGGTTTCTTACCCTGTTTTCAGCAACTTCGGGATTTAGCCATCTGGGAAGCGCGTTGGCGGCCTGGATGAGTAGGAACTCGCCATCTGTGTCGTACACTCGTATCCAGGCATCAGAGAACTGCTTGCTAAGCTCTCGGAGGAGATACACGATTAGCCACTCATCAGCTACAGAATCGCCATAGTTTGTACGTCCGCGGAGGAGCCATGAACCTGAAAGTAGATTAGATATGGGTCTAAAGATGATTGCAAGATAAAGGCGCCGACCAACCATCTTCACGAACGAGTGTAAGCTTGAAGCTTTCCCGCTGCCATATGTATTCCTTGAGCAGCTTTTTCTCAAGATCGTTTGCCACTCGCTGAATTTTTTGCAAGCGCTCACGCTTTTGGATATCCGACAATGTGGCATGGATTAAGATGATCATGTATTCGACACAGTCCTCTGGTAGGTGTTTCGGAAAGCCGTCGAAGCCTTCGCCAAACCATTTGAAGTCGTCTTTTGGGACTTTGCTGTGGGCCATGCCTTGGGTGCAGAGATGACTGGAGTTAAGATGCAAGCTAGGAAAAGGAAAAAGACGAGGATAGACACCACCCTGTTAACAAAGTTGGCTCTGCACAACTTCTTCACGCTAAGTCGGCGCAATGATGGAGTTTGATGAAATGGTGAATGTTCATGGCACGTGCGAGGGCGTTGGAACCTTGGCGTTTTCAAAATCTCACTAGCCTTGTATAGACTAGTGAGCTTTCACTTTTGTTTACATCTATTTCGCGGCTTTGACAACACCTCGCTAATTCAACACTGCTCCGCGCAATCGCTCCACCACCACCCATTCTTTTTCCCATGAAACCTATCTAGGAACATCAACTACCGAGAGCGCTCGTAGTCGGAATGTTTGTCTCTTCCCCGCCCACTGCGGCTGGCGACGCGACGCGAATAACACAGGCCGGCGATGTTTCCTTCAGCCAACTTGCCTCCTTCGCCTCGCCTTCGAAGGGACAGCCCGACTTGATTGCGCAAATACGCGGGGGGCGATCACAGGGCTCACGAACACCATCTGCGCGGAATCCACTTGGTCAGCTTCGACAACCACCCGGGAAAGCGGAGTTCACGCCGCTGCTGAAGAGCGCGACTCACAATAGAATGCAAGCCAATGCAAATGGATATGGCGTGGGGCAACCAGATTTCAAGGCGGATGGAAAGCCGCGTACGCCGGCCGTGATGAAGCCCGGCTTCAAGTTCGACGGCAGTCCCTTACCAGAGGCCACCGTATACGATGCAATGAACTCAAGTTCCATGGGCGAGACTGGCATGAGTGGAACACCACTTCCACCGGTTGCGAGCTCAAGCGCCATGTCGACCCCATTGGCGTTACCCAGACGAGACGGAGAAGGTGCTTTAGATGGAGGCAATATGATGACACTGCGAGAGCAGGAAGCTGTACGTATCAGTCTCCTTCTCTTGGTGCCTCACACTCTAACACGTCACCACAGCGTATCGAATCCATTGACAAAGAGAACTTCGGCCTAAAACTCAAGATTCACTTCCTCGAAGAAAACCTCAAGCGAACCGGCCCCGAGTTCAATCAGAATGCCTTTAGGGAGAACACGGAACTCAAGATGGACAAGGTCACCATTCAGCGAGAGCTACAGAAATATCAGAAGATGCTCAAGCGCGCCGAGCACGAAATAGAGGAGTATAAGAAACAGTTCCAAGACTATGTGGAAAAGGTCAAGCGTCGACACAAAGATGAAGGCATGCGAGAAGAAATGGATGAGCTGCGAAGGCTTGCCGATGAGCGAGCTGGTGATCTGCAGGAGCGAGAAGCCGAGCTTGAGAATCTCAAGCGCGAGGCTGCTAACATGAATGACAACGACGAGGAGCTAGAGGAGCTCCGAGGGGAACTGGACGATATGGAGGCGGAAATCAAGGAGAAGGACCGACTTCTTGATGAGAAGAAAGACGAGCTTGAGGCACTCCAGGCTAAGCTTCAGGCAGGGGAAAGTAATCAAGATGGTGAACTCGAAGAAAAGGAGCGCTTGATCGACGAGCAAGCCAATCAAATCGAAGACTTCCAAGAACAACTCCAACAATTGACACTGGAGAAGGACGGGCAGATTGACGCCCTGCAAAAGAAGATTGATTCCATGGATGCACGCAAGGACCAGGAGCTACGAGAGCTTGAGGAGAGGCTGGAGGACGCCGAACAGGCCGAACGACAACAAGCCGAATCTTTGCGCGAGAAGGAGCGACAGCATGCCGAAGCTGCGCGGGATAAAGAAATGGAAATCAAAGCTCTCCAACGACAAGTACAGGCAGCCGAGCGCGCAAAGCAAGGCGAGATTGACGCTCTCATCGATAGATTACGCCTGGCAGAGTCACAAGGTGACAACCAGGTCCAGCTTGCTCAACAGGCCGCCCAAGACGCACACCAGCAAGTCCTCCACGTGACACGCGAGAAGAACACGGAGATGGAACTCCTGCGGTCTCGGCTTGATGCTGCAGAGGCGAAGGAAGACGAGCTTGATGATTGTCGCCGACAGCTACGTCAAACGCAAGAAGATGTCAAGCGCCTACGGTCAGAGGAATCACTACGAGAAGAAGACATTCAACAACTTCGTAAGAGCCTCGCTACAAAGGACCAAGACCTTGAGAGGATCAAGCGGGAACGCGATACAGCTATGCAAACCGTCTCTTCCAAGGAAACACAGATTGAAGCTCTACAAAAAACGACCCGTGAGCGTGATAACGCCCTGCGGGAGATCCTCGCTCTCCGTAGTACTCTCAAAGAGCGGGAATGCGAGCTTGAGACTACGCAAAAGACAATCTCAACATTGGAGACAGCTCAGCAAACAAGTCTTCACAGCCTGAGGACGCTTCAATCGACCCTGAATGAGCGAGTACGGGACCTGGAGACCGCGCGGAAGACCATTGAGGAACGGAATGCTGAGCTAGAGGCTCTTCGGGAATATGCCGACGAGCCTGATACTCAGCTCGAAGCTGTACAAAACATTGTGCGCGAGCGAGACCACGACTTAGAGTCTCTCCGTGACCTAGTTAACTCCCAAAGGGGCCAACTTGATGACTTCCAGCGGACAGCCGAAGAACGACTAGCTGCCATGGAGCATTTGAGGACTGAGCTGTCCAACACGAAGCAGGACCACGAAGATGAAATCCAAGTGTTGGAAGAGAGCATTGAAGAGGCCGACGAGGAGAAGCGGGGCCTTGAAGCTAAGATTGCTGTCCTCGAGAAGGAGATCAAGGGTTCCTATGATCTTCAAGCCAAGATCGAACCACTTGAGAAGGATCTACGGACTGCACAGCGGGAAAAGACGAAGCTCCAGTCACGAATCGAGAGCCTAGAAAAGGATCTCAATGTCGCGGATCAAGATCGCGAGGCCCTTACCACTCGTATGGAGAAACTCAACAAGGACATCATATCCGCACGGCAAGCTTCCAGCGCCAGCGCAGATGTTACGATTGCACGGGAACGCAAAGACCTTCATAATCTCCTTAAGACTGCAAAGCTCGAGGCCGAGGAGCTCCAAGTCGCCGTTGAAGACAAAGAACAGAAGCTCGCTGATGCGGAAAAGCGATTACGCCAGGAGGTGCGGGACCGAGACACCAAGCTACGAGCTGCGGAGACCGAAGTCCAGAACCTGCAACTCCAACTCTCAGAAAAGGATGGTGAGCTCTCGGCCTACGCATCGAAGCTAAGGCAGGAATCTACAAGTAAGGAGTCCCCGAAGCGGCAGTCACGGGAGCTTCGCGATCTCCAGAACCGTCTCCAGACTGCCGAGCTGGCAGTTGAGGATCTCCGAATCCAGATCTCGGACCGCGACGAACGTCTAGCTGCTCTCAAGACTGAGTCGAAGAACATTGTTCGCGAAAAAGAAAAGAAAATCCGCGCGGCTGAACTCGGCCTCGCATCCGCCCAGAAACAACTCCGGGCTGCAGCGGACAACAACACCGTCGATCTCATGGAACTCAAGGAAGACATCATGGACAAGGACAAGCGACATGCCGGCGAGCTTCGAGGCTTGGCAAAGCAAATTCAGTACTTGCGTGCCAAATGTCAACGCGAGGAGGGCTTCAGGGAGGCACTCGGGTTTCAGAAGAAGTTCTTCCTGATGATGATTGAGGTGTATGGTCAATGGTATGTGCCCACTCCCTTGGACTTTGGAAACCATAAAAAGCTAATTCTTTCCATAGTAACAGAGAAGACTTGAAGCTCATCGAAGAAATGGGCATCACGCCTGACATCTCCATCCGCGAGAAGAGGCACTCTCTGCGCTCCGTGGGCCTGATGGTGATTGCAAGTGTGCGGATGCGGAAGATGCAGATGGACTGGGCGGGTAACAAGAAGCTGCACGCCGCCCTAGCGAGGAAGGTGGAGGCGATGAAAAGGCAGAGCCGAAGAAACGCAGGCATTGCAGCAGCGAGGTAGAGGAGGAGCCCCTGTTCTCGACAGCACTATTGAGTGCTCACGCAGCTCTGCTTGTATGATGATGACTATGAGACTGCGCTTTGGTTAGCTGTTTTAGCATTAGGCGTCTTGGGCGGGTTGGAGCATGGTCTGGCGTTTTGGGAATGTGCATACACTCGTTTGCCGCTGCGTGAGGGAGCTTCATAGTGTTTTTCAGCGTTCCAAACCGGAGAGAAGTTCGGCATTTTGGACAGCTAGTAGACCTGTGAGGCTACCCCCAGACAATGTCAACAGGGTGTATGTGAATTGGGAAATGTATCTGCTGCCCCCGGTTTTTATTACCAAGGGACCTCCACTTTCTCCATCCAGGCACTGTAAACCCCTGGCAGAATGTATAGAGACTTCCATTGCATTCTATTGCATACCATCCCATTTGCTCAAGTATCCGCAAACCCTTAACGGCCGTGTTAGAACCCTGCCCTTCCTACCTACCCTATGAACGAAGAAGTATTACGCGCCAAGCCATACCCTCATTCGCTTACCGCAGATTGTACGCCTGAATGCAAGCCCATCTAAGATTCCAAGTCCAAACCGAGGTCGTCCTGGGCGGGGACGATGCGGAGGGTGTTGGTGTGGCCCATGCCTCCTCGCCAGCCCTGCACACAGATAACGGGGTCGCCCTTGTTCAGCACGCCGAGTTTGATGGCGTTCATGATGCCGTACTTGAGGCGGCGGTCGACGTCCTCTTGCCACGGCACGGTCTTGAAGTCGGGCTTTTCTTCAGGGAAGTAGAAGGGGTAGACGCCACGGTAGAGATGGGAGTACTGAGAAGATAGTGTTAGTGGCATGCTTATAGAGGATAATAGGGGCAAATTCTTACCCTAGAAGCAGCGGCGTTACGGGTTACCATGATGATGGGGCACACGGGACGATACTTGGAGACCAGACGGGCGGTGTTGCCGCTGATAAGCGTTAGCTCTGGACGCTGCGATACACGCCTTATGACTCAAGACACTTACCTAGTTGTCAAGACCAAGATGGCACCGGCGTTCTGTTCCAGACTGGCACTGACAGCCGCCATAGCACAGGTCTCTGTGGTAGGAACAGGCACAGGGGCCAACTTCCTCAACTCATCGAAGGCGTTGACGTATGGAATAGCCACTTCGGCAAGCAGACAGGTCTCGTGCATCATGGTGACAGCTTCGACGGGGTAGTTGCCCTTGGCGGTCTCGCCCGACAACATGACGCAGTCTGCACCGTCCAAGACGGCGTTTCCTACGTCGCTGACTTCGGCACGAGTGGGACGGGGGTTGTATGTCATGCTCTCCAGCATCTGTGTGGCGCAAATAGCGGGCTTGCCAGCGATGTTGCACTTGGTGATCATCATCTTCTGCGCGATGAAGACCTGGCTGGGAGGGATCTCGATACCGAGATCGCCACGGGCAACCATGACGCCGTCTGTCTCCTTGAGGATCTCGTCGAAGTTGTTCACACCCTGCTGGTTCTCGATCTTGGCGATGATCTGGATATCCTTGCCCTCTTCGCCCAGCACCTCGCGAATAGCAGTGATGTCGGAGCCCTTGCGGATGAAGGAAGCGAAGACCATGTCGACCTTGTTCTTGACACCGAACCGCAGATCGGCCTTGTCCTTCTCGGACAGAGGCGGTAGATCCACATCCGTCTTGGGCAGGTTGACTCCCTTCTTGGACGAGATCTTGCCGTTGTTCACGCACCTGCACTTCAGAGTCTTCTCGTCGGTCACCTCGATGACTTCGAAGGAAAGGACACCGTCGTCGACGTAGATGGTTCGGCCAGCCTCGATGACTTTGGTGATGTTCTTGTAGTCGACGTACCTGAGTGGTGGATAGCGTCAGCAGTGTCCTCGAGCGCCTCCCAAGACCAGTTCCAGCGGCGAAAGCAAGCCTACATGTTCTTGTTGTCGCTCTTGGTGGCATATGCCTCATCGGTGGTGATGTTCAAGATATCGCCCGCGCTGATTGGTAGATCCGCGTCACCAACGGTGTTACCCGTCCTAATTTCCGGTCCTTTCTATGCATGTATGAGTGGCGATGGCAGGTGAGTTACGGAGAGTGAACGAACGGTATCGAGGGCAATGGCAAGCGGCCTGCCGGGCATGGACTTCTCGGCCTCCCGCGCATTGTCGATGACAGATTGGTGGTACTACTCAAGTGGTCAACGGGTGTGCAGTTGGAAGACTGCCGCTGCGTCGAGACCTACGTCATATGTGCCGTGGGAGAAGTTCATGCGCACAACATTGAGGCCAACTGTTGGAGTCAGCAGGGCCGGGCCCAGGCGTTTGAAGCTGGTACGAACCTTTGCGGAGGGCATTGATCTTCTCAGCGGAGTTGGTCTTGGGGCCTAGCGGGCGTCAGCTGAGTCGCCAGCGTGCTTGGAGCTGCCTCAAGCTGGTTCCTGGCGTGACTGACCAATTGTGCCAATGATGGAAGTGCGGCGGTACTCCTTGGCGGGGTGGTATTCGGTGTTGAGCTGCGACAGCCACTCAATGCGCGTCCTGCCGGCGTTCAGGTGGTCGAGCGCGTTCGCCATGTTGACGAAGTGTGGTCGGGGAAGGAGTCTGGAGTGCGGGAGAGCGAAGGAAGCGATTCAGAGCTGAGGACAACTACAGATCAGCGGACTGCTTAATGTCTGGAGCATGGATAAATGGTTGGGTTGGGGCCGGGGTCGAGTTCGGACAGCGAAGAGTGGGACGGGCTACCTTTGCAGCGAGCGGCGACGTGGGGCCGGTCGAGGGGTGTTTGCACAGCGTTGCGGCGTGCGAGCTGGCGGGCGAAGAGAGAGGCCGCGCGGATTATATACAGCGCCGTGGTGCGAGGAGAAGCACGCAGAAAAGAAGCAAACCTGCCCCTCTGCGCCCGCGTGGTTGACGTCTGGCGGCTGGTTGAAAAGCTGCGCAACACCCCACCAGCCCACCAGCTGCCCGCCGGCCACCAGGCCACTGGGCCGCCTTGCAGTCGGACGCGATGCCCGATGCGGCCGCGACAGCAAAAATTTCGCCTTTGTCAGCCCTGCGCGGTTCTTTTGGCGGTTCGCACGTGACGCCTGCCAGACCGCCGCGTGGGACCACCTGCCTCGCCTCCACGGCCGGCAAGCCTCTCCCTTCGCAGCATCCCCAACCACCGTCCTGCGCCCATCTCAACACGTCTGCCAGCTCCTCGCGCGCCCTCGCACGCCGCCGCCCTCATCCTGCACACCGTCAGCCTCCTCCGCCGCCCCAGCTAGCCCACCATGGTTGTGCGTACCGTAATTACCTGCCCGCACGTCGTTGGGGCCAGCAACTAACCGTTGCAGCTCGGCCGCCTCACCCACTATGCCTTTGACGCCATAATGAGTGCGCTTCTCCAGCCCTGCTGCCATGTCTCCAGCCAAGCTAACGGTTCCCCAGTCTCGGCCTTCCTCGCCGGAGTGAAGCGCTCCACTGGCCTAACGTACGCCTTTCCCTCCCCCACGTTCCGCCCGCTGCTGCGTTATACGTTTACGTCGCGCTGTCGAAATGCCGCACAATGGACACCTGGCTAACATGTCCCACATCCTGGGACCCAGCCCTAGCATAAAATCAGAGACCATTTCTGAATCGCCCAGCATCAAAAAGTGGATCGACAACTACCTCTGGGCCGGCGAATGGGTTATGGACCAGAGTGTCGCCGTCATGGCGTCCACTTCATACTTCGAGCGGAAGCGCTGAGCCACCGAGTGAGTCGTTTGGGCAGCACGTGTTTTGGGGATTCCCCGGCGTCGACTCGGTGCTATCGAGAGACGGATCCGTGACGAGAACGTGTAGTCATGCTGCGACGGATGGGCTCACGAGGTCATGGCAGGCGTTTGGGAGGATCGCTTTTTCTGGAGTTCCATATTATACGATTATACAATGCCTCGTCATAGAAACCCGTACACTCGTTCCTGCCATCCTGACATGGACTGCTGCCAAAAGCACTGATTCAAAAATATAATGAAGGAACACGCGACATTTGATTGGTCAAGGCTGTCGTGTCCGCGGCGAATCAGCCTTCGCCAGGACACTTCAAACACTCAAGCAGTTTCTCAACCAAGCGTTCTCATACATGCTCCACAAATGACTACAAAAAACAGCAGTATCAACCCCGATGGCCGCCTCGCAGATTCAACAAACTATTGGATAGCAAATCCAGGATATCCCAACTCAATCACGCTGGTGATACGCTTTGTATAGTCCACCACGCCTCCTAAGTAGTTCAGCATCTCCTTTGCCTTTCCAGGGATATTAGTTCCCATGTACTCCGAGTTCGTGTGCGGGAGGAGCGTCATGTCCCCAATGCCGTTCGTCAAAGCTCTCCATGCCTGCTCCGTCTCTTTCTGGGTGTCAATCTTGATTTTTCCATGTTTGGACATGTATCCAATGGTATTGACAATCCAATCGCCCTGAATCTCAGCACAGGTAGGCCCGTTGCAGAACGATGTGGGACCTTGAGGACCATATGGGAACATCATGTTTGGAAAGCCGTTCGTCATCATCCCAAGGTTGGTGTATGTGCCCTGGGCCCATTTCTCCCGGAGAGATTGGCCGTCCACACCCTTGATGTCGATCGCAAGAAGCCCGCCCGTAACAGAGTCGAAGCCGGTAGCGAGAATCAAAATGTCTACTTCACGCAGGGCCCCGTCGGCCGTGATGACGCCGTTGGGCACAATCTCCGTAATTGCATTCGCTTTAGCGTCGAGCAAATCGACGTTGTCCTGGTTGTACACCTCGTAATATCTCTGTTCCAAAGTCGCGCGCTTCGTGCCGAAGTAATACGGCGGCTCTTCCGGCGCAAGTAGCTCTGCCTTCTTGGGATCGTTGATGCGTGGAAGCACTTTCGCTCGCCAGAAGTTGTACGCATGGCGGCTCGATTCTGGGTTCCTCAAGATGTCTTGGTAGTTCGCTAACCAGAAGGATAGGCCGCCTTGATCCCAGGTCTTTTCGAAGAACGTGTTCCTTTCTTCATCTGACACATCTGCGGCGTTCTGAGGACTGAACTCGCGATCCAAGCCAGCGAAGGTCAGCTTGCGCAACTCGAAGAGGTTCTTGTATTTCGACTTGTCTTGGTCCTCTTTGCTCAAAGGCCCTTGTTTCATTGGCAGGGAGTACGTGGGGTTGCGTTGGAAAACGGACAAATGAGCAGCTTCCTTTGCAACTTCCTGGATGACTTGGAGGCCGCTGGAGCCGTTCCCAACAACAGCAACTCTCTTGTCTTTGAAGTCAATTCCCTCCTGCGGCCACCTGGCACTATGGCAACTTAAGCCTTTAAAGGTATCCAATCCCTTGAACTTCGGAATATATGGCTTCGCAGCGAATCCCGTGCACACGATGAGGTATCTGGCAGTCTTCTCTCCGCCACTGGCATCTGTGACCCGCCAGAAGTTTCCAGCCTCGTCCCACTGGGAGCCGACGACTCGGGTGTTGAACTGGATGTCCTTTTTCAGATGCAGCTTGCTCTCCACATGGGCAAAATATTTCCTGATTTCGAAGACATCCGGATACTTCACTGACCAAGTCCAGTCGCGCCAGATCGACTCATCGGAGAACTCATAGAGCGGGACCTTGGTGTCCACACGACTGTCTGGAAGTTAGCATAGTTTAATTATTCGACACGGCAGACACCTACGCGCCAGGATAGCAGTTCCAGTACCAGACGCCCCCGAGGTCCGCCCCATCATCCAGGACAATGGTCTTGAAGCCCGCTTCGCGAAGCTTGTGCAAGGTGTAGCACCCTCCAAAGCCGGCCCCGATGATCAATGCATCATATTCTGGAGAAGTTGTTGATACGGAACCCATTGTAGCTCTGTCAATATTAGCGTGAGCCTTCACGAAGAGAGTACTAGGCAAGGCTGAAGGAAACAAGTCGAGTGTATATCGATAGTTAAGGAGAAGGATGAATGGAAGAAGCAAACAACATCGGGCACAGTTCTGGGGCTGAAACTTACGATATTGTGAAATTCGAAAGGTGCTCTACGTGGCATGGTTTCGCAGCATATCGTCTCCTAATATACCAGTCTTGAGATCCCGCAGGTATTCTCCAAAATCATGAAAGCCAGGGGTTTCTCTCAACGGAGTAAATTATGCTGGAAATACACCACCTGCCACTATCCCCATGACCAGTGCTCATCGTCACTTTCGATTTTGGAAACCAAGTCGAATGGCGTGGACGAAGCTAGGATTCCCCAGATCTACCCAACACCCCGTCGAACAGCCTCCATTGTCAAGCGGTTGAACTTGCGTTGTATCAGACATCAGGAATTAGTCCGGCTCTTCCATATCTCGATGTAATTGGGCACCACGAAATTCCCCGATGCCCCGGATGCCGCATTGACTACCCCACAAGTCGGCCTGTAGAGTCTTTGAGAATTTGATTAAGGCGCGCGGGGTAAACTGGGGTCCAGAGACATATTTATAGCAGAAGCAAAAGTTGACTCTCACTTCAAGCGGAAAATATCGGCCTTGGAATCTGTGAGCATTCTTCAAAAAAAAAAAAACCAACCAAATACCACGAAAATACCAACGGAAAGTCAAGATTCATCAGCCACCATGGACAAGAACGGATTCGTCAAGAATGATGTAAGGCTTTTCGAACAAAAAGTTAACTTGCTAGTGACTAATGTAGTAGTAGGCTGCGTATAGCGCTGTTGCCAAGCAGTATGAGTTCCTTCACATGAAGCCCAGCAAAGTGAGTATCCCAAGCCCAAGCTACCTTCACGTCCTCTGCTTTGCTTCCAAATCTAACAACACCGCACCTAGTACCACAACCCCGCCCTCGTAGACGCGGAGCAAGAAGTCCTCGACCAGCTCTACCGAGGCTGGTTGCACTACTGGAACCTCGAATCCCGCGCTGACTATCACAACGGCATGGTGGGCGCGCGCCGCTTCTATGACTTCGACGACATGCTCAGCTACGACATGTTCGGCAACACGGTCCGCGGCAGCTTCGAGGAGCACTTCAACTCCATCTTCCCGTACTGGAACGACGGCGAGATGGAGTTCAAGGACATTGAGATCACCGCCGTGGCGCCAGACTGGGCCTACAGCTCCATGATCCAGCACACATGGGGCAGCGCGGGCGGCGTGCCGTTTGACACGGCCTTCCGACGAACAGGAATTGCGCATAAGAATGAGGCGGGCGAGTGGAAGTGGGTGCATGAGCATTTGAGCTTCCCGACAGATATGAAGACGAAGCAGGCGGATTTCACGGCGAGCTTGGACCCATTGAAGGCGACCAAGTTGACGTAGTTGGATAGCTTGACCTTAGCCTTACGGAGCTAGAATGTTAGAGGCGTTTGAGAATACCGGCCCGCTGTCAGGGGTGAGGCTGAACGACTTTAGCAGATGTGTGGTGCCAAAAAAAAACCCGTAATCATCCCGGGGGCCAGAATTACCCCGGGGTTCTTCCTAAGTCGCAATACCTACATCTATGATTGAGCCTCAAGGCTAATGCTATGGGGGCCTGCATACCTTGGGGATCAGCTTCCGCTGGACGCGCATGTACTTCGTCCTTGCATATCGCTTGCCGCAGATACATGTCGCAGTAGTCAAGCGCTTTGGTACGCTGAATTAGACACCCATGATACTGTCAGAGTTCAATCTAAAAAGCTTCTGATTGTATCTATGATCGGTTTTCTAGAGCCTCTCTGGCTGCCGTTTTTAGTAATCGAGGAATGTTAGCCAGTCAATGAAAACCATGCAAGCGTATCAAGCTTTCCATGCATAACTCAATCAGACCATTACGGTCCAGATTCTCAGTCTTGCACCGTGTTGCAGAAATCGGTGGAGGTCTCGGCCCGCGAGGCCAACACCCGAGTCTGTCTCGCTGAACATACGCGCAGCATTCCACTACAGAAAAGCTTCGCTTCCTGGGTCGACGCATCTATCCGCAAATTTCTGGGGGTGTAACAAACGGAGCTGGACATCTGCTTCGGGAACTTGCCTAGCATGCGGGAGTGCCCGCACGACTCCCGAATTTGTTTTCGCCAAAGCCGTGGCATAAACGCACTAGAAAAGTACACCGTTTCGTAGCACCGAAGTGACCTAGAAAGATATCAATATGATGCTAGGAACAAGGGAGGAATTTTATGTTTGTGTCTTGTTACGCAATCCGATAGTCCTGCAAGGGAGCAAGTGAACTACGTCCAAGGCAAATAAGGGCTTCCAAAAGTCCACGGGATACCGAATGCTAATCAAAACGTCATTAAGCGAAGAACTGCAGAAGGCACGACACAGGTAAATTCAAGTAGACTCACCACAGGCGACAATTTGAGCCGGGAAGTCCACGAGTGCCCGACGCAGCCTGGCGCTACATCGGGTACGAGGATGGCCCATAACAGAACGTTGAGCAAGGCGAACGAACTTTCAAAAGTGAGATTGTGGCAGGTCGTCACGGGTATCAGGTTCGCGGGTCGACAGAGTCCTTACCATAGGAGCATCTTTACTGGGGCGGTGCAGGCGAGTCTTACTGATTTGCTATTCTGAGGACGTTGTAGGTTACGCCGGCGACTTGAGCTTGCCGCAAGTCATTATGTTGCGCATGTTGCAGAGCTGTTGTAATTGGTCTGGCTAGGTATCTTAAACCCGCTGATCTGGACTGAAGTCCGAAGACGGCCAGGTTGTACAAAGGCAGTTGTGAAAATGCTGAGTGGATGAGGGAGCTGATTCTTGTTTACAGTGAGGGCGCAGTTGACAAGTGCTGTCCAGGGGTCCTTCCAGGAAAGTATGCAGCCTCCCACTGCCGATGCTCGATCATCTGCTGATAGGCGTGAATGGCACCCAGGTTGCCGGCGGCCAAGCTCACTAGAGAGATGAAGAAACGGACGAAGGCGGGGGAAACGCATAGTAGTACAATTTGGTGCCGATGCTGTGTCGAAGAGCACCTCACCCCATTCTCGCCGTGCCGAAAACCCAGACCGATAGCCGTAACTTTTGTTGATGTGCCGAGAAGCTGTGCTGCACAGAGCCGAAGAAATCGAGAGTCGCAACCAAGAGAGAAGGAAGGAGGTGATACAGAAAAAGGGAAATCTTGCCGGGGAGGGCACGTTGTCGAAGACCGTCGTTGAAAATTCGGGCTTCCAAGTCTCCAAACCTTGAGGTCCTCCATAACTTCTCAGACTCTTTTGGAATCTGGGTAGATTAGCGAGGTGCTTCAATTGCGAGCGTAGTGGAAGTCGTCACCACGGTCGTCGTAGGATCTGCCCCCGCCGCCGTAGGCATCGCGACCTTCCTTGTGAGGAGGATCAGCGTACGGAGCTCCGCCAGCGCCTCCAGGAGGAGGGCCTCCGGAGCGATCGTAGTATCCGCCGCCGCCTCCTCCTCCGCCGCCACCACCACCACGGCGCTCGTCTCCACGGCCACCATACCGGTCGTCACGCGATGAAGCATAGCGGTCTACGCCACGAGAGCCATAGTCATCGCGATCGCGGCGTCCCCCACCGCCGTATCCACGGTCGTCGCGGTCTCCGTAGCGGGAGCCTCGATAGCCCCCGCCATAGTCATCGCGTCGACCATAACCGCCGCGTCGGTCGCTGTCGTAACGGTCGTTGAATCGACCTCCTCCGCCGCCTCCACGGCCTCCCCTAAAGTCCTCTTCTGGTCTGTTAGCTTACATGAGAGAATAGGGCGAAGCAAACTCACCGCGTTTAGGCGGACCGAAGTACTTGCCCGGAGTCGGGGTTCGTGGACGGGCACGACGGGCCTTCTCGATGCTGAGAGTCCTACCCTGGTGAACCTCGCCTTGAAGACCCTCTTTGGCGGCATCCGCTTGGTCAGATGTCACCATTTTGACGAAGCCGAAGCCACGGGATTCCCTAGTGTGAGGATCACGCATGATGTTGCACTTCTCGACGTCGCCATACTTCTCGAACAGGGTAGTGACCTCAGCCTCGGTGAGGCTTGGATGGATGCCGGTGACGAAGAGATTTGAACCAGGATTGCGAGAGTTGTCGTCCTCGCCTTGCTGACGAGGCTCGGGAGGGGGGCCGCTGTGAGGTGTTAGCGATCGATACACCGTTTTTTAGAGGCGGCTGCTTGACTTACCGGCTGTCCATACGGTCGCGATCGTTGGGAGAGGCACTGCGAGCCCTCCCACCATCATCATCGCGACGGTCGGCGCGTGGTGAGCGGCTCCTGTCACGGTCGTAGCCGCGAGGCTCGTCTGCGCGTTGGTGTTGGCAAGGCTGGCTAGAAAACGCGGAAAACGATGTCGCATGAGTGAAAGGTTGCATACCGTCGTAGCGTGGCTCGGTCTCGTACTCCATGGCGGACATCGTTGTGCAGGTGTTTGTGGTGAAGTTTGTTTTGACCAGCGAAGTTTGAGCGCGACAGGCGGAGGGCGGGCGGCAGCTGGAAGTGCAGTCGCTTACGAAGACGCTGCTCGTGGTCAACGGCAATAAGGAGTGACAGAGGTTGCTTGGGTTTGTCGAGGTGAAAGTGACGAGGTGGAGGATGGGAGGGAGGAGCGACGAGGTTGAGTTAGTGAGGCAAGCAAACGCCAGGTTTGAGAAATAGGCGAGAGCTGAGGCCGCCCAGCCCTTGGGCCAAGGGGGCGCTGCGAGAGGCTCCCGACCGCGCCAGACTAATACTCCCAGTTCAAGGCTGAGTTGGCCGAAGGAGACTCGGTCACACTGATATCCAGAAGACTTCACTTAGGCGGCATAGCTTTCTCAACGTGTTTGGGATGGAGCGAAGCTTCCATACCATGGGGGCGAGATACACATCCTGTTCAGCTTATTTTGAGTATATAGGGGCAACTCATGCAGTCGTAAACAACCCAAGCGGGGGCAGATAGGTGCTTCCATATCATATCGCCCTCTCCTTTCCAATTCCTAAAATGCGTTGAAACAACCCAAGCAGTGGTAGATAGGTGCTACCACATCGCCCTCTCCCTTCCGATTCCTGAAAATGCGTTGAAGCAACCCAAGCAGCGGCAGATAGGTGCTTCCATATCATATCGCCCTCTCCCTTCCAATTCCTAGAATACATTGAAGCAACCCAAGCAGGGGCAGACAGGTGCTTCCATATCATATCGCCCTCTCCCTTCCGATTCCTGAAAATGCGTTGGAGCAACTCAAGCAGTGGCAGATAGATGCTTCCATATCGTATCGCCCTCTCCTTTCCGTTCCTAAATGCGTTGAAGCAACCCAAGCAGTGGCAGACAGGTGCTTCCATATTATATCGCCCTCTCCCTTCCGAATCCTAAAAGGCGTTGAAGCAACCCAAGCAGTGGCAAACAGGTGCTACCACATCATATCGCCCTCTCCCTTCCAATTCCTGAAAATGCGTTGAAGCAACCCAAGCAGTGGCAGGCAGGTGCTACCATACCGCCCTGTTTGCGATGGGCGTGTCAATCTAGTAAGCCTTTATCTTTACATCGTACACACATTATCATACCGGTGTGCCTTCTGCTGCCACTGTTTGAGATGCTTCAATACATTTCCAGATGTCTAAATGTCATCATCGTGAACGACCTGCGAACTCTACGAGCCACCTCAAACGGTGGTGCACTACACCACTTCCTGGCTTCTCCTGCTACCGAGATATTTCCCCTCCGATTCCGGCTGCCACTGCCTGGGTTGCTTCGACGCACTTTCGGGCATCCCAAGGGACAGGTCTCGGCAGCACCTGATCGCCAAGCAGTGCGACTATATAAACCCTTCCTTCTCTCTTCTTCCTCTTCTCTTCGTCCATCAACCAGCACGCTTCGTCCATCAACCAGCATGCTTCGTCCATCAACCAGCACGCTTCCTCCATCAACCCACACGCTTCGTCCATCAACCCACAACATGTCCGCGTCAACCAACACCGACGGTGCCAACATGGAACTGGCTGTTCTTCCATCAACCTACACCGAGAGTCCCACTATGGAAGAGGCTCGTCGTCCATCAACCGACACCCCGCTTCCATCAACCGACTCCTCGTGGACATCAACCGACACCCCGCCTCCATCAACTTGTACATCATCCGACATTACACCTGCATCAACCGACAGCGTGGAGTACATACATGTGAACAATGAACAAGAGGATATAGACGAGATGAACCGACGCGGACCGACTTGGATCCGCAACGGCACATGGCTTATCATCGGCATGATCCTCAGCGTGGAAGGCTTGATCGCCAACAGTATCTTCTTCATGGCTATCTACAGAACAGTGAAGAAGCCAGAAGTCAAGGCCGAGGTCGTTTTTTCAATGGTCGTCATTCCGGTACTGTCACTAGTCCTGAACCTCATAACCTGGTACCAAAAGATCGCTTTGGTCAACTTGATAAGACATGGTAGTAAACATATCCCCTCTCTATTACTTCTTGGGCTAACTTCTACCACAGCCCCGTGGGAAGAAGTTGTGCGCGAAACCGCACAACTGTCGAGAATGGCCCCACATCTCCCCCTAACGTGGTTCAGGGTCTACCTTGTCTGGCGCAAAGATCGGGCCAATTACCTCAAGTTGTTCCTACAGACCCTTTCCCTCATCCTCGCTTGCATTCAGTTGGAAATGGCCGAAGAAGAAGACCCGGCCGTAAGGTGGTACAAACCTTGGTACAACCCTCCGGAGCTCAACGTCACGTTAGTGGGTGACCCCGACAGCGCTCTCGCGAACGTTTGGGCGTGCGCCCTTCAACTCGGCATCAGTGTATTTCTCATGGGCAATGAGTACCTGAGGCTCTTCTGGCACCACCGAAGGGGTATCTGGAGCAGGCTCCGTGCGTATTTTGTCTCTTCTTCTCGTTCTTCTGCTGACGCTTTCGGTAGGACGTATTGGACGAATTGCAAGAGGCACCGAAAGAGGGGCCGAGCGCCCACACAGTGAGTAGGAAGGCCGGGGGCCGCGGAGGGGGGGCGGACGGGGGCGCAGAGGGGGGGTTTGCAGGATGGGGGGGAGGACGCGTAGGGTGGGGAGGAACGGTACACAACGTTGAGACTTATTCTTATCAATTCACAAGAACGGTACAGAGTGTAGTGGTTACTTTTATCACTCCACGTAAATAGCTGTAAATTCGACATGATCTGCTCTCTTTGGAAGTGGTTTACCACTGCATGAGGTGCCCCTACATACTCAAAATGAGCTAAACGGGATGTCAAATTCGGTACACTTCAAATTGGATATACTGTATATCTAGTAGTTTTCCGCCCGTATGACAGTGTATGAGGTGCCCCTACCTACTCAAAATAAGCTGAATGAGACGATTTGTGCCTCCCATCAGCCCTACTAGGCCACCTCAGACAGCGTTAACACGGTGTAAGATAGGAAATGTATCTGCTGCCCCTCTGCACTGCTTAATTTACAGCGTCTTGTTATATAATCTGCTACTTGCTTACCGTTGCATAAGGTGCCCCCATATACCTAAAATCAGCTAAACAGGATGTCAAATTTGGTACACTTCAAATTGGATACACTATAAATCCGGTGGTTTTCCACCTGTATAGCAGTGCATGAGGTGCCCCTATGTACTTAATATAAGCTGGCTGAGACGGTTTGTGCGTCCCGTCAGCCTTGCTGGGCCACCTTAGACAGCGTCAACACGGTGTATGTACGCAGATAGGGAGTGTCTCTTTACTGCCCTACTTTCTACCTGCACTGCTTAATTTGCAGTGTCTTGTTATGTAATCTGCTACACGCTTACGACTGTATGAGGTGCCCCTATATACTCAAAATAAGCTGAACAGGATGTCAAGTTCAGTACACTTCAAATTGGATCTACCTTGTCCGGCGCAAAGATCGGATCTCTTATTACAAAATGGGCGTGCAGATTCTTTCCCTCATCCTCGCTTGGTTGGTTGGTTGGTTGGTTGGTTGGTTCTTTCATTTTGTGGATGTAGAGCGCCAAAGCCTGTGGTGGTGGTGGTTTTGTGTTGGGGCCAAAGGCACGACGCCGGGTCCTAAATACCGCTTACTAACATACACAAATGCGGCGAAAGCTTCTGGCCTCCGTAAAACCCTGAAAAACCTAGGTATCACTAGAAAAAAAGAAGAATAGGGAAAGAGCACCTAGAAGCGTCCTCTGCCTGCCTGCCCTGTCTTCCTTGTGTATGCTGTATGCGACTGAGAGTGTCCTTATCCAGCTCGGGCGGTTGTGCCATCTGAGCTGATTGTTGTGCGTCTGGGATGCATTCTCCTAAATTCAATGCTGCCGCGTCGCTGCTCTTAGCGTTGCCGCTAGAGTATTGACTTGCAGCAAGTCATAGCCATTTTGGAGGGCAATCCCTTATAGTATGCGTCCGCCTGAATTTTGTCTGCCCCCAGGTCCTCTCGCCAAGCTGTAGCAAGGGAGCCGCCCCTCGCTGTCAGCTGTGCTATAGTAGGTACCTGCAGGTGCCATGTTGCTACATATCATGCGGGTATACCGATAGGGAGACAGGACAAAGCCTATGGGACAACCGGCGAACTGATGTTGGGAACATGGTCTGCAGTGCTCGCAGCGACGATTCCTGGGTTCTAATGTGTCTGATTGCGTGTGTGTATCCGCCGCGGCATTGCTGCTTCGCTGCATCGCTGTATCGCTACAGCGGCATTGTGGTGGTCCTCCTGTGATTGTAGGTGCGTGTGTGGCCTGCAAAACAGCCCCTTTTTACCCAACCGGCGAAAAGCCAACCTAAACAACGTCGTGAGACTATCGATCAAGTCCTAATCAGCTCAGAAGGGCGCAAGGAATCGAATGCTGCCATGAAAAGAGTCTAATAAGTGGTGGATTCTAAAAGTTGTGTTCCGTTGCTGTGTGGTGTTCTATGTCTTCAAGGCGCCTCAAAAACCAGACTTCTCGTGCAGCTGCAGCGTACAGGTGCATCTCAAGGTTAATCTGGGAAAACGTTCACGTGATGAAGTTAAAGATGTCTAGGGGGTTAATTCTATTAGGCGACAGCCTCCAAAGAGGAGACACAGCCTAGGAATCAAAGTCTAATTTCTAATAGGCATGGCACACGATCCTCATACATCTGAAAAGCTTCATCGTTATCCTTGCTTCAACGCATTTTAGGAATCGGAAGGGAGTACAAAATCAATAGAGTTGGAACTTCAACAAGCTAGATAACCACCATCTACATTCCAATGCGCTACAAACATCTCATATTAGTCAACTACCCTCACGCGTTCAATGGAAAATCACACTCACCTCCAGTAACATACGACGCATCATCGCTGAGCAAAAAGCACAGCACCTTGGCCACTTCCTCCGCCTTTCCCATTCTCCCCATCAAGGTATCCGCAGATATCGAATCCGCGTCGAACAAGCCCAACGCCTCACCATCTCGAAAGATCCTAGTGTCAATCGGCCCTCTATACTGCATTAGCATTCAACATTCCTCATCTTAGTAACTCTTTCGTCAGTCACTTACGGCAACAAAGCATTAATCCTTATCCCATGCTTAGCATACTCGCCCGCCGCACTCTCCGTCAATCCAATGACGGCAAACTTGCTACTCGCGTACGCCGCGTTATGCGGGAGCCCTCGCCGGCCGGACGTACTCGCAACGTTGACGATAGCGCCACCAGGACGGCTGATATAAGGGAGTTGCGCACGCATGCAGTGCATGACGCCGTTGAGGTTCACGCCAAGGGTGAAGTCCCAATCTTTTTGCACCTGGGATACATTACTATTGACGCCTGATGATGGAAGCGATTGAGAAGATGGAGGTCAGTGGGATAGACATACGATTGTTTCGATGACAGTATCCCCCGTTCCACCCGCTACACCGGCCACGTTCGCGGCGCCATCGAGTTGCTTGAACTGGTTGAAGGCGTCGGCGATCCAAGCGCCTACTTGCTCGGAGTCGCGGACGTCGACTTTAGTTGCTATTATTTTTGCTGATCCAACTTTCTTGCCTAGTCTAGGTCAGACCAAATTGTTCAGGTAAACGGATAGCACAGAGCATTGAAGCACTCACACTCCTCCACTGTTTCGTGAAGCCCAGTGAGGTTGACATCGCTAAGAGCTACACCTGCAGCACCCTTCTCAACTAGACGAAGAGCCGTAGCTTTACCGATGCCCTGGCATATTTGTAAGCTCAAATAAGGATAATGCAAGAGGGTCTTGGATGGTTGGGTATTAGGTAAGCTCACCGAAGCCGCCCCTGTCACGGTGTAGTATTTTCCTTGAAACATATCTGCTGTAGGATCTTGCGAACTCGAATTGTGCCCGTCGAGGTATTTTGAGGCAACTCTTTTTTTAGGTCGATGGCGTAATGGATTGGTCTCATCTTAGATTCAGCGGCACTGAGAATTCGGGTATCCGCAAGGCTTGGAAACGGGACAATGGAACAATTCACACCGGGCTCCAGGTAAAAGCAAATACATTAGACAAATAAATTAAGATAGCGGGGAACGCACCCCGTGGGGAGTGGATCCTGGCTCTACGTAGGAGTAATACAGATCCGGTTTGTGGTCTATGCACGCAACATTCGACAACATAGATCTCCTCCAATTTTTGGCCAATAATTTTCAAAGAAAATACCGAGTCGTAGCCTTGACTTTGCGCTTCAATGATATCCAGAATTATTTTTGAACATTTGGGTTGCCAGTGCTGTATTCAAGTTCAACGTCGCGGTGCACGGGCGCCACAAACCGGATCTGTATTACTCAGGCGTAGGGCCTGGCTGCATATCAACTACCCCAAGCTCCAAGTCGGTCTAATCCCCGCAGCGGAGTAATATAGACTTGCGGTGTATCTTTCTTTTGCGGCCCTCAGAACAATCGCACCGTGGGATTACGCAACCGTCTCGTTCAACTCTGGACCCGATTTTTCGGTACCGTTTCCGGCTGGAGTTTCGTCGTTGGTCTTGGATTCGAATTGCTCGCCAAAGTGAACAACCACCGCATCGCCGAACCTTTCTCCAATTTCTTCGAGAGTAAGTTTTGCGGTCTATCGAAAATTAAGTGAGTATCATCTCGAGAGCGGGGGTAGTGTTAGTTACGTACCTCTGGAAGAACAAAAAAGATAGCGGTAGCCGAGACGAGGCATACACAAATCATCACCCAGTAATACTTCCATCCAATAGTAGCAAATCCTTCGGATGCCGGGCTGGTGTACGCAATGGAGCAAGCAAAGAAGGAGACGAGCCCAATGGTGGTCCCGTTGCTTCGGAGGTGGGTTGGCCAGATCTCGGAAATATAGACGTATGCCGCGCAGTCGACTGTTGAGCCATAAAACAAGATCCACAGGAAGTACATCGCTACAGCAGCATTGATTCCCGTCTTGTCCGTTGATCCAAGGTAATACTTCTGGAGGATTGCCTCGACTATCAAAGTGGAGCTGCATAGAAAGCCGCCAGTCACTATTGTTGCGTTAGAGTGACCCAGCCAGATTTGACGACATCTTTGCAAATGACTTACCAAGCAGCTTGACTCTACCAAAGCGGTCCATGAGCGCAGCATTGATGAAGCAGCCTATCAGCGCGACCGTGACCCATACGATGGATAGACCAAGTTGAAGGACTGGACCGAATCCTAATTGGCCAAACAGAACTGGAGTCAGGTTTGCGATGACTAGAATGCCGGTGGACTGGCCCATAACCCACACCAAAATGCAGCAAAAGGCTCTATGCCTCAGATGGGGAGTGCGAAAGATGTGAATATAACCTGTAGGCAAAGACCTCTCCGACTCAATCTGCGCCTTCATTTGAGCCATCTCAGCCCTCGCAAGCTGCGCATCCGGATCCTGTTTAGACTGATGAAGACGTCTGAGAACAATCCACGCTTCGTCGTGTCTCTCTTTCTCGCACAGCCATCTGGGTGACTCCGGTAGGAAAAACAGGGACACGCCAAGCATGAGTCCAAAGAAGGCGAGCATGACATATTGCAAACGCCATGCATAGGGTGCATCAATGAAGTAAAAGCCGAGAGCAACAACCGAGGAGAAAATGTAGGCGTATACGATCGAGATTGCGTGGTTGCCAACAAGCATTCCCCGTATGTGCGGTGGTGCGATCTCGCTCATGTAGACTGGACAATTGGTGATCACGATGCCAGCTCCAATTCCACAGATGACACGGGCCGCAAGAAACATTGCAATATTGACACTTCCGGCTTGCAGAGCTGCAGAGAAGGTGACTAGAGCAGCTGCGGTGCCCGTTGCAGCACGCCGTCCGAAGCGTTGTGAGATGGGGGCTTGGAGGATAGCGCCTATCAATCCTCCTCCTTGGAATCTATACACGTATTAGAGATCCTTGTATTCGAAAGAAGATTCTTTGATAACTATAGGAAGTACACACCCGCCAAGGATTCCGTCAATGATGGATGTCGCATTACTCCCAGTGAGAAACTTCTCGATAAAGGACGTCTGAGCGAGGGTTCCGGCGATAGAGTTGTTGGCATACCCGAACAAGAAGCTGCCCATGCCCGCCACGAGGATGGTCTTATTGATTACATTAGTGACGTTTATGAATATAATTCAGTAGATACTTACGACAATGTTGACATATGTCGTGTGTGGAGTGATAGTACTCGTAAGAGGAATTCCTGGTACAGCCTGATGATCCGCCATAGCTCTGTGCAGAATAAGCTCAGTGTTGGATGATCAAAAAACGCTTGAGAGTTCTGAGTGAACGGTTCATAGGTCGTGGGTATACAAGGAAGGGCGTACACGTCCATTTTGTGGGGTCCCCATAGTGTACTTGAAATCACATGCGGCATAATGAAGACCAATCGGTACACTAGGGACGTTGAGGAGGACATAAATTGGCCGATTAGAATTTGTCCGGTATGGTGGGACCGGGCGCTATGAAAATGCCTGCAACCAGATCTCCCATATCTTAGATGAAAGCCTGTCAAGCTACGATACCATTATTCGTCCACACCTAAACGCAGATTTCATCATGGCATCAAATGCGTTGGAAAATAAGGTAGCTATGGTGACGGGGGGATCATCTGGTCCAGCTTCCCCAGCAAGCCGGCTAAAAAACAGTACTAACCCTTTTACAGGAATGGGTCGATCCATTGCACTTGGACTCGCGAAACATGGCGCAAAAATCGTCTGTTGTGATTTGAAGCAAAGCGCAAACCCAAACGGCTACGAGGCGGATAAAGACGTGCCAACCGCAGACCTCGTCGTGAAAAATGGAGGCGCCGCAATCTTTTGCCAAATAGACATATCAAACGCCGAACAAGTCAAAGATGGGTTTGAGAAGACGATATCGGTAAGAAAGCCTTATTTTCGTGAGAGAAACAGCAACTGACGAAACACAGACCTTCGGACGTCTCGACATGGTCATCAACTGCGCCGGCTACTGGGCGCCCTTCCGCACGTTCGCTGAAGAAGACGACGAGCTCTGGTCTAAGATGAGCGCAGTAAATACGCTAGGAACGGCGCGGATGTGCCGTTCAGCTATCCAGCAGTTCCTGAAGCAAGACGTGGACCTCAAATGGGGAAGTAGAGGACGAATTGTGAACATCTCGTCCTGTGCGGGAAACTTTGGATTCCCTGGGGAAGTCGCATATTCTGCTACCAAAGCGGCAATCAACCACATGACGCGTGCTGGTGCTCTTGATCATGCTAAGGATTACATCAATGTCAATTGTGTTTCGCCAGGTGTGGTAGCGACTGGAATGGCGAGACAGAATTTCGAAAACAACGCAATCCACGAGACGATGCAGAAGGCCACACCATGGCCGCGATTGGGGACGGCGGAGGATATTGCAGAAGCAGTTGTGTTTCTTTGCTTGCCTGGGTCGCAGTGGATGACGGGGCAGATCCTGTCGGTGGATGGTGGAATGACGATTGGGGTGCCGCCTCCGTCGTAGATGAAGCATCTGGGCAGGGGAGGGAGACCGAAGGAAGATAGAGAAGTACCTAGCCCCTTTAGGCCATGTCACGTCGTAAAGGAGTAAAACTCCTGCATTCAACCAACTTTTGACTCTTGTTTCTTTAATCTTCTTCACTAACTCAGACTTCTCTCCATCGTCCAAGCTGTGAAGTCATTCGAAATCACCAACTTGAAACCTACACTCGCTCTTCGGCTCCGTCACCCATTATGCCTCACCAACCATGCAACTACACACGTCAAATCCCTCCATCATTTGGGGGAAAACACCCTCAAACTCCATTGAGAACTACCGCAAACAATGGCCTCATGTTTAGATCACGTCGTCCAGCGCCTAGAATCTGACCAAGGTCATGTCCGAAAATAACAGACTACTTTTCCCGCTCCCCAAAAATTACACACTTCTTATACGGAAGCAAAAAGCATAGAACGCATCGTCCGGCGCCTGGGATCGAACCAGGGTCTCGAGCAGGAAGGCACCCTAGATCCCCGTGTCAGCTTCGGATTGCTTCTTACTAATGTTGCGCGGAGGGGTGACCACCCACCGAATTATAACCAACTAAACCACACCGGATTGTACGATTTTCGCTGGCTCGAGAAAATAAGAGCGTTTATGTGTATGTATCCTCCTTGGGGCCAGAGCACGACGCTAAGATTGAGGGTCTTGGAAGCCTGGGGCGGTGGAGGCGGTGGGGGTGGGCCGAGTCATGGCCATTCTACCATACAAAAGAAATGGGGTCGTATATTTTGTACGAATAGCAAAGTATAAATACGTCCGGCGCCTGGGATCGAACCAGGGTCTCGGGGAGAAAAAGGGCCCCAAATTATAACCAACTAAACCACACCGGAATTCGATACTTGGGAAATAATATTGATTTTGAGTGTGGGACGTCGACCTAACTGAGGGGTATGAGGGGTACACAGGCACGTGACAGGGTACAGGAACTAGGCGGCAGGGTGGGGGTCGGAGACGTCAGCTGGGAGATGTTGACCTCTGAAGCGAGTGTGCGTATGATATTCTGGTAGCCATCTAGAAATACGTCTAGTCCACCGATATATGGTTCAATGTTATACCAAATCCAAATGTACTCCCTTCCAGCCGTGGGTATATAGCCGCCAATACAGTACCTCCCCTTCATACCAAACAAACGTGCTTCATCCGAAGTGTTGCACAAACCGTTGCTTATATCTCACTTCATCTCCCTCCATCCCTCACGTAAGCGCAAAAGACGCAATACTCCCCTCCGCACTCCCCGTGTTCGGCCGCCTCTCCCAGCCTGACCCGTACCCGGGACTCGCCGCACGCTGCGCACTCATCGAGCTCCCGGGCCGCATGTTTGCGTCGAAAGGCATATGTGACGCAAACCCGTTGCTCGTCGGTGTGGTGGGTGAAGTCGGGATGATCCTACCACGCCTCCTTGCATCCCTTTCCACACTTGCAACTTCCCCGAACAACTCATCACCATACCCTTCAACGTTGGGCCCGTTGCTCTCGTAATCATTCCTACCACCTAGTCTTCTGATCTCCTTCGGCACAGGCGGTGCCTCGCGGAATTTCCTCACGCGCCCACTTTCGCCCTCGTCGTCGACGAGTACGACCATCCACACGCCTACGCGCCCACCTGCGCCAAGCAGCGGCGTGCAGTGGATCCATCTGCTGCGGCCTTCATCAGAGGCCTCAGATGAGTTGGAAATGGGAGTAGTGAGCCATCGAATCTTGGCAGTGACGCCGCGAGAACCGTCGGAAAGGGCAATAGCGAGAGATTCGCGAACGCGTGGAGAGCCACCGATACGAGACAGGAAAGATGACTGCAAAATGCCTGGCACACGGAGAGATGGAGAAGTGAAGAGAATGCGAAGCGAAGGAGCAGGGCGGATGAGTAGGTACTGTGAGTTACGAGGTTAGTAAGATTTGGCTACACTTGTGAATTAAGAAAACGACATACATTTTTATACACTCCAGATAACCGTCCACCTGATTTCGAAGATGGCATCCTCACTGGCGTAGACTCCATCCCCCCTGAATCTCGGAGCAAGAGCCGCGGGCGATGGGTGATGGAGCTCGTGTCATCGTCTTCGACCTGCTCGCGATGCATTCTTCCACCATGCTTGCGCACCGTGTCTAGCTCGGCAACGTTGAACATTTCGCTGAGTTCTTGAAACTCATCTTTGACTACTTCAAGCCCGTTTGAGTCTACACTGCTTTCTTCTTTGTCGACTATGCGCTGCAGCGCTTCGAGATCAGTGCAATCTTTGACAAGACCACTAACGTCGACTTGTGCGCCGATAAAGTAGCGAAGTTTCCCGCGGCTATCAAAGAGCGGAGCGCACATTAGGAGATTCATGAATGGTGAGCCATCCCGACGACTGCAGAGGTTAGCAGGTCTCAAACCCCCACGGTACTGCAACGTACTAGTTGAGGAACACTTCGTTAACTTCCTTTCCAGCCTCAATTGCTTTACGTATACGTGCAGCGCTGGAGCGATTCGTCTTCGGCCCTTGAAGGAAGCGGCAATTGCGACCGATTGCGTAATTGACTCCATACTGTGTAGTGCGATGAAACTCTGTCATGTCGAATTAGCTGACGTTCGGCTTTACAGGTTGCGGGCTAAGATTACCTTCTGATGCAAATACTATAGGATTATCTGGTCTCGAGGGATCTGATAGGCAAAAGACCTCTGCCAGTCCTTCTGATGCCTCCCGCAACGCTGGGGGCAAATCACCGGTGATTCGCTTCCGTATGCTAACGCTGACGGTCTGAATCCAGGTGTGGGCTATGAAACACGGGAGATCCTCGCGGACGAGGACATCAAAGGCTGCCTTGGCCTTTTCTTCTAGCACAGAGTTGACGGTTGGCCTAGCCGGGTGGTTGGTGAAATCCAGACCGTCCAGTGGCTCCAGGGCTTCCGCTATCGCATTAGCGTAATTGATTGCACGCGTTGCCTTGAGAGCATCTAGGTAGTAGATTAGGGTCGGGAGAGAAGCAGGCCGGGTGGTGCCAAGGAAAGTCGTGAATTTGAGGAGCAGGGAAGTGTCTTTGAAGATGGCCTGCAGGTGTTCGCGCGAGAACATTTGCTCAGACCTGGTTTCCATAGAGAAAGCTTTTGCACCATCTTCATTTGGCTCCTCGAGCAGGTCGAATGACTGGGGATCATCCTCGTATAAAGGAGTGAGTCGGTCGACGTCGTCCGGCGGGCCTCTTGTCTGGAGCGGCGGTAGCGCTATCGAAGAAGCTGAGGTTTCATAAGACATGATGGATTCTGCCGAGCTCCGTTCACGTGACTCGGGAGTGGTGGGGACTGAATTGGACATTTTGGGGTCCCGACTGGAAGATCGCACACGGCGCTGCTTAATCTTTGTTCTGCTGCTGTAGCCGGATGGATTTATTAGTCGATGAGAATGAAGGGAACGGCAGGAATATGCACCTGGTGCGGGTTGGTATATGAATACCACGGCTAGTGAAATCCGGAGGCGCCGGGGCCGTCTCTTCATCTGATGAGACGACAGGGTGACTACCAAGGGGTGAAGGCCTCGATACCGGTGTATTGACCGGCGTACGAGGCGCGGATACGTTTGGCCCATGGTACAGCTCTTGAAAGTCCTGCACGAGTGGCTCGCCGACTGCGCCGACTGCGCCGCCGTCAATAGCGTGCTCGATCTGGTCTTCGGTCCCAGAAGCAATAGTGCTAGGGCTCACGGGCCGGCGATCTCCATGATCGCCCAGCATGCCGGCCATCGCGATGATGGCGTGAGGAGATGACGCGGTTGGAAGCTGTGGGGAGGAGAATAGGCCGTGAGCTGAACGCCTCTTAAAGAAACTCTTGCGATGCAGGGCAGACATGGTCGGGTCGGGATTAAGAGACGACAAGGCAAACCCTGGGATCGGGCGTGGTATAAGGAAGGGAACGTTTCGCCCGCGTGCCGACGGCTTGCATGAAACGATGACGAGGACAGAGAGCTGAGACGTACCGGCGAATGCACAGCAGACATGGCGCCAACTGCTCCCTCACTTGGGGGGCCCTGGGAGGAGCGCCCCTCTGCGTTGGCCCTGGCGTCTGTAGCGATTGGCAGCCAAGAGGAGTTCAGGGTCGGCGAGCTGAGGTCGTATGGGGTGGGTGGGTGCTCGAGGAGATCGTCGTGCCCACGATCTCACGGCAAAGTGGCTGCGCCAGATCTGCTCCGAACGAGTGACCCGACCCCGACCCAACGGACGATGCAGTGAAGAGACAGCTCCGCTGGCGGGTAGATCCGACTTCTCGGCAGTGATGTCTGCGTGGTGAGTGGTCGGAAGAGAGGCAGACGGCCCTACCACGTCGTCGGTGCTCGCAGGGCGCTCCTAGCCAATACCTGGTCCACCTCCACGGCTCAGCACGGCGCCGGCGCAGGCGAGAAAGGGGTTGCAGGGACTCGACGGACGGTGGGAGCTGACTGTTCCACCGTTGTCACTGCGCGGCGGGAGGACGAAGGGTAGATAGACCGTAGTTGGAGGCACCGTCTCAGGCTGTGGTGGTGAGCATCGAGCCTCCCAGCCCAGCCACGGCCGCGTCGCCAGCAGAAACGTGGGTTCGCAGTCCATGGCATCCCGGCGGCGATCACACGGCGGGCTCAGGACGATCACCGCATGCCGCTGCGACGCTTGTGGCCGTCACCACGAGAACTGCCCATCACGCTGCGCACCCCCGCCGTGCTGACACTTTTGACAGGACCATCGTGCGCCGGGAAACTGTATCGGTTGTGGGCTACCCACTTGGGATCTATCCGGGCATCTGCTGTGGGTTTTGGGGTTAGTTTAAGCCGGACCCTCGTGGAGACGTCCATCTTCGAGTCCATTTCTGGGCGCGGTGCTCGTGGCACCTCCGGCCCGTTACATTCTGCTATTCGCAGGGTTGCACTGCGCTATATGCCGCTCGCTATTACATTGCCACGCTAGGCAGAGAAAAAGAGGCACACTCAAACAGTTCAACACCGTTTGAGGTGGTCGGGAGAGCCATCAGGCTTTCCAAAAGTGGTATTTCATGAATAGCAATAGTATACTGGAGGCCCTCAGGCGGTGCTAAACAAGCGTACGCAAGCATACGTATAGGTCACACGTTTGCATACTGGTAGCTGTTGCGAAACGCCGACCCTTTTCTGCTTCAACTATGAGAGTGTGCCAAGAGGCCTTGCTGCTCCTGCCATTCTTCGTCGTCCTCGACGGCCGTCTTCGGCGCACGATACAGCATGTAGTGCTGCGTGATGAAGACGATGTCGAAGAAAATGCTCACGTTGCTCAAGCCCAGCTTCACGGGGTTGCCCGTTAGCCCGCTCCAATCCGCCTGAAGCGATGAGTCGATCATGAGCTGCGCCATGGAGAATATCCCGCCAGAAAAGTCCAGGAGAATTTGGCCAATGCTCCAGCCAACCGTGGACTTACGTTTGTAGTTTACATACACCTAAATCAAGTCAATACTGACGTGCTGATCATCGAAGCAGTGACCTACCTGCGGCATGTACTTTACGACGGTCACGACAAGCTTGACATAGCTAATAGCGTAGATCTGCTTCAGGTCAGCCATCGTCCTCCGTGTCTATGCGCGCCTTCGGCGGACATACTACTTCTATCCACGCCCAGCCGCTGGGATCATTCCCATTATCTCTCTCTTTGATAGTCACGATCAAGATGATGACTAAAACTCCGAGTATGCTGCCCCAAAATATTCCTAGTATGGGCCGACTGGCCTTCTGTCTTGCGCCGACCTTGAAGCCCCAGATACGCGGCCAGAACTGGCTGTAGGTCACAATGCACAGTATGCAGCCATGAAGAGCGAAGAGGAAGTCGTTGAATCTGACCGTCGGCTCAGGCGCTGCGGGATGCCTCTGCGCATATTGCGAGCGTATGGTGGCTGAGTAGAGGAAGGCCGCAGTGGACACGGTATATGCAAAGAAACCGAGGACGTTGCTAGTAGGAAAGTCGATGGCTAGCCCTTGCGTAGACTTTCGTTTCCAGTTAAGGATAGGCTGGGGGTAGAATGAGAGAGACCTGCTAGAGTTTAGTCTGCTGGAAGGTTTTCCAATGTCTACAGTTTGTTTCATCCTTACCAGCACAAGAAGTACACCCAGCCGAGCACTCTTGACACCGCCTTCGCAAAGTATACAAGTTCAGCGTCGGTCATACCTTCAGGAACTTAGGCCGTGAAGCCAAACCGGCGAGATGTTGCAAGACGTAAGCCTAAAGCGTAAATTCTATTCGTAGATCGGAAGGAGGGTATGAAAGTGAACGACTAAATTTGTCTACTTCAGCTACATCGTACGTTGGTCTACACGTGATGGAACGAACGCGAAGAAAAATAAAGGATGTGTTTATAGCACAGGTCCCATAGTGGTGCTGGGGACGCCGTGGTGATGCTGGCCAGGCCAAGTTTTAACGCAGGGGAACCTCGGGCGAGCTTGTTAGTTAGTCAGCGGCATCCTCAACCTCACTGCACCGGATCGCGTTGTCACGTCGCCCGTTCACCATCCACGACACCGGCCTGGCGCATCACCTGCTGTCTCTGCTGCCTCACTGATGCGCGCCTGCGACTATTTAATTCCCACGCGCTTGCGCATGCGGTAGCTCCAGCCCTGGATCACCACCACCTCGAAATCGCGTGGCACCCACCACCCCCCTCGCCAGCTCCCCATCCTCAACACCTTTGCGCGCCAGACCCCATGGCACCCATGTCCCCCATCGAAGCCTCTCCCCGAAAGCGCATCCGAAGTTCTACCCGTCCATCCGGTCGGCGGATCCACGCCCCCGACTCTGCCTCAGGCAAGAAGCTTAAGTACATCCCCGGAGGACCTGGAGGTGGAGGGCGGTACGTCGACGAGATAACGGGACACGAGACCCCAGTGGGCGGGACTGGCCCCGGCGGGTTCCTGTATACCGGACCTCGTGGCGCTGTTGGTCAGCGGAACCGCGAGAGAGGCATCGTCATGCCCACAGCTACTTCACCCAGCGCAACACCTACAAACATACGGCCCCGTCGCGATAGAGCCCCAAGACCGCCAGCGGGACAAGGACCACGATCGACGTCAGCTACAGCATCTGCCGCTGCTGTTGCACAAGGCGAGGGCTTCAAGCCTCGGGAAGAACGTAGTTGGGATGAGTTCCATCCGGAACTGGAGGTCGATTCCGACTTTGCCATTTTCAGCGCAGATGAAGTGGATGGCATAAGTCCCCCGGAAACAAAAACTTCGACACCAACCAATGGATTGGGCCAATACGCCGTGGAGAATGGTGCGTCAACACTGCTTGATGAGGCAGTACGCGCGCATCAAGACACACCTTCCATGGCCGCAGAATCCCCTTCCTTTCCAGGCCTAGACAGCGACACCGTCACCGTCAATGTGAATATCAATGTTGCAAGCCTTAATGGGAGTCTAGTCACCCCGGCAAAGCGAAGAGTTGGAAGGCCATCGCGACGAACAGACGCCATGCTTTATGGACTTGGATCTCCCCCTGTGCCAAGAATCACCCCCGCGCCGACACGCGACCCAAAGGAACGGCTGAATCTGCAGAAGCCTTCATATCGGCAAGTGGACCCTTTCGCATTGTACGAACAAGACCAATCCGTACAAGTGAACTACGTGGATCGTGCTATGGCGTCTGTCGGATACCAAGAGAGCGATTTCTTCTCCCGGTCTGAAAAACACTGCATTCGAGTAGCAGAGGGTTCCATCGAGGAAGATCTAGACCTGGCCGTGAAGAGTGACGGTGACGGTGCAGCAGGCCACTTTCCAGTCAGTCGAGTTGAATACGACATGGATGAACAGGATGACCGCTGGCTGGACGGGTACAATGTGCAGAGGAAAGACGAAGGTGTAGAGCCGATCAAGCCTGCCATCTTCGAGATTACGATCACTCAGATTGAGAAGGAATGGCATGCGCTAGAAAAAAGTAAGTTGAGTGAAGAATCGTACTGAAGAACACCAGCTAAACGTCTTCATAGGAATCCCCAAGCCCAATCCAAAGCCTCCTCAAACCCACCGTCCACGATCGAGCTCTGCAGCTGCGGTCAACGGAGAACCCGCCGGTCAAGGAGAGGAACAAGACACGAAATGCGCCATCTGCGATGATGGAGACTGCGAGAACACGAACGCCATTGTGTTTTGTGATGGTTGTGATCTTGCAGTTCACCAGGAATGCTACGGAGTGCCTTTCATCCCAGAGGGCCAATGGCTTTGCCGGAGATGTCAACTGGTGGGCCGTGGGACGCCTGTTACAGAGCACCCTGTAAGTTTTTTTGCCCGCTTATACACAGCTGTCGAGCTAACCACTTTGAAGGGCTGCATATTCTGTCCGAACATTGAAGGCGCATTCAAACAAACAACGTCTATGAAATGGGCTCATCTACTCTGCGCAATCTGGATTCCGGAAGTATCGTTAGGCAACACCACCTTCATGGAGCCCGTTCAAGATGTCGAAAAAGTTCCTAGGAGCAGATGGAAGCTGGTAAGCGCCTTTGAAGTGAACAAGAAAGAATTGGTCTTTACTGATTGTGTTCTTAGTCTTGCTATCTCTGCAAACAGAAGATGGGCGCTTGTGTCCAATGTGGAAACAAATCATGCTACGAGGCTTTCCATGTTACTTGCGCCAGGAGGGCTAGACTTTTCTTAAAGATGAAATCCTCGCATGGCACTTCTGGCACCACGGACGCCAGCGTTCTCAAGGCATTTTGCGACAAGCACTGCCCCCCAGAGTGGCGACGAGAGAACGACGTAGAGCGGGCAACTGCCAACGCAAAAGCGTTCTACCGCAACACTATGAGGTATGCACGCTGGGGTGACAGCCAGATGATCGCTCTACAGATTGGCACATCACAACCAGTTCCATCTGTTGAAGGTGGCGACGACCTCGCAGACGACGGCACGGTAGGAAACAAGAGGAAACGAGGCCAATCGACCAAGTCATGGCGGCTTCCATCTGGCGCTCCCGTCGTACCCCAGGCAGTGTATCATAACGTCGAGAACTCACTCATCAGATTCGGCATTCGGAGACGCAAGGAGTACGTGGCCGAGGCATGCAAGTACTGGACTCTGAAGCGGGAGGCTCGGCGAGGCGCTGCCCTGTTGAAGCGACTCCAACTTCAGATGGAAGCCTTTTCATCCATGGAGATCACCCGTCGTAATTTTGCTGGTATGGGTGCTGCTGGTCGACCAAGGTTGCAGCGACGTATCGAGTTTGCAGAAAGCCTGGAGGACGACACAGAACAGACTCGCGTTCTCTGCAATATGGTCAAGGAACGAGAGGCCATGAAATTGGCCGACGCAAAGCTGCTCAAGGCTTTTGTGGACACAGTCTACTTCCCCATACCTGTACTTCTTTGGCCAATTCTTGAGAAGGCACAAGCGTCAGTACACCCTTCCCCAATTTCAGTAGGCCAACTAACGCCGAAATAGTCTCGATCCTAAGAACGTCTTCTTTGAAGGGTTCCAATCCATACAAACCAAATTGGAAGAGCGATTCTACACGTCAGTATCGAACTTCACAGACGATATTCTGGCCGTTCTTAGCTCCGTCATTGGGTTTGCCGCAATCACAGATCCGAAGAATGCGCATGACCAACTTAATGGTGTTTCGCATAGCTCTCTAACTCCAGAACAGAAAGAGCTGAAGAAGCTCGCTAAGCGAATCATTAAAGCTATTCAAGGACAGCTAGACGATGCAGCCATGAAGGAATCCCACTTAGTAGGCAAGCCATTCGAGAAAGACCTCCCCAATCTCGAAGCCCTTTTGGATCAATCTCTTCGCCGTCAACAAGCCATCGCTGCATCTAATGTCGAGGCAGCCGCATCTAACACAGCAAACCGCATCAACGAAGAGGAGCTTGGAGGTGCTGGGAACACGGATGCAAACGGAGATACCGTTATGGTCAATGGCATCAACGGCCACGCTCACACTCCCGACGCAGAAGCTGATGACGTTGACGCCATGGCAGACGAAGACGCGGACGACAAGGCCATCAGGCTGCAAGTTGAAGGAGAGGCTCTCAACGTGGCAAACGCAGACAGGCAACTTGAGCAAGTCACTAGCAATAGTGCCGGCGGAGATGCTCCTGCGCTCTCGCATTTTGGCAGCACCCACCCGTCGACCTTGAATCCCGAACCGTTGACGCCTCCACGCTCCGAGAGGGATTTGCTTGCGCACCTCTCTCATGGCGGCATTCCATGGTATATGGAGCCATTCGACCCTAAAGGAACGACAATCCACGAGGAGCGTTGGACTGGCCGCGACGTTCTCCGTGACATGAGCGTGGAGTTGAGCGAGCTTGGTGACGCAGAGCTGGACGAGCTCGCAGATCCTGATGAACAGATGCAGGTGGACAAGACCGTGCCCGAGGCGGTTCAGAAGTCGGCCAAGAAAAAGAAGAACAACCGGTGGAAGGGCTATAGATAATTCTGCACAGTGGGAGGCGCATAGCGGGCGTCTACTGGCTGGCGTTTCATGGAATCTGGGATTTCGGGAGTGTTATGGATAGGTCCCGGGCTGCGGCTCTTGTTCTTTTGCGTGGTACAACACTGCTTGAACCAGAGCAAAGATTAATTGTGGTATCTCCATGCACAGGTGGATATCAATCGTATCCGGTGCATGTTGATGTTTGGTGTTGTTGTGACGCGGGCTGTGTCAAGTTCGGTATACTTTAAATTGGATGCACTATAGATGCACTGGTTTTCCGCCCGTATAACAGTCTATAAGGTGCCCTACGTATTTAGGACCACCGAGAGTTACTAGACAATAACAAGCCTGGAAGTCGTTTCGTTATTCTGAAAGTAGTCGTTTCCCGTCCATGGGGAAACGTTCCGGCAAACCCAATACGCTCGCGAAACACTTCACCAATTCTCGGTGGTACGGGATTCTCGGATGGGGGTGAACAACGTTAAGAATTAGATATATCTCGTCTAATTTGCAGCTTGCAGGTCTTTACATGTCGCTCTGAGTAGGGGCACCTCATGCACTGTTATACAGGTGGAAAACCACCGGATTTATAGTGTATCCAATTTGAAGTGTACCAAATTTGACATCCTGTTCAGCTGATTTTAGGTATATGGGGGCACCTTATGCAGCGGTAAGCAAGTAGCAGATTATATAACAAGACGCTGTAAATTAAGCAGTGCAGGGGGGGCAGGCGGATACACTTCCTATCTTACACCGTGTTAACGCTGTCTGAGGTGGCCTAGTAGGGCTGATGGGAGGCACAAATCGTCTCATTCAGCTTATTTTGAGGAGGTAGGGGCACCTCATACACTGTTATACGGGTGGAAAACCACCAGATTTACAGTATATCCAATTTGAAGTGTACTAAGTTTAACATCCTGTTTAGCTTATTTTAAGTAGTAGGTAGGGGCACCTTATACACTGTCATACGGGCGGAAAACCACTAGATTTACAGTATATCCAATTTGAAGTGTACCGAATTTGACATCCTGTTCAGCTCATTTTAAGTAGGTAGGGGCAACTCATACACTGTTATACAGGCGGAAAACCACCAGATTTACAGAGTACAGTATATCCAATTTAAAATGTACCGAATTTCACATCCTGTTCAGCTTATTTTAAGTAGGTAGGGGCACCTTATACACTATTATACGGGCGGAAAACCACCAGATTTACAGGATATCGAATTTTGAAATGTACCAAATTTGACGTCCTGTTCAGCTTATTTTGAGTAGGTAGGGGCACTGTTATACGAAGTACGGGCGGAAAACCACCGGATCTACAGTACTTGGCCAAGGGGAGTCGCAAGGGTCTAAAGTACCGTGGTTCATATCGAGAAACTCTAGATTTAGCAGAACTGTCAGAAGCCCTAGCTGATACATCAAATGGAAGCTATTCCGTAATCTACATAGCTTCAGAAATCAGATTGGCCCCCACAATGGTAGGGCTGAGGGAGGCCTAGGAGCTACCTCGGGGGCAAAAAGTAGGGGATACCTACGGCGCTAACGGCCTTCACCCTGGCTGAACAGTGTCCCTTTCACCTCTTGTCCTGGCGCGCAATTCGCTTTGTGACAGCCTCCCCTTCGCGTTACTGTTCTAAGATACCCTCTTGCTTCGCGTTCCGAGTCTCCTTGCGCGAGCCTTGCATTGTATTGAATCTTGGATATTTGCTGTAAGCTGCTCTCAACGCCCCTGGGCCTCCCGCACTGCGCTCCCTTCGTCGCCTGTATGACTGGGCGATTCCTATCAAGGACACTGTGACTGACAAATGCGATGGCTCCAGGGAAATTTGTCTTTTCTTCTATCCACATGCGCGCCGCGCTCCTACTCCCCTCGTTCTGGTGAACGTAGACATTTCTGCTCCGCCCACTCCCTTCCTCCGACGCTTCTGAATCCTCCGTCAACGTCGCATCCCCTACAAACACCCCGCAATCATGGCGCTTCATCGACGTTTCATACCGATATTAGCCCTTGTATCGGTAGCGGTGCTTTTCCTCCTCTACCAAAGCATCACGGTGCGCGAGACACTGCGCGGATTGCCACAAAAGATCGGCCTGGGAGACGTCACAGGGGACGAGACGCGGGTACCCATAAATGATGATTTACCTCCGAAGAGTAACGGGACCGCGAAACACACGCCCGTAAATCCAGAGGACAAGGACTATGTGAACTGGAACCCCAAGCCCGTGTTCAAGGGCGGAAGCCCCAGGCCTGAGAACCACAACTACACCACCACCTTCGTAGTAGCCAGAACAATAGACGAGGATATAACTTGGATAAAAGAAAACATCCCCGACCTCAACACCGCCATATACGTCGCCGACGACCCCTTCGCCCCGCTCCACCCGCCCAAGAATAAAGGCCACGAAGTCATGATTTACCTCACCTACATCATTGACCACTACGACGACCTGCCCGACGTCTCCATCTTCATGCACAGCCACCGTTACACCTGGCACAATGACGACATCCTCGACAGCGACGCCGTCGTCATGCTCAAGCGCCTCAACCGCGCTCGCGTCTGGCGCGAGGGCTATCATAACATGCGCTGCAGCTGGGACCCTGGCTGCCCGGACTGGATGCACCCGGGCGAAGTCGAGGAAGACCAGTTCCGCCAGGAGCAGTCGCAGCTCGCGAAGTCTTGGTCCGAGCTGTTCCCGCTCGACGAGGTCCCCTCCGTCCTCGCGCAGCCCTGCTGCGCGCAGTTTGCGCTTTCCAGCGAAAGGATTCGCGCCCGCCCCCAGGCCAGCTACGTCTGGTATCGCGACTGGCTGCTGCGCACGCCGCTGGGCGACTTCATCTCCGGCCGCATCTGGGAGTACGTGTGGCAGTTTGTGTTCACGGGGAGCAACATCTTCTGCCCGAAGCCGCACATGTGCTTCTGCGATGGGTACGGGGTGTGCTTTGGCGGGGAGGACAAGTTTACAGAGTGGATCGACACGCGAAATCAGATGCGGAATATCGAGGGCGAGCTGCGAGACTGGGAGGAGAAGGGACGGAATATCGAGGAGGCCGAGGCCGAGGGGCGCACGAAGGAGGCGGAGCAGCTGGAGAAGCCGGAACCGGGAAAGGATAAGAAGCTCAAGCAGGCGATCGATGAGCTCAGGCCGATCGTGGAGAAGAGACGCAATGAGGCATTTGAGCGCGGGATGAATGATCCTGAGGCCAGAGCGAAGGAGATTGGGAGGAAGTGGAAGGAGGGGGATGGATTTTGAGGGGTGAATGCATGTTTTTCGGTTCTCCAAAATCCAGCCATTGAGCGAGCTATTTGATGGTGGCGCGTTGAGTTGTTCATGGAGTTTAATGGGTCGGGGCGCCTGCATTGGGTATTGAGGCTTGGGTTGTTCGTTCTATTGGATACGGCTTCACCGAGAGGTCTCCTATGCATCAGTTGGGTTCTCTGAGGCGTTTGTGCGCGCTAAATGTATATCTTGGAGCGTATCAAGCAGTGCAAAATGAAGCAAGATAGGTTTATATCGGAGCGGCTTCTATGAAGCAATCGAGTAGAATTGGGTCCTCTTTAGAGTTCAATCTCGACAGTCTATCCAAATCAACTCCCTCTACAAATCAGAGGCTCACCCTGCAGTACTACAGAGCTCATGAAATCTTGCCTTCTGGATATATATTTGCCCTAGGAAAGTCGAGCCTGGTCCACATCTTACATAATCCGCATACCTCCCTTCCGCACCCCAAACACCAACGTTTGCTCTGTTTGCAAACGCGCCCCCAGCCCACCCATCATCGTTCGACAGGACAGCTCGATTGCTGCGCCAGCAACAGCAATTGAGCAAGCAATCATCCTCCCCGCGACTGCTGCTCAGGTGCGCCATGTCTGTTCGCTGCCTGCGTCGGGGCCTGACGCCTGCCGCTGCTAATCAGAATGCGTGCAGATTTAAAGAGTTGTGCCCGCTCTTCCCTCGGATTGATGCTCATGCGATTAATTTCACCAGGCGCGTCCGGTCGGTGACGAAAGAGCTGGAGAGGTGAAGACTTTGTGGTTGGAGGGCCCGGTGGTTTTGGAGCTGCGGCATTCACGCGGAACATACGCATACACGACTAGGACATCGAGACGTCTCGGAGAGCGATTCACTGTTTGGCCACATCTGAAGTCACCGAGACCGAAACCCTGTGCTTAAGCCTCATACGAACGAGCCTTTCGACCAGGTCTTACCATGGCTGCCAACGCGCCCTACTATCAACTGCACGCATCGCAGCAGCGTTCACGTCCTTTCGTGAACAACGAGGAATACACCGTCGAACGTACCCCAGAGAGTCATGCAGATACACAAGTCAACTTTGATCAGGAGGATAATCAGGTAGCTGAGCTGTTGGAAGCTGCCAACGAGGCAGCTGGGCTACGGAATGGAGCACGCACGCTAGGGTTGAGGCGAAAAGAGGGAGTTGAGAATCTTAGGACGCAAGTGCCGCAAGGGAAGGGGAAAAGGAAGAGAGCTGAGAGCTCTACTCCCCCAAGAGTGGGAGACATCGAGGGGAGAGCTGGGTGGACAGATCATGATAGGGTATTAGTGAGGGCAACGTCGAAGCGCGCGAGGAAAGACCCAGCCAGTGTGATTCTATCTCAAGATCCAGCTCTAGAGACGACGGGCCAGCAGATACGACAGCCTATTGAAGACTCGGATGATACGAACGCGAGAGATTCGTCGTCCATCACAGCGAGTGCAAACGTTCATACAAACGCCAATTATCTACCTTTTCCGTCCCGAGCCCCTGCACACGACCCACAGCTTATAGGCGGTCGTCAATCCCCCGTATCTTGCGAACCCAGTACGACCTCCAGTGAACCAAATCCCACTATGCTCCACCCAGCGACCGCTCTCTTTCGCCGCCCACCTGCAAATCCACCTAAGAAATACACCCGTCCCCCTATGTCCAAGCTCTTCGACTCCCTCCAGCTTGGCCCAGAGAGCTTTTTGCAACTGCAAGCACAGGCTAAGTCGTATATGCTAGACCCTGCGTATCCAGCACGCCAGGCGTGTGTTGGAAATCGTGGCAAGGGCGACACCGATATGGTCAAGCTGCGCCTGTTCCGTTGTGTGAACGACTTCCTAGTTCAGGGGGCTGGTGAGCAGTTCTTTGGAGTTAACGCTGAAGGTAGGGAAGTTGGAAAGAAGGCCATGAAGTCTCTAGGTGAAGGCGAAAACGATAGTGAGGAGCTCAGGGGAAGTTCTGGAGCGGAAACGAAATGGATATGGCCCAGAGACGGAAATACGATCGTCGGGCTTGTGACGCCATTGCTAAGAAGGATGGTCACTAACGAGCGACAGAGGGTGTACGCGATCGAGACGAGGAAGGGCGGGAAGAAGAAAGAGGGGTTGGGTAGTGAAGATAGAGACGTACAAGGCGCTAGGACAGACGGTTTTGAAGGTGTGAGCTATGATCAGGTATGTATATCTTACTGCATTCTTCCGAATTCTCGTTTGATGTTGTTCTACTTCATTGAAGCTCTCGAGAAAGTCATACGTGTTCTAATATTAGTCATAGCACCCGCCACATCTCGACCCATCACTCGCATCACCCTCGCTTCATGACAACATAAGCTCCTACCATCCACATCCACAACCCATCCAGCTCATTCCTCCATTAGCAGACGCAACATTATCAGAGGATCTTCGCATCATCAGTATCCATTTCTCCTCCTCGGACTACAAACCGCTGAGATTAGGTCTGGACTTAGCTTCCCCGACTACGGACACATGGGGGCTACGATATGCGGACTTATATCACGTAATCGCGCAAAATCTTGAAGGGGTGGGCATTACTGATGGACTCCACGGTAGTGAACGGCAGGATCGGAGTGCCCACAGCGGTGCTAGAGGCGGGCGAGGCGAAAATACAAGCCAGAGGACCAACCCGGCTATCCCTGACGCCGACCCGGCGCTTCTCAGAGGCCTCAGAGCCGCTGCTGGCCTCGATGCGGATGTAAACGCGGACGCAGACTCCGAGATGGGCGGTGTGCGGTTCGATCAGGACGTCAATAGTTCTCGTCAAGCTCCGGCAACCTGTTCTCCTGATGGTGGACCCGAGGATCGCTATCAGGACATACCGACCTCAAAGAACAATCATGACGTGCCTGAAACGCAAAATCTAAGGGTGGAGGCCCTTCTGTCTACTGGCCTATCTCTCGTGCGCAACGAAGACGAGTGGGAGCGTGTGAAGAGGGAGGTGAGTAGGACGTTCTGGTTTCGAGGACGGTGCACGATTGTCGTCACTGTCTAATTAAATAAAAGAGCGTCTCGAGTCTCGGAGGGCATGCTAATATGAAAGATGATTCAAAATTTTAATTTCCTACTCCGGAAGCTGTCTAACCCCTTCCAAAGCTTTGGCATATGATAATATAAGGTTGCTATCATGTATAGGACCTCATCGGCCTATAGCCATGCAATTGTCTCTTCCTCGGCCTCTTGCTCCATCGGTGCGGCTGTGTTTCTCTGCTCGTGGATCTCATAGGCCGTCGCCACCTCGCGCGCCAAATATTTAGCCCTCTGAAGTAAAAACGTCGTAGTACAAAATGCGATGATAATGAAAAGTCTATTCTGAATACAAGGCGTTTAAGCTGTACAGCTGGCTATGAATGGTGCTAAGAAGGCGATTAGGTAACTGGTTATCGAGGACGAGGAGAGGCGTGTATGCGTATGGGCTAGAGGAAGAGAGTTGAGTGTGTATAATTGAGTAAGGGGGAGTGTTGGTATTGATGATCCCGTTGTTTGAACGAAGACGATATATTGGGCGAAGCAGGAGTCGACAGAATCGCTGTTTTAGCAGTGTCGATGAGGATCAGTATCGCTACTCAGAAACTGTGTCGGCTGAAATCGGGGCCCGTGGCAGATAAATAAACATACGGAGAAGGACTTCACAGACACGCTGGGCGGGAAAAAAGCGGCACACTCATAAGGTCCTCTCTAAGTGTACACCTGTCTGCCAGTGCTTGGAGTGCTTCAACGCACCAATCATAACTTTTTATAGAAATAACTATAGATCTTTAATTTTTTCACAATGCAGCCCATCCCCAGTTTGACAGTTTTATCCGCCAACTTTTGACGGTCTAATCCATTACCACTTCGCGATCTTCCCCAAGGCTGCCCTCTTCTGCCACATTATTCTTGATAAAGAGCGATCAACCCTCTTTGTCGGTTTCAGACAGTTCCCCGGGAACCCACCCCATGCCGTCGGCGCTGGCCGGTTTCAAGCATGCGTACCAGGGCTCAAGGTGCGAATGAATCTTTACTCCCTCGACGAGGAAATCATATGTCGCAACCCTATGTTGTTTACAGTCTGCTCTGCTGCCTTTGGGGTTGTCGCACCAAATACTCCAACTATACGACAACCAGATTCGAGAAGCTTGCAGGAAGTCGTGGGTGTCCTCCTCTTCTTGTCCTTCATCAATCCAGTTTTCTACACCAGTTCGGCACGGATAGTGCATTAACTTCTCGGTATTGATACTCGAAATGGTGTCGCCTCGTGGTGCGTAAGCAACGGGAATATTGAATAAGGCCTGGCCCTTCCATGCGGTGTATGCATCCAATTGGCGTTGGCCGCCCGTCTGATTCGTCATGGACGTCTCGAACTTGTCGATCCAACTGTTTGGATCAACGAGAGCGTTCTTGTTTGATAAGTAGTATTGCCAAGATCTTCGGGTAATTTCCTGGATGACATGAAAGGTTAGAGGCTGGAAATGAGACACTTCGGCAAGGTCTTAGGAAGCTCGTATGTTGTAGTCAGCCACGTACCTCCACAGTCACGTTTTCATGACGTTTCGTGTTCTTTTTAAGTTGGATGAAATGCGGAGGGGGCGCGAGCGTATTAGTGGACCTAGTCTCAGATTTATCCTCTATCCGGGAAATACTACCAGCCAATCAGTCAACAGAAATGTCCTTAAATTTTGACTCGAGAACATACTAATAAAACCAGAAGGATTTGTCCGGATAATCAGGCAAACACACTCTGATTGCTGCGTTTCCTCTAGAATCCGAGTCGCACTCCCCTAAGGGGACATCTGCGACGGCAATGTATGCCCGATTCAACTTCCAGAAATAGTTGATAGCAAGCGCAAGATAGTGGTGCCGCGTACTGTCCTTAAAGAATTGGACCGGGTTTGTCCTCCGGGTGGCATAGCGTCTAGGTTGTCAGTGAAAACACGTACCTTCTTAAGAGCGAAGACACATGAGAGCAATACTTACCCTGTGAGCATTTCCGATAGGCTAATGTGGCGATTGACCGAGTAGCCCGTGCTAGCAAGGTCCAGCATTAATCTCATCAGAGAGCGATCCATATACTTTGATGCATCGCTTAGAGTTTGCTCAAAATCAGAGTAACCATTTGGTTCGACGGACGGGTGCTCTTTCACCCATGTGTCGTTGCGCCACGGCTCTAAATCGTCGAATGTTCTATGACAGTTAGTTACCATCAGCCATGCAGTGGCATCCCAGAAGCTTACGGAAAATTTTGATATTTCTCCGTCATCCCCTTGATGGCGGCAATAATTCCGGCCTTTTTCTCGAGTGCCTTTGCCACTTGATCATCGGGTAGCCCAAAGAAAAAGTCAAATGCTATGAGACTCATGTAAATTTTCATGAATATCCTTTGGGTTACAAAGGAGGCGTTGATTAAGACGTTCGTTGTCTCCTCATCGATAGTGAACCGATAGACGTCGGGACGGTTACCACTGGTTACATCGAGTATAGTTTCGGCCACATTAGCTCTCCACAGCTCTTGATGCTCAGCTGCCATATTCGAGATCTTGCCGAATGCATACCAGGCCTTTCGTTGATCGTCTTCGCTACCATTCTGGGACACTGTTTGGAAATACGAACACTTAATGGGCTGTCATATATCAGTGATAGACCGGACTATACAGACAGAACATGATTTACCGCGCATTTACCACCGACTCGAAGAATGCACTCGAAATCGGAATCCTTCAAGTTTGGCGCATATTTGTTTCTGAGATGCGATATCAAGCTTCCGCCAGTGTAATGAGAATTTTCTTCTTCTTTCAGCCAGTCCGTAACGTTCCACTTCTCCCACACCTTTTCGGTGAGTGTTTCCCAGTCAGTACAGTCTCCATCCTTGCTTGATTTTTGCGTTTTCTTCTTTTGCACTGGCGTTGCGGACGCCAACGTGAGGATCCCTAGGACGAAGAGAAGGGTTTTCACGAAGGGGTGAACCATTTTGGCCTTCATGATAGAGGTTGGCAGGTCAATATCTAAGAGACCTAGTAAAGTGGTGGGTTGAGTCTAACCAAAATGTTAATACTACTGCAGTAGCCACATCCCATCTTATATGCAAAATCAGCTCTAGGCAGCGTATCTGCGCCAGTCATCAAAAATTAAGACACCATGGTCAGGCGTAGAGTAAGAGGTCACACCCACGGATACTACGAAACTTCATTAGCAGGTTCCTCCTCATCCAAAACAAACCTCACAACCAATCAGCTCCTCCTCTTCGAATCCTAGCCCGGTACGCCAGTCATTGTAAAGTAATAAGTCTGAATAAGGGAGAACTATTGGTCGGGCCATAGTGTCCGGCCACAAAATAGCGGCCGAGAAGTAGCAAAGATGCAGGCAGACTCGTGGTACGCCGTCTCGTTCTCGCAGATCTAGATTTAGTCTTGGGTAAAAACTATGGGTGTTCTCCTCGGCTCGACTTTGACATGTATTTATAGGTCATCAACGGTAAGCCGGAGTACGTCGGCCAGATTATACTAGAGCTTAACAAGTCTAGGCTCTCGTAGAGACCATGGGTCTGAAGAGACAAGCCTGATGGATTGGAAGCGCTTGCACGCACTTGATAAAACCAACATACATTTCTAGCTGCTCAGCAAAAGTGACCGTGTATCGGTTTGAAGCCTAGATTTCCGACCAAAGATGAAAGAGCCATAGCCGTGGTGATTTATCGTACGTACTAAGGATACGCCCAGATCCGAACGATGAATAAGCCTACGGACTGACGTGCGAGGAAACATGGTTGCGAGTACCCCACAATGGCTTAACCTCTTATGTCCAGCTGGTCTAAATTAGGAAAGAAATTCATGTACTTCAAGTCTGGTAGGAGCCAAGATCGTAACTTTTTCTAGCGTCGAATACACTATATAGATGGTGGGATGGGGGAGCTCAAGACGGCCTCGGTCCGGCCTTAATTGTCAGACGGATTTCCGGAGCGGTATGAGCCATGGCACTCTAACTCGGACTTGGGATTTGATGCACTACTATGAGACTTGCGAATCAAAGTCCTTCAGCTCTTTGCTACAAGAAAAGTGGGAGACTAGAGACTACTGATGGACAAGAGTGCAAACATTCTCAATAGACCCTCGTAAAATGGAAGGCATGTCTTGCTGCGAAATTGATGGGGACAAATCGTCGGAAGGTCCAGGAGTCTGTTGTTGCGACTACCTGATTCCGAAGTCGATGATGATTCGGATTTCCTGCCAAAGTTTCGGTTTTCGACGCCCGTAGTAGTTCTACAGTCGCCGAGCAACCTTGGACGAGTCTTAAGGCAGTCTCACAGCATGGGCGGTGTGGCGACTACATGGCAAAGACGAGATTACGCGATGCTGCGATAGTGAGACCAGAGTACAAACAATATTGATAACGTGAGGGGCTGAGCGAAGCCAGAGGAAGCCCTCCACGTTGCTGGGGGTGAAAATAAGAAGCGGCTGGCGTCGCGCTAGAGTATGTACAATAGGCGCCCATCTCCGCCCTTTGCAACGTCACCTCAGCACCGACTTGGGACTACACGCTATACAACAGCTATTTGACTTCGCACAACTTTCGATATACTACAGAGTTGTATTGATTCTTCCTGCTGGGTATCCTGTGTCTCTTCATGAACTCGGATGTTTGCATGTGGCACCAACGGCCGTGTCTGTCCCTTGCAGCTGCCTACCATACACTTGGGCTTTTTTATCGTATGCCACCCATCAACATTTGTTTGCAAAGGCCAGCGGCTCCTAACTGCGTCATTCTCGGGAATCATGTGAAATCTGCCCTATCCATACTGACCTGCAGATGCGTCTTTCCCAGGGATACAAGATTCGAGATGCCCCCGCAATTGGTCTACGGAATCCTGCTCTCGATCCCTAGACCCAGAGCACTGCATAATCACGGTATAGCTGCACCGATTCAGGTAAGTCATTTCATCTTGACACTTTATCCAGCCGCCAAGCAAATATGGGACATGAAAGAACCCGACTTTATGTTGTTATACAAATACGCGGTACGTGTTTGTCTACAAATTGACACTGCTATCTTTCCCCATAACGGAGCGGCGTATCGTCCATCATGAACTCGATCCTCCACTGCTCTCCATGTCAGCCACATTTAACATGCAGTTTCTCGCACCCCTCCTCGCCCTCACTATGAGTATTCTGTCCCTCGCGCTTCCAACCCAGCAAACTACCGAAATCTTATCACACCAAAGTGGCTCGCTTCCTCTCGTCGTCACCGACCTCGTAATTTTCCAATCCAATCCAGACATCAACCTCATGTCCTTCATCTCCTTCCATTACTCCGACCCCGAACCATCCCGCAACCACACCATCTCAGGCAACTGCACTTACGCGGTAAACGGCAACACCTCGCTCTACATGGACTGGTACGAATTCTGCGATTCGTCGGGGGAATACGGCTTCTGGTACCAGGAGAACCAGATTCTCCTGACGCGGTCGTGGTGGAATTGGGGGTATGTACTGCGATTGGATTGTGTTTCTTGAAGAGCTCGGCTAATTCGGGCATACAGCAAGTTCCCTACATATATCACTGGCTTTGCACCGAGTGCTACCAATTGGACTGCTGATAACACGACTATCTCTCCAGTTGGGGTAGTCCATTCGCGGACGGAGCCGTGGTTTATTCCGATTACGAGTGTTATTGCATGAATCTTCGCGGTTTCTTTGGTCAGTTGTGGTGTACTTTTTCCCGTAAAGCTTGAGCTGTGGCTGTATAGGCATGAGTCACAAGAGCCGCTGAGTCGCCTCAGCTTCTTTGGTCCTATCTAAGAGCTGCTGAGGTGGATTCTTGATTGCATTCGACTTGAGGGGCGAAACCTGTAAAAGAGGTCGTGCACGTGACCGGAAAGGTCACAGAGTCACGTACACAAGAGCATCAGATTGATATCTTCCAAGAGCTTGAGTACAATTACTGCAGACGAGGTTTAAATAGCGTGCTTACAAGAGTTCACTTGTGTCCTAGGCCTAGTGTTCGACTCTTGAGTCTCTCGAACCCCGCTTCATGATGTTATCAACCCGCGAGCACGACGTCAAGAAGGACGAATATAACATCGTCTATCCACCGATCTATCCCCAACTTAATGCATCAGATTCCGCATTTCGACTCGCTACCCATCTTTACAATCCGCAGTGCATGCCCGTTTTCCCGCTATTCTCTACACTCAACTGCATATCTTATCCCAATGCTTTACCTACGCTCTAAAATTCCTTCCTCATCCACCGCGCCCCCTTGCCCCAGCCTCAGCGCCTCCAGACCCAACGCCAGCACCGTCCGCCCCTCCCCTTCCTTACAGTCACACCGACTTCTCAAGTTACTGGAGTTCTGATTGGCTAAGCGGGATTTCGGATTCTGATTGTGCAGCGAGCCTCGCCCTTTGTACTTATAGAAACTCCTACGTCTATAGGTCTCTAGAGTTACTATTGAATTTTAAGAATCTAGGAACTTGCTTTCTGCCTCTTATAGCCTATAGCTAGGATTTGGACTCTTAAGATAATGTCTGAGCGTGGTGGTGCTGTGTAGGAAGACTGTACGCTGGCTACTGTACGTGGGGACTGTACGCCCCGGAGCCGCGCCGGCGTGTAAGGGGTGAAATGCAAAAACCGTAATTTGGATTAGGGTCTGAAATGCGAATTTATGAGCTTTACCATTTTATATCTAGTTTTAACGATGTATCCGAGCGGCGTCTTGTTGTTGTCAAGCTATGGTAGTTGAGTAAAATCTGTGCATCGCAAGTGTTGGATGTACCTAGAGACTTAACAACGCCCCGCTCTTGGCATAGGCCTAGCATTATGGTGTTGAGGCTTGCCCACCCACTTCACACTTCACCCGTCCACTATCGTCCAGGACACTACAACATGGCGTCTATACGGCCCATGACCATTAACGATCTGTTCAAGATCAGCACCACTAACCTAGACCATCTCACCGAAACCTACAATGTAGGCTTCTACCTCGAGTATCTCACTAAATGGCCGGATCTCTGCCGTGTCATTGAAGGCGTAGACGGTAACATCGAGGGCTACAGTAAGGTCACCTATTCTGCTTGCGAAGCACACCGCTAAGCTTTTTCTCTACGAAGTCCTAGGAAAAGTCGAAGCCTCGCCCTATCCTCCGCCCGTCTATCCCTACGACCCAGACACGAACACAAATCTAAACTACCTCCCATGGCACGGCCACATCACCGCCCTCACTGTAGCGCCCTCTGCCCGTCGACTGGGCCATGCGACGCGACTCACAGAGAGTCTGGAGCAGCAAGCTGACGCTAATAACGGCTGGTTTGTGGACCTCTTTGTGCGGAAAGAGAACACTCTTGCGCAAGAACTCTACAGAAAGATGGGCTATTCGGTCTACCGCTGCGTAGTCGATTACTACAACGATGGAGCCGATGCGTACGACATGCGGAAGCCCATGAGTCGCGACAAGGGCCACAAGCACATCCGAGATAACGGTGAAAAATTTCGCGTGGATCCCCAGGATGTGTGGTGAGATTCCTTTCGATCCTTCGGGGGTGCTTCAGTATGTCTAGTTGTATCTGAAAATCCTCGGGGCTGATTTAGCCTTTGGAAAATGTTATATTGTGCTTTGAGTTTTCTCGCCCTGTTAGGCTACTGCTGCCAGTGTCGTGTCCTGCCCAAGCTTGTACATTGTTCCAACCTAATCGGCTCGCTGTCACGTGCTTCTTGACCTTCACGGTGACGTATTGAGGCTGTTGTTCTGTATTCATGCATTCACCGCGTCCGAATCAGGATAGCTAAGCGAGTATCCCTTCTTCGACTCTATTTCACGTCCTTCGTCCTTCCACTCGCCAACACACTCGCGTCACCGACCTCATCACGATCATCTTGACACACCTACACATCCATCGAGACGCTGCACGCACAATCAATCCTCCAGAATGCCGTACGACATCCCTTCGCACCCGAAACTGCTCTTCCCACCGTCGCCAATTGTTTGCGTACCGAAAGCTCTTGGGCTCTCCTGGGCCAACTACGAGCGCGACTTCCGAGAGCATCAAGACCGCGACTTGACGCGCGTAGAGGCTGGTTCCGTGCTGGGCGGCGCGATGCTGCGCCAGTACTTCTCCTCCCTAGCGGGCTTCCGCCGTGGCCGGGCGTACCTAGGATACAACTGGGGCACCGCAGAGATGACGCCGGAGACTGAGGTTGTGGAAGACGTGGCGGTGGAAGATATGGCGATGTGGATTGTGGAGAAGAGGAGGGAAGAGGAGGGGACCGAAGAGGGAGTGATCCCAAGCGTAGAGGTCCAGGACGACAACTACGACGTCCACACCATCCTGATCGTCGTCACGCATGCCAAGTTCATGGCAAAGAAAGATCGGAGGACGCCGACCGTGCTGCCGTTTTTGGGTCCTGGGTTTGTCGTTGGGGGGAGAGAGGTGCGCTATGCCAACGTGGTGGTGTTGACTGGCGATCAGCGGACCGTATCGCCGCAGTTTGAGTTTTACAAGCTGGACCTGGATGGGCCGAAGGAGAAGAGCTTGGTGCCTGCCCTTGGAACGACGGAGGAGTATTTCGGCACCAATGCGTTCAGGTTGGGGAAGACGAGCGCAGAGAAGATGGACAAGATGTGGAAGGCGGCTGCAAAGGGAGAGCTAAAGATGAAGGGAAAGCTGAAGATGAAGACGAAGGCGACAGAGAGAAATGTGGAGCCTTCGCTTGATCGTTCCGTGCTGGGAGACCGCTCTCCGGATCGCAACTCCAGCATCTTCTCGCTTGCACACCTGGATAGCTTCGAAAACACGCGCGAAGAGTCGAGAGACGACGCCTCCACCCACATAGGCACGGACATCGACAGAGCATCAGAATCTATCGCACATGCTTCGAAATCTATATTCTACCCCAGCACCATCGACACATTCAACAAACGCAAGCGCAAGCAATCCAGCCGCGCCCTCTCCGCCGAAGCCTCCGAGCGCGAAGAATCCGTGGCCCGCGATATGAAGAAGCGCAAGACCACGCCCGCGATCTCGAAACCTAAGGCTAACCGAAGGCCCAAGAACGCCTCTACAGCCGCTATGACCGCTAACCGCGACATTAACAAAGCAACGCCGCCCCTTCCCACTTCCCGCGCGGCCAACGCCTTCGCCTCCAGCGCTGGCAAGTTCTCCGAAGCATCGCCCGGCATCAGGGACACCCAGCCATCCCGCTCGTACACGCCTCAAAGTAGCGCTGGCCAGAAGCGCAAGCGCCCGACGCCGGAACCGCTCTCGCCCATCTTCGATTCCCCGGTCAAGCTAGAGCCGACCGACGCCGCCGAAGCCCGCCCAAAGAAGCCGAAGAAGTCGTCCCAATTGGCGGCCATCGACGCCGCGCTCCGCCGCCCTGCCTTCGACAAGCGCTTCTGCTGCCCGTATCTTGGCTGCGCGGCCCGCTACAGCACAAAGGACTCCGTGCGCCGCCACTTCAAGCAGATGCACCCGGGCCTCGAGCTGGATATGGCGGCGTGGCAGTACACGACCCCCGACGGCATCAAGATTAAGGGCCAGCATGTGGCGACGGCTTCTAGGGCTGGTTCGCAGCCCATGGGAGGTGAGGTTGGGCTTGGGGGTGGATATCAGGTGAGTGGATATGGCGGTTTGACCAGCAAGAAGACGCTCTCGGCGCTCTACAAGCCGGTGACTGGAGGCGCAGGCGTGGAGGGCGAGAGGGCTGATTCTGCGGTTGCGGGAGATGACGACGACGGGCTTGAGCCTGTATATCTGGGCTGGGGTGTCTAGGGCTATGGGGAGAGGTGTGATATTCTGAAAAAAAGTTTGTTGGACAGTAGATATTAGCCTGATTCTTGTTTTATTTTGACAGTCCCTCAAACAGGGCATCGAGGGCGCTCTAGCCCATGTAGGAAAATCTCCTGCTTGAATGGCTTACTTTTTCAATCCCGGTCTATCTGGTCACGTGAGTTTGGGATCTGTAAAGCCGGTTCAAATCCAGAACGATAGTATCCTTTCTGGCTCTACTCTCGAGCTGTTCTTGCGATGTGTTGACAGTCTCTTCCTCTTCTGTCCGAATTCCGACACACAGCTATTTCATTGTCGCAACATCGTGGATCTTTTCGTCAAATCTAGCCTAACTAGTTAGTGTCCTAGCGGTTTCGTTAAGACGACATGCCGTGTGTCTGGAACACCGTCAACCTATGTGAACTACTCTACCACTACTGACGTACAGTACTAGGCCATAAGTATAGGCACACGGACATCACACTACGGAGGTTCTCCTCTTGCTCGCTCGACACCACTGTGAGGGGTGGCCCAGCTCGCCGGTATACAGTGCGTCAAAAGGAAGCCTGCTTTCCACTGCATTGACCTTCGCATCAGTGTTTCTCCGTATTCGATTCATCCTGCGGTCTTTTACTATCCTCAGTCGGTTCTATTATCTTCCAAGTCGTATATCCTTCTCGAGATTTCATCTATTCCATTGATCATTATTACACGGCTTCGACGCCTGTGTAGAAGCAGAAAGGGAAAAATGGGAGAGAGTTCAATGCCTGCACAACACGAAACGAAACATAACATTTCGGCAAATTTCGACACTACAAAAGATCCTTGTGTAGATGGTAAACTCCCAAGCGGTCGCAAGCCAGACTTTCTTCTTTCCGACATCTATTCGTCATGCCAATCACCCACACCTTTCCGTCCCCTCCATTCCCCCCCTTATTCCAACGAAGCAGCCAAGGGGCTTTCAAAGGTAGGACCTCTAAACCTCCTTATTCAACACCTCTGTGACCCCATCCTTTCCATGCACCACAATCTGCGTCTTAGACAAGCTCGTCTTAACCGGCGTCCTGCTGCTGAAGATCTCGGACAACTCTTCGAGCGTCCGCCTGCGCGTCTCAACGTAGAAGAAGTAGATGAAGGCAAACTCAAAGATGTCCCAGAAGATGAAGAGGAAGTAGTACTTCCACCCGGCACCAGAGAACGCAATGCCAGTGACAAACGTGTTGTAGAAGCCCGCAATGTTGACCCAGAAGTTGTAGAAGGCCATGCCCTTCGCACGTGACTCGTAGCGCAGACATTCAACGGGGTAGAGCTGCTGCAGGGGCGTGTAGCCGGCGGAGAAAACGAAGCCGAAGATGAAGATGAGGCCAATAACGGCTTTGGCCTGGCCGGAGCGCTTGATGAGGGGGGTGCCGCTGTCGTCGACCTTGGGTTTGCCGTCGGGGCCGTCGATGACGTTGGTCGCAACGAGAGCGCACACGAGAATGAAAATGATAACGACGATGCCGGTGGAGACGAGGAGTTGCGGGCGGCGGCCCCACTTGTCGGTGTATAGAGCTCCAAAGACGGCGCCGATGAAGGAGACAACGTTCTGGAGGCCGTTGAGTAAGAGGCGGGTGTGGTTGTTTGTAATGCCGGCACCCTGAAGCATGGCTGGATAGTAGTACGACACGGGACCGTTGCCGGACCATTGGCCGAAGAAGCCCATGGACACAACGAGCATGGTGCGGTAGCGCTGCTCGCGGTTGTTGAACAGCTCGCGGTAGTCCCACCAGCGCTTGTCGGAGCCGGTTACGGAGATATCCTCGCACATTTCCCTGTACTCAAGCTGCACAATGGCGGAGTCGCGGCTGCCGTCGCCGTGGTACCGGGCCTGAGGGAATTAGTGGGGATTGATGCATGCATGGAGCAAAAATAGACTTACCATAGTGTCAAGGGCTTCTTCATGTCGATCGTTGGCAATCAACCAACGCGGGGTCTCGGGGAGGAAGGGGGCGCTCAAAAGAACGACACAGGAGAAGACCATTTGTAGCCAGATGGGGATTCTCCACGACTTCGTGCCCTGCAGGACCGAGGTACCGTAGGGGACAAAGGTGCCGGGGATTCCGCCCACGAACCAGAAAGTGTTGAAGATACCAGTCAGGATGCCACGATAGGCGGGATGGGCCATCTCAGACGCGTAGGCGGGGCCAGCAGTCGAGGTAATGGCCACGCCGAATCCGAGGATGAAGCGGCCGCCCATGAATCCACCCAGGTTGGTGCAGGTGGCCTGGATACATGTGCCAATAACGATGATGAGGCAGCCGATGAACATGCCCCATTTTCGGCCTGGAATAGTCAGTTTTGCTTGTTGAATTCAATTGAGAAGGTAGGACCATTCAGGAGGTATATCGAAGATAACGAGAGCAAGCAAAATTACACACCTTTCCAATCAGTAGCAGGCCCAGCAGCGAAGGATCCCACGAGATTGCCAATGGTGTAGATGGCGTAGACGATGCCGGTGCCAGGGGTACCCTCAGTGAGGGAGAAGCCAAAGTATGAACGGTACTGGGCGTAGCTGTTGATGGCGCCCATCAAGGAACCATCGTAACCGTTGATGCAGGAGTTGAGAGTAGCGACGAACAGCACCAGGTAGAGCTGGGCGTGGTGAGCGTAGTTGTAGCTGCGGGGAACGCGCTGGACTCACCTTGAACATGGCCTTGGTCCATGGCTTGACGTGGGCCTTGAGGGTGGCATCAGCCAGGGAGACATTGTGCACCTGGCGGATCTCGGTGCTGTGCTCGGTCTCATTGTGGGCGACGCCCACGTCCTTCTCCATGGTGATGGCTGTGGTCAAAGAGGGAAGGTTTCAGTGAAGGGGAACCGAGGGTGCTGTGTCAGCTGAATGCGCACTGGAGGAGCAGAATCTGGGGGATTGGCGGGCATGATATAGAATTGGAGCGCCCGCATTGAGGCAGAGGCCAGATCAGGCCCGGGGTAGGAGTCGCGGTCCGGGATGCTGGACTCTGTGGTCGCGAGATGGGGTGGTCCGCCGCAAGGGACAGCTGCTGGTCAGGGCCTTGGAGGCCAACGAGAGGGTGGTGAGGCTGGCACGCCGGCAGCGCCCCAGATTCCGTCTGCGGGAGGGCAACGGGCTTGCGTCCATCACGCGCTTGGTTCGGCAGCACAGAGAAGCAGTGCTCGTTCGAAGCAGTGCGGCCCGGAGCAAGATGGGACTGGGCCTCCGTGTCCTACTGGGACAGCTCAGCTACGGCGGCGCTGTAGACAGTGGCCGTCGTGACCTGCCTCTCCTGACCGCGAGCACAGCAAGGCGCGGCACGAGGGCTGGCTCGAGGCATGGCGCGATGATTACGGCGCCGTGGCGCTGGTGCAGTGGCAGATTTTGCACGTATGGGCGGCTCTATCGCGGTGCTGGACCGGCAGTGCTCGACGAGCGTGTTGGCGAGGTGGTAATGCGGGCCGACACTGCGGCGCTTGCACGCCTCTCCACACTCTCGGCATTTGCCACCCCGGCTTCTGCACGGCCTCCACGCTTCTGGGCGTGCAGCAATGAACTGTGCAGCTGGTGGCGTGGGCACAAAATCTCCCGAGACGCCAATCCCCACAGCTCAAGTCCTGTGCGAGATGCACTGAGAAGCATGAGCGTCCGTCGCGCTCCTGCAGCATGGCAGATCGACTGTTCGTGTCTCTTCCAACGTCAATTGCATGCGGCGCACGCTGTAGGCATTGCTGTACATGGACCCCAAGCTTCCTGCGATGGCTGCAGAGGTAAATGCCTTGGTGAGCGTGACCTAGCACGCGGGGCATGGAAAAGATAATTCAAGAGCAAGCTGTCTCGTGCGTACACCTGTCTGCCACTGCTTGGCATGCTTCAACAATTCATAGATACCCGAAAAGGCACATCTTCTATCGCTCTCACAAACGTTGAAGCACCCTAAGCAGTGGCAGACAGGGCTCCTCAGATCATGTTCCAATCAGGACATGCTGGAAGGGTTTCCGAAGGCAGGGCTCGATGACTTGCATCCAATATTCTGCGTTGGCCGACGAGGCGATCCGAGCTGTAGGTAAATCGGGCCACGTTGGGGTTCTACGGGGCTTCTGGCCGAAGGTCCCATGCGAAAGACGGTTCTCGTCGCCACGATGCGCTCGAGGTGGACCGGGCGGGTGGAAGCAGTGGCAGATGGGTTGGATGGGGTGAGGTAACTGGGAGAGAATTCGCATAAAAGAAAAACAGGCTAACCCGGAGCGACACGGAGTGAAGCTCGACGACGAGGGTACGGGCTGGCACGTGCGGGATGCCTCATTGGTGGGGTAGACGGATAAGCGGGGCGATGCATGTCATACCTAGGCACGCGAGGCGCGAAAAAGGTGGCACTCTCCAACCTTGGAAGACCGTCTGAGGCGGCTGGGAGAGCTATCAGTCTTGTCAAAACTGGTCTTTCATGAATAATAATAGTATACTGGAGTACCTCGAGCGGTGCTAAACAAGCGTAGGCACACAAGAAATAGTGTGTACCTCAAAAAGAGGAAGTTTCGAATCAGAACCACGGTTTCGTAGACTGCCAATTTCTGTTCAGGGAGCTAACGCTCATTAGGCACGCTGAAGCGAGCGGCTTTAAGGTTACCTATTGGCGGTACGGTATAAACTGACCAAGTACATGTAGGAACCAGTTGCCTTGTTCGGCCATTTCTAACTAACCGATGATGAGGTTGGCGATACCTAGGGCAATCTTGAGGAAACCATGCTGCCTCATGTGTACATCTCTGGTGGCAACCCATCATCTTCTCAACCCCACATCCACATCGCAGACCACACACTGTACACGACCCTGGAACTGCGTGGAGCCTTCCCCACATGATGACGACATTCTACTCCACCGTGCCCGTTGACGTGGACGCCGTCCTAGACTCTCTGAAAGCAGGACCGCCTGGTCTAGGAATAGAGTGGGACTTCTTCATTCCGGCTGACAACGACGCAGCAGAGGACTAGGAGGCTTTCAAAAAGCATGCTGAAGGCCATCAATGAATAGGCTTCGAGATGAGGAGATGGAAGTCGGAAAGGGGTGGCACTGGTGCTGAGCATCACCGGCGGTGATCATTGTGACGAGTGGTGGGGGCTGCGATTCCTCCTTCTCCTTCTCCTTTCCAACCACACATCGCCGAAGTGTGCTGCTGATCTTTTGCGAGACACTCCATCCACCCGTGAAGAACAAGTCCTAGAACGCGGGGGAGGAAGATATTATACCCAACAGAAGCTTGGCGCACGTGACGAGGTAACGTTGCATCAGGTGAGAAGCATCAATGACATCAGCACTATCCATGACCGGGGTTCCGAAAGCTTGTCACTCTGGAACCATATCCTCATCGTAGGGCGTTAGACAACAAGCAGGTCCTAGTCATTCAAATCGATCCAGAGTCTGGTACAAAGCTCGATGAGTGCCATCTGCCCGCGAAGGTGGCCGGCGAATATCTCCGATGGGTTGGCATGGGCTTCTGGAATTGGGATAGTGCGATGCAATCATGGGACCAAAGGCAGAGGAAGCGGTGGAGGAGCTGAGCATTGTCAAGTAACATTTGACACCGTTTTAGGTGGCCCGCAAAGCTATCAGCCTTGTCAATATTGTCCTTTTCCGATATTTTATAACGTACTAGATGACCTCAAGCGGTACCAGGCCAGTGTAAGAAAAGCCATGAGGGAGTGTGTTGCTCAAGTATTTTACTGCAGACCTTAATCCTCGAATATTTCCAGAGGTTGCATCCTTGTTGATAACGAAGAGCCAAATGCGACGGGTTGAGGGATATGTGACTGATGCCTTGAAGTGCCGAGGCGAGGAGTTCATCATTCAAAGGTATTGCGAAAAGTAGAGATATTACACTCAGTTCTTCTAGAGGAAGAAAGATCTCCATTTGATTGTACTATAAAAGCTTGAAATATCAAGTTATGGGCCTGATTGAGAAGAGAAGGCTTGGACCGACCAAACTGGAGTACTAAAACATACTAAACCGAAAAGTGAGAATTGCAGGAGTAACCTCAAAAGTGAGGATTGCGCTGCAATGCACGGGTATCCTACCTATCAGCGTCACGCCCCGAATACGCGCGGTGAATCAATCCAATCCGCTGAAAGTTGCCATAATGCCGTGGTTCCCGATCTTGTCTTTGCCTTTGTTCTGCTTCCTCCGCTTGCGTCGCTTGCGCTCGTCATCACTGCTATCCCCGTCCTCGTCATCTTCTTCATCACTGTCGTCGCTCAGGTCTCTCTTGCCAACTCCGTTTGCCTCGGCCTCTTCGTTCTCGTCCTCGTCTTTTCCCCCAACCTTCTCGTGCCAGATCTTGAGCTTCGTGCCGCCACCACTGATCATGCGCCCACCCACGTCGAAGCCCAGGCCGACCACAGGTTCCCCAGGGTGGTCCTGATCTTCATACTCCCCATCATGCCTGAGCTGTGCAATCACTTTGTTCTGGCCGATTCTCACAAATCGCACGAGACCATCACCCTGTCCCACTGCCACGATCTTGCCCCATGCTCCAACGCCTTCAGGAACCATTGTCAACACGTCCAGGCTTTCTCCACCTTTGGGATTCCGATCGACAATGATTCGTTCATCCTGATCATCCCATTGACCGCGCTCCCACAGAGTCAGCACGCCGCTGCCTCCTCCGACAAGTATTTTCTCTCCCTTGCTAGTTCCCCTCGCAGCCATGCCTCCCACGAACACCGAGCTCAGCATTTCTTCCTCCTGATCTTCGCTGCGGACTAAGACGCCCCGCCGAAGATCAGTCACAGCGAGAGTAGTCCCGCCCGTGGTGACCCATTGTTTGCTGAAGCCACTGGTGCTAGCAGCGGAGGGTGGCAGTGGGGTCAGAGAGGCAATATAATCGTCGTGGGGATGATGGGTCTGACTGGGTCTTGACGCGAGTTGCGAGTGTGGCGCACGAAGATCGTATAGATGTAGGGCGGAGGAATCGGTAGCTAGGAGTAGCGTTTGTGGTGATAGGCAGTGGAGCAGGGCAGGCGCATCCGTCTTGTTTGTAGTCCTGTTTAAAGTTAGCTGGAGAGTCCAATGGTACTATATAAGCTCCTCTACAGCTGATGCAAGCTTTTGGGGTGCTGGAGAATGAGAACTTACGCGTCAAGCGGTATAACAATCTTCGAGACGACCTGTCCCGTCATTGAGTCGGCGGCTTTTACTAGGCCATCGGTGCCAGCAGAATACAGTTGGGATCCGTCAACGCTAAAAGCGAGCGTCCTGCAGCTACCCTTATGTCTCCGGGTCCTCCACTCTGTGTCTACGGTACCAAAGCCGTTCTCCGACGCAATGACATCGCCGCCGGAGCTGCCATCGAAGGCTACTGGGGGCAGACGGTAGGTCTGGACATGTCCACCCGCAAGGCCAACCGAGACAATTGGCTCAGACGGGTGGATGGCCTGGGCAAAGAGGTCCGAGGTCAGCGGGAGAGTGCATATAGTGTCGAACATTGGCGATGCATGGAGTGGTGTTTTGTGGGGTGTAGCTATTTAGTCTGGAGGCTAACGCGGCAGATCGCGCTCTTATTTTGTTATCACGTGACTGGCGGGGCCCTTAAACGATGGGATCTTGGAAGCTTGCAAGATCCAATCCTGATCTGCGAACATGGCCAGGCATGGCCCTTGTACGTCGTGCATTACGATCGCGTTGCTCTTGCAGCGAAACATCCAAGTTCCGACGAGCCCCCTCCCTGCAGCATGACGTAGCGAATATTCTCACTGCTCTCCTCGACATATACAAAGGTATATTCATCCTGACTCTGCTCTTCTATAGTCGATAGTTGCCCTCAGTCGAACTATTTTGAATCTCTGTCGTCCAGAACTATCTTGATCATATTGCTATATTCATCGTGAAGTTTTTATCATGTCAGCAGTCGACGACCTCAAGAAGCAGAATGCTGCTCTTCAAGGTTCGTACAGCTATTGCATTTCCATTAGATACAGTGCTCATCTAACAAGATACCGTAGACGGCGTTGCTAAGATAGCAGATGGTGCAAAGAAGACTCCAGCAGCCACGCCTGCAAAGACACGGACACCTATTGGAACCAAGAAACCTCTGCCTATTGCGAAGCCAAAGACTACAGCACCAGCCAAGACTACTCCGGCTAAGGCTGCTCCGGCAAAAGTTGGAGCCCCGGCTTCGAGCACGACACCAGCGGCGAAGCCTGCTGCTACCAGAACTCCGATTGGGACCAAAAAGCCACTCCCTATTGCGAAACCGAAGACCACAACACCAGCAACGACTACTCCTGCAGAGACTGCCACAACCCCGTTGAAGAAAGCAACCCCCTCCACCACCTCTCCGGCTGCCACCAAGAAACCTGCCCCGGCATCCTCTGGCTCCACACCCCTTGTCCCAACCCCCAAGACCGCTACTCCAACATCAAAACCCGCCTCCACAACCACGACACCCCTCAAGAAACCCACGCCCCGGAAGCCCACGACTACTACTCCCGCCGCATCTTCTCCAACCACATCTTCTCCTGCCGCCAAAAAGGCCCCCGTCAAACCCCAATCCACCATCAGCAAAACCTCCAACGTCATCACCGGCACCACAAACAAGGGTGTCTCAACCCTCTCCTCTGGCCTCAACAGCACCACCTCGACCGCCACCTCCGGCGTCTCTGGAGCTGTCGGCGGCATAACGGGCACAGCTGGTAAAGGCTTCGACCAGCTGCCCCCCGGCGTCGGCAAGCCCGCCAAGCAGGTCACCGATGGGGTTGGGAAGACAGCGTCGAATGTGACGGACGGCCTGGATTATACCATTGGCGGCACGACGAAGGGGCTGCAGGGGACCGTGTCGAAGACGACGAACGCGATCGGGAAGGGGGATGCGAGGGGCACGGCTGCTGGACTAAGCTCCGGCGTGGGCAATACGGTTAAAGGCGTCGGGAAGGGGGTTGGGAATACGCTCGGGGGTGCGGTGGGAGGGGTTGGAGAGACGGTTGGAGGGCCGCTGGGCGGAGTGGTTGGTGGAGTTGGGAAGGGGCTTGGTGATGGCGTGAGTGGGCTTACCGGAGGTGTTGGTGAAGGAGTCGGGAAGCTGGGAAAGGGTGATTTGATTGGTGGTGTGGGAAGCACGGCTGGCGGTGTGTATAAGGGCGTTGGTGGGCTTCTTAGAGGTGTGCTGGGTGGGGTGGGCCAAAAGGAGGAGGAGGAGGAGTGATCTGTGGAATGGATGTGGAAGGGGGGAACTCTTTTTCCGAAGTGTATTAGGGTAATGCTTGCGCAGTTCTGGGCCTGTACGACTTCAAAATGTCAGTAGCTAGTATGAGACATGTTTGAATAGTGTCTTTCAAAAGGTTCCGATGTCACATCGAAAGCCGCCGCAAGGTAATAGACTGTCCGGTGGATGGCCTTTAGGCTGAAGCACACGTGCATGTTTGAGAGAATATCATTCTGGCCTATGATGCTAGTCTATAATAGGTAGCTAACAAAATAAATGATCCATCTCGATGTCGAAGCTTTCCTTTCCGTAGACGTCATCCAATACCCCAGGTTGTTGAGTAACTGCTCCGCATAGTGAGCCATTGTACGTGAACTTCTCCGCCAGGAGACCTCCGAGCATGCAGTCATCCAATCCTCCAACGCTCAAACTTCGTAGGGATAAGGAACCGCCAGCAGGCTAGCGTCGTTTTCGGCCTTCTCAGCTCGGAAAGCATTGAAGAACTTCTTGAAGCTGTCCGGAGGAATCCTTTCGCCTATTTGGTCCAGAGATAACTTACCCTCGGGGTTCTCCTTCCCGAATTTGGAGATTATTGGGTACACCTTGGACTTGATGAAGCTGATGAGTGCTTCTAGATGAAGCGGATGAAGGTCCTTTCGGTCCTTCCGCACAACATATGCGCTACTGCCAATGGCTTTGCTCAGTTTGCTACCTGGGTCGCGGAATAGCAGCAGATGCGGGACGTCAGAGCGGCCATCCTGTTCTCGAAGGACCCGGAAAGTTGGATAGCTGGATAATAGCAACTCCAGACCGAGCATTCTGCATATCGCGGAGGAAGCCGCCTTATGAAACATGTCATGATCCGCCGGTACGCTGAGCTGGGTATACTCGCTGAAAGCGGGTCCGGGTAGACCGCCTAACATTTTGCACCCTCGAAACTTTCATGGTGACACCCTCGACACGCCCTGGCGGCGGCTTCGGTAGGAAAAGCCTGTCAAAACCCTCACTAGGGGTTGTAAGGAAGTCGCTGACGTGACGGAAGTCCTCCATTGTCAAGTCAACCAAGTTGCCTAGGTCCTTCCCATCAACTTGTCCAAAGGCTAGGACTGGACGGCGCCAGCAGAACCTCACGAGGCCTTTCGTCGATCACCGGATAGACTCGTTGCGCATGGGGCGACCGATCCATTCATCATCACGGACCACCTTGATCACGTGTGGTAGCTTTCGTCTAAGGACCTTGCTCTTGCTGATGATGAAAATATTTCCATATTCAACGTCGGCTCCACGAACCGATTCGAATAGTGGCCACTGATCGCGCCGATTGCCCTCCTCTCTCTTGACTTCTTCGAACGGAAGCCAAACCATCTTGGGCGATAGTCCAGAATACGGGAAGTAGATTGCTCTCACAGAGAGCGCGTGTTTCTGAGGCTTCTGATCCACGAAGTTCTGCCATAGGAGCTCGTGAGCCGGCCAGTCGTCTTTCTGGCATGCTTCGGAGCAGTAGTTGATGGATCGATAGGTTGGACAGCCTAGCGATGTGGCTTTGTTGCACATGGCGCAATGGACAGTCTTAACGAGCTGCGGCATTTTTCTAGTTATGCCCATGCCTACTGCCAGGTCCTCCACTGCAAGGACGTCTTCGTCGATGTGGTCGTCGGAGTCATCGTCACTGTCCAGTTCCCACTCTTCGTCCGATTCCTCATCCTCGTCTTTCATCGAATCATTGTCTTCCTCGTGACTAGACGCTACACCGGAAGGTTTTTGCATCCCGCATCAGAGCGGCTGTCTTCGATGCCCTCCATCTTGCCTCTCGCACTGTTTTATGACGGAGTTAACAAGACTTTTCTGCAGAGCGATACTTTACAGTGATAGGCCATAAGTCTGTGCACACGCATTTGCCACTGCTTGGGGTACCGCCCATGGAAGTTCAAACACCTAGGCGCGATGTCAAGTTTCAAGTAATAAAAATTAGACTGCCCCTTGACTAGCCGGCTGCTTACTAGCTGGGCTGCTCCTCACAGTGGTGTCGAGTGAGCAATAGTGGAGCCAAGCAGTGATAGATCCGTGTGCCCAGACTTATGAGCTAGTACTGTAAAAGTGAAGAGGGCACATACCGTTGGATTTGCTTCCCGACTCAAAGATGTGTCAACCTAGCAGCGTATCGGACCCACTCTGGCAGGTCGTTGCCGCGCAAAAAAAGGGTGAGGTTGGAGTTGTCAGGAAAGGAAGGACTCCGAGGCGAGGAGAAGCTGATAAGGAACCACGCGAATTATGAAGTGCGGGATCTCGCTTATCAAGTGAAGTGAGGTCACGATCGAACGACCTGGTAAGAGAAGTTGAGATGAAACCGAATTCGGAAAGGCTTTAACAAACGGAGGTCTTGGCGATGATCACGTGAAGGTATATGAAAAGAAAGACTGTCTAGAATTTTGAAAGTCTGTGGTGGCACCCCGCACAGCGCTAGATGATTATGCAGCTCGTAGCAAGATACTGTAGGTCGATGGTAGAGCCCTTGTCGTCCGAAAAAGAAGTCATCCAGATATACCAACCAACTCCATAACTGACCCGGATAATGATCTCGTAAGCAGCATATCGGCCGTCTTGATAGCCTACCGCCTCTCAGGTCCCAATACATGGAGTCTGATAAGAATGCCCTCACGGTGGGAAAGCAAATGCTTCAGCATTTCAGTGCCGACGAGGTACAAGGTGATGGAGAGCAGAAGTACGGACGTCGTCAGCACCTTTCCCTTGAATATGCCGCCTACCGATGCCTTCTGTCGAGATCTTTCGAATAGAGGCGCGACCGTGAACTGGCAGAAGCTGATGAGGGCATCAACGGGCTACCATAGGAGTGGCTTGCGATGACTGACCCACGCCAGGAGTATGACCCAAGTCCATTTGTAGCCATTTTGATCCAGCGACTATGCATTACCCAATTACTGAACAACATTACGATCTCACATGGGCGAATTTGGTAGAGAACGGTACTCCGGTGAATTGAGTACGACTTGGAAGGGTCGAAAGGGCGCAAAAGATTTGTGAATGAAGCGGTCTGATCCCGCCCACCACTGAGATTCTCTGGTAATTCCTCGTACGGGGACCCAGGTCCACTCAGGTTCCATTAAACTCGCTGGAAATGAGAGAACACGAATGCTCTGGGCATGTTGGGGTCGTCCCTAATTAGAGAAATCGAGGCAGAGCACCTTGTTACTAGCCCAATCCTCTTTTTGGCAATTCTCTGAGCAGTATCTGACTCCTTGGCAAGTAGACCAAGCCAATGAGGCCGCCTTGTCGCAGACCGCGCAGATTGTTGCTAGGATGAACCTGGCCAGCGTGTCTGTCGTATCATTTCCGGTAATTGTGCTAGATCTTCTGGAGCCCGTTGCGTCTAGCTCTAGAGGGTCCGCCATCGTTTCGCTCGCTTTACCGCAGAAGCAGCAACCTATTTGGTATGGAAATTTAGACTCTCATCGATTAGGTTACGGTCATCCACCCACCTAGATAGTCCACTGATTTCCAGAAGCCGATCAGCCTAGCAACGTGCACAACACGTTGATATACCGACTCCGTACGAGTCGATGAGATGGTAGCTGAGCGGAGGAGGAAGATGATGACGTTAATGTGAGAGGTAAAGAAAGCGCCCAAGCGAGGTCGAAAAGATGACTTGATTTCTTCGGAAAGTGAAGTGAGATCTGATATTATGTGCGTGAGACGAGTGTATGGGATAGAAAGTACGTGGGGCTTCGTTTCTCTGCGCGCACAAAGTATCCCCCGACGTGCCTCTGCGAATCAACAGATCACCCATGATGGAATTGGGGTCTATTCAAATTCATAAAATCTGATAAGGGCACGCTTGACGGTGGCAAACAAATCTCCACAAACCAATGCCCTGGTACTGTGTGTACATGACTGAATAAGAACCTAACTTGAAACGCTTAGCCAGGAATCCAGACAAACTGCCCTCAAGGAGGCGCGTCCTCCAGCTGTCTCAAGCGAGTCTCCAGACCATCCCGAATGCCAACATATGCCTTGACCATAAGATAAAGTTCCTCGGGCCCAGCCGATTGCAACTCAACCCAATCCCACTCCGTCAGATACCCCCGATCTCTCGCCTTGTTTTCATCATATTGGAACCTAGCCAAATCAGGGCCGGACCTTACTAACTGATTCAAATCCTCCATCTCCATTTGCTCATTTTGCTGATAGTAAATTGTCGCTATCCGATCCAGCTGTCTGTAGGTAAGGCGGATGGGCGCAGGCCGAGGTGTGTAGGAGGAGTTAGACCGATTTCGATTGCGGTTGCGTCTACCTCCAGTGTTCAGCTGGGCTTCGGGACTCGCCCGCGTTCCATCTGATGGGTCCCAAGTGAGCTCAGGCTCGAGGTCGACGACGCCCATGATGGGGCTTATAGGAGACGACTTGAGGCGAACGATGACGTGACGCCCTTTAGGTTGTAGTTTCCTCACGGCAGGTGTAAGGCTTGTCATCAACCCGCTTTCAACGCCGGCTTCTAGGTATTGAATAGTTCCAAGAGGCAGGTCTGATCCGTATGGATCAGGGTGGAAGTGGGCTTGTGATTCTAAGGTCTCCGTTGATGCGTCCGACGGCGGGGGAGATGATAGTAACGCTTCTAGTTCCTGCCGTAATTCTAAATTATAGATAGAGTTGCCCGTATTGATCACCTTTCTTTTCCCCCTCTCTTCTATGTCGCGCAGGAGCTGTGCAGTCATCCTCTCTGGCGTATCGTCTTCGGGTTCGGTGCAATTCAAGCTAGTCGAGGTCGTAATTGGTGGGCGACCCGAGACTTTGAGTGTTTTGGGTGGAAGTGACACCTTGATGATCTCGTTGCGTGGGGATGGTAGAGCTCCCACCGTCTCAGGCCGCTCCGGATGCTCTTTGTGCAGATTTCCAATCCGGATAGGCTCTGAAAATACTGGCAATGACGTAGTCGTGGGTTCGACTTGCTGGGAAGAGATCTCGGCTGAGGTGGATTGTTCGGGGGTTGTAGTACTTTCTGTCTCACTACCCTCGAAAAGTGCATAGATTCGCGCGGTTGTAGGCGAGATGCTCTCTGATGTTGTAACCGTCTTAGAGGAGTTCTTATTTGCTGTGTCACTTCCTTCGCCTTCTTCGCCGATAGTTTTCTCTATTTGGGCCTCCGTGGTAATGTTCATCTCATGCATTTTTCGCTCAGTGTCCTTGACCGCTCCCGCGATCTCGATATCCGTTCGAAGGAGTCCAATTGCCCCGACCGGAGGCAATAGACCCGGAACCACTTCGTTCCGAAGCATCTGAGTCCTATCCGCAACTGACAAACCAAGCAGCGGATCATCGACCTCCTCTTCACCATCGGCTGCTGTGTTTGCCGCTTTGTGCCATCTCTTCACAATGTCCAGCAAATTTTGGATCTCCCGACCCTCCGTGTACCGCTTTTTTTCCGCAAGGCCTAAATCCATCGCCTTCTCTAGTGCCTTTAGACTCTCATCCCAGTCACTCCTGGTAGCTTCCGCCTTTCCGATCCAATACCAGCATCTCGCCTCGGCTACGGGATCCTCGATGCCTTGTGCTATGGGCAGCGCTTTGTATATCATCAGACTAAGAACTTTTGTAGGATCGCTTTCCATGATAGCCAAAGCACGGATGAAAGCAAGGTTGAGAATGAAAATCTTCATGTGCGTGTGCGCATTGGGCATGAGATATTCGGGAGGATCCTCGGGACGAGGGCAATGCTGAGAGCAGTGGGTGCACCTGCCAATCTGACCGGCTCTAGATGGCTCATGATGATAATGGATTTGCAGTGGTGGGGGTATGGCGGACGAATCCATAGAAGATCCTGATTCTGAAATGGACTTTGGCGGAGAGGGCGATGCTTCTGGCGACGGTCCCTCGGATAGGCTAGGAAACGTGGAACTTGAAGTCGTGGGAGTCGATGGAAGAGAAGGATGGCGGTGGCGGTGGAGGCCGCGAAGAGCGTACATTGTTGGTGAGATGGCAGCTGGAGGTTCGATCCACCAAAGTCCTGTGCCAAATGGCAGAGAATGCCTATTAGAGCCGCGAGGACTTGATGAGCCAGAGGATGATGGTGATGAAGGCGGTGATAGGTCTATTATATCCCAAATAGGCGGGTGTGATGGTTGAGGTGGGGTTTTTGGAATAGAGATCGTTAATGGCCGTGGTACATGCCTATTGGTATGCTGCGAAGGCCTGCCTCCGCGATGCTGTGGGCTATGTTCGGTAGCAACTGGTGCTAATAAATCGATCGGGGCTACATAATGATCGGTTGACTCGCTGCTGTTGATAGATGCCTGTGGCCGTGGAAGGGAAGGTTCCATATGAGGAACAGTGTTGGTCGATAGAGATCTTGATCGAGGAGTTGGATGTGTACCCGAACCTTTTTCTCTGCTGCCACCGTGGCTAGGAGATACTTCATCCCCATTATCTCTCTCTTTCGTCGATGGAGGTCCTTTTGGAGAATCTTCGGGATTCGTGACAGAGGAACTGCTGCTACTGCTACTGCTGCTGCTAAGGAATGCTTCGCCTCCACTATTGTTTTCTATGCTAGGCGTTTCTTTAGGAACCTTAACTGGAGACTGATGGCCACTTTGGCTAGATATTCGTTGCATATCCTGGTGTTGTGCCTTGATCCTTCTGATCTTCTTGATCAACTCATCACTCTCGTCTTCACTCTGGAGCTTTCCTTCTTCCTTGATCCTATTATTATTTGAGCACGGAGAAGGTGTATTGGAATCAAGCAACGGTTCGATACCCTTGTCTGTGATTGGCCGTAGTGGTGTTATGGGAGATGGTTCATCCTGGTGCTCGAATTGATAGATATGAAGCGGACCAATCATTCCCAAAGGAGGAAGCGGAGGGTCACCTTGATCGGTCCCAATCGAGAAGAGCCGCTGTCGTACTCCTGGTTGACTACTTGAACATTCATACCCCCTAGGAGACTCGGAATTCCCACCATGGAGTGTTGGTTGTTTCGATTTTGAAGTTCCCAAATGCGCCCACAATTCTGGCCGCAAGGGTATTCCAAAGTCTTCAGGGCCACGGTACGGCGATCGTGGCCCATAGCCGTTATTCCACGCAGGGGGGGATTCCGAATTTTCTAGGTGCCTCAATGGTGACCTTTGAGGTTCCGTTTCTTCTTCATCCTTGACTACTTCTTTACCGTTGCTGGTACCGACGTTTTCCGGCGATTTGTTTGGGCGCACATCTGGAGTATTTCTAGGGGCTTTGCCACCTTGCGCGAGAGTTTTCTGGAGCTGTATTACTGGGTTTTGCGTAGCTTCGCGTGGTCTTTCTGAAGAATGATCTTCAACGTTATTAGAGGTGATTATAAGAGGAAGTGTCGATGGTTTCGGTTCTCGTGGCTTGGTCTTCTGCTTGTATGCTTCCGTGGGTTTCATATAGCTAGGCACCTGGAAATCGTTCCGTGGTATAGGAATGGGGGTAATATAACCAGAGGGGTAGAAAGGCCTAGATGTCCCAGCAGCTGAGGTTGAAGGTCTTGTAGAAACTGTCTGTTCGCGAGTTATGTGTCAGGCTTCAGGCACTTTGAATAGATTCTACGACAGGCTTGAACGTACCGACACTGTCCGCAAGGATTGCGAGGGTTGCGACCTCGGTCGCTGAGCTTCCAATCTGCTTACCCTCGTCCTTTCAGAGGCAACATGGGCTCCTCCGGGTTTCCAGGGCGGTTTAGGATCGAGCGGCGTGTCCACGGCTCTCTCAAATGTATCATCGCCGCTGTCGCTATCGCCGTCCGCGCTTTGATTCTGCTTTTCATCATTATTTCCGCTTCCGCTTCCACCCGCCTTTAGCTGGCCATTCCTTCGAGTGATGCGTTTGCGTGTCGGGGATTTGTCGTCCATCTTCCTGGAGCCGCCCGGTCGGATGGCGAACAGTACTCATCGTCGGCCGGAGCTCCAGGATCTGAACTCACTTCAGCCTGGAGGTCACAGCCTCGCTTAAGTTCTTTGTTCCTTTTTCGAAGTGGCGGTTCATCTACCACCGGATACAGAATCTGGGGAACAAAGGAAGCCATATATTTTGCTTCTTGAGAACAGGACAAAGAAAGATATGCCAAGACGCGATTAAACAATTAGAGAGAAATACAATCTCAATCTACAATGCCTCGTCATAGGAATCCGTACACTCATTCACCGCCGCCTGGGCAGCCTCACAGTATTTTCAGCATTCAGAATAAGAGCGAAGTTCGGCATTTTGGACAATTGGTAAACTCGCGAGGTTACCCCCGACAGCGTCGATAGGGTGTACGCCGATTGGAACGAAACGGAAGTCCTGTACCTGATGAAGCTTGCTAATTGGAGTTGGAAAAGCATAAGATTGCAGGTGATATGCAACTGCATCATCATATATTGAACCCACCGTGTTTCGCCGCCTCTACAAATCGCCACAGTCCTGCATCTTCGGCCGCCTTCCTTACACCCGCTACTTCATCTAGGCTCACCGGCCGATTGATGTCTTCGTAGCGAACTTTGCCCTCATCTTCAGCGGGTGCTTGAACATCTCCGGGCTCGACTACCCGCGATCCCTTCCCGCCTCGTTTCATTTTACCCACATGCGCGCGGGGGAAATACTGCTCCATGATATGGAGCATGACATCCTTGGACACGTTCTCCGCTAGCCATTTCACAATCTCTCTTCCCTCATCCTCTTTCCCCGGCATAACCAAATGCCGGATGAGCACGCCCTTCTTGGCAATCCCATTAGCAGTGAAGCATAGATCGCCCACCTGCTTATACATCGCCTTGATGCTCTCCATTGCCGTATCCGTATAATTATCAGCCTTCAGCAACCGGCGCCCCGTCTCTGGCTTCCAGACCTTGAAGTCCGGCAAGTATATATCGACGAGCCCGTCTAACAGCTCTAAGCTCTCCAAACTATCAAAGCTGGAGGTATTGTAGACGATCGGTAATTGCAAGCCAAGCTCTCGCGCGTGGAGGATGGATAACGCGACCTGCGGGACGACGTGCTCTGGCGTCACAAGGTTGATATTATGCACATGCCCTACATCCTGCAGCTTCATATACCATTGCGCGAGTTCTTCGGGGGTGAGATCGAAGCCATTGCGCTGGTGAGCAATATCGTAGTTCTGGCAAAAGACGCAGCGGAGGTTGCAGCCGCTGAAGAAGACGCTGCCGCTACCGTTGTGGCCTTGGAGACACGGCTCTGCACACCGCGCATTCGTTAGCATTTGTGATCGAGGACCTGATTGCCATCGTAATGGGCATACCCTCTCCAAAGTGCGGCGCAATGGTGTTCACCTTGACCGTCTCCGCGCCGATGAGACAGGTCCCCGTCTTCTCGTACCTATTTACGCCGCATAGTCTCGGACAGAGATTGCACTCACGCAGATGTGCATACGCCTGCGACCTTTTCCGCGCAGCATCAGCTGCAGATATCAGATGGTAGCGGGGGATGTAGTCGTCGAGGAGGTAAGGTGGGGCAAGGTGGAGCTTTCGGAGCTGGGAGTACGGACGAGTCGCGTCGATGAGTGTCGGTCTAAGAGGGATCCGGCTCAGGAGGGCGGCCTGCAGTGTCTTGGACATGGCTGGCAAGCGGGAAGCGTCATGGCGTGGTGTTGGATGAGTTGTAAAAATCTGGTGGTGATAGGCAATGCCAGCCGAGGAAGTTCAGATAGAACCAGGGCCCTTGGGACTCTAAGCCCATTCATCCACCGAGCATCTGAAGCTTCAATGCATCTGAAGCTTCAATGAAAAATCATCCATTGGAGTATTGTGTATCCGTCATTTACAGCGACGTTACATATTACATCATAGCATATTCTAAAGGCGTCATATATCTTGCTCCCCACGTCTCCTCTAATCTAATGATCATGCTACTAAACTCTTTCATGGTAGGTCTCAAGTAAAAGTAGTGCAGTAATATAGCAGCATGGATTGATTAAGGGTAGTAGGTCTACTCGATTTTGACGTTATGAAAACCTTTTCTTGCTCCTCGTTGCCAATCTCATTCAAATTAAATCCTCCTCCTCGTCCAATCACGCATTACTTTCCTCAGAATTACTGAACCCTTTCACGGCGTAGATCAGTTCTGACTTCCCCTCACCTCTCAGCCTTCGCCTTCAGTCATACATCTCATACGTGATACCGTGCACCGGGTCCGCCTCCTCTGCATATATCAGTCAGTCGCTGAAGAACTCCCGACAGTTGCACACGAACAGCATTTCCCCATAAAGGACGCTTTGTCGAACGAGAAGGGACTTACCAAACCATGTAAACCCCACGTTTTGGCCGCCGTTAGGCTCAATTAGGTACTGCGCCAAGCCGCCCTTATTGCAGACTATATCGCCACCCGTCATAGTCACAGTGCCATCATAGTGCACGTTAAAGGTTGCAACCCATCCATGAACAGCCGGGCGGGTGTTCTGGTTCCAAGCATCACGGTGCTGGTCCATGGCGGTGGAGATTTCGAAGATGTTGAACGACGGATTATCGCCGGTAAGAGTCCAGGGTGCGCCTTGGCTTCCGGTGGCAATTGTGACAGCGAGATTACAGGAACGGGCCGAGTTGGAAGGGACGTCGAAAGAAATCTCCGTCCAGACCTGAGTATAGAAGGTGAGGGGTGCTCATGTAAGGAGGATAATAAGGAAAGTAGTGGTAAGGTAGTAAGGGAGGGAGATCAGTGCGGTACAGTGCACCCCAAGCAATTTCGAGTAAGTGTACAAGGCCGATGACCAGGCCGGAGCAGGACAAACGTAAGAGAACCATGACGTACTTGGTGAGCACCATTTACGATCGTAATTTCGCCTGAGTATTGAGTCCCGAAAGGCGTCGTGGGGAAATCCTGCTTGAGTGGGATGATAAGATGGGGGAACTGTCGGCTGACGAGGCCGGCTATGGATGGACGGGCCCATAGCAGAGCAATCGGTAGGAGGGAGAAGAAACGCATTTTGAGGATTCGAGTAAGATGATATAAGGACGTTTGGTGTTTGGAAAGGTCTTGCTACCTCGACAGGAATCCCGATTGAGTACTGAAGATGGTAGAGCAGCTCTCATGGCCATGAGCCAGAGTATTTATATATCAGCATACTTGGAGAAAGAGCAACTCGTCGCGATCCGCCTGATGTCGACAGGCGACCCGCACGGAAGCGATGCGAGGGCGGCAGTGACTAGACTGGGGCACCGTGCCACAGAAAGCGGATGAGAGACGGCTGTGTGCCGCGATCTGCGAGTAAATATCCAACAATCTTCTTTGGGTCAGCGCAAGGCAGGATGTCTTGACCTGAACGCAGCAAGGCGGGGGACGCGAAGAGTGGAGGCGGTGGTGAATCGTATGGGTTGGTTGTCGATGCCTGTCCTACGTGTGGAGGTGGTATACACTGTAGCGTTGCGGCTGTACTCAGTTGATTGCAAGGTTTCGGAGAGAGCAAAACACTTGGAACGAAGGTAACGCAACCGACTATCGATGTCACGGGGAATAGCTACAAGATGGAGCATGTGCATTCTGGTCCCCAAACTGGTTGCATTGGGTCTGAGGAATCAGGTCCGGACTGGTTGCATCCAATGTGAGATCCCACAAGTGCGCATGGGTAGCCGCGTCTGGTTCTATTGAGGTGGTAACTATGCCATGCACTCGTGTATGTTGACTGGCCATGAGGGCGGAGGGGTGCAGACTCTCCACAAATGACGAGCAGGCGTCCGAGGATCATGGTATGTCACCCCGCCAAACTATCCATTGTGTTATGTAGCACCAAACCCGGTGCATCACACGATGTGAATGGTCGGGAGTGGCTTGAGTGCCAACGACGCTCGTTTACTGAATCACGATCATGCGGTTGCCCTCTTTGAATGCACCTAGCACCTTGCTGTAGCTCCATAGATGCAGCTTCCCTTGATTGAAGAATGCTACTCCAGGCTAGTGGTCTTGCCTCGTTCGTTTCTTGGTTGTTCGGATCCTGACGAGTGAGTGTTTGAGTTCAGCTAGTTGGTTGGCGGTCTCCTTCCACTAATCGCTTCTGGGAAGCATAGGAGACGTCGAGGTTAGTTTTCAGGAATCCATATTCAGAGAGCAACTAGATGTACTGAAGAACGGAATGTCAAGACTCGTGCCGTAGGGTATAGACATCCTTTTGACTTGCCGGCTGCTTATTAGCTGGGCTACGCCTTACGGCGGCGTCGAGCGAGCAACAGTGAAGCCGGAGCAGTGTTATGTCAGAGTACCCAAGCCCATGACCTAGTAATATGTGCAGATTGAAGGCGTGAGCTATTGCTCAAACTTCCTCATCATGCGTCAAATCACTACATGCAGTAGCAGAAGAGTATAACCATATCTATCACACGGTGGCATATAAGAACTCAAACATGAATCATAGTCTCCTTTCGATTTCAGGGTATAGCTACCAGAACTAGCTACCAAAGCCAGTTCAACTCTCACATCGTCCTTAGACGTATCATCCAGAACAACTGCATCCAAGGCCCAAAGAGCCACCCAGAGCCCACCTACTTATGGCTCAAAGACCGCATCAACTTGCTGACAGCCCGCTTGAACCTCCCCTCCCTCTCCACAAGTATACCCGCATTCATCCACTCCTCCTGATCCTGCTCCGCCTCCCACTCCGCAAACACCACACTCTTGACCACCACCTTCGACTTCCTTGACGGCGACTCCTCCCCCACCCTCCCCCACTCCTCCGCGTGCCTCGAACCCGCCTCCGCCGCCTTTGGCGCACACATCTTCTCCAACGTCTTCATCACCTCCTCCGCCGCATGGTCGCTCGGCATGCGCGCGCGCCTCATCGCGCTGAACCGCGGCGGCGCAACCCCAGGCGTCGACATATCCAGCCCCGCCTCACGCCGCGCATCCTGCTCCAGCGCGTCCTTGCGAAACTGCACGCTCCGCTTGCAGGCGCAGCGCTCGTCGGGTTCCATGTAGCAGCCAGGCTGGCAGAGGCACAGCGCGTGGCAGTCGCAGTCCGGGGAGCGGGTGGCCTCGCCGCTGAGGCGCTTCTCTTCGCCAACGAGGCTGCGGTACTTCCAGTTGACCTCGGCGCGGATCATGGCGACGGAGCGGGTGGTGAGGTCCCAGATGCCGGCGAAGGCGTCGTCGGTGAGGCGGCCGCGGACGCGGAAGCGGGCGCGGTTGATGGCCGTGGTCTGCGGGGAGTTGTCATTGGGGTCGAAGCTCGGAGAGAGGGTGATGGCTTGGGCGTGCTTGATGCGGTTGTAGACGACGGCTTTGTCAAGGGCGTGCATCAGGGCCGGGTCGGTGAGTTTGGTCCAGGCTTTAGCGAGGAAGTCGTAGAGCATGCGGATGGTGAAGGGAACGGTCGCGTCTTTGAGCTTGGGACCGAGGTAGTGCAGGATGCGGAGCTGGAGGATGGGGTGCTTCATGAACAGCTGGAAGTGTGTGTGGAGGTGTTGAATTTTGGCGATGGCGAGGTACCAGACGTCTTCGAAGTCGCTGAGGGGACGCTCGGTGGTGGAGGCGGTGATGGAGCGGAGGGCACGCTGGCTTGGGTGGTTGACGTCGTTGCGGTGCTTGGGAGTGACGGGTCCTGGGCAGAGCTTGCCAGCCTGGAGGCGGTCGAGGAGGTACTTGAGAGTGATGGCATCTTCTTCCTTCTCTTGCTTGATGAGAGCGGCGCTGTTGGTCTCGTGGAGGACTAGGTAGTTCGCAATCTTGATGATGCGTTGTTTCGCTAGGGACTCATGCTGTGCTGGTTCCCTTCGGAATTCTGCTGGAGAGGAAATCTCGGGGAGAGATGGCAATTCCGGCTCTGAAATGGAGTCCCTGGTTCCACTACCAGATCCCTTGGACATCAAGGAGGTTGCGCTCTCGGAGCCCGTAGTGGAGGACCTGCTGTAGGAGGACATGATGCGAAGGATGGATTTGGTGATAAAGAGCAAGAAAGACGCTTTTGAAAGAAGCACTAGGCAGCGCTGATGGGAGAATGCGGTACAAACTGAGCTTTCGCCGTTGTCGATGGACGTATTTCTGCGGAATGAATTCGAATTGGAAGAGCGTGCTGGCCGAGCTGCAGAAATCTCTCAATTGGCGTCGGATGCTGCTTTGGCGGGAGAAGCGCTGAGCAACGCTGATGTGCGAACAAGAAAGAAGGAGCTCTCGCTGTTAGAGGTGCGAGAATGAAGGATGGAAGAGAAGGTAGTGAGGAGAGGAGAAGGGTTTGAGGATGAGTGGGAGATGGGTCCGCCTCAATACCGCTGAAAAATTCTTATTGTGCGTTTGCAAATGATTTTAAGACGGAGGCGGGTGAAGCGAAGAAGTGAAATCTCATTTCAGACCGCACTCAACGGCATCGTCCCTGTAGCTGCGACTTCACATAAGCTAGAGATCCTAGATACCGTCACACAGCTGCACGCGATTTTTTAGTATATTCACATTTAGACACGTGCGATATGTGGGAATATTTTGCTATCGTGAGGTCTTGGCTGGGTGGCTGGGAGGAGTTTCGGGGTACTTTGGACGGTGGCGTCAAAAACGTCAACGTCCTGGGTGTGACGTAACCATCTTTACTCAATTTCGTAATTGCCCTGGATTATGCGCGCTGTGTGCACACGGAACTGGCCTAGATACTGAATTAGTGCTCAAAGTCTTAGCACATATCAACAACGCCACGTGACCTTCAGAAAGAATCTAAGAAATTGATAGGATACCTCAACGCCATTTCACCAGCTCCTTCGCACTCGCAACGATATGCTTCACGCCATCCTCCACAGCATCGCGATCCACCACGCCCGTCGCAATCAGCCCACTACTTACCAGCAACCCCACCGCCGCCGTACGCGCAACCAGCCCCAACGGTGACGGACTCCACGGCTTGACTTCTTTCCCGGTTTTCGCTTCTGTGTACACAAAGTCCTGCTTCTTGTAGAAGATACTGCGCCACCAGTACAGGAACTGCCAGTCGGGGTACATCATGATATTCATGCCGGTCTTCGGGTCTATGGCCCAGTTAGTGCAACCGGAGGACCAGACCAGCTTCTTGCATTCGAGTTGGGTCCAGGCGCTGTCGAGACGGGCAGCTTCGGGCTTGACGTCGATGACTGATGGGACTGGGCTGAACAGCGAGAGAGATGGGAGGATGGAGCGGTTGCGGTAAGATGGGAGGGTCTTGATAATGGGCTCGATGAGGCTGAGGGTGAAGTTGATTTGGCACTCGACAGTGTAAATGACGGAGAGATGACCGGTGGTGGTGTTACTAGGTACCCTGTTGAGTAAGAGCTTCGGAACAGTATGGAAGGAGGACTTACGGGCCCATCATGATGAAGAAGTTGGGGAAACCAGGCACACATGTACCGAAGTATGCCTGTGCAACGCCTTCGGTCTCGGAGTCCCACTGGAGCCTGGTTAGCGCAGAAAGAGAGGGAGATGTAAGTTTCCTACGTGTTTGTTCAGACTGATACCGTTCTTGCCTCTTATATCCATAGGGAACAGCAATTGACTCGTAGCAAATCCGATTGCAAGAACAATCGCATCAGCTTTGACCTCTCTTCCAGACTCCGTCCGTACGCCACTGGGGATGATCTCCTTTATCGGATCAGTAGCCACGAGTTCTACGTTTGGTCGATGAAGACAAGCTAGATAATCGGTATCCAACACCTTCCTCTTGCACCCAATCTCAGTCTTTGGGATGAGCACATCCCAGTATTTCCTGGGGGCTACTCTCTTCACGTACTCCTTGTTGGTTTTGACGAGATCTGCTCGTATATTACGTCCGCTCTGGATATTGAAGCCGGTGAAGTCCTTCTCCATATCCCAATAGAGCTTCGCACGGTACAGGCGCATGGCTAGCGGCACGTAACGCATGAAGTTCTTAAAGGTCGAAGAGTAGTACGGGTTCTCTCGTTCCGACAGCCAATGGGATTGACGGGCAAACTGAGTGAGTTTCTTGGTTGCCCTTGGACCACCGCTCATGATGGGCACGAATTGCGTCGCCGAACATCCGTTTCCTAGCATCTCTATCAGCATCTGCAATCCGCAAAATTACACGAAAAAGAAGGAATTCTTACCAATAACCACGACATCCTTATTCTGCCAATCAAACCTGTGATCCCACTTCGCAGAGTGGAAAATTGGTCCCTCAAAGGTTTCAGCTCCAGGCGTATCACACTCTTTTGGCACCGACAGCGCACCAACCGCAGAAATGACGATCTTGGCACGACGTGTGATAGTCTGTTTGGTCTTCTGGTCCTTGATAGTAACAGTCCAAGTCTCACTCGACTCGTCCCAGATAGCCTTCTCGACGAAAGAATGGAAACGGACGTTCTCGAGGATCCTGTACTGCTCAGCTATGGATCGGAAGTACTGTTGGATCTCGGGGCGCATAGAGTATTTCCGTGTCCAGTCAGGGTTGAGCGCAAATGAGTAAGAGTAGAAATGAGACGCCACCTAAAGCCTATCAGTAAATAGTTCGGAAAGAAAAGTGAAGAGAAACTCTACATCACATCCACATCCAGGATACGTATTCGCCAACCACGTTCCCCCAACGTCTTCCGACTTCTCGATGATCTCGAAGTCGCGAACGCCAAACTTCCTGATGAGCTGGACAGCCAGGCCTAAGCCCGACATGCCGCCCCCAATAATAAGAACTTCGGTATCAAAAGACATCTTGGCTTGTTTTGTGAGGTGTTGAGGAAGACAAGGAGAGTGAGGAGGTAGGACACGATGTTTAAGGAGGTACGAGGTAGATAAGAGCAGTGAGGTACCCAAAGGGTGCAACCAGCTTTGACGCGTGATGCATTCCTATTGTAGAAACCACGAATCACGGACGAATAGAAGCTGCGGCTCAAGCAAGTGTGGGGTTGTGTAGGCTCCCCACAGTCACGATGATGAGACGACGTTGGAGAAGGGTGAAATTAGGGAAGGTAAGCCGAGATGCCCCGCTGGTTTGGCCAAACGGCGTAGCTGAGCCGACTTTCTGTGGAGACTTTAAATGAGTAAAACGCTTACCTTTGTAATATTAAATGATTGATGTCTCTTCATTCGTCGAATTGATTTAAATCTTTGAAGTGTGAGCAAGAGGGTGCAGGTCACGTGGTGTATAAAACTCGGAACAGCCAACCTCAGAATCACTCGTCAACCAGCATTCTAGACAATCCAACCACAATGGCTTGGAGAACTTTGAAACGAAACACGGAAGTGCCGTTTCATCATCCCGACGCCTTGAATATCAGTCTCTAGATCCTAGCCGCAGATCTAGAGCCCCTCACGTGGAGATACGCCCTGCGCTTACGGATATAAACTTACCCAGCTAGATATGAACACCAACCCTCGCAATCACGAATCCCACTATGTCACAATCCTCACTCTCTTCTCAACGCATGATCCACAGACTCGCCCTCCTCACGCGAACCCTCGAGCAGCCTCGGAAACCTACCCTCACAACCACAAGTACACCCTTCCCCACTCAAAGCCTCCGCAAGATGTCCACCACCTCCTCCTCTTCCCCGCCGAAAATGGCCATCCTAGACGACTACCACTCCCTCGCCGCCCCCCACTTCTCCCACATCCCCGCCTCCACCCTGTCCGTAACCCGCCTGGACCCCCTCCCCCCGCTCACTCCCTCCACCCTCCCGCAGTACACCAAAGCCCTGCACCCCTACACCATCTTCTCCACCATGCGCGAGCGCACCGCGCTCCCGCGCGCCCTGCTCGCCTCGCTCCCCAACCTGCGCCTCGTCCTGGGCACCGGCTCGCAGTTCGAGACCTTCGACCGCGCGGCCATGGCAGAGCTCGGCATCGCGCTCGTCGCGGCCCCCGCGCAGGGCCGCGTCGACGGGACGGGCAAGTGGCGCGGGCGCGGGCTGGTCGGGTCGGCGAAGAACGGCGGCGGGCACCCGACGACGCAGCACGCGTGGGCGCTGATCCTGGCGCTGGCGCGGAACGTGGCGGGGGACGATGCGGTGGTCAAGGGGAAGACGAGGGCGGGAGGGGTGGCGCAGGGCGGGTGGCAGACGACGCTCGCGACGGGGCTGCAGGGCCTTACGCTCGGGGTGGTTGGGCTGGGGCGGCTGGGCGCGGCGGTGGCGCGGGTTGGGGTGCTGGCGTTTGGGATGCGGGTCGTGTGCTGGAGTGAGAATTTGTCGCAGGACAAGGCGGATGGGATGGCGGTGGAGATGGGGTTGCCAGTGGTGGGGGGTGGGTTGGCGGAGGAGGGGGAGAAGACGTTTAGGTTTGTGGGGAAGGAGGAGGTGTTTCAGAGGGCGGATGTGGTAACGCTGCACTATGTTCTCTCGGAGCGATCAAGGGGACTCGTGGGGGAGAAGGAGTTGGCGGCGATGAAGCCGAATGCGTACTTTGTGAATACGTCGAGGGGGCCGTTGGTGGAGGAGAAGGCGTTGTTTGAGACGTTGATGGAGGGGAGGATCAAGGGCGCGGCGTTGGATGTGTTTGATATTGAGCCGTTGCCAGTGGATAGCCCGTGGCGGACGGAGGACTGGGATGAGCCGGGGAAGAGTAGGGTGCTGTTGACACCGCATATGGGTTATGTAGAGGAGGGGACAATAAACACGTGGTATGAGGAGAGTGCGGAGAATTTGGAGAGATGGTTGGATGGGAGGGAGCTACTGCATAGGTTGGTATGAACTAAATAGATTAGGCATAGATGTGTAGATACTAGATAATGGAGCATGATTCTCCTCATAGTTCGGAGTAGAAAGAAGTTAAAGCAATTGCGACTCACAAGCTTTAAGTAAACTGCCAACTTAACTAGATGCGAAAATAAGTGAAATGGGAAAGAAAGGTAAGCTTCCAATCCAGCTCTGACATCTCTACAGAAAAAAGTGACCTGGGCCCCTCCCAACACTACCTATATAGACCTTATTATTTTCAGTGTCAAGTCCCCTTCGGGGGGCTGCGACTTTCGAGCCGCAGTTCAAGGAAAGCCAGACTAGCAATAGCCCAGTGGTTTGATTCCACTAGAAGACGAGACCAGTACCTAGGTACCAGAGACTAAAAATCCCGTGCCCTCGGGGTTTTTGTAGGGCTTCGGCCCGAGTTTTTTGTCCCGGGTTCGAGTCTGACGAAGGTGGGAGTAATTTTACTTTTTGCTATTTGGCTAGAGAATGGTAACAATGCGAATGACATTGACTTATTACGGGGAACGCGCCATGGCAGGAAAGGGATTATGGATGGATATTTGCTTGTATTCCGAGATATGTGGTTAGGCTACCGTCCGCTACTATTATTCGTACAAATATAAACTCCTACAATGTCAACGTTTCTACTCAATATTGACCCCTCGTTGATACGTCGGATCCACCTCAATCACAGCAGGAACAGTGCTACCTCGCGAAGACGGCTGCGGCGGTATCAGTTCTGGGATATGCCAGACGTCCCTATTCCTCTCCTCGAAAACGTCGTTGTCGGGGCCGTTACAGCCTTGGAGTGATAAGAACTGGGACACGTTAGCGACGCCTTGTTTTGTATTCATTGACCTAGAAGACAGAAAGGGGGTTCCAGATTTGATCACGTGACTAGTCATCTTGAATCCATCTATGTGTCAACGAGGAAGGAAGAGCGTGCAGCCGTACCTTAAGTCCCTCCATTCCGCCAATGAACTCCAGATCCTCTTCCTCGATGTCGACATAGCTCTTCAACACCCCCAGCACCTGCAATCCCGTGCGCCCTTTCCACTCGCTTCCTAGGTACCTCCACACGTCCCTGTCGACATTATGGCATTTGCAGACCCAGAGCTCGCGGCAAAGATGATTACAGCTCAGAAGCTTACCAAGCTGCGCGGTGCTAACTTGCGCGCCATCGATTCGTAGAGCTTGCAGCGCAGACGCCCAACTCGCGTCTTCGGCGAGGATATCCCACGCCACACACTCCTCGAGGCGGTGCGCGAGGCGGATGCGGCGCGAAGTTGAGCGTGCGTTGGGGTCCTCTATGCGAAGGGACAGGGTACGGAGAGCTGGCAATGACTTTAGAGCGTGAGCGATGTGGGGAGTCAGGCTCCAGAGCGAGAGGTCTAGGTGACGCAAGGTGGTCTTGTGGCGCGTGAGGACGCTCGAAATTAGGGCGTTGTGGAAAGCCAGAAGGGTTGAGGGGTCGAAAGTATGTGCGTTTGGGATTAAGACGTGGACTGCGTGCGGGCCGGAGCGTAGGATGGAGTCTTCGGCGATGCCCAGGCTAGACTGGGAGCTGCGGCTGCTTCGAGGAATGCTCTCAGTAAAAGAGGCTGAAAGGGCGTTTCGGGCGGAGGCGAATGCGGAAGCGGTATTTTTGGGGGTTGGGAGAGTGGTGGCTCCCAGACGGCTCATGATGCCCCCAATGCGAGTGGTGTGGATGGATAAAGACAGAGTATGCAAGCTGGATGTTGCGAGTGCATGAGAGGCGTGTGAGGTTTCAGAGAACTTCAGGAGTGACGTGATGGGGAGAAAGGAGAGAATATTGACGAGGAGCTCTGGAGGCAGAGCCAAGAGAGGCGAGGATTTCATTGTGATATTGAAGTGTAAAAGGATTGTATTTGCTACCAGATGCACGAAATGCGGGGTTGACAGGAGTTCGCAGCTGTCAACCGTTCGATATCAGGGGGAGTCGCAGCAGCGGTCACACGAGGAACATGGCCGCGTTTTGAAGCCGGCGCACGTCGCTGTTATCAGTAGGCGGGCGCATCTCCACAGCGTCACGACTTCAGCACTCGACGCAGCCACCCGCACAACCTCGCTGTGTTGGGATCGTAGGATCGTATCATGGGCACTGGATCGTCCGCCCCTTGGCTTGGAGGCCGCTGGCACCGTGATGGAGTCGAGCACGAGGGCGGAGCATTCGCTGTTGCGCTGGACATTCAGATGATCATGACGTGGGCGCCCAGACGTGTCCGCCCAGACGTGTCGCTGAGATAACAGGAGTCGGCACCGCAGCAACTGATCCACGGCGTTCTAGAACGTGCCTTGCTAGCCTTATAGGTCGGCGTCGGCGATGCTCGGCAGCCGTGTCGTCTCCAGCGGGCTGGACCTCCGATGAGATGGCGCCAATGCATGATCGAGGCATCCCATACGCAGACGACGGGCGAAATTGGACGGCTTGTTGGCGGAGCATTTTCTGGCTGGGCGTGCAGGACGCGGGCTGCGTCACGGACGAGAATCCCTTCGAGGCCAGCGGTTGAGACACGGCGTCTGCGGCATGGGTGCGGTGAAGGTTGGCCAGCAGACGGGCGCGCGGGCGGCCTGCTCTTATGGCGGCCGTGGTGAGTCGCGGCCGTGGTGAGTCGATGCCGTTGTGCCACGACGAGGTGGATCAGATCCCCCGAGCGTGCGCCCTTTTCTCGAGGCGGGGGGCCCAACCGCCTTGTCTCATCAGCGTTTGCTGCAGACGGCGGCACGCTGCAGAGTCATTCACACGGCGGCTGCACGCTCTCTTCCCGCAGCTCGCTCGATCTGGCCCACGTGGTATTGGGTGGCCGCGTCAGGTGGATGCATGTTGGAATGCAGCAGAAGTGGGCCGTGCGCGGTGGAATATGGCAACCTCCGGCGAGGACTCTCCAGCGCTGCATCCTCCAGCGCTGCATCCTCGCCTCTCTTCACAGAATGGCGTGATGGGGGAAGGTTTGCCGGGCCCGCGCGGCAGATGCCGTCCAGCCACACCACTCAGCGCCATGTCGTGCCGCCTCACCGCCTCACCGCAACACCCTCGTCGCCTACTTTCGGACTCGCGTGCTCTCCGGATCATCTTCAGGGACAACTTTTTCTGCCACGCCAGGGGAGGCCTGCGGGTCACGTCTGCCGAACCGCTGCTCCGGGCTTGTGGCGGACGCTTGACAGGCGTTCGGTCTTGCGGGAGCTACGAGTAAGTCGCCCACCTCTCCGCCTGAACACTGCATTTCTGCGTATACACTTTGTCATGGCCATGGTGTTGCCATCGCGAGCGCGCTCTTAGCCACCACATTGGCTGCTGACTGTGCAAGCTTTTTTCGACGCTATGCAACCACTGGCCTTGCATCACAGTCGCTGCACAACTGAACATGAGCATCACACGCAGCCAGAGGAAATGCGGAAAGATGTGCGCTCCCAATGCACTCTTTCCCATATTCCAACCGTGGTTCCCTTCGCACCAAGTCCAAGTGGCAATAAAGCCTCAGAAAGCGGATACAGGAGACGTCAGGATGAGAGCTACGGCAGATGCCCCTCCATGAGCAGGTTTCTTCGCCTCAAAATGTCTCAATCCGCTGAGGAAGATGCAAAATCCCCTCAATACGTGAATGATGCAAGCAACGTGGCGCGTTCAGAGTTGGCGCATGTGGCGCGAGGTGTATTTATCGGGCTATCTTCCACGCCTGCATGGCCTGGAATCGTCCTGCATGACGCTATTGATCTCTCTCAGGCTTCATCACCTTACCATCTAGACGGGTCCTGCCGCTGCTGCGTCGTCAGCCATTTCCATGTGCAAAGCGACCTGAGATCAGATTGCCGTCCTACTTCAGCTCAAGCTGCCCTGCGCTCGCCACGCGTAATTGGCCAAGTAATGGTCAGCTGTGCAGGCAATCTTTGACGGTCAAGCACTCCAGAAAAACCAAGCGTAACTACTCCGTCCTTACAGAAGAGATCAACGTCATCATTGCTCAATGCTTACCGCCAACGGCAACAGGCCTGTCGGAGTATCCGGTCGTATGGGGGTCCCATACTTGTCGTAGATCTTGTGCGCATCCATCTTCGAGATCAATCTCGATCCCCCTGTACGCGAGACCACAGTAAGTTACGCGCGCTTATCCCCACTGTTTCACTGGCTATTTATCAGATTGTGGTCCTGCCACGCTCTTTTGCCTAGCCACTTCATTTAGCGATCTTGATCGGCTTCATGCATTCGACGGCATTGTAGTTAGCACGGGCTTTGTAAGCTTACGTATGCAGAAATGCTCTAGACGCGCCATCCCAGTTGCATTAGTAGCCGCAGACAGGGGCATCCTCGAGGTAGGATTCCGATACTTGACCCCCACAAGTGTATTTTCGGCTCTATTCCTTTTGCGTTCGAACCGAGTCAAAAGCGTTCCAGCCGAGTCAAAAGCGTTCCAGCCGAGTCAAAAGCGCTCGAGACTAAAACAACCAATACAGTATTCAGCTTGCTGCACGAGGCACATAGGGTTTCGCTTCTCTGTATCCAAGCTATTCTACCGAGGGCCGGTCAGCCCTGGGGTAAAAATTCCCAACGAACGGGACCGCATACCCTCAGAATGCTTCAGATTCTGCCCTTCCAACAAAATGTGCCGAGGCTTCACGCGTTGCCCTAAGCTTTGCTGCGCCGATCTAAGAGGCACCTTCAATTTCGACCTCGTATCGGTGGATGCTGGATATGGACGAGCCCCGACAAGATCGACCACACCCTGGTCTCCGATGTCCGTCTTATCCACAAACCGTTGATCTCTGCAGCCACATTCGTATCGAGGCCGCGCTTCCTTCAAGTAGTAGTGACATAAGGAATCATCCAATCAGCGCTCAGGATCCTAACGTCGAGAGAATCCAGCATGTTCAAAAGTACGGACCTGGTTGGAAGAGTTCTGAGACCTATTTGACCAAGAAGCCAAGGATCCTATTTTTCGTAATACGCATTCCCGTCTTTCTGATTGGGCTGACAGCATGCGCAACGACCAACACCAAGAAACTCACTCCTGCAAAGCCCGGATTCTGGCTAGATTATTCCACCGAAAAGCATGGACAATGACAAGCAACCAAGAAATCTATTCCTCCCCCCTACCTCCCATTCATGATCCCCCTTTTTCCAAGGTAAAAAAAGCAGAGCTAGCCTCCGATGCAATATCCCGATCTACAAACATAACGCCTTCCAAGTAATTTTTTAAACAGTTCAGACAGCCTCCCATACAAAACACGGACAAAAACACAAGGGGAAAATCGCTATCCCTGCTAAGAGGGAACCATGCACCAATACCACGAGGACCATGCGACTAATACGCACAGGACGTTTCTATCTTTGTGTTCAACCGACCTTCATGCGAGCGGGTGGCCAAAAAAAAACCGGCGTGTTCTCCACCATACTCAGCCTCGCGCATCCTTCGCGCCTCCGCCTCATCAGCCGCAACACCAAAACACCGATTGTGCCAGGGAGCTGGGGGCCTGAGCATGCTTATGCGCCACTTGCTTAACGCCTATAACGACGCAGCTCGTGTCTAAAATGGCCAGAAAGTTTCGCCGCTGGCTCCAGTTCTCATCCATCGGTGGTCGGGATCGGCAGATGAGCGGTGTCCTCTTTCAGCCGTCCGAGACACTCCTGGAGGTGATGACCAAAACGTAATCGACTGTTGTTGCGGGATCCATCTGGAGCCCGCACGGTGCCACAGCTGGCAAAGGCTCGATCCTTCTACGCTCTCTCGTCCCAATTGCGGTTGCGGGGCCAGCCCTCTTGATCCTTCTGGTAGCTTTCGTTCTTGATAGCCCGTCAATCCAAGAATACAACTCTTTTCTCGCGACCATCGATGCGTCTCTTTGCTTGATAGTGCAATCCGTCCTGATCTCTCGACCTGCCATAGCCCCAGGCGCATTTCTTCTTGCCCGACCATGCTCACTCACACCCCCCAGCCCAGATCTTTCTCCCAACTCTCTCTCTCTCTCTTTCCTCCTCCCCTAACATCCTCCCACACCACCAAGAAAATCATTGTCATTGGCCCCCCTGAAACCCACCCCCATGATGCTGCTGCTGCTGTTGCTGCGGCGGCCGCGGCGGCTGCTGATGGCCCCTGCGCTCATCCGCGCCCTGCTGCTCCCCCTGAAACCCCATGGCCGCGCCCACTCCAAACGTCTGGAACCGCATGCTCGGGCTCAGCTCATACGGCAGCCCGCTGCCCATGTGCGGCTGCGGCTGCAGATGGTGCCCGTGGCCGCCGTGCGCCTGGTGGTGCTGCGGGTGGTGGCTGAGCGAGCTGCCCGGGCTGGAGTCGTACGCGCCTGTGCTGCCCGCACCCCCCGGGATGGGCGTGGCTTCGTGCGAGGCGGGCGCCGAGGCGGAGTGGGTGCTGTGCGGGGCGGAGGAGTCGTACAGGGACATGTCTTCGATGCGGGAGGAGGGGGGCAGGAGGGAGGAAGGGGGTTGTTGTTGGCCCAAGGGCCCGCCTTGGGCGGAGATCTGCGATTGCAGCTGGCGCATTAGGTCGCCGGAGCTGCCGGGCATGTTGAGGGCTTGCGGCGGGAGCTTGTATTCGGGGATGCTGGCGCTGGAGGAAACAGAGGAGACGGATTGCGGGTGGGGCGGGATATGGAGCGCGGGGTTGGCGTGGATGGGCGGGACGGGGATGTTGAGGTTGGGCAGGACGTCGTTGATTTTGGAGTGCAGGAGGGGCGCATAGCGGGTTTGGCCGTTGCGGAGGGTGGAGATGAGGGCGACGAAGCGGGAGAGGTAGTCGCGGGGCCCCATTGAGAAGGTTGTTGGGGAGAAGGGGATTACAGCGATTACGTCGGTGAGGCAGCAGGAGATATCGAAGAGTTTTTCGATCTGTTAGTGTCAGTCCAGATCTTAACAGGAGTCTGTCGCACTTGTGGTTGAGCTTCTGGAAGGTTGTTTTGGAGAGTCTCGAATGTGATTGGGGACATTGTGAGTGGAATGAAACAGAAACCGCAGTCAACATACGAGTCCTACGCCATGCACCTCCATCGCCTGCTGTGAAATGTGCTGCGTCATGCTAAGCAGATCATTCGAAATCTCAATTGGATATTTGAAGGTCATGCCGGGGTCGGTGGCCAGGCTGCTCACGAAGCCCTGACTGACGCACAGCTGCCATACCACTGCCCTCAGCCATTGCTGCGTAACGCGGAGATCTGCAGCCTGGATTTCCGTACAATCGAGGTACGCGGGAAGCATTTCTTGCAGCTGAACTTGCAGTGAGGCGAGCCATGAGGGGTTAGCGCCACCAGTGCCACTCGGCGTCGTCTTATTCCAAAGTGCGATGAAAGAATCGTCAAAGGGCTTGTAGAGGTCTATGAGCTGCAGAAAGCCGGAGAGGGCCATGCTGTCGGTGGGATCTTCGTCGAGAGAGGGCGGATGTATGGTCGCATGAAGAGTGACAGGACGGTGCTTGTGGAGTGCATATGCCCTGGAGTTTAGTTAGATAACGCGCTTCGATGGGCCACGTGGTGTCTTGATATAGCGGATAGTAAGTGAAGGGCAAGTATCTCGAACCTTTCAGTCATGATTAGAAGCCAGTACAGGCGCCGTCTGTTGGCACATTCGACAGTGTCTGCCGTCTTGTAGGTCCCCTCGTCATGCATACCGATGAGCTGGGCCATAGTCGTCGCCTCTCGCAAGTAGAACCACGCGCTGTTGTCCTTGTCTAGGCAGAAGTAGCTCCCGTAGAAGAAGAAAGAGGTGACGATGGATGTGGTGGAGGGGTCCTCAACGTATTCAAGCCCCTTCCGCACGCGCACAGCTTCCTCGAGCAGAGTGATGCCCAAACTAATGACTGGCATCTGGCTCATTTCCGGATGCATGTGGATGGTTGGAGGCACGCTCATGTTCGACTGGATCATAACATAGGCGCAAAGCGCCACAATCAGACAGTAGGAGCCAGCGTTCTGGTCCATGCTCATGACGGAGTCCTGGAGGCGCTGGCGCTGCAAAATGGGCTGAGAAGGGTACAGGTTCGAGAAGAAGAAGTCGATGCAGCTCTCGACCAGGCCTGGAGGAAGCAGACCGGGGGTGCGAGCAAATGACGCCGGCAGCGGGCGGCCATCGAAGCTCAGGTCGGGGGGATAGCCGCTGGCGAGATGGGACTGCCTCTGGGTCTCTCGCAGCTCAGAGAGGACCTTTGCGCGGCTGCCCTTGGGGCCTTTCTTCTGCGGAATGGCATTGTAGGTGCACGTCAGGCCGGCCGATATGCAGTTCTTGCACGGATTAGTGCCTTCGCCAATGCATCTCACCTTTCGGCGGTGGCAGCTGTGAGCGGGTGAGCAGGGAGGGCTTGGGGGACGAGAACAAGGACAACGCACCTGTCGCAGGCTCGCTTGACGGGAGGGGTGGTGACGGACGAGGTCGACGACATGGCAGCAGAGGGGGGGAGGAGTATCGGGCCCAAATCCCGTCAACAGCATGCAGCGTTGCACGGAACGCATGGCCTCTGAGGGCGCGGGTCAAATAATAGGGCTGGACAGAAGGACAGTGAATGGGGCAAAGAGCACACGAGGCATGATACTGGCCGCGATGAACGGTTTGGCGGACCCACACAACCCTGCCACTCTGCCTAGCATCGCCCTTGGTGCTAGAGGCTAGTGCCAATGCCCTGGACCAGCGTGCTATCCAAGACACGCACCGCACCGCCAGAGCCCTCGCCGCCGTGGCCACAGCGCAGCAGCGCCAGCCGGACGCGGGCCACGGCGGGAGTGAGGCGTTCGGGGGCCAGACTGCAAGCCTACAGCGTTGCGTGCACCGCGGACCGCGGGCCAATCGCAGCCTGCGGAGACCGTTCCTGGGGCCGTCGAAGAGACTGCGAGAGCCGTTGCGCGGTGGAGCGCTGGGAGCTTTGCGTTGCGCATCCCCTCACCGCCCTGGGAGCCCTCATCGATACGTATCCGCGCGCTGCTGCCAGCGGAAGACCCCTCAAAAGGCCGCCATGCGCATCGCGTCTATCACTGTGATGCTCCATCCGCCCGTTGATCCTCGTGCGCGTCCACCGCCACGCCCTCGCCCTCGCCGTGCCTACGTCGCGCCCACGTCGCGCCGCGCCGCGCTCAACGCCTGCCACTGCCAGTGCCCGCAGTGCCCGCAGTGCCCGGCAGACCCCCGCGTCGTCATCTCGTGCTGTCATCGCTGCTGCTGCTGCTGCTGGAGCGCCCCTGGCCCTGAGACCCTGAAACCCTGAGAGCCGCCGGATATCTCCCGAACTCTCAGTCCGCTCTGCCGATCGAAGCCGCAGAGAAGGAAGGCCTGCGAACGATGCGACGAGTATCAAGCAAGGTTCTTGCTAGCTGTGATCCGCCAGTCCCCACGCCGTACCGTGGTTCGCCCGAGAAAGCTGCTGAGATGACGCTGGGAAATGACGCTGGCCGCAGCCATATCGAGCCGTATCGCGGACATGGCGGACCGTCGCCGAGACTCGGGCCTGATGGACGCTAATTAGATCGTTTTTCTCGAGCATCCAGACCTCGACGTGTGTGGGAGACTACGACTTCGGTGCAATTTTCCCGCGTACGTGTCGATGTGATCGGTTTAGCAGATAAGGGGAAGGTGAACCATCTAGCTTTGTGCCCCGGCACCTGCCGTCACCGCCTCTGCGACTCCATTCCAGCGGTCCGGATGGCCGTTTGTCTCTCGGGCTCTGGAGCAGCACTCTTCCGGCAGTTGGTCAAAGTCTCCGTGTGAGGCGCCTCAGGAACCCCGTCGTCGACGGCCTACATGCCATTTTCTGGTTCGGCCGGCCGTGTGAAGCTCAGAGTGTGCCTCGTCTGGGATGCGTCTGCTCCCGCAAGCGCAAACCTTGCTGCCCTCGGGTCCACTGTCCAGCTGCCAGAGCCGAGGGAGCACGGGCGGGCGAAGCGCTGCAGCTGCCCGGTCTGTCGTTTCGTTGAGCTGGTGTGCGCTCGGTGCAGACTCGGTGAAGGCGACGTTGGGATAGACATGTGCTCGCGCAGAAGTGCAGTGAAATAGTTCAGCCGCCTTCGTCATTCGGGTCGGGTGCGAGTCTCGGGTACGAGTCGACTTTGCGGGTGGCGTTAGACATGATGACACTCGCAGGACGTCCGAATAAGGTAGATTATATATACTTGGCCTCCCCTCCTCCGCTGAAGGCCCTTTGTCGGACGCTTTCATCCACCTCTCGCGAATAATGGGGCTTTTGAGTCCTAGTGATGCACTCCACACCCGCGAGAAGTGCCGCGCCGAACCCTAGATCATGCCTCCGAGCTGTCCGGCGGTTTATCCGCGAATTGGGGGTTTTTGATCGCTTCGAGCTGCTGCATTTATCCTGGCTACGAGAGGCGTCGAGACAGACTGCTGTCTTTCGGTGGAAATGGCGCCGAGTACTAGAGAAGGGAGGATAGCGACAGGTCTCGCGGAACTATTGCGGGCTTGTGGCTGTCGCGCCGCCAGGCTTGGAGAGCGCTTCATGGCCGGGACGTCTCGTGCTGGAGTCCAGGGAATAATGGCGCCATCGTGAATGCAAAGCATCTCGCTCGGGAGCGCGCGTGGATCTCCCGCCGCCTGCGCGTTAAATGCCCGATGTGCGTTCCCGGTCGTCTCGGGGGCCGATGAACCATACAATCGACGGCGGCTACGGGGAGGGTGTTCCAAGGCCCAGGGCCCGGCTGTGCGGCACCGGTCGGTTATAGTTGGAGGGTTCATACCTAGACATCATGACTTTGTGTTGGCGACGATTGGTGAAGAGGCATCGGGAAGGATCACGCCGCCTCGCCATCACCCCAGAAGCCTTGGAAGACGCAAGAAGCCGCCAAGAGACGGCATGCAGTCCGCTGATGCGCTCGCGTATCGCCCATATCGGATGTCGAGCTTGCAAATGATTCGTCAAGATTTGTACATATCTACGGAGGCATGTATGTCCACCCCGGCTACAACCTTTTCTCAACCTCGGTGGGAAAAGCAAGGCTGGCCATCCAGAGAAAAGTCCAGCCATAGACAGAGAACCCCCAAACGCCTTGCTCCCATATGCATGCCATACACCTATCGTGATCCCGGACACCTCCACAATACCTTGCGGAAAACAACTAACCCCAATCAACAATACCCGTGGCCTTTTTTGATACAAACATAGACAGTTACAGTGAGAGCAAAGCCTAAGAGAACTCGACACGGCTGCCGCTCCCCCTTGCCAGCTTCGCCTGTGCCCTCTCTGCCCGCCGTCTCCTACGATTGCTCTCGTAATTGCTAACGTCTGTTTCCGTCCCATACGTTTGCGTTCCTGGTGGGCTGCTCACCCCACTCGCAGCTGCCGCCGGAATGGGAGGAGGGGGAGGCGGTATGAACATCTCCTGAGAAGCATGTGACATTTGTGGTGGAGGAGGTATCGGGGGAGGACCTGGTATTGTCGGCTCGGGCATGCGGATAGGCGCTTGCTGCTGCTGCTGTTGTTGCTGCTCTTGTCGAGCCTGTGCTGTTTCCATTGCCTCGGTGCGCCGCCACCGCTCATCACCAGTATTACTCAACGAGCTCACGCTGCCAGCCCTATTATTCCTTCGCTTTCGCTCTCGTTCTGCCGCCGCTTCTTCTTCACCTAAGCGTCTCAAAGTCACGTGCCGTCCATCGTTGTGCATCTTGACCTTTACCGACACTGGTGGAGATGCGACGCTTCCGCTGTTGCTGCTTCGTCGTCGGCTTTCATTACGGCCTGGACGAGACGATGATGCTACGGCCGCCCCTGCAAGTCCGGCAGCTCCAGCAGCTAGTGCGGCATCGCGGCCAGCATGGTGGCGGTGGTGACGGCCACCACCTGCTGATGTGTAGGCCTCCGACCCTGAATCGTGAAGAATCGCCTGGGGATCATGAGGTGCTGGTGGCATGGCTAAGCCTCCTGAGGACATTTGGGGGTTCGTGACATTGGTCCTGCTCCCCGGGAAGTTCATAGGCGGTGGTGGAAGGGTGTGTCGTGAGAGTGCTGGATTAGTCCCGGTGATGTCTGTGTAGTCACCCACCGAGGATTCTGGGGGTGGAGGCCGACTGCCTCTTCGGCTGCCTCTTCGAGCAGGGGCGCCGTCTCCGGTATAGTGTCTCCGATTACTGTTTGCTCGAGCTATGCGTTCTTTTTCAATCTCCTCTTGTCTCATAGCTTCAACTCTCTCCTCGTCTCTCTTGTTCTTCCGCTGGTTCCACTTGTGTCTAGCAAAGCCAAGCACACCGAGACCAAGGATACCGTTCCTCAAGCCATGACCGCCACTATCAGCGGCACCGCCGTCATGCCGAGCGTCTTCGCCACTGAAACTGGTCCTGCTGTCGTAGGAATCGAACGAGGCTTCGCTTCTTCGCGGCCGGTGAGTCTGTCGAAGTGGGCTTCCAGTCAACACAGCAGGCGGGATGTTGCTATGTTCTTCGAATCTGCGTCGCCTATCGTTCGCGGGCGATTCCGGAGGTAGGCCCTCTTCGATCCTGCTCAAATCGGTTTGACTGACGGAATGGTTTCCGCCAAGTGGTCGACCGTAGCTTACGTCGCTCAAGTGGTCATCATCGCGTTTCTTGCGTCCCATAAGACCCCTCACGGCTGCAATCGCACCACCAGCTGCAGCAGCTCCCAAGATACGATCTCTCCATGTTCGTTTCCCGTTACGATGGCCGTCTTCAGCATACTTTTCCTCGTCCACGAAAGACTCGGAGTGGCGAGAACTGCGATGAGAGCCAATGACGTCCGGCCTGCTATGGCCAGGTCGAGTACGACTGCGACTGCGACTACGACTTCGAGATCTTCTCCTCAATGCTGCCAAACCAGCTCCAAGAGCACCGGCTCCAGCTAAAGCCTTGAGGCCGCGGTGCTTTCCGTGACGACTCCGCTCCGTCCGCTCCGTTCGTTCGCTGATATAGGTTCCACGGTCATTAAAGCCGATTTCGGGTTGATTTCGGTAGGTAAGAATGAAGTAGACAGCAAGTAAGACGAATCCCCAGATGGCGTAGAGAATGAACAGGGTTTTTGGCGACCCATAGAGAGTTAGCCCTAAGGCTACTTGTATGACACCGAGAATTGCAATTGCGCGACCAAACCATTGATGAAGCTGAAGAGTTAGCTTGCAGTTTATAACTGCGGGATATATTTCTTACCATTAGTTTGAGAGGTATCTTGGTACGATTTTTTCCCTTCTCACTCCTATGAATACAACCGCCTGCAAATGCCTGAATGAGAATTAAAGTGTAAATTGCAACACCAATGCCATGGTGGGGATTTGTCAAGCTCCTCTTCAGCCCAACCGCTTGAAAGCCCAATATAAATACCACAGTCGACAAAGCTACTGTAAGAATTTGTAGCCAAATATGTAGTCGTAGAGCTAAGCGTGGATTGCGATGGTAGAATCGAGCGATGAATATGGCGGCTGGTATAACGCCTAGGAAAGTGATGGCTGCGACGATAGCGTGACCCTTGATTATGTTATGATAGCCGGGCATGTTCTTGAATCGATTCCCCATGCCTGAATCCTAGCGTTAGCTTCACAATTTCGATATATAGGCAGGGCGGGACCGACCATTGTATTGTGTTGTCGCGAGGTTCAAGCCTTGCAGATTGGGCAGCAAGAAGGTGTTTCTTGACGAATCCCAGGTTCCGTCTCCCACGTACATAGTGTCGGATGCGTAGACACTACTTCCGGGGGCTGATAGTGCTGGGTTTGCCATAGTTGCGAGTTGAGTTGATTTTATCTACAGCTGATAAACGAATGCGGCCAGTCGGATGTAGTCCTCGAGCTCGAGAAAGATGGGAAAAGAATACGCCGATTATAATGTCGGAGTCGAAAAGTATCCGCAGAGAAATAATGGTCGTAACGTCGTCTCAGTAATGTGAACCGTCCTGTCTCTGGCGCTGGTGATGTGCTGGCGGTGTTTGCAGGGCGAACGAGCTATCCACAAATGCTGTCAGCACTGGATGCAGAGCATGCCCGGCGAGGCGGACAGCTCGAATTGCGTGGTTCAGTCCTCTAGAGATGCGCGACTGCGTGGTGGCCGGGGCGAGAGATGCTCAGAGACGTAGAGGGTTGAGAGATGGTGGTGCAGGCAAGGGCAGGCTCAAAAGCTGCGTGTGGAGCCGGTGAGAGGCGACCGAAGTGGTGTGCGCTAAAATGGCTGCTTGTTTACGTCCCGCGGGGCAACGCAATCGATAACCCCCACACCAACCCGAGGCCTCGATCTTCAGCTCGCCCTCTTCATCATGATGTTCTTCACCGTCTGAATAGTGTTACTCAGTGCTCGAGTATCAGTCGAGTCCACCTGACTCTGGACTCTCATCGAGTCTCGATGATGCACGTGGTCCTTTTCCCCTTCGGACGATATGGCTCCACAACGCCACATCATTGACTCGAAACATCAGTGACCCAGGGAGACAATGGCATTGTCTTCTACTCGCATTAACCTATTCATCAATTTCCCCATCGTTCTGAGCATCTTCGCCTCGAAAGCCAGGCTCTGCTCCTAGATAGAACTTCTACCGTGCATGCTACAAAGGCATGCCTTCCAAGTGCATATGCATGCAGCTCGAGCAAGCTGACAGCTCATCTCTGCCATGCTATTGGTCAGCCCAGTCTTGCGTTCGCTCGTTTTCAGCTCTACATGGGTATGGCGTACGCAATCAACGTCGTTACTGCATACTTCAGATGCATCTAGTAGCCCTCTTCTTCTCTGGGGAGACTTTGTTTTCTAGGCGTCGTATGCAAATGAATTACTATTAGTTATTCCGAGGTTTCTTACTACAGGAGTGCCAATACTTTTTGTGGTCCAATTCTGGAAGCCGCATAGTAGGAAGTCGTACAAACGGTATTAATTAAAGCTCTACTCCAGTCTAATGTCTATTTCTATATGCAACCATGAGTCTATCGGGATTCCGCAATGCAATATCAAAATCTAAGATGCGGCCTCCTCCGCCCTCAACTGCACCGCCTCTGCTGCCTTTCTCTCCTCTTCCGCCCTCACCCACCGACGGAATGCAATCGTCAACAAGCTCCCCGACGCTATCTGGAACCCCTGGAAAATGACCATGGGAATCTGTAATCTGCTCTGATGGATCTTGCTCAATCCAACATACATGACCGTGCTCAACGGAACGCCCATCGCAGGCGTCTTGGCCGGACAGCAGTAGCAACACGCTATCACATCCGCCTTCGGCAGCCAGAATATTGAAGTCGCAAGAGTGATGCCCTGCCAGAGGAACACAAATACAATGGAGATGAAGACGATAAAGATCATGTTCGAGGGTTTGGCGCTTTCAAAGGCGCCGCTACCGAAGGCTTGGTCGAAGGTTTGCCAAATGATTATCAGTAGAGACACTGAGCTCACTTTACTCAACTTCCACGTCGTGAACACGGTCTTGCACTGCTTCGGGAAGACGTTCTGCACCACCTGTCCGACGACCATGGGAAGGAAAAGCGAGAGACCTAGTTGTTTGAAGACGCGCCGGTAGATTTCGCTGTAGTTGTTCGCCCCGGCCGGTAGGACGTCTGTGTACCATGCTCCGGTTGACGTATACATGGACACTAACGCTGGCGTCAGGAATGGCCCGAGGAAGTTGCCCAGCGTGGATTGCACGACCGTCAGCGCTGTGTTGCCGTGCGCTTGCCGCGTCATGACCACATTCGAGGATATTGTCGTTGGCACACAGCCCATGAAAATTAGCCCGATGAGGAACCAGGGATCCATGAATCTGGAGTTCGTTGCGCACAAGCTCACGACTGCGAACGTGGTCGCTGAGGTCATGAGGAAGCATTGGACCTGAACGTAGATGTGCAATCGCCAGCGGGAGTAGTTGTCGATCAGGACGCGAGTAGGCAGCGTACAGCCTGTGATGAAGAAGATAATGGAGACGCACAGGTAAGTGACTATTGTTTCCTTGAGATGTTGTTGCGACTCTGGGACCTGGGCTTGGGATGAGATTGCTATGAGGCAGGCGAGAGCGACAAGAAACCATTGGTCCTTGATGAGCCATAGTAGGGAACCAAGCCATTTCTTGGGACCAGTCTGTTCGCGCTCCTTGGATGCAATCTGATTCTCGAGTTTCGAAGTTTTGGGCTCTGGCTCTGGATCCGTGTTCTGCTGCATTCCTGCATTTTCTATATCTCCCTTCTCCATGCTTGATCGAGGGGACTTTACCGATGATAATCCGGATGTGTGGCCTTTCTCGAGGTCCTGGCCTTGGATTTCGAGTTCGTGACTCATCGTCACGTCAAACGCTCCTCAATTGTCTCGGAATATTAAAGCAGTGATCATGAAGGTAAATACAGTCGAAGTATGTATAACTCGAGTGATGTGTCGCGAGTGACGTGTCGCGAGTGACAAAGGTGGTATGAGGTTAATAAGTATGTTATCTAGCAGCTTTTTTCTAGATAACGTCTAATAGAAAGAACGATCAATCTCTTATTTGACTGCGATAGGAGGCAATGCTGCGATAGACAATGTGAGAAAGCAAGAGATCGGCGCCTCTCCTGCACTTGCATGTCCGGGATGAGGGAGTTGATGAGGTGTATTAATTCTGCCTAGGGAAGTGATGAAGAGCAAAAGTCTGCCGCGACAGCGATTCATGATGCAAAGACGTAAGATGAGGCGTCAATGTCGATTCTTGCCCTGCCGAGAGCCGATCGGGTGCGCCCGATGTCGCGTGGATCGGGAATAAGAAAGTGAAGCGAAAAGGGAGTTCCGCGGCCGATACAAAACAACTATTACCTATCATACTATTGAGAATGTGTTTCAGCATCATTGAGGACAGGCAAGCCTTCGAAAATTCCCGTCCTCCAATGCCACTGTGTTCGTCCGTTGCTAAGTTAAGGACAATTTGGGGATGCAATTACTCCTTAATGACAGAGTCTAGGAGGGTGTGTTTTGCCAAGCTCGTAATTTAAGCTATTCATTATTTTTCAGCATATATTGAACGCCCATTGCTCAGAGCGACATGATTGTTGTGAAGCGTATTTTTGTTTTACACCATCTACCACCTACACGCTTCCAAGTATAACCCACTCACTTCTTCCCCCTGAGCGGTCCCCAATACTTATCGCTCTGCGTCGCAACCTTCTCCTCCCACCCCTCAACCGGGCCTACGACCTTGATATCCTTCTGACCGCGTGCGAACAACTCCCGACACGGCAGCGCCAGCGTCATGTTCTCCTCGTTCCCCTTGCCGGTCAGCTTCGCCAGCGTCTCCTCGCTCGCCGCATACACCAGCCGCCCAATGTTGGCCCAATACATCGTGCCCGCGCACATCGCACAAGGCTCCCACGTCGACACTAGCGTACACTGCCAAAGGTAGTCTTGGCAGAAGTGCAGTGCGGACAGGCGCGCGATGGAGGCCTCGGCGTGCTCCACGTGCGAGATGGAGAAGTGGGTGAGGAGGACGGTGGTATGGTCAGGACCAAGGAGCACTGCCCCAAATGGGCGTTTGCCTTGCGCTTGTCCGCGCTCTTGAGTTGCGAGACACGCGGAGAGGGCCTGTGGTTTATATTGCGATGAGTGGGCGAACCAGAGATATATTAGGTAAAGAGATGGAGCTTACAGTGCTGATCTGGTCTGCTGTAGGCTCGGAAGGACGGTCCGGGAAGAGAGGGTGCTTAGATGTTGCCATATTGCTCGAATATGTCGAGAAGTGAAGCAAGAAAGATACAGCTGTAAATCGTGATAGTGCGATTGGGTGGCTCTATCAATTGTTTGCCGGAAGCACGCTTCCATTGGGTCACCCCCACCTTCGTGTACTCACATTCTTTAGGAATTCAGCTAAGCTTCATCACCACCTAAAGCTGTAGTAAGTTCGACATTAACTTTCGAAGCTTAGATCAATGGAACTTTGAAAGGTTACTTGTCGTTTTTGCGTGTTCGTTCACATGGATACACGAGAGACCGGTCGCAATGCTAGCGGACGGGACAGATGTTGGGCTTGAAGGAGTGCACTACTTACCTTCCGATAGTTGATATGTATCTCGTAACACCGTTCGCAGCTCCCGTGCGCAAATTCAGAGTACGGCTAGAGCCGAACTCGAGTTTCGTACGGATTGTTATCCATGCTCGCCCATCCTTCCCGACCCCATTCCTCTCTGGAAGATTATTCGCATGGATGATCGCTCGTCAACGGTTAGCCATCCTTCCCGCTCCGCCGTGTAAACCAAGGAAGAAGTTTAAACCTTAATCTATGACACGATGCCAACCTTAGACTCAGCAGCATCGTCGTCGAATGTAGTTGAAATCCGAGATTTCCCAGCGTTACATTAACCAATCGGTCATAACACAACGAGAATACCCAGGTGGCGTTCACGAACATCACGAAGTGGGTTTGATTACCGAAACAACGTGGAGCCAGTGAGCATGTTAAGAACTAGACTTCGGTCAGCCTGAAGTCCAAGATTCTGGCCTGCCTATTCGGGATCATCTATGTGGTGCTTTTTCACGTGAGTTCGTATCACGCTTCGCCCACCTGGACAGGGCTTTGCTTGGTCCTTCGTGCTCTCTCGGCGCAACAACGCAGTTCGCCTTGAATGCCTCAGAATAAAGCAAGTTTTCGGAGCATTGGCATTTAACCTGGCTTAGACAAGCATCTGCATGCTCGGGAGGCGCAATATCCCGTTCCTGTGGCGCCAGAACCAGGTTCTCCGAGGTAATCTCAGCGAACCACGCCCCTCGCCCTCATCAGATCGACCTCCCTATCCGAACGCGCCGAACTTCCAGAAGCTCAAATCAACATGGCTCCCATGGTCCCCATACAAACGAACCAAGCCGGGAGGGGCAGGATCTACGTGCAGATAAGCTTACCTGCCTGATTGCACGCCGTCATCAGGGAACCTCCGCGCCAAAAAGTCGTACTCACCTTCCATACCAGGCCTGCACCGCAGCGTACCCCGCTGCAGGTACTACAGCCATTGAGCTTCCAAATTTCTTGCGAAACAGCGGGACTGGAGAGCAATTAACCCATAGCTTTTATAAATATGGACTGCGTCGCCGCCCTGGTGCTGGTTCATCCTCGCCAGCATTAGCGGAGGCCCACCAATTGCCAATCGCTGCTGCAGTATGCTTCTCTTTACCTCCGTTCTCTCTGTGGCAATTGCTGCCCAAGCTGTCTTTTGCTCTCCCGTTCACTCTCGGTCGCCGTATGCGGTGAAAGAAACACACAATGTGCCCAGACAGTGGAAGAGGGTCGGCCGAGCATCCAGCGCGAATACCATTGATCTCCATATTGGAATCAAGCAAGGCCAGTTCGAGGAACTAGAACGCCAATTGTACGAAGGTAAGTGTACTACCTATGCACGCGGAGCATGGAAAAGGTGGCACTCTAATTCCAGAACACCATGTCTCCTCACCTGTCTGCCACTGCTTGGGGTGCTTCATTGCATTTTCATGGATCTGAACGAGCTAGGAGCTCTTCACCTTGGGCTATGTGGAAACTCGTTGAAGTGCCCCAAGCGGTGGCAGACAGATGGACGCACGAGACAGTGCTTAATGAGTGTGCCACTTTGCTCACGCCCAGCGTGCTATGACCTCTGTTGAAGATGCGCCACTGACCACTATAGTCTCCGACCCGAGTCATGACCGTTACGGTAAACACTTAAGCCATGACGAGGTCAACGACCTCGTAAAGCCGTCCGTAGAAACCCTGGACCTTGTGAATGAATGGCTCCGTGACAATGGCATTGAGTCTTTGAGCTATAGCCCGTCGAAGGACTGGATTTCTGTGTCTCTCCCAATCGAGACGGTGGAACGCCTCCTGGACACCGAGTACCACACCTTCGAGCATGAGCGAGACGGTGACCGCTTGGTTCGCACTACTAAGTGGTCTCTACCTGCCCATCTCCACGAACACATCGATGTCATCCAGCCAACTACCTCTTTCTTCCGAATGGGTGCTCAAAAGACAACTTATATCGATTCCGCCCCATATATCCCAGCTGGGTACACACCACCTACCGACCCTGCTATTTCCAGCGTGTGTAATGTCAGCTCTGTAACCCCGCAATGTTTCATGGAACTGTATGGCACCAAAGGCTACAAGCCCAAGGCTGCCGGAAAGAACAAGGTCGGGTTCACCAACTACCTTGGAGAAATCCCAATTCGGCCGGACACTGCCAAGTTCCTCCAGAAGTACCGGCCGGAGGCGGTCTCTTCGGCCTACACTTTTAAGGGGGTCTCTCTCGATGGTGGCCCCCTCCAGGATGGACCCCTGAATGCCACTCAAGCTGAAGACGGCATCTCACGCGAAGCCAATCTTGACGTTCAAGCCATCGCTGGAATTAGCTGGCCAACTCCGATCGAGACCTGGAGCACAGGCGGTAGCCCTCCATTCATCCCGGACACCAACACCCCGACCGACACCAATGAGCCGTACCTAGTTTGGGTCCAATACATCCTCAGCCAGAAGAGTATTCCACAAACCATCACTACCTCCTACGGCGATGACGAGCAATCGGTTCCCAAGTCGTACGCGGAGCGTGTCTGCAAGGACTTCGCTCGTATAGGTGCACGAGGCACCTCTCTGCTCTTCTCTAGCGGAGACGGCGGCGTTGGAGACCCAGGCACTTGCCTGACCAATGACGGCAAGAATACCACGCAATTCGTACCAGCTTTCCCCGCTGGATGCCCCTTCGTAACCGCTGTCGGAGCCACGATGAACTTCCAACCTGAAGAGGTGGCGTATCGGGCACCCAGTGTGAACCCTCTGCATAGCTTCTATGCTAGCGGAGCTGGCTTTAGCAACTACTTCCCCCGCCCAAAGTACCAGGATAAGGCTGTGCCCGCCTATGTGGAAGGTCTTAATGGCAAGTACGATGGGCTATATAACAAATGTAAGCATACCGCTTCCAAGTATAATGCCGTTACCAAGCGCTCCTGGGGCTTTTACTCCTTACTCCTCACTCCTAACTTCTCACTCCTTACTCCGTACTAATCTTGTTGCCAGCTGGCCGTGGATACCCTGACATCTCGGCCCAAGGTCTCTACTTCGCCTACGTCTGGAACGGCACCGAGGGCGTTATTAGCGGGACCAGCGCCTCCTGCCCATTATCTGGCGGCATCATTTCCCTAGTTAATGACGCCCTGATCGCGTCTGGAAAGCCCTCCCTTGGGTTCTTGAATCCGTGGATTTACTCTAGTGGATACAAGGGCTTCACCGATATTACAAAGGGCTCTACACATGGCTGTGATACTGATGGTTTCCCGGCTGTAGTTGGATGGGATCCTGCCACCGGATTTGGAACACCGGTATGTTTTGCTGCACGTTTAGAAGGTGAACTTTACTGACTGAATTTTGCAGAACTTTAAGAAATTGGTGGAGATCACTGGCTGTAAGTTTTAGAGCTTATAAGTACATAGAGCACATTGGCGTATCTAAAAAGTCTTGCATCTATAATAAATAATATAGATATCAGTGTTGTCTCTAGATAAACGAACGTGGATCGACTTCTGGACTACCTCTTTCTGTTGACAACGCTGTCTCATAGGTGCACCTGTCTACCACTGCTTGACGTGCTTCAACGAGTTTTTATATAGCCCAGAGTGAAAAGCTTCTATCCCGTTTAGATTCCTGAAAATGTATTGAAGCACCCCAAGCAATGGCATACACGCACACATACCCTTGTAGAGTACCACCCTTTTCGTGCCCCACGTGCCCACTCTTCCGGTTCCTTACTGACTATCACTCCACCAAAAAGCTCGCATGATCATCCATACCTAATCAGATTTGAGCAAGTGCTGCAGAAAAGTGGGACGAATTATCATTACTTAAGGTGCACCCTCTAAGCCTCTACTGGTAGCAGCTCTCTTCTTCATCATCATCATCATCATCATCCAATACATCACGCACACGGCATACAGCTCCTTGTTCCGTGATAATCACAGTGTTGGGACATTCGTTTGTGCACTCTTTCTTGCCACAGCCTTCGAACCATTTTCCAAGTCCTCAATATTGGGCTCAACCCCAAACAGTGGTAAGATAGGTGGAGCAGAAATCCTTCAATCTGGTCCCACCAATTCTATCGAGGATTTTATATCAAGTGTGGGTTTTGGTGATGCGCCAGAGCACCTCAGACAGTAGCGAGCGAGCGAGCATAGGCTTTTGTCTTCAGCTATGTTTCAAGGGTATTGGTGAAACCAAAAGGTCCTTGCTGCAGGAAGACGGATAACGAAGAACTAGGGCGTCGGAGTATAGTTTGAGCTAGTAATATTGCAATCTTCCATCGTTCTTCACAATCTCATTTCTACCCTAATACCCTACTCACCGAAAGATAAATTAAGAACCAGTTTCAGCAGCCTGACTAGGCCTCCTCGGAGCCGCTTTGTGGCCATTACGGTGAAGAATATCGAAATGAACTCAGACCGCCAACGCAACAATGCTGCCCGATCTACCACTCCTAAAGAAAGTCAGTCATCCAAGGCCGAGACGTCCGCAACATGTTCCATTCATGGGGACTTCGCTTGTAACCCACATACGGAGTAATGAAATGCAGAGAGATCTCCCAATGATGAATTTCCCAAAAGCGGCGGAACTTCGCTCCCATCTCTCCTCCCCTATCGAGAAGCTTTTCAAGCGCATCTTTGATGTTCAAGAAGACTTCCAAAGTCTCCTCGGATAAGCCCCGGCCACAGTCGTCCAGCGCATCTTTGTCCTCGAAGTCAGACTCGAGTTCTTGCTCAAGTTTCTGCTGGCTGTACACCATTTCGGCGTGGATCTGGTCGTAGACTGCTTGTGCGGGGATAAGCTCCGGCTTTCCGAACTTGAGCCCCATGTCGGCGAGGAAGTTTAGGCGGAGGTAGAGCAGAGTCTTGTTTGGAGAAGAAACTTTGCTCTTGGGAGTTGCTTTACTCTTAGGAGACGGTTTTACGTTGGGAGTCACCTTTCCCTTGGGAGACACCTTTCCCTTGGGAGACGACGGCCCCTGAAGCCCTCCGTCGGTCTGAAGCGCGACGTCCACGATGTCCTTTCCGCTATTGTCTTTCAACGTTACATCCGCTCCGGCCTCAATCAGGATCCTCGCCCATGCAAGCTTCCGTGAACGGCGTGCCATGAGGAGATGGAGTGGGGTTTGACCTCGAGAATTGCGGACGTTGATATTCCTACAGTAGGGAAGAAGTTCCTGGAAGATCTTCGAGGAGCACTGCGTTAAGTCGATGAGCTTGTGCAACGAGTGGTCACCGTTGGGATGCAAGACGTCAGGATTCGCACCTCCACGTAAAAGAACATCTGCGGTCTGGAAGCAGCCTCCGGAAAGAGAGGTGAAGTACGCGCAATGGAGAGGATTCCAGGTGTCGTCGGGTCCTCCAATGTCAGGATTGACCCCTAGTCGGAGTAGTGTCTCTACGATTGGGAACTGCGAGGTCTTGGCTGCGTAGTGGAGCAAATTGCCAGTCTCTGGCGTGGACCAGTTGAGGTCCACTCCGTGTTTGGCTAGGATGTTGAGAATCCGTAGACGCTCCACTTTAAAAGTTTGAGGGGTTGGGCGTGCGGGAGCGAACCTGGATCCAATGTGGTGTTCCGTCGACAGGCTCATCGGATCCGCTCCAAGGTGGAGCAATAGTATCAACTATAGAACGTTAGTCGTAGTGCAGTGGTGAGATACCTGTATGAAACTTACAACTTTCTCCTCGCCCTTCCCGAAACCCGCTGTATTGCGATTATATGGTCCTGGAGCCTCATATCCTGGAGCCTCATATCCTGGGGCCTCATAAGGTGGCATACGAATGTCATACTGCTCGAGTTGGGCATATTGGCTCGCACCATAGCATTGATACGAAGGGGCCCGAAAGCGAAGCAGCCACTTCTGGAGGAAGCTCGTCATCTGGCAGGGGAGAGTGTTTCGATCACGGCCAAGCCTCTGCGCATGTTGGAGCATCATAATCAGAATCTTGGTTCGAAGGCAATCGTTATCCCAACGAACCGTGCCGTCCAACGCCGGCCAAACCTGCGGCACCAGATCCAATGCAGGCCAGAACCCACTCGTAGAGATTCCGCTAGCATTGTGATTGAGAAGGTACTCGATCATTGAGTGTTTGTTGTGTTTGATGGCCCATGTCATTACAGGTAACGTCTGAATGCTCTTGGCGATCGTCGGTCCAAGTCTTCCGACATTTCTCAGGTTCTCGGGCTTGTCTGCAATGGCACGCTTGTGTAGTTTTTCTCCCAAGTACGCCCGAAGACGAGGGTGTGCTTCGATGATGTGTTTGAGATCCCTACTCGTGAAATTTTTGACGACTTGAAGCATGAGCTCCATAGGAAGATCAAGTAGCCCCATCTTATTGCTTGTGCTGAGTTGTAGGGGTTCTGATATATGGGTTGAAGTAGGTAGCCTGAAGGAGAGAGTTTGGAGTGGTGGACTTAGAGTAGTGGTGGGGTGCTTCGGAGTGGAGTGACTATGGTGGATGGATGACTTAGAATACAGGAGTCTGGTCAAATACCTGGAGCTAATGGGGTGAATTCAAGGCTTGGAGTGGAAGTAGGGTAGCAATGGCTTGTGCTAGTGAATGATCACGTGGCTGGGGAATGGGAGGTGAATTATTAGTCTGTGGTCCGTTTGATTATGTCCAATTGCCCAACGAAATACAGCGCTGGGCCAGAAATCCGCCAGGTATATACACACTCCAGCTGTTTCTATGCTTGTGTACGCTTGTTTAGCACCGCCTGAGGTCCTCTAGTATGCTATTGTTAATCATGAAAAACCAGCTTTGGCAAGCCTGATGGCTTTCTGGGTCACCTCAGACGGTATTGAGCCGCTGAGTGCGCCACCTTCATGCCCTGCTTGGTGGGGTTTGGAGATCGTCGCAAGGGTCAATTTCACGGGGCACCAAATGGCTCTTGCAACAGCTCCTTCACCCCTTTGACAACCGCGCTCTGTGCCTCCGAATCTTTAGTTATTACTCTCAAATGACTTTGATCATGGCCCCACGTCTTGTGAAAATGGCGGCAGCCAGGTTTAGCACGAGAAGATTGCTCCACGCCGTCCTTGTCCCATCCAAGAAGAGCACCGGGAAATATATGGAGATCTTATTAGACAACCCTGCCCTCAATCCACTTGTCTCGAAAGTCATCTTCGACACGACTCTCTTCCACGAAGTCGTACTGGACAAATATCGAACACCAGCCGACGCTGAGATGTCTAAAGAGTGTCAAGAAGCCATAGCGAAAGTCGGACAGTTCAAAAACCTCCAATCAATTGAACTAAAATATCACAGCGTGTGTGCCGCACCCGGCTCAGGCCTCGGGTGGCCAATGGACTATCACAACACTCTGGGAAAATATTCGCCTGAGACGACCGAGTTTCGCACTGAGGTATTGGGAGCGTTGATGAAAGCACTAAATGGCAAGCATCCTGCTTCTCAAGTGCGCAGCTTGACTATCGAAAACCTTCAAGATATATCCCCGAAACATATCACACAATCCGATGATTTCAAGGCAGTTTTTAGTCGCCTTGACAGCCTCGCTCTCCGTATCGCGACAGAATGGCACGATGCCAGGCCCGAGAGCACTCTCAAACTCCCAGACGCCCATATAATCTATGGCACAGAGCTCAAAGACCAGTGGCTGCGCCCAGTTGCACATCAGCTCAAAAAACTCGCCTTATACGGCGACAATTTCTGGGGTTATTGGCCTCGGTGTGACCTACGCTCCTTGCATTTCCCGAAACTAAAGTCCCTCTTTTTGGGCAATATGACATTTACACACGACTGGCAGCTCGACTGGATCCTTACTCACGCTGATACACTCGAAGAGCTCCGTCTCGACCATTGCCCTATCGTCCATGGCATTCGCATCGGTGGTGGGCTTGATGCAGAGAACTACTGCCGGGATCTCGAAAGTAGGGATTACTGTGAAAATACTTGGTACTATGAGAAGAGATGGAATGAGCTACTTGCCCGAATTAAGACCGGTCTACCAAATTTGAAGCATTTTGGCATGAGCAGCGGGAACCACGAATCCCGTTTCTACAGCACCCCTTCATTTGACAAGCGACATAGTCTCAAATCTGAAATTGACACTACTCGATACTGTATTTTTGACGGTGGGACGTTACCAAGTCCATGGATCGAAGCCGAAATTCCACCTCGATACGATGATGGGGTATATGATTGCTGCTGGCATACAGATGATGCTGACGATATCGATCCGAAAGCCACTTTTCCGGACTGCGAGGAGCAGGATAAGATGGCTTTAGAGTCCTTAATTGCGAAAATTACACGACGACGAGACAAGTCTGAAACTCAAGCTTTACATAAGTCATGAATCAGACTAAAGCTTGACTGGCTGGAACTGCTTCTAAAACGGTAATTGGAAAGAGTACGTAATAAGGTGCGCTTACACAGCCTCCCTACAGAAGAGCCTTGATCGAGTCCTCTAGACTCGTCCAACCAGGCTGCCCAAACCGCTTCAGAAGCTCTTCGGCGCGCTCATTCGCAACCTTACTCAAGTCCCGTCCCAGATCTGGGAAATCAGCATGAAACTTCCGCCCCGGATACAACTTCCTGAAAAATGCCAGGATATCGTTCCAGTTGAACGGCTGCGCAAACGCAAACAACCGCTCCGCCTTCACATCCTCGTAAATCAGCGCCGCAACATGCAGCCTGGCATCATCCTGCACATCGACGAACCACTGCGGGTCAATCCCGACCAAGAAGCCTGCCCCCTCGCCACCAGCCCACAGCGCCTTGACCAAACTAGCTGACGTCGGATATCCCTGGTGCTCGACCGAAACAATGTTCCCAAAGTTCATATTCGGCAGAACAGCATTGAGCACGAAACTCGGCTTCGTCTCGCGCATAAACTCCCACGCCGCCTTCTCGCCCTCCATCTTACTGGCTGCGTAGACTTCAACAACCCGCTGCTGCCCTTCATATGGCGGAGGCGCCCATGCCGCTTTCAAGGCATCCTCATTCCAGGAATTCGTGTCGACGTTGACGACCTTGTTCGGCTGCGGATTCGAGGCTGCGGTCGACGAGGACGTTAGCACTACGCGCTTGATGGACGCCTCATTGCTCGCTGCTTCAAGAGCATTGATCGTCCCGTCTACAACAGGCTGGATGCCCTCGTTGGGGTCGGCGGTCGAAAAGACGGGGGTCGCGACGTGCACGAGGCCGGCAGCGCCTTTGACGGCCTCGGTATAGGCGCTCGGCGCGGCCATGTCGAGGACTTCGATGAGAGAGAATTTGCCTTTGCCGTACTTGGCGTCGAAGTGAGAGAGCATCCACTTGGTGCGGTCGAGGCTCCGGACGGTTCCGCGGACGTGGTAGCCTGCAAGCAGGAGTTGATCAACGATATTGCTGCCGATGAGGCCGTTGGCGCCGCTGACGACCTGTGAGCATGTTAGACTCATCAATAAATTAACTTTAGGGAGTACATACGATAAGGGAACCGCGCGGGAGGGCGAGTTGATTGGACGCCATGATGGTTGGCGGGTCTTTTGATGGCGAGTGCTGGTGTTCAATGTCTTAATGTCTAGGCTCTTGGGATATGGAGATAGCAATTGTATTTCTTATAGACGAGGAAGGCGGGTCTGTGGATGGCATCATTAGTATATAAGTGTCCTCGCTTACCGGAGTTAGACCCGTTAGTAATCACCAAGCTAGATGTGGTCATTCTTATCCTTTTTTCTAATCGCTACCTGATAAATACGACTAATCTTCGGAAACTACGAGTTTATGCAACGGTAATGCTTTCGCTCTTTACCGCTGGGGGATCGAAGAATAGGTGGTTTTGGTCAGACTATGGAGGAGAATTATGCCGACGCATCAAGGAGTCGGAAAGATCCACGTTGTAGAGCAGAGTCTGGTTGCAGTGCAACACCAAAAGCAGCTAGGGCCGGACTGGAATTCAACCCTTTCTCATGGGCACTGACCACTTTTGTGTTGTCTTTGAATGAATAATTAGTCATAGGTTAAGACATGTTGCAATAATCGAAACGAGACATATAGTAGATTTAAGTACGAGATATAGAGATCTTTGAATGGATTGAGAGAGTGATATGAGTGACCCTAGAGAAGAATCTGGCACAGATAAAGTTGTCACAACGCCTAGACGTATGCACCTCGCTGTTCCAGCTTTTTAACACCTACACAACCAACCTATACGCCACGAGAGAAAAGCAAGGAAACACGGGGTATTGAGCACCGAAGATCATTGTCAGCAATCACCCGCTTCCCTTAGCTGTCCAGGACATTGTGTGCTTGCCAAGCATCCCGCATACCCACCATCCCACCCCGTCAAACGACTCGAAATGTCGGAAGCATACACCTTCGATTTCTTATTACCGCCCTCAATAACTCCGAGATTGCCGCCTCCAGTTGCGCTACCCGCGTTATACAGGTGTGCAGCGAGATATGGGTTGCCGAATTCGGCGTTTTGGATCCATGAAATGCCGTTGAGATATCCAGCTAAGCCAGGTACTTCACCCACACCTCGAACGCCATCTCGGATCATCTGCTCGATGCTGTTCTCTGGGTCCTTTGGATTGAAAGATACGCTTCCGCCAGCAGCTTGCATTAAACCGCAATTTGTCATGCTGCCCAGGGTGCAGGGGACATTAAGGTTACCAGTCGACTAGTGGGTCATTAATGGGGGATTCCTCTAAGGGTAGTAATTGCAAGCGTATTCAGAACTCGTACCTCTTCCATTATGATGGCAAGAATTAGCCGCGCATCTACTTGGGTGCTCGTGGACACCAACTCTATCTTCTCCCTAATAGTCGGTATCAAGTTGGGATGGTCGGGATTCGAGAGCTTTAGTATCGGCTCATTGATTTGCCACATGTCGTTGAAGCTGATCCACTCATCGAAGGAGGGGAAATCGGAGATTTGAGGACCTTTACAATTGTAAAAGCTAGCAGTCTTCTCGGAAGCCGGAGCGGGACCGCCCTTATCGAAATTGCTCGAGTACCAGTTCAGGGCAACCGTGTTCGATACTACTTCTAATACTCCCCACGCCGTAGGATAGGCTAAGACGGTCGGGAGTCCTAGAAGTGTAATGCAAGGTAGAATCTAGATAGATGTAAGCCTCTTGAAGCAGAGGAATTCCAGTCTGTATTGAAGACGGGTGGGCTTACCTTCGCCAACATCTTGATATATATGGCCCGGCGACGAGGGACTGAAAAGTAAGGCTATGGAATACGTAGAAGGCGGAGACTAATAGTGGCTTCTCTGAAAAACGGAAGGTCCAGTGTAGGTAATTCGCAAGACACGAAGACAGATTTTGCGAAGTGTTTATAAGGCCGATGGTCGGATCTATGATTCACGATAGAGGCAGGACCAGTGGTTAGATCTGTGGTTCGAGAGGCGGACTGGTGGTCGGATCTATGTTTCGAGATAGAGGCGAGCCAGTGGTCGGATCTGTGATTCAAGATAGAGACGAGGCCAGTGGATATAAAAATTGAAAAGACCGAAACGATCATCGACTCAAAATGAGAGCAACGATAATGAAAGTAATAGAAGATCCCAGCTTTGAATGAAAGAAGCCTTGCGTATCTGCCCGTACCTCCTGGGAGGGTGCGACACATATAGAACACATACTCTGCTATACTCGCCCCAGATCTTTGCAAAGGCCACGATGCTAAAAATGATCCTGCTGGCACAGCTGAAAGCATTACTATCCAGTAAGCTTCAATGTGTGCCTGACCCTGAAACAGCCTCTCTGGGTAGCCACAGTAAGCAGATCACGGCGGCCGTACCGAGTAGGCTGGCCTGGAGATGCCATTTCCCCGATCCGAGAGCTGCCACGGTGTTCACGGAGGCCCGAGGGTGTTGGTTGAGGCTGTGCGAAGGGCATAAATAGATCGTCGGTAAAGCCCGATTGCACTAGGTCTAGGCTATATTGAGCTTAGGAGGGTGTAACTCCAACATCACGACCAGGTCGAGTCTACACAGCCATGATCCAAATACCTTCAACTCCTCCTCTTACTGTACAAGACTGACACGGGCTTGTTTCATAAAACGAGATCGCAACGTGAATGCCTCTTTTGGCGGCCCTTTTGCAAGTCTTTGGCGTATCGTTCCACGAGGCTACGTCCAATGTCAAGAGTGTAGTCCTGCATCAGTGTTCATGGTTAGACGGACGTAGTCGTAGCATTCTATACATTCTTAGTGAAGAACCTGGTACGTCGATTGTCCTTACGATACTAAACACTGGGCCTCGCGTTTTGGGTCAGATTTTTCAGTTGCTTTCCGATCAGCTTTACGTTCTTCCATCTTAACACCTGACGGGCAAATCAAGGCATACTGTTAAGTGATCGCAACGTTCAACGACGAATAAAGTGTAAAAGAAGTATAAAATAATGTTCTTGTATACTCTATTCGCCAAACTTACCTATGTAATTTCTTACACTACCTCAGGCTGGAGCTTACTAGTATCTGTGCATCAGAACAGGCATATATCTTGATGTACACGCATATACCCTTTCTTGTTACAGAAAGAGCATCACACTTAGGTCACGAGTTGATACGTCCTGCTGGGCTAGCCCTCAAGTTCCGAATATCCGATCCTTGAGCATCTTATCATTGTCAGAACCTGGGAGGGTGCAAGAACCCTTTCTTACCATCTATCTTTAAAAACGCTCATATTAGCCAGCTCGTGTAATAACAGCCATCTCATTCATAATGTCGTCAGCATCAAAACCAGATTACCCTCCTTTGGCCCTCCTATCCGACGACCGTCTAGTCGCTCTCCACTCCGCAATCCGAGACTGGCAGCTAACTCACGGATCGCTCATCAAGATCGGCAACTGGGACGATGAAGATAACATCCGAGCCCGACCGATCGGGACGAGCATATTTCCAACGCTCTTCCCACGATCTAGATTTGAAGAGGCGCGCCAACTCCAGAAGGACTACAACGAGCTCTACGCCGCAGTAGCCGAAGATGACACCTGGCTTGCTGAAGTCCTACGTGATATGCTAGTCTCGGATCCTTTCGCTAAAGCCCTATGGAGCGTGCATCTGAAGGCGAAAGAAGCTGGCTACATCCAGCCTCTTACCATGGGGATATTCCGGTCAGACTACATGCTCCACCAACAGCCAGTCTCCGCCATAGATCCATCTCCAGGGCTAGCCATCAAACAAGTCGAATTCAACACCATGTCCTGCGCCGGCGGCACCCACGCCAGCATCGTCAACACCATGCACCACCACCTCACCGCCACAGGCCTCTACACCACCCCTCCCACCCCCCCCAACCCAATCCACCCCTCCGCCCTCCCGACCACCTCCACCATCTCAAACCTCGTCTTCGCCCTCGCCACAGCCCACGCCGCCTACGGCCCCCCCAAAACCGCCCTCGCCACAGCCACCGCCATCCTCATGCCCGTCCAGCCCTTCAACATCAACATTTGCGACGAGCGGCCCCTCGAGTACGGCCTCTGGGCCCGCGCCCCGCCCATTCCCTGCCACCGCGTCGACTTCCCGACCGACTTCCTCGCGCGCACGACGCGCGCCGAGACGGGGGAGCTGCTGTTCTACCCGCCGCACAGCACGCAGCCGGTGGAGGTGTCCGTTGCGTACATGCGCGCGGGGTACGACGCGGGCGAGCACGACGAGGAAGGGATGGAGGCGCGGGTGAGGATCGAGACGTCGCGGGCGATCAAGTGTCCGAGTGTGCTGGGGCAATTGGCCGGGTTTAAGAAGGTGCAGCAGGCGCTTGCGGGGGCCGGGGTGCTGGAGCGGTTTTTGCTGAGTGGGAATAAGGGGAGAGTGGAGAGGATTAGGGGGACGTTTGCGCCGATGTATCCGTTGGATGAGACGGAGGTAGGGCTCTGGGCAAGGGGACAAGCGAGGAGGATTGAGACGGCGGGGCGGTATGTACTTAAGCCGAGTTTGGAGGGGGGAGGACATAATGTGTATAGGGGGGATATACCGGAATTTCTGGAGCGGGCGCCGGAGGCGGAGTGGCGGAATTGGGTGCTGATGGAGATGATTGAGCCGCCAAAGTTGAGGAATGTGCTACTATCGGCAGTTGGCGTGCATGAGGGGGGTGTGGTATCTGAGCTTGGCATATTCGGGACATGCATCTGGAAGAAGAGAAAGGGTGGAGGAGCAGAGATAGTGGAAAATAAGCAGGCGGGGTGGAGCTTCAAGACGAAGGCGGATAGTGTGGACGAGATGAGTGTGGTAAAGGGGTATGGGTGTTTTGATACACCGTGCCTTGTGGAAGATCTGCTTTAGCACAACCGCACGTAGCTTGAGCATAAGCAACAATGTCGTCAATGGCCGAGACCTGAAAGGTTCTCATTGCCTTGTATTTCTCTGACTTTTGAGGTGCCCTTCATGTACTGAGCCGTTTTCATAACCCGTGTTCTCATCGAGCCGTCTATTCAACCAACCACCCAAGAATCCTTCACAACTCATCCTTCACTCCGTCGATGCTCACAAGCTCCGTCTCAAAGACTGCGTAACAATTAGCCTTTGCCCTTCACTCAAAACAATATCTCCCTCCCTCCCTCAAAACAAAGAAACCAACTCACCCAACACACTCCCCGCGGGAATCGGCCCCATAGCCCTCTGCCCATACGCCCACTCCGGCTGAATCGTCAACAGCCTCTTCTCTCCAGGGCACATATCCAGCAATCCCTGATCCCAGCCTTTGATAACCTGGCCCTTGCCGACCGTAAAGCTGAGCGGCTGGCCGCGGTTGTAGCTCGCATCGAACTCCGCGCCAGTAGACTCAAGTGTGCCGCGGTAGTGCACGTTGACCTTGTCGCCGGCGACGGTCTTGCGGGTGCAGTCGGCGGGCGTCGTGACTTCGATGTTGAGGGGCTTGTCGAGGCACGCGGCTAGGGCGGGGAGGAGGGCGAGGAGGGGGAGAGTGGAGAGGCGCATTGTGATGTTGGTTTGGGGGGGTGTGGAATTGGAGGGTGTGGGTTGGTCGTGGAAGGTTGGAGTGAGGTGGAGGTTTGGGAGATGTGGCGGGAGCTGTTGGTCTTTGTGGCAGCTGTTAGAGGGACAGATCGCTTTCAAGGGTCTCCCCGCGGAGGGCGGTGTGGCGGGGGATCTGATTGGTCAATGGCCGAGCATTGGACGTTGATTTGAGAGCCTCATGGACCGGACATACAATAGTGAAAGGGAGCTAAGATTGAGTGGACTAGCTCCCGTTGTTACGCTTTGATGTGCCCTTGTTCTCTAGTCTAATTTACAGCGTCCCAATACATACATTGTAGGACGCGTGCAGAATTGGCCATTTTGATATAATTGAGTGGGGTTTGCCTGGGAAGCTGGACCGGCTCCAGTTACATCTTTAAAGTTGCCCCGATTTGATAGTCTAATTCATCGTGTCCCAGATCTCACATAGTAGAAGAAAGATAATATTAGGAATTTAGAGGTGCCTCAATATAGCATCTTTGATGTCATTCCTTAATTAGAGCTGAATGTTCCATGGCTAGAAATAGGTTCATGTCTCGAAGTTGTAGATTTGTCTTTAGTTCTAGGAGAGTTGCGTTGTGACACTCAAGGACTATCCTCCACCCACTGCAACCCAAAAACGCCAGCCCCAACCTTCACCTCCCTCTCCAACAACCCAATCGTATTGAAAACCAGTACCTTCCCATCCTCTCTCCCAATCGCTATGAGTACCTTCCACTCGGTGTCCGCATCGCGTCGAGGACGTCTCCGCGGCGAAGAGAGCTTCGGCACCGGGAGGACCGAAAGACTAGTCGCAGGACTACTGATATGCCACGTCCTCAGCATCACCGTCCCGCGGCCGAAGTCGACCAATCGACATTTTCCATCCCTCCCGACGCTCGCCACTCTCGCGTCGTAACCGTATATGAACTCGGCAGCGACGATGCCGCCCATGGAGGCTTTATGCAAGCGTTCGTAGCGGCCGATCTCGAAGGGCGGGCGGAGAGCGAGCCAACCAGAAGGGGTGGGCATTCGATATGCCGCAAGCGTGCCATCCGCAAACCCAAGAATAAATGTTGTAGATCGTGAAGGGTGGAAAGAGGCGCATACAACGCGACTAAGTGAAGCTAGAGGTAGGAACTCTAGGGGTTGGTTTCGAGTGCTGAGATTCTGGATAGAGATAGTAGGTGGGCTGTCTGAAGCCACAAGGAGAAGTTCAGAGTTGCTCGAGGTAGCTACCACGGTTGGAGGAGAAGGGTGGGTCTGTGCGGACTCGAGAAAGCGTGAGTGGGCAATTGAATAGGTTTGTACTGCGTTGCTGAGGGTGGATGTAAAGAAGAGAATTTGTGAGTCGCTTGAAAACTGTAGTACGCGAAGTTCGCCCTGAAATTCCTAAAGTCAGAATGGCATTACTTTACGGAGGGCTCAGATTGATACGCACATCCTCGCCCTTGAGCTTGTATTCCCGACTCATCCCTGGCCTAACATTTTGCAAGATCACAATTTGGCTATCTGCAATCGCCAGAATCCCGCGTCCGTCCCCACTTTGCCTAGCCGCAAGGATACCGTGAGTTGCGGACCGAAAGACTGGTACTAAGCCGTCTTGTGACCATGAAAAGACGCGTTTGTGAGTTGCTATAAGCAAATGGAATCCGTTCGGAAACGAAAAGTGATTGGCCATTGGGAGAACTGGCCGCGCGGCTAGGAATGTTCTTAGGAGTGATGAACCGGTAAGCGATGTTGAAGGTGATCATTCGATGAAACGAGAAGGCCCGGCCTCGAGCAGGTGCTGGATCCATTAAAGGTAGGTGGGACCGCTGGACTCCATTCAGATCTATGCTACCATCGGATCGCGTCCTTCGTTAGTTTTTACAACCTTACGCGTCTTCTATGTTGTTATTAGAGTATCTAAATCGCCTTGCTGATCGGATGAGGCTTCTTCAGTCGACAACAAGCGCTAGGTCGTCAACTTCAACCAAATCCCCACTTGCGTCTAAACCAAATTAGAACAGAGGTCAGAGATAACAAGAATCACCGCGCCCTCACTTCGAGCTTCAACACTGAATCCCCCTTCATTGAAACGAATGGACAACGTGCCTCGAATACCTCGCATATCTTCACCGTTGAGACCAAATGTAATCATTTTTAGCAGTGGGCACTGCCCTAAACCTTTTAACACTAGTTCATTCACTAGGTCATCTATTTCGTCTCTGGTACTGATCTCGAATGTCGGAAGTTTCAGTATTTCCAGCGTTGGAGGCAAAACGTCGTCCCGGTAAACTGTGAGCCACTCGTGGAGGGCGGGTCCTGGGACATGTAGATGGGTCAGCTGTTCAAAGGCTTTGAAAGACACCGCTGATGGCACATTTTTCTCTCGCTCTTGCAATTTGCTTTCAGTCCCTCTGACGAAATAGCGGCCAGCGCCTTCGAGTCTCGGCCCTATATCTAATCTCAATTTGCTCAGGGAGTCCTTTCGGCAAAGCAAAGCTTTCAAAGTTTCGTGGAGATTGAAATCTGTTGGGTTCTTGGGGTGAAAAGGACTCCAATAGAGTTCGAAAGACTTCAAAGCCTTGCAATAGAATAATATGTCATAGAGTGCATCTAGAATCATCTTATCGCAATGAATAACGAGGGAAGTCACCGAAGAGGTAAACGTCGCCAAATTATTGAGAGAACGTATGGAATCGACACGCCATCGTAGGTTCTTCAAATCCTGCAACGCCGGATTACATGTGGAGGCATAGGTGCCTCTGACGTCCAGACTTTGCAGCGACGGCAGCAATAGCCAGGGTGATGCTCGGCTGAATTCATGAGGGCTAGAAAACCAGATCTTTAGTTTCTGAAGCTTGCTGAATGGCAGAGAAGAAACTGGGTAAAGAAGAGTCTTGAGTATAAGCTCCTCTAGCATGGCGTACCCAGGCCCATCCTCGTGCTCAATATTCAGTTCACGAAGATTCGGTGTATGCCAGAGCAGTAGCACAGCCAGGGTGTCCCCCATGGTACTACCCACGCGGAACAGGTCTTGAAATTGTTTGCGTGTTTTATCGCCCATGAAGCGGTGACGATTCAAGGCGGATGTGAACAGTGGCCCATCCTCACGGGGTAGCCTCCGACCGTAGAATCTAGCTCTATCAGAGACAAGAAAATGAGCGTCGACCCTTCGAACATGTAGAGCGAGCTTTGGTTGGCGCAGTAGGGTCCGTAGAAAAAGAGGCAGGGACCGTGGTTCTTTCACGACCTGGTCGAAGAATTCGTAGAGAGCCGGCTGAGTATTGAAATTAAGAAACCGGCATGTCAGGCAGAGATTCCTCAGATCGGCTTTCGTAGCTTTCAAAACAGTCATCGCTTTTGGTATTCTCCTTTGGAAATCCATGCCATCCCTCTCGTTCACCTCCAAAACAGCGTCGCGCTCACACGTGAGCCAGGAGAGAATCTCAAGCCACAGCTCTCGGGGGAGTTGTTCAAGGCCTCGTTGATTGGGAGAGCGTGTCGACATACTGTTTTCGCCGCGTCAAGTTGAAGAGACCAAGTCTCATCTGGTGGAGGGTGTGTGGAGGATGAGAATTATGTGGAGGTTGTTGAAGCCTGGGGAAGGGTCGGAGCCATTTATCCCTGAGCTCTTCGGCTCGAGATCGGAGCTTTCAGGTCAACTTTTCCTCACCTCATCCCACCACCTCTTATTCACGCCGTTCACGCTTCAATGGCTGCCCGCACGCTCCGAATAGGTAAGAGTCCACCTCTACTTGGTACATACATGATCAAAAAACTAAAGTATACTAGGCTTAATCGCTGGCGACGGCATCGGCCGCGAAGTCATCCCCGCGGGCCGCCGCATTCTCCAGGCCCTCCCTCAATCCGCCGGCCTCAAATTCACATTCGTAGACCTAGACGCCGGATTCGAGACCTTCAAGAAGACGGGCGCGGCATTGCCCGAGAAGACAGTCGAGACGCTCAAGAAAGAGTGTGATGGCGCGCTCTTCGGAGCCGTAAGGTAAATAAATCACAGTCACTATAGCTATACAATCCACAAAACCAACAGTTGCTCCCCTACAGCTCCCCCACCGTCAAAACAGAAGGCTACTCCTCCCCCATTGTCGCCCTGCGCAAGCGCCTCTCCCTCTACGCCAACGTGCGCCCCGTCAAATCCACCCGCGGCGCCGGGCGCCCCGTCGACCTGGTCATCGTGCGCGAAAACACCGAGGACCTCTACGTCAAAGAAGAGAAGACCTACTCCACCCCCGATGGCCTCGTTGCTGAAGCCATCAAGCGCATCTCTGAGAAAGCGAGCTACCACATTGCAACTATGGCGGGCGATATCGCGCTGCGCCGGCAGCGCATCCGTGAGGCCGGCGGCGAGAGCATTCATTCGAAGCCGCTTGTCACAATCACGCACAAGAGTAATGTGCTATCTCAGACGGACGGCTTGTTCCGGGAGACGGCGCGGAAGGCGCTGGGGATCGATAGGTTCCAGATGGTGGGGGTGGAGGAGCAGATTGTGGATAGTATGGTGTATAAGCTGTTCCGGCAGCCGGAAGACTACGATGTCATTGTTGCGCCGAATCTTTACGGGGATATCTTGAGTGATGGCGCGGCTGCGTTAGTAGGGAGCTTGGGCTTGGTGCCGAGCGCGAATGTAGGGCATGGGTTCGTTATTGGCGAGCCGTGTCATGGTTCGGCGCCAGATATTGAGGGCAAGGGGATTGCAAACCCGATTGCGACCATCAGGAGTACGGCGTTGATGTTGGAGTTCCACAATGAGGCGGAGGCGGCAGCATCGATTTACAAAGCTGTGGATGCGAATCTTGAGGAGGGGAACCTGTTAACGCCTGACATGGGCGGAACAGCGACGACGGAGCAGGTGATTGAGGATATCATCAAGCGCTTGTAGATGAATGTCTGGAGTAGATACCCGTTTGCTCGTTGGACATTCACTGTGTAGGAAGTGAGGAGTCTACAGAGCTCGAAAAGTTACACTGCAATAACTCGTCACAGATCCGTGCAAACTTGTCTGCCGCTGCTTGAAGCTCTTCGATGCATTTTTGAAGTTCCGAACTCTCTTCATTGGAACCCTCATTAAGCTTGCCGGGCCACCTCAGGCAGTGCCCGATGGAAGTACACACTTAGCTGTGTTGCTCGTTGCTTCAGGTTTCTCTAAACATGTTGGAGCTGGTAAACTAACAGTTGAAACACGTGCCCGACGGAACCCCTATTGATTACATGCGAAACCAGCATGTAGAAATAGCAAGGAAAGCGATCGTCAATGGGGATCGGCTTTATTTGATGCTTCAATGACTGGTAGTTACCATCACCACCCAAGTCAGCCCCATACTTCTAGAAGCTCTCTACAATCTTACGCGCCTCTCCAGGGTTTGATCCACGTGCCGTCGAGAACAGCCTGGGGTAATGTACCGTCCGTTAAAGAGCATGCACGAAATTGCGGCAGCTTTTCATAATCAAATTCAAAAAAAGTATATGCCATCGTGTTCCAATCGTAGAGCGAACAACCTTCCGTGCCATCGCACATGGGAAGCTCAGAAGCTCTCGGCCGCTTGTTTGGGTCTCTGTCAAGGAGTGCTGCTATGAATGGCAACCAGCTTACATATTCCGTGGTATTTTGGAGGTGTATTATCCAAAGATAGACTTTGGGAAGATTGGCGGCATAGGCCTGCAGGCCGTCGGTGATTCGATATTCCTCAAAATTTTGCGAGAGAACCCCCCAAACGGACTGTGAACATCTCAAGAAATATACACCCTAGCGAAAACATGTCTGCAAGCACGCCCTCGCCTCGCACCTTCGATGTTGGCTTCAGGTGCGCAGTACATAGGTGTTCTCTTGCTGGGGAAGCCGATAGAACCGGTTGTGGAATCGTTGATTAGATCCTTTGATATGCCAAAGTCCGTGATGAAGATTTTGTCGCCCTGGATAAGGATGTTGGCTGGCTTGAGATCCTTATGTCGAATTTCCTCCTTGTGGAGATAGTTGACAGCGCTAGCAAGACAATACATCCACTTGTGTAAGCGTTGAACGACATTCGTAACATTAGAGAAGTGGACATCGGCTTCGGCTCGAGCAAGAAATTCACCCAGATCCATGTCAGCGACCGGACTCATGATGATTCCGAAATCGAGACCGGCTTGATATGTTTCGATTAACCTCACGATGTGGGGATGACGAAGTCTACGAATAATATTGATCTCAGACCTTATCTGTCGTTGTTGTGCAGCGGCGCGAAAGTGTCCGGTTCGAATGATTTTCCTGGCGTAGACTCTGCCCTCCATGGAGAAATTTATGGCCTCCCTGTAATCATTCAAGTCGCGATGCCACTCCATAAGGTTAGTTGGAAGGTCAAGGGCTTGCTCAGTAGCCACGCCCTGAGCGATCTGCCGACTTTGTGAGACGAAAACCTGTGGGAGAGGAAGATGAGCCCAGTCTACGTTAGCTACAATGCCATGTTCGTAGGCTGTAGTGATGACCTGCTTCAATTTGTCCTCGGTCTCCGGACGCGAAACGTCTGCAAATTTATCCTCAGAGATGAACGCATTCAGCACATAGCCACGGATTTCTGGAGGCCAAGAAAGTTTAGTGCTCTTCGGGACAGCACCAAGTCCAACCCGTTTGATGCGAATACACTCCACCTTGTCTACGAGTGCATAGCTCCCACGGCCGAGATTATTCAAGTGCTTGTAAGGCAGCTCAGCCTTGCTCGTGTAAATGGTATGGTTGTGTTCTCCGTCCGCCACGATAGCGAGTTTGAATCGGTATCAAGGCGAAAGGTCGATGAAACTCCGATTCGGTCGTCCGCTGAATGGTAAAGACGTCCTCTAGATGTTTCAAGGGACCCAGGATCTTTCGAATGGACTGGAAAGGAGTCACGTTGGTAAAAGACATACAAAACAGGTAGCGGTCTATTTTGACCCACGCACTTACCTCGCTGGGCTCATCAAGCACCGGTAACGAGGACTACTTCATCATCCAGAGTCCCTGATGTGGTTACGACAGAGAGTGAAGCAGAGGTGTCGAAGAAGCGTTGGAAAAGAGAAGGCAAGGCTGAGGCTGAAGTGGGGTGGCACCTTAGCCAATCGTAGATATTGCAGTGTTTATGTAATAATCGAGCCTCTTCCTAACTACATCAACTCCAAAGATCAGTCCAAAATGAACTACAGTCTACCTTCCCTAGGCAGGGTGAGATGCTGACGTATAAGATTGGTACTAAGATGTATCTGGCTAGCTATATCCAGCGCTGAGCGGCTGGTCTAATTAGAAGCTGAATTTAACAGGAAAGAAAATGGATGGGTCTGAAGAGCAGGAGTTTTGCAAGCTCATACTTGGTACAACACCCTCTCACGGCCGGTGGCCTAGCGTGGATATGAAGCCGCGGGCTCAATAGGTGGAATTAAATCTCGAGATGTTGAAGGTAGCCCATTTCTGGACTGAAGATTACCGTATACCTAAGCTTGCGTACACTTGTCTAACACCGCCTGAGGTCCCCTGGTACGTTCTGAATAATTGGAAAACGACAGTTTTGACAAGCCTAATAGCTTTCCGAGCGACCTCAGACGGTATCAGAGTAGACAGCCACTTTACGTTCAATGGAGCTAAAAGCACGGTACTTTGAGGCGTTACTTTCAAGATGCTTACCCCTTCTCTACGATGCATAATCAACTTTATGTTCTTTCCAATGCTGCTCATCTACTTTGTTTCTCGAAAGTCCCGTATTCGAACCGGATACCTATTTAGCCCAGATCAATCCACGCCCTCATCCACGTATACACTCTCTTTCTGAACTCCCTTCTCTTCTCCTTTTATGCTGCTCGCTTTCGCTTCCTTATGCACTTCTCCAAAGATCTCCTGTGCGCTCTTCACCTTGCCGTTCTCTGCCGGCAGAAGCTCGAAGACGATAACGAACAGTTCCGTACTAGTTGCGCGATTTTTAAGCACATATCTGAGGGAGTGGGTGCTGCGTTAGAAGAGTTAGGCATGGGATGGGTCGCTGAAGGGGAGAAATAGTACGAATAAAACCGGAGACTCGAACAGAAAGTAGGGAGGAGCAGAAGAAATCGCAAACGTACCGGAGAGGCTGGCCATCCCAATGGCTGACGATAGAGATAGCAGGGAGCCCGTATCCGAGTTTCAGTGCGAACTCTGCCGACCATCAGCTTGTATACCTTCTTCAGAGGTACACTAGGTCTTATTCATACCATTGAAATCCAAATACGGATTGAAGAAATCACACGCATACGTCCTCCCCTCTTCGAACTTGAATCCCGTCCGATTTGCCTCCTGCAACGCCCATTTCTGTCGCTGCCGCGCATCATTTGGCATCCCCGACTCTTTCCGCACCTCGTGCCCGTCCTCTTCTGCACCCTCTTCGAACACCACCTCTTCCTCGCCCTTCCCGTCTTTCGGCTTAGCTTTGGGCGCGTCCTCTTCTAGCTCCTTCCCATCCTCGCCTTTCCCGCCGACCCGAAATATGTTTATTGAGCTGAGTAGTGGGCCATAGAGGTAGGGCTCGTCTCCGAGTACGTCGCCATCGAGTCCTGGGTCTACCCAATACTTCACCAACCCGAGCGCTTTATCAAAGAGCGGCGGTAGGCGATCGCGGATCGGGTGGTCGAAGTCATTCCCAAAAACGAGGTCCTGGCCGGTGATGTGGCGTTTGGGCGTGAAAGTGAAAGCTATGCTGTACCGGTCGTAGGTATGGGAGGGGTGGGAAAAGTAGGGGGAGTTGGATGGTGAGGTTTTAGGTAGCCCTGTATAATATGAGCTTATTGTTCGAATGTATGTGCTGTTGAGGCGTTTGTTGGGATGGAGACGGAGGAGCGGAACGTACCTCTGTAGTCCTTTATCCGCACGTGGATGCGGGCGTCAATGTGTTCGGAGGATATGGAGATAGGCTTTGAGCTGTTGACATGTACATCCTCATGTGTGGTGGGGTCGTAAGAGTGTCCCGCTGTGACTTTGAGGATGTAGTTTGAGTGATCGCCCATGTTGGCGGCCGAAGAAGCGGTGCTGGCCCTGCTATATTTTTATAGAAACTCTGTTGTCGGAGTGTTTGGAATGTATCGATTCGACGATAATCGTAGGAACAGCAATTGAGATTGAAGGCGATGGTTGGAAATGGTGAATGCACTATTTTTTGTGACGGTGGATGACGTCCCATACGTCTCAAAGCTTGGCATGCAAGTCATAAAATAGTGTCACGTGACCCGTCAGCTAATCAGACTCTCATGGTACATGAGTTTGAGATGATTCCAGTGTACTAGGTAAAGCAAAGGGGGTTGCAGTATAACCGGAAACTGTGCAGCCCGGAAATGCAACTTTGACAAGACATGCTATCTGGATGAACATCAACTCCTTTGCAACAACGATATGGACTAGATCCTACACTGAGAGCTGTACTTTTGGATTCCTACATAATATAAATGATAACCCCTGCTCGCTGTCAATGCTCGTCATGACGTTTGCTGGCCTTCGTTTGCAACCCTCTGAAAGCGATGACCTAAGTTTAAAGTGGTAGACAAACTATCAGAGAATGTGGACTTGATTGCTGGTGTTGTTTCATGGAAGAAAGATGATTACTTTTGTGTATACGTTCCCGCAACTGCGCCCGAAGGAGAAACCGAAGGGACCCTTTGATGATTAAAACCTGCGTCTGAGAAGAAGGAAACAAACAGGAACGAAATCTACTCCCCTTTTTATACGAAGCATACCTATCATGCTTCTTATTGCGAAACTGCACATCACAAATCCGCTCCACTCATCTCAATCTACGCATAAGACCATTCCCATGCAGCCACCCTATCACCCCCTCCCAAAACTCCTCTCCTCACACCTCCTCAACCCCCTTCCCCTTCCTCCCCCTCCCCACACCCACCCTCACGCCCACCGTCCCCACACACCCCGCCGACACCGCAAACAACCCCGCCGCCACAAAAAACGGCAACCCCACCAACGCCCTCCTCCCGCTATCCAACCCCCACGCCAACACCTCGGGAAACGCAATACTGGCGACCAACTTTCCCCCAATACTCGCCATCGACAACGTCGCCATGACCCTTGCCACCCTTCCCTTCTCCACCAAACTGACAATATACGCCTGCGTCGCCGTCGGCAGCCCCTCGCCGAACAGATACACGACCACGCCCCCGACAAACACGGGCCCGGAGTCGCTAGCACCGATGACGACAGAGCCCAGCGCGAGGATCGCGGCGGACGCGAGCATGATGGCGAAGTGGCCCGCGGCGGTGGAGCGCAGCCAGCGGGCGGCGAGGGTGTTGAGCAATGGCAGGAGCAGGGAGAAGTGCAGGAGCATCAGGAAGCCCTGCGTGGCGACGATGTAGGAGGCTTGCGGGAAGGTCCAGGCGAATTTGATGACGGGGTATTGGATCAGGCCGAAGAAGTCGATGGATTTGATGCCCGTGGCGGCGACGAAAATGGAGGTGAAGAGGAGGATGAGGTTAGGGAGGCCGAGGCCGAAGAGGGGGGTGGAGGTTGATGGGGGGTTGAGTTTGGGGTCGTCGGGGGCGATGGTGGGAGAGGAGGAGGAGGGCGAGGTGGATTGCTGGGCGAGGGAGGCGGCGTGCTTCCTGCTCTCGCCTACTGTCTCTGGGAATAGGAAGATTGTGATCAAGGCAGTTAGGACAGCGATCGCGAAGCTGACTGCGAGGTTGACCTGCGGTGTTCCCCCCTTTCCGTCCAGGTTCATTAGGAACGCGCCGATGGAGGGGCTGAATGTTTGTGCTAGATACTGCATGCTCGTTGTTAGGAAGAATAAGGATGCTCGCTCTGTAGCCACTGGCATGACGTCTGTGTAGGAAGCAAACAGCATCGAGAGGCCAACATCGAAGTTACCCCCAATGACTCCAGGAAGACCACTCAGGTAGAGCGTCCATATTGGGACTTTTGGGAAGCCAAGATCTTAGATCAAAAGTCAGCAATCCCGTATACATCAAAGGACACAATTCAACTCAATTCTAGCCATCGTCGAGAAGAGATTAGGGTCAAGATTAGGGACAATATGACTGAGAGCGAGAAAAGCGAAGCACGCGAAAGAGATAAACCCACAAAGACACAACCACAACCCACACGCTATAGTAACATTGACCTTATGCAGCACCAACACCACCTTCCGGCCCGCTCTATCCGCCACCCACCCCAAAGGTATCGCGCCCAGCATCGCGCTCAGCATTCGCACAAACATAATCAGCCCTGCGCTGCGCGCCAGCTGCTTCTGCACCGTGTCGATTTTGCACAACCGCTCGGGGATATGCTTGCCGAGCTCGACGAGAGGGGAATTGAGCTCGAGGTAGTAGTTGTAGCAGTGCATGGCCTCCAGCGCGCGCATGCTGGCCACTTGCTTGATGAAGTACTCGGCTTCATTGGTGAAGATGAGGGTGCAGCCTAGGAGGGGGACGAAGCGGTAGCGGGAATGAATGGTGGTAAAGGAGGGTAGTCTTGCGAATAGCCATCCTTTCGAAGGTTTTCTCTCTGCTGTATCCGAAGTTGCAGTTGAAGTTGCCGACTTGCTCGAGCTCGAGCCCGAAGGCGTTGGCGTACTAGAGGAACCCCGCCTCAGCAGTGGGGATGTCTCATTTTCTTCCGGCATCCTTTGCTGCAGTGTTCTGTTTCCTTGTTCTTACGGGGACGAGGTACAGAATTTGCACAGATGCAAGGAGACGTCGTCCATCAGGGTTATATCCCGACGGGCGGCGGCAAAAGAAAAGACTCATCAGGACGCCTTATTGCGAAAGCCGAGCTCGGAATGCCACTCGGAGTGCACAACGGAGTGCCAAAGGGCGCGTATTGCAGATCACTCCGCCTGATCGGGAACCTTGCCGGAACCAGCTGGGTCATCGAGTGCTTGATTGCAAATGGTGGAGTCCAATTGACACATATTGGTGAACGCCTGGTGGAGATGCTGCAGGTAAGTGGGTTGGCGATGGATGGGTTGAATCGGGTCACAAGCGCATGAACTCACAGTCAGGAATCGATCTACGTGCAGTTTTAAAGCATGCGAGATGCACCCGGAAAGCAAGGATGATAACAGGTCGAACAAACCATTACTATTCGCACTACATGCAAAGGAGAAGCACTCGATAATTTTCCAAAACGAAAAGCTCTTCGTCCTGCCGTCTCATCGTAACACCATTACCACGAATCATTCTGTAGAGAATCCCCAAATGCTCCAGTGAAAAGAATCCAGCGCCCGCACTCCACCGGGGTATACAGTGTGGACCAGGCACTCTTCCAACGAACTAGTTCATACGACGCTGCACTTATGCGGCGACTCGCTCCTCTTCACGGCCTCTTGTTTCAGTGCCGACCGTGGACGGCGCGTCCTCCTCCTCGTCTTCTTCGTAGCCGTTGCCACGGTGCTCGGAGGCGGGGATCCAGAGGCCAGACTCCCTGTCGCCGAGCGACTGATCTTGGTGGGAGAGGTCGACACCTTCGCCGGGCTGGCGGCGGGCGGCACGGCGCTGGGAGAGAGTGCGGGAGCGGACGGAGAGCTTGCTGCTGACGGCGGCGTTCTGGGAGACCCAGTTGGTCAAGGCATCTTCGCAGTCTTGGATGATACTGAGAGAATTGTTAGTCAAGGACGAGGTAGATGTCTATGGTCAAACTTACGCCTTGCTAGCCTCGTATCCGTCGTACGCTTGCCTGGTCTCGCCGGGAGTAACGGGGGTATCATCAACCAACTCAAGGAGGTGCTTTCCGTAGCCAGCAATGATGGCAAGCTTCTCGCAGTGCTCACTGAGAGCATCGAACTGGTAGGTGAAGGCAGCCTTGAGCTTCTCGCGGGTGATATTGGAGAGCTGAGCCTCGGCGACGAGCGACTCGGCCTCAGCGCGGACGAGCTCCTGTTCGAGGACGACAATTTTGGGGGAGTTCGGCTCCTTGTACTTGAGCTGTGCAATGTTGTCGGTGATCTTCTGTTTCCCTGTTTTGAAGTCAATGGTGATTCTGGAGGTAAGCTGTGGGTAGGTATGACGTACTGTCGCGGCTAGGCTGGACTGAAGCCTCAATGTTGCGGATGCTCTTGATGGTCACACGGTACTGGTCGTAGCGGTCGACAAACTGGTCTTCGAGCTCGCCAATTTCGTAGATAAGCACACCGAGCTTGTCGGTGACATCAGAGACGTCGTCGTCGCATGCCTCGCCCCAGATGGAGAGTTGTTGCTGTGATGGTCAGAACCGCATCTCCAAATTTGCACGTAGTCTAAACTTACTGCAACCTCCATTCGCTCCCTGCTGACAAGCTCCATGCTGCGCATGACGTTCTTCTCCATCTTGACCAATTGTGAGAGCTTCTTGGCGAGGTCGGGACCAAAGGCACCCGCAGCCTTTCCGCGGAAAGTGTGACCTGCAGAGCATCATGCAATTAGCATTGCTCACTACGTAGAGACATAACATTGATCGCATGATACGCGAGTGGACTCGAGATGTCGCATTCGAGGACCAGGCGGAGTCGCTCCGTCGGCGGCGGGCGGGAGCGGGAGCGCCGGACACCCGAGGAGCAGACAGCATGAACGCATTGAAGACTCGAGTATCATGAGAGCGACATACCGATATTGCCCCTGCCGAAGAACCTGCCATGCTTCGTCGAGGATGGAGGCGGCGGCGGGCTCTGGATCTGCGACGCCGTCGGGGCGCGCGACTGGCGCATCGAGTATGTCCTGTGCATGGTGGCGGGCGGACGAGGGGGTGGTCGTGAGTAGGGATTTAGGAAGTGGAGTGGGTGTGATAGACAAAGAAGTGATTTGGTGTGCGTGTGTTGTGGTAGAAATGCACCCGCTTGGCTGGAGGGAGCGTCGTCGTTTTGTTTGTGCCCACTGACGCCAGGCCGTGCATGACGTCGCCATTGTGGGCAGCCAAGTAACAGCAGTTGTGGGGGGGCCCAGCCTGCGCAGCGCCTCGTTCCGTGTTCAGGCCTGGACCCTCAAGCACATCATCATCCCTTCGTGGCCGATCTTGTGCTGTACGGGCCTGGCTCCAATTAAACTAGCTTTAGGGCGACTGAAAATTAATCGAATTGGGCTACCAACGTGGCTGGAGGCCTTTAGACAGGTACACACTACGTAGGTGGTGTTTCTGTTGCTGTGGCTACGCTGCTATCAGATGCAAGCACACAAGTGCATTTCAAGGTCACGCAGTAGCTCCCGAGGCCTGTGGCTTGTGACTTCAGCAAGAAACTGTCACGATACATTATGTCATATTAGACAAGTGGGTATCAAGATCTATGGTACAGCTCTGTACTACAACGCGCCGTTGGCCACCCTATCTTTCACCGACCCCTTCAACCGCGACCTCGTCAACCACGCCCATGCCCTGCTCAGCACCAAACCCTCCATCCCCGCCGCTCCCTTCTCTCTGCCACCGCTCATTCCAGTCCCGCTCAGCCCTTAGTTGATCGGTAAAGACCCCCAGGAAATCGCCCGCTTGCGCAAACGTCTGTTGAGGCCGCTGGCGGGGCAACTCAAATACCAAATCCCCTTGGCGAGGTGATCGAGCGTGATGGACGGCTATACCAGCAATAGCTGAGAGGAGGGCGCCGGAGAACGCGAAGAAGGTGTTTACAATAAACGGAGATGGCAATGCCGAGCTCGGCTTCATGGCTACATCTTCGGATTGCCGATCCTGGCGGACGGGGTCGTCGCGTATCAATGTCGATACCACGGGTAAGCTCCCGACTATATCCCTCACGACTGTGTATGTGGTTGTAGCTAGCGATGTGGCCATTGGTGGAGACCAGGGCAATGTCAGTCCAAGCCCCCGGCGAGCGGTTTTCAGCGCACCATCATCTCTGGGACACGAAGCAAGGGCAGATACGTCGGACGGGCTCACGTCCTCATCGCTGCCCAGAAGAGCCGTGCGCATGCGCCTGATATACTTCTCCAGCCGTGAATATCGTCCCTCGATAGCTTCTTTTAGCCACGTTTGTGGAACTGGGGAATAGAGCATCAGTGCTAGGTACCCAAACGCTAGGTCGTCTAAGCTTGAGGCCGCATCGTCTCTTAGTAGGTATTGCTTCTTGCCCAGAAGGTCCGAAAGCGGTGCTAGGAATTCATTGGCAAGCGCATCCAGCTTGAATCGAGCTGCGTAGACCGGAGAGCTCAGAAGGCCTTGGAGGCCCTTTTGTCGACCGAGATTTAAAACGCTTGGGCGATTTGCGTGACTGTCCGATGGTAGGCCCGATGCCTTTTTTGCTGCCTCAAACTCCCCGCCTAGAGTAGTCCCAAGCTCAGGGCCGTCCAGATCCAAGTCTACATCGAGTCCGGAGAGACCTAGATGAGCTGTTCGAGCTCTCGCTGCATCTCGGTGTCCGGGCGGTATTGTGTAATTTAGATTCCATGGTAATATAGCAGTGTACGCCGGTGCGGTTGTGGTGGAGTAGTTTTGGGAGGAAGTGTATAGAGAGAGATCAATAATAGGTCGGCCGGTAGTTTCGATGAATGTAGAAAAGCTAGAGCGCAAATTGTCAGCCGTTTGCGCCCCATGAAGATCTAATGAAACCCGACATACGCTAAGCTGTCGGCCTTCTGTTCCCTCGTGAATATTGAATCCGAGTTATGTGATCCTGAGGGATACTGGCCGAGGTATTGAACTATTTGATTGAATCCACCTATCCATGTCGTATCATCGCGGAGAGCAGGGAAATTCTCTGATGCGTATAATTAGCCTTACTCTATCCCTTAATTCCCCAGAAGGCTTAAGTGCCAAAGACGCGGTGTTGAAGGATTTGGTAGACGTACGGGTTGGACTCGGTGATGTGTCGTGAGCAGCAATCAGCACCCATTGTGTTCGCGCAATAGTGCGGTTCAAAAACGCGATCGCGGCATTGCATTCTGCATCTATCGAAGGCAGTCCGAATGCCGGACCCCATACGTGGAGCTCAACCACCATAGGTAGGAGGTTGGTCGAGGAAGCGCAACTGCGCGGAGCCTGCGGATTGGGCACGTGGTCTTGGTACAATCAAAGTCGAATCCGAGGCACAAGATCTCTTCAAAGTAGGGGAGGAGTGTTTGGGAGAGTTTGAGCGATAATGGTTGACGTCGTGTGGAGTTGTCGTCCTAAAGTCCTTCAGATGTCAAAAGATCGACAATGTCTTGGCACGTCACTCTATTGATCATTGCTCCACCAACTCTCTCCCTCACTTCCACTCCACCATAACTTTCCCATGGCGCCCATCCGCCGCTACCTCCGCATAACCAAACACTCCGTCCTCGAAGTCCGTATCTACGTCGACCGGCCCTCAGACGCCGACACCTGGCTTCTCAACCGCGCCTCTCCCGCGCTTCCACGCGTCATCGAAGCCGTGCGACCCCTCGTGCTCCCAAAACTGCGCGAGGAGAACGAGCGCGCAAAAGGCAGAGGCAAGGGAAAGAAGAAGGGTATCAAAGATGTGGTTGTTTGCGGTATGTTTAGCTAAATCCAAAAAGGTCTGCCATAGTAAACATGTTTGATGTGTTCTATTATTGTTATTGCTATCGTGGCATGGAGGCAGTGCTGCATGTATTGGATCACGAGATGAGTGATCATGCTTGCATAACGCTTATGGCGGATTGGTATATTTGCGCTAGTCTCCTAAAGCAAGAGAACCCATTCTATGTAGTAGGAGCTAATTTAAGATGCGGCATATAGATGACTTCGATGTATCGATCTTCCTAACCGAGTTATCCGCACGGCATTCGCTCCTTACCAAGCAGAAGAGCTTCAAGGAGAAACCTGGCCTCGAGAGTAACTCAAAGAAGCTGACCGGCTGGCTGACGGCAGGCACGCGGGAGGATCCTTCGACGGTTCCCGCGGAGGCTGGCGCGCCTATTGTGATCAGAGAGGACGACGATGCCGGGATAGTAATCAGGGCAGAAGACGACGAGGTTTCCTTGAACAATATTCCCGAAATTCCCGAAGCTAGCGAGGAGGACCAGGCTGGCGAACGCTCGATCGGTGATGGGGACGTCGTAGGGCGGAGTAAGCGCAGGCGGCAGCAGAGTGATATGACCGTGGTTGAGTCGAGTGACTCAGACGAAGGGTTTCAAGAGGACGAACGTCCGCCAATAAAACGCGCGAAGAAGGGCAAGGAGAAGAATCGGGACACGGACGCTGACGATGCAAACGAGACTGGGGAGACGGACGACAAGAAGAAGTTAGGGCTGAAGACCTCCTACGACGGTTTCAGCATCTACGGCCGCATCCTGTGCCTGGTGGTTAAGCGCAAGGGCGGCACCCAGGCAAAGAGCGGGAGCGGTGGCATACCTGGCTCAAGTCAGCAGATGATGGAGAACTGGGTGTCGACGCAGGCTGCAGCCGAGCAGGGCGACGACGGGGATGAAGACGGATGAGGTAGTGTGGTGTCCGTGTTGACAGCATCGCTTGCATACGATATCGCCAGCCGGTCCCTGGATGATGCAGAAAATAGCTTTCCCCAGCAAGGGGTCATCCGACGCCCTTCCTGGCGGACTGGGCGGGCGCCTTGCTGCCCGTGCTCTGGAAGCCCACGTGGCCGCACAGTCCGATGCCAAGGATCGGCGAGATCCTGGAGGAGCGCCGGCATAACGGAGAGATGGAGGGGGAGTGCACAGGCAAATCTGTGGAGGGTGGTCATGCTGGCACGATATGAAATTACTGTGTGAATGACACGACAGACGCCGAAGTTGCGGTGAATGAGCCGCCAACGAGAATGAATTGAAGCAGAGGGGTGATCCACGGTGCCACAGAGCCCACCTCACGCCAGAATGGTATCCGTCTCCCCAATAGAGCATATGCGGCCGCATGTCCGCACCAGAGCAGCGGTGTGGCTTTGAAACCAGACATCTCACCAGCGCGAGCATCGCGACAGTTCAGTCGTCCCGGCAGTCCGCGCCAAGGCCCTGTCAGGCAAGGCCGGAGCAGACAGCCGACGTGACGGCCCTGCAACAATTTGCAAGATGCTGGGTCGGTCTTGTGGCGGCCCTCCAGACTGGTAACGACGGTAAGGCCGAGTAGCACGCGCCAGCCACGGGAGCTGGTGGAGAGGAGTGGAGCTCCTGCAGCAGTTAACACGCCAGACGGCGTGGGACGCAGCACCGAGGGGCGCGTACCTGCAGCAGGCCGTTGCTTTTGCAAAGGCTGGAGCAGCTGGCGGGCACGGCAGATCTGGGCTTCAGCAGCGATCGAGCCAGCTGAGGTTGGATGTCGGCACACACACGGCACGGCAACCCCGCCCTGCAGCGTGCCACGAGGACAGTGAGCAGCTGGAGAATATCGATTGGGCGCCGCAGGGGAGCAGCTCGACGCGGAGGGCTGCTGGTGCAACATGGCTTGCAGGCCGACGCGGGATGCCGAGCGTGGTGTTGCGAATGGCCTGACTGGCGATGAGCTCTGCCGGGCCGCCCTCCGAGCTCCAGTCGGCTGGAACACGGCACGAGAGCGTGACTGTCCCGACTGTACGACGCCGATGGAAGTTGTTGAGTGCTGAGGACGAGCTTCCGGGCGGTTGCGCTGATTCGCCGGAGCTCCTGTTCGAGATCAAGCTTTGCAACCCCTGGCGATCAGGGACCAGCTGTGCCTCACGTGGCAGAGCGTCATGAAGAGATTTCCAGTGGCTGGTGCCGATCGGGGAGGTGACGCAGCTGTGGTCTGGTGCTGCTCTCGGCTCGGCACACGCCCAGCAAGCGAGGCGTGCGAGGCGTGCGAGGCGTCAGAGGGCGTGGGATCTGGGCCGACGGGGAGGGCGATTTCCGCGTCGATGCAAAAAGCACCGCAGCGCTCGTGTTCGACTCCCCGAGCTGCTGCCGTGCAGCGTTGCCCAGGTGCGTTTCATCGTGGCGTGCAACATCCTGGCCTCCACGTTTTTGGGCAGCGTCTCGCGCGTGCTGACCACTCGGCATCCCGGCTGCCTTAGGGCTTGCCGGCGGCGACGTCCAGCTGTGCGACGGGTTTGCAGCAGCCGCATCTTCGCACATCCCGCCGATGTCGCTGGAGACGTGCAAATTTCTGTGCCGCCAGCTTCCAAGGTGTTGCCACACATCGCCATTTCCGCGCCGTCGTCAGAAGGGAACACTGATCCACGTCGTCATCATCGCATGATGCTGTGTGGGGAGCATCCCAGTGTCTTAAGCCAGCAATCGCATCTGCGTCCTCATCCGCCACTCTAGCGACCGCGTCGGGGGACGGCACAGGGATGGCCCTCGATCGTGAAGCCTGCCGGTCCGGGGCGCACAGCTGTGGAATAAAAATACGAGCAGGGCACAAGGCGACGAGGCCACCTTGGAGTTTTCTTCTGCCCCAGAGTCAGGCTGTGCACAAGGCCGCCCCGACCACGCTCCGAGGAGCTGCCATCAATTTGGCGGAGTCATGCAGGACCGCGCAGGAGAAAGGGCGGTGGCCCAAAGGAGCAATCTCCCCTGGAACAAGCTGAGATGGAAGGCCGGGAGAAGAGCGGCAGAAGACGCCGTCACAGCCCCAGATCGTTGCTCAAATTTTCGGTGGAGCGCAGGCGCGCAACGGCTTGGCTGATGAAAATGCACAATTCCACCAATGCCGGCTGGAGTGGGGCCGTGGCGTCTTCGGGGTGATTGGGTGGATGCGCACCTGAGACAGGAACTTTGGGATAGGGGGGTGGTAAACTGTAGGCTTGGCAGCCTCGGTGAGGTGAATGTGCGGCTCGCTTAAGCAGAAGAGAGGAGAGAAACAAGAGGGGAAGGAGAAGGTGAAAACAGAAAGAGAACTCAAGCTGGGCTTTGGAATTGGAGAAAGAGCTGGTTCCTAATAGTGGTTGATCCGGTCAAGTCATGATATTCACTTCCTGATATTGCAGCGTCCACGCCTGGCTTCACGCCATCACACCATTGACACTGGGACTGCTGCTCCAACTGATCAACAAACTGACACACTCTTCCCATACTCGAGGATCCGGTGGTGCAGGCCAAGAACGGGCACTGTACCACGCCCCAAAAGGGGCCGATCCTGCCTGTTCCTGACTGCCCAACGACAGCTGCGCGCCCGTTTCGGCGCAGCAGAGACGCCGCGTGTGTGGCTCGCCCTGAGGGCGTAGCACGAGGCTGCTGCACCAGCTGCAGAGGGGCATCCCGACAAGTCTGGCCGAACTAGTGGGTGCGTGGCCTGGTGGAGCGCTGCGGGCAGCCAGCGCCGCGTCGCCCTGCCCCACGGCTCTGCACCGGGCGACAAGGTTGCAAATTCCAGCAGGCCGTCTAGCTTCGAACGAAATGGCCGTGATGTCACGGCGGCGAGATGCTGGAACCTGGCGACGACGCAGACACAGCTCGGCAGCCCGCGGCAGACGCGCAGGCATCAGGGCATCATGGCACCGTAGGCATCATGGTGGGCTTGGATCACCATGATCTTCACCCAGTCACGAGGCGCCTGAAACGAGGCAGGCGTGGCTCCGTGTTTGCTGGTCATGGCATTAATCCCGGGATGAGCGATGTTTTTGGCTTATGCACGGTTCAGGGAGGGCAGCTTGGCTGAAGCGCAGCCTTTCACCGAAGCATCCCTGCCCAGCGACATCTCCTTTTCCACGTCGCCCGACGCCTCAGCTCACCGCTATGGCCATGCCAGCTTATTACACCATCCGGCAGCGTAGGCTGACCGAATTTGACATTTCAGAAAATCCTGGCTGCCAGGCATAAATACCTCGCACTGCCGCCCCATCCACGCTCTGTTTCATCACCCTTCTCGGACGCCTACGACCTACACCAGTGCCGCAGCTTATATCTAATACATCCTTCCACTACATCTACATACGACATACACACACCCCCGCCGCACACAACAGTTTCATCTGCTGCCGCACTTTCCACCGCACGCGCCGCACTACCTACAGTACTTCACTGTCCTACATCAAGCTTCAATGGCCTCCCTTACCTTCACGGACTGCAATATGTCGACCTCCAACCTGCCTCCATGCCCAGGCCCGCCACCCACGAGGCCCCTCCCTCCAGTTCCATCCAAATAAACCGCCTGTCCTCCATCCATAACGTCTTGACCGCCTCATCCCTCTTCGGCGTTACATCCCGTCTCGGCCCATCTCTCGACTTGTCTCCTATTGCATCATGGATTCCAGCCGCCTCCCTCCCTCGTCACTTGATCGATCACCACACCGCCCAGTGTTTCAGTCTGAGCATCTCTCCCGCCTTTCAACCCCGGAATCACAACACCTCGAAATCAATGGCTGCCCGCATCCGCAGTTGTCTCAGGAACCCATGGCGCCTGGCGCAACCTAGCCCTGGTTGAGATGCCTCCCGCGCCTTGCTGCATGCAGCTCACCGCGAACTACGATCGATCTGGACTCCGCCCATTGGCTGGCTGCGCGACACCCATGCCGCAGGTGTCACACGTCCACGTTGGCCTTTTTCCGGAACAGGACTCAATGCCTCGCATGGCAGCCTTACGCATGCTCAGCACATCGCCATCCCACTTGCTGACCTGACCCAACAAGGTCCTCATGCTCGGCCCGCCAATCACCACATCCTCTCGCTCTGCTGCCTCGCTCGCCGTCGCTCTGACTCAACTTTCGTCTGCCTTTCTCTCCTTGACACCGCCGGTTCGGATGGAAGGATATGGTGGCCCGTATTGGGGGCCATCTTTTGCTTCTCGGATCCCCACACACGTTTTGTAATACACCAGCGATTTGTGTTTGCACTGCCTCTTTTGTAACTGCATCAGCTGGCGCGAGGGGTGGGACTGCCTGCAGAATGGGGCTATATCGGAGTTAATGGGATATGGGAGATCTGGAAATACCCATTTGTCTATTTTTGGTCACGAATATATACCACGCTGCCTCTCAGATGGTAGTGCATTGCAGCTATACTGCCTACTACATCAATAATGTATCTTTTCATCGTTACGCACCAACCGCACCCCACTCTGTGACTGTCTCCTGCTTCTCCTCTTCGGCACAATTATCCGTCAGTGACGTGGGAGTGCTAACCTCGCCGTCTCTTATCCGCGCTGCCTCGTGACATCTTCGACCCCACACCCCTGCAAGGCCTACTCCAACGTCAGCGCATATCGTGAAGGCTCCGTCGATATTAAATCAGTAGTCCATCTGGCCCACAGCGCATGCATGCACGGCTAGCCTCGCTCTTCAACGACGTGGCACAGCAAACCTGCTTCGCGATAGCCCCCAGTGTGCCTGACCACGGCACAGCTAGCGCTGGGAGAGCGATGTTGACCGGAATTAGTGCGCACCCCCGTCTCTTTCCTGTCCGGAAACATCGGCTGCATCGAAACGGTTCACGCATTTCGTCGCGCATATTGCGTCTCACACACCTCGGGTGCCTCCGTATCTGACCACGACCTCCATCGCCATCTCACTCGGCGCCCTGGTCGGCCTGCGTCGTCCTTACTCGACAGGTACCTGCATACCCTGGAGATCATCTTGCAACCATGCGACAACCGCATTTACCCATCCCCAGCTGAACCCCCACGCCACCGCTTTCACGTGTGCATGAAACTATCTTCGCGTGGGATGGCTGCCCGCAACCCCGCCCTCCCCTCTCATCTGCCCGCCATCTTGGATCTCTGAACATGGTGTAGGCCCCCTGCCAGCGCTCTGACGCGCAAGGAACAAGGGCTCTGCGACGTCGTTAAGAGCCGGGTTCGCGGTAACTGTCGCGGCTGTTGCGCGCTATGCTTTATTGCTGCTTTCCCGAGCATTCCCTTCGGCGCCCACTTTTCATATGCCAAATGATACTTGTTCTGTCAGGACGGACGCAGGGCGATTTGCATTGGCAATCTGAAGGTGAGTACATACATTTGGCCGGGCGAGCCAATGCCGGCGGTTCTCCAAGCCTCGTGCTACCCACTTGCTTGCGTCGTGCGACGTCTAGATGCATAGCTTTGCTTTTTTGTAAACGTGCAGATTTCCTACCACCGTCATTGATATCGACCACTTCCTGTTATTGCCGGCATGCAGCGGCGTTGCCGAAGAGGCTGTCGACTTCTAGCTGACGAGTAACTGGCTCATGCGAACTATGCACTAGGTTCGTGTCGTTGCTGCATGTTCGCATTAACTCTACACTAGCAGTGGTCAACACCATGGCACGCTGGGCGTGGAGAAAGTGGCACACTCATCCAGCACGATGGCTCGTCTGTACACCTGTCTGCCATTGCTTGAGGTGCTTTAACGAGTTTCCACATAGTCCAAGGCACAGAAGCTTCTATCTTGTTCATTTTGCTGAAAATGAATTGAAGCACCCCAAGCAATTGGTATACATGCGTACACTAACGGCGGCTTGTTCTAGGAATTAGAGTGCCACCTTTGCCGTGCCCCGCGTGCATGGTTCCGTCCGAAGATCTTGCGCTTCCATTCACGCTCGACGGTCGTCCCCCGACCACTAACCACGGTTGACACCCAACGGTGCGTCGTAAGCAACTCAGCTCCTACCACACACAGAACTGTCTCAAACTCTAATGGTAGCGTGAATTTGCCGCCTAGACTTGCTAGCAGATCCTCACACCGATCTAATGAAACCTACCTGTCGATCCATTCACATGATTAGTGTTCATTACAATTGTACAAAGGATAGGTGCACACGAGCGCGATGGTGAACTATCCCCACCAACTATCGAGACACAATGGCAATAGCAACAATTACAAGGCGCAATACACTCGCTCTATCAAACTTCCCCGCGATATGGAAGCTCCGACATCTCACGCTCACTACTTCTCATCATTCTCCAATACTTCTCCAATACTCTGCATCCCACGTTCATTGCATCATTCTATCCCTGGGTGCTGCATGTCATATATCCCTCTTTCATAAGTTCTGCGTTATCGAAAATCGAATGTGCACCCAATCCATGGTTCATAATACCCTTGTATCACCGACTCCTTAAGCCTCTCCACATTTCTTGGCATTGTCCGCTTGACCAATTCTAGTCTCCTCGTATGTCCCCTACGTCCAAAATTTTTGCAGCTGTCAGATAATCGATCGTATCGCTCTTAGCACTCCCGCGTATGGTCTCCTTTTATGTAACTCATTCGTCATTGGTCAGCCTTACGCTTCGAAAATTTCACACTATCTTCAGCAATCGATCCAGATCATCAGCGCAGAATCCTCTCTACAGCTTCCCCATCGTCTAGCTATTAGCTTCCGCTCGATCGGCCGGGTTCAGGATTTTCAGCTCTCTTTGAGACGCACTATTATTGATCTCCATTTCGGTCATACAGTAGCACCGTAAAGGATCGTCAACGGAAAGTACCGTGTGTAACTTCGTAGTACGGCTGCACAAAGGCTTCAAGGAAATCGATTGTGCGCTCTGACTTCGCTGAGACCCCTAGCGTAGTCTTCAATCTGGAACATTATTTCGTTGCTGGGGATGTCCGAGCTTCTCGTCACACCGTTCTGGAGATGGCGCTAGAATCTCATCACAAACAGGTGGCGCAAAACACGGGTCCCCGCAATATCTCTTCTAACTGTGGTCCCACACATTCAAGGAGATCGTGTGACCAATTCACTCCTTTCGTCCCTTCAATTAAAACCAACCCTGTCGCTCTTAATGATCATCACATTATTGTCCTATTACTCGGCTTACCGTAGCAGAGACACGAATGAGCACAGATTCTCGTTTGAAAAGCTCCAATCACACCTGTAAGTGGGAGGTACTGGAGAAGCTCCTCTGAAGCCAAAGCTTCGTCTAAAAAGTCCTGCTTCTAAAAACGCCCTCAAAAGCCAACTAACGGATAGTAAAATACTCCTCGCTGTGCACTATGCAAACGGACTCCATGGATTCTACCCCGTATTTTCATCCGCACTAACAAACTTCTTTTCTACCACAAAGTTGTCTTGTAAAGCGGAAGTCCCCCGGACTCGTTTCACAACGAAATGACACTTCCTCCAAGGCCCGCTCAGAACGACCGACAGTTTCAATTCCGCAATTGCGCCCCTCGAGTTCGTTCCTAGAAGTTGTATGAAAGGATCAATGGCGGCGTAAAGAGCTTTTTCCTCGCTAAAGGTCGTCGATCCCGATGCGTGCTCGCAGAAGTCTCTGCAATGGTCGTTGCTATGTATATTAAGTGCCAGATACCGCATATGCTGGAATTTGACCAATTCAGCAGTAGTGCGCTCCGGTTGCAAGCATATCAGCATCTCCTCGTAGTCTCAAGAGAGCAATCAACATACCCAAACCAAACAACGCTCCTCAGTCTCCGGGTCCTGCTCCAGCGCCACATGCACCGCTAAGCTCTCCAGCCTAGGACTTTTGTCCCGTAAATCTCGAAACTGATCCGCCGTCCAAGGCTTGATTTGATCCGGCCGGTTGTAACTGTCCCTACCATAACTGACCTTCAAGTTCTGCAGCCCCTCTCCATTCTTCTCTACAAACCCCGCCCAAACCACCTGCAGCAACGCATCTCTAAACTCCTTAACCACCAGCTCCTCCAACCCCTCCAGCGCCCTCAGAAATCGCCCAACCACGCGCACATCCACCGCATCCGTCATCCACCTCATCCAATAATCCCGCTTAAACCCAAACGCCAGACTCTTCAGATTCGGCAGCGCGCCCATCAGCGCCACCAACAGATTTCACGGCCCGCGCTTCCTCAGATCTAGCTTCCGCAGCAGCGTCCAATCCATACACCTTCTCCATTGCGTGCAGTGCTCAGCGGAGAGGTAGTGTCCGTAATTCGGCAGCGTCAGCTTCTCCAACGCTGGCATCCGATCCCCCTCCCCGAACTGGAGGTTATGCGGTCCGACCCCCCAATCGCTCCAGCTCGACGCCTCGAAGGTGGAGACGCTGAGATTAAGGGCTTTCAGATTACCGCCGGCGATGAGGCACTTTTGAACGTGGAGAACTCGGAGAGCCCGCCCGTCTCGTCGGCGTTTTGGCAGAGGGCTTGGAAGGCGAGAGAGTGCAGTTGGGCGGACGCGAGTAATGCTCTATCTATTGGCTGCTCTGTGTCCTTCCGATCTGTGGCTGTGATGCGTAATCGTGCGGACGGCCAGGAGGTGTGGAAGCGATCGAGTACCTGTGTCGGCATAGGAAGTGAAGTATTCCAACTACCCCATCGCCGTTAACATCAACTCCGATCCAACTACTGCCATATACCCCCGAACAGCGTCTCAAACTCACCTGAACTCCAGCAAGTTGGCGAGGTTAGTAAACGCATTCACCAGCGCGCTCGCAGACGGTAGATTCCCTCTTCCTTTGACCGGGCCGATCATCAGAAACCGCACGTACCGGCATAGAGCATCCTCGCGATCTTGCAGCCGCTTGAGGGAGTAGCGGCTTGTTATTCTGTGGTTTTGCGTTTTGTCATGGAGCGTTAGGGTGCGGAAGATCAGAGGTTCGGAATGCGCTCGACACGGCTTCGACACCAAAAGAAAGCTGTAGAATGAGCTCCGGTCTTCTGAATAGAGCTGCATTTTCATAATAAGCCATGTAGTCTTCACGGTTGGGGTTAGGAGGTGGATTACGTGCTCGAGGATGGTGCGGAAGAGGGTGAGTGGTAGGCCTAAGAGGGTGGGCTTTTCTGCCACGGGGTTTGATGCTGGGTATTACGGTATATGCCTGGATGAAATGAGAAGGGCGCGAGTACTTATGTTGCGATCGTCGAGAGACATGGGCGAGGACCCCTGGCGATGCAGTGGCTAAGGCTGAAGGGTCACTGGCCGGTATATTGGCAGCCTTGCTGCTTCAGTCACCGCTGTACGAAAAGTTATACTTCTTCCTCTGCCCCCAGAAGCTCGGCCACCAAGTCCGGCTAGTTGGGTAGGGTCTTATCAAACGTGGAGGCTTCACGTACAAGAAAGAAGGTTGTGATGCATCTTGTTCTCGCAGTAGTGCAGGAGTGCAATATAGTGATTACCTAAATGTAATAACTCTGAGATATTGATAACCTGATGACTTCTGAAGAATCTCTATCATAGCTAAGGATACTATGTCCACAACTAGAATAGGTTTTCAACGTATTAGCATCAATCTCAATCCAATCAGATCGTAAAGAGGATCACGTGAAGACATATATTGTTGCATACAAGGTAGACAGATACAAACGTTCTCATCCATGGAGCAAATGTGTTAGAGAGATACATCTATGCTCAGATTCTAGCTAAAGAGTGATAGATGAATCTATCTCACGTGATCGGGTCGCATTTTGAGTGTTTTCTCATTCGATCTACCACATCTTCAATTGCACTCCAAATCCCACAATGCTACCATGCTAACTCCAACCCGAATCCTCCGCGCCCAATGGACCTCAACGTTACATCTCCCGAAATCCACCTTTCCAGCCCGTCCAAACCCTGCCTCCGCACCTCGATACCTCGCCCGTTGCACCGACGAGCTTTACGCGTGGCAGCAATCGACGCGCTCCCTCAAACCCGATTCCAACGTCGATGCTGCTGAGCCAGAAAGCGGTACTGCGGCGCCCGAGTTCGTACTCCACGATGGCCCACCCTACGCAAACGGGCCCTTACACATCGGGCACGCCCTGAACAAAATCACAAAAGACCTGATATGCAGATTCGAGGTCGGACAAGGGAAGCGCGTGAGCTATGTGCCGGGATGGGACTGCCACGGGCTGCCAATTGAGCTGAAAGCTCTGCAAGCTGCAAAAGACCCCGGGGCGAGGATGAGTCCCGTGAGGGTGCGCAAGGCGGCGAGGGCGTTGGCGGAGCGGACAGTCAAGGAACAGATGGCGGGGTTCAAGGCGTGGGGTGTGATGGGAGACTGGTCAAACGCTTATAGGACTATGGATAAGGCGTTTGAGATGAGGCAGTTGAAGGTGTTCCGGGAGATGGTTGTGAAGGGTGAGGTTCGTTCGACTGGTGTACATTGATGAGGAGGGTGCTGACGGATCTCTGAAGGTCTGATTTACAGGCAGTTCAAGCCTGTGTATTGGTCGCCGTCGTCTGGTACGGCGCTCGCGGAGGCGGAGCTGGAGTATGATGAGAATCATGAGTCTACGGCCGCCTTTATACGATTTCCCGTAGAAGCCTCAAAAGAGCTTCAGTCAGAATTTCCGGATATAACATGGCACGAGTTGGATGCGGTGATTTGGACGACTACGCCGTGGACTCTTCCGGCAAATACAGCAATTGCGGTGCATAATACGATGGAATACTCTGTTGTCCAAGGACCAAAATCGCCGAGGCGGTTTATAATAGCAAGCCCCCGTGTGAGCTATCTCGGGTCTATACTAGGAGTGGAGCTAGAGATAGTCTTCAGCGGCATTCTGGGGTCCCAAATTGCGGGCAACATGTTCTACAAGAACCCTCTCCAAGGATTCAGCTCTCAAACTCAGCCTATTATTCACGCCGACTTCGTCTCCGATAGTTCTGGCTCCGGCTTGGTGCATATGGCCCCGGGACACGGCATGGACGACTACAATGTGTGTAGTCAGTTCGGGATCCAGGCATTCGCTCCAGTGGATGATAATGGTAGATTTACCAGTGCTGCATTTCCGGATCAACCAGAGCTTCTGCAAGGTCTGTCTGTACAAAAAGAGGGCACTAATGCGGTCTTGGAATACCTCGAGATGGAAGAGAAAGAATATGTGTTGCACACGCACGTTATCAAGCACAAATACCCTATCGATTGGCGAACAAAGCAACCCGTTATCATTCGTGCAACAGAGCAATGGTTTGCCAATGTCGACGGTATCAAGTCAGGAGCCATGCAGGCATTGGAAGATGTTACGTTTATTCCTGCGGTCGGCAGAACTCGACTTGAAAGTTTCGTCCAGGGCCGGAGCCAGTGGTGTATTTCGCGGCAAAGGTCTTGGGGTGTTCCGATTCCTGCACTGTACAGGATGGATACAGAGAAACCCGACGCTGTCATGGATGGTCCTACTATTGATCATATCACAAAAGTAATTGAGCAACGTGGAATCGATGCCTGGTGGACTGACCCCGAGGACGATCCTGCCTGGATACCCGAGTCTCTCCTGGGCACATACACTCGAGGCAAGGATACTATGGATGTCTGGTTCGACAGCGGCACCAGCTGGACCCTTTTACCGCAACGAGATGATGGCCCAATCGCCGATGTGTATTTTGAAGGAACAGACCAACATCGCGGCTGGTTCCAGTCCTCACTCCTTACCCACGTGGCTCACCAAGTCACCCCCCAGGAAGTCGCTGAAGGGATAGCACATCAAGCGCAGTCCTTGCAGCATACTATCCTTCCACCCTACCGAACACTAATAACTCATGGCTTTACACTCGATCAGGACGGCCGCAAAATGAGCAAAAGCCTCGGCAACGTCATATCTCCAGATGAGATAATGTCGGGAACCCTCCTCCCTCCAATGAAACCTAGGAAAAACAAGGACAAAAATATAAAGTTTTCTACTACAGACTTCAAACCTACTTACGATGGCATGGGCCCTGATGCCCTCCGCCTCTGGGCCGCAAGCAGCGACTACACTAAAGACGTTGTCATCGGCCAGCCCGTCCTCCTCGGCGTCAACCTAGCCCTCCACAAGTACCGCGTCACCTTCAAATGGCTCCTTGGCGTCCTCAACCTCAACATCCCCGGGTTCTCGTCTACAAGCTTCGCAGACTTCCACGAGGGTCTCGACGACGCACCCCTCACCCTCGCGGACGAAATAGCCCTCTACCGCCTCGCGCAAGTGAGCCACGAAATCCACGCTCATTTCGCGAAGTATGAGTTCTCGAGAGGCATCGTCGCGTTGAATAAGTATATCGTGCATGACTTGTCTGCGTTTTACTTCGAGACACTTAAAGACCGTATATACGCAGGCACTATCGAGGATCGTGCGAGTGCCCAACATGTCCTTGGACTTCTCTTCCATGAACTGTGCCAGATCCTTACGCCCGTGTGTCCTATATTGGTTGAGGAGGTGTGGGACCACGTTCCTGAACGCTTGCGGAGCGATATCGAGCATCCGGCGCGGATCGTGTGGGAGCCGTTTGAGTGGGAGCTTGAAGCGGGAGAGGAGCTGCGGTTAGAGGGCCAGATGAAGGTGCTTAATGCGGCGCACGCCGCCGTCAAGGTTGCACAGGAAAAAGCGAGGGGAGAGAAGAAGATTGGGAGTGGGTTGGAGTGCGAGGTTCTAATGGTTCTGCCTGATGTGAATATGGAAGAGTTCGAGAAGCTGGAGCTTTCAAACGAAGACCTAGCGGATGTGTTTGTTGTCTCAAGGGTCAGTGTTGTGGGAGAGGCCGGTGTGAAGGCAGCAATTGGAGACAGGGAGCTGCTATGGAGGTACGAGGAAGAGTTCCAGTTCGGCGAAGAGGGGCCGATGGCGAAGGTGGTGGTGCTGCCGCCTATCGAGCATAAGTGTCCCAGGTGCTGGCGCTTTGTGGCGCCCCAGCCGGAAGAACTGTGTTCAAGGTGTGAAGACGCGGTGGAGGAAGATAAAGAGGCGGAGGCCCCTTGATGTTTAGACAGTCATGTTGATGTTGTACAAAAGGGTAGGAAAGTGAGTATGTTGTAATATAACATGTAGAATAGACATCAATACTCACTCTTGTATAACACGGCAGGTAAAAAACGCCGCCCTAGATCTTCTTGGACCTTTAGAGAGTCTGAACTCTGGTGATTGCCACGTGACTGGGACTAATTTGCAGTATCGGCCGGCTGTGTCGGGTATAGCATCGAAACAAGTGTCCTAGTCATAGTTTTGACGGTCTTTAATCCTTCCTATTAAAGCTCTAATTGTTCCGCTCCCTCACGCGAGAGTACATGGAAATACAGGCATATCTGTAATAGGATCTTGAATTTCCACGTTAGGGCGCTGGACACACATTGGACACATTGGGCGTAGTTGGGATTGTGGCTAGCGGCTCGAATGAAGCTATTGAGTGGGAACTACGGGTTGCAGATACGCACTATCTGGTGGATATCTCTAAGAGGTCAGAAGGAAAATATCAACGCAGTGAATTAGACAGAAGTGGACGACTCTAAAAACTAGGAGAAATATAGAACCCCGATGAAAGGTGAGAATCACATAGCAATCGCAGAAGAACTAGTTACGAACATTGATCTGAAATCCTCAATTTGGCGACAGCAGTGTCGACGATTTGATATCTCGCTACTGTATGTACAGTCTGGTTACTTAACTTGCATATATCCCACTCTTCCCGATATACCAAGGCTTCGCAATGTCAGCGATAGCCTTCTTCAGCAGACCGGGCTGAACTCCCAATTGCTCCATATCCCACCTCTCTTCCACCAAGATGTCCTCCACGATCCACTTCAAGAATAGCCCTAGCCCCTTGATATTCCTCTCCTTACCCGTTTCCCTCAGGTAGTCCCACGCCTGCTCCAGCCGCCCCTCGGAACACCACGCCTTGGCACAGTCCACCGCTGTCTTTTGCTGCGCACTCTGCTCGTCCAATACCTTATCAGACGGCGGACCCTTCGTCGGCCTGGGCGCGTAATTCGGCTTAAAGGGCCCACCCTTCGTCTTAAACCACACCCTTTCCCTATGCGGAAAGCTATCAAACTTCCACACCACACCCTCCCCAGCCCCCTTCACCCCAAACGTTTTCGCGAATGGGCACTCGGCGGCGATCTCCTCAGCGATGCCCTGCAGCCGCTGCTCCGTGGCCTCCGGGTCCGCAAGGTCGATCGCGGCGTGGTAAAAGCCCGCGCGCGAGATGTTGTAGATGCCGTCGGCTTCGCTTTCTAGGCCTGCGTAGAGCAGGTCTGGCTCCCATCCGCCGTTCAGGCTGGCGGAGACGATGACGAAGCGCTTGCTGAGGTGCACGAGCGCGACGCCCTTTTGGATGTTCTGGCCGATCCACTCGCCGGCGAGGATGAGAGGGGCGTGCTCGTCGATCACAACTTTGGGAAATAAGCGCTTGGAGCGCTCGTAGTAGCGGTCGCGGAGGGAGAGAAGAGCGGCAGTTTTGGTGGCCATGGAAGCTGCGAATTCGTGGTTGTCGGCGGTGATGCTGAGGTTGAGGCAGTTGCGGGACTGCAGCACGATGGTGTTGTCTGGGTAGATGAGGATGTCGGCGTGTGTGCCGTGCAGCTTGACAGTGCCAGTTACCATGAGCTTGGTGGGCGGGGGACATTCCGAGGCGAATTCGTGGATGAGTTGAAGATCGTGGATGATCTCCTTGAGCTTCGTTCGGATCTTTGGGTAGAGGGTTGATTCCGACATGGCGGTAGCTCGGTGTTTCGAGCGAATGTAACGCTTAGACTTATGAGCGAATTGATGATACAACTGACGGTTAACGATGCGAATGACTCAACGAGGACAATGTAAGATGAAGAGGAGAAAGCAGGGAGAGAGTCTAGAGTAACGAAAGGGATATTCGGCCATGGTATTCTATACTATAGTTAGCAGGCACGATTTTGGAACGCTCTGACTCATTTGCGCATGGTCAACAGGTGGCAGTGTTTTAGAGTTTCAGCTGCGATCCTTAAAGGTTGAAGAGGGCGGAGGCGGAGTCGTAGCCTTAGTTGTCGGGACTAGATTCTCCGACTCCGGCTACTGTCACGTGACAGTAGCTTGAGTTACTTAGGGTAATATGCAAAGCGTCTAGTTCCGGTTGTCACGGCAATGTGTGCGGTTTGCTACGTCACGAGTGGGAGTTGCATTGGGATGAAGGTTCGCAGCCCATGAGTTGCCTGTCTAAAGTATTTAAGACGCCATGAAAGGGGATATCCGAGAGTGGGACACCATCCGTAACGCCAGCTCTTGAGTGAGCACACTAACTCACCTGGTTCGTCTTCTTCGAAGATTGAAGTCCACCGACTGCACAGACTCAACCCTGCCAGTTCACCCTCTTTCCACGGAACAAGCTGACCATCCCGATAGGCAAAAGGCCCGGGTCAACGACATTCAAGCCACCGAACCGCTCCATCATCTCTGGTCCATACATCTGCGTGACCCACTTCCAGTAGGGCTCCATGCTATGCCAGTTTCTTAGGTTTGCCGGTGTTCCTGTCTGTAGTGTCTGTGTACCCTCAAGCACCTGTGGCGTCGGATTAATGCTTTCCTCCTGGGGCCGCTGGAGTAATTTCTCAAAGACCTGGACAAGTCCGTTGGAGAAGTCGCTGGCATAATCCTCGCGATAGCGGATGAACTCTTCGAACGACATAAAGACGTCTTTTTCGTCGGCAGGTGGCTCCCACTCTGGGTCCCCGAGGTAGTAGGAGTTTCGGCGTGTGGCGCCGCCCTCGAAAGCGGCCTTTGCTTTGCGGTACTGATCCCGTTCTGCTTCGAAGAAGTCCTTGAGGAGGTCGGTCGGACGTTCCAGAACGGCGTCACGAATCTGGAGGAGATTGACGAATGGACTACGGAGGTCAAGACCGCCGAGTTCGACCGGGAAGAAGAGAAAGCCGTCCGGGATGTTGGCCACACCGAAGCGCTCCTGGATAGTCTTCTTGAGGTACTCCACAACGCTCTTGCTCTCGGTGTCGCCCATGGCGGCGAAGATAGCCGAGTGGATACGCTTGTGGGTGGAAAGCATGTTATCGACGTGGTCACGCCCATAGCAATTGGACGGCTTGCCGAAATTGGAGGCGAAGAATACCGTGGCATAAGTGTTCCAAGCCTGGATCCAAGAAAAGACGCTCTTTTGGCTTCGCAGCTGCGTTTGGAGCTCCTCAATATGCGACTCGATGATCTTCTGGTCAATCTCGAAACGTCCAGATTGCGGGTTGAGGTACAGGAAGCCCCATCGAATAATGCCTTTGGGGAGTCGTTCGTCAATCACAAGTTCCTGGGCGTCCCTTCCTACACGCACTGTGCCAGACTTTGCCCTCTTCAATGAAGCCCCGATCACTTTGGTGAAGTCGCTGACTGTTTGCCATGCCTTGACGCACTTGTCATGATCAGGACTCCAAAACCAGAAATCGTCGTACATCCGATACAGCGGCGCACCTTCCACCTTCTGATTGATCGCGTAGTCGAGACAGAACAGAGTCGTCTCTCCGAAGAGATCGCTCAATGCATGATTGCCGGGCGTGCCACGTTGGCGGATGCGAGGCGACGAAGATGGCTCGTCCATGAACTTCAGGGGAGCTTCAAGAAACTTCTTGAAGAATGCAACCCACTTCGCAGATATCCCGAAGAATCCCATCACTAGCAATATGGTGTTGTGGGAAAGTTTGGAATTCCAGTCTTCGAACGAAGATCGGAAGCAGGTAAGCTCACCGTGTATCTGGGTGTTGATGACGATTTCAGTTGATAGCAGATGCAAGAGAGTTTGTCTGTCCTCCATGGGATTCTTCGATTGAATGTCGCCGTCATCACTCTCAGCATCCGGATCCGGATGACTAGTCCGTCGTTCTCGAAAGCCCTGTGGCATCTGTCTCGCTGGGTAGACTGCACTAGCATTTTGATTACTGGCCATCTGGGAGAATTGACGCGCCGAATGACGCGCTGATTGACGCGCCATCGGCGCCTGCGGCGCCTGCATCGCCGCCAGGGCATGCATTTGGGTTGGAAATTGAGCTGCATGCGCGTCCCCGTCATCTTCGTCTTCGTCCGACTCCATGTTAAAGTTCGCAGCCTCTTCGTCTCCTTCGTCCGCCACGATATTTTGATATACTGTGTCAGGCAGCTGTGCTAAGAAGTACTTCTGGCGATGGATACTCCGACGCTTTGTCTGTAAAGTTGGGGTTTGCTTCTGTGGGCCTAGGAAATATTCTCGGCGTTTGTGATCGAGTTTCGGGACAGTATTTCTCAGCGGATTCCACGCTCCCTTGACCTTTCGGAATCTCTTCAGCTCACGCTTGAAGAAAACGCACCATTGCATGCCAATGTACTGAAGAAATATTGCCTGCAGGAGATCTTCATGCAGGTGAATGGAGTATATGCCATTGAGCCTACGACGCTGCTCGACCGGAACATCGGGGCCCCAGGACCAGTCATCAAGGGCAGCCATCCGCATGTTCAAGACATCTGCAATTTCTCCGAGAATCGTTGGATTGCTCTTGAAGTCCTTCAAGACAGCTCGCTTCTCGTCATTGAGTAGGTCAGAGGATAGTAGGCCCTCAATGGTCCAGCCTAGGGAGCTGGTGTTGAACTGTGCTGGTCGTGACATTGTCGACTCATAGATCCCGACCTGTCGTTGAAGTTGCTTGAAAGCGTTGTAGACGTCTCGTTTGTCTTCGTCCATGGGCTTGAACAGGTTCTCCAAATATGACTTCAGAGCTGTAAGGTTGACGTCGAACGGCTCGAAAACCGATTGCTCCCATAAGGCACGAGACTCTAGCTTCTTTGCAGCGGGGACTTCCTCAAACACGTCGGACATCTCTACGTCACCTGTAGGGGCCGAGCTAGACTTTTGCTGGGAGGAGAGCCATTCGGTGACTAGCTGTCCATAAAGGGTAGCATACTCGTACTTGATGGATTGGACACTGAGATGACGAAGGAGTATCTTGTCCCACTCGCCCTGGAGCCTAGGAAGGACAGAAGGGTCGTAGCGGGCTTGCTCAATGAACCGGTCGAGGTATTTGAGATCGGCTTCGAGACGAGGCTTGCCGGTGGAGCCACTGACAACTGGGCCAATCCTCTGGCGTCCTGTAGAGGTACTCTTACTGGCAATGGTTTTGGCGGCGAAGCAGGTTTTTACTCCATCAATCAGGGTGTAAAAGCGGTCGAGAGGGTCGGTCGTGGCCTCGACGGCGGCCAGGATTGCAGCATACTGTTGTTCGAAGCTGGCGCGCTTCTTGGACAGCTCGTCGAGCTTCGTAGTGGTGATTGATCGAAGCGTGTCGGAAAACACGCTGCCCGACGAAGCCATGACTGTAGACGTCGGTGATGTGAAGCTGACGTGAGGTTGTGAGGTTGTTGAAAGAAGGTTGGGAGGCGGCGAGGGCAGCTTTTATACCTATTGAACTGCTGTGCCCTCCAGGCAACAACGTCAGGGTCTTTGTTTACTGGCTAACCCCACATGGCACCCCTGCTCGCATCTTGCAGATCATGGTAGCCTTGAGACACGTGTGTATTCACCCCGAATAACACGCGAAGACCGTCAAAGGAAATTAGGAAATAGGAGTTGGGTTCCGGTAAGGTTCGAAGCTAGCTTGGTTTAGGTGTAGCGTTGAATGGATCATGACAACACTTCCGAACTTCTTCTAACTATCACTCCATCACTACTCCAGATCGCAAAGTCAAACTCACCTACCTACTGTAAAGCGTAAGTAAGCATTCTCTTGCCTGTCTACGATGAATAAATCTCCGATATATTCTCCATGTTTTCATCTTGCATCGTCATCGCTGTCACGATCATATCAATCTCCTATCGTTTCATCACGACCACTCCAATCTAAGCCCGTAGAGCAGTTGATATTGGGGGTTATCCTATACATTTCTAACAAGCCTTAGCTTCCAAAGAGCCATACCCCTAGTGAATAGAGTCGCATCCACACGCATCCACCATGCCACCCAAACGCACCTCCCGATCTCAAAGAAAAACCAATCCAACCCACGACACTTCCCAAGACGAAGCATCCAGCAAACCAAGACCCAAAGTTGCAAAGTCAACGTCTACCAAAGCTGCCCCAAATGCCGAATCCCTCACTAAATCACCAACCCATTTCACAATCCCCAACCCCTCCAAACCAACCGCCAAACCAATCCACTGCCTCCACCACTGTCCTTCTAACACTAGTCCGTCTCTAATCTTCACCCACGGCGCCGGCGGTGACCTCTCCGCCCCCGCCGTCGTCGACTTCTCAACCGGATTCACGGAAACATCCCCACTGCTCTGCTTCGAAGGGAGCAGTAACCTCGCCTCCCGCGCTGCCGCATTCGCCGCTGTCATCGCGAACGAGGAGTCATCTACTAACGGCTTCGCGGGCGCGTTGGGTGGGCGCAGCCTAGGCGCTCGCGCGACGGTGGTTGCGGCCACCGCGTTATTGAAAGGAGGAGGCGAAGGACCGCTGCGTTTGGTGCTGGTGAGCTATCCGCTGAATGGGCCGAAGGGGGCTGTAAGAGACGAGATTCTGCTAGCGTTGCCGAAGGAGGTTGAGTTGCTCTTTATTAGTGGGAGCAGGGACGGGATGTGTGATCTTGCGCAGCTAAATGAGGTGAGAGCGAGGATGGAAGCGAAAAGTTGGCTAGTTGTGGTGAGGGGGGCGGATCATGGGATGCATGTTACGCCGAAGACGGCGACGGCTGCCGTTGGAGAAGAGACGGGGAGGGTGGCGGCGGCATGGTTGGGCGGAGAGATGCAATTTCTGCCGGATGTCGAGATTAGGTGGGATCAGGAGGAGGGGCAGGTCACTAGGGGGCAGTACGGCGAGGAGGATGACGTCCCGGCGTCGAATAGAAAGGCGAAAGATAAGCTTGTCACGAAGAAGGGGGATGTACCACTTGCGCGGGCAAGGAAGTCGGAAGCAATGCCATCCAAGGACGCCAAAGTCTCGACAGAGCAGCCGGACAAAGATGGGAAGCCGATTAAAAAACGGAAAAGCGCTGCCAATGATCTGGAAACCTCAACGCCTGCTTCAACCCCTTCTGGAAATGCGAGATCCTCGAAACGGAAGAATAGGGCCACAAATTGAACACCTCAACCAAAGACTCAATATGCCCGGAATCGAGGTCGTACGTCCCTCATGCTATCAAAGCTTCAAGCTGGCGTTCCTCTTGATTGCAGACCGTAGTAAAATCACCGGTGGGGAAACTTTAGGCTCTTGTAAGACCAGTAAAACTCTCGAATATGACCCCAGTGAACTGGAATATCGTCGCAGCGTGCTCATAGCTACTAATAACGCCCATTGAGTACCTAAACAACGGACTCTCATCCCCCATCTCCGCCAACTGCTCATCCGTATACTTTTCCCTGACCTCTTCAACCGGAATAGCAGCTCTCTTAGCATTGATGTGCTTCAGGATAAAATAATAAAAGACAGGCCAGATGATGCCAAACACACAAAGCATGGAGATGTTGACTCCAAACCCGACCTGACCACCCGAGTGAGAACTAATCAATTGCTGTAGGTAAGACAGTCGTATTAACGCCAAAGGTCTTCCTATCATGGCTCAGGAAGCGACTTGAAGATCGTGGCGTGAAATTCAAAAGAATGAATCTAGACTCTCTCTCCGACACAAGATCACAGGGCCACGATATTCTCGTGAATGCTAGTGGCTCTGGCCCCAGGTTTTTGACCGACATACAAGATCAGAAAATGCAATATGTCCGAGGACAAACTGTACGCGTAAAGACCAGCTACGACAAAATATTCATGCGGCACGGGAAGGACTACACCTATGTTATTCCTCGCCTCGACGGAACGGCAGTCCTCAGAGGTATCGAGCAAGTAGGCAAAACGGATACGTCACTTGATATGGATATTCAAAAAGACATCGTGAGGCGTGTACATAAGGACTTGCCAAATAGCTTCCCACTGAAGCTGGCGGACTACGACGTCGTTGGCCACAACGTCGGCTTACGACCGTATAGAGAGACGGGTGTGCGCATCGAGAAAGAAATTCTTAATGGAGAGAAGGTTGTTCATGCTTACGGTGAGTCTCCAACTCCAGATAAGGAGTCGGCAAGCAGCTGACATGAATTCGCAGGTGTTGCCGGTGGTGGTTATTTGTTCTCTTTCGGCCTAGCTAGGGCTGCAAGGGACTTGGTGGATGAGTTCGTGTATCAGTCGCCCTTAGCAAAGCTATGAGATTGTGTCTAGCGGACTTTTTGAGGCCTTCCCGATAGCAGTCGCAATTTTCGAGCACCCCCTAGACACATGATGTTCGGTGATCAGTTTTTTCTATCTATCGAAGTACATATCTTTCGAAATTCGTGAAGTACGGCACGCTGAAGTGAATCATGACATGCAGCCAGACGATTTAGTCAAAATATGGCTGCACATTGGATGCTTACGAGCGCCACCGTCACTGCAGTGTCAAGTGATGAGAGGATCCCACGGGCGAACAGATGCACTAGACATCGATCTCACTTTGTTGTTCAAGTCAGGGCAATATCTGGAGTCTCGCTGCGGATGCTGACTCATCAGGACGACCTTATCTTCGACTTCTTGGGACAACCCTTTCCACCATGCATAAGACAGCTGCCCTCGAGTTGAAAGGCGAAGAATATGTCCCCAAAAGCGCCTGTAATGAATCATCCGACTTCAATGCTCTCAGGAAGAGGGCACGGCCACGTGTGCCAATCGAACAGCGAAAAAGTGCTAAGCAGGCGTATGTGATCGTCCAAGCAGAATTGAGATTCAATAAAACTTGACTAACTCTCCCTCAATCAAGCTACAAGAACTGCCGACAGAAGAAAAAGAATTGTTCGGGAGGCATGCCATGTGAAAGGTGTGCTAAGGAGGACCGACTGTGTGAATTAGGCCAGGACTCGCGCTTGGCCACTGTGAAGATGGACGAATCTCGAGTCCATTTGACCAAGACTCAAAGGTTTAACTGTATGGAAAGAGTCCTGACCCGCATTCTTGGTGTTTCATCCATCTCAGATGACGAGCTGGTAGGCATGGCATCACATCAAAGACATCCTAATATTTCACCCAATAGCGAGACGAATTCAGGCGGAAAAGAACTCATAATGAGTATCGAGGACGGGTCTCTACAGAAATTCTCCATGAGTCTGGAGAACAAGCTGTCTCGTGACTCCACAGACCAAGCAGTAGGGGCCGAGGAGCCGCGACAGGTGAACGCTTTGGGTTCATCGCCAAAAGAACATTCTATATCTCGACAATCGCCATCAAGCCGCTCACTTTCTATTCAATCATCGCTGTCCATTCTTGCTAGTCGAGAGATGGCAAACCGCCTAGTTCACATATCCGTCAATTACGTGCAATGTAAGAACTTTTTTCGTGCAGGAAAGTTGGCTGCACGGAAAACTTGACTTATTATATTCCACGTCCTTCAATCTAACAGCGAAAGACATCCCAGTAGTTGCTATTGTCTTCATGATTCTTGCGATGGGAAGTCAGTTCTACAACATGCAGTCATTTCCCAAGTAGTCGACTAACGCCACCGAAGAAATCGCTATTGAGGCGCTCGGGAATAGCCTCTATCAGGAGACTACCAGTATCCTAGGGAAAGTTGTACAGGCAGGAACTTTCGAGAGCGTACAGGCTTGCATGATGCTCTCGGTCTATTACTTCCCCATAGATATGCCCGGCTTAGCGTTTACCCATCTTGGGCTTGCTTTGCATCTTGCGATCAAGAACGGAATGCACAGAAAAGACTACGGCCTCACTTTAGGGCAGGTGGAGCGAGAGGTGCACGTGCGAGTCTGGTGGTCGTTGTATACTTTTTACCAGAGAGCAGGATGCTATCACGGCCACCCGAAAGCACTTTCTCACGCCGATGTCGATGTGCAGAAGCCTCGCATGATCCAGAACTTAGAGCCTATCAATAGTGCCTCGAACTTCCGCAACTAGGTGGATCTAATCGACATCACTCTCTTACCTGAAGACTCGGCGAATGAAATGTTAGTGTTTGGTCCATCCTCGTCCTCTAGCGCTAACATCTGGTAAAGCGTACAATTAAGATGAAGCCAGAGCGCTGCACATTTGGCAAACCTACTCACGCTGCGACATAAGCTTGTCGCTCTGAGGGAGTCTCTGCCAACACTGCCCAACACCGAACAGCAAGGCATTCAAGTCGATCTTCTGCGGCTCGACATCCACGTCCATTTACACTACTGGCAGTCTCGCGCGTTCCTAGGCCGTCCTTTCATCCTCGGGAATGACGCCGTTTCAAACCGCCGAGAGAGCGATAGTCGTCAGCACCTAGAAGTATCAGCAAGCGAAGATGTTGGCTCCGGTCTTGCCTTACTTTCCCCAGACTCCATCTCTGCAGCCATTCAAAAAATCCGGCTCTGTCAGCTCATACACAACAAAATCGGCCTTGCGCGAGCGTCATACGCCACCGAATTCACGTGCTGTCGCGCCGCAATGCTCGTCCTGATTGCGAGCAGCCTCAATCCTAAACGTCATGATTTGAGTAGTGAACTAAACCTTGGTCTGGACCTTATAAAGGTGTTGTCTGGTGGTCACGGCCAGGCCAGCTCTGAAGCGAGCGTCATCGTGGTCTTGCAAAGGGCGATCCGTAGGCTTTGGAAATCGGAGCGAGCTGAGAGGAGTAAAGTCACATCGCCAACGATGGTAGAGACAGCATAAGAGATCACTATGAGCAATGGGCTTCGCTTTGGAACCAACCCGGCACTTCGCCCGCGGATACCATGACTTCAACTATACCATTAGAACTAGCGGCCACTTCGCCCAGCTTTCAGTACATGTCCGGCCAAAATGGATCTGGCCAGGACGTCGATCTTTCTCTGGACTTCGACTTTTCTGTTAATGTTGAGATGGCCATATGGAACGACCCTTTTGGATTCCGACTCGAGTTGACGGAGTTCAGCACTTTTCCGGGTTTGGATTTCTAAAGTCAACAGGCTACAAAGCACTTGATCGATTTAGAGCCACCACTGTATTCAGCCTGGCCGAAGTCGTCTCCCGACACCTGAACATCTAAGAATTCCCTGGTTGTTTACTACACCGCTCACAGCGCAGAAGAGAGTTAGCATGTATTCGTCAACTCTAGAGGATCTAAGAGAGGTTGTGGCATTGATCATAATTCCGGCGGCATCCCTAATTCTGCTTAAGGAACTATATAGTAACATGTAACTATCAATTATATATGAAGGTTAACTAGTTACTTGATTACTTGATTATATAATTAATTAGCCCCTTTAATAACCTATTAACAAAAGATGCGCTGAGCAAAATAGTATCACAAAACCACCCTACCTTAGATCTAAAGTTTTCGAGGTTCAAGAGCGCTGCATGACACCTAGAATCGAAGTATGTGGTACATGAAGCATGAACCAATCAGTGGCTCTGAAAGCGCTGTCGTCTCGGGCCTGCAGGCAGGTACAACGTCAACGTCATCTCACATCAACAAGCAACATCCATCAGACACCATTATCCACCGTTACTCAGAACTCTACTTATACAGAGCTCTTAATATTCCAGTACTTCTCATAAACGTCTACGCCTACTCGCACAATGAAGTTCTCATCACCAGACGTGAGTAAGATTTCCCAAAATGCCGAGAGCGGTAAGTATCGTCCGAACTCTGATTCCAAGTTCTAATAAATCTGACAAGGACGCAGATGACATAGACCTGAAGTCTCTTCACTTCCTTGAGGAAGTACTCGCATCAATCGAAGAGCTCTCCGACCCCGCCGTCCGTAACCAGGACTTCCCGGACTTCTCTCAGTGTACCCGCATCGACACGCACACGCATCCCGTGCCCGATTGGTACCGCAAGCTCTCACCTCTCGCCGCTGGCCGCGATACGCCGTCATGGTCCCCGTCTGCCCATCTGAAATTCATGCACGAGAATAAAATCACCCGCAGCATCGTCTGCATCTCAACGCCCCAGGCAAACCTATTCCCAGATGATAAGACGAGAACAGTTGCACTGGCTCGCGTGCTCAACGAGTTCTGCGCTGAAGTAGTACGTTGCTATCCAGACCGGTTCTCCTTCATGGCTGTGGTACCTCTCCCGTACACAGATTGGGCTGTGAGAGAGGCGAAGTATGCGCTTGAGGAGTTGGGAGCAATTGGTGTGGGGGTCATGACAAACCACGACGGGCTTTACCCCGGAGACGAAAGGTTTGCGGAGTTCTGGAACTATCTAGGGGGAAGGGGGCCTATCGACGTGCGTCGGAAAAGAGAGATCGTGTTTGTGCACCCGACGGACCCCGTGATTAGGATTGATAGGGCTCAAAAACTCCCCATATCTTCGAGTGAAGGGAAACTGGTATCTTCTAATCCAGGTAAGCGCATACTTTTTCCTATGAACTCAGGTGTGATTCTATGCTAATGTGATCGAAGCACCATTCCGCTCCGGTCTTGGCGAATTCTACTTCGAGACTGCACGCGCGATATCGAGCCTGACAGCGTCTACCACTATCCACGACAATCCGAGTCTCCATTTCCGAATCTCCCACGGTGCGGGAGCTTTCCCGTGCATAGCGGATCGCTTTCTACTTGGATTCCCGGAGCTTGAGAAGAAATCACGAAAGATGTATACCGAAAGGTTCTGGTACGACAGCGCTGGGCCTGTCTATCCTCGTCAGATCAGGGGGCTGCTGGCTTATGACATCCCTGTGGACCAGATGGTGTTTGGAACGGACTATCCATATGGCATAGGCTTCTGGGATGTTAAAGCCAATATCAATGGGCTGGCCAATGCCCACTTTCTGAGTAATGAGGAGAAAGAAGCTGTCTTTCATGAGAATGCAAAGGCGTTGTGGAAGGGTAAGGTTGAGGGGTTCTAAGGTCGCAAATGATCGAAGTCATCGATGATATGAATAATCCAGAAGATCAGGACTTTATGAGAAATGAATGGAGAACCACATGATAGGACTAAGTAGTTTAAAAGTACAAGTTAATGGAGGGTGATAAGAGAGAGGAAGTTTACATCATCCCAGATTTAGCTTAGCGTCAGCTTAGTCATTAGCGCTAACCCGCCTTCACGTTCCAAAACTTTCGAGCCTCCAGCCAACTCCAAAGCAATGTCAGTGGTATTCCAACCCTCCAATTGACCTCACACATTGCCCATATACCTACCATGGACTCCCCCCTCCTCCTCCGCCAGCTCCTCCGAGCCCCCTCATCGCCCCTAACCCTCCTCTCCGCCCCCTCCCTCTCACGCTCCCGAAACCTCGCCCTCCTACGACTACGACCAACCACTGCCACACGCTCCGTCGCCTCCCTACCTCGCGTCGCTCAACCCAACTTCTGGGTTTCTATGCTTCCAAAGTTCTTGCGCCCCTCCACATCCACCTCCACCATGCCTAAACCGCCGAAATCGAAAGAGTGGAACCCAGCCACGCCGTACATCATCCTCGGGCTGTTCATTGGGTCGCAAGCTATCCAGACAATTTCGCTACGGAATGAGGTGGTCAATTTCACGCGGCGCGCGGATGCGAAGATAGGGTTATTGAGGGAGGTGGTGGAGAGGGTGAAGAGGGGCGAGGACGTGGATGTGGAGAGAGTGCTGGGATCGGGAGATGAGGCGAAGGAGAGGGAGTGGGAGGAGGGTGAGTGATATACTTTCATACATGGATATTTGGATTCCGGGTGGTTGGAGAGTTGAAAAAGTTCCGGGGCTCGTGTTATGGGATTGATCAATTGCTAACTATCTTGGTAGTGCTAAGGGAGATCGAAGAAGAAGAGGCACTGTTTCAATCGAGGAAGCGAAGGAAAGCGCTGAAGGATGCGGCTGCGGAGGAAGAGTTGGAGGTTGCGAAGAAGGAGGCTGAGCTGGAGAATATGGTGAAGGCTCAAAGCGTGGGGAAGCATAGGTTCTACTGAGGACATAGTCGAGGTAAGCCGACGCGGGAGGCCTTGGATCCACCCCATCTCATGGGCCGTCGTCGGCATGGCCCTCTGCGTGCAAGGCTTGGTCGCCAACAGCATCTACTTCATGGCTACCTACAGAACAGTGAAGAAGTCAGAATTCAAGGCCGAGGTCGTTCTCGCAGCGTTGGATGGGGCTTGGAGATGTAATTGAGGTGTATTTGTGGATGTATAACAACAACGTATTATATCATGCTTTGCCTTTAATATGGTATATGTTTTTTAGTACGTGAAACTGGTCCGCAGGCTCAAAGCTAGAACAAATTCTAGATTTCAAAAAAAGCCGCTAAAGCCTAACCCTACATTCAATCCACGCAAGCAACTCTTCTCAACCCTAGCAAGGAACATATCTCATGATTTTCGCGTGACTTTGTAACTTGGGATTTCGGTCTTTATCAAAGTCCGCTCCCCGATCGGCCCGTCTCCGAACCTCACTAACACTAGCGGCCGCATCCTAAGAGCATTTCGATTGGTCCGCTAAACGTCCCAACATCCTCGCTTCGGCCTTACGGCCTTAGAGCAACACCTCTTAAAGCTCACCTCCCCTCACGCTGCCTGACTACAAAAACAACAAAACCATACACCACACTACTCTCACAGGAGCACCTCAAATACCTCACTCTACCACCCACCACATAAATCCAATTACCCCACTCCTACCACAATGGCCGCCTCCAACACCGCTCTAGTCCCCTACCGCCCCATCACTACTGTCACAACCCGCTCCACCCCCCTCGGCCTCACCCGCGTCTTCACCGCCCAGACCGGCACCGCCATCGCCACCGAACTGCTCTACCGCCTCCTTTGGGACATCCTGCAGCGCGTCCTATCCTCACTCCAAGGCTTCGCCAGCAAGCGCCTCGACGCGCTCTCCGCGTACCTCGATCAGCGGAACCAAGAGCGGGAGGCGTTGCGGTTGGAGAAGTTGGCGAAGAAAGAGGAGGCGTTGGGGATTGTGGAGGCGGTGGAGAAGTTGGAGAGTGGGAAGAGGTGGAAGCACGCGATGGGTGGCTGGGCGGGGGGTGCCCCGGGAGCGGTGTGTCCGATGACGGGGGCGCCGGTTGGGGGGCCCGTGGGGCCGCCGTGGTGGGTTAAGAGTGCGGCACAAGGATGGACGGAGGCGGAGTGGAAGGTGCAGGCGATGGTGGATTGAGACAGGTTGCGGGATAATGCATAAGAGGAATATTGGATTGGAACAGGAGGCAAAGGCGACTGAATATTAGGGAGGATATACGTCTCTCGAACGGTGGACTCTGCCCCTAGGCTTTGGCAGCTTGCGAACAAGATCATGGGTCCGCTGGGGCTACAATGCTTCCATGTCGGATTCATTGACAAGCGTCTGATTTGCAGTCGAAGTCAAAAGCATACCCGCCGTGGTGCTGTTTTGCGTTGTCAAATGACGACATTGGGATATGGCAAATCCTATCGAAGGACCCCTGGAACCTCTAGCTACACCCTGGACCCGGAGAGGATCTGAAAGTCTGATATCAGGCCCGGCAGATGAGCGATGAAGAACAAGACTTCAAATTTCGCTCCGATCCAAACGAAGGCGATGGGTCGTATCGTAGCGACAGAAGCATAGTAAAAGTTCCTCTGGACTCGACAATTTTCCATACTCTGCCAAGAGCTTGTGCGAGGTGTTTGAGTGCCGCTCTGTCGCAGAGGCACCCCAGAGGGATTCGGATATCACTCATAAGATACCTGCGGATCATATGTGTTTTATTCGCTCAAAAGGATATGACGTTATGAAGTCAACCAAATAGCAATAAAGATCCTCATGCTCTTACCCATGTATGCTTTCGACTTTATCCACTTGAAAGTTGATAGTTATGTCCGGATAGCGACCAGAGGTCGCCATCATAGATGTCAAGACAAAATCCGACCGCGATAGATATCTGTACACCTCTACGCTACTGCTTGAGGTGCCCACGGTACTTCCAGATTTCGAATCAGAAGAAATCTCATCATTTTGGACAATTGGTACACTCGCGAGCGCACCCCAGACAGTGTCAGAGGGGGGTGCACAAAGATCGGAACTGTGACCCGTTTCCCCAGGTTTCAGTGAGCGCGTTGGAGGCACTACAAGCACTGGCAGGAAGAATTCTAAGACGAGACACCGTATCAAAGGTGACTCAGAATTTCAAAGGTGCGTCTTGGTATCGAGCGTCTGGATTAGCAATATGCTAGTCGTGATGCTTGCGATAAAAAAGAATACACAGTACTGCCAGAACGAGTGTAAACAAAGGAGATAGTGCATCATCGAGCTAGTGATGTCTCTTAGGCATTCTCCGCTGGGGAATGACTAGTTTCCTCTTACGCCTCCTTCCGAGCGTCTCTTCCCCAGTCTGACCTAGTACTCATACCAGTCATCAATGCAAAAACGTCTCGGTCAATCACGTCTTCTAGACATCTCCAATACGTATACCTCTTTGCATCTTCCAAAACCATATCTGCCTGGTCGTTCTTATAAGCCTTAGAAAACGCTCTCAGCTGCCGGCAAGCTACGTCGCCATTCTTTGCCAGGTACTGTTTCATTACGTCCGTAACACCGAAGAGGGTTGACCCAAGGATCCATTCAACCATAATGCCGATGTGTGTGTCATCCATATCTTTGTCGCCGCCCGGCCATACGAATCTGCGGGGATTTTTGTCCCTGATCAGACGCATCAACTCGATGCAGCGTTGGTGCAGGCCAAAGTAGTTGAAATTTATGCGGGGCTCTTCACAAACCATCGCGTCCTTGATAGCTTGCAGGAATTGCAACCTCCCAATCTCGTGGGAGGTTTCCCACGCTTTCCGTTGGAGTGAGATGGATGTCTTTGCGAGGCCATGTTTCGTTGCCAAACTGAAGTTCTCAATCTCAGCTAGGAGCCAGCTGATACTCGGGACGTTTAGCACAGTTGGGCGGCATCCACAGTACTCATTTAGCAACATGTTTCCGGTACCGGCGTTTGATACTACAACCTCCGCGGGATTTCTTTTAGATGCCATTTCAAAGCTCTTCGATGACTGTGAGACTGTGTTGGGCCTCGCACCCATGAATATATCCTGTTCCCCGTAGACCCCAATGAAGATCTTCATATCGGGCCATGCTGGACACTTGGCCGTGGTGCGCTGAACCAGATTGTATAGATGGGCTAGCTGAATGCCGGTGGACCACTTATTGATGTAATGATAGCCAATAGATTCCGTCCGGATATTGATCACAAACATCATCAGGCCGCAGAGAACAGGATTTCGCTTGAAGTGCTCATGCTTCTCGAAGGTAGACCAGTACTTCTCTTGGTACTTTTCTTTCTTCTTCTCCCACACACCGTCGTCGATGATAAGCCACTGCACATTGTCATAAATGCTCTGGATGTAGGCAGCGCCATAGCAATTCTTTGGCCAGAAAGAGACTTCTGGAAGAGACTTGGAGAACTTCCAATGCTCTTCAGTAATCTTTTTGACACGAAGAGCAGAAAATTTAAGATCCCCAAACGCCTTCGTACTTTTGTGCGGCTGCGCCTGGTCATGCGGCAGCGTATGATAAACATCAAGGAATATCTGAGCCACAAACGAGAACCATAACAACGGCCTTCTATCCTGCGTGAAATGACCAAGACATTTGGTGATTTCGTCTAGGACAGGGAATGAAGGGTTCATTCCTACCAAAAAGCTGAACACTTCTAGGCATTGGTGAAGAATGGCTTGATCTTCGTTGAGGCGATCAAGAGCTAACATAGACTCTCGTCTGTTCTCCATCTTATGCGTGTTGGACAGTTTGTTCTTGAAGTATGGGAGAAAAAGTTCAGAAACTTCTGGCTCGTCGGGCAGCACAAGTTCCCCGTAGCCAAACAACATCAATTTAGTTGGGAGATAACACCAGGTTGCGACATCTTCCAACTCGAGTTCCCAGGGGTCTTTCCCGCGTGTTCTCGCAACCAAGTTGTAGATGCGAAGCTGTGCTATCTGCGACCCCGGCTTCGGTTCCCTGCATTCGAATTCAAATTCTGCTATCAAGCCTCTTGCAAGCTTCAAAGCAGTGTTTGTGACGACGGCGGCATTCATGAGATCGATCTTTCCATTGAGGTATTCTGACCAGCTCTCGCGTATGAATGCCCTGATATTTTGCAAGTCATCGAACAAGCAGAAGATGTGGAAAGTTCTGGGAGCCAGGAGCGAACGAAGGTTAGGACGTTTTCCTTCTAGACGCCCCATGTCGTTGTAGAAATCAAGTTCTTCAATCTCATACTGTATCGAGTCGTGATCTCCCGACTGCGCATTAGATGCGGGTTGCGTATCCTCAGTCGCTAGAGCGGCATATTGGTTGCGTAGCCATGCGTGGAGGTTTTCGCCACTATCGTTTTAAGGCTCAGATGGCGGTGGATTTGCAGTGCCGTTTTTCGGCTTGTCTGCCTTGCGCTCCAGTGTCTTGCAGACCGCTTCCATAGTTATAATAAAATGGGGATAACGACAGGCTCGACAGGCATTGATGGCGTGTTTGTATTTGTCTAGGCCTAGATACCAAATGCCGCAGCGCTTCCGCAGTGATAGTGCTCGTTTCATCTTTCCAAGAATTGTGGGAGGAACGTGGATCCCACGCTGGGTAACCATTTCGGCCACGAAGTCGAGGTTGAAGGCGTCGAGGGTGACGCTGACCGTGTTATCCTTCTTGGGGTCCGACTTTGCCATTTTGACGAAATCTTCTTGTTCGTCCCCTATCCTGATTAGCCATCTGATGACGCAATCTATGTCAGATTTGTAGCGCTTGTAGCTGCCGACCAAGTTGGCGACCTTGGGGGCCGTCGTGTCTGCGGGGTTGCTCATCGTAAAAATGATTGGGGTTATGGTGTTGGAAAGACATCGTGAAAAGATTGCCCAAGTACAAGATGGAAGTCATGAGCTTGAGGAAGTTGCAGTCGTGGCGTTTTGTCTGGCTTGTGAGCTACTGGAAGCAGCCACAATCGCCAGCAGTGTACTTCGTAGAGGTAGGGCAGTAGATACACGTGATCATAAGGCACCACTTCCTACCCTTGTGCCAACAATGTATTTGATGGAAGAAGGATAGAAGTATTCTGTCTATAAGAGGAAAGGCATTAGGTACTCTATTGAAGGATAGGGAGCTCCTTATCCTTGAATCCAAGGGTCACGTGCATCTACCGAGATCCAATCTAGTCCAGCTTGTCGCCAACTCTCGTACTTCGTACCTCACTCCATCACCACCTGTCCCCTACACATCACGTTGGACACGCGACGGCCATGCCAGAACAAGGACACGACTATGCACTCATTGAAGGAAGCTATTTCAAGTCATCGCGGCACGTGCGATGGAGAGCAGCACCAACAAATTGATGAGTTGGCATGCAGACCAACGATGTATTCTATCACTACAACGGTCGCTCATAACTAGAATCCATCTACACCGCCCTAGGGGTTACTCTCGTCATCAAAGGTGGTTTCTCCCATAGCACAAATGTTCGCGAGTCTCTGTCCCAATCGAAGTCGTCATCGTCGAGTTTGAAATCGAACAAAAAGACCAGCTTGGCTATCAGTATACGCAGTTCCATCCACGCCATGCTATTCAATCGGTCAGTAAATGAGCGTGGTATCTCAGACGCCAAACTTACTTCTGTCCCATGCAGGCTCGTGGTCCAAGTAGGAAAGGCTTGCTGGCGTCTAAGTTATCTGTGTTATTAGGCTCCATCCAGCGCTCTGGACGGTATTCGTAAGGATCTTTAAAGTTCTTGGGGTTGTGCGTAGTGCTCCACATATGAACTGCCACCGTGGTCTAAAATTATGCCTCATTACTCCAAATTACCTCACTTGAATTGATCGGGAACTTACTCCCTCTGGCACAAAATAGCCAGCAACGGTTTCTCCCCCGGCCGGAGCTTTGCGTGGCATGGCGATCGAGATTGGTGGATAGATTCTAAAAGCTTCATCGATGCATGCAGTAAGATATGTCAATGGCATCGCGGAGCGCGATGTTATCTCAGTCGAGGAAGTAAAGGTACATCTAACATCCCTTTTCAACTTCTCGTACGCTCTAGGTGTACGGCAAAGCCAGTAGGTCAAACCAGAAACTACCGTAGCTGTAGTCTCAGACCTTGCAATAACAAGAGCGTTCGCGTGGGCTGTCATTTCCCAGTCGGTGATACCAATTTCTTCTCGCTTCTTGAAGATGTAGCTAACGAAGTCCAGCCGATCATTCGGTCGATTCATACGCTCTAGGATCTTCCGTTTACTCTGCATGATGTGGATCTCAGCGCCCTCGGCGATATCCTTTGGTACGAGCCAACTCTGAATGCGCGGCAAGAAAGGAAGCTTGTGGATGGCAAAGTCGTACGCGTTCCACTTGATCATCATCATCAAGATAATGGTAATCCAGTTATCAGTCTTACGTGCCTCAAGGCTACCGAACGGCTCACCAGACGCGAGCTCGCCGAGAACATGGAACGTCGTCCAGTTGTAGAACATCTCAAGATCTATTAGGCCTTCGCGCGACTCGTCCAGGATTGCCGTCATAAGCATGTCCGCGTAGTGGATAACAATATCCTCCTGTTCGAAGAGAGCTTTCTGAGAGAAAGCATGCGACATCATCTTCCTGATTTGTGCATGCTCAACTGGATCGGAGGTGTTGACAATGTGCTTAGCTCGAATGGTGCCGTCGGTTGGGTAGAAGTGAGGGTTTTTCACGAAGATATTGGTACCTTTCCTGGGACTATACACATCTTTCTAGGCGTCTGCGCAAGCGAATGAAAGCTCGTTCGAGCCCCATCTAACGACATTGCCATACTTGTCGCGTAACTTCTTTATAGTGGTATGTGAGTGCCCGCTAATGACTGTCCCGGAGTAGAATAGGTTGGACACGATTGCTAATGGCGGCCCTGGGAATCTTGCAAGTGGATGAAAGCATACGATTCGTAAAGATTGACCGATGAAGAAGAGGAGGCAGGCGGTAAAAACGAGTATCGCGGCTTTCCCTGATGTTGGCTCATATAAAAGAGGTCTAACAGGACCATAGATGATGGAAGAAACGCTCATTTTGGCTTTAATGTCGTCTCCAAACATTAAAACCCCTTAGAAAGCCAGTGGCTCTACTTTGCATGGAATATATCGAGAGTCGCGACTAGCTCGGGTGTCAAATTCCGAAGATGCTAGACACAAGCATAGCGGACCACCGAATAGGTCGGACTCACAGTCCCGCTCATATGGGTAGAACTCCCTAAAGTTTTGTAATACTCTATATTGTTGTTAGCGGCTTCTTGGGATCAAGGCTCTACCCGAGCTCGAGTAACATCGCAATGACCCCGCATCTTCTTCGCTTACTCGTATCTACAGGGTAAAGAAGCATTTCGTATATACTGAACCGTGAAGTATCCCCACTTTGGGCCCCGGCTTCCCTAGACTTGAATAAACCTACCGCAATGCCAACGAGTCATGCGAAAGCTTATCCAAGTGACTTTCGTCGTTGAGCGATGCTAGCTAGCAACCTAGAGATCATTTCATCTCCGCTTTCAGGGACCATTATAGAGCTCTAGAACCACAACACGATGTCTCTCTTCTTCCAGAGCTCAAAAATGGATCCGGAACACATCTGCCTATGGAAAGGAGCTCCGATGACTGCGAAACAACGAGTGGATTATGCTACCATTTATATCCATTCCCTCAGGACACACATGACCACACTTCTCCAAGCACTCCCCAATCTCCTGGTCTCATATCGAACCTTTCATTCCTATCGTACCATCAGTATGGCGCAGGAAAAAACGTCACTAGAGAAAGCTGGCCACCTTGAATATACCCATCGCGAAGACGGAGTTGCTGCCGACGCGTGGCATCATGGTGTCGACGCAGAAAAGCTTCCAACAGGTTACTTCAGAAGCAGTTTTTTTCTGGGGACGATGCTTGCGAGCGGGCTAAGCGTATCTGCTGTGAGTATATATGCGATCATGGATAAAGATGTTGAAATGTTCACTAAAGCGATCAGGGTGTCGGAGGCTTTGCACTTGCTGCTCCGTTGCTTGCCACTATAAACGCTGAAATAGGACCGGATCCAGACATTGTTTGGGTATGTCTGTCATGCAGACCGAGCTCAGCATTGCAGTCTTCTCACGCAGTCCCAGGTTGCCCTTGTCTACACCATGACTCTTGCCATCGGGCAAGCTCTAGTTGGACGACTCTCTGACATTTTCGGTCGACGTTGGTTCTTCATCGGTGGCTCCTTCCTAGCCCTCATTGGATGCATCATTAGTGCGGTTGCACATAATGTTCCTGCACTCGTCGGCGGTACCGCTCTTATCGGCTTCGTAGCAGCGTCGCAGCTTTCCTACACGTTTGTGCTTGGGGAGTTAGTTCCGTTCAAGTTCCGCTTCATGAGCCTCGGATTCGTATACATCTGGGCGATCCCATTCTCAGGCTTTGGACCAGCATTAAGTTACGCACTCGTACAGCACCCGGGTCCGGGCTGGCGAAGCTGCTACTACCCCATGATCGTGATCAATGCGGCTGCCACGCCATGCTGGTTCCTCTTCTATCACCCTCCGACATTTCATATGAAGTACGCCGACCGCAAGTCACGATTGCAGGTCGTCAAGGACCTCGATTTCATCGGCTTGATACTTTTCATTGGAGGACTTTTGATCTTCTTGATGGGCCGCAGCTGGGGCGGCTCCGTTTATCCCTAGAAATCTGCGCACGTCATTGCTACTATCATCGTCGGCTTTATGACTTTGGTCATCTTCGCGCTTTATGAGAGTTTCATGCCCTTAAAGAAACCTCTGGTACCCATGCACCTCTTCCGGAATATGAAGTGGGTTTCTGTGGTCATGCTGGTCGTAGTAGGAGCCAGTGTTTACTACGCTTTCGCCATCATCTGGCCGACAATTATCTTCATGCTGTACATCAGCGGCCTCACATACGGCGGATGGCTTGCCTGCGTTACCAGGTGTGCCATCAACACCGGCCAGGTGTCGGGTGGTTGGTTGAGCAAACACGTTGGTCGTCAGAAGTGGCAGTTGGTGGCTTGTTCGATTGCCAGCTGTGCAATGCTCGGTGGTAGGCGAATCACCTTTCAAACACTACATTTGGAAGCAACGTACTCACACTCAAACTAGCGGCCGGCTGTGCTACCCCAAACAACAAGAACACCATCATCGGCTTACTCTTTGTCGGCTGTTTCTTCATTGGCTGGCTTGAGTCCGTCGGCCTCGCAATGACCGGTATCGTCATTGACGACCAGAACGAGATCGGAACAGCTGTAGACGTGGCCGGATCGATCCGCTCCGCCGTCTCCACTGTAGCTTCGACATTATACACAGTGGTCTTGACCAATCGCCTTGAAAAGACGATCCCAGCTGTCGTGCCGCCTGCTCTGGTAAAGGCAGGGCTTCCTGTAGCGTCGGTACCGAGTTTCTTGTCTGCTATCACCGTCGGTACACCTGCGGCTTTTGCCGCGGTTGATGGCTTGACAGATGCGATCGAGCTTGCGGGAATCACTGCGTATAAGCCAGCGAGTAGTCAAGCATACCGCACCGTCATGCTAGTTACTATCGCTTTTTTAGGCTTGGGCTTGTTTTTCAGCTTCTGGGCTCCAAATGTCGATGAGCTGATGACGAATAGGGTATCTCAAACCTTGCACAAGCGGAAAGATGAGAACGTTGTAGGAGCGTGACGATGGTGCGATATTGTACAGGACTCGGGAGAACTCAAATATCCTCAATTCTCAGCAATATCTCAGCGTGCACTATAATGGTTCGTATTTGATGCTTACTAGTCTAGCTAATGGCGCCGAAGAGTGTATTCCACGTTCGGTCGACTCTCAAACCTCGACTCTCATGACCAAACACGTTGAGGTATCGAAACACTCATGCGCCCAGATAAGAGCGTAACATGGAGTCGGAACCGACACTGCGCATAAGATGAGGGGTTCCTGGATTGCGGGTAAGCGACGACGCATGCGGAGGTAAGCAAGAGGAGAGGAGGAATTAGCGGCCTCTACGATGGATTGGTCGGAACTTTTTGCCCTTCGTACAAAGGTAGAATACCGCAGACTTCTCAAACCCCCTCCTCCTGCGGCTCCGCATTGCATCCGCATCCTTAACCCAAGTGTGGGGAACCATATGATCCTTGCGAAGTCACGTGATGGATTAGCAACATTCGAAAGAAGTGTCGACTTTGCGGATGCGTACGAATTTCTGGTAGATAAATGAGCGGTTTGTCCCTATTCAATAACTTCCAAAATCATTCCTAGCCATTCCAACTCTCAGTGTCGAGGATCTATTTGTCCCTTCTTTGACTCCCAGCTTAGCTCCTCAACATGAAATCAGAACTCAGAGAATACGCTCGCCGAAGGGCTACCACGGGTCCATATGCAGACGACCTCGATATCGATGCCATCATCGTCGGCGCAGGCTTCGGCGGTGTTTTTATCCTCCACAAGCTTCGACAGCTTGGCCTCAAGGCTGTGATCTTCGAAGCTGGCACAGATCTCGGCGGAACATGGCGCTGGAACAGGTACCCCGGCGCCAACGTGGACTCGGAAGTTCCAGAGTACGAATACTCCATACCCGAAGTTTGGAAAGACTGGACCTGGAGCACCAACTATCCAGACTACAAAGAGCTGCGTGCCTATTTTGACCACGTTGACAAAGTCCTCGATATCAAGAAAGACTGCTCGTTCGAGAGCGTGGTCGTCGACGCCCAATTCCAGGAAGGCGAAGGCAAATGGCACGTTAAGACCGAGGACGGCCGCACCGCGAAAAGCAAATACTTCGTCGTCGCTGCCGGCTTCGCCGCTAAGCGCTACATCCCCGACTATAAGGGCATCGAATCCTTCGAAGGCATTATCCACCACTCCGCCTTCTGGCCCGAAGAAGGCGTGGACGTCAAAGGCAAGCGCTGTGCTGTTATCGGCACCGGTGCCTCCGGCGTTCAAATTACCCAAGCCTGGGGCCCAGAAGCCGGCTCGGTCACTGTCTTCCAGCGCACGCCCAATCTCGCTGTGCCCATGGGCAAGCACGCGCTGACAGCTGAGGAACAGAATGCGGCGAAGAGGTGGTACCCTCGCCTCTTTGAGCTTCGCGAGAAATGCTTCGGCGGCTTCCTCTTCAGCTTTTCTGAGAAAAATACATTCGATGATAACGCGGAAGAGCAAGACGCCTTCTTCCACTCCCTCTGGGATCACGGTGGCTTCGACTTCTGGCTCGGTACTTACAAAGATATGCTTTTCGACCCGAAGGCCAACCGCGCGGCGTACGACTTTTGGGCACGCAACGTGCGCCCACGGATCGGAGACCCGAAGAAGCGCGAACTTCTCGCGCCTTTGGAACCACCGCATCCGTTTGGCGTGAAGCGCCCTTGCCTCGAGAACAACTACTACGAGCAATTCAACCGGGAGACGGTAGATGTGTTTGACATCAAGGCGAACCCAATTGTCGAGTTCCAGCCTAAGGGGATTCTGACAGCAGACGGGACGCTGCATGAATTTGATGTTATTGCTGTTGCTACCGGGTTTGATATTACCACGGGCGGTATGACGCATATGGGATTGAAGAGCGTGCATGGGACAACGTTGAATGAGGAGTGGAAGGCTGCAGCGAATACGTATCTCGGGACGACGGTTAGTGGGTACCCAAATATGGTAAGCACTCTCTTTCTGGGTTTCTCCCTCGACCGTCGGATTTTGTTACTGACTGTCACAGTTCCATCTCTACGGCCCCCACGGCCCAACGCTCCTGAGCAACGGCCCTTCGACCGTCGAGGTCCAGGGTCGCTGGATCGTCGACACGATCAAGAAGATCGAGCGCGAAGGACTGAAGTTTATCGATCCCACCCCGGAGGCGACTAAGGAGTGGAAGGCACGTATCAATGCTCTTTCCGATATCTCGCTCTTCCCGACGACCAAGTCGACCTACATGGGTGGCAGTCTGCCTGGGAAGGCGTTTGAGCAGGTCAACTATGCCGGTGGCATTCCCGAGTATGCGAAGGAGATCCGGGCGGCGTTGCCGGGATGGAAAGGCTTCAGGACTGTGAAGTAGGTGATATTTCGAGGGTCATGATCTGGTAATGAACATAACTTTGATATCGAACGCCTTTTGACGGCCTCATGCGATGGCTCACTTTCGAACTTGGTGAACATTATCAGTGAGCGGACTTGTAAACGTCCGAGCCCTAATGCATGCTACGTAATATGCGGGGGCCCGAAATCCGGGGTACTCCATAAATCCACTGCGCCTAGCCGGGGGCTGGATCAATACGGATGGATTGATTGCTTGGAAGGTCTCTTAGAGCCTGGAGAATACCTGGCGATCGCGGACATGGACGGAAACCCGGGCGGAGCAATGCCAACCACGTTGCCCTTCTCTCCGGCCCATGGCCATTTTCAGTGAGAGGCCCAATACGTGCCCTAATGCAGCGAAGTGCCCATAAATGTCAGGGTTCCCCGCAACGTTTCCCGCATGACCCCTGGGATCCGTCCGATCTGCATGCCTTTACTCCCCTACTCCCTCGGTCGCCCCACTGCCTCTCTCTGTCACCACTCCGTTCATATACTGCTGTGAAGATGCAGCTCTCTCCAGTAAGCCCAACGCAGCTATGGGACTCTTCCGACAAGCCTCACAATACGCACCATCGTCAAGAGACACCATTTACCGGCAGAAGCCGACGACAGCACCGGAGCTGCGATCAATGCCGGAAAGGCAAGCGTGCGTGCGACGTCACTTTGGTGAACTATCCAGCTTCGAATGGAGATGAGTCCACCTCCCCGACTCTACGCCCAACTCCAACGGCAGACTCAGGCCTGAACTGGACTCTGAGCGGATACCTAGAACATCGTACGTATTGACGCAAGATTTCGTACGTATCAAGCCTAATAGCCGCGCAGACGAGCGGTCAACTCCCGTCCTAACTTCCACGGGCCCATGTTCAAATTGCGCAAAGACCGGCAAGAGATGCACGTTAGAATGGCTAAAGTCTGTACACGGCGTAATCTTACAGCGTAGCAAACGCAGTATCGCGGAGGCAACCGGGCCTAAAAAGAAGAATAGTACCAGAAAACGGCAAGCTTCGACCGCCACCTCTCACACTCCTGGGCTCCCTTCCAGCGTCCACACTTCGTCGACCTCTGATACCACCGCAATTGATTTATCTGCGTTTTTAGACTATCAAATCCCTCAGCCGATTCCCAATTCTCAAGTCCCTCCACATTACTTGTCTTCGAACGATGGATCTGATCTCACCGATTACGAAAGGTTGGGGGACTATCTATTTGATGCATCGGAACCTATCTCGACGCAGCCATGGGCCCCCACCAACGAGGGCTGTGCCAACATAGACTTCATGCCTTTCCAACCTACTGTAGCCCGGACCCAGAGTACCCGGAACTCAGCAGCACTGTCACAGGGGGTATCGCAAGCGCCGGTTGGGCTTCCAGATCAGCATTGTGATCAGACCGGTAATGAGGAAGAGCTTCCATTCTATGCATCCGGGAGTTCGACACGTGCTTCTTTACCATCGTCATATGCACCTACCCAATCTCGAAACTCCAGACGTACTCCCTCCTTTTCGCAAGGATTCGAAGGATTTGCGGAACAGCAAATGGCATTATCCACCAACCAAACACTTATGACCAATGGCCTACTACGCATCTATCACGACAGCATGGAAAACGCATTGTCTTGCTGGTTGACGGAGAAGACATGCCCTTACGGAATTACCATTCCTTCGCCAGCGTTACTCAAGAACTCCAATCCGCATGAGTCAATGTCAGAGGAATGGGGTTCAAATTGGTCGAACCGAATCTTCGCACGAGTCTGTCGTCTCGACCGCGCTTCGTCCGTCGTTCGAGGACGGCTGTTGACCCAATCAGAGGAGAAATTAGCATCGAAAGCACTCCACCTGGCAATCATGTCTTTTGCAACTCAATGGGCTCAATCGAGTAATCGTAGTACCGCCAAATTTTCGTCGTTCGACTCAAAAGACGATGAAGTCATTGATGATGGGGCTGAGCCAGCTCGAGGAGAGGGTTCGTCACCTCTGAGCACGGAATTTGACCGATCTATTCAAGAGTCATTCTGGTACCAGGCTCGAAGAGCCTTACAAGATTCCGCAGAAATCGAATCCTTCCGTGTCATCTTCGCCCACATCATTTTCTCTTTAACCCAGCGCCCACTCAATGTCGCTGCACACGTTCGAGCAATCAAAGGGAGACGGCGGCGAAGCTCTGCAAAGCGATTCAATGACAGTGCTTGGCCTGGAGCTTCACCTCCATCTTCTGAATCGACCCGATCAGGACACTGTTCTGCGACTGCTTGTGGGGCTTCGACGTATCAAACAACACCGGGAGTAATCAATACATCAAATTCCGGTGTAGCTGGCTTGGATGAAGTGACTGAGCTCGAAGGTCCTCCAATCTTCTTAGAGACCGCTCTACGACAAATATTCTCATATCGATGCAAATTAGAAAGCATAGAAAGGCAACGGACGATCGCAATGAAGAAGTGCGCCTCTCCCGAGATGGCAGAAAACCCCAACATACTCAGCACTAAAGACCGTAAGACATTCGATCTCCTATTCTGGCTCGCCGTCATGTTTGATACTCTCTCCGCTGCCATGAACAAACGCCCACTGGTCGTCTCGGACGAAGACAGTGACATCCGGGATGGCAATCTCCCAGGGCAACACATATCCCAGGACGACATAATCAGCAACCCTTCTCCAACATACCGATCCATGCTCGCCAAAGAGGGGGACTCGAAACTATGGGGCGACTTTCTTCTCCGACAAAAACACCTCCGCTTTTGCCATAAAATAGCGCGGTGGCCATGCTCGTACGAAGACGCTGCGTCAACTCTTTGCGATGCCGCTCCCATCAAGGTCCTACTATTCCGAAAAGTGACGCATTTGCAGACCCTACTATCCCGGCGCGTCATGTACGAGAAGCTCGAACAAACCATCCTAGATGCTCTACAAGTCTACCAGCACTGGAATGACAGCTACAATCAGTTCATCCTCGACTGCATCGCCAACCACGATGACTTGCCCCCGAGGATCCAGTCCTGGTACGTCGTCCTCGCGGGCCACTGGCACCTGGCCGCACTGCTTCTAGCAGACATCATCGAAGTGATTGATGACGGCCAGCTGGGGCTTGAATCGCAGCAAAACGTCCGTCACTCCTCTCGCCTCGTGTCAAAGCTACGGGAGCAAAACGCGAACGTCCTTTCAGACCTCGGGCGATGTTCATGCCCAGGGTACAACCTCTCCTTCCCCCAAGCTCGCGAATTCCACTTCGCAGTCAGCGAGGGGGCACTGCTCACGGAGCCTTGGACCGTCGTGCTCATCCGGGCTTTCAGCAAAGCCGGCTACATACTTCTCAACCGCATCTCTCACCCTAGACCATCGTGGTATGAACGAGGCGAGATTCCTCGGGAATCAGAGATCGCGCAATGCCAGCAAAGATTGAGTTTCTGCATCAGGGCATTGTGGAACCTGGGGAAGAAGAGCGACATGGCGTTCTTGGCCGCTACGGCGCTGTCCACGGCGCTGAAGGACGTGACAGATGAGATAGCGGGGAAGGCGTGGGTAGCGAAGCACCACAGTCCGGATATGGAAGCGATTCGGCAGTGTAGCTCTTTGCCGGATGAAGCGGGGAGGGAGACGTTTCCGTTTGTATTTTCGGCGGTTCCGTCGTACCAGTGAGAGGATATCCTTTCGCCCGGCTTACTTTCACTAAGGTAAGGTTTTCTTTTTGGCGCGGATGGCGATCGTTATATTTCTCTACTTGGTGGTTTGCAGCCTGGCAAACCCCAATGGCCAGGCGTCTTGGTGGGGATCAAATGACACATAGTGGTAATCAAAAGGTTATTGCTGGACAAACGTAGTGAGGAATTCCAAGCTATCACTGGGTCTGATGGGGAAGGTTTAGCGGCATGATGGAATTACTATTTATTGCCAATTTAATCATCATATCAAGGCAAAGAAACCATTCAACATTTCAACACATAGATAGCCGACCAGACTCCAGCGCTACCTGCTTATCCCAAAGCTTTGTAAACAGCCGATTCAATCGCAACCCACAAACCAAGAGTTTTCACGTCGCAGAATGGCAGAATCTGGTTGCAAATGATTCCAGCAACCCCCTTTTCACGGTCGCACCACCACCACAAGTTTGGCAAGCCCGCCCATTGAGCAGTGCCCTTCGATCTGCCCGTAACACCCTCGGTGAGCATGAACGTGAGACCCCAGCCTTGCGGCTTGTCTCCAGGGATTGGATAGAGCTCCGGTATGGCGTTCGTCAGGTCTGGCTTCGCGGCGGGGATGCCCTGGCGCGCAAAGTTCGGGAAGTCCGGGATCTGGTTCTTGAACATCTCGTCGACGGTTGCTTTGCTCAGGATCTTCGCGCCGGTGGTAGGGGACGTGCCGTCGTTGAGTAGGGTTGCTAGGATCTGAACGTATTCTTGGGGTTTTGCGAACATGCCGGCTCCGCCGCTGTTGAGAGTGGTTGCGATGTCGTTTCCTTCGACTATTAGGGGCCGGCGGTTGATGTGGTCGTATCTGCCAAGCTTGCCGTCTGGCTTGCGGGTATTCATGTAGGCTAGGTTCTTTTTCATGGATTCTGTGGGGAACATGGACATGTTCTTCAGACCGAGGGGTTCGAGGATATGCTTTTGCATGTAGTTGTTTAGTGAGGTGCCTGTGGCTCGCTCGAGGACGATCCCAGCCCAGTCAATGTTGACCTAATTTGGCCTATAGTAAGTATCCAAAAGATTCACAGAACAAAGGCATTTGAGTGAGGGCTTACTCCATATTCCCATCCCTCACCAGGCTGGTGGACGAGGGGCTGTATTATATCTTTCAAATGCCCGGAGAACTCATCATAACCGAGTGGTTTGTTGTAGTCTCTCAACTCGTTATTGAAAAAAGCATATCCAAATCCAGCTACAATTACAATCAGCTATGCTGTATCTGCGAATGATAAAGATGTACTTGCCTGTGTGGCTCAGCAGCATTCTCAGAGTAATCCCCCTTTTCTTATCCACTAAACTCCCGTCTTTCTGGAGGACCTTCACAGCTTTCAATTCAGGGCACAACTCCTCTACTTGCGTTGCATCATCCAGCTTCAGCTTCCCTTGCTCGACGAGCTGCATGACCGCGACCCCCGTGATCATCTTCGTACATGATGCAATCCAGTAGATGTTATCCAACGTCATGGGCTCTTTACTCCCATACCCCCGCTTCCCTGCCGCATGCGCAAAGAGCTCTTTGCCATCTTTCCCAACGACGACAACAGTGGTACCCGGGATACCGGTCTCTGGGTCGGCGCACGCATCCTCGGTTATCTGCTTGAGAGTTTGGAGAGATTCCGGAGAGAGTTTACCCATGATGTCGGCTGAGAAGTCACCAGTCAGAGATATCTGGAGCTTTAGGTATTAGGGGTAGAGCAAGGAATGTAGGGTGATATAGCGCTTCTGCTCCGTTGAGGTAGTTGGGTAGCTGTCGCTTTGAACGATTCGGTGGCGTCACCGAGCGGGCGGGGTCAAGGGCTGCCCATTCCTCCGTGAAGGTGGGCAAGAAGCGGGGGCATGTGCTTCGTTTAGACCCTCCTTGTGGTGAAGAGGCCCACCTTGTAGGTTATTAGGCCTAACTTGTGGGTTGCTAAGGCCTACCTGGGGGAGTGTGAGGCCCACCTTGAAGGTTGTTAGGCCCACCTTGAAGGTTATTGGATCCACCTCGAGCGAATGGCCGAACCGACATGGCGGCAAATCGAGAATAGCCATATCCATCGCCCAAAGCGAGAGGTTCCGCTGAGGTTGCGTAGTGATGCGGAGCCGCTCCGCAGATACGAAGTGCCCCGTCCTCGGGTGCGGAACGGTGAAATGGCGGCATATCTTGTCTCCTATTGGAGCACAGACGTTGATCCTTGAAGGCGGCTTCAACCAATGAGTCGAATCTAAAAGAGAGCTCTGGTGTTGTGAATGGCGTGCTCGTGCCCAATAGCTGGACAGGGCCAGCTGGATACACGGGCCTCTCGCATCACGTGATAGCCATGTGATCTTCGCGCATATAGTAAAAAGCACGTGACTAGCACGCCTTATCTATTAAGGTGTGAGACAGCCATCACTGCCAACTACCTGCTCCTGGGCAAAGTGAAATACTTCATTGAATCCGGTCAATGAGATGCCATACCTCAACACTGCAAACCTGCAATAGTCATCGAAGGCATGAAACTAACGCATGACTTCGAAAAGCGGCATCTTGTTCGTTGCTCTCTCTAGCAGGCTCGTCAGCGTCCGCGTTGACAGCCAGAAGGACAATGCCCCTTTCTACGCTCTGTCCAATTCCCTCTCAATCCTACTCCTTGACCCATTTCTGCTAGACTGCACCAAAGCCAACAAACCTTGATCGGTAGTAGGTCCGTCAGAAACTAGATATATGGCGACTTCAACATCCAACGCGCCTGGACCAGCTGCTAGAGGTCCAATTTGGCTGACCTTGGTAATTACCATCATCATTTTCTTACGTTCTTCACGCCGTGGTTAGTCAACACAGCGTTGATATGCGGATCCCTTTTGCCTCTCAGGTGTTACGAATTTAGTTGACCAACGCCGGTAGTTCTATGGAAGAAGTTGGAATTTGTCTTTTAGCTGCAATGGAAATCTCGCAAACTCATGCGAAACGGGTAAGTTTCTTCCTGGTCGCTTCGCTAGGAATCGCAATGAGTCTATTCTCTGCCCGAGAATTCCGGCCAAGCCATTCCATGACAGAGATGATTCTGTCGTGACATGGCGAAAGGGGGGCGAAGTTGCGGGCTGAATCCTTTCGGAGGTTGACGTTCCCGCTTAATGACGTCGGTGGAGCTAGCGCCAACACCTGTACTCCGCCAAATTTAGAATACGGCGCATTGACTGTAAGTCGAACAGAATCAATTCGAGGTTTTGAACCACCAACTTGCAAGACCCTTGAACTACACTGACGCATTCAGCGATCAATGCTAACCACGTTACGACCTTACTCCGCCCAAGGTCAATAAGCTCACGAAAATCCTCTAAGAAGGTGCATGTCGCAATTCTTGAACCACGTTTGGGCGCCAGGTATTCTAAGTCAGTGTGAGTGATCGCGGCGCATTCACCCTCTCAGAGGGCGCACTCTCGTATTCCTCGCCACATGATGCCTTTTCTACTTGTCAGCATATCAACTCTAGTCCCATTGTAAAGCTCTAATTTGAGATCTACCACTCTTGCATGTAGTTCTTTTCTGTTAAATCGCGCTCGTACCTTTCACCTGCTCACGCTCTGCGATGCGCTCATTTCTAGTATGCCATAGAGCTCAGATCAGACCCTGGTTGGATTTAACGTTTGCGGGTCTGTTTAAGCTTGATAGTTAGCGCTTCCTAGCGCCTCTTCTCGTTGGTCAATCTGTGGGCCATCGAAGCTTGGCCTCCCACATTCATCTCTCTAGTGGCCTCGACCAGTCCTCGCTCACGCCCCGGAAACCGACAGCTCCGGCCATTAGTACGCTGCGTTGGATTAGCAAACATACTAATCCCCGCAATTTGTCCCTTTCGGTGTTGACGTGCTCAATGGGGAAATCATCGTGAAATCCTTTGTTGCGCCATTTGCTAGGATGCTCTCTAGTAACTCGTCACACTCGCGGATAGGGGCCATCCGGTTGCGTCTTTGGACGATGCTGTGATAAATGGGATACATTCGGCGGTGGAATCAACTCCGGTATATGAATTGCTTTACTACAAGAACGATACTCTTACCCTCAGTTCTCACTCGTTATCCATCACTGCAACTCATACTTGTCAAGTCAATCTCAATCAACACCATCCTTCAATATGAGACTCGCAGCCACCGCAGCCGTCGTCCTCGCTACGACAGGATCGACCATGGCCCGTCCTACTGTTGCAAAGAGGGCTATCACTGATGCTGATATTCTGAACTATGCTCTCACCCTCGAGCATCTTGGTAAGTCTCAATCCAAACCAAAACAACTGGACTATACTAATCAACATATCAGAGGACAAATTCTATCGTGAAGGTCTCGCCAACTTCACCCAGCAGCAATTCGCGGATGCCGGCTATGACGCGACCTTCTACAAGAACCTGAAGGAGGTTTCCTACGATGAGACTACTCACGTTTCCTTCCTGACCGGAGCCTTGACAGGTAAATACACTCTATTTTCTCCTTGAACACAATCACTAAGTTGCTCCCAGCTGCTGGTGCTAAGCCCGTCGCCGAGTGCACATACGCTTTCGGCGTCACATCTGTCGCTGCCTTCGTCGCAACCGCCTCCATCCTCGAAGGCGTTGGTGTCTCCGCCTACCTTAGAGCTGCTGCCTCAATTGTGAACAAGGAGTACCTCACGGCCGCAGGATCCATCCTCACCGTTGAGTCGCGTCACTCCTCTTACCTCCGCGCCTCCTTCAAGGAGTCTCCCTTCCCTCAACCCTTCGATACACCTCTCGACTTCGACGAGGTCTACACACTCGCCGCTCCCTTCATCGTCAGCTGCCCGAGCACCAACGCCGCGCTCCCAGTCAAGGCCTTCCCTGGCCTCGCTCTGACTGCCTCCTCCGCACCTGTGACCTCAGGCAAGACCATTCAGTTCACCGCAAAGGCCACAATCGAGCCTGATGCAGGCAAGGACTACGTTTACGCTGCCTGGGTCGCCGTTACTGGCCCCATCTTCACCAAGGCATACTTCAAGACCGGTGGCATCATCGAGACCACCGTTCCCGCCGGCTTCCACGGACAGTCGTATGTGGTCATCACCGGCTGCAACAGCTCTGTCTCGGACGACACTGTTAAGGCTGGCCCGGCGATTGTGGAGGTCACTAACTCGTCTGGTTCCCCATGAACACGATATAATGCTGCATAGGCGTTTCGTTTCTCTTTGTTATGGGTCGGGGCATACCATGGTGTTACACACCGGTTTTCTTTCTCTGTATAAAATATATTCGTTCGCTGTCACGACGTCTCTCTCCAATGGCTTTTGATGGAGAGTGTAAAAGCTGCAGGGTCCTAATATCTAATTCATCTAAACACCAAAATTACTTCTTCTCAAACACTTGACTTGACGTGATGGCCACTGACTCTTTGTAAGCCTTGCCTACACCGCAAGGAGTCGGTCCTTTATGAGGGTGATAAAATATCATGCCTAATTGGGAAAGAACCTCGGCACGCAAATAAATTTTGGGGTAGTCGAAACTAACTCCAACTTACAATGCCCGAAGACAAATAGAACACCTTTAACTTCCAGTTGAAATCTACATCATGGCAATAAAACCTTCCCCTAGTATCAGAAAGTTATTGAAACCTCCGCAGAACTGTTCAGGGTGGTTCCTGAAATCCCTCAGTTTACCAAGGATATGACGTACGCGCCCAAGAGATTTCCATCCATCGACCTACAGGGTTGTGCGGATTTAGCTTCCTAGGCTCGACGTTTCTCGAGAAAAAAAGCCGTTTTCATGGACGCAGCGTGCCGTTTGTCTTCTTGTTTTCAGTCTAGGTTGGAATTAGGTTAAAGCGCCCTTCTTATGACTAGCATCATTAGGCGTCACCGTTTTTAGACAGCGAGTGAAAACAGCTTTTTCTTAAAGGACGTCGAGTCCGGACCGGAAGCTATTTCCTCCTTTGTTCCCTTTATCCCCTGGCGCATGTCGCCACATGCGCAGTTCCCGCGATCACCGCAGGGATCACACCCGGGCATAGCCATGGTTAAGAGCGCTTCATCCTCGGTGCTAAGATGAACCGAAGCGACCTCGGCGCTAAGAAACTTCTCGGGCGTCACATGCCAACACCACCGTCAAAGCTATGAGATCACGAATTATGAGCTTTTCCAACACTCCTTAGCACCCTTTTTTTTTCATCTCAGGAGTTTGAATTAGACATTTCAGAGTTGAGCGATGGCACTTTTTGCGAGTTCCGAGTGCACGACTGGTCCGGTGAAGCAGCTTTCTATATTTGCGCAGAGGGATCCCGGAGTCCATCGGGATAGAGTCAGGAGTGGCCAGAGTAAAGGACAGCCTGCGGGCTTCCGGTACCAGAGTTCGAGAGGAGACGGTGTAAGTAAATTTGGGCTTCGTGCTCGTACATAACACTTATATGAACTCTGAAGGAAAATCCTGACATTCTTAGTCCGCGAACACGCTTGCGGACTTCTGGTCCTCAAAGGCGCTAGATCTCCCACAAGAGTCTCTGGAATACCTTTGGTGGCAGAAGAATGTCCTACGAGCTTCCGAACATGCAACTGAAGAGGTTTCGAATCCGGTCCTTCCGGAGACCTGGGCGACGAGCTTTCTGGATGAGAGCGCACAGATCAACAGCAAGCCATCAACACGTTATCCAAGGCAAGCCTACTCCAAGGCTCCGTTCCCCCAAAAGGCCCATCAAATAGAGGAGAGTAGCAAGAACTTTTCGGATTCGAGGTCGATCGCACCTCTGCGAGGCCCTCTCGCACGGCCCGCCTACCAGATTAAAACAGGTTTACATTATTCATCCCACCTCGCCGATAGCTCTTGGGTTGGAAACAAGCATGAATCAACTAAAGATTATGGGCTCAAGACTTCCATGAACAAAAGTGACCAGTCTGCAGAGTGGGAATTCCTGTTTACGGAAGTGGAAGGATATAGCATTCCCCACCAGGAAATGGACCACGAAAAGAATATCACGCAGGGCTCTCTAAATACGCGTGACCGAGACACCGGGGCAATATCCCAAGTAGAGGCGTTTCTATCGAGAGCTCCCCAAGACCCTCCACGAGACCATAAATACGACTTCCAATCCAACAACCCGTTCACAGGGAGCTGGCGAGCTTTCGAAGAAGGCATGGCTATCCTTCAGAAAGAGGAGAACTTAGCATTCGCTACACTCGCCTTCGAAGCAGCATGTCAGAAAGATCCACTTAACGTGGAGGCATGGAAGATGCTCGGCTCGACCCAAGCTGAGAATGAGAACGACGAAGCAGCCATGAATGCTTTCGAGGATGCCCTGGAGCTTGACCCTACCAACGGCGACGCACTTCTAGGCCTTGCGATCTCTTATATCAACGGAGGTGAGTACTTGAGGTGGATTATACTCTTTTGTTCTCCCGATCACCTACACTTAGCTAATACCATCAAACCAGGCCACCAGCAAAAAGCCTACACAGTCCTCGAAAACTGGCTAACCTCAAAATACCCTCAAATTACTGCCCCCTCCGTTTCCCCCTCGGACCCCCACACCCGATTGATTTCACTCTACCTCTCCGCCGCCCTCCTCTACCCCTCCGGACCCCAACTTGACCCTGGCGTCCAAATCGGCCTCGGCATGCTCTTCTTCAGCACATCACACTACTCCGAATCCCTTGACTGCTTCTCTACCGCACTTTCCCTGACGCTCACCTCCCCTACTTCTACTACTGTAGGCTTCCAGAACTCAAATTCCCAGTGCCAGCCTCACCTGCTCTACAACCGCATAGGCGCGTCACTCGCAAAACTAAGGCGGTACGACGAAGCGGTAGAAGCGTACGAGATGGCGCTGGTGGCGAGGCCAAATTTCGTGAAGGCGAGGTATAATATGGCGGTGGTGGCCTTTGCGAGGGGGGAGTATGAGGAGTGTGCGAGGCAGGCGGTGAGGGCGTTGGGGGAGAGGGAGGCGGGGAGGGTGGACACGAGGGAAGGGGAAGGAATGCGAGGGAATGCGGTGGAGGATGATTTGATGGGTGCGTTGAGGAAGGCGTTGGCGAATATGGGAAGGTGGGATTTGAGTGAGGGTGTGAGATCGGGTATGTGTCTAGGGGACTTGAGACGGGCGCTGGATGTTTAAATGGGGAAGAGCGGTGGGAGTAGTGTATTAGTAGGTGTGTATGATGAAGTTTCTTATTATCTATCTAGAGCTATAGAATTTCCGGCATGTTTTTCAATACTCTATTTGTGTCACTATCGCTCCCACTCCCACTATCACTATCCTCTCTCTCAACCTCTACTAGCTCGGTCACGTGAGTGCGTTGCGTGTGGCTCGGTATGGTCCGTATCGGGGTCCTGAGGCTGGGGAAACACATCTTCCCATTCCTGTTCATCACAATCACTGTCTGCTTCATCTTCAGTCTCCCGTTCTTCGAGGGTAATGATTTCAGTTGAGTGTTTATCTATTTCTTCCTTGGTCTCGCTTCCAATATTGTCGTTGGTTATTTCGCTCGTGTTATCTATCTCGGTTTCATTGGGACTGGTGTGCTCATATAGCCAGTCCAAACTGCTTTTCTCGTCGTCGTTTGTTGTCAGCCCAGTTATGATCAGGATCACCTTCCGATTTATTTCCATGGAGGCTTGGTAGCGATATCAGAGGACGAGATGATCTGCGGCTTCGATGCTGATTTGCTTATCCTTTTCCAAGCTGGTCTGTAGCCCCGATTTCTGCCTCAATGTGGCCCGCTGGGGGTTGGAGCGCTGAGATGGGATATTTTGGCCAGACGATGGTGGCCACGTGACAGTGTCTCTCCAACGCTACAGAGGTCCATTGCCCAAATTCTGTCTCAGATACGAAGAGGATTCCACTCCTCTGGTGATAATGTTTGTAGAAACATCAGAAGATTGCAGAGCTTGTAATACGTACGGTACAGCCCTCTATAGAGTTCCTTGCAGCCATAACAAAGACACTTTCCTTTTCACGCGCAAATAGCATCGCCCATCAGTCATGTTTTCCTCAGATCGAAGTAGACTGTTCAACTCAGAAGCTTCTTGGATGTTTGGACCCAGCCATGGCAGTCTTCGTAAGCTGCTCGTGCGACCGGATTTCTGATCTCTCTAATTACCAACTGTTGCTCCCAGCGAAACAGAACTGAAGGTGGCTCCAAAGCGACACACCGCCAAATGCCCCCATGGAATCTGCCGTTTCTGGAAGAAAAACGGAGCATCCAGGAAGTTCTATGCGGAAATATACGGGAACAGTTTTGTCCAGTGTCCAGTTACGTCTGGCGTCCACCACCCTCCAACGATGCCCGATAAGGCCCACCGCTTGAGCAGAACCATTGGATCAGAAAGGTTTGGGAGGATTATTTGGCGGAGGAGCTACGCAGGCTTTCCACGCACTCGAGCTCTCCAACCGGATCTTCAACGTCGCGAACTCCCTTGTCAACCTCCGCGACGACATCTGGACTTCTCACTCCAGCGAGCTCTGTGTCTGACCCAACAATCGCCTTCCCTTGTCATTGCCTGCAGCGCCGTCTGGGCTCTCCGTTTTTCCAATGATGGTGCCTGTCATACCGGAACCCGGGATTCCTCAATTCCAAGCTCGACGAGGGGATATCAACCCTTTCGAACACATTTCTACGACACCTAGCCAGCGGCGCTTTGGCCTTGCGAGCGACGATACTCCTAGCATGCGACCAAATCAGGACGCTGCCACTCAACGGTAACGGCCTATTGTCGCTACCAGAGGTCGAGCAGACCCTGCGAGAGATAGATCCACGGGAAACGGCCTTCCTCGGACTGCCACCCCCGCGGAAAATCCTCCAGCTCAACCTCGAACCTTCCTCATGGACATCTTGGACGAAATCAACGGCAGGACGCCGTCCAACGAAGCCTCAGCAAGCACGGCGGCCAACCGGGGTATCTTCGAAGAAGACGAGGAGCCTGTTGTAGATCATCGTGCGCACGGGAATCCGCTCATTAGAGTCCAAAGACCTGGCACTAGCGTACCGAAAATTTCTGCGGGTTTGAGATCGCAAAGCCGTAACAGTGAGGCTACACGTGCGGAAGCGGGCCATCATTACATCAGCCAGCCACATGACCATGTCTCAATGTCAGAAGCCGCTTCGGCGAGGCCTGAGAGTAGCACACCCCTCTCAGTCAGATCTGGAACGCGTATTAGGCACAAAATCGCGAGACCCAGCGATATTCTTCCCAACGGCAGAAGGTGTCCATCGCCACGCTCCTCTGCGGGAGTCCAGCCGTCCCCAGAGAAGACGGCTGTGCAATGATAGAAAGGTAATGGGTGATATTACGCCTCGATCCCAAAACTCTCAACCCAATCGCGATCCTGCGAACGGCAATGAAGGGGCCTAACCGACCCAGAAGCGAGCTGAGGCGCCACAGAGTGCTCCATCCAGCGGTGACAATAGTAGAGCGGAGATGAAACAGCCCAGAGACATGTTCATAAATGAGTCGAATGAACAGCGGCCCAGTTTGAGATACCCAACCTGCCCGGCTCCATCCGGCGTTGCGCCCACCAACTCTACCTACCAGCTTTGGCTAGCCCATCGCGATGAATGTCGCTCAGTCCTTCGCGAAGAACAGGCCCGGGTTCGGGAGCTCGAGCGATGGAATGAGACATGCGTAAAAATGCATGAGGAGTATGTAGGGAAATACGGTAAGGGTGAGGAGGTGGAGAGGGAATTTCTTCAGGCGCAGAGAGTGCATGCTAGAGATAGGGAATAATTGATGTGGTTGGAGGAAGGACAGGAGTGGCTTGAGAAGATTTTGGAGAAGGGAGAACCGAGAAAGTGAGAATGGGAAGGGTGGGTTAGTGGTAGTAGAGTGGAGAGGGAGGATGGCGCACGGGAGAGGAAGAGGGGCATACAGTTGTATTTGCAATCTTCTTTATTTGAAACAGGTGGAATGGACATTGAAATAGAACCTAAACATGATGAAATGGGCACAGCTCCTTGAAAGAGCGACATGAAAAGAAAGCAGCCTCCTACAAACAATCTATACATCCGCCTCGATGAACCTTTCTTGCACCCCCTCGATGATATTTTCCCGCCCATGAAGGTATACAGACAATTCACCTCTTTTTCTTCTTCCTTCGCTCGACCCACTCTCTCATGCTCTACTCCCCAACTCCCACATCGATAACCTTAGGTCAAATGCCTACCGATGCCTTGTCGTAGCCCTAACCGGTCCATTCTGGTCTGAACCACTCAGCAGCTACCTCTAGATCAACGAAGGAAGCGTGCCATAGAGCTTATAGTTGTTGTAGATTCGCCAATGTTGTGGGTCATCTGTGGGAGGCTCCTGGAGCTCGCCGTCCAGTATCCAGGGCCAGCGAGAATACTTGCAAAAATTGTCGTGGTAGTTCTGACAGTCACCAAAACGCCTAGTCGCGACGCCACCTCTTCGGTCTCCGCCCTTGTGAATACTGCGAAACTGGCACATCGTGTGGAGTGAAGCGCGGAGATGAGAACGGCGGTGGGTCTGGGTTTGTCGTTATCGATGGTGTTTGTACTGGAGGTTTTTCGTGCGATTGATGTAGGTGGTAGTGATGTGTTTGCAATGTGTTGATCTGGAGAATTGTAGGAGGAAGGGAGGGCCATTTTATATGCGGTGAGAAGATCGAAAACAAAGCTGCCAGCCGAGTACATAGAGCCTCCGGGCACACATTGGGCACGTCGGTATGTCTTCGAAAGCATCGACTGTAGTAGATAAATTCTCAAAGGACGTTAGAATGTCTAAGGTTGCAACAAGAGCTCCCTGTTATGTCAAGCGTCAGTCTCAATGCGTAGCCCCCACCAAACAATACTTGTCCTCGCGCCAGACAAGACGTAGTCGACCATCCAAAACTCCAGCGCACAACCTCCTCATCCGTGAAAGAGAAATGTCTAACATCCTAAAAGCCACTTGGCACAGCAGCCCGTCGTACCCTCAAGAATGGGCCCGAGTTTGAATCTCGTTCGCACTCGCGATGATAGGCCGCAGATATCGCAGCACTATAGCTCCCAGCAACTCAACAGAACAAGGATGATAATACCGGGGTACTTCGAATTAGTATTCAATACAGAATAATATACAACCCACAGTATTTTGATGTACAAATCAGATCTTCCCACCCGTCAAGTCCTCCGCAATCCTCTTCAATCTGTCGTTCATGACATCATATGTACCCTTGCCCTTGCTTCCAGCATGCACGTCGTCTAGAAGCCCTTGTCTGTCCAGCATGTCCCGCACTGTAGGGGGAGACTCGCTCGCCCACGGACTATGATCCCTCTGGGCATACCCGAAAGTCACAGGGTGCTCCGGTGTGCCAAAAACCCTGTCAATCGCCTCGTCCAGCTGTTTTTCCGTAGTGATGAAGTCCCTCGCCTGCATGTAGAGTGTGTGTAGCGCATCTAACCTCGCGGCCTCCTTCTTCTGCTGCAATTTTTGCACTCCAGCTCGCCGGATCTCAAGATCTTGCTCAACCCATTTCAATGGTGGCCGCGCATCAAGTTTGCCAGACATGTAGTCCATGATATCCTTGCTGACGCTCGGGTTCGTCAGGCGATCGTCGTCACGCTCGGGCTGGTTGGCAAAAGCTCGGTGTTCCTCTTGCTTCTGGGTAGAAATGGCATCCATCCGTCGATGCGACTCGACCTCGCGTTCGTGTAGCTCCTTGACCGACTGCTTCAGATTCCTCCGTCGAGTCTCCGCCAATCGCAGCTTGTAGTCCTGGTATGCTACATCTTTTCCTTTGTGTCGGCGTATTGTTGACGGCTCCTTCGCTGCAGGGTCGAGGAACTCATCTGAAGCCTTCTCCTTATCGCCTCGCGTCCTGAAGATGTTTCGTGGAACTGGGAGGACACCTTTGACGCGAGGTTTAAGGGGGAAGGTGGGTTGTACGGGTTTTGGGACTTCGACATAATTAGGGGACTGAGGACCTAGGGCGAGAACGGCGGGCGTAGATGTGAAGGAGCGCCGTGCGATTGAAGATTGCGCATTCAATTGACATTTTGAGGATCGGGATAGCAGCCCGCGGGCCGTTGATGGAGGCATCGTGATGCTGCGAAAAAGTTAGTGGATGGAACCGCGGAGGACGGCATGTGTTGAAGTTTTGCCAAGGCGCTAGCAGCCATCGCCTCGATATTTTCTCGACGTTCACCAAATTCCCCACCACCAAGGTTCCCTCTCTACACCTGTCTCGTCGCCGACAGACAGCACACATTGAAGATGGGCCAACACAAGAAAGAAGCCAGCCGCAAGGAGCGTCAGGGGAAGGTCGGCGATGGCATGGCAAATGTCAAGACCAAGGGAGAGAACTTCTACAGGTATGGCAATTTCTGCAATTGAGGAAGCTTTGTTAACCTCAGAATAGGAGCGCAAAGAAGGCGAAGACGCTGAATATGTTCAAGGATGGAAAGCCACAGAGGAACGCCGCCGGGAAGATTACCAAGGCAGCCTCGTTCCAGAGTCGTGAAACGCCTGTAGCGCGAGTCGAACCGAATCGCAAGTGGTTCAACGCAACCCGAGTTATTTCCCAAGATGCCCTCGAAGCCTTCCGTGGTGCTGTTGCAGCCCAAGCCTCCGACCCTACCACTTTCCTCCTGAAGCAAAACAAGCTGCCTATGAGCTTAATCCGAGATGCGCCACAGTTGAAGGACGGGCTCAAGCAGCATGGAGCCAAGATCGCAATTGAGTCCGCACCCTTCAAGGATACATTTGGGCCAAAAATGCAAAGGAAGAGGGTGAAGCTTGATGTTAGCTCGCTGGAGGACCTCGCAAACAAGTCGGTGGAGATGCACGGCACTTATCTCGAGAGGCTGGAACAGGCGAAGCTTCTCAGCGGCACCTCTGGGGATGTAGAAGAGGGAGGCGAAGGTGACGACTTTGGTGACGGCACTCTCAGCCGAGCACGGGAGTCTATTTTCAGCAAAGGGCAGTCCAAGAGAATTTGGGTATGCCTCATCTGATCCTTCGTAAAAGTTTGCCATGCTGACTTGGTGCAGAACGAACTTTACAAGGTCATTGATTCTAGCGACGTAATCCTTCACGTACTGGATGCACGAGATCCTTTAGGCACTAGGTGCCGTTCTGTCGAAAAGTACGTCAATTTCCTTCGGATGTTTGTCGTCCGTCTTGCTAACATAAATCATAGGTACCTCAGAGAGGAAGCTCCTCACAAACATCTCGTCTTCGTTCTGAACAAGGTCGACTTGGTACCATCTCGAGTCGCAGTGAGTGCTCCCCCAGTTTCATTCGAACCCACACTTCCCCGCCGTTCGTTCCCATCGTTAAGTCAAGGCTCCAACCTGCACTCCGTGCAAACCTCTATGGATGGAATCTGTTACAACTTTGGGAGATTGATCTTGGCCCGCCGCTCAGAGCCGTCATGGTAATGGGTTGATTTGGTCACCGTTTTGGTGGTCGGTCGAAAGGGTTGAGAATGATTCGTTCAGAGTTGAGATTCGTCTCTGCCTTCGGGCAGCTTCATGGCGATTCTCTTAGTAACGTTTCATACATTCTGACAACACTTCTCTCTATGTTTGCGCCTGTCGCTCTGCAAAGCTCGAGCTGACATCCGCAATAGGCTGCCTGGGTCCGCGCACTCTCCAAAGAGTTTCCAACCCTCGCCTTCCACGCCTCTATGAACAACTCCTTTGGCAAAGGTAGTCTCATCCAAGTCCTACGCCAATTCTCCTCCCTCCACTCCGATCGCAAGCAAATCTCCGTCGGTCTCATCGGCTACCCGAACACCGGCAAGTCCTCAATCATCAACACCCTGAAAAAGAAGAAGGTCTGCGTGGTTGCTCCGATTGCCGGCGAAACCAAAGTCTGGCAATACGTCACTCTGATGAAGCGCATCTACATGATCGACTGCCCCGGAATCGTGCCTCCGAACAAATCAGACAGTGACGAAGAGCTCCTCCTCCGCGGCGTCGTCCGCATTGAGAACGTCGAACACCCCGCGCAGTACATCGATGCTATCCTCTCCCGCTGTCAGCCCCGCCACATTCAACGCACATATAATCTCGAAGGCTACTCCAGCTCGACGGACTTCCTGGAACAACTGGCGCGGAAAGGCGGTCGGCTACTCAAAGGCGGTGAGATTGACGAGGATGGTTGCGCGAAGATGGTCATCAACGACTTCTTAAGGGGAAAAATACCTTGGTTCACGCCACCACCCATGCTTGACGGCGTAGATTCAATAACACATGGCATCGAGGGCCGTGATGGAAAGCTAGGCGAAATGGGCAAGAAGCGGAAGAGGGACGAGGCCACATCTACGATCGCAGATGACGATACCACCGTTCAGGACTCGGAGCTGCGCGACGTGGAAGCCTCAGAGGACGACGACGAGTTCGAAGGATTTGACCACGCTGATGACGATATCGCAGTCACTGGGAAGGCCGATTCTGACGCCGAATCAGACGATGATTTGGATGGCGCTGAGGCAACCAGCCTGGTGCTACGTGCCGACGCTACGTCTGATGAGGATGATGCGGAGGTGGAGGAGGAGGTCCAGGTCATCACAGAAGCGTTAGCCAACGCACGGAAGCGCAGACGGAAGGAGTAGCGCGGTCGTCTCGTAGATATATGAGGGAATGCATCATGATACCCACTCAATCCCAACTTATGTTGGCAACGCCGTCTGTTCTTGTTCTCATATCACTCCCCATTCTCACACTCCCCATTATTAGACTACGTTCGCTATCATTGCCGCTGTCGCCGACCTTTTCGATGAAGACTTGCGTCACACCCAGCCTCGGGGGTAGAGAGACGACTCCTAGCATAAGTAGCCAGGTCCACCATCTCAACTAGTCTCTTGTCTTGCCCCACCAAGACCAAACCTAGAGCCAGTTCCGTACATGCACCTCCTTCAAACTCGCGATATGGCAGAGTATCCACGCGCAGGCACGTCCGAAGCCCATCGCCAGTAAAGTTGCTTAATCCGCAACCTCGACCTGTTCAAATTGGCCATCGGCGTCACGTTCTTGCAACTATAACACGAACCCGCGACGGCTCCTCTAAGCTTCCTTATCGCCTCTATAACGGATCCCTTCCCCTACTAACTTAAAAAAAGCCTTAGCATCTAGACCCTAGCTAGAGTTTTAATGCCCCTTACCTAATTTACCTGCGCCGCCCTACGGGTGCAATAGCACAGCCGCTACTTTGTACGTGCGTCTTAAACAGAAGGCCGCCTAACGTAAGTACTTACAGTAGTGTTAATCCTTACGTCTCTATATACCGCCTTAGCTATAGTAATACACTAGATTTTAAGATATAATTTTTTTTTTCTTTTCTCTTCCTCTTATATTTATATGTAGACTCTAAGGTAGGGTTTTTTAATACTTTTCTTCTACTCTTAGGCAGGTATATAGAGTTTTAAGGTCGCCTTTCTTTAATCTCATCTCCTTATAGGAAAAATAGTCTTTCTTTTCTTTTTCTCTACTTAGCGTCCGACCGGCCGGTAGGTAGGTTTTAAGGTAAATCCCTTTTCCTTTAGTCTTTCCTTATTCTAGGTAGGCAAGGTAGCTATGCTATTCTGTTCTCGCCCTGTATAGGTAGGTTGGCGGTAATATAAACGTGTGTCCCCTCATGTTTGCCCTATTACCCTCGTCTGGGTTAGGTAGGTGGCGAAGAGACCGGGTGGTTGTTATGCGCGAGACATGACCCAAGACTTCCGGGTACATGGCGTCGCTCTACGCTGCCAGACAAGCAAACAATAAGCGCAAAGGCTGATGCCGCCAGAAAGGACTTGCATAGAGTGTATCGTCACTGAAGTGTGGTGGGCGTGTGGTGAAGGATTCTTTTAAGAGCTAGAGTAGAAAAGAAGGTGGAGGAGCGAGATGTAGAAGTGAGAAAAACAGCGGGGGGCGGGCTGTTATATAGCAGAACCTTTTTGACGCCAAGGCGCTAGCGGCTGCCGTGGAAGGGCTGCCGTAGAAGGGCTGCCGTGGAAGGCGATGGAAGGTTATGATGCGGTTCCCACGGCAAAATGGGACGTTATAACCGTGTCGGGAGGAAGTGAGGCGGTTTAAGGGGGCCGCGGGCAGGAGTAAGAGCTTCAGGCGACAATTAAGGGCGACGCTAATGGGCCAATTGCATGACTTATCATAAGGATAAGAGGAGCTATATAAGCTCGCGTAAGCTTAGGGTAGATGGAAGAGCTGGAGGGGAGGGACCGGAGAGCACGCTCTGAAGATCCAGGGAAGCTCCCTCTGGGCAGCTTTGAGTATCGCGAAAGGCAAGCGGTACATAGGTAAAGAGCGACGATAGTGAAACCGAGCTCTAATGAAGAAAATAGCTAACAAACCCTCATTAGATCAGAACAACCTTCTGCTTCAGCAGCTTCCAGCGCCCTCCTCCGCCCATCCTTCTCTAACGCATACACCACCCCATTCCTAAGCGTCCCAATTCCCCCAACACTCACTTCAACGTCACTCCCTAGCCTCGAAAAACTCGGCGGCGCTATCGCAAACCCCAGGCCCCCCGACGACCCCGTCATAACCACCGTCCCCTTCCTCAGCGTCGTCCCCTAGCTGGAATAACTCACCAAATCCGGGACCCCAAAGATCAGATCCGCGAGCCCCTCGCTCTGCCGCACCTCCCTGACCGCCCGCGTCGTGAGATGCAGTTTGCTTGGGTCGGGGATAAGCGCGGAGGAGACCAGGCAGCGGCCGAGCGGGCAATAGGTGTCGAAGCCTTTGGAGAAGTTCCATTGAGGCATGGGGCCGGCGAGGATCGGGTCGCGCTGGAGTTTGCAGGAGGAGACGTCGCTGCCGTAGGTGTAGGCGGCAATTTAGGAGAGGGCGTGGGTGGTGGGGATGTCTTTGGCGTCGCGGGATATGATGGAGCACTGAGTGGAGCGGAGGGAGGGGTTATAGGCTGATGCAACTAGATGTGAGGTAGAAGAATCACGGAAAAGAGCTCAAGATAACAGTAAGTCAGAAGGGAGGAATATGGCGCGAAATTAATCATGAGGCAAGTATAAAAAACGGGATAGCGGCGGCTTGTTTGGTAGGTAAGGAAGATGTAAGGAAAAGGGAAAGCTTACCAACTCGCCCTCATAATCTGCCTGATCATCTTGGGCAATCTTCGGAATAACAATCGGAGCACCATGGCCATGTATAAAAGTGTTGGGTCTGATGAACAGAGAGTGAAACGGAGGCTGCGTACGGCCTGTTTCCTTGACTACGCCACACAGTTCATCAGCACTGCTCGCCTTGGATCCTCAAACTAGCCGTCTTGGGCGTTTTGATCAGGAGAAAGAGAAGAAGTTGACATACTGTGTCTTCTAGAATTCAACCCCACGCACCTCACTAACGGCACATCTCCCATCTTCAGGGGCCCTAACAGCTTCTTCACCGTAGCCACCTCATCACTAACAAACGTAACACCAGTCTCGTCATAGATATCGCCTCCAAGAATGGCCTTAGCCTTCAATTGCGTAGCTTCTTTGGTCGAACCGCGGAGGAAGAGATCGTCAGTGGAGATGAAGCAGATGAGGCGGGTCCAGGTGGGCATTGTGGGGTGAAGGAGAGAGGAGAGGGGTTGAGGAGACAGTCACGACATTGAGAGAGGGGTAAGTGCTTCTCCGGAGAATCAGCGAGCTACACGTAGGGTGATGTATGGTGGGACGGAGGTGCGGGAGACCGTGGGATCTCTGGGGTGTTACAGGATGTGGAGGAGATGTAGGGCAAGAGCTCCAATTGACCAGAAGGCAGAGAATTGGGTACTAAACAAGGGAGAAATGACTGAATATAGTGCTTGGGGGCGAAGGCTTCAACACAGTAGAATCCACATATAATTACCCTTTTCGAGTTTCTTAGCATCCTAGAATGCATTCAACTACGTTCTAATTATTATCCAAAACCATTCCGTCCGTTCCTCCAACCTCATGTCTCATGCCTCATGAGAGTAAAGTGTCACGATGTCGTAATAGTCGTGCTCAAGGACCGAGAGCGCCAAAAAGAATACCTACTCCAAGCCAGGACTCCCAGACCAGCATCATCAGCCACGAGTCCGTAGGACCTTTAGGTGTGGAAGAATTCTAAGTCATCCTGCATCTTCGTCTCGAGGTCCTCAATCGTACCCTTCAGCTGGGCTTTTCCGAAAATCTTATCGGACTCGCGGCCTTGGCAGTATCGTTCGAAGATGTCTTGACTATTAGAAAACAAAAGTCAGCTTGACGGCTACCAGATAGTAGATAGCATCACGAAGATTCGGATTCGGTCGGAACAGACTTACGTATGCTGATACCAAGTCTTCTTCTCAAACTCCTTCCCACCTCTGTAACTCGCCGCTTCGATCTGCATTCCCATCTTCTCAAACTTCACCCGACCAACACTCCCAAACGAAGTGACCAAGCTCTTCTCGATCGCTGACACGTCTCTCTTAATAATGTGGTCCACCTTAATGGTCAAGACGGCAAGGTTGAGCTCACGCATGCTATCTTGAAGCAAGACACGCCAGAAGTGCTGTTGAGGGGTCAGTAGCGGGTTGAACAATTCGAAGACTTGGTTTGGCGTGAAGAATCGTAAGACATGAATGAGCGCATATCGGCCAAAGGAGAAGGAGAGCTTGCGAAGCTCGCTGCGGTTGATGGGTCCGATTTGACGCAGGAACGTGGTGAGGTGTTGCGTTCCGAAGTGGAAGGTTGTCGTGCGGAAGAACCATGGGGTGATGTGGCAGTTGATGGAACGGGAGAGGGTCAGGAGTTTGGCGATAGAGACTGTATAGTGAATTAGTCGTAGATCAATATCGTGTCTAGAGAAAAAGAAAGCAGGGATATAACGATTCGTGACATGTCCTAGTGATAAACCATAGGGAAAGATACTCGGAAGACGCGTGCTGTGACTGCAACTTGATCTGACACGGAGAATGACTTACCATCATCTACCGGGCGCCCTACTGCTCTGCTTTGACGAGAACTGTGTGGCTTCACCTCCTCCCCATTTCCCATCGCGAGCTCAAATATCCATTGTTGCAGCTCGATAGGTAGTAATGTGAATTTGTTAAACAGCGGACGCACAGTAACAGGGAATTCATCGGACGCAAGGCGTGGTCGTCTTCGTGTAACAGAACCACAGCGGTTCCGATTCTGAGCTCGCGTCTGATATTTCCGATGCTGTCGTAGAAACCAAGTTCGCTCGTCCTCCCATCCACTCCCGCAGCGGATTGTCATGCGGTATTTGAATTGATTTAGTAGAGGGAAAAGGCGGACCACTATAATGATGGGCGCTGTCTCACCGTGAGGTAGGAGCTCGCATATAACTGGTTCCCCCAGGGCGTAAGGCTTCTCAGAGCGCCAATCTGGCGCTTGGGGTGATATCTTCCCAGAAAAGCTGCAGTTCGCGCGCCGATTCAAGGACCAGATTTCCAGGTGCTCGATGAAGTTTCGCCGGGCTTGTTTGATGGACACCGGGCTTTCCGATTTTCTAGGCGATCCGGTTTTGGGCGACACCGTTCTGCTCCCTGGTGTTCGTAGCTTGCTCTTAGGAGTGACAGGGAGCCCACGACGTGAGATCGGGGTGCTTGGTGTAGTTGAGGCCCCCATGGTGACACGTGTGTCGGAGCCTAGAAATCAATGACGGCGGCAGGGCTCGTGAAGATGAAGTTCGAGATTTGAAGCCGGATGAAGTCGGATTACGAGGACTGAAAGTGAATCGTCGTAGCCGCCCGAACTTGCAAAGCTTGTGAATGCAGGAACAGCGTGAATGTGGCTCCTGCCTGATGATATTGAGCGGCGCCCGTATCATCGAGCGGTTTGAAGTCCGCAATGTGATAGAGAGCTAGAGATGTGACAAGTAGGCCAAAAGTGAGGTTGATGGCGGACGTCACGAAAGGCTGTTAACCGCTCGTCGTCATGCCTTCGCCAAACTTGGGCTCGCTGGCTGGGCGAAGCTGATGGCCGCTCAGAGAAGAGGGAAATTGCAGCAGCCGTCGGGTTTCTAGACTATGAAGCGGGCTCTACGGCGACCAGGAAGCTCCTTATGAAGCTCTAAGTTGCAGTGGAAGGGTGCTGGGTTTGGTAGGCAGCGCAGCGCTGCCTGGAGTGGCCCATGGTGTGACCGCGCTTATATTTTACGCTAGTCCATATTGGGTCTACTTACCAGTTATATTACCATCATTCACTCTGGAATTCAAAGCAAACTGATGGGCTCCCGCATAGGGCTACTAGAATAGTCTTTCAAGTGATGCGTCGATTTCTGCTGGTGAGGAGCTACGGTTGATTTTGCGCGACCTCAGCATATGCATTTGCGGCGAACTTGAACCACTTCAACGGAACTAAATAAAAGGGCATAAGGCGCAAGCGCATCTTGACCATCATAACACGTAGCTAAGATACTCCATAACAAGTCCGACTCATGAGTTTACGGGGCGAAGAGTAGCTAGAGGTTTCGACCTCCAACGTCTCGAACACCAAGCAAAGCACCTTCTTTCTCGCTACTTACCAAAAACACAACATAATTGGTTCAAATTCTATTACACGTGATATGACATTACCATGCTCTAAGTCACTGAGGCCAGTGTCTCTTCTCTTAAGCGAAGACTTGCCGTATATAAATGCCTTGAGGTGAAGGTGGCTTAAAGCTTCGCCTCGATATGGTCCAGTACCTTCGATCTCTCAAACGGCCCGTCGTATATCTGGGACTCTAAGGCCTTCGTATTTACCTGTATAGTCGTTAGCTAGGAGCTCATCTTAGAGGGGCTGTGATGAAGGTAGTAGTGATGGTGGACTTACATGAGCCATACCTAGATTATGGACCTTCTCGACACCTAGTAGCCTCATCGCCGTCCCCGTCTCTTCCGTAAGGACTACAAACACATCAGCGGACTATTAACAGTGCTATCATTCGGAAAACTTACTTTGAAGTGTCCTTTCCACGCCTTCCTGGCCTCCAGCACCCAACCCCCATAACGCCGCTCTTCCTATACCTACACCCTTAGCGCCCAAAGCGAGCGCTTTCACGACATCGGTCCCTCGCTTAACACCTCCGTCGACGAGAACGTCCAACTTCCCGAAGACCTCAGGACAATGTTTCCGGATCTCTAAAAGCGTATGCACAGCCGGGGGTGCCGTGTCCAGCGCTCTACCGCCATGGTTCGAGAGCAGGATTCCCCGCACGCGAGGTGCAAACGTCGACGCAATGAACGCATCCTCATGAGTCTGAATACCTTTGAGTACAATCGGCAAGTGCGTCCGGCGCGCTAGCCATCTCAGCGTTTTCCTCCACGTGAGTGTAGAGCTAGTGCCCCAGTACTGCTCCTGCCTAAAACCATTGACCACCGGGGCTTCCTGATACTTGAACCGCTCGTCGATTTCGCGTTTTCCAGGGAATGGGGCATCAAGAGTCAGCACGATGAACTTGATAGACTTGAGGTTGCTGATACGGGCGATATTAGCCTCGTTCTTCGCGTTATCTTTCTCCACGTAAAGCTGCCAGCCGAAGACTTGGTCGTCTGGTGCATCGCGGACGATGTCCTCGGGGGTGAGTGACGCGTTTTGGGATATGATGTACAGAGCTCCGAGCTTTGCACACGCGGCTGCGATTCCTCTTTCACCTGACGGGTGGGCGAGACGTGCTGCAGCTGCCGGTGAGACGAACACAGGAACTTTGAGGCGATTTCCGAGGATTTGCGTGCTCATATCGCATCTTGAACAGTCTACGAACACCCTGGGGCGGAGTAAGATGGAGCGGTAGGCTTGAGTGTTGAGTGCTTTGGTGAGCTGGTCATCGCTTGCCCCATAGTAGTAGGCCCATGACTTTGGCTTGATCTTCTTCGTCGCGAGTTCCTCGATTTCGTCAAGGTTCAGTAAAGAGTCCAGAGAAGGTGGTGCGTCCTCCTCTAGCGTGATGGGTAGTGTCTCTTTGGTGATTTGGGTTGGTTCAATGATGATTGGCCCGAGCAGCGCTTCAGGTTTGAGGCTATCCAAAGTCCCAGGGGGGTGTATCGGATCGTAATCTTCCGTAGCGTCACGCCCAGCGAGCCTCAGAATCGCTTGAGAGCCTCCTGGATGGGTTGGCAGAAGCTCCGTCACCTTGATATCGTCAGTCGTTGTATCGAACTTGAGAAATGCGGAATGGGTTGGAAGTAGGTATCGTACGTCGTACACATTACCATAGAGGATGACCCAACAGCTTTCCGGGGTATTGTGCTTGCTGACTGCTTGAATATCAGCTACTGCAAAAACTGAAGAAGCATTATTACCTTCCGCTGGAGCGATTGGCTTCAGCTCCACCCGCTCAGACCCGGCCATGATGAAAACTGCGAATCGAACCGGTAGCTCATGGCGATGGAAAGAGTTATCACGCGAGATGAAGTCGTTAAGTAAGGTCCATGTCCATCGGCTCACTGTGCCAATCACAGTGTCGCGGTGTTTAAGTCGGCCTTTGATCGCGGCAACAGTGGCGGACCGATAGAAAATGCGGAGTACCCCGGAATGGTGCTTGCCAAGAAGCACTAGGACGGAATGACTCGCAATAGTGCACGGAGGCAGACCAAATGGAAGATGTTGAATCAGTACAGTGCCTCGGCTTCGAATGTTTTTTCAATGGTCACGCTGCTCAAAGTCCGGGCTTCATCCGGCAAGCCCTTGAAGTAGATTCGAGGAGCAAGGGACTATTCACTTAGAACAAGGCGTGGTTGATAATCTCGCAGGCCTTGACCACTACTCGAAATCCCCATGGATTTAGCAGCTAGCAAGACACCTGTGTGTAGTCAGTATGATGACTGTGCGGTATAGAGATTGGACTTGTATTGCTCCCTAGCAAGTGGCTTGTTTTCCGTTGAGAAGACAAGAGTTGGAGGATGTAGCTGAAAAGTGCGAAGAGGACTTCGTGCTAGCGCCAAGGAGTATAGTGATGGACTGGATATGTAGCTTCCCAAGTTGCCGGGTGTGCAATCCGGGGATCGAGATACCAGATTGACAGGACCAGGTCGATTCTTGCAAAGCCCGACCAGATATCCGGAACGCAACCTGGGAAGGACGGATCCCTGAATCATGTTAACCCGCTCTCTCCTGTTCTTCCCCGCCTCACTCGGGCCTTTTATAATGGCGGCGTTTGACAATTCCATCACAGGATCGATCGGCATTTGACGGCGACTGGGTTCCCCAGATTCAAAAGCTGCATGAAGACCACTTTAAATCATGAGTGACCATCCGTTCCCGTCATTCGATTGCCTTTCCCTAGATTATCATGGTGTCCAGTACAGCAGATGTCCCACCTCGTGGCGCCGCCACACCAGAGAACGAATACCGTGAGGCGACTCTGAAGCAAGACGTGGTGCTCGAAACGGACGAAAAACACCCTTCTCCGCTGAAGCTCACCTTTGAAGAGATCATTGGCGATAACAGACCTAATCCACGGGGTTTCGGTTATCTCAAGCTTTATGCGTTTTGTTCTTTGATCTTCTTGTGTTCCACCATGAATGGTACGTCCTTTTCGAGTGTCCTAAGTAAGTTCGATACTAATAGATTTTAAGGATTCGATACCTCCTTAATGGGCTCAATTAATGCCTTACCGAACTACACGAAGTACTACAATCTTCCTACCAAGGGCAACGCAAGCACGGGCATAGTCTTTGCCATCTTTCAAGTTGGCCAGATGGCTGGTGCTCTTTTCATCTGGATGACAGACTGGCGTGGCCGCCGACAACACATATTCTTGGGTTGCCTAGGTGTAGTTGTTGGTACTATCGTAACCGCTACTGCAAAGACCTTGCCAGTTTTCATCGGCGGGAGGTTTTTATTGTCGTTCTTCGCAACTTGGGCCCATACGGCATCGCCGCTGTACCTAGTTGAGATGTCTCCGCCACTGTATCGAGGCTCGGTTGCTGGCTTGTACAACACTCTCTACTACTTCGTAAGTCGGATCTCAGTTTCGTAGTCGCATATACTCACCTCATATCGTAGGGATCCATTATCGCTACATCCGCAGTTTACGGCGCGCATTTGCACCTCAAAGACAATGGCAACCTAGATTGGCGTCTTCCCTTGTGGTTGCAGATGGTATGCCCGGCATGTGTCTGCATCGGAGTCTGGTTCCTCCCCGAATCGCCTCGCTGGCTGATTGCCAAAGACCGAAACGAGCAAGCGAGAGCCATCATCGTCAAGTATCACGCCAACGGCGATGCCAGCCATCCTATTGTTGACCTAGAGATGTTCGAGATGACCGAGTCGCTGCGCAACGAAGGCATCACTCACTGGCGCAACTTCTTTGACCTTAGCGTGCTCACAAAGACACGCTCCCGACGGTATAGGCTGATGTTGAACATTGCCTTCAGTTGGTTTGGCCAATTCTCGGGCAACAACGTTATTTCGTATTATCTGCCCACCATGCTCACGAATGTCGGCATCAAGGACACAAATATGAAGCTACTGCTCAACATCATATATGCATTGACGGGATGGATTGCGGCAACCCTTGGTTCCCAATTCCATGATATTGTCGGCCGTCGAAAAATGTTCCTAGGATCCACAGCCGGGTTGGTCATCTGCTTGTCCATCATGGCTGGTACTTCGTCGAGTTTCGTCAATACCCAAAACCAAACAAGCGCGTCGGCTAGCATTGCGTTCATCTTCATTTTCGGCGTCATCTTCGCGTTTGCGTTCACCAGGTGAGTCGTCGACAATAAGTCCGGCGAGTTCTTCGTATCGAGGCTGATTTGTTCTGAAAGCATGCAACCGATCTATCCGGCGGAGGTTATGAGCAACGACATGCGTGCCAAGGGCATGGGCGTGTTCAAGTTGACCGCTGGAACGGCTGGATTCGTCAACACCTTCGCAGCTCCTGTGGCATTGAGCAACGTAAGCCGTCTTCCTGCTAGCAGTTGGACAAAATAGGAGTGCTAATGTTGCAAATAGATTGGATACTGGTTTTACGTTTTCTTCGCGGGTTGGGACGTCCTAGAATTCGCCTTTGTTTACTTCTTCTTCGTTGAAACAAAGGGAAGGACTTTGGAAGAGCTTGACGCCGTGTTTGAAGCGAAGAATCCACGGAAGGCGAGCACCCAAACTAGGGCTCTGCTATCAGAGGAAGACGCCAACTGAATGGCACCAGAACGAGTGAGAGTAAACGGAAGGGAGATTTATGGCACAAGCTACAATGCCTCGTCATAGAAATCCGTACACTCGGTTACCGCTGCATGAGGAGCCTCATAGTATTTTCAGCATTCCAAGTGAGAAAGAAACTCGGCGTTTTGGACCAATGGTAAACTCGCGAGGCTACCCCAGACAGCGTCGTCAGGGTGTTCGCAGATTGGAATATTCTATCCGCTGCCCTCGGTTTCTATAGACAGTGACAGGAAAGTGTACGGATATCTATGGCAAGGCACTGTAGTTGTTCAGCTTCGAGCTGTTAAAATTCTCTAGCATCTTCGACGGAGACAAGAGATAGGAAACACAAGTCTGTAAAAGTTTGAATGAGTCAAAAAAGTTTAAAAGCGAGTCTGCAAGAGTTTGAAATTTAACTTCCGAGGCTGCGAAATGGTGAGCACGTGACTAGTTTGAATGAGTCTGCAAAAGTTTGAATCCTGGTTCACCGTGGCTGCGAAATGGAGAGCACGTGGCTCCCCCTCCGAACCATGGACCCCTCCCTTAACTCACCACCGCTGGCTGGCGCAAGAGCCACAACACCGTCCCATACCGCAACCATTTCGACAAGTATTAAGAAATCGTAGAAAGCAGAGGACATGGTCGCCTTAGTTGGGGATGTAATGGCCTAAAAAGGAGTGAAAGACAAAATAAAGCGTACAAAGAAACAGAGCATCAGAAGGGCTATGTATGTAGAAAAGGGTCCCAAAATCGGTAACAAAAAGCCACGGTCGGGGGAGCTTAGTCTATTACTACTGTACAATCACCCTTTCAGGTGCTCTTACCCAGTGAAAAGCAACTGAATCAAGCTGTGATCGCGTGCGATGAAGTCACAGAGGATGTAGAGAGAGAACGTCGGATATGTGTTTACCTAGAAGCGTCGACAATATCATACATACCGATTTATCCACTAAAGACTGTTCTCCAGCTAGACCATAGACAGTCAATGAAGCAGCCCTCTCTCCACTTGGCCAAACTGGTATTCATGCAACGATATTCTGAGCCTCCTAGCATGCGAACACCCTTCATGCCCTACCAATCCAATTCTACCATCAAGCTCTCAAGGCTTCCAACCTCTTTTATACACGTACCAGTATCATACACACTTCTCCTCCGTTCCCCCCCCCCTCCCCTATTCCTCCAACGCCGCCTCCTCCATCGCCTCAACCGCCCTCTCCAACTCCCTAATCCGCCCGCCCACCCTCCGCCTCACCTCCTCCGCCACCCCCCGATCCTCCCCCTCCACCACCGTCTTATACGCAGCCTGCAGCTTCTCCAGCTCCTCCCTCGCCGCCGCCCGGTCGTCCTCCGCGTAGACCGTTTTCTTGACGGTTTCTTCGGCCGCGATTTCAAATTCGTCGCGCGCCGTGCCGTAGCTATGGTGTGTGTGTGTTAGTGGAGGTAGGGGGGTTGGGAGAGGGCGGGGAGAGGGGGGCCGGACAGGTCTGTGATTTCTTCCATTTTCTGGTCGACGAGGGCGGGGTCGAAGTCTGCGCGGCGGCCGGGGGTTGTGGCGAAGAGGCGGCGGGGAGCGGGGCGAGATGATGTGTGCTCTATGCGAGTGGGAGGGTGGAGGTGGGTTGGCGGCTGTGATGGGAGGGGTTGGGATGGGATGCGGAGGGCTCGGAGGTGCTGGGTGGAGGAGAGGCAGCGGCGGGGGAGGGTGCGGGAGAGCATTGTGGCGGGTTGGAAGAAGTGCAATTGGGGTGGTATGAGTTAGGAAACCTTTGCAAAAGAGAATTGATGAGTGTGAGTCGAGATGGCAGAGCTCTGAGCCGTGACGATGTCATAAAGTTTGATGAAGGCGGAAAAAGGCGGCAGTATTCTAGACAGTCCCGTCCAATCGGGGATAACCGTCTAGAAGGATTTAAGCGTATGAAGTCACTAACACAATGGAGCATAGATAAATGTAAATCCAATTCTATTATTCGTAGTCATACTATCGTATCCATGCCAACCCAAAAGCGTAACAAAGGTGCGGGGAGATTAACCAAACCCTCTCAACCCAGCCAAAGCCCTAAAAAACCCTAGATGAAATATCCCAAACCCGGAGATGTAAAGACCTCTTACAAGATGGAATGAAGGAAAGAAGACTAGAGACCCGCCGTGGCTGTGTGCCATGCATCTATATCCATACGCCGTAATGGTGCCCGACCCAGGCAAGATGAACGAGCAAGGATAGTCAGAGCAGGTGCCTCTTTTGGAGTTGTTGTCACTGACTCTTCCTTGTCCGACATCAAGCCGAAAAGAGAAGATTGTGCCGAAGCGTGCCATCATATCGTTTCGACATCCCAAAGAGTGTAAAGTGCAGTAACCAAACTCCTCTACTGGTAGTAGCCAGAGTTGCTAGCCGAGGAGCTGGTTGTGGAGTCGCTGGTTTGTCCACCTCCATTGTGGACGACTACCGGGGTCGGTTTGCTGCCATAGCCACGATTCGACCGTGAAGAAGTGGCAGAATTGGCGTAGATTGAGTTCGAGGTAGACGAGTAGGCTACAGTAGAACTCCCGTTAGTCTGAGCTATGTTGGGCCTTGAGGCAGCTCGTGGTGGTGGCTTACAGGTCGAGCGAGGTGCGTAGGCAGGTGCCTTTGGCTTGGAGTAGGAGTAGTTGGAAGACATTGCGTCTGCGGCTGAGATTTCAGGGTAATTGCGGCGTTTGAAGGCGCAGGAAGGCTGTAGATTCGGCGCGTTGATTTGTTGTCTTTGAGAAGCGCAAGCGGCGAAGTATAGGCTTCTGAGTATTTGGTATGGCACGGGACGAATAATGGTCAGGTTGAAGCGCAAGACGTGAATAGATAGCTGGATATTGCAATGACTCTTGACAGTATGATTCAGTGAAGGAAGAAAGAATGACGGCCATAGCCATTGTGACCTTTATACTCTAGGCAGATTCCTGAGGCCGCTCACCCAGGCGTTGACTGTTCGGCCAGCTCCTATGGACAATGTAGGTGCCTGAGCGTGTGACTGCTTGGAGTCATTGAGGCGGTGCCGGCGGCCCCAGGCCGGTGAAGCTCTGAGGCAGAATCCATAGCTACCGGCCGCGAACGCGCAAGCGCGCAGACGCGTAGAGTCATCAGGGAGAAACAGGACGTCGAAGCGGCAAGAAGAGACCCTTCACGCGTTCGAGAAGCGGCGACAGGTTTCCAAGAAGAGAGGGTCTGACAGAATGACAATGCGTATGACTGGGACCTGCTGCAAGGCACACAACGCGGGCCAGTGAGCAGCAGGCGATTGAAAGCTTGTCTGCACTGGCGCAGGCTGTAGCAATGGGACAGTGACTGGACTGCTGGGGGAAGAGTAGCCACGCCTCCTCGATCAGGCAGAGTGCGGGGGCTGAGCAGGTTGGCGCCTGGTGCCTCGCGCGGTTACTGCAAAGAGGCCACCGGCCCTGCGGTCAGTGGGCCACACGCTGCGAAGAGTGGAGAGGGCGGGCAGATGATGAAACAAAGGGGAGAGAGAACTGCGTGGCCGTGATGGAAACAGAAATGGGCGAGGAGGTTGGGGAAGGGCGGAAGACTGAGGCCGAACGCGAGATGGAGCCCGAACCCTTGGCTATCCAGGCCAGGCAGAAGGCACGACTTCCAGGCATCTCCAAATCCCCATCTCATTACCGAAGCTACCCGCAGCAGCAAGTTCGCCACCCGCTGAGCAATCTTCGCTGTAATCGTAGAGTCCAGGAGTATCGTCGTGACCGGTGAGATCTGTTGTGAGTGTTGTCGTAGCTGAGATGCCCCTCAATTCGGCTTGCACGTGATGCATACGCCCAATTGCATTTCCAGGGAGCAGATGAACAGAATTGAGGACCTAGAGAGCGGAAGATGTTTTTTCTACAGCTATCGTGGAACAAAATAAGGTTCAGGGGTTCACGGGAAGGTCCAGAGCGAACCCCTCCACGCACATAGCACGTGATGTCTCAATGAGGGGAAGCAGTCTGTCAGGTACAGAGTCTATCAGGTACAACAGTGCAAGGCTGTGTTGAAATGCAAGGCTTAGTGCTGCCTTTTCGACACTGCGATTGATTCGTCACAGCTTTTGCTGCATATAGTCCAATATTGTCCAATACCAAAACGCCAACCGAAAATAAGAAGCTCCAGCTCAAGAAATAATCCTCTATTGGTCCATTTCCTCTCGGAGAATCTTGACCTGCTTCTTGATCTCCTTCCAGAGCACCAAGTCATCCAATCCAGGGTCATCCCTCACAAGCGTATAGCTAGACATCCTCGAAGTAACAACACTCATAGCCTCAGGCCCAGCATACATGTCGATATTAGGCGCACCCTGTGACACCGCAATAGCCAGCAGCGCCGCTACGAAAGCCTCTTGCATATACGCGAAACTAAATTTGTCCGTGATCTTAGCAATTGCAGTGCAAAGCTTGTCCGGGAAATCAAGATCGTCGTTGTCGGAAAGCTTGCCTTGCCAGTAGTGGCAGTACGCGATGCGCTCCTCTAAGCTTGGGTCTGGAAAGTAGTACTTGCGGTCGAAGCGGCTAGGACGCTTTGAAATTCCGGGGTCCAGACGGTCGAGGTGGTTGGTGCTGCCGACCATCAGGATACCATCGTTGCTTCGCAGGCCGTCAACTTCGTTTAGGAAGTAAGAGCGCACGCTGTCGGAGACGATGCTGTCAAGGTCTTCGAAGACGAGGTAGCAGGGGGCTTCCCGGCGAGCCTTACTGAAGATTTGGCCTAGGGAGTACTCTGGGCCAGCAAACTGCGTCATGTCAGCTGCTAAATCAGAAGGATATGCTTTGTCGAGGGAAACTTACACTACTAAGAGTCCGAACATAAAGAGTCGGCACAGCTTCCTTTCGCTTATACAACGCATGCATCATCGCTTTGATCGAAATCGTCTTCCCATTCCCCGGCGGCCCGTAATAGATAATCCCCCTCTTCCATGGCACCTTCAACCTCTTATACGTCTCCCGCGAATCAAAGAAATTCTCCACATCATCAATGATCGCCTTCTTCATGCCTTCCTCCAATATCACATCCTCCCACTTCGAATGCTGCACGCTCTGCCACAGCTCCCCGCTCTTCTGCCAATACCCCCCATCGAAAACCCAGACCTCGTTATGTAGTTCCTGGCCGTACTTTGTCGCCGCAATAATCAATTCGTCTGCCGGCCGCTCCTCTTTCGTGAGGATGTAGTTGTTTGTGATTTGTGGGTATGCGCTAGACCCATCACGTCCGTTTGCGACGTAAAGCAGGAACTCGTGGCCGTTGTATTTGTAGACGTATTTGCCGAAGAGGACGAAGTCGGCTAGCACGCCGGCTCCGTGGTCTAGACGGCGTGCCGGGGGTATGTACTGGCGCCATTTTATAGGTGCGTAGACAGGATCGGCGGTGTCCTCGATAGGGATAGCAGAGGCGTGGCCGGCATCTGCGAAGGCGAGGAGGTTGCAGGAGCCTTGTGGGGAGACGACAACGTTGAGCTCCGGATACTGTTTGTGAGGTGTTTGTTGGTACTTGTTGATTGATGAGAAAAAGGGCACAGCTTCAGGACAACGTACCTGCTTCCGGAGAGCTTCCACGATGACAGTGTCGGTACTGATACGCTGGCCACTGGAGTGGTGGAAGTATTCCCTTCCCGTCTCGTCGTGAGCGGGCCGGATTGCGATGCTCTGGGATCCGGTCATGGCGGAGCTTGAACGGTGGTGGTTTGAGGAGGTGTTGAAGCCTGCGAATACAGGATGTCTGCTGGAGGTTGATGGGGAGACTGATGTGGAAGGTTTCAGAGGTTTCAAGTGATTTGGAGAGACCTTGAAGCTCGTAGGTAAGCTCGTGTTGACCCGTCCTCGAGCTTCCAAGGGAGAGCTCCAAGATCGTCATCATAGTGGCGGAGCAGTCGGGGGTGGGGCGGAGGATTCGCCGTTGTTGATCACAAACCTGCAAGTCAACAACATCTTGCCATCAAAGAGGTCTATCACTGAGAATTAGAACGCACGACGCTATACAGCATCTCAAAGTAGGTACTGTTGTTTCCACGCAAAAAGGTACCCCATATAATCTTCCACCAAGCCCCTGTCCGGAGTCACCACGAAGAAGGGAATCCCATGCGTGCCCTCTCCGCTGTGGGGGAACGCCACGTTCCCTCACGACTCCTAAACCGCCTAAAACATCCTGCGGACGAGTGGAGAAATTCATATCATGCCATTCCAAGTCTTCTCGTGGCAGTATGCAACGCCCACATGGCAAACGCGTGTCAGTTCGCAGTGGCTTGCATGACCTGAGAATGGAACGATTGACCTTTTGCAACGTCGCTCCGCGGCCGCTGCAGGACCTCAATCCTGCAACCGTATTCTGCACCGTTGTTCGCCGAAAATCTGGTGGTTAGGTATGGTGTTCTGTTGTCTGCTCCAGCCATTCGTCCTAACTATGTCCGCGTCCGAGGTTGTTGACAGTTTCTCCGTGCATCCGGAGTCTCTGTGTTTCTGCGGGATGAGGCTTTTCGTATCATCTTAGCGAGTGCGCGAGGCGTAGCTAAGACTTGAGACTGAAGATTGGCGTCGGTGTATCCGGTTGCACCTTTGTCGCACTTTGCCCGAATCTCTATTCCTCACGTCAGATTCGTGGTTCGTCGTCGTTCGAATGCAGCTATAATGAGCTCTTAGTGTTAGTTTGATGGGAAAACGTGCTGTAAACTTCATACATTGCTACAGTACTAGGAGCGTAAGTTGATCTCAGATGCCAGGTGTTCGTTGTGGAGTTACGTTAGTCGCGTTTCGAAAGATGACCCCTTGACTGCATCAGCTAATAGTCCAGCGTCCAGCATGCAGGAGCGAATCGATTCCCACGTATGAGATTAGCCCCAGAAAACTAGTTCGAGGTCGTGGCTCTCGTTCTCGTGGTACTACTCCGTGCGTGTTGGATCAAATGTATTTAGCAGAGAAAAGAGCTGAAAGTTGCAGCAAATAGGTCCTGGGGGTGGGGATGCCGTGCTCTATTGTATGTCGTGCTCTATTGAGCAGCACGTAGCATCTGAGAGTAAGACCTAAGATGGAAGCATCCATCCCGCAGGTAGGGATGCTGAGAGCAATAATATTTTGAAACTGCGCCGTCGGAGGGAATGGCCCGTACCGAATCTGGGGTTAGCTCAAATACCTGGATGAAGTATTATTTCGTCTACCAGTCGACCCAAGACATGGAGCTCTTCGCGAAGAGGGCTGCTGGGGGATTGCAGTAGTAGCTATTTTCGAAGAGACGCATCTCGTCACTGAAGCATGTTGTCGTCGTGATACGATGATGAAGTAACTGGACGAAAGTCTCTATATATAGAGCTGGAACGCAGTGCGAACGTTTACAGTCGATAGTTCTTTGTCAACTGGAGCCGAGAATGCTGGTAAAGTAGCGACTTGAGTAAATAATCGCATATGAGTCCTGGCTCGTGCGCAAAGAGGAGTGACGCTTCTCCCGCAGAATTTGGAAGGTAGAGTTAAGTGACCCTATCGAGCCTCTAATCCATGCGCGTTAATGGAGTTCTGACAGGCCGGCCGTTGAGAACTGAAAGTATGTAATACAAGGGGTCTCGTGCCGCAATAAGCTGCTTAAATTGTCCCGCCATTGAGAAGCTAGGGACACCAGGGACATGGCATGGGTTCGGGAGAAGCGAGTATGGACCATAGCATGAAGGACCAGATTGGCGGGCTCTGAACCTTGGAACCGTTTTTCGGTTCCTCTACTTTTAAGGTACAAAAAAATACTTCCATGCGGCCGCGTCGTGGACACCGCCTATTTTGCGCTTCCGGCGCGATAAATGATTCAGGAAGAGATCCAATACGGCTCCACTTTATTATCACGAAAAAGATCGTGATTTCTAACGCGAGGACAAACTCGGGAAACTGAGGCTCTCGGCGGCCTTGGTTAACCTCCACGAAGCGTGCAGGTGGTGCGTCGGAAGCCGAGATAGATTTCTCTCCTCAGGTAGTGCCATCGACGCGGCTTTGTAGCCTCCCGCTGGACCGAGTCCACCAGATAGGCGGAGTGAGATCTCAGGTGATTCTCGCGACACCCGGTGTTGGAGGCGTCAAGGTGGGTTCTAGGGCTGGCGTGCTGGAGCCGCGATATGGGCCCACGCTTGCTCCACGGTCGTGACGACTCTCCCTCTTCACGTCCTAACTTCAATAGAAAGAAATTCAAGCTGAAGTTTCGACAGTGTTTGCCCGAGCCAAATCATCGAGAAATCAAAAGTCCAGAGCCAGTCACGGGGTGTAGCGATGCCGCCACCGGGAGCTTCCGAGCCATCTCGTCTCATCGAACCAAGCTTCAGCCATCTCGGCGATGATGCCACAACCATCCCGGGCCGGGCAAATCAAAAGGTTACGATGCCGAGGATTTCTGGACAGGCCATCGTGGCTGACGCTGGCATGGGCTCGGCGCCTAGGTCCAGGAGCAGCATCGCATGCGCAGGATGGCCAGAGGAGTGTGCTTCGAGAAAATTGCGGCACGGCGAGGAGACGGCGTCTTCTATTTGAAATCCTACGAACACCAGAACACCAGCACACCAGGCACTCTATGCGTCACGGCCCGGTGATGCAGCCGGGAAGCACGGCTTTCTACACTGCTCGACCGTGTGGCCCTTGGGCCCAAAGCGGCCTCGGAGGAGCTCTGCATTTGGCACTCCACAGCAGCGCTCACGGGACCTGCGGGCGGCAGTTGGCAGCTTCAGTCACGACTCGAGCCCGTCCCGCTCGTCCTGGCGATGACGAGCATGGGGTGACGGCACAGACGATCGGGTCTGTCGCCCGTTGGAGGGCTGCGAGGGCTGGCAGCGCCTCTGCTCTTCTTCTGGGGACTCGCTTTGTGCCGACGTGCAGCGGTGGTCCCACGCCTCGACAGCCATGGCCTGCATGCCTCTTAGTGGCTGATCACCCACCGACGGCTGCGATGCTACGGCCGGGGGCGTCTTTGTTGACGCCTCTTGTGCCGGAACCTGCGGAGGGATGGGCATCTCGCTGCCCATGGCGGGCGCGGAAGGGTCTAATTGCCAGCCCTTGGCTTGCATTCCCAGACCCATGATGTTCTCCACGGGGCTTGTCTTCGTCTAGAAGGCTGATGATCCGATAGTGGAGCTCCCGGACTGCCAGGCACTATATTTGACCCAGTCTTCCCCCATATTGCCCGGACCGCTTTCAGTTCACCCCAGATTCTGATTTCAAACAGTGTGGAGACTCTCCACTCGTGTTCCTCTTTCTTGCCGGCTGCACGATACTCATTTCTTCCACCCTCTGTCCACTTTACGCTTCCTACCCATCCAACAAAGACAGTGAATAGTAATGGCGACCGCACAGGAGCACCAGGTATGTCACCGTTACTGCCGTTGCCCCAAACCCTCGTCCATTTTCTCCTTCGCGGTTACATTCGGGCTGACGCGTGACAGAATGCCGCTGCGGTAGGTGGAGAGACACCATACAGTAAGGAGACCAACGGGACCAGCGCCATTGACCACGGCGCGACAACAAAACAGAGAGCACCCTACGATTATGGTACGCATTCCTCGACGTTCAATTCTTAGACAAACTTCGACTTCTTGCATCGTACTCATGTTCATGCCAATCACAGGCGGCAACCCACTGGCACACGTTCGCACGAACGATTCTCAGCTTCGCATGCCAGCGTTCGGTGGAGAATTCCAGCCCGGTCTATACAGGTAAGATGAATTTGAATGTGAATACCAATATAAACGATTCTAAGATTCTCGTAGGCCACCAAACAGGAAGTTTGGTAACCCAGCGCCATTGGGTCTTTCAGCGTTCGCCTTGACCACCTTCGTGCTCTCGCTCATTAATATGGGCACGCGCAACATCGGGGAGCCCAACATCGTTGTTGCGATCGCCTTTGGTTATGGTGGTCTTGTCCAACTTCTCGCTGGCATGTGGTAAGTCCCAATGCGCCAGCTCCCGTATGATCCCAAACTCACCATCCCAGGGAAATGGCCGTCGGAAACACCTTCGGTGCCACCGCTCTCTCGTCCTACGGCGGCTTTTGGCTCTCGTTCGCCATTATCCTAACCCCCGGTGGCTTCCAAATCGAGTCTACTCTCGAAGCCAAGGGCCCAGCACCCTTCTTCAACTCCTTCGGCCTCTACCTTATGGGCTGGTTCATCTTCACCTTCATCCTGCTCATCTGCACCCTGAAGTCCACCGTCGCCTTCTTCAGTCTCTTCTTCACCCTCGACCTCGCCTTCCTCCTGCTCGGTATCGGCTACCTCCAGCACGGCGCGGCTGGGCCCAACACCGGCTGCATCAAGGCCGGCGGTGTCTTTGGCATCCTCGCCGCCTTCCTTGCGTGGTACAACGCGCTCGCCGGTATCGCGGATAGCTCCAACAGGTATGTTTCCGCCCCACTTTCTCCACCGACCCCGGTTCATGTTTTTCCCTCGTGCATACTGCAACACTATAAGATGCATACTGCAATACTATATCATGCATTACCCCGACACTACACACCCGTACACACCCGTAAACACCCTTAACTAATTCCTTCCTCCCAGCTTCTTCGTCATCCCCGTCGCCCACTTCCCCTGGAGCGACACCGGCCGCGAGCGCCGCAGCAAGGTCGACAACTCGAACGCGCGCGATGCCGCTCACGTCGCATGAAACTGTTACTTGCTCTGCGCACGCGCAAATCATCCAATTTTTTAAAAAATACCCCCATCGTTCTTATTCCTCGTCATTCAGTTTTATTCGTGCGCTAGTGAAGCTGTACCAGCCGGGAGGGAGGGTAAAGGTTGTTGTAATTGGATAAACTATGAGGTGGAGTGGAGTTCGGTTTGCGCGCGATCGGCGGGCGTGGCTTCGGCAGCCCGCTTGCCAGAAGATTGCGGGGAAGGGTGATGGGGGTTGGGGGAGGTTCCACCAATCAGAGAGGCGGGGTTGCGCATTTCTAATAATTTGAGGTCTTTTGTTACGACATTTTGAGTGTTTGGATTGGGCGAGTGACTTTCGCGCTTCACGGCTTTGTTCATGCGCGGTGACTGTTTGCGTCATGCATGGTGATCAAGTGACTGCGTGGAGGTGCTCCGAGGAGCGTGCCGCCGCCCGGGCTGTTGATGATGGCGGGTGGCGCCTAGGAACTGCCGATGACGCAGCGAGGTTGCGATTGTGATGCCGCTTTGCAAGTGAGGAGTTTATGGGGGGATTCCAAATGCGGAGTGTGCGGAGGCTTGATGTGGAGGTGGGACCGCATTAAGCATTTAAGTGGTACGCTAGATTAGCGTCCGTAGACGAGAAGATGCATTTCCGTGGACGATCTTTGGATAAAGGTCACAAGGACCTGGGAAGCGAATTTGTAGTTGACGTCAGGGAGGCGCATGCAAATCTCGGGGCACTCGGGGTTGTAAGGGTTGGAGATGGGAGGCGTGAGTGTTCTCTTCTTACGACAGATGGACATTGTCAGAAGCAGAGGAAAGCTTTGTTCGTGTAAGGTACTCTACGTGGTGAATTTTTCCTACGCCACACGTGCAACGTATCCACATCCTGATCCGTGGCAGCGGTTTTGTGCGATTAATGGTGTGACTTCCTGGATTCCAGGGACATGGTTTGGGGGTTTTTGGTCAGGATTATCCTGTCAAGCCAGCTTTTGGTGGAAAGCTTATGGGCGTTAAGGTAGTTCTCTATGTTACACAGGCTCCTGATAATCGTCGCTCTTCCACGAGCTGTGGGGAGGCCTAAGTCACGTGATATCACATGATTTCCCCCTGTGCCTGAACAGCAAGCATTTGCAAAATAACGCACACCGAGATCTAGCCCCTAAGACTTGCCTACCAGCCAATTCGTAGTAGAGAAGTGCACAAAGAAGAGATAACTGCAATTCCTTCGCCACGGTTCGCTCGATTCACGAGTTGTTCACTTCCATCACTCATTCGTCCAAAAGAATAAAAGAACAACTACTTAAGTGACCTCCAAGTATTCTTCCTTTTCCTAGATTTCCACGTCTTTGCCCTCCCCATTTCGGTCACGTTCAAACATAGGAACTTTGTACATCTCCAATAGCGTCTGTGTCTTTCGTCGAATGAAGGTTACACATCCGGCATCTATTTACTATTTAAAGCAAAAGTAGACGTGGCAGATTGAATAAGGCTAGGGACTCAAGAACACGGCCGAGAAACGTATTAAATTAATTTATGTAAATACCCAAGGCTTACGCTGATTGCAGACGCGCAGTGCAGACTCAATTTATCTTTTGTTCCCTCTTAGACCAGGATGTTCCCAAGTAAGGCAACCATGCCCTCTGCCTTCTACAGTTTCTTAATACTTGCAGAGCTGGGAGATCGCGGTACCGTGGGACGGTGTTGTGGCTCTTGCGTTAGCTAGCGAGCTGTGATGATATAATGAGGGATCCATGGTTCGGAGGAGGTCCCCAGCGTTTTACTTCCGCACCAAAACTCGGATAAGCAGAATTCTCGCAGGCCTTTAAAGTGAATGGGGTATGCAGCTCCATCTAAAGACCTATCGCAGAGTGGTCCTGGATATGTTGCCTCTTGGGCTTGAAGCTATTGCAAGTTGCTAACTCAAGGAGCGGGTATGGCGAACGAGATTTAAAAAAAACTGGAATCAACATCGTGGCGCGGAGAAATGAGTGCAAACTATAAGGAAGCGAGCGCAAGATAGTTGACCCAAACGAGGGGGAAAATCGAACCTATCTTTACATAAGAGCAAACGGGAACTGTAGAGCTGCTCGAATCATCGACTCCCAGGTACTTCATAGATGTGACCGCGACGGGGAGTAGGTCTTAGTGATTTCGGAACAGATTTGCCCATGGAGTTTTAATTTGAATTAACCAAAATATACTTTACGCTCTCCTCCAAATCGAACCCACAAACTCATGGTACTAGTATGCAGACAAAAAGGAAAGGGTCAGGAGGACCTGACTGGTGCTTTTTAGAGCAACGTATGATATTCAGCAACTTTCCTGACATACCGCAGAAAATAAAAGAGTATACATAGCTGAAGAGAATCTGATCGATACTGATGCTTTGCGTATCTTTCCGCCTTGGCGGTTTGAGCTGGCGGGTACGTGCAGTCGTGGAGCCACCCGATTGCCCAATCCCTTTCTCGCTGCTCACAGACGTACCTTCCATCTCATCGTAACTATCAATAAGATTCAAGTTTGAAAGAGACCTACTACCGAAAAGAAAGAGTCAAGTAGAGCTTAGAAGGCTTGTTCTAGATTTTGAGTACTTTGAGCCAGATACAGCTCAGGCAGGAAACATGCAAGACCCCAAGCAATCCCTTAGAACTTATACACCTCGTCCTCCGGAAACGCCCCATCAGCTAAACACTCCCCACCCAACGGCCACTCCTCCTCAATCTTAACAATATGACACGGCGAATAGACAACGCGCCTATGCGCAATCTTCCACACCCCCTGCCTCTTCTCCACCCGGTCCAGATACCTCACACGTAGAAACATCTCGCGATCGTAGCCTGGCTCGTCTTTCGCTCCCATACGGCAAAGTGCAATGGCGTAAGTCTCGCACTCCGCGACATCGCCCTTGATCTCGACGATCTGAGTGCCGTTGTGATGCGTCCAGTGCATACCAGGACGGCCCTGGGCGCGCATGAAATCAATAAAACCCGTTGCAGAGCCGTTGTAGACGCCGTGGTCATCGATGCCGTCCGGGTGGTAGAGAGAGGCCAGAAGGGCGTGGTCCTGGCGGTCTAGGGCGCGTGGATAGGTGTTGAGGAGATTGCGGATCTTGGACTCGTCGATTAGGTGCTGGATTTCTGGGTCACGGTCCATGGCGGTAATATGATTGAGTTGATCTTTGGCGGTTTTTGAAAGTTACGAACAAATAAGAAGGCAAGATTCTCTTTCATTTCTTCTTGTTTTTTTTTCCTTTTATCATTTACAATCCTTTCGGCATTCGGAAGACTACCGGAATCGGGAGCGTGCTGCTCCGTTGCTATCATAAGCCATATAAACCATGAGGGGTTGTTGTTAGATCCAAGATGTTTGAGTAGAACCAACGTGCTTGATGGAGGTTGGTATGATGTCTTCGTCAGGAGGTTTGAAAAAGAGTGGAGTCGGAAGGATGAATCGCTATTTGGGGTAATAGTAGTTATACCGTATAACACTTAGTATTCTACGGCATGCTACATGCCGAACTAGCGCACTTCGACCTCCGACTTCGGCCAGAGCTCCGTGATATCAAGCTCCCTCCTCCAGCACGATTGACCATGTAGGATCCTCTTCGTTAACGATTAGAACTCAGCAGTGCGATATCGCTCGATAGATGCATATAAAGGAGGTAGATAGCACGCTTCGCACGATCAGAGCTCCATTCATTTCCATATACTAAATACAACTCTACTTAGCTGTCTCCTTAAAGCATATATACATAAGACTCCTAGGGAATACACAGCAAAAATGCCCAACAAACCCTCATATGTCCACGGTCACCACTCCTCCGTCCTCCGATCCCACTCCTGGCGAACCGTCGAGAACTCCTGTCCTCACCTACTCCCTCACCTTCGACTGGACGCGAAGATACTCGACGTAGGATGCGGGCCTGGCACCATCACCTGTGACCTCGCGCAACGCGTCCCACAAGGCAGCGTCATCGGGGTCGACATGTCCGCCGATGTGCTCAAGGGTGCCGTGAAGCTTGCTAAAGAGCAAGGTCTAAAGAATGTTAGCTTCACGACCGACAATATCTACGACCTGCAATACCTAGATGGGAGCTTCGATATCGTCCACGTGCATCAGGTGCTTCAGCATATCGACGATCCGGTCAGGGGAATGCGGGAGCTGCGCCGGGTCACGAAGGCTGGAGGACTGGTGGCGTGTCGAGATGTCGACTATTCTGCTACTCTATGGTACCCAGATATACCTAGCATGAAGGAGTGGTGCGATCTCTATCAGGATGTTGCCAAAAGCACAGGAGGTGACCCGAACATCGGACGTCGACTTCACGCCGTTGCGCGTGAGGCTGGCTTTCAGCGGGATCAGATCGATGCCAGTGTTGCAACATGGTGTTTCAGCACACAAGATGAGCTGGACTTCTGGTGCAACATGTGGGCTGACCGGACGCTGAACAGCGATTTCAAGGTAAAGGCCAAGCAGGGCGGGTTCGCAACCGACGAGGACTTGGAGAGATTCGCCCAAAGCTGGAGATCATTCGCTAAGGAAGAGGATGGCTGGTGTACGCTTATCCATGGGCAGCTGATCTGTCGAGTCTAGGTATGCGTGAAATAGTGCATACTATTACAATTCAAGCTTGTAAATCAGTTTCTTTCCGCTCACTTTCCCTTCCTTCATTTCTAGAATTCCCCTGAATACACCCTCCAACCCTCCATCCCTCACATCCATTCTATGAATCTTGATTTTGCCTTCCGCGATAAGCCCTTCGGCTACTTTACACCACATCTTCATGAACTCGAAATCCTCCTCACTGGCCTCGAACATCTCCCCCGCAATCTCAAACTCCCTGCCTAGTCCTGTGTATCCGAGATTGAAGCTCACCTCCACATCATCCCGAGGAGAAAAAGTATCACCGGTGATGGAGCCATACCAAAGCTTACTCCCATCCGGCTTGGCAGAATCCGAGAACGCTTCCGCACAGATCTTTGCTACCTCATCTCCACCAATGGTATCCCAAATGTCGTAGAGCTGGTTATCCGTATAGGCCCGAATCTCCGCGCCACATCCAGGCGCCCTGTAGTCAAAAGCCGCCGACGCACCAAGGCTCTTGACATAGTCAAAATTGCGCGGATGACACGTCGTAATCACCTCAAAGCCCGACCTATCACCAGCATCAGCAAACCTCCCCATGGAAACCTCCCGATTGCTCAAAACTCACAACTTCGCAAACTGGATCCCGTACGCCCCCATCCCCGAACTCCCCCCATACACCAAAAACCACGGCTTCTTCCCCCCCTCCCCCGCTCCCACTTCCCCTTCCTTGCCGCCCAACCCCTGAACCGGCAGCCTCTTCTTCTGATAAAACGCCTGCCCCACCGTCAGCATCGCCACCCCGAGCCCCGCGCCCTCCTCCCAGCTCATCTGCTCCGGCAGTTTGATCACCAGCCCCGCAGGCGCAACTACATACTCGGCAAACGCGCCGCTCGTCGGCGCCGTGGTGTTCGCGCCGTGCACGACGCCGCACACGCGGACGCCGATCTGGGACGCGTCGACGCCCGCGCCGACGGCCGTGATGACGCCGGCGTAGTCGCAGCCGATGGTGCTGCCCACGGGGCCGAGGCCTAGGGCGGGGGCATCGATGTGCTGGTTCCAGTCGGTGGGGTTGAGGGCGACGGCGTGGGTGCGGATGAGCAGGTGCCCTGGGGGCAGCGGGGGCAGGGGGGTGGTGACTACGGCGGCGTGGGTGGGGGACTGGATTTTGAGGGCGTGCATGGTGGTGGGGAGGGGCATGGTTGAGAGAGAGTTTGGGGGACTTGGGTTGGAGGGGATGAGGTTTGGGGATGGGGGGGTGGAGGGTGGGATTGGGCAATGTGGGAACGTAGATTGGTGCTGTTTGAAGGGTTGGTAGTTGAGATGGCAAGAGGAGACTGGTTTATGTAGTTAATTGGATTGGATGTTGTTAGTTGGAATGCAATAGTCAGCAAGAGGGATTGGTAATATGGTGTATGCCATAAAGGGAATACGCTCAGCAGGGGTTTTGCAGAGTCCCATCTCCGCAAGGGTCTAGCTTGTCTCGAAAGAACGTATATTGAATGTATTGGTATCGCTGCATGCCGCTTCTCGAGCAAAACATCCCATCAAGACTCCATCGGCCCGCTCATAAGTCAGCAACTAGTATCACCGCTCAAAGTCCGTCATATTCGTTCGTTGGCGTTAGCAGGGATGCATCGGCGAGCTATTAGAGCTTGTCTAGACGGGGCAGGTCTGTAGATGGTGTTAGTTCAAGTTATGGCAGAGTATGAGGCTTCTGTGTGTAGAGAGTACTCACAGCACCACAAGAGCCGCAGGCCTTGTTGTCACCGCTGATGGACGCGCCGCACTTCGGGCAGGAAGAGTTATGGCTGTTGACAGGGGTTGTGATACTGGTAGACATGTTGCCTTTGACTTGAGTAGTTGACTTTGTGGGGAACTGTTCGGACGTTTGGATGTGTCTTGGTGGTGAAGTGTTGTGGTTGTGAGAGACGGTGAGGGGTGGCGGGGTATAGGTACGGGCGAGCTGAAACCGCCTAGCAACGGGGCTTCTGTTCGACACGTGCCAGGTGACCTATCTCTCTCGAGTAGCCTGGGGGAGTGATTGGTGATCTGTAAGACTCTCATGCTCCTTCCGTTTTAACGTGGTGCTTTACGCTCCATTCGGGATAACCATCTGACTTGCATCTGACCAATCAGATGTCGCTTATATCAGGTAAGAGGCACGTGACATTTTTGGAGGGAGTGAAAAGCCGCCTTCCGTAGGGATTTGGACTTCGATGGACGGCTAAACTCAGTTGCTGGAGTTATCTTCATGAGGTTAGTTGGCGTATTTCGAGTTCGAGAGATAGAGACGGTATAATTACCTTCATCGGGAACCCTATACAGCCTTCACACATCAAACTCAACCACCATCCCTCGGCTGAGGCTTCAGACAAAAGAGACGACCGAGAAAGGCAGTCACCCTCTTCCAGGATACTTTCGACATGGTACCTTATGATATACAGAAAATGAGAATAAACGCTTTCCTCTACACCCAGCTCGCCCCAACCCACGGCACCGCAACCTTCAAGTACTCGCGCAACCACCATCCTACCTACCTATCCGCCTCCTAGCCTTCTCTCCTAGGCCTCAGAACCCTCGGCTCAGGCACATAAAAGAGTGGCGCAGCCAACACCGCCTCCCATGACCGGAATTGCAGCTTCGCCCTTCCAACGAGGCTGAACGGTTGCATTCACGCCCGTCAAGCCTTACCGACCGGTACGAATCTAGCCGCTTTGTCCACCGCGCCTGCGTCATGCTCGTGTTGCGGGTCCCTGGCCCCACCAGGCCGTTGGAGACGATTGAGCTAATCGCAAGGCTGAAACATCTGGGGACATAATTTTGCCTGCATCGGGTTGGGAGGTGAGGTGGGGGCTGAGGTATTTCTGGATTGGGGAGAGGGCAGATGTGGGATCCGAGGTTGGAGAATTGCGAGCTAGAGCTAGTGGGTAGATGTGATTTTAGTTTGACCGGATGGCTCAGGGGTGGGGAGGTGCTTAGGAACGGGTTGGAAGCGGAGGATGGCCGGATTGGGGAGCCGAGTCATGGTGTTGCTGTGTACGCATGGGGTGAGGCTAGATAAACCTGGCGTCTGGGAATTTTACCATAGTGGCGGTGCTAGGTGGGGGTCTTTTTCTTTTACCGCAGCCTCGTTGGGGTAGTCTTCACGGAGAAATCGATGATTGGATGTGAGCGCCTGCATGTCTTGTTCTATTGATAAAGAGAGGGATGCTCCCATGTGAACTCCCCGGAGATGAAGCTGAGTTGAGCTACGGCTTACAATCACTCTCCCATTCACTGCGACCTTGAGCTTTCGGAGATATGTATCCCTTCTCAGACGAAGCTGAAAAAAGCTATGGCCTACAATCGCTCTCTCATTCACTGCAGCCTTGAGCTTTCTAGAATATTCATGCCTTCTCACACGAAGCTAGCAAAAGGCAGACCGATCTTCTCTTTGATGTATTCCATTGCCTCCACTACTTTCTCGTCCTCATACCTTCGACCAATGAGCTGCAGACTGACTGGAGCATTTGCATACGTTGACGGTTTATCTGCAAACAAGTTTGTGAGTACCAGCTCGATTAAACATTGATGCCATTGAGAGAACTTACAAAGGTCATGGTTATACTTGTCATCCTCATTCCTTGGCTGATACCCTTCCTCGATCAAGTCAACCTCTGGATCCACTTTCGTGACCGGAAATACAAGAGCTGGATAATCGAGCAGGTTCCACTGCGATGTGTATCCCCAGTACCTCGCACAGTCCAAAGGAGGTGCCGCCCCGGGTCCAGCAGGACATAGGATCACGTCTACGTCCCCCCACAGCTTGGCATACTTGGCCTTGTATGCTTCACGCTTGACGGTCCATTCCCAGAGCTCACGCACAGAGTGGCGCTTCATGTTGGGATTATCGGTCAGGATGAACCGGGACAACGGACGCCATGGCTCACCAGACGCGTTGATAGCAGCCGACTCTTCCGCTCCTCCGTCGCAGAAGTAGAGGGACGATATGATGGTCCAAGCTTCATCGTGAGCGTAAGGAGTCCAACTGACGACTTCGATGTCTGGAATGGCTTTGAGCTTGTCGACGACTGTAGAAATGGCGCGCAGAATTGGAGGGTGTGGTTTGACGATGCCATCGTCACTGAGGACTGCGATCTTGAGCTTCTTACCACCGGTAGCGGTAGAAGGTAACTGGAATTCTGTGTTCCAGGGAATTGGTAGCAGACTTGGTTCGCGAAGCCATGGTTTCGCGTCAATGAGTGTCTTCATGAATAGTTTAACACCGCCGAGGCTCGTGCTCAGAGGGCCGACGACTGGAACAATATGTTCCTGTCCGAGCATGGTTGCGCTGAATCCTTCATTAGGCAGCCGATAGCTGGTTGGGCGTAGACCATAAACACCGCAGTTCGCCGCAGGTGAACGGATGGAACCGCCAATGTCGGTACCAATACCTAAGCAGCTTCCACGAAGACCAATAAGAGCACCTTCGCCACCGGAAGAGCCACCAGACGTCAGAAGTCGGTTGAAGGGGTTCACAGTTGCGCCATAGAAGTTGGAGGAAGTCTCCAAATGCATCAGAGCTTCAGCGTATTAGCAAACATCACGGCAACAACCAACCGGATAGAACTTACTTTGAGGCTGCGTAGTACGAACGTACAGCACTGCTCCTGCAGCCAGTAATATATCCAGGATGTGAGCGTTTGAAACGGCCGTTTGGTTATGCCAAGAGATGAAACCAGCATTGAGGGTGAGACCTTCCATTCCGATGTGCTCTTTTACGGATATTGGAAGGCCATGGAGTGGACCAATTGGCTTTTTGTTCGTGGAAAGATACTCATCAAGATACTTCGCACGGGCTAGAGCAGCTGTGGATAACAACTCGGTAACGCAGTTTGTCTAATAATATATCGTGAGCCTCATTCCATTATCACTTCCGACCTGAAATGGTGTCATACCAGCTTCTGAGCCAAACCTGCTCTTCTGAGAAATGCCGTTGTGACCTGTACGGAAGTTAGGTCCCCGCTCGCTAGCTTAGCAACTAGAACCTCCGGGGCAGCCTCTGTGATGGCAATGATTTCTTTGGAGAATATCCGCTTCGGTATTTGAGACACATCCTGAGGTATCTCCCACGGAATTGTTGGCAGAGGCGGTTCCAGTGCGGCGATGGAAGCATCGCGGTGATCCTGAGCCGCCTTTGCAATCTCCTGCCACGTCGGACCGGCAATTGCACGTGGTCGTGGTAAAGGCAATAGAGAAGGAGATACTAGACTGGAATGAAGACGGGAGTAAAAACCATGGAAAAGGTCTGTTATGGAAGAAAATAGAGAGCTGAAACTGGACGTAGACATTTCTGAACAAGCTCGAAGGGCCTAGATCACCGGACGGATGGGGGGAACCTTGGTGAATGATTGGGCTGGGATAACTTGAGGTGTGCATGAAACTAGAGACCGTTATTGAGGCTCTAGAATTGTGGCTTGTCAGACTGTTGTTTCTTCATCAGGAGTGACAAACTTGTGCAGCCTGTGTCCTCTGTCTTGTGGAGGTCTCCAGAAGAGGGGAAGATACATGGCCCATGATAAGGCCTATCGATGAATTGAATGGCGTCCACTAATGCAGCTTCGGGATTAGAAATAAACCCACTTTGCAAAAAAAGCATGTTCAGAGAGGAATAGAAAGTGGGGACCCTGTAACCAGAGCGATCAACATCGCTAATAGCATCGGCATGCATGCTGCCGACTTTCACGAACGAGAGTCTGCTGCAGATGGCCTTACGAACGCGAGTTTGCTGCAGACAGCCTCACGGCTGTGAGGTTGAGGGTGCTGGCGTATTCTCAGGCCTCCTGCAGTTTCACGGACACTAGCCGGATCCCCGGATCGGATCAAACCTCTTGACCCAAATCCTCCGACATCGTTTCATCCAGACCTCCTTCACTCCTCATGTCCATGTTCCACTGCTTTTTCTGTTTCAACCACCTGATCAGCTCGCTCTTCAATGTGGACAATTCAGTTGAGATGAATATTAAGTCGGCTCATTCCGACGTTAGCTAGGTCTATATTCCCTCTAACGAACGCACTCTCAAGGAATATAATTGTACATCTTCATCTTCATCCGTTCGTGCCGTGCCGTGCCAGCACCGCTTCCCAGGCTTCTTTTCATGCCGTCCTGCGCTTCGTAATTGTCTACAATGTGAATTGCACACGGGCAGCTGCCGGCTCAAGCCCCGTCCTCGTTCAAGCACCCCGGCTTACCGTGACCAAGGCCACACTCACCGTCGAGTCATGTCGTGGCAGCAAAACAGGAATGGCCAAGTAATCATGAATGCCCATGGAGCTCTAAGCTGGACCTTCTTTCACTAAAGTCCCGGGTTGCCTGTTCAGGACATCCGCACCCCGCATTAATGGTGGCGGTTGGTCGTGGGCTGGGGAGCTTCATCGCCAATGCTTCTCAAGGTCGTTTGTCCCTTTGTGGCCTTGGTTTGAGCCGTCGTTTGTCGTCGGCCTACTTGCCCCCGACCTGCTCTTCATCTTTCCTTCCTCGCTCTGCCCTCTCTTCCCTCAATTTGACACATTCCTGGTCAGTCTTTCCGATTTTCTGCACGCCATTGCTCAGTCTTTGCTTGTTGTGGTTTAATAGCTGTATATCCCTTCCATTGGAGTTCGCGGCCTCTATTTTCAGCTGCTTCTAGTTCTTTCCGAAGGCCAACAATATGGTCATGGCATCACCAATGCGTCTTCTGCCTTGTTCTTGGCGGCGTATACTACGTGCTCGCGTGGCCAGAAAGGTGATTTACCAGCCAAGCGCCGTCATTTCTTCTCGAAGCTTCGCCACTACCACCAAGAAAGATACTTCCTCTCCGCTAGCCGCGCCGCCTACGGATCTTGCATCAAGCGTAACGGCATTCCTAGGCACGAAGAAGCGGCTTCCCGAGTTCAATTTGATAGACAAGGTCATCGTTGTCACTGGTGCAGCTCGAGGACTTGGTCTTGTACAAGCACAAGCACTTCTTGAAGCGGGAGCTACTGGTACCGATTTACCCACGCGGTAGTCGATGCATGGACCAAATAGCTAACGCCTCCCAGTGTATGCTCTCGACAGGCTACCAGAGCCTTCTCCGGACTTTCACACGATTGCGAAACGCGCAGAAAAGGAACTCGGCACTTCTTTTCACTACCGTCAAATAGATGTGCGTGATGTACCAGACTTGAATAAAGTCGTTGATGCCATAGCTGAGAAGCATGGCCGCCTCGACGGACTGGTCGCTGCTGCAGGCATCCAGCAAGAGACGCCAGCGCTGGAGTATACGGCAGAAGATGCAAACAGGATGTATCAGGTCAATTGCACAGGCGCCTTTATGACGGCTCAAGCTGTCGCAAAGAACATGATCAAGCTTAAGCAAAGCGGGAGCATCGCCTTCATTGCGTCTATGAGCGCACACGTAGCTAACAGGGTATGTATCTATAGCATCGGAAGCAAAGGAAAGCAAGTCTGACAGACCAATCAAGGGACTCATCTGCGCTGCGTACAATTCCAGCAAGGCCGGAGTGTTGCAGCTTTCACGAAATCTTGCTTCTGAGTGGGGCGTGCACGGCATACGTGTGAACACCATCTCACCAGGGTACATTGTAACGGCGATGGTGGAGGAGCTCTTCAAACAGTACCCCGAGCGCAAGGAGGAGTGGCCAAAGCAGAACATGCTCGGACGCCTCTCTTCACCGGAGGAATACAGGGGAGCCGCCGTGTTCTTGATGAGCGATGCCAGTAGCTTTATGGTAAGTGTGACTCGACAGTGGCATGATGTACCGAGAGCTAACTGTGGGTTGATAGACTGCAAGCGACATGAAGATTGATGGAGGCCACTCGTCGTGGTAAGGATAGCGTTTAGTGGTCGAGGCAATGGCCTGCCCTGGTGAAGGATCAAATGGCAGTAATCCACTGTATCGATAGCTCGTGACTTGGTAGCTACAGCAATTCACAGTATGCCAGCAAGAGTTTGCCGGGTGTCCAACGAGTGAATCGGTGAATGTGATTATGTGGGGCACTTGGCGTGTCATGCTTCACCCGTACAAAGGTAGGGCTGACAGGGGTCCACTCCGAAGTATCCCCGTGTTTCCTCATCCTTCAGGCGCGACTCCATCCTTTACTGTTCTGCCTTCCTCCAACATGCCCGTCCGGTAGGGAGCAACACTTGGAGCTTTAAGCTCGCTCTCGGCACCCTCAACACCACCCACCACGAGGCCTGTCCAGCACACGCTGATTTGAGTCTAGCTCCCATGGCCATCTCTACACTCTCGCTGTCCCGCCATCGCCCAGTGATCCTCGCCGTGACGGGCCTTCTTGCAGCCGCCGCAGTCTCATACCTTTACGGCGCTCTTCAAACTCCTCCTGCCGGCGGACTGCACAGAAGCAATGCAGTGCGACGCCCACCTCGCCGCCGGGTGCAGCGCCGAGCAACACGTCCCGACTACACAAATGTCCAGGAGCTCCAACGCATCATCCACGACGCCGTTCCGCATTTAGGATCCATTCACTTCCTTGGGTCTATGGTCGCCCTGAATGGCACGCTTCCTTCCGTGGCAGAGCTCCGCCACAATGCCGGACCAGAGCTTAGTTCCGACCAGGTTGCCGCTGCAATTGAATCCTTCTACGAGACCTTCATCATACGCCTCCTACACCGTGTATTTCCTGATCAGACAATGCTGCCGGAAGAGAGGCGGAGCTTCGACATTGCGCTGCAGAGTATGGGTCTTGATGCTAGCCTTATACCGCAGGCTTTTAGGCGGCACGACATTGCTCGTGAGATGGCTGATCGGGCTCAGGAAGTCGATGACAGGGAGAGCATCGCTGGTACAGAAGTATCATGGCATACCTCACACGAATCTGGCGAGGACCAGATCTTAGGTGATGGCCAAACTCTTCGAAAGACTCTATACCACATCGCCGAGGAGAGAGCGCGGCAAGAAGGAGTCAAGCATCGGGGCGTGAGCTGTGATCAGTGCGATGCTAAGCCAATCCGGGGGATACGCTGGCGGTGTGCCAATTGCGCTGATTTCGACCTATGCTCTGACTGCGAGGCAACCAACAACCACAACAAAACCCATATATTCTACAAGATCAGAATTCCTGCTCCCTATCTCGGACTGCCCAAACAAGCCCCAGTATACCCAGGCAGGCCTAACATGATGTCCCCGTCGATAGATTCAGTGCTTAAGAGGCGCCTTGTTTCCGAGACCAACATCGAGGCCGAGGAAATAGAAGCCCTGTGGGACCAATTCACTTGTCTCGCAGACACTGAGTGGAGGGAAGATCCGAGCATTGTCGGGTGGGCTATTGACCGGCGCTCCTTTAATCAAGCCTTCATCCCCCGCTACTCAACTTTTACTTCGGCTCCAAACCTTATATACGACCGGGTGTTTGCATACTACGACTCCAATAATGATGGGAAGATCGGATATGAAGAATTCGTCAAAGGTCTGGACGGAATGCACTCTTCCAAGCCTGAGGTCAAGCTAAGAATCGTCTTCAACGGCTACGATATAGATGGGGATGGCTACATATCGAGGAAAGATGTCCTGAGACTCTTCAGGGCGTACTATGCAATCGAGAAAGAAGGTACTCGTAACTATATTGCAGAAATCACGGACGAACTGTCTGTCGCCGGGGCACTAGATGTTATTCATTCTAGTCAGCCTTTGGCCTCGAAATTTACGCAAGATACGCAGAGCTCGGCAACAACCGCGCGCTCTCGACGACTTCATGAGAAACTACCAGATCAATTCGGAGACTTGAGAGACCCGTTCCATGGAGCTGTCCTTGATGACACTGACGACACTGCACCTCGAGAGGATGTCTTGGGCATTGCCACATCCTCATCTCAATCTAGGGATCCGATCAATCGGCATCTATCCGACTCACCGGAGGAGCAGCGCCAGGACCCGGTCACAGAAAGATGGCGACGGAGACGATTTTATGTCGATGAAGAGGAGGGCCTTAACGAACCGGAAGGTCACTCTAGAAGTGAAGAGCTCAGCGAAGTGGACGAGCCCATCGAGGCCAGTCCCAATGGCCACCCAGAGTCAAATGGGACCAATTTTCCAAGAGATTCACGCTCGTCGTCTAGAGTTCGCTTCCAAGATGATGTAGATGTGGAGACTCGCTCTAATGCTTCGACATCATCGCGCCCGTTTGGCGAACGATGGGGTGGCTACGAAATTCCAGAACCCGAGAAGGACCTTGGGAAGGAGCTTCTATACCAGATAACTCAACAGGCTTTCAACGAGATGCTCAACCCCTTGTTCCTTGACAAAGAGGACCTCGCCATGGACGCCTATGACACCAAACAAGAACGACGTGATCGTAGGTCGGAATTGGACGCCATCACTGCTACGTTCGCAAGGGAGACCCAGATGAATGTCAACGAGACCATTTGCATACTTAGTTCACACGGATATAGCAGGCGTATGGTGGAGCTGATTGTCGCCAATGGCTGCACAACCTTCCTTCAAGAGTTGAAAGATGGAAAGCATACTCACGCTACGGCTGAAGCGGAATTGCGAAAGATCGTTTCGAGTGTTGAGGCTCAACTGGTTGATGGCGTGCAGTCACATGAGCATAAATACCGGCCGACTTCGCAGCAGCTTTGGAATGCCAAACTTTGGCGGATCCAGTTCCTACACGAGCTTAGTACAACGCTCCTCGACATGTTCGCTGAATGCGGATGGATTAAGAATGAGCAATCCAACCGCGTCGGAAAGGACGTAGAGAATACGAATGGCGGCCCGAACCTTTCCAAGCTAGAAGTTAAGAACGTCTCGTCTACGCCTGCTGAGCGGCCTGATGGCAACGTCTCCGCTTCTGCACAGCTAAATTATCGAGATATTACAATGCCTCAATTCCGCCCTAACAGCCTAGAACCTGAACGAGCTCCGAGGCAGCTTCAGATCCGCACCAACAATGAGCAGCCGTATCAAGATCCCACCTTGCCTCAATTTCGCCCCAACAGCTTAGCTGACATCGATACCACCACAATCAGACCCGGGTCACCTCTCCCGAGCTTTACGGAAAGCCCTCTGACTCCATTGTCTCAGTTGTCTCAGTACACGACCCCGGACGACGATGCGGCCAGCTCAGACACAGATGACAACACCGAATTCATCTATCAAATGGACAAAGGCCCGATCTTTTTCTTCCCAAGCTCTTTCATCATCAACGACTCAAACAGTGCAGAATACTACCAGCTCCCAGACCCCTTACCCACCTCCGCAGAGTTTCTCTCCGCACCCCTGAGTATTTCTCCGCACGAAACTTCAAAGCTCAGCCCGGCCCTCTTCAGCTTCAGCTTCAACCCCTACACTCTCGGACTCGACGCACACCCTCACCCCTTCCAACCGCCGCCAAACTCGCGCCTGGTCTTCGATATCACACTCGCGCTCCGCCGCATGGCCTCCAAGCCATCTTCGCCGTGCTACCTTGCACGCCTCGCGAACCTCGACGCCGTGGAGAAGGAGATCCAGGAGCGCAAAGGCGAGGGTTTGATTAGCGAAGACGAGTTTATGGCTATGGTGATGCAGGACGGGAAGCTCCGCTTCCTGGAAGCGTGGATGGATTGGGTGAATTTCTGAGCACTCGCCCGATCCACTCCCCCCGTCCAGTCCATTTCCAGTTGCCCAAGAATATCTAGAGTGGCTGAAGCTGACATTGTGGTACTTCGAGCAGGTACATTTCCCTGCGGATCTCGTCCGTGGGTTGGTTGCTGAGTACGATCCCGAGGATATGTCGATTGGGGACACGACGATCCCGGCGTCGGAGGTCGATGAGCTGGTCGCGGAGGGTACTTTTGGGGTTACTACAACGGCGCCTATATCCTCTCCAGCGACTTGGACCACGCTAGAGCATCTGTTGAGTCCTTAACTCCGCTGTCTTCTCAGTGTTGGGCTGTGTGCTTGAGATGGCGTTGAAGTTATCAAGGGCGAGGGGTGCTAGGTGCTTGATACGGCTAGAAGGTATTTTATTGTAGGATAGGAGGTTATTATGCATACTTTATGAGTTTGGGAATGACATTGGGTTGGGTAGGTTGCATAGCGAGCGAAGGGTCAGTTGATCGGGATATGCTGGGGGTTATTTGACACAGCACAGGATATGCGACACTACAACATGCAGTAACGAAAAACAGCCTTTTACTCTTGACCCGGTTTTTCTTTTGGAATGTTGCATTGCATGTTTTACTCTTGGCCTGGCTTTCTTCTTAGAAGTTTGCGATGTATCTATCCTACCTTCACATCCCATCCTTTTTCTAACCTCTAATCCCGCCCCAACCCCCCAACCCACCTCTGCACGTTCTCTCTCAGCTTCCCCTCCACCCCCTCCTCATGCCAAAAATGCCCCGCGCCGCCAACCTCCCCGTACTCGAACCGCGACCCCGGCTCCGCCGCTAGCTTCGCCGCCCACTGCCGATACTTCCGCACCGCTACAAACCCATCCGCATCGCCAAACAGCGCCAGCGTAGGCCGCTGCACAATCGTCTCGCCCTGGTGCTCCTTATGCTTATTCCAGAACTTATGCCCAATACCCGGGATCATGAGCGTCGACAGCGGCGGTGGAACCGGCGAGATAAGCAGATACGCCGTGCTCGTCGCCGGGCGCGCGTCGTTCTCGCTCTCGCGTTGTTTGAGGTTGGGCGCAGGAGAGGGGGCAGTGGACGCGGAAACGCGCGACTCGATCACTGCTAGCCCGTTCTCCTGCGACTGCTGCGACGCGCCCCGCTTCCGCCGCAGGGACAGCGAGCGCATGCCGTGCGGCAGCTCGAAGCTCCGCGCGTGCTCGGAGGAGCGGCGCACTTCGCGGCTCGAGCGCCGCAGGTCGGGGGGTGTTTCTTCGCCGCCCATTTTCACCGGGTGCGGCTCGTGGCTGTGCTTTTTCGCGGACTGGTGGGCGGCGGCGAGCTCGCGGTTGAACTGGGCGGCGAGGGTGTGGGCGCGGAGGAGGATCTCTGCGGCGGCGGAGCCGGGGGTGGGGCGGGAGAAGAGGGAGAGGAGTTGGGCGGTGGGGGGGAGGTGTTTGGTTATTAGGGAGCCGTAGGAGTAGCCGGCGAGGAGGATGAGGGCTTTCTCCGGGAGGTTTTCTTTTGGTTTGGACGGGAGTTTCTCGGGCGATATAGGAGATCTAGATGCAGAGGGCATTGTGGGTTTGGAAACGGGAGGGGGTGACTGGAGCTGGAGGAGGTCGAGGTAGTGGATTAGGAAGCCGGCGAAGGAGATGTAGTCGTCGAGTTCGGGTTTCCCGGTCCAGCTCGTGCGGCCTTTTGAGTGATGAGCTCCTCTGTATATTCGTTAGTATGTCTTGTGATTGTATAGACCCTTCGGGAATAGGTACCTAAAGTTGAACGTGCCCACCACAAACCCCTCCTTCAACAGCTCGTCGGCCACCATGCCGACAACATGGTCGTCGTAGCTACCGCCTAAAGGAGCGTACGGATGCGCTATCACCGTTCCGCTCTTGGTCCACCTATGCGAACCTGCGGCGGGCGCGTCGAGGAGTGCTGCAGGGTGGTAGATTCTGCAGTCGAGCGGCGTGTCGTCGTGGATGGAGGGGATTGTGAAGGTGAAGGCTGGCTCAGGGACGGCCATCTTTGGGTCTGCGAGACCCAGGAGGATACTGTCATATCATGGCTGGTCGTGTAGGAGTTGACGGGATTTCGTTCTTCGCAAGGGTTGCCCAAGTAGTTAAGGTACCATGGTTAGAGATGCAGTGGGGATCCAGCTCCAAATCCCCGCGGTCTTGGCGTTTTACCCACCTTCTTGAGAGATGCGTGTTTACGCGTCAAATACGAGTATAAAGACCATAGAGCTCAGTTTCGAGTTCAGATACATAGTCTCGTTCACTTGTAGGCCAATATGAAGCGCGCTAAGTAATGTTACGGGAGCTTATTCCTAGATATTGTGGCCATTTGATAGTAGTAACACAATTTCTACACTGCGATCCAAAGCCCACAAGCATGTATTGAAGGACGGGGTATACGCTTTAAGAGCCACAATTGATACATGAAAGGATCCTGACAGTAAAAGGTAGGAAGACGCGCCTAGTGCTACAACAGCTCCATTATGACGCCTCAAAAACTGCCTGCAGTAAGAGTAGTACTTAGTCAGTATCTGTGTCTTGATGTGAAATCAAGAGTTCCGGATCAGGGTCGTCGTCGCTCGCGTCGAAGTACTGCTGAGGTCTGGACGTGGAAGATCGCGCAGGTAGCTGGGATGATTGGTTTTGTCCATGTACGCCCAGGTCTACGAGTTCTTGCCCCGATGTTTCCGAATCTGAATCATTTTGAAGATTCGGCGGCGAGGCTTGAGACAGAACCCTCTTTAGGATTGTCCGACCTTGCTGGAAGGCTTCGAGTTCGGCTCCAATACAGCAAATCAATAGCTTCCAGTTCTTCTCTTCGGCAAGCTTTAGCTTGGATTCAATGTAGAGTACCGTGGCGTCCATCTGTGTAATGAGGGCTTTTAAGCCTGTGTTAGCCGTGTCAGGCGAGTCTCTGCTGCTCGTACGGCCCCTTCCTAGGCCCTGCATTTCCTCTTGGAGGTGAGCCTCAAAGTCGGTTATGCGCTTGAACACATCTTGCCACAAGATGGCGCCTTCTTCTAACGCCTCCCTATCCATATCCACCTCTTGCCAATTCTCCTCCAGTCGCGTACGCTCTTCTTCCCAATGGTCTCGTGCCATTGCTAAAGTACGGCGCTTAGCCGGAAGCGAGTAGAATGCCGAAGTCCTGGAGGAGTGGTTGGCATCGGAAGGAGGTCTGGCAAGAAACTTGGCGACATCGGCTTCCAACAGGGACAAAGACGTCTTGTACGAGGAGAGCTTTGCCTCGACAGAGTTCTCTGTCTCAGACAGCTCGGCTAGTATCTTTCGATGCCGAGCTTTCATCGCCCACAGCTTCTCTTCCGTCTGTTTAATCTCAGTTTCGAGAGTTTTGGCTTCGGCCTGGAGAGTTTGAGCCCTTGACCCAGCTTGATCATTCTCGATACTCTTGATACGCTGCTCGATGCCCCTTTGCTTGCTCTCCCACCGATTTAGCCGCTCTAAAACAGCTTTGTTCTTCGCCATATCAGCATCGAGGAGATAGGCCTCCTCTTCCTTGACTGCAGCCATTTGTTGAACCCTTTTGTAGATGCCACGCCTAGCCATAGTGAGGCTTACTTTCCGACGAGCTGGACGTTGGTCCGGGCTGGCCATATCTCGTCGCATACTGTTGACTGTGGGAGTGCTGCTGCCATTTGATATTTGGTCATCTGGGGGGCCGCCGCCTAATCCAGCTGCCATGAGACCCTCTGCCTGGGAATCCAGAAGGTGTTGAAGCTGTTCTTCGATGTATCTTGCTTTCCGTTGGACGGCCAGCAGATCATCGGGAACTCTGTCCTTTGGCGCAGGAGGTGAGGCGGATACATATATACTGGAAGCTATAGGCGGCGGAGGGAACGCTGATGGAATATTTGGCGAGCGCGGAGGAGAGTAGAAAGGAAGTTCATGTGATGCTTCTGAAGGGCTGCGGAGTCTAGGAGAGCTTCTTGGAGAGAGAGAACCGAGTAGTGAGTTGATTAGCGACATGGTTGTATCTGGTTGAGCTGTTGCATAGCCGTGTAGAATAGATGATGGAAGCTTGGAGTGCTTAGTAAGTTAGTAGCCTGGCGCACGTGACCTATTTCTTCACCCCGAGAATAGTCCAGCTGCACAACAACATCAGCAGCACAACGCACACGACCAACTCACCCTACGCTGCGCCTGTCAACACCACAATATATCGCCAAGAGCCGCGGAGTTCTCCCGCAACACGTGCTGACGAACTGAGCACCTGGCGCAGCCACTGCGCGAACCCCAGTCCAGAACGGAGTACTAAACGCGATCCTCACGGCAGAATTGTGCACGCTGACCGAGCGCTCCAAAATGGCCTGATATATGCATATTGGCTCCCCCCGTGCCAATGATCCAGAACCAACCTCTGCCTGTTGGAGACCCCTGAACTTTAGGGGGCCAACAGGCCCCTCACGGGCTAAGGGCTTGGGGTGCTGTCTGAATTGCCAAGTGTAAGAGGATCTATCCCTGGAGATGTCTTGTATGCTCGGCGGCGGCACTGCCCTTTTGCACCGTTGCCAATACCTTTCCGCCGATATCTGTTGCTGGGCATAGTAAGCTGTCAGATGGATCAGGGTAAGCGCCCGAGGCTTCGCACCTGATGCCAAGAGTTTCTGCAAAGTTTCACACCACTCCAGTCCTTGACGCGGCGACATGTCGTATGAGTGTAGTCAGTGTATTCAATTTTCATCCATCTCTCTCTGCAGTTCCAACAAGCTTGTGTGAGCGAATAAGTTCATGTTTGTTCGTCCGCGCCTCCTCGAGTCTCGCAAGTGGTCAAGCTCGCTTCCAACGTTCGTACATGCTCACGGCGATCGCAATAATAAAACCTTCGAGAACGACCAGCTTAGCTTTTCTAAGGGGGGCACAACATCCAGACCATGAGACAAGCACTCTTCTAGTGCTGTCATAAAGGCTTACGCACGCTCGCGGCGCAATCTACACATCTGTACACAGTAAAGGAGAGCCTACGGAGTTTCTGGGCAACTAACTTGGCGTAGGAGCCTCAGGACTTGGCGGATAGCAAAGCTCGCGCCTGATGTATCCGGCGGCTCCCAAGTCGTCTCAATGGTATGACTTGGCTTCCTCCCTCTTGGCTGCTACGCGGCGAATATCACACTCGGTAGTCTTTATGACCGCAGCAAGGCTCTCACCTCAGATCACTTCAGCTTGAACGAGACACTCTCTACCATCTCTCTTATTGTCATTTAAAAGTGTGCGTTGACCGCCACATCATTGCACTATATACTCATTGCCTACCAACGTTCATTAAATATATTTTACTCCCGTTTTGCGTATCTTCTCGTAACATCTTACCACACTCGTTGCTCTAATTCTCACCTAATTCTCCAAACCACCTCCTCTCGCCAACATGTTGTACTCTACTTTTGCCGGTACTCTCTTCTTTGCTGCGTCCGCGTATGGCAGTTGTCTACATGCGACTTCTCATCTTCATCGTCGTGTCGAGGAGGGAAAAGTGAAGGTCAGCACGTTCGGATACACGGATATGCAAGGGCCCCTTAACTGGGCAGGATTAGCAGAGGAGAATGAAGCATGTGCTACCAGCAAGGTCCAGTCTCCAATTAACATTGGTAGGTAATCATGTCTTATGATGCTTCCCCATCTTTGCCTCAAGTATCGAACAGTTGTGCCATGTTCATCATCTATCACATATCAGAATTATCGAACGCTTTCCACGGCCAGGCTCAACGTTGTCTTAGACATTGATTAGACTGACCAGAAGTACAGACGACACCATTGACGTGGCTGCTGAGGCCCCAAAAATCACCATTGCTAGTGTGAACTCTGCGGAGTTCGAGAACCTGGGTACGACTGTTGAGACCATCGTCAACGGCACCACAACTTTCAACGGGACCGACTTCGCTCTTAAACAGTTCCATTTTCATACTCCCTCTGAACACCGCATCAACGAAGAGTACTTTCCGTTGGAAATGCATATGGTTCACGAAGCCGCAGGTTCGTTGCAAACCTCTCACTAGACTTAGCAATCTACTAACGTCAGTTGCCTTCAGACGGTTCAGGAAACATCGCTGTGCTGGCTGTGCTGTTCCAACTCTCCGCCGACGGTTCGACAACCGACCTTCTTACCAGCGTCACCAAGAATCTCGAGGAGATCAAGACTCCAGGGACCATAACAGAGACCGGGTCCCTAGATTTCACTGCATTGATTGAACACCTCGAGACTACGCCACTCCGCCAGTACACCGGCTCACTCACCACTCCCCCTTGCGCTGAAGGTCTCACATTCCTAGTCACCCAAGAGCCACTTGCGCTCGACGTGGCAACCTTTAACGCTGTCAAGTCAGTCGTGAAATTTAATTCCCGTTTCTCTCAAGGCGCATTGGGCACTGAGAACCTTCTTGTGGTAGCTACTGCGAACGAGAAGAATATCGCGGCACGCAAACAGGCTGGGGGCGGCGGGGAGAAGGCTACAGAGCCTAACCCCACAGAAGAAGCCGCGCCGACTAAAACAGGCCCTACGACCATCCTCATCACGGAGGTGGCTATTGGAATGCTCAGCGTCCCTACTAGTGTCCTTGCCGTGGCTGTGAACGTATAAGTTCAGAAAGAGAGGATGCGAACTAACAGATGTGGAGGTATAGATTGTGTTGCGTATAAGCCTGTATATGGGTACCATGTATTAGAAATTCTGTGTTCCTTTTCCTTTTCCTTTTCCGGCATTCAGGCATGCATGTAGCGAGAGAGACCCCTAGACTGCGTCACTTCCAAAATATCATATCAGCAATCTCAGCCACACAGCGCGGCTGTCTTAGCTGCTGGCGTCACATACCACCACCATTGTCACCTTTCCCACGCATTCTTTGTCCATTCCCATATTGGTTCTATTATCTACAGTACATGTTCCTGATAATTTACTTCCAACATCGAAGCGCGTACGCCAAACCAAGCCTTTGCCAAGCATATTCGGTCCTTTCCAAGCTTCACTCGATCTTTTCTAAGCCTCGTGTCGTGCGACAGCATCCTTCCTCCTGTCGCCAAGTCTTGAATCGCCGGCTCTCCACACTTTTGTCCACTTTCTCGAACTTTGGGTAGATTAATAAGGCGCTAGAATTACACTTAGGTTGTGTTTCTAAGCTTAGCATTTCGCTCAGGTCACCGAACACGTGGATATTACGAAGTCACGTCAATGTAGGAAGTGTGCTGTAAGGTGGTTGATATGTTAGGTGAAGGTGTTGCTACATACTTGCTCAAGTCGAGGGTGTTGTCGTCGACCTACGTGGCTCTGCCCACCGTCGACGTGTAAGGACTATTTCTCAACTCACAAAACTAACTATCGCACTAACACACAGCGCGCAAACACTCGAACTATACCACCCAACTATAACCGTTTCTCAAATGTGCCTCATTGAGAAGAAGTGCTGGCGCTGCGGCTGCCGCACCGTCTCCACTACACCTTGCGCACGGCTACCCGGCTCCACGAACTGGCCGAAGAGCGCGGATAGTTGCTCGAAGCTCGTATTGCGAGATATAGAAATGCTGGAGAAGTGCGAGAGGCGATGTAAGATCGAGGATCTAGGAGGGAAGTGGTGGGTTGATGCGGCGAGTGATAGCTATATCGGAGAGGATTGGTGGAAGACGAAGATGAGTGCGAAGTAGTAGGGGACATTATGGTCCATTTCTCATATGATATACTTGAGGTTCAATTTGCACGCCATGACAATAACATGGCCAGATCGAGTCTGAATCGCACGGACTAGCTCCGGTTTATACATCTTAACAGTGTCAACTTTACCTAAAATCTATGACCTGATTCAGAGGCTCTAAGACGCTGAAAAACCTCTCAAGCAGATCTAGGGCCTATCTCACCAAACTCAACGTTATGGTTCAAATATAGGGTCCATGTCAATAATATGCCAAAACCAAGTCGAATCGCACGGACTGGCTCCACTTCATACATCTAAACGGTGCCAACTTTACCTCAAATCCATGGTCTGATTTAGGAAGCCTGTCACGACATCTCATCCCTAGGCTTCGTTCTCACTCTCGTCCAATAACATGCCAAAATCAAGCCAAAATCGCACGGACTGGCTCCCGTTTATACATCTAAACGATGCCAACTTTACCCCAAACCCATGTGCTGATTTAGAACGTCTACCACAAAACCTACAATCCTAGCTTGATTCCCACTCTCTTCCAACAACATGCCAAAATCGAGCGCGGATCGTACGGACTCGCTCCAACTTCTCCATCTCACCACCGCCAAAGCAGCCCAATTTCCCAGCCCGATTCTCACCCTCTTCCAATAATATGCCAAAATCAAGTGCAAATCGCACGGACTGGCTCCACTTCATACATCTCAACACCGCCAAATTTCCCTCAAACCTCGGACCTGATTTCGGGTCCCTTCCACAAACCCAGATTCCATGACGCGAATTCAGGACGTCTGCCAGAACGCCGCAAACCACAGCCCGATCCCCACCCACCTCCACTAAACATGCCAAAGCCTTGTCCGCATCGCACCAACTAGCTTCCCGTCCCTCTCCATCCATCTCACCACCCAAACCCGACCCAAGATCTCAGTGCTACACTGCCGTGCGCCACACGAATACACAAACTCGGTAGGTACGCCCGAAGAACAGCAGCACACAAGCATCGTGAGAGGGGTCCTTTTGAGTATCACGTCTTCATATTCACACGCGTCAATCTCTCCAAAGACAGCCACCCACTCCAGCCAGCCGGCCCAACATACACAGCCCAATCCGCGGATATCGTAGTCCAGAGCAACTCACATCACAAATGCCCGCTCCAACACAAGGCATCCAAAAAAAAAAAAAAAAAAAAAAAAACCGCCAGACAGGTCTTCCAGCAAAAAGAGACAGGCGGCCAACCGTGACTATGCTATCCCGCATTCGATCCATCAACCTAGTCAACCCATGTTTTATCATACGCAAAGAAAGATCAAAGGTTCAGAAAGTGTTCACGACAAGACCAAGAAATCATGCCTGACGTATCCTAGCTCCACTAAACAGAAATTCCCTCATAACTTCACGCCCCACACACCCCTGCCACCACATACACCAACCCACTCGCCCCCTTGCGCTGTGAGCCCGCTCTGCGGCGCCCAGCTCAAGTTTCCGACCTCGTAGTCGCACCGCCAGCTCGCGTAGGGGCCTTTCTGGCCGATGGTGCCTGCCGTTCCAGCGGCGCCGTTGCCGGCGGCCGCGGGAGTGGGTGGTGCAGAAGAGCCGGGCGTGTCGCCGTTGATGGTGGCGCCGTTTTGCGCGTGAATGAGGTCCCAGACGAGGACGAGGGAGTCGTCGCCGCCGGAAGCGAGCATGCCGCGGCGGGAGGGCGACCATTCGAGGGAGTTCACAGAGGAGGAATGTCCGCGGAGCTCGAGGAGGGCTTGGCCGGGCTGTCGAACGTCGAGGATGCGGATGAGGTTGCTGTCGGCGGCAAAGGTGGCGAGAAGGTGGGCGTCATGCGGGGAGGCTATAAATTCATATTAGAACTGAAGGCCGGAGAGAAAGTAAGGAGGGTATGTGTGCTTACCGGCTAGTCGAAGGAGGGGAGGTGCGTAGGACATTGTTTGCTGGGCTTTTGTCGGCGACATGCGTCCTGCTGGCGAGCCTGTCATGAAATCAGTACGCGATTCTTGTTCACACCTGCTAGAATGCTTCTCACCTCCTTCTTTGTCTCCGGGCTGTTTCTCCGAGGGTTCGTAGATAATTGTGCTGTGTTCTAAGCTCCGTAGATCAAACATCCGCACGCTGCCATCAGCACCACAACTGACGAATACATCAACACTGCCGGCGCAGAACCGAACATCGAAAACTTCTTTGTCATGCGCAATGAGTTGCGTCTTTGCTGTCAGAGTCGGTATATCCCATATCGTACATGTTGTGTCGATGCTGGAGGTGATGATGAGCTTCGGAGACAGAGTATTCCAATCGAGAGAGGTTAGGGGTGCGGTATGTTCTGGGGTTTTCGAATTGGATAGGAGAGCAAGAGGTGTGAGCTTCTGAGGGGGAGGTTCTCGTGTATTTACAGAGGAGCTTCGAGAGATGGTGTTGCTGACGTTTGAGGCAGGTTGTTGGGGAAGCGACCATAATCGCAGGTGGTCGCCAGAGGTAGCAAGTAGGTCGGTTGACTGTTTTTGAGAAGATGGGGGTTCCCATAATATTCGAGTGACAGGGTAGGAGCACGTAGCTTCAGCGACTCGGTTGTACTCGAGGCCAAACGGGGGTGCGCCAGGAGAGGCGTCTTTTTGCGGGGTTATTTGAGTGTCGAGGATTGTTATCTACGTGACCAATTAGCGTGAATACGACGTCTAAGGAAGTATAGTCCCGAGTTTGAAGACGTACGAAGTTGTGAGTATCCTCCAAGTAGCTTCCGACAGCCATTTTGCCAGCGCTGTTGTTACCATGGACCGGCCATTTACACCAATCGAATGCATACACAGGCCATGGTCCGAGGTAATTGCTATTGCCCGGTGTTCGGTCGTTGTCGTTGTAGAAATTGCTGCCCCCCATCGCTTCGTCCTGCATACTAGAGTTAGCGCGCGGCCGTATATCTGCAAGTCCTAATGGCGAGTTTGAGGCAGCTCCAGAGGGGGTGGTAGCAGTGTTGCTGTAGTATTTCTGGCCAGGAGCGCCGCCGTACTTAGGATCGGGAGAGTTGGAGAAAGGAATGTATTTTTGCTCCAGGCCGGCGGGACTCGACCTCGAATAGGTATGTGAGGAATGTGAGGCGTTCATGGTGTTGGAACGGGTCGGCAGCGTGTACTGCTGGGCGTTGGTCGAGATCTGAGGCATGGTGGGGACTGTAGTAGGAGCGGTATACGCGGCGGAAGGCGCTGGCCGTTGCGAGGTGCCCGGCTGCAAGCTGCCTGGGACGCTGCCGGACGGCGCAGCGTTATATTGCGCGCCCTGGGGAGTGGCTTGCTGCAGGCTGATGTTGGGAGCGCTGCCCGCTGAGTACTGGTCGGGTGTGTTGTACAGGTGCTGGCTATGGTGTTGCGGCGCTTGCGCGAAACCGTGCTGGCCCATGGCAGCGGAGGAGACATGCAGCTCCTCGGGGTTCCTCCCCAGCGTGTCCACCCGCCGCGGCGTCTCAAAATGCTGCTGATTGTGTGAATTGCCCCCAGATGCGAGGGTGCCAGGACCGGGTAGACCTGATGCTGCTGGCGGGGCAGTCTGTCCGCCGCCGTGGAGGCTGGGGAGATTGCTCTGGCTGCTGTTCATGCCGGGCGTGTTTCCACTGCCTGGCATAAAGGCATCGGTGCCCGCAGTGGTGGTCCCTGAGGTTGCGACGCGCAGCCCGCCGGTGGGAGCGCCAATAGAACCCAGGGTTGCGGCGGCTTGGTAGATGCCAGAGGCGGGGGAGTTGGCCTGCGCATTGTGCGAATGGTGGGAGTGGAACGGCATGGCGCCGTGCGGGCAGTGTGGCGGGGATGGCGGGGATGGCGGCAGCTCCGCGTGCAGTGGAGAGCAAGGCCGTGGTGTTGAGTTTGGGCGTTAGGGCTGAGGCCCTTGGGCATTGCTGTTGCGGAGGAGCAGATGACTAAAGAAGCGGGTTACAGGGCGGTGAGTGCGCTGATGGGACTCGAGAACCTGTGGACGAGACGGCTCTGGCTTGGAACTGCACCAGCATGCGGTTTTACGTGCTTCACTTGCAGCGGCCGAGGGAAGCTATCTCTGCAATACCAGCCACATAGGAGGTGGACGGTGGACTATGGGACTGGAATATGCAAAGTATGCGGTGCTAATTCACCGGAATGCCCGTCAAAATGCTACGAGTGCATGTTTCTAACAGCTGGGTAGACGAGATCAGGGCTGGCACCCAAGACTGTAATGTAAGGGCAGCAAAAGTAGCTCTTGTTATACCGTCCAGACAGGAAAGAGCGCGGACGTGGCTCTCAATCCGCGTTCCCCGTTTGGGCGATAGTTTACGCCAACTTACCCGGCCTCCTCAGCCGACACATGACTTTCGACGCTGCCCAGGTGCGCAACGCTCACCACCTCTCCAAATAGATGAAAGCCCCGCGCAGCCGCCTCCTCTCCAGCCTGAAACCGCTCTACACGCAGCCAGCGCTGCGAAGATTTGTTCGCATGGCTCCCCTGCTCAATGGACGTCGTCGCGCTCTCCTCTTGCTTCCCCCCGCGCCGTCCCCGCCGACGTTTACCGCATTGAAGGCTGCTTACGGCCCGTCGCTGTCCTCCGTCCTCACCAAGCTAGCCCGCCCACACAGCAAACATCAAGGTGCTGTAGTTCTAGACATCGCTCTACCATGTGACCATCTGCACGGTAAACAGGACCAGCCCAGGAGCACCACTTATGCTACTACACAGCGGCTGGTGGCTGGGCTCTACAAGCTCGTCTGTGTCATCTCAGCCAAGGAATCGATTGACGTCGAGGATGCCGACGGCATAGACCCACGTCTCTTACTTCTGGCCTATCCCCGGAATGGAAAACTGGACCAAGCCTTAATCTCACGACCAGAGCTGGACACCCAAGGCCCCATCATCGACATAACCACCCTCGCCTCTTGTTCTCGGCCATGGGATACCATTTATGCCGTGGAATCTGAAGAGGGCGAGCAGATCCTCAAGACTTTCCTTTCCAGTGGAGCTCAGGACCGCAATGTACATAGGGTCCCGGCCGGCATTGTGCAAGTCTCCTCCCAAGCTGAGCCAGAATCAGCCGCCCCTACTTCAATTACAGCCAAAAAACACCATTCCGTTGCAGTGGGTGGCACTTTTGATCACCTGCATATAGGCCACAAGTTGCTACTTACCATGTTTGCTCTCGCCCTGGACACACCACCCGAGTCGGTGGACACTGAGCAAAGTCTTACCATCGGCATCACAGGCGACGAATTGCTCAAGAACAAAAAGTTTGCCGAATTCCTCGAGAGCTGGGCCCAGCGGCAACAGAGCGTGCACGACTTCATGAGCTCCATCCTGGACTTTGGTCCCAACGAAGACAGCCGCGTCGTGGCCAAAGAGCTGACAGAACCAGGCCCAAATGGACACGCTATCCACGTAACTTTCCCGTCACATCTGGTGATCAAATACGTGGAGATCTGGGACCCCTTTGGACCCACCATCACGGACGAGTCCATCTCTGCGCTGGTCATCTCGGCTGAAACGCGCTCAGGTGGCAAGGCTGTCAATTCCAAGAGAGCCGAAAAGGGCTGGCCGCAGCTTGAGGTGTTCGAGGTCGATGTCCTGGACGCGGAAGAGAAGGACGGCGACGTGGAGCCGGCAGACGAGAGCTTCCAAAGCAAAATCAGCAGCACCGAGATCCGACGCATGCAAGCTGGCAAGTCGAAAAGCAAAAGGTAATCTGACTGCAACGCCGACGCAGGTGCGGCACTTATCGGGCTCGGCGGGCTTCCCGTGGGGTGCAGCGATGATTCAGAAGGATGGGGTAAGTGCTCAGATATGCGGGAGGGCTCCGCGTTTTGTGTAACGATGGAGTGCCGGATGTCGGAGAAATGGACGCTGTTCGTGCAACCTTAGCAGCGCAAGCCACTGGAACACATGGCGCGTCCAGAGGCGATGAGCCGGAACGTGTTTGTCGATGTTCCCGAAACGGGCCGTTGGACGTCAGGCTAGATGCGAGGGTGCGGCACGGCTCGATTCCCGCAGCAGCGTTAGCAAATGGAGATGCATTGCGGCAGTGCTGGAAGCGCTGTGGTGTTGTCGACAACGCACGCAGACCAAAGCCCGGATGACTGCAGGTCGTGATCCTTCTGTGCCGCCGGCCGATGCCTTGGTCTGCGTCTGGTGCAGGGAAGCCGGCGAGAGGGGAATGCGACCTTATATTTGGCAATACGGCATCACTGACAGCGAAGGCCCACGTCGCGGCGGCTCGCTCCCACTGCGCGGTTCCCACGTCTGCTGGTTTGCTGGCCCGGCTGAGGGCCTCCGTAGACGTGCGAGGAGCGCGAGAATGCACAACATTTTCATGGCAGCGCTTGTTCGCCCCAGTTACGCGCTTTGCTGCACCACTTCGCTGGCCACGCATGGCATGGGGCAGGGATCTGGAAGCCCACTTGCCGCACGATGGCCGAATGAAGGCGCTGGGCCCAAGTTCCTTTTGGCATCGTTGCCGTGCAGCGGACCTGCGGGTGACTGCGCCTGGGACGGAAAACTTGCATGAGCCAAAGGTCATGTGATTGCGGCCGCGACGGGCGCCCGTACACTGCCATGTGCTAGGCTACAGTGATCGATATAGCGGTGGGCAATTTACGGTGCTCATCTAGACGTCTGCTCCTCTGCTGCTCCCGTCTGTGCTGCGACTGCGCTTGCTCCCACGCGTGCGGCGTAGAGAACAACCGTCACTTCACGCGCATGCTTCAGCCAGTGGCCCAACAACGCCGATTGGCATCGCGTCTGACAGCCTCGAGTCGGAATTACCGTCGACGGAGACAATGCGACCTACCATCCGCTGTGGTAGCAGAGCATGGCATCGATGGCCGGACGGTGCCCACGCGCATGCAGGCCAAGTGCGGGCAGTATACGAGACTCCCCACCTGGCCTTAGAGACGCCATCAAGGCCTCATGATTCGCCCGTCGGGCCCCCGATCCAACTCGCAGCGCAACTGCGCGTCCACTCTCGACCTTCATCCACGATAGCGCTCGGCTGACCCGCAGCAATAAGTCTGGCGACGGCTGTCATCTTGCAGAGGCACTTTGTTTTTAATCATCATGTCCCTCGCAGCTCCGACGACTGCTCAACCTGCAAGACCCGGACCCGCGCTGCCCGCAACACCACGCCCAGCCCACCCAGCCCTATCTTCGACCGCCGTGCGCTGCAACCCGTGACGTCTCCCGCGAAGCCTCTGCACTCGGCCCGCCCTCGCCCTGCCACCCGGAGTGCTCCCAGGCGGCGAGGCCCGGTAGATGCTTCCCTTACCCCGCTGCTCGCCATGGACTTCGTTCCCGGCATCCTCAGGCTCAGCAGCGAGCTGCTGCGCGAGATCCTCGACCACATCGAAGCAGATCCCGAGAAGCTCGTCAGCCTCGACCGCCGCGCCTATCTGTCGCAGGAGTCGTTCAAACCGCCGCCGCCCCCGGCCCGCGACCAGGCCGCGAACATCGCCAGCTTCCGGCTAACATGTCGACGATTCTCGGAGCTTGGCGCCATCCACCAGTTTGCCCGCGTGACAACCCGCTTCTCGCGCAAGGGCCTGAAGCGGCTGGAGAACATCGCGGGCCAGGAGCACCTGGCCAAGCATGTCAAGAAGTTCAGCTACATGGTGCCGTTTTTCTACGTTGAGGGTGCGCGCGTCCCCCCTAGCCCTGGAAATACGGCTAACAGCTTGCAGGCCGAGAGCGGGTTCGTGACCTCCTGCCCAATCTGCAGGACAGCCTCGGCTTCCTCGATGTGCGCCATTTCCAGCGGAAGGTGAACGAGCAGAAAGAGATAGTCCAGACCAAGGAGGATGTCCGCGTCCTAACCAAGGCCATATCCGCCTTCACGTCGCTGCAGCACGTGCAGATTCTGCGGGTCCAAGACCAGGAGGACGGGCTGCTTCTGGCCTACATCCGCCAGCACGACGAGCTCGGTCAGCTGGTGGAGCTGAAATGGCCACCCGCCTGCTCCCACAGCACCAAGACCATCGGTGCGGCTCTGCTGGCGTCGCGGTCGCCCTGCACCCGCTTCTCTTCGCCCATGCTGAGCCCGGTGAGCGTCATCGGCCTTGCCCACGATCCGCCAAACACCTTCCAAGTGCTTGCAGAGCGTCTAACCTGCCTCGAACTCCACTTCGACGACGGGTACGATCTCGACAACCGTATGAAGGAGCTCTCCACCCTGTCCAAGGTCGTCTTCAGCGCTGCTAAGAATATGCAAGCCGTGCACATTGGATTTCCCTCGCATAGGCCACTGGGCTTGAAGTTAGAAGACATCTTTCACAACGTCAAGTGGGAAAAACTACTCGCGTTCGGCATCCAAGCATGGAAGCTAGATGCCGACGAGATCATCGCGCTAGCGCGGCGGCATCGAGAAAAGCTGCGTGGGCTGCGGTTAAGAGACGTGTTGCTAAAAGACGGAAGTCGGTGGAAAGACGTCCTAGCGTTCCTAAGGGATGACATGGCGAGGCTGGACTGGGTGAGCTTAAGAAGAATTGACTACGCAATACACTTCGACGAGCAGTGGACGCTGGGGGCTGAGGTGCCTGACGACCCTCCAGGAGGCGCCAGCGACAGTGATGATGAAAGCGACGACTGGGACCCCCACGCCGAAGCCATCGGGGACGAATCGCCTGATCAGTCCGACATTGAAAGCACAGGTTCTCCCGAAACGGACTCAGAGGCCGGAAGCGATGACGAGCCGGAGCAAGGCGGGGGCATGGATTTCCCCCCAATGTCACCAGACACGCCTGCGTCGGCCGCGTGGTGTAGCTGCAACGGCCGTACCGGATATCCAGACAGCGCTGACGACCTCGGCGACGATGGCATTGCGGTGTCGTACCCCCAGCGCAAGTTGTGGGAGAAGTGGGTGGTCAGGCGGTGCGCAGAACACAGCCACAAGTAGGGCAATAGATGTCCGCGAATTGAACAGCGGCAGAGCCACATCTCTCCACGACTCGCTGATCCCTGACACCGATAGCCGCCGGGCCACGTACATACAGACTCGACCGGCCAGCATCACCCAGGTATGTCCTGGCTCCCACCCACTTTAGCCTATGCCTGCTGCGTCTGCAAAATTACCTCGTCCGACACTCATGGCGTGCTCGCGCTGTCATGGCCTTCTGCAACAAAGCTGCCGGGCCGCGGTCATCATGCAGCCTGGGGCCGTACACATCACACCTGCGCCGGCAGTTGTTCGGGGTAAACGGACTGAGGCCAATCGCAGTCCACGCATATCTTTCCCTCAAAGCTTCACCGACCGCGGCTCTAGACTCCCCACAGCCTGGATGCTGTCTCACCTCTCACTCCCAGCGTTGTCAAATCAGCGTGCGAACTCTCAGCCTTTTGCATGGTATCGGCGTATATCATTTGTTGGCAATGCATTGGGTTTTCCTGGCGCGTCGTGTTTCATGGGTGGCATACTGCTTGCTTACGACGGAATTTTCTCCAATCGACCATATCAAATGCTTGCTTAGCTTGCTGTTTTAGAAGGGTGTCAGCATCTTCTGACACGGCTAGCGTGCAGTGAGAGAGGTTTGTGTTTCAATTCATACACCGCGAGCAAATATCTTTATAATAGTATTTTAGTACAAAATTCAATCACGAGGATCGGCCTCTGAAATAGACTTAGGGCATTCTCTTCACTTTGCTCTGCGCGTCCAATTCCCTTTGCAAAAGAGTAGGTGACTGTAATGATGCGAGAAATTTCGGACCCGAGAAAGTCGGCCGTGTGGGTCACGTGAAAATCACATGACGGTGATGGGTGGCGAACTTCTGTGCTGAGCGACAGCAACGACTTCACATGCACCTGTCACCCTGTGTCCAACACACAACTAAGACTGGTGCAGTGACTTATCCCGGGGAAACGTAACAAATGCCGCGGCCGACAACAGCAACTCTTTCACCTCTACACACATCCACGGCCGACAAACTCTGGTCTCCACTTGGTGCTCTTGTCAATCTACTTCAAGTCTGAGAAAGACTTCTGGAGCCATGGAAGAGACATCGACTAGGGGTCTTGCAGCTACGTTGGCCCACACCTCCATCAACGACGAGAGCGATGGTGGTGCCAGCAACCACCAGCCTTTTCGGCTTCTTGACCTGCCCCGAGAGCTCTGAGACCTGATATACGAGTACATGTTGTTCCCTTTTCCACTAAGGGAGTTCATCGGCCAGGACAAGATTTGCATAGAATCGACATTACCCTATTCTCGTTACTCTCCAAGGAGGACCGAGTAGTCATGGGCGCACGGATTCGGCCAAGAGCTCAAGATCTTGCTGCCGGTATCCGCAGTTCACAGAAACGCACATAATTCCTGCCAGACATATTAAATCCAAGAGCGCCAGAGGATACCAGAGCTCAACATTTTCCTAGCCAACAAACAAATCTACAAAGAAGCGCAACCAATATTCTACAGTGTGAATGAGTTCCAATTCGGCGAGATCTACTCTAGCGTGCAGAGCATTGCCATTGGTTTAGCCTTTCTCATGGACAGACCTCTAGAGGCACTCCGCAAGATACGTTATATCGGATTTGCGATAGAGGAAACAGTTCGGACGGAGGACAACGGTAGTCCAAAGGCGGTACTTACCAATGAGAATCATGTCCAGCGGTTTTGTCAAATCGTTAGCGAGGACACGGAAATCAGGGACCTAAAACTTCATATTCGAACGTCTGGCTTCCATCTGCATGGTGCATTGGATTGGGCGTGGCCTGGAAGCACGAGACTAGATCTCAACATTGAGCCGGACTCTTCAATTCCAGATTGGGTGTGCAAGTTCCTGGACATCAACAACCTCAATTCGCTAGAAATCGACTGGAGATCAGATATTTCGCCCGTCGTAGGTCGATCAATTAACGCCATACGGTCTATGAGGGCGCATATGGTCAAGAACGGTCAAACCCTGAAGGACGAAGGTATCAGGGTCCAAATGAGGCATGACTGAGTAGGGGTTGGACGCAAAGACATCGCACCGGAGCAAAGATCGATACATGGAACTGAAGATGCAACATTCAACGAATGAGACAAGCTCGCATCGACTCCAGTAAATGGTGCATCGACTGCGGTTACTACCCTGATGGGCATTTCCCATGGTGTGAAACGGAGACACCGACTAGCAATGAACATGAGCCTCATATTGAAGCCCAGGTCGCCGATGGGGAAGTGCACATGCACGAAAATAGATCTGATCAAGCCACAACTTCAGACACTGCAGAGAAGAATTGTGAAGAGGATAAGGCGAATGACAGCCAGATGGGTGGTGAAGAGGGGGTGGGAAAAGAAGACGACAGCAAGCAGTGACGATGACGAAGAACACAGTCTCACGACCGATGATTACGACAGCAATACAAAGCTCTACTATCATCTCGCCGACGACCGATCCTATACAGAAAGCGATTTCGGAGATACCGACAGTCTATTGAGTGTCTATGGCTGGAGCGACAATGAGGCAGAGACATAACCATGCAGACTGTTTGTGAGTTCTGGGCTTACCTAAAGGATGTCATCGAGCCTCTTTGCCTCATCCTCGCTTGCACTCAGTTGGAAATGGCCGAAGAAGACTTGTCTGGCGCAAAGATCGGCTCTCTTACTACAAGATGGGTCTGCAGACCATCCCCTCTATCAGGATTAGTCAGAAACTTGTATATATCTTTGCTGCCGCTCAACAGCTAGCTTTGTCACCTTTATCACTACAACAGCTTTTAGGTCTTGGTCTGATTTCCCTCGTACTGTCGCTCGACGTCAAAGCTAACCCCTATGGTAACGCCAAGCGTGTTCTCTATAGATCGATCTATTTACATAAAAAGCTGACTGTTCGGAATTAAGCCGTACTGTTTAGGAAAATGGATGTGTTTCGTTATCGTTCGGAACGGATGCACGGACTGACCCCGAGGAAAGCGAGTTCCGTTGTTAGACGACAGCAACTCTTTCGCTCCACAAACGCCCTCAGTCTCCAACCTCTTGCCTTTTCCCGGCGCTCTTGTCAACTACATCAAGTCTGCGAGCGGTCACCAACACCATGGAAGAGGACTCGCCTGCAGATCTCATAGCGACGACGCTTGCCCGCATCACCAACACCGCAGAGAGATAGCGACACCAGCAACTATGAGGTCTTTCGGCTTCTTGACCTGCCCCGAGAGCTCCGCGACCTCATATACGAGCAAATTCTTTTTCTTGTACCACGCAATGAACCTAGGGTTGACCCGGATAGAATTTGCTTCGTAGGGATCTCCGGTATAGATTACTCGCGACTTTCATCACTAGCATTCTCGCAGAGGACCTTATGGTCATCTAGAGAACGTGGGTACAGCTGTAAGGAAGACTATCTGTCTGCGATTGCACCACCGGCATCTGCAGATTACATAATAACACAGCACCGGGGGGCGTATATCATCGTTGATGACCAGAAGAAGCCGAACCTGAACATCTTCCTAGCGAACAAACAGCTCTACAACGAAGCACAATCGGTGTTTATTCTGAGAATACTTTCGACTTTGTCGAACACCACTTCGAGACCAGTATTCCGACTTGCCTGGCCTTCCTCGCCGATAGGCCTCCAGAGGCTCTGCGCAAAATCCGCTCCCTTGCATTTGCCGTCGACGATGTCATCCAAACAAAGCACGATGGCAGCACAAGCACGAGGCTTATCTACCAGGCCCTTGTTGGGCGCCTTTGCCAGGTTCTCAGTCGGGACGTTTTGGGCCTCCGGCACTTGAAAGTGAGAATCCGAACGAACGGCGACTATTTTGCGCAGGGCCATTGGGATTGGTCTGGGACCACCACGCGACTAGATCTCCGCGCTGAGCCAGACACCTCCGCTCCGGACTGGGTGGGCGTGTTCCTGGGCATCCGCAGTCTCGAGTCGCTGGAAATCGACTAGACTGCAAATATCTCGCCTGTTATGGGCCGATCGGTCGCGGCTGTACGCGCTATGCGGGCGCACATGGTCAGGAACGGACAAGGCTTGCGGAACGAAGGGATTAGGGTTTAGCTGAGGCATGATGCTTGGTTTACAGGGGGAGAAAGCGCTGAGACGCATCGGCGGGGAAGGGGGCCGCATCGACACATGCATTTGAAGATGCAAATCGATCACCGTGGCGGAACTAAACTGCGGCGAATGAGACGGGTTCATAGACAGTCGCGCATGGGTCATGATCTATGCTTGTGTCGACGAATGCTATCGGCTGAAAACGAAACCGGAACAGAAGTCGACGGAGGCCTTGCCGCTGATGCTGAGAGCAGGGTGCATGGAGATAGAAGCGCGGGCCGCCCACAGTATGTAAATGAGGATGGTGGCGAGAACGAAATGAACAGCCACAGCTCCGCCGAGCAAGAGAGAACCGGGGAGGAAGACAGGGAAGATAGGCTTACGGCCGATGGCTACGGCAGCGAATTCGAATTCGAGTTCGAAGTTCATCACAATGAAGAGTACTCATACACGGAGAGCGACTACGGAGAAACCGATAGCGTGTTAAGCATCCACGGCTGGAGTGACGACGAAGCGGGGATATAGCCTCGAAGCACAGAGACGCATGACCATGACCGACAATATGGATTCGAGGGTGTGGAATGACCATTCGGATCCGATTGATAGCGAGGATGAGACGACGGAATGATTGCAGAGATGTCGAGTTCAGAGCTGGGACTCAACCAACGAGTTGCTTCGTTGAATTGAATTGGTTGAAGTCTTGGCAGTCGATTCAGTCAGTTAATGACTGCCCACTTGATTAATCAACCAATGCCTTCGTTTCTGTTTAGTTGACCGTACAAGGCTACAAGCTTGCCGTCAATCTTGGCGAATTGAATTAATTAAATCAATTTCGAGGGGCCAGATTGATGGAGTGATTAAGTGATTCCTAGCCCTGATCGAAACCTTGCGGAGCATACACTGAGCGGTAGATCAGCCGGCGATACAGTACAGACAAGTTGCTTAGGTATCGATTCTGCGGGTTCAAAGTCCAATAGGATTACAAGATGCAACGCCTTCACCTCTGCACTCTTTCCTACCATTACTTTGAATCCTTCCCCCATTGCACTCTCAAAATTCTTCCGTCAAACTCATTGACTTTTGACTGACTATTCTAAGCCCCACGTGAGCCCACGCCAATCCTAAGTTAGCAGCACATTCACTATCAACCCTCACATCACCGACATCACCCTCATCCCAGCCTCACATCACTCATCAAAGCCCCTAACACCCCCTACTCAATCACCACACTCTCAAATCCCCGGTCCGCCTCCGCCCACCTCCTCAAATACACCTGCCCAACCCCAACCCTCCTTCCCACTCCTCCTTCTCCACCCTCCCCAACCATCATGACATTAAGCGTCGGCACATCATCCCACTGATGCACCAACGCCCCCTCGTTATCAAAATAACTCAAGTCCGCCAAATGTTTCGTATACGCAATATCCCGCTTCTCCGACGTCGAAACCCAGCGGCGAGGCCGCGGCGGCCATTTACGAGCAGGAAGGTGTTCAAGACGGGCTGAGAAAGCAAGGTGGTGCGGGCAGCTTGGGATATGCTGGGGCGCTGTTGATTCTGGGTTTGAGGGTAGGGCGGGTTTTTGTTCGGTAGGGGGTTTGCTGCAACCGCAACCATACAGCGCGCTTGGGGACAGATGCTGAGCGCATTCACCCAGAAGTCCGCTCATGAGGGCCGTGCCAGGGTACTGGGAGGTCGAGAGCGCGATGAAGCGTACTGGCTCTTTCCGACCGAGATTCTTATAGGGCTTCGCCCAGTGCTCGGTGAGGTAGATACCGCCCGCGACCAAACCGTCCTTGTTTCGAAGCAGGAAAGCATGGCGTCCCACTCTGACACTTTCAGCATCGGGGCGCTCCTCGGCGTGGTGCTCTAACGTAAACCACGCTGTCTGAGAGTGTACCAGTATGCGGCCAGGCACCCGTGCTAACTCGATATCGCTGTCAGAGAAGACAGGATTCGCTGTGTGGTAGTAGGCGTCGAAGGCGTCGTGCCAGTACGTAACATAGTCGGGCCATTTTCGCCAGAGGCGGGCTTTGTACTCTTTTCGTGGACAGCCTAGGAGCACGTAGTCTGGGGTCTCAGAGCGGATACAGCCGTTTTGCCAGGCAAGAGCGGCGACGACTTGTGCTTGCAGCGGGTAGTTGACGTCGTAGAAGAGCAGTTCGTCCCTCTGGCTCGGTTCGGGGATGGTCAAGATTGTTGGTTGAGTGTCAATCGACGTGACGATGCCCCAGAACGCGAGACTGCAGCCTCGTGGGGATGCGCCGCGGAAATGGATAGGGCCGTATGCCGAAACCCATGACCACGTTGGAAAGGTGTCGTTCGTAGAAGTCATACGACTACCGGTGTCATCGAACGATTCCCATAGTATAGCGCGATCGAACGCTTTCAGGGGCATGCCAAACACCATATGCGGCCCATACATCCCATTCAGAATCCCCGAAAAAGCCCGCAAGATATCGCTAGGATACGTCAACGATCGCTTCGTGTACGCCTCCACCCTATCCAGATAGGAGACTTGGTCCATGAATGTGCCTGAGATCTGTGCAGGTCCCTCTGCCTTGACAACTGGGTGCTGGTCTTGGCGGGAACGGTAGTACACGCCAAATTCGGTGAAGTACAACATTGCGATTGAGGCTTCCGATTCTTGATAGGTCCAGCCGCGTGTTTGCCATGCGCTCTGGGAGAGGCACATGGAGAGGCTTGGTGTGCTTTCGATGAGTTCGATGTCGTGCAAGTTCAACCTCTTTTGAGTTGACAGGCGAGGGAGGGTAACGCCTGGTAATCCGTAGGTCGCGCCTTGTCCTGCTGCGGCCACGATAGTAAAGGTAGATTTCCGATAGATCGCACCCATTTGATCTAGCTGAGTAGCTTTTAGCTCTGGAGAATCATCCTGTATAATGCAAAGGCGGTCTACCCAGAGGTAACTTTGCCCGAGGGCTCTGCATACTGCTATGGCGTCCGTAATTGTACGTGGGAGGTCTACGTGTGCTAGACTACCTACGTTTCCAAGTTCGAGAATGTTTTGCCGCGTGGTTTGAAATTGGCCGGCCGGCTCTGTGCCCCATACATAGGATAGAGCAACATATTCGGAACCGAGAGGTCGATTCACGATGCGTGATTGAGTGATATCGATGACCCTAAGGTCTTGGAGCTCCTTCTCAATATATGGAAGGGTCTCACTATCTTTTGTAGCTGGAATTTGTTGTCCAGATATCCAGTCGCAAATCATAGTCCAGTCTATGAAATCACTAAGCAACACCTTGTCGTCGAATTGGAGCAATTCTCTCCCTAGCGTCGAGGCTGAATTGGAGCGGATGTATATATCTTTACTCAGAGGTCCGATGCGACAAGGGCCACCCGGAGACTTTGGTAAACCTAGAGAAAAGGCCCCATTCATCATGATATCTACATCATTTCCAGAACGTTTGCAATGATCAAGCAAGCAACTGGCGACAAATTGGCAGAAATCGCAGTCCTCGGATCTTTCACGAAATGGGTCGATCCTAACGATAGTTTCCGTCTTTCCGTATGAATCGGTTGCAGGGTAGCACATAATAAGATGTCGAATCTGCAGATGTTGGCATGTAGCACACAGCTTTGGAGGTAGCAGCTGCTTTGCCTTGTGACAGTCAGGACACTCGATATGGAATAGACACTGTTTGAAGGGTTCATCAGCTTTTCGGATACCATGTTCGCTCCATGAATCAGTGATCAATGTAATCGTCTGAGAGGAACAGAGGCTGCATGTGTTCTGATTGTTGAGCGGCAGCTGGTTTATCGCTGAGATATGGAGAGTACCAAGCTTTTCTGGCGATGTCATCGCGATATAGCTGTGGAAACTTAGAAACGAATATTGGCGTCTTGTATGCGTTCGTGAGTTCTCTGTCTCAGGCTCGAGTTCTAGCCGCGGCCTGCCAGGTTCCAGTTTCCGCCCCCAACTCTCGAGTAAACTTGCCGTCGAGATGTTACGTCTCAGGGCTGACTTGTCTGCTACTTTATCATCAGCGCAGTACTCTCAGCATTTTCGATGAGTCGATATTCTTTTCTGTGCTTTCAAAGTAGTCTGTTCGTATTCTTCCCCACTTTGTACTCTCAAAAATGACTTTCTGAGCGCCTTTCTCTCTTCTTTCATCTTTAAGCAACGTGTCTAGATTCCCTAACCTAGTCCCGGTATCGGAATTCGATCACTCCCATTGCCAGTGCTCAGCCGCAGTCGTATCTTCAATACTCCAGTGCACAAACGAGCCCGCGGCGCGAGCAAACATGCACAGAGCGGTCAGCTCCAGCAACCCCACCTCTAGCCCGTAGCCAACGATGCTATCGCTGACCGCCCGGCCCTGCAGGGACAGCAAATCGTCACGTAGAAGCCCGAATGTGGCTTGCGTGTCCCGCTCTTCGTCGGGATGAGAATGAGATGGAATCACTCCCAGTCCGACGACGCGATACGGGATCACGCCTTCCTCATTCGCATCATAGTGAATAGGCCGGCATATGCAAGCAAGGCGATGGTTTGGGGCGTTTGGACTCTCAGAATTGAGAACGAAGATGGTGTCGGCCACGGAGGGGATGTCGAAGCTCCAGATGTGGTGCAGCGTTGACGTTCCAGGGAATTCACGGATGGTGTAACGTCTGGGAGGGTGTTGTTGGGGTGTGTTCTCCACTTTGGAGGCTGCAAGATCGTGTAGTGGGTTTACGTCTGCGGCAGGAAGTTGAGTAACTAAACGACCAAACCGTTTGAGTTTCGCGAAATAAGATCTAGCGATCAAATTATCGGCCAGTGTGGACTTCGGATTCGATTGTAGGATCTCTTTTGCGCACCCGAGTGCCCGTCCGAGATCCACTCCGAGACGTGTCGATAGGGTGTCGCAAAATGGTAGGCATGGGATGCCATCGTAGACTTCCTGTGGAAGCGGGCAGCAGCTCATGCTCTGCAGGAACAAGATCTCGATAGGAGAGGAGTAATCGGGCACAAGGCTCCCAGGGTTGTCTTTGGTGTCCGATGCAAGACTTAGGAGACCGTAAATCAGGTCTCGAGGCTCGGTACACCTAGACATGTGGCATTGGAAGAGGAGTTGTCGAAGTGTTAGCCTGGTGGCGATGATACGGAGCTTTTTCAGCTTGCCGAGCGGATGAGTCGGGTTCCTCATGCCAATTGACTGGTTGTCAGTATCCTGGTCCGGCATGTGGAGGATGAAGTCGGGCCAAGTAGCGGACCGGTCTCCACAGAAAATATGGATGTCGGAAGCAAGGACAAGCTCTTGGATGATCCATGTTCGCGTCCAATACTCGCGACGTTGGAGAAATGCAATGGCGGCTGAGCGAGGGTTTCTGGCGTCAGAATCGACCTTTTTGAGTGATTTTGAAGGGGCTTGATTGAAAGAATCAAAATATTCCTCGCTCCCATCAGCTTGAGGTCCAAGCCAGACAAATACCGACTTTGCATTGGAGTAGATCAAACCCATCAATGGGACTTGGATGCTCTTTTCCGAATTATCGTTCTGACTAATGCAGAGAGCATCAACCCAGAGGGTCACAGTTGCATCCGCCAAACGGAGCTGTTGTAAGAAGTCGAAAAGATTTGCTTGAATGGAATGGGCCACGCCATTGAGCTCTATCTCTTGGAGGCTGCCAGGAACTCCCCATGTGTATGAAGCAGCATAGTAGAAAGGACTTGATGTCAAAGAGCTGTGGATGAGGGAGCATTTTATGATTTCCTCTCGGTCACCTGGCAAGAGCTCAAGAAGACGAAAGTCCTTTGGCTCTTTAAGCGGTTGATAGGCGAATTTCTCGAATTTGGATGCCATAATTGCATTTCAGGAACACGCCCTGGGGCATGAATACGTCGAAGCTACAGTAGATTTCTCAAGCTAGGTTATGAAACGGCGCAAAGGCGATACTGATCATGGTTGAGGCTCCAAACGAGACATCACTTGCCTGCTTTGTTATGGATGTATTGACTTCTACTCCGCTGGAGACGAAACTTGCTATTTGGGTCGTACAGCTACCGATTGCTGTAGCGTCTTTCCGGGTCAAGAAGTCGTGCGGTGGCTTAAGGTACGTGATTTGGATGAAGGCTGGCTGCCCTGCTATTGAGAAATCTTAGGGTGTACACCGGACTAACCGCTTCCATGCTAGCGGAACAGAATAAATCAACCTTCACCCCTACAAAGGTACGTACACCTGGACATCGTCCTCGCCGTAATGCCCAAGCGCCCTTGTACAAGCCCACTTCTATTGCTGTTCAGTGGTCTCCAACGTAACTATCCCAGAGATGACGTTTCGCCCAAACCCGCGATCGACGTTCTCCAAAACCTGCTGAGGCTGGTCCCTGTTCCAAGAACTTCGACACCACCCAATGTCATCTACGATAAGGCAGATCGGCACTTGCTCGCGAAACAGACTGCTGCAGGGAACCGCCACATTAGCTGTTAATGCAGGAGCCGGCTGGCATCATGACAGGCTTTGGTACCTCGTATCTGGGTAACGGGCCGCCACTCAACAGCGAAGAGCGAGCGGAACTTAAGAATAAGAAGTGGGATGATCCGTAGGTTGGCTACGGTAGCGCTACATATTTTATAGACTTATGGTAGCATCCCTAACTAAGATTCGGAACTCTTCTCTTTCTCCACCAAACATCTTCATCCACCATAAGTTACACTGCAAGAATCTCTCCCTCTCTGTCGCTATCCCTTCACTATGTCACCTAACCACACCCTCGCCAATTCCGTCTCCCCCACCGAAGAGTCTAAACCTCCACCAGACTCCACCACTCAAGAAACCACCCCCAAACCCTTCAGCATAATGAGCATCCATTTTCCCCGCAAACCCCTTTTGGACCTCTCCTCCCGACCTACCCTCAACCGCACCCCCTCCGTCCAAACCCGCTACATGAACATGCTGCTCGCCCTCGATACCATTCCCCGTCTGCACAACATCCTCGCATCCGCCTTCACGTGGATCCTACTCGCAGGATACGTGATTTTCCCAGGCACCTTCACCTCCCTCCAGAACAGCGACGTCATCAACGACTCCAAGAGTAAGAGCGAGGCTGAATCGACAGGTAAAGAAGTGCTGCGGCACGTGGCTTTCCTGCCATTACTATGGGTCGCGGCGGTATGTTGCATAATCGGAGCTAGTGGGATGTGTTGGCTGTGGTGGAGGTGGAGCGAGAATTATGTGTGGTTGCTAAATCGGATATTTTTGTATGTGAACTCTATTTACTTTTGCATGATAAAATATGGTGTTATGTGTGTAAGTGTGTATTATGGCTAACGGAAGTATGCAAATTAGACCCGGCTGCCTCAACAGCCTCGCCGGCCTCGTCAACACGCTAGTAAGTGTGTATACGGCGCAGAATCGGCAGTGGAGCATCACAGCGAAAGTCACTGTCTGCGTTACTGGATCGTGCACGTTGGTCACGGGGCTGCTGTTTGTGGTGTATAACAACCTCGTACTTTCAAAGGTTAAGCGGAAGCACGAGCGTGAGATGCAGTTGAATGGGACGGAGGACGAGCACGAGGATATTCTGCACAAGATCAATCGGAAGGCGCGTGAGCCGGCATTGGAGCCGAGTAGTGTGGTGTAGGGAAGGTTTCTTTTCCATTCAATAAGGGGCTTTTGTGATTTATCTCACTTCTTCAAGTGCAACCTTGACCTCCATCGTTCAACCCAAAATCCACTTCACCATAACCACTAGCTCATTTAAGCATTGATATATGCCAACCCACCGATTTCCAAGGTAGAGCACGTATGGTGCTAGAACACAAACTTTTGACCTCTTTCCTGCCACTGAATCCAAAATTCGCTCCAATAAGGCGAGCTATTCCGAACCGCGACAAGATAGGTCGATCGGGGGCGCCTGAACTCGTTTGGATCCACGCTATCGAGAGTTATGCATCTCATCTGAATTTGTGGTGATGTGTCGAAGTGTCCAAGGTACTGTATACCTGCGTCAGGTCTCCTCCGCTTCGTCATCACTCCAACCATGGACACTCAAGCTATCAGGGTCTCCGTTGTTGCTGGCGCTTTCTTGGCCGTCGCCTTCGTTTATTGTTCTCGTCTTCGCCATTGCCTTCACCGTCTCCTGCAGTGTCCTGAACGGCTGAAGTCACATTCGACCGACTTCCGTGAGTCTGGTTGGCTATACCAGCTTGCTGTCCAGCTGCTGGTTTCTTTTGGCAAGCGCAAGGATCAAGCTCCTCATCGCGGTTGCAATGACAGCACTCTCCTTCAGGGTCCCAGAGAGCGTTTTGGCGTTGCCGAATGGTGCTTCTGCCATGTTGATCGGCTTGCATGTGAACCGTCATGAAGCGGTCACTGTCGCGGTGGGAATGGCCAAATCCCTGATGCCGACGCCTCATGAGAACTCGAATGCCTTCATTCTTGGGATATGTAAATTTTCCACTATTCTTGACCATGGCAGACCTCATAGCTCGAACAGCTTTGACTGACCGTCCTACAACACGTGCGGCATCTGCTTCCCAAACAACCTCAAGAGAGTCAAGATTTTTGTTGATTCTTGGAAAGGTTGGCACCCAAGCTGGGATCCAGGAATACCATTCGGTGCTCATTTCGACTTTCTCACGGTTGGCCCAATCCCACCTCTCATAGTCGTCGTCAAACTCGCCAACCAAGAACGTTCGGATGAAGAGCGTCAGGTGACGGAATGCCATCCGCTGGCTGATCAGCTCGCCAAGAGCCATATCCCGACCTCCGGAATAGATATATGGCTGCTTTTTCACATCCTGAACGTCATCCGTTGGAGGATCTATCTTTTCATCGACGTGAAATTCAATGCTGCGGATCGTACGGAGTGTTTCTGGAGATCTGTCGTGAAGAAAGGCCGCGCATGCAGGAACTTCGCTGAAAGCGAATGTGTTCTTAGAGTAGAATATCAGCTGTGCTTCTTCGTAGATCTGCTTGTTCGTCAAGAAAATTTGGAGATGCGGTCTTCCCCTGCCAGGTTTCGAAGCGTCGTCGGTGGTCTTCAGTTGATAGGTGCAGTGAGGAAAAATAAAGCGTTCAGGCATAGCACCCAGATGATAGCTCATGACTAGGGTTTCATCGTAGTCGCCCCACACCCATGACCATACGCTTCTCGAGTGGTGTGTCTTCGCGGCCAGCCTTACCGGGTAGGTCAGAGACAGCCCGAAATATTGGTCAAGTCTGCCATCTTCACGTACTCGGATAGCCTGGACGTCAACCTTGTCCCGGACTACCATCTTCTCGTATATCAGGTTTCGGATCTCTCTGGGCAGGTCAAGCAGTCGGAAGCTGGCGGTAGCTGCCGCATCTGAGGACGGATTCTCTTCCATGGCGCCGAGGGCCTTCATCGAGCTGAATGGGTTGACAGCAGCACGAAAGCGATGGTAAGGGTGGAAGCTTGTGGAGTTGTAGTGAGTGAGGGGGAGGTGAAGTAGTCGCTGCTGCTTAGTAAGGCTTCTGTCGTCGTCAACAGTCCGACTCGTTTGTGTACACTGCTTGACCGGTTCTTGTGGTCCTGAAGCACATGATCGAGGACTGGGATCTTAACGGAATGCGGCTGTGCGTGCATGTGAAAAGTCACTCGCTCACCTGTTGTGTTGCTCGCCACCGAGCCAGCTACTGTACTTAACCGCTCGTTCCACCATCTCCCAGACCTAATTTTCTCATTCTACATCTACCAACAACGTACTGCAGCTGTGCCTCACTAGTATTAAACTGCAATATACCAACACCTTGTCGAAAGATTTAGCTGCGGACTGAAGGTATGTGCCTACAGCAACGTCGGGTGACGCCGTCTGGAGTGGCACTGCAACTTTACCAATTTTGCAAAATCATTGATTGACGTCGTTTTCAAATTTAGGAAAGTGTGTTACACCATCCTTAACACCAGCAACCATGGAAAAATATTTTCGTTTGCTGGATCTTCCTCAAGAGCTCCGAGATCGAATCTACTACTTCATGCTAGTCCGAGATTGGGCGGATACCATTCCGGAATCGAGGATCACGCACAAAAAGTATCCCGCCATCGCCTACCAACCAGCGGAGCTCACAGAGGAGACACCTCCCGGTTATGAAGCTCCCTTCCTCAATATCTTCCTCGCAAACCGCCAGGTCTACAGCGAAGCGTCTCCTGTCTTCTACTCGTCGAAACGTTTTGCTTTTAATGAACCTCCACTCTCCCTTATGACAGCCTACACGTGGTTGATTGGCAGACCAGAACAAGCGCTGGAGAACATTCGGTCGATTTCTTTGACGGTCCGAGAGTTTGCTGACCCATCGTACCTACCAGTTGTTCGTGTGGAATGTCACGATTTCTGGGACGTTTTATGTGAACTTCTTCAAGGACTGCCCAATTTTCGCCATCTTGAGCTCATAATCCGGACAGTAATAACTACGGTAGACCAACAGCCATGGGACTGGGCAACTGATTGGACCGTAAATAACTGGACCATGGACGATCTCAAGCTCGCCCAGCAGCACAAAGCAACTCCTTCATGGATTTATCCCCTATTCGAGATACAGGGTCTGGAAACACTGTGCTTAACTTGGGTGACGAACGTTACTCTTATCGAGCGAGCAATGAGAGCAGCTAAGTTGATACGAGGATCCATACTCACCAACGGAGATACGATGGGTAAGGAGGGTATTCGACTTCGGCTTGACCACTACCTGTCATGGGTCAACAGCTATCATCGTGTCAAGGGACGTACGGTCTTCCTCGAGATCAAAAACGACAGGCACGGCAAGTCGCTTTTGACTAAACTGGGCGCTCGACGAGGCCCCAAGGATCCATGGAACCGAGGCGAGGACGCCGATCTTATACCAGATCTTGAAGAGCTCGAGCTAGATCCGGTAGAACCGGATCCTTCTTACACGGAGAGCGATTGCGGCGATAGAGACAGCCTCAATAGCGTACATGGTTTCAGCGATGACGAAGAAGATGGGTGAGTGCACTCTTGTTTACCGCTGCTTGGGGTTTCAGAAACTAGGCCAGAATGTGAAGTGTGCATGAACAGAGAGGGGCATGCTTTTAGATCCAGAAAAACAACTACGAGTTTCAGCTAAGATGATGAATGGTTCTTTCAGGCGAGGCAGCAGGTAAACGTGAAAGAGACGTGGGTGTATCCACTGTGCAAGCGGTTGGTTCTGTTAGGAGGGAATTTCTTACAGAAGGGTAATACTTCAGCTTAGAGAGCTTCCATGAATGCAATTTTATACAAGCTCAATACGAAACGCTAATACGTAGCTCTTACTAACATTCATAACGCTCGGTCCACGTACCTACATGTATGGACAATATCTCTTCATCGATGATGTGTATAACCTTTCCTGCTACCGTCTGGAGTGCCTCAATGCACTTCCACATATCTCAACGGGATAGAAGGTTACCGGTTTATGACGGATTAATGCAACTCACGAAGATGGACTGGAAATGTCTCGAGTGCCCCAAGTGCAGAGATGTCACGAGATGGATTGATGATGGAAGGGTGGAGAGAACGTCTCACCACAGAGACGGGATGAAAACGCTCGGGCCACTCTTTTATCGATAGGCCTCCACCCGACTTCAATTTTTTGTAACCCCACCACGGGTGACAACTCATACACATCAATCTCTTAGCCCAGACTTGAGCGTAGCCTTAATTTCGAAGACACAATTTGACAGCAGCTCTCTTCGAGATATCCCCGCAGATTGATCGAGGGCCACCCCCAAATACCTCTCTATCGACTGTGAACCCAATATTTCCCCAAAAATGGCGGCCTACGACAGCGACTCTTCCGGCGGGGAGGACAATTTCACAGAAACCAACGTATTACTTGGCTACGCGTCCCAAGAACCAACCGGAGACGCTGTCAGCCATCTCGGGGGAGTTCCGGTAAATACACTATTTCACATATTTTCAAGTTCAGGCAGTAGCTAAACGGCAACAGGCTTGGTTGGACGACACAACAGCCCCATCCGGCGCCCTCGCAAAATGCAAAGTCTGCAACTCTCTTCTATCACTACTCCTCGAACTCAATGGCGACCTTCCAGAACACTTCCCAGGCCACGAACGGCGACTGTACGTCTTCAGCTGCCGGCGAAAAGCATGTCGGAGGAAGGAGGGGAGCGTGAGAGGAATTCGGGGTACAAGAGTCACCAAGGTCAAGGACGAGAAGAAGACACCAGCCCCTGAGGCCTCCACACCACAAGAGAGTGGGAAGAAGGCAGTGCAGTCGAATATCGGCGAATCGCTGTTTGGCGTCAAGAGCCCAGGGGCGTCCAGTGGGCCAGTGAACCCTTTCGCGAACCCGTTCGCATCTGGCACTGCTTCAAAAGCACCAGCGAACCCCTTTGCAACCTCAAAACCTACGAGTACACCCGAACCAGCCTCCTCCCCAGCTACATCTGCCGTAAATGCAGCCCTCACAAGCCTCCCAGTAACCTTCGCCGAAAAGGCACGCATAGCGCCTCTGTCCAAACCCACCGAAAGCATACTCCCTCGACCGCACGAGCCCTGGCCTGATCAGTCTGCCTTCCCAGAGCCTTACCCACAATACCACCTCGACGCCGACTACGAGACCCTAGACGCGTTCCCCACACCTACAATCCCGGAGAGTGCGCGTATGGATGTGGATGAGCCCTCGGCTTCAAGCGGTGGAGACAAAGAACTTTTTGAAAGCACGCTCGACAAGGAGTTCCAGCGCTTCGCCGATCAGCTGGCCCAAAATCCGGAGCAGGTCCTGAGATATGAGTTCAAGGGGGCGCCTTTACTATACAATAGGAGTGATGCTGTTGGCAAGCTTTTGGCGCCGACATCGCACGGTCAGGGTGGTGGGAAGGTTGTTGTCAAGGGCGGGAGTGCATCGCGTATGTCTAGATGCAAGAACTGTGGCTCGGAGCGGGTGTTCGAACTGCAGCTTACTCCACACGCCATCACTGAACTCGAGGGCAACTCCATGTCGTTGGATGGGATGGATTGGGGGACCATCATCCTAGGTGTCTGCGCAAAGGATTGCGTTGGCAGCGACGTAGGCGAAGGAGAGGTAGGATATGTTGAGGAGTGGGTGGGTGTGCAATGGGAGGAGGTCTCTAAGAAATAGTGCCTGAGTGAAGGGAGATGCAGAACCACACAAGTTGGTAGAGATGGTGAGAATGGCTAACAGCCTCATCCGAGGTCTGGACTTTTGGATCATTACATTTGACGATCTCTAAACTGGGATATCGTCGTCGCCTGTGGTGCCTCTCCTAACGCCGTGCCCTGCAAGGTCTCCCACCCAAATCTCGTGTCTTCGTCCATTCAGCCGTGAAGTATAACAGTTTAAACAGGTATAAGCCTGTTCCAACAGAAGTCGAACATCAAACAGCAACAAATGCCTACGCTGGTTGCTCGTACGCTCGCTTGATCAACCGTCCAAATTCTGCGAGAAATGTTAGCGCTACCCAAACCATTACCACTTGCCAAGGCCAACTTACGCTCGAATTTGACGTTCTCCGTCACGATCGTCCCCTCGGCCTTATTCTCCTTGTTCAAAGGCACCTTGATGCTGTCACCAGCAATTTCCCACCCAAACACCTGCACAAAGTGATCAAACTCCGGCCCTTGCAGATTTAACCAGCTCTCCAGCAGTCCCTTCTCCACCTCCCGCACCGCCTGGCCCACCGTCACCGCTATCCGCACGCGCATCGAGTCCTCGAAGCCGCTGACATCGGCAATCAGATCCGCGTACAGATCGTCGGAATCAAGCTTCTCCCAGAAAGCGGTGTAGTCGGCTCCCGCAAGCAGGTTGTTGAGCGAGTTGAGCTTCTGCACCGCCTCGGCTAGCGAGCCGTCGCCGGCGGACGCGGTGTTCTTCTGCAGGACGTGGGTCGGGAGGAGGGAGAGGCAGAGGCTGAAGTCCGGGTTGGGGAAGACGGTGAGGGCTTTGACGAGGATGTTGGTGATGGTTTCGTCGCGGGTGAGGTGGGGGTTGAACTGGTATCTGTTCGACGCAGAAGAGGATATCGTCAGCTTGGTTCCTTGTTTGAAAACTCTTTAAGAAGATGCGAAGAGAAGGGCGTATTCAGATAGAGCTAATAAATAGACATCATCGAGCTGAGGGGATTCAAGCCTCGGTGCTCTCCGATAATAGGAAACGTTATGGTGTTCGTCCTCATCATTATACATATATGTTTTGGAAATTTCTAAGAGGTCCAAAGGAAATGGGGCGTGTACGTACAGTTTTAGGAGGGCGAGGTTCGCGTAGCAGTCGTAGAAGGCTGAGTTCTCGCACTGCACCATCACATAGTCCTGGAACGTAGTGGTGGTTTCGGGGTTGTAGCGGTCGAGGCCATTGAGAATTACGTCGATGTTCTCCGGCCGGTCTTGTGCGTAGTCGAAGGGCCCCATGGTTGCTGTGGTGAAGAGGCGCAATGTGGGTTCTTTGAGGGCTTGAAGTTGAGGAAATTGAGTGCGCCGGATATTACCGTAATTTTGGCGTTAGCCGTATTTTATTTGGAAGGGGATCTGACGCTATGACCTTCTCCCTAAACGTCTTCACACACATCTCACGCGTCTCAACTGTCCTAGGAACCCACAAGTCTTCACTTTAATGTACAGTTATGTGTTTGCTCACCTTGGTGGTGAGGCAATGCTATCGCTACCAGTTGTCAGGGGCTGACGAGAGTATCGCGTGGAGGGTTGATCTAGGAGTTCAATCGTCGATAATCCTTTTGGCGTTTGCAACCAAGGCAGACTGAGAATCAATTTCTAACTAACCCAGATGCAGTCGTCTCGGCCTAATTGTAATACCATTCACCCCGAAAATGCTTTTGTACGGTTTCCCCTCGTCTGAAATGTAGGAAAAGTGCCCCTTATCCATTGCAATCTCCAGCGATCGCACCATGCCATCCTCTGCATCGTATGCCGACAATGCCGCCGATAATGCCTGTTCGAACCAAGGACTCGCTTCATCCCAGGCTCTGACGCTCTGATAGACCAGTCCTACGGTTATCGCAGTCCAGATCGTACGTTCATCTTCAAATCCAAACAGTTCCACAGCTTTCTCTTCGATCTTTCGGAACATCCTCTTACTCAAATCACTGAATCCACCGCGTAGAAGTCCTGCTGCAACTGCAATGCATGCTTCAAGGAAATCCAAGCTGCAAATTTTCTCCTTGTCCCACGAAAAGGCATCCCAACACATGTCCAATAGCTGCCTCGCTTCTGTGAATGTGTCTGTATGCTTGGAAACGGTGTCCAATTTGTTATACAGCTTCAGAAGCTCGGCTCTCGCTTGCACAGCTTGTATCGCAAATCTTGTGAGGTCGAGGATGCATAGAGCTTCAATGTTCCTTATCAGATCTTCGACAGCGGGCTCTCCAGTCGCCACGTAGGTGCGCGCCGCTCCGATGCCATGATCGATCCTGGATGAATTTGGGGCATTGCTCAGCTCGTTGACGATGTTTTGAAGTCGGGTTGCAGATGATTCTGCCCGGATCACAGTATCTGTACCGCGTGTCGTTCGGTCCCTATGCGGAGGCTCATCCTTTGCTCGTTCATAGGCGTCCTTGGCGTGCGCTAGAAGAGCCAAGGCGTCCACCTCCCGGTTCCAATTCTTGAGTAGGTCCACCATGTCGAGCCCATGCTGAAAGGTCTTTTTGTGTCCAAATCCCCAACGCTCAATGAAATCCTCACTGACTCATTCTAGCACCTGGTCCACCTCCCTCACACGTCCCTGTTCGGCATAGAAGTTTGCCAGCTCATAGGCAATTTTCACAGTCTCTTCATGTGTGGGTGTGAGAAGATAGCGGTGTCCCTCAAGAGCTTCCGTGAACTCCGCCTCTGCGCGGTCCAAGTACCCTTCGCGGGAAGAGTCTCTAGCCGCCTCTAGCACCTCGAGAAGGTTTGCCCGATTTCTGCCGTTCCATGCCAACGGGAACGTCTGCTTGCGAGTAGCAGGCTCTAGCTCGACCACCTCCAGTTCGCCGTCTTGCGTGGTAAGCTTCAGGCGTTGTGCGGCAGGAGAGGCATATTCTCCAGGGTCCTTTGGTGTCTCCCAATCCATATCCGCAGGGGTATCAACCACTGTAACTAGTCAGTAGCTGATTCCGACTCAACAAAAGATCTCGACTGACGTGTGACTTTCCGGGTCCGAGTTGCGCTGTTTGAGGCTTATTCTCTAGTCCAAGGCTGGCCCTTGAAGGAGAATATTGTCTTCTTTCCGTCTTCAACCTCTCGTTGGTTCGCTCTCTCCACCATCCATTGCGCAACGTCCCCGGGAAGACGCTTGATCCACTTCCACGACTTGAATCTGTCTTTGTATTGCTTTTGACTGCCACAATCAGCGTAGTCACCTTACGTCTTAATTGTCTCCTTACGTCGGGCCGAAGTCATATTCCTGCTGCATGTGTTCCATCACAGCAGGCAAGCTTTTGTCCTCTACCATATAGAGCTGATGCAAAGTATCCCTGTGTTCTTCCCAGTCCTGATCACGGAACCTTCGTCGAGAGTTTGTCGCTCGACGTCGGGGACCGGTAGGAGGTGGACGCCCAGCCTGAGTCGGCTCAATCTCCACGGCGTCATGCGGACGGGCATTCGGCACTGAGAACGGATAAGAAGCCATGGGCGGGTGTACAGTAGCTAAGGGCTCTGTAGGGTTCACACTCAGTCCACTTGATGCAGGCTCCGTGGGCTCATGATACAAAATGGGTGAAGGGAGCATGTTGCTCCAATCGTATTGTAGGGAGTCCATGTTGTGCGAGGTGCAAATACAAGAATGAGGTGTATGAAAGAGATGGATTCGAGGAGCAGACGTGGAAGTCGCGACCTTAAAAAGCAAGGCTGGCCTCGTAGCCTTTCCTTTTGTCTGTGCTGCCCAGATCGGTGTAAGTGCCGAAGTACGCACAAAAGTCCCTTCCAATGCTCCCAGGCACCCTGGTCGGAGGCGCTCAACTGTTTGTCGGGCTGTACGCGCTCTACGCCCACGACCTGGAACTGCCAGCTGCCAATACACCAGCAGGCATCAGCGCCGGCATTGCCATTGTGGTCACATGCAGGGGTTCTTCAAAAGGACCCAAAAGTCCTGCATAAAAAGTCCGTGCGATGGCCTCGCCCCGCGTTAGGTCAGCTAGGTCAGTCTGGTCAACACCGCCAGGCCGCGAAGCATCCCACTCTGTGCCACATTGATCTTCGATCTATCGTCCGAACGTCAAAAGTCCCAAGTAACGGTACTTCTGTCTCCGATACCCGACCTTTGCCTTTGACATGTCGTATGAGGCGGCCGAAAGCACCTGCAGCATCCAAAAGGACCATGAAGTCCTCAAAGGTACCGTTTCATCCCGCTGCCGACGAGTGCTCCGCCAACAGTGCTATTGTCTTGTACCTGGGAGCAAAGGTACAGGTTGGCGCAACTATAAATCTCTCCGTTGTCGAAGATGTCGTCGCTTTACCAAGTCGCATTGAGACACTGGCATATGACAGCTTGGCCACTACGCATCTGCTACTTGAGCTGTTTACAGTCGGCATTCCTTGAGAGCCTGCCCAGCAACAATGACCAAGAACACCACTACGAACTTCGGTAAACCTCATGGCCAACCTCATCATGATAATGCAGTGAGCTGAACCCGTCCCCTTCTCTATATTATCCAAAAAATTCAAGTTCTAAGTTATCCTCATGACAGCTCCAGCAGGCTAGACAGGGGAAAAGAGACGATTCAGCCGATTTCCAGTGTCGTCAAATCGAACGCGATTGGCTTGGCCCTCGAGACTCCGTGATACGGGGGCTGGAAATAATGCTAGGGGTGTTCAATCTTTGATGATGAGGCGGTGGATGCAAGAGAGTATGCGCGATCAGCCTTACCACAATATGGACCAGGTGGCTATTCTATCTCAGCGTGCAAGCGCCGAGAATCGAAACCAAGATGGGTCTATAGAAATGAGCGGATGATTGCTGGATGCATTGCAATCTTGGAGTGGCAAGGATGATGCAGTGCGAAGGAGCCGGGCGACGTGGCATAGGCTTAGCAAGAAGGCTACTAATGGAGAATATGTTTATCAGTGAGGCTGCAGAAGCGTAACCTGTTGCCTACAGCCTCTTTGCGCATCGTATCTCGTAAATGCTGTGTAACAAAGGTTTTCAACCCTGCAAAAGCTATAACGGCCAATGAAATCTCTCTCATCAACTTCCAGTACCATAGTATACCCTTGCCGTCACCTGCACTCTAATCACAGAATACGCAAAGGGGCTGTATGTAATGCTGATTCTCAGCTCATCGTTATGCTGCATTGACGTAGCGCGTGTGACCGGTCGTACGCTCGGGAACTGACAAGGCTGCACTCATTACCAAGCGTGCCTTGTCGCAGATATATTCACATCTCATCTGCCGTCGCCGTCTCATCTCTTCTACGCCATTTCCCCCATATTCCTTCCAGTTTTCCACATAACGTTTGCCACTATTAGAACGGACCGCGAGTCATGTGAGATGGAAATGGGCCCTCCTTCAACAGATTCTCCACCTTGCCAGTCGAGTGCATCGGAGAACGGTTCTGATGCAGAACACCCGGAGAAAGGCACGTATTGGTCAGATAGCCTTACTTATGGCGTCACTGACGTCTCACCATTAGACAACTCGCAACCCTTCAAGCAACTTGTATCATCTGTACCAAGTTCGAGTCGCAGAAGCAAGAATTCGACCAAGCGCAAGCGAGCTTCTAAGAAAGCTCACAAAAGGATCAGTGAGGAACGCGAACAGCGACGGAGAGAAGGACAACAGTGAGCTTGATGAGCGATAACTGTCTCCGGGTTCATGTTCAATGACAACTTCATAGCGACATCCTCGAAGATTTCAATTACAGCTCCTTCATCTCCTTAGCCATTAACGAAACACCCTCTCTCGACATCTTGAAGGATTTCCCTGCAGAAGATGGAGCAGGCGAACGATGCGAACTTCACACATTTGAGTGTCGCTACAACTCTCGTGGAGAGTCAGTGACCCTTCAGGTGGGAGCCCGAAAAGAGATCAACGCTGAGAAGCCGAAAAGTCACGACGTCGCCTTAGTCCTTACCCGAGCGTTTGACCACTTGAAAAAACTCAAATCAATCAGACTGGAGATCAGATCTCCCTATATCAAGACCGCCCTGCGTAAGGTGGTCAAGACATATCCAGATGTGATGTTCGAGACGCGCGGTCCTATTACCCTTTATAACGAACCGAGGTGCCTCTTCCACTTTCGAAAGGAACTGCAACTATACAGTGAGAACCTTAGCGATTTCAAAGCCAAACAACATGTTGACTTCTGTTTGAAATACGCGTCGAAAACGCTGCGAAAAGATATCGATATCTACGAGAAGACGATGCAGAATGTGGGAGTTTTGCCTGGGCTAGAATTTTTGGTCCTCTGGATGGCTTTCAGGCCCGGAGACCTCATCTACCATCGTCAAAAGGATGGCAAAGAGATCATAGTCCGTTTGGTTTCAATGAAGGGGGAGCTAAGGGCTCGAGATGACATGACTGTGGACGGCTGCTGGCACATTCGGGGCGAACGAGTTACGTGCATTGGGAAGAAGTTCACTTAGGTTGCAAATTGACGTGAACTCTGTTTGATTTGTGAAGCCGTACGAGCAGACTATATACTATATAGGGAGCGTAGGCATAAGTACTAATTAGAGGCAGCAGTAGGCAGCGGTAGGCAGGGTAGGCCACCGTACCCCAACCCCTCTCTGTAGAAGTTGTAATTGGCTAGGCACGTAGGCCGGAAACCCTGAGTAGTTCGATTACGCATATCGAGACGGCAAAATCCAGCAGTACGATGGTTATCGGCCACTAACGGAGCTCGATTGGTATCCTCTCGAATATCATAAGGACAGACACCAAATTACACAGAAGATTTTGGCTCGCGGCAAAGTATATCTCTCGCTTGCTGGCATACACTATCGATATTACGACGGGGCTGCGAGGATATACCGCAAAGAGGCCAATTTCACCGATGACTGGCGAAGCCGCTCAGTAAGAACTCCCGTTACAAATCAACAATAGAGCTGACCATCTGCCTCAGATACGCCACCGAATCATGATTGATAGCGGGGAATACTATGAGAACATAAGCCCACGCACATTAAATCGCGCCAACATATCGAAGAAGTTTGACCACGCAGCAGTCGAAAACTCGACGCTTCCCGAGGAAGACATACTCATCAGCGATGTTGAAATCCCGGGTTTCTGTCTCGCCACGAAGCAATGGGGATTCTTCGATGTGGCAAAGATACAGAACATAAACCTCAGCACAACAGCCTTCGACAGTCTGGTGTTGGATCCCGCGAAGAAGTCCATAATCTCTTCCTTGGTGAAAGAGCAAGTTGGCCAAATGTCTGACTTCGATGACATCGTCAAGGGCAAGGGGAAGGGCCTCATTTTCATGCTTCATGGAGAGCCTGGGACAGGCAAGACCTTGACTGCAGGTAAGCAATCAGTAAGCTATCGGATGTCTGAATGATCTGACGTGCCCGCAGAGAGCATAGCGGACTATACTCAGCGACCCCTCTATACGATTGGATGTGGTGATCTCGGGACCAAAAGCCACAATGTCGAACGAGTGCTGAACGAGTCTCTGGCATTGGCAACCAAGTGGAAAGCTCTTGTCCTTGTTGATGAAGCCGATGTCTTCATGGAGAGGAGAGGCAATAACGAGCTCGAGCGCAATGAGCTCGTCTCGGGTATGACTCCAAACACTTCTTGTCCTCCTACGCTAACGCCTCCCCAGTATTATTGCGTATTTTGGAGTATTTCGAAGGCATCATGTTCCTAACTACGAACCGAATTGGCACTATCGATCCAGCTTTCAAATCCCGCATACACCTATCTCTTTCATACCCAACGCTAGGCACAGATGCCCGACGTAAAATTTGGAAAGGCTTCGTCTCCAAGGGTTCTCCGAGTCAATCACCCTTATGGCTTGACTCCGCATTTCTTGCCAATGTGGCCAAAGAGTCGGTAAACGGCCGACAGATCAGGAACATCGTCCGCATGGCATATGCGCAGGCTGCTAATGCAGGCAGGGAAATTGAGCCTACAGATGTTACTATGGGATTGGTAGCTCACAAGGATTTTGAGATTGAATTCAGCGAAGCGAAGGATCAGAAAGAGAGCAGCGAAAATCGAATCATTGAAGGATCGCCAACAACGTCCGTGCTTACTAATTTGATAGGTGGGGGTGGGTATAATCTCATTGCGGTATGGGCCTTGGTCTTGATATTGCTCGCACTCGAACTCGAAAAGATTGTAGGAAAGGCAAACTCTTCAGTGTCTGGTTAGTGGTCCATGCTATGAGTCGTTTAGGCGAATAGAGATATAGCTACATATCTGTGGATAGACTTCAATATGTATCGTCCAGGACGGCAATGTAGACTGTGATACAGAAGTTGGCAAGATTGCTTGAATAGATCGAAAGGCCTTTATCACAATAGCGACTGTTCATGCTCGCAATAGTGACCAAAGTATGTTCTCATATACTCTCCCAAACCTGCTGCACAGAAGATATGAACTTCAGGGCCGCAGTGTGAGATTTACTTAAGGGAAATTTCCCGCCCCCATCTACTCCGACCAACCATGCTCATCAATCCAGGTCAAGATCTGTCTTTGAATATAAGCTATCCCAACACTATTTTCCGCTGCTCATTCGAGGATGGGTCTACCGAGAATTCTTGCCCAAATTAAGAGCCGAACACTTCACGGTGAACAAGCTAGCATGGGAATGCGGAGGATGCCTATTTGTACAGTACAAGCGTGATGTTGCACATACGTCAAGAACTGAGCCGGATCTAAGCGTAGAAAAAAAATCTAGATCGGTGGATTAATCCACCTAAATACCTTTGCCATGGCCTAGCTCTACACCTGCATCCTGTAAAAGCACTCAGCCTTGGAGACCTCAAAAATCGTCTTCTCTTAATAGACCAGCATGTGCCACCATGGTCTTGGGCTTATGTTTCTGTGTCCACCGTGCTCAAGCCGAACAGGATGCGTAGAATAATACAAGCTTATCCTGTAACACTGTCGGCCCCAGGGATTCCGAAGCTCTTTATCCAGTGCTTGAAAAGCAGACCCCGCAACTGCCTTACCACGAGTCGGAGTAGCGGATCGACTAAGTAACATTGCAGATAAACATGAGGGACGGCAGCTGAAGTTTCAACCTTCCTTGTGTGTTTCTTTGTTACCATTCACAGCTGGCCTGGTTCACGCCAACTCACTCTATCCAGTCGATGAAATCACCGCAAGCACCTGTCTTAGCTACCCTTCGAAAATGACACCCTTTCCTTACGAAACATTCGTAAACACCTCCATACCGGTCACTAATTCACGAGGCCCTAGTTCCAGGTACGCCCAACTCAGTGAAGCTGATGTAAATCACTTTCTCGCAAATGGGCTATATCAAGATCCCTAGCTGCTCCACACAAGAGCAGTCAGCCGGTTTTGCATCCAACATCTGGGCTCGCCTGAATATGGACCCAAAGGACCAATCTACCTGGACAAAGGAACGCATTCACATGCCAACGCACCAGTCAGTACTGGTAGCAGACTTCGCGCCTAAAGCATGGAACGCAATGTACGTTGCTTTCTCCCGTTTTCGTCTTTACTATCGATTTGACCTTACTTAACGCCATAAAGATGTGATCTCCTCGGCGGAACGTCGCGTATCAATACAGCCGCATCTTCGAACTGGCGCGACAGCTTCATTGTGAATCTCGGCACGCCCTCCACTCTGAACAAACCAGCCACCCCACGCCAACTTTACGACTGGCACATCGATGGCGATTTCTTCATTCACTACCTTGACTCTCCCGAACAGGCTCTCCTCGTTATCCCGCTCTTCTCCGGCATCGCTCCCAACGGAGGTGGGACGTTCATCTGTCCTCCCGCCATTTCTACCGCTGCTCAACACCTATACGAAAACCCAGCTGGGGTAAGCCCACGGATGGTGCAGCGTCCAAAATCGCCAGCGGATGGAGATACGTGGATCTTCACGCTGAGTGATTGGTTCAATCCTGCGGTCCGGTCATTCCCACCCTCTGCGTTTGTGGAAGTCACTGGACAGATTGGGGACGTGTATCTCTTGCATCCGCTGATGCTGCATTCGGCGAGTAAGAATGCGACCAGGGTGCCGCGGATTATTACGAATCCGCCGGTGAGCTTGCGAGAGCCGTTTTGCTTTGATAGGAGGGAAGAGGATGAGTTTAGTCTTGTGGAGAGGAAGACGTTGAAGGCATTGGGGAGGGAGAGGTTGGAAGGATGGCAAATTCGGGGGAGTAGGGAACGAATTGTGCCAGAGAGGACGAATATATTGGAGAGGATGAGGAAGGAGGAGGCGGAGAGGTTGGGGAATTGAAGAGTTTGGGAGTATAACGAGTAATGATTGAATATAAGTGCTTTATGGGACTTGTTCGCTTTATTTATATTCTTCCACGGATATAGAAAACTTGACTATGAACGTGAAGTTGGGAGACGGTTGTGAGCGTTACACTACAAAACAGATATCGGAACTTAAAAGATCTTCTCAGGGTGAACGAAGAGAAATAAGTACCTCTTAATCATATTGCAAACACAAATTCCACCACATCGTGCTTGCCAGTTTCAAAATCCGATGACGTCCCTCTCGCTTGAGTAATGCGGGGTCATCAGTAGAAATTCTTGATGGACAGGCTCACCAGACCTATCAAAATCATCCACAAATTCCTACGATGGCGACCAGGCGAATTCTGGTGATCGCTGGTTCGGACAGCTCTGGTGGAGCGTACGCAGTCTCCCACCAACTTCCGTGACACTGATCTAATCGGCCATTCTAGAGGTCTGGAAGCAGACCAGAAGGTCATCGCCGCTCATGGATGCTATGCCATGACCTCTACGACCGCCCTGACGGCTCAGAATACTCAAGGGGTCCGTGGAATCCACGAAACGCCCTCCGAGTTTGTGAAGAAGCAGATTGATGCGTGTATTGAGGATGTTGGCGTTGACGTTGTCAAAACCGGTACGAGTTTCGGTGTTATCGTCTTGAATTAGATTCTAATACTCAATAGGCATGCTTGCATCTGCGGCTACGATTGAAGTGGTTGCAGATGCACTTAGCAGACATCACGTGGCCGTATCCGTAGTAGACCCAGTACTACCATCCTACATTACGCTTCATTTGCAATTCGACTAATTGAAAAGGTTATGGTCTCTACAAGCGGCGCTCAGTTACTCCCCGAAGCAGCAGTGAAAACCCTCTGCGGATCCTTGCTACCCTTGACCACCATCCTCACGCCGAATCTCCCGGAAGCGAAACTCTTGCTGCGCACAGCTGGTGTCGCCTTCAAAGAGGAACCAGAGAATGTGCAAGACGTGATCGACATCGCTAAAGCGATCCAGCAACTGGGCCCAACGTATGTGCTTTTGAAGGGCGGCCATCTGCCTTTGACAAAGGACAGGTTGACTTCAAAGAAGGAGGCAGACCGGGACATTGTTCTGAACGTACTGTGTGGCAACGGAAAGATCTTGCTTATGGAGTCGAAGTACATAGTGACGAAGAACACCCATGGTACAGGATGTTCATTAGCATGTGAGTGACTACCCTAACTCAAGACTAGTGTGAGAGACATAGGAAGCCATCTACTCAGGAATAACGAGATATGCTGACTGTTCTAGCTGCTATCGCTTGCAATCTAGCCTCTGGAATGGATATGGAGCAGGCTGTTAAGCTCGCCAACAGATATGTTGAGGCGGGGATCAAACTAAGCAAAGACATCGGGAAAGGAAGTGGTCCGATAAATCATTTCCATTCAACTTACAGTCTACCGTTTGCACCGTAAGTTACAGTTCTTAATCTAAGCATCCGACTGATGATCTTTTTAGTGGCGGCTTCATAGAGTATCTGCTCGAGCGAGATGACGTACGTGAGCCATGGAAAGAACACACCGAGCATGTGTTTGTGCAGCAGATGGCGCAAGGAACCTTACCACTCGCGATCTTCAAGCACTATTTGATTCAAGACTACCTCTTTCTGGTGCGTCTGCGATCTTTGCCAATATTTGCAAGTCGCTAATCCACGATAGATTCATTTCTCGAGAGCAAATGCCCTCGCGGCGTACAAAGCGAAGACTCTAGAGGACATCAGCAGAGTGAGGAGAGACTTCAATGGATCTGCATGCGGGCTTACAATTTCTAGTCTGCTAAAACTGTTATGCATATACAAGAGGAGCTGAAGCTTCACTTGGAGTACTGCAAGGAATTTGGCATCGACAAGGAGGAGGTAGAACGGAATGAAGAAAGCCAAGGTCCGCTCTTCTTCCTATCCAAAATGGCATTTGATCAAGGCTAATGGAGTGCAATATAGCATGCACAGCATACACGAGGTACCCCCAAAGCTCGCTGCAAAGACCCGTCTTGAAGACACGTTTGACGTAGCGCATAGATATGTGCTTGACATCGGGCAGTCAGAAGATTGGCTTGCACTCCAAGTCGCTCTCTTGCCGTGTTTGATCGGTTACGGCATGATAGCAAAGCGACTATACAATGACCCCAATACGACCCGAGAAGGAAACATCTACTGGAAGTGGATCGAGACGTATGTCGCCGATGACTACACAGAGGCGACGGTGAACGGATCCGGTAAGAAGCCTGTAAACTCTACGAAAGACAAAAGCTGACACTTTGTAGAACTTGTGGAGAAGCATGCGGTAAGACAGTCGGCGAGTCGCATCGACGAGCTGGCACAGATCTTCATTCATGCTACCAAAGTAGGCTCATTTTCCTAATTGGTGAAGTAGCCGTTTCATTGACTGAAAGATGCATAGATGGAAGCTGGCTTCTGGGACATGGGCGTGGCTGGTGCATGATACTTGTGCCGGGAAGGTGAATGGGTGTTTGCAGGCGAGACAGGATCAGAACTAAAGTACCCTCAGCCGATGTCTGCCTATATGAATGCGTGGGGTTAGAGATATTCAGATTGACAACATTCTTCTATTTGCCCGTTAAAGGTGAAGTTGTGAAGTTGAGGCATCGTCACAAAGGGTCTGCCTTGGCAAGCGTTGTCTCTCGGCAAGTTCCGCGTCGGAAGCGGCTAGTGGCTAGCGCAGGAAAAATATTTGGCGTTGCCTCCTTCGCCGCTTGCCTCACACGTCCTTCACTTCCCCATCACCTCTCTTCTCCATCACAACACCCTCTTCTATTTCCTGTCTCACCGCGCTTGCACTCTGCGACGTTTGTCTTGCAGGTCTTTCGCTCTTGTCTCAGAAACAGACTCGCGCTCATTTCGCCAAACTCCCGGGTCTTTCACACCGTCCCTACCGAACACTCCGACCATCATGTCTTACGGCGGTGGCTATGGCGGCGGCGGCTCTCGCGGCGGCGGAGGCGGATACTCCAACGGGTACGACAGCAGGAGCGCTGGCTACGGCTCGTATGATTACTCCAACCACTATTCCTATGGGTATGCGAAAGCCCTCGAGGTCTAGACATTGGCGTGTTTTACTGGCATCACTCCTCATCTCTTTTCTCCCGGGACTGGCTTCTACAGCGAGTAGCTCATTTCTGCTCGATGGCTCCATCAAGCGGGAAGCGTAGTTTACTCGGTATGGTCGCTAGGCCCCCCATCGCTTCCACTCCTCGCGGCTCCTTGACCAAGTTGCTAACATGTCATATAGTGGCAGTAACGGATATTCGAACGGCGGCTCCAACGGCTACGGCGGCGGCAGCAATGGATATGGCGGCGGAGGTGGAGGAGGATACGGCGGCGGAGGAGGAGGCTATGGCGGAGGAGCTGGCGGCGACCGGATGTCCAACCTCGGTGCTGGGCTTCAGAAGCAGAACTGGGGTAAGTCAAACCGACAAAGATAGTGCAATATATCCAGCTAACCAAATCTAGATCTGGACACCATGCCCAAGTTCGAGAAGTCGTTCTATAAGGAGGATCCGGCCGTCTCTGCACGAACCAAGGCAGAGGTTGACGCTTATCGCAAGGAGCACCAAATCACCATCCATGGCTCCAACATTCCCAACCCGGTCACTACTTTCGACGAAGCTGGATTCCCAGGATACGTTATGAACGAGGTCAAGGCGCAGGGTTTCGCGGCACCGACGGCTATTCAGGCTCAAGGCTGGCCCATGGCTCTCTCGGGTCGTGACGTTGTCGGAATCGCAGAGACAGGTTCCGGAAAGACTCTGACTTACTGTCTCCCAGCAATCGTTCACATCAATGCGCAGCCTCTTCTAGCCCCTGGTGACGGACCCATCGTTCTGATTCTCGCCCCAACGCGAGAGTTGGCTGTCCAGATTCAGCAAGAAATCAGCAAGTTTGGCAAGTCTTCTCGTATTCGCAATACCTGCGTGTACGGCGGTGTTCCTAAGGGCGGTCAGATCCGCGACCTCGCTCGAGGTGTAGAGGTGTGTATCGCTACACCAGGCCGTCTCATCGACATGCTGGAATCCGGCAAAACTAACTTGCGTCGTGTCACCTACCTCGTGCTTGACGAAGCTGACCGCATGTTGGATATGGGTTTTGAGCCGCAGATTAGGAAGATCATCGGACAGATCCGTCCGGACCGACAGACTTGCATGTGGTCGGCGACGTGGCCCAAGGAAGTTCGTCAACTTGCCTCTGACTACCAACATGACTTCATCCAGGTCAACATTGGATCCATGGATCTGTCGGCCAATCACCGTATTCAGCAGATTGTGGAGGTCGTCTCCGAGTTCGAGAAGCGTGATCGCATGACGAAGCATCTCGAGCGCATCATGGACGACAAGGCCAACAAGATTCTCATTTTCACAGGTACCAAGCGTGTTGCAGACGACATTACTCGATTCCTCCGGCAAGATGGATGGCCAGCACTGTGTAAGTACTTCCCTTTTTTATGATTTGCAACTGTCAGCTAATAAAGCATAGCCATCCACGGCGACAAGCAGCAAAATGAACGTGATTGGGTGCTCAACGAGTTCAAGACCGGCAAGAGCCCAATTATGGTTGCCACCGACGTGGCTTCCCGTGGCATTGGTATGATTACAGAACCCCCCTCCCCGCCCCTTCCCCCCGTTTTGTCGTTCGTGATTTGAAGTGATGCTTTGCTCTCTACGCCTCGTGCGCTCATCCTACCTGATTTCATGACATCTTCCAGGGCTTCTAGACTCTCTTGTGTGTTCCCCGGGATCCTTGGATAACTTCGGCGAAGATTCTTCTTCGCTCGTTTCCGTTTCTTACGTATCGTCAAGGTACTTGAGGCGGAGTAGAGTTTCTTGACTTGTTCAAGTGCAGTTCCAAGGTATCCCGGACTACGAGATTTCCACAGCCTTTCCACTGGATGCAGATGCCATGACTTACACTGTAGCGCATTGAGAGTATTGCACGCACCATAGCACCGCTTCACGCGACGATCAACAGATCGTTTTGATCATCCACTTACCCTGAGATATGCTAACCGTTCTATCAAGACGTCAAAAACATCACTCATGTGTTCAACTATGACTACCCGAACAACTCGGAAGACTACGTTCATCGCATTGGACGAACTGGTCGTGCCGGTGCCAATGGTACTGCCATCACTCTGTTCACGACTGAGAGTAAGTCACCTACCATATTTTAGATATAGAGAAAGACTAATACGTTGCAGACTCCAAGCAAGCTCGTGACCTCGTGTCCGTACTTACCGAGTCCAAGCAACAGATTGACCCTCGTCTAGCCGAGATGGCACGATACGGCGGCGGCGGAGGAGGAGGCGGATGGCGCGGTGGTCGTGGTCGTGGTGGAGGAGGTCGCGGTGGAGGTAGGGGATCCCGCTACTAGATGTTTGAGTCCTGAAATCCTCTGGGTAAACGATGCTAACAATCTGCACAGGCTTCTCTGGATCCAACAGCGCTCCGCTCCGGAACAGCCGTTGGTAGAGCGGACTTCATCTCCTAGCAAATCCCGCTACTTGGTTCTTGCAAGTGGGTCGTATGTGATCAGCAGCGAAAGCACGTCTCCTTGCCTTGCGCCAGAGGCTCACTTCAATCGCTACAGCAAAGTCGGTGTTGGTGGTGCGGCGTCTTCATTAGAAGTTTCATACGGGGGCTTTCTTGCCCTCTCTCTTTCAGTCAATCTGTCTATCCCCCTTTCCTTTTTCCTTGATGTCGTGGTGGAATGGTGCTGCGACTTCTCAAGTGATAATGCACGGGGTGGACAGCATGTCACATTCAGCTCGGAGAGGTTATCCAGGATGAGGTTTTTCATTTTCTCAAATTAGAAATTAGCATGTCCTTAGCTTGGGCCTTTCTACTTTCTGGTCTCGAGAGACCGGTAAGGCGGACAGCAAGGAGGCCCAGGATCTGCTTCTCTATCCAAGTGCTTAATGGCCTATAGGGTTGCTGCTTTCCATGGTATTGGCGTCTTTTACGGAAAAGCTTTCCTAGGTAGTGGCTAGATGAGATCAAATACGTTTTAAGTATTCATGTGCGTGTGCAAGAGGAGAGGTGGCTAGGTGATGAAGGATGGACGTGAGCCCTTTCGCCACGCGAATTTGGTTGGAGAGTAGTGTATTTCCAAAATCCTCTGGTCTCTAACCCGGTAAAAACCTGGCTGTAAAGTTGATTCTATACAATCTTTACCCGCGGTAAATAACATCCAAGCCTTGGATAACCAGTTTCAAGCTTTTTTGGCCCTGAATAAAAGACTACTGCGTATACTGTTCTTAATCGCTTTTATCCACGTTTCAAAGATTTCTAGTTAACCCCAGCTGAGCATTCACAGACAGGGGTTCAATCTGTACTTGCATTCCTACAGGTGTAACGGTGCGTAGAAAGATGATAATTTGGGAGAATCGTGTCTGATGCATCACAGGTGCTCTGGAGGAACCCCAACCCCCCCTCCCAGTTTTTCTAATCTACTAGTAATTCCCCACCCGCTATTGTTCTCTTTTTTTTTTTCTGGCTTAAATTTCTAAGGGGTACTAATGTACTTGGTGGCTGACATCGACTCGGCGGCACAGTTTAGGGCACAAGTGATCTGACGGTACACGAGAGTATGAGGTTCAGGACTAGTGGCAGTAGTTATCGGAATGACGACTGTTGCGAGAAATGACCTTCGGCCTTGAAATTTTGGCTTCTTCACTGCTTTGTAGGGGTTAGCCAATGAAGAAGATGCTGTTGGCGACCAAGCCTTCCAACGCAGAGGACATCAGGGTCTCTCCCTCTCTCTCCCTCTCTCTTCTCACGTAAAGGCAGAAACCGGGTCAAGGGGCACGGTCTCTATCGTTGAACATGGACATGGGAAGACGTCGTGGTGGGTGCTCCTCGGATGTTGACATCCTGGAATACCACCGCTTTCACCGCCGCGGTTCCAGCCCCACAGTCCAACCAAGGCCCCGGCGGCAACTGTGAGGAAAAGGTTGGTGCTAGGAAACGTGTCTTGGATGGAGTGGATTCGGAATCCCAAATGGAATTTGCAGCGGGCGGCTGTTGGCGGTGGGGCCTGCGGTGATTTGTTTTGGGGGGGTTTTGGGGAAAAAAAGCCTTCGTTCCCTGGAGCATTTTCCCGGCTCCTGCAGTGGCCTTGAGGACGCAGCCACAAGAGGCAGGTTGCATGGCAGTGCGCTGCTCCTCTTCCTGCAGGCCGCGCCAAGGGCTGGCCGGGGATTGAGGTTCCCGCCGCGGTGTCTGGTCTGGAGAGGCCAGCCGGGCCCAGCGCCGGCACTGCCAAAGGCAGCATAAAGGCACGGGTAACGGGGCCCGGATTCCCGGAAAGGAACGAAGCTCAGATCGGCCCTAAGCCCCTGGCATGCCCACGCGAGGCTTGGGGCCAAGTCGGCACTATGGCGGCGAGAAAGACCGAATCCACGCGTGATCGGGGAGCGTGCATGGGGCTGGCCAATTGGAGGGGAGGAAGCCGGAAAGCCATGGCAGGGGGGGCCCCTTGCGCACAACACCCACACCGCGGGCGCCTGTTTTGGTGAGGGCCGTTGGTGAGCGCGCTGTCTTCGTGGTGGGCTGCCGCGAGCCTGGTGTGAGGGAGGGCGCTAGCAGTAGGTGTGGCTGGTGCCGATGGAGACATCAGATGTGGAGATGGCCATCGCAGCCAACCGCTGAATGGAGGGCTGGCGAGGACGACAGCACAGCAGCAAGCCGCGGAAACGGCGCGTCCACCGGGGGATTGTTCTTGGCTGCATCGCCATGCATGGAGCTTCACTCGCCGAATCACAGCCGCAGTCGCGTGTTCTTGCTGCTCCCAGCCTGCTGCTGCTGTGAGCAGAACGGAAGAAGATTCCGATCCTGAAGAGCCCTGTTCCGATACCGACGGCCAATTGTGGATGGGGTTCGGCGAGAGGACGGCCCTTTGAAAGTCAACCGCACCACACCACGAGCATCGCGAGGGTCCCAGCCGCAGGGCTGCGTCATCATGGGGTCCCAGATGGGAGGGCCAGGGATAGCAGCGTCCAATCGCACGCCGCGAAGGGACGGCCGCCCGCGACCAGTGGACGGTGGGGCATGACTTGCCAGAGACCAGGAAATGCTCCAGGGCTTGTGGGCGCTCTCGAAATGCCATCCTGTAGCAAGAGGTTAGCGGGGAATAGTACCCTTGGCGACCAACACGTTGGCAGCAGCAAATACCGCGTATCGCCAACGCCACAGCCCGCTGCGATGCTCGAGATGCCTCTCTCGGCCGTCCTCCTGCCCCCATCTGTCCTCTTCTAGACAGCTGGCGTCTGGCTGCAGCCGTGGCGGCCAGCAGCGCGGATGGGCTGATCCGTACGGGCACGATTCAGGAGCGGCCGGCTTGCAGGCGTGCATTATTGATGTTTCGAGGCTCGTTTCGCCGTCCGCTGCGTATCGCCAAGGGTGCGCAACGACGCTGCAGAAACGGGGCTCGAGCGCGCGCAGGCCCGCTTCTGCTGCCTGTTTCTCTTGTCGCTCTACGCGCTCCAAATTCTTGGGCTGCCGTCGAAACAGAGGCCTGCGACACCGGCCGGCCGCCTGTCGCCTGTCGCCCATGCGCGTGCTGGGCAGCGGGATCGCATGGCAGCCGGCCCTGTGCCCCGAAGCAACGGCCTGCTGACGTGCGTCGTGTGCGTGTGCGCGCTGCAACGGCGGCGAGAGGCCCACGGCGGAAACCCAGCGGCGGTACACGGCATGGCAGACAAAGACGAGACGGTGAGCAGGCGGTTGGGCGCCGTCGACACGAGAGGGAGCGTGGGATCGCGGCCAGGACCGGGGCGGCGGCCGGTTCTGCGGCCTCTGGTTTTGATATTGGCAGTTGGAAGAGGCAGGTGGGCGTGCAGCTGCATTCTTCAGAGTGGGGAGGTTGCAGGTCCTGCCTGGCAGCGTCGCAGCGTGCCAGGCGTCGGCGAGCGTGTGGAGAGTCGGATGTGGGTTATTCTGGGAGGCCGGAGTGGAATCGATAAAGGAGCTCCACCACCGTCATCGCGGGCTGCATGAGGCAGCGAGGCCACGGCCCCGTGGCGAGTGAATCGTGCATCGTGGTGGCCAGCGCAAATTGGTCATGGCCAGGCGCTGGCCCCAATCGCAGGGCGCGGATGGGCTGGCTCCCGTGTCATCGCAACGGGGCTCTTCATCTGCAGCAATTCGCCAGGTCCGCGGACGCCTCTCCGACATGTCGCACTCGATCCCGTCCGCCGCCGAAGTCGTGGCGAGCCCGAGTCGCAGCGGACGGCTGAGGTGTGCGAGTGCTCTGCGGGCTTGGCACCGCGTGCCGTGCTGCGCGTGTTGTGGTGATGCCGCCCGCGAGCATTCCGTTGACGTTGGCGGCAGGGAGTTCTAGCGCGCCTTCAGCCTCACGGCGAGGGCCAGCCGCGGCAGGCAAAGCGGCCGCAAGACAAGCCTCCGCTAGTTTTAGTGCGCAGGCGGTGCCCTCGTCGCGAACGCCCAGCCGGCTGAGCGCGAGGCTGGCAGTGCCGGCCGCTGGAGGGACCCGTTCATTCACCGCGGGCGGGCGCGGTGCTTGATTCGACGACGGCGGACCAAGGGCCCACCGGCGCTTTCCAAGGCTCCCTCTTGCCACCTGAGGCCCAAGGCCGTCTGCGCACCTTCCCGTCTGCGTGCAAGACTCCTCGCTGTTCCCTCCAGCTAACCTTCTCCACGCATCACCACACCACCCACGCGCGCCCCAAGACTCCGCCCCGGCTGCCCTCACGCTTGCGAGCAAGGCCTTCCGCTCCGTCCTCCTCCACCGCTGCTAGACTCCCAGCTCCTCCGCGCCGTGCGACGGCACGTGCAACCCGCATTCCGCCGCCTCCTGCCACGGCTCGCCAGTGCTTAGTGCGCATCTGCAAAGCACCCTCGATCTCCACCGCCCGCCTCAACAGTCGCGCCCGCTCCAGAGCAATCCAGTACGCCGCTGCTGCTGTCATCGTCTCAGCGACCTGCGCCAGCCAGGCCTGCGTCGCGGTGGGTACCCCGGAAAGACGGCGACTTGGGCCAGCAGATCGCTTTCTCGGCGCTTCTCTCGCTCGGAGGCAAAATCGAAATACCGTCCGCTGTGTGGCTGCCCGTGGAACCCCGCCTGAGCATCACCGCCCGACGACGGACCGACTGTCTTCCTTTTGGCCCCTTTGCACACGGCCAACGTCGTCGCAGTCGCACCTCCCACTCACCCAAGCTACGCTGCACCGGGCGCGCTGCAGGCTCGAGGCCCGAATCGAACTAGACCCCTCCCCGCACCTTTCCTCCCTCTACCACGCCATCCGCATCGACCGCGCCAGCGCCACGCATTCGCCCAGAGCGAGCCTTGCTCGAGAAGCAGCCCGCACGCTCACCACCCCCCAGCGCAGCACCGCCAGCATCCGCCTGCGCCAGCCCCCGCGCAGAGCTCCCGCTCACGTCGCGGCTCGGCGCAACCGATCTGGGGCGTCAGCAGCATTACTCCATTGCGTGTGCTAACACTCGCGCCCACACGCCCGCCTCGATTGGTGCCACACAGCTGCGGCACACGCCACTCACCAGACTGCCACTGCGACGGCGCTGCCTGCCGCTAGCTGCTTCGCTCTAGGGCCTCTGCTAGCCCGTCCGCGCTGCCTCGCGCTGCTGGAGCGCTCGTCCTCCTTGGCCGCCCTCCCAGCACCCGTGCGACTCGCCGTCACACCTGCGCCGGATTTCCGCGACTCGCACGGCTAGCTCGCGCTGTTCCCTCCAAGCGCGTTATCTGAGCGCACATCTGCCGGCCGCTGTCCCCTCTGTCTGGCACCGAGATTCCACACCGTCTGCAAATCATCCGCAGTTAAGGTAGACGCTATTGTCTCGATATTTGTGCAACCCTCGGTAGCCTGACGCTACTGTTCGCCCTTCCTGCCCCAGCGCTATTCCCCCTCGGTTTAGATCGGCCATAGTTGAACTACGCGGCGGACCCAAGATCTTGTGCGCCAGACGGTTCAACGAACCACTGTCCCGCGGCCGGCCTGCTCAACCGACCATTGCCCTACCTGCACCGCCAGCCCATCCGTTCATCAACCACGCTGCCGCACGCCAGATCCCCGCGGTGCAAACCACGCCTGGCCCCCTCGACGCTACCTTCGACAGTCTATGGACGGCAGACAGACGGATTATCCGCAGTCAGGTTTGAGCGAACCCTACCCGTCTTTCCCAGAACCTGCCTCTGAAGGTTCCTCTGCAGATCAAGCATCTGCTGCGCCATACCCCCCGGGCCAAGATCCACGCGCCGCCAACTTCTCCCCAGCGCAAACCCCAAGCTCCGAGTACGGCATCAATCCCTCGTCGGCGCGTTCAGGCTCCTTCCCAGAGTACATTCAGCGCTCGTATCAATCCAGCGCTCAAGGGGCACCCGCTGGAGGTATGGCGAATCCAACAAGTCCGTCTCTGCCTCTGTCAGATGGTCAAGCCAATGACAATCAACACAACAAGTCTGACTCCGACGTACCTATAGATCCATCAATCGCCACAGGGGCGAGTCCCACGTATCCTCCGCACCAGCAGTACTCTCCGTACCCGCCGCAACACGAAATGCAGCATTATCAGGGGCATCCGCAGACCCCAATGTACGGGGCGCGTCCAGAATGGGCGGGGCAATACCCTCCTCCTCACATGCAATACGGTCATCCGGCATCGTCTGGACCGCCAGCACAGTCAATGGTTAGTCCGGTCCAGCGACCACCTGCGGTACGCCCTTTTTCACGTCAATTTCTCCCGTGACCACGTAGGGGGCGTACAAATTCTCCTTTGGACGCCCCGACTGTGGTTGGATCAGTCATCCAACCTTGGTCAACGTGCGCGCATGTCATCCTGAGGGTGAAATGTGAAGGCGACGACGTTCGTTGATACTATCCCCTTGTTTTCTCGCCGCGTTGTGGATTTAGTAGTTTAGAGCATTGTTGCTAACTTTGCATAGGGCGGGCATCCACTTTCGACCGTGTACTCATTTGTTCCGATTCCAGGCGCGCAACAGCACAAGCGACCGCGACGAAGATACGAAGAAATAGAGCGAATGTACAAGTGTGGCTGGAACGGGTGCGAAAAAGCGTACGGAACCCTGAATCATTTGAACGCGCATGTTACGATGCAATCGCACGGGACAAAGCGAACTCCAGAAGGTATGTTGACGAACTCTCTACGCGCTTAAGCGACTGCGATAGCGCAGAATGCCCTGGCTAGTCAGCTAGGTTTGCCGTGGAGCTCGTGTTGGTGTTGCGACTATTTCGTTGGTGTTCCCGCTGGTTCGGATAGCCTCGAAACCCGCGGCAGCTAGCATCAAGCTACCCTGACCTTACTAGCTTGGCGCAACATTATCAGATTCTTAGTCAGTGCAGTTGCTGACTTGTTTTTTCAGAGTTCAAAGAGATCCGCAAGGAGTGGAAGGCGAAGAAGAAGGAGGAAGAGGCTGCGCGCAAGGCTGATGAGGAGCGGCAACGTCAGGCTGAGGGTCGTCACGACAACGGTTCCGAGACTCCCGTCTATGGCCAGATGCGTGCCAACATTGGCCCACCACAGATGGGCGGCCCTCAATTGCCCCCGATCGGCTATCAAGCGGCAGCTCCGGGCCCGCAGGCGCCTCAGTACGGCACTCAAAGCCCAGGTCTCGACCAGGGAATGGCTCAGTAAGTTGCTTCGTCCGAGGTTTTGCGGTACTATCACTAACAGGACTAGCTATCCGCAATCACCGTACGGCCAGGCTCCTCAAATCTACCAGCAGGGTCACTAATCCCAGATTGCCCGGTTACGATAGAAAAAGCTGACCGTTCAGCAGCGACGGACCCTAGCTCAAACACGTTCCAGCAGTAGGAACCGCACAAGCAAAGTCAAGAATGGACTTTTAATGGGACTTCTCGCTTCTCACCACCGTCTTCACCATGTGACACCTCACAACATGGTCCACCCAACATGCAGCACGGCTCGGAGCTCCCGCGAACGGATCACATTACTTCAACCACTTAGGGACACTGGGTCCATTTAGAGGAAACGTATACGGCGGCTTTTCGAGCGTGTGCCCAGGGCATTAGGGGGGGGGGGGGGTATATTTCCTTTGTGCAAACGATTGTTTTTTGCGCCTGCTTCCGTATGTTTCGCTCCATGCTTGCATTAACAAACCGGGGAGGGTATCTGCTTTTGATCCACTTTTTTTCTTTGTGCGTTTTGTATTGTCGAGACTGGTGGATTCACCTCTCTCTTGATGGGTTACTGGTGGCTTGATGATACGGAAGCAGTTCTTTTTTTTCACGCTCAAGGAGGCATGCTGTCTGGGTAAGAGTGGGTTGGCCCGTGTATGATGCATGTATGTCTGAGATGGGACAGAGCAGGTGCCTCATTTCAACGCAAAACGGGGGGTGGAAGAGAGTCGTGGAAAGGTAGAAGGGCATGGGAGACCCGTCGACGAGCGAGCAGGAGGAAAGATGGAATCCAGCGGCAAAAACAAAAGCAGCATTCAAGAGTCAAGGAATACGACTACGTGAAACGGCTGTTGTGTATCTTTATGCTTCGATACCCTCGCGGTTCTTTCAGTTCTCACTGCTTGAACAAAGTCTTAAAGATTTATCCGTCGTGTCTGAGATGTGGTGGGGGAGGGCGTGTTGGGATTGAAGGAGTGCGCTTTCAGGCGGGTGTCACGAAACCTCAGTTTTCTCCCTCTTTCACACGCTCGTTTAGCAGAGATACCGACCACGATTTTATCGCGGTGGGGCTTTTTTTTTATTACTTCTACAAAGAGCCCCCCTCATAGACCATGTGTGCATGCTAGAAAGAGAACAAAAAACGGCGCCAATGAAATAATTAATTGATGGTTTTTTTTCTCTCTTTCGCTACTTTTCTTTCCTTTGGATTGGGGGGCGGGCGGGCAGGCAGGCAGATTGTTCACCAACCCCCCCCCCCCCCCCCCGCGGCCCCTTTCTTGTACGACTAGAAACTAGTTTCCGCCGCTTAACTTTGCGCGTTTCCCCATGACCAAATCTGAAAGCAAGTTCGGAGACAACTCCTAGAAAGCCACCCCCTTCCTCCCCCTTCCTCCCCCCCCTCCCCCCCTTAAAGTTCACAAAGTACAGGAATTTCCATGCGCGTGATGTCTAGAAGTTAGGGGACACAACGAGCGGTGGAGGTTTGTGAAAGGCCCGACTGGCCGACCTGCTGCTGACTGGTCACAAGAGATATATTGGCACCCACTCACACCCCACACCCTGCACGATGTCGAGGGTTGTTGGGTTTCACGAGACTGAGAAAGGGCGAACCTGGTCGTCGGGTTGGGCTGCTGCTGTCGTGGGGCTTTGTTTTGTCGGCAGACGTGGACCGAACGGTTTGTGGGTTGGGGGGGGAGGGAGGGGGGCTGCGGTTACTTTGCGCGACTGTTTGTGCTTGCTGGTTTTTCGTTGCATGTAATTTAGTAAATTTCGCAAGTAGGCATGATAGGTGAATTGGTGTGGTTGAATGAGTTGTGGTGAGAGGGAAGGGGGAAGGGGGTGGTTGTGGGGGCCAATGAGGGACGTTCGTGACAGGGTTAATGTTTTGAGTTTGTTTGGATCCACGGTTCTAGGGTTATGGGTTTCTTTGAGTTTTTTGGTGAGTATCCATGGTTTCCAACATATGCATAACTACGGTTTGAGATAAAGCTTCATGATGGTCAATTGGCTGAGCGGAACAAGAACGTCGTCGGCTTTGTTGAAAAGCGGAGACGGAGAAGGGATGAAGCAAAAAATTGTGAGATATCACATCTTTCCTGTTTGACGCTCGCTACGAATTCCTGCGTCGCGGGGATTGATACGTGGCCGGCGGTGTTCGTGTTTGACGCGCAGAGGCCCAGGTTTACCGAGCTGCTCACCCACCGGATTTATCGATTTTATGTCCAAATTTGGGGGATTTGCGATGATACGGTACCGCGCGGATCCTGCGTCGTATTCGCCACGGAAGGGAAAGGGTGGAGGAGGGATCGGATAGAGTTTTCGCCGTTTTACGGTTGACGACTCGAGTCGAGAGCCACATGACCGGAGAGGGGATCGGATGGCACCGCACATCATCCATGGGTCCGTCCGTGGGAGATCTCTGATTATTTTTTTGACCTCTCCGATACGCCTCCCGTGGTTACATCACGGGTACAATGTCGTGGTTACGGGGTTGCAAATGCTGCGGTCCACGGGTCGCCTCTCTTCCCCCACAAATCGGAGCCTCGGTTGAGTGCGAGGGCGCCAAGGACAAGATCCACCACCAACCATGGACGCTGCCCAAGAGGAACGGAGGGGTGGGTGGAGGCTGCACCTGCAGGCAAAAGTGGGGACAATCAACTGTCATCGAGCACCTTGAAGTTGCGGCTGCCGCGTTTCCCCAACGACCCATGCTGCGAAGAGGAACCTGAACCCTTGGCCCTGCCGGCGCCTGGGATGCTGGACTGGGTCTGGGGTTGGGTGTTTTCTCTGCTCGGCTATCTGCTGGCTAAAGGTGCGTTTGCTTCGGGCTAAGCCGGGGTGCTGGTTCCCACGTTCGCGGCTTTTGCCCGTTTAAGGCTGTGGGAGAAGGTTTGCCGATGACGATTGTGAATCACTCCGGACGGACGACGCGTATGTCCCGTGCATCTGTAAGGATCGTCCGTCTGTGGGCTGAGGTCTGATACGTCGAGATTAGAGTTGAATGTGCAAACCGACCGGCAGGGAGGTGAGGAGAAGTGAGGACGTCAGATGCCAATGGCCTCCCTCCAAGTCTCTCTCATCAGACCACGGCGCATCAACTCCATCCCGCCCGTGCATACCCCAGAGCGCGAAATGCCGTCGTCAATATTGACCGGGATCCTCTTGCTTCATTTAGCGGCCTGCGGGAAATGTACCACACCGCCTTGTCCAGACCAGCACGTCTGGAATAGGGGAGACCCAGAAGCCGCAGAGGAACGAAACTCTAAAACACCAATAGCGACTAATCATACGAACTGAGAATACGACCTTGCCCCGTTCCGATACCGCTGTCTTCCCCCTTCATCGTGCATCCTTTATTGCTTGGATCCTGGGCGTCCTTCTGCCCGCCCTCGTGCTGACAGGCTGTGGGCAAAGACACGCATTGCATTTACGGCATGGTGAATCAGTGCTGCGTCAGTAGCTGCCGGCATCACGCGCTGCATGGCCAATAGCCACCGTGCGTCCGACACTGCAGGAAGGCTTGCCGTGCTTGCAGTGCGGGCGCGTCTGGAGGCACCGCAGTTCGCCGACTGCGTGGCGTTGCTTTTCGCCGTGTGCATCACCGCTCTTTGGGCTCGGCCGGTGGGCCACGAGAAGGTGCAGCTGCGGGTGCGTGTCGCTGCAGGGAGGCGGAGGAGTGCCCGGCCTGGCTGTCACGCGACGTGCTGTCTTTTCGTGGGCACGGATGGTTTTGTCGTACCTGGCGCTGTCAATGTCCGCCAGATGCGACGGCGACGAGGGCGCGCATGCCCGCCCCCCTCTCCTCTCCGTCGGTGAGCGCAGGATGCCGCATGCAGCAGAAAGCCCTCAGGCCCGATGCCGGTCAGGTGTCCAGCAGCATCGGGCTGCCGGCCGACGTTGAGCTGGTGCTCGGCGGCGAAACGGCTCCCTCGCCAGCCTCGTGGTTGACAGGCCGGCCGATGGAACCGCGCCAGAACACACGCACCGGCCGCTAGCGATGCAAGCAAAACGGCAGCTAACGTGTGTGACTCGAGCCGGCGAGATGACGGGCGCGTTACACGGCAGCCGGTTTCCTGGGGATCGGGTCTGCTGCGAGATGGGCCTTGGCGTGAGATTGGCGCCTTCTCGGCAAGCCGAATCTACCAAGCCGGGCGGATCTTCAGCCCGGCTCCATCTCGCTCGCCGTGCCGTCGGGATTGCCTCCCGAAGCAGTAAGGAGGAAGTGCAGGATGCTGTCAAGCACACGACGTTGGACCTCGAAATGTGCGGCCGCGGTGCTCTCGCCGTGTATCCGACAACGGCTGCCTGCGATTGGGACAGCACCCTTCGTGACGGCAGCACAGCGTCTACCATGATCGCCCACGCAAGTCATCAGCCACGTAACCGTAGCACTGCCAGCCATTTCGCCAGTAGTTACACCATTCGAGGAGTCGCCCCATCTCCGCATAAGCCTGATGCCTCGCCAAGGCGTACACGCTGCCCCTCAACACCAAAACATGCGATCCTATCGGGCTGAGATGTCGCCCCTTATGCTGTGGGCGTGGCAGTGGAACTTGCCAAAGACAAAGAGAATCAGGCCTTGAACTCAAGACCCGGAGGCCAGAGAAGGAGTACTCGTAACTCTTATCATCCTGGTTGCCATTTGATTTGATTTTCATCGAGGCGCGGCCCATTCGTCCTCAATCGTCGGCCTACTCTTCGATCCTCCCCGTTTGCCCCTATCTGTAGTCACGGGTTCGAAAGGTAACTCTTTCCATCGTCTTCATTTTCTATATGCCCACGGCTGCTTCTTTCCCGCGCTACTCCAGTATCCATTTCAGGTTACTAGCATGTTCTATGCAAGCAACTTTGTCACACTCCATGCCCTCTGTCCCCAGTAAAAGTCCGCAATCTTGACTGCTGTTCCAAAATTACAGGTTCTTCTCTTGCCACGAAAGCCTATCGTCATATCCTAGAGTTGAGTCCGTAACTTGGGTCATGTTCGAGTTCTCGCTATCCACGGACGACTTGATTTTGTGAGAGAGCACAGAGCAATAATTGCTGCAATATCAGCACGACGTGCAGGTTGCATTGGCGGCAAGTAACGGATCTTTTCCCCGACCAGACATGTCAACATGCTGTCAATATGCAGAGTTACTTCGGTAACTGCATCTTAGCAAAATGCAAAGATAAGAGAAACCTCGAAGACTAAAAAAACTAGAACACGCGTTGTTCAATGCAAGACACAAAACAAGAAGACAGGTCAAAGCAACCTCTGCGATAAAAGTATCTGGGCATGCGAAGTGACTGAAAGGTTACCAGTGTTGGTATGATGAGCATTAAGATATTCTAGGAAGGAGCCTGTTCGTTGACGTATTGATGCCCAATGGGACACTATGGGATGATCAATGGAACGAATTCAGCTAGGCCCAACCTTGAGCCGCAACATCCAAGCGAGATATCACCTTCAGCCATGGATCTTGCGAATGTCGACAGTCCTTTCCTCAGAAACGACAAACTGCTGAAGATGCAATTGAGTTGTTTTCTACTTTAGTAATCGCGATTCTTAAATCCTAGGGGATACAATTTATAGTATAGTTACCTAAACCCTAGTCCCCGTGGCGAACTGTAACGCGATGTTCATGCATCCCATATTCACAACACGTGAAGTCGGGCTTGGCAAGCCAGAGGATGGCCGCGAACTCGGCCACCCGCCAGCCTCCAACGCCAGCCCGTTTGCATCTTCGGGTGCCATTTGATCGGTAAGGCACTTGCGCGACAAGCCCCGGGATCCGCTGCCGCACCGGCGTTGGGGGCAGATCTCGCTGGCGTTGCCGCTGCGGGAGCTGCGCCGGGCTTGTCACGCGGCTTCCACGATGCCTTGCCTTAGGCTTGCCGAAGGGAGTTGACCGGACCCTGAGGGCCTGGCGCCAGCATCCCGACAGACCGGGTTTGCTAAGGGACGGCATTGCTCTTAAGACGCCGGACGTGGTGAGGAGGGCGACCTAGGGGCTGCTGCCCGGCCCGGGCTAGTAGTCATCGGTGAGAGAAGTGTGGCGAAGCATGGTTCCTGGCAGGCGAAGGCGTGACACAGGCGGCGTGCTGTCGGTTTTCGCCCTGCTCTATAGCAGATTCTAACTCATGTCGAGAGGTTGCGGTTGCTGAGGGCGGTCTGCATTCGCGGCGAAGATGTGTAAGGCCGGCCCGATCAACACATCACGTGACCGGGATCACGGCTGAACCTCGACCTCAAAAAAGTTCGGCCGCCACATGCCCGCATCTCTCGCGCCCCGACTCCCCTCCCCAGCCATCATTCCACTCATGCTGGCCTCCCGAGCTTGCCAATGGCGATCTCTACGAGCTCTTCAGCCCGATGTCTCGGCTGCTTATAACAGCACCTTGCGCCGCTCCGCCTACGTCCCCAATGTCTCCCGACTCCAGATAATCCCCCGCCGATTCGCCAGCTCAGGCCCCCACTGGGAACAAAAGATCGACTTGCACGCGAATCATGACGGAGAGGAGGGTCATTGGAGGAGTAGCCCGTGGAAGAGGTCGGAACAAGGAATCGCGCGAAATAAGAACATGATGTTAGCCCTGAAAAAGGAGACTTCAGTGAACAGGCGGGACATTGAGTCGTACAAAACAGGACCGCGCAATACCGAAAGCAAACTCGAACCGCGAGGATATCGAGTGAGCCGTGAGATGGAACTGAAATACGCAGAGGATCCTTTGGAGCTGGCGAAGTTTGTTTCGGATCGGTTGAGCAAGGGGCATGAGAAGGAAATGCTGGACTTGGTTAGGCTAGCCAGCAAGAAAGGCATAAGCTGTGTCGTGAGCTGGAATCACTTGATAAACCACGAGTTCCTCAAAGGTCGTCTAAACAATGCATACAAGATCTATAATGAAGTAGGATCCGCCTTAGACCCCCATCTTGCGGCTTCATGACTGATGAATCTTCTTTTAGATGAAGAAGCGCGGGCAATCTCCCGATGCTTTCACGTACACCATCCTCCTCCGCGGCTATGCAGAACATGCCCATGTGCGCAACGTCCTAGGACAAGCATTGTCCATATACCACTCCATGTCAGCGCCCAATTCGAAGGTCCCTCCATCTGTCATACACACCAACGCAGCCCTCAAGGTCTGTGTCCGCGCGAACAATTCGGATGCTGTGTGGAGCATTGCAGCCAAAATCCCAGACGGAGGACCCAACGCCGCTAACGCTCTCACCTTTACCACGATCTTGAACTTCCTACGACAAAACGCCCTTATCAATGGTCCTGAAGGAGAGACTGAAGAACAAGCAACTCTTCGGCGTGAACGAGCAATAGTCGATGGTAGAAGGATATGGGTTGATGTGGCGGGAAAGTGGAGTGCTTCACAACTAAAAATCGACGAAGAGCTCGTCTGTGCAATGGGCCGCTTACTCCTCATTGGATCCCGGCCACGAGACTGGGATGATGTGTTATCTCTTCTGGCACAGACTATGGATATCCCGCGACTTGTTCCCCGCCTTGGCACGCGGAATGCCGACGGCGAGCTTGATAAGGCCACTAAACGACTTCTTGAGAGAGAGCCCGAAGCTCTCCGTGAAGTGGAGCTAGAGGCGTATGATCCTGAAACTGGGCCGTCCCGAGGAGCCGAATTTCTCCCCCTAAACCAGAAGACCGTGGGTGGTGGAAAAGCATGGCCTCTTCTCTATGTAACACCTGGCAACAATACCCTATCCGTCATCCAAGAAGCGTGCTTAAAGATCATTGCCAACCAGGAATCAACAACTTACTGGAACCTCCTTACCGACAGCTATGGCATCAAGCCAGACCTGAATAACCTGAACATGCGCCTGCGCATCATTCGCCAAAACCGCGCCTCAAGGGAGGCCGTTGAGCTGATTGAGAATGATCTAGTGGGTTCTGACAAGAGGCCTACGCGCGGGACATTCCGGATTGCTATGAGCGTCTGCAAACGCGACAAGAACAATCCTAGTGTACTCGACCATGCGGGTCGAATTCTAGATGTCATGACATCTACACTCGCCGATGCGGATGCTAAGACATCAAGCGCGTATGCAGATCTAGTCTTTCTTGTTGCGCCAAACAGTGAGGCCATTAAGATCGCGCTGCTCAAGCTAGAACCTGTCCTCGCAAGCATCAAGATTCAATTGGGCGTGGGGAAGGACTCTGGGGCAGAAATATCGCACTCCGGACCAATGCCACTCACGGCTGAAGAAAGGACGGATGCAATGGAGACTATAAGAAGTATCTATCGGCTTTACGAACGTATAGTACTCAGGGAGGAGATGGCGGATGATGAAAGGAGACCATACATAGAGGGGAGAAGTCGATTAAGTGCTTTGCTTAATCGACTTGACTATGTGCTTAGACGAAAGGCAGCGGCGCTGAGGGAGACCACACGCAACCAGAAACAAAATTATGCGGAAATGCCGCCAGAAGAAGACGAGGATGATGAGGGCGGGATTCGACAGAGTCGGAAGAAAATCCGTGCAAGAGATCGCAAGGATGATGTGGAGGTATTCGAAGCTTGGGAGGATCGCTACACGGAGATACGAGGCCGCGCAAGCAAACGGGCTACCGAGCCACAGAAAGAAGTCACAGAACGGAGGTCTCGACGGGATGGTGGTGATCAGTGGAATGGCTTTGATCATCGAGGTAAAGGCCGCGAGTATCGCGAAGGTGGAACCCATTTTGGAGTGGCACTGTAAGTGAGTGAACCATTAGGGCCGCATGACGCGGGTTCTGCGTTTGAATCTGGCTTTTATCTTTCTTTTGGTGCTACTGCCACCCTCCGTGACTAGGGGGTAATCTGTACAAAGATTATGGGATCTAGGGAGGAGTCTATCACGTGCAATGGGATTATCGGCATTTTCTGGGTGTTGGTGGTAGCTGCATTGCTGTGGGAATATCGCGTCGGATCTGGGTCTGTCTTGTAAAACATGTACTTATAGAAAATCCCATGTACAGTCTGAAACGCGTTCTTGAAATGCCGTGAGTCACAGAAGACAGCCAGCTGTCGACGCGTCGTGTTAAAAGTAACTGGGGCTGGGCTGGTTGCCCGGCAACGCCTTGGCGCTTGTTGACCAACTTCAAGGTCAGCGCTTCAACACCGCCGACGTCTACCACAGCATAAAATTTCCCACCACGTTTATCACCAGCACAGATTAACATGGAGCCTCCTCCCAAGCCTTCGAATTCGCTGTTCGAAGTCTACCTGCGATTGCGCCCCTCTAATGTCGTCAGCGCGGAACGATTTCTCGACGTCCAGGACGACGGAACCCACATCACCATCAAGCCGCCTCCAACGGACCACCGCAAGCGCGCTATCGAAAAGTTTGCGTTTACTCAAGTGTTCGAGGAGAAGGCCAAACAGTTGGATATCTTCAAGGGTACTGGAGTGGTGCCCCTGATCGAGGGCGTGCTTGGTGCAGACGGCAGCCATGGACGTGATGGACTGCTTGCAACACTGGGGGTTACCGGCTCTGGAAAGGCATGACACCTGGAATAGAGAAAAAGGGGAGAAATGCTGACGCTTTCACTAGAGTCATACCATCTTGGGAACAAAATCACAACGCGGTCTTACTCAAATGGCGCTGGACGTACTCTTCCAAAGCACCGAATCGCAGATCGTCCAACCTACTTATGGCTCCAACGCCGTACCATCCCTTGCAGCTACAGATGCGTCTGAAGCCCAGCTATTTACCGCATCAGCCTTCTTAGACTCGCACTATGGCGATAATCAATCCGAGCGTGGCTTTAACTCCAGAGCACAAACGCCTATGCCTGTATGCCCCAATTCTCCTAAGAGAGACTATAATACCCCCCGCTCCTCTATAAATGCACCTCTCCAAACCCCTTCCCATCCCTCTTCTCGTAATCTCTATCCCTCTATACGTCACGATGCGTATGTCCGACCCAGCAATGGGCCTGCAACCCCAATTCCTATCAATCCTGCGCACGCAAGCATCCGGCCTGTGACAGGCGGATTCGCGAGCATAACTCGCAGCATATCAAGAGGCTCACATATCCCAAAGGAGTACAGCTCCTTCATAGGTCCAACCACGACCAGATCACGAAACATCCCCCGCCCCTCTGCACTACCACAGACGCCGAGCGTCCAGGAGGTTGAGGTGCCATCAGATCCGAATGCAGAGTATGCCATCGTAGTGTCTATGTATGAGGTTTACAACGACCGCATATTCGATCTCTTATCAGGATCCGGCACGAGCAATAAGAATGGTCAACAGAAGCGGCGAGCGCTTTTGTTCAAGAGCACGGAGCAGAGTCCTGACAGGAAGGTTGTGGCTGGTCTGCGGAAAATTATCTGCGGTAGTCTGGAAGAAGCACTTATGGTGCTAGAGACTGGTCTACATGAGAGGAGAGTCGCGGGAACGGGTAGCAATGCCGTCAGCTCGCGGAGTCACGGCTTCTTCTGCGTTGAGGTCAAGAAGCGGGATCGATCAGGTCGTGGGCCTTGGAGAGGCAGCACACTCACTATTGTGGACCTCGCAGGTTCTGAGCGGGCGAGAAACGCAAAGACTGCGGGTGCTACGTTGGCAGAAGCTGGAAAGATCAATGAGAGTCTCATGTACCTAGGACAGTGCATGCAGATGCAGAACGACAACCAAGAAGGGAATAAGGTAGGATTATCGGTTTCACGTATCATGATCATGAACTAATCTTGAACAGCAAAATATTGTCCCATTCCGGCAATGCAAACTCACCGAACTACTCTTCTCCAACTCCTTCCCATCCGCCACAAGCCACCATAATCAACAGAACTCGTCACACCGCAATCCGCAGAAAGCAATCATGATTGTAACAGCAGATCCAGTGGGCGACTTCAATGCCACATCCCAAATCCTCCGCTACTCGGCCCTTGCGCGGGAAATCACGGTGCCACGCATTCCGTCCGTCAGCAGCACGATCCTGTCCGGAACAACCGTAGGCGGTAGCGCAGGCGGTAAATCGACACTCTCAAGTGGCCGCTCTTCACCCGCAGTCTCCTGGGAAGAGCTCGAACACGCGACACAGGAGGTTGCGCGACTAACTGAGGAAGCTGACATCCTGGCCATGCAACTCGATGACGAGAGGGAGAGGAGGCAACATGCTGAGGACTGTTGGCGAGCAGCCGAAGAGCGCATGACAGCACTAGAGCAAGAAATTAGGGACGAATGCTTCGCCGAGATGGAAGAGCGTATGGATGCTGAGCGGCGGCGGTGGAAGGGTGCGTGGGATGAGGAGGCAGATCGAGCTGACGAGCACTTTGATCGCAAGATTGAGGTGTTAGTGAAAGGCATTGAGGTTCATGAAGACGAAGAGGGCGAGGCAGAGGGCGAAGTGAGGGTTGATGAGTTGGAGAGAGAGAATGAGGGGTTGAAGAGGAAGTTGGAGCTGTTGGAGAGAGAGGTTCAAGGAAGGAGTCCCACCAAGAAACAGCGGATCCTTGGGACGAAGAAGTGGAGTGTTCCAGACGAGAACTTGGATAGCGACTAAGTGTTCCGGGGATAGTCTGCCGGTGTTCAGGGCGCTGCGGTTGTATATGATATTGGAAGCGTGGTGTTGTCCATACCCAGGCGGTCTTTGTACAGGGCGGTAATGCTGAAATGAATTGGTCTACTCAACTGGCTGTTTGGGCCCTGAATTATCTATGAGTGTGCATGGGCTGTGGTCACGTGACTATTTGCTGACACAGACCCCGAAACATTTTGAACGTCCCTCATCCGTCCACCATAGGCCCCTGTATCACATCTTATTACCCACTAGAGAAGGCCATGCACCATTTTCATGTGGAGGGAATAGGCTTGAGAGCAAATTGTTTATGATGCAATCTCTGATGATTTGTGCACGGCAGGACGCCGATTGAGATCATGATCGAACCTGGGGCCCTTGCTGTATGGTAGCTATCATTACGCAACTACAGGATCCCCAGCGCTGATCAGCCGCGAAGGCAATATTGATTTCTGGGGCTGGTAAGGACCTTCCCGGTTGCTCTGGGCATATAGGTCTGTCTCCATGGTAGTTGAAGTCCTTTACTCTTTCACTTCTCTTAGGACAATCTAATTCCATTCCGTGTATCATTATTAGGTCCTTTCAATAACTCTCATATAATGTTAACTTCGAGCTCTCCCTGTCTGTTCCAAGGTTTTTCTCGGCTTAGCTTGGACGTCGCGTCCCAAAGCGGCTGACGTCATGGCCCCTCAGTGGCTGTTATTTGACAGATGCACCACCGGTGATCTTTCATGATAAAGAAACACAAAAACAACATCCCTCCCATCCCTCCCAGTTTCCGCCCTCTGGACCTCACTATCAAACCAGTTCAACATGTCGGGCGGCGTCGTATACAAGGACCTGCTTCCTCTCCCGAAGGAGACAGAGGTCGCCGAGACACCAGAAAATGAGGACCTTGCCCACACAATACGAGACCAACCGACAGAAAGCCATGCTCTTGCCATGGCTGATCACGACGAGAAGGGTGCGGCCCAGGTAGAGCATGACGAGGAGGTTGCGAATTTAGGGTGGAATGAGCCGCAGCACGCTGTAGCCAATCCGCTTGTTGGAGGACTTTCGAATGACGAGCTGTGGGTGTTGATTCGAAGGTTCAACAAGGTAGGGAAATAATCAAAGGAACATGAGCTGCTAGCTGACTTTGGTTGAAGCAAATGTACCATGTCAAAGAGTACCCATATGCCGTTCCAGGAGGTCTGGACCTCAATATCGCAGATGAGGAAGAGTTCTCTCCAGACAAGTTGCGGAGCAATGTTGAGAGATTATACATGACTATCGTAGGTTATTCGAACACCTGCGATAGAGTTATCGCTTATAGACATAGATCATCGGCCTTATGGGCTTCGGCAAGCAAATCGTTCGACTTCGTTCATGGCGCGAGACGCGAAGAACAGCCTGGTTCTGCACAGTGAGCAACCATCATGTTTACAGAATCAACTAAGCCCTAACACTCTCAGGCCTACTTCGCTGCGTGGCTACTCGACTGTCTCGTACCGCTATTCTCCCTCACCATAATCGCACTGATCGCATACCCACCCTGCCGCGCCATCCTCTTCCCACCAGCTCCCTTGGCTCTTGTAAGCAGCTCCGGTAGCGTACAAAAGCCTAAAGCCGGTGTTTTAGGAAGCCATGACAGTGCAACTGGAGCAGCTGAGAATCACAAAGGTGAAGCAGTTGAAGCTGAAGCGAGCAACTTCGTCAACGGCATTGCATCAGTGGCATTGAGCAGCGCCACGGGCAAACACCCTCAGGGCGAACCGCGGGGTGATGAGGATTCCCCCAGTAGTTCGATCCCTGACCCGACTGCCATCGCTACTGGAGCAGCCAATGCCAAAGACAGAGCGGCCGGAGCCACTCCTACTGATACGCACGACAAGACCAAGGTTCCAATGGAAACAGCTATGTGGACGAAGATGAGACCCATTATGCATGGAATTGCAGATGTCACGGATACCTGGGAGCGTTTCGCCAAGTAAGTGCAATGGACTTTCGGTGACGATTTTGACGATTTTTGACTAATATCCATATAGCGCTCTCTCCCCTACACCGCCATTCCCTCGTGAAACAGCTAGACTTCGGCTGGCAGCCCTCGTTGTACCTGCGTTGCTTATGTCGATCTTCGTGAGCTCTTATATGTTCATGAAAGGTGTTACTTTTGGTGCTGGTTTCGGATTCTTCGGTGACCCCATCATTTCTCGCGGCTTGGAGATTCTCAACCGAAAGTCCCTAACTGGAAGAAACTGTTGGAGATCAGAAAGTAAGTTCCGACTACAGAATCGGCCCTCAAACTGCGATACTAATCATGATTAGCACAATCCTTAAGGGTGTTCCCACGAATGCTCAGTTAACCCTCACTCTTCTCCGCCTCGGCGAAGCGAACAAAGCTCCTCTTCCCCCACCACCTCAAACCGCTACTGCCCCTCCAGATCAGCCTGCCGATCTAAGCGATGAGCACCTTCGCGCCACCGGGGCCGATTGGCCTCTCAACGCAACTCAGGAAGAACTCGACGACGCCATGTCTCACGACCCGACCACCGCACATGAGACCGGAGGCTCCGACATTGACGCCTCCAAAACCACCAAACACGGCAAGAAGGGCAGCCGTGTCCTCGGCTTCTTCAAGTCTACCGCCAAAGCCGCTGTCGAGACCAGTATCGGTGCAGACAGGCTCAAAGCCAAAGCGGGCTCTGGTCACGCAAAGAACCGCTTAGGAGTGATTCCAAAGCCGAACGAGCCGAAGATCTCTGGACCTGTTGACTTCAAATGCCGCTATAAGGGTAATAAGGGGCACACGTACATCAGCACCAAGGCCACAATCCCTTGCGTGGCGTTCTCGAGTGACTCAAGCATTGAGAAGATTGGTAGTGTGGATAGAGAGGACCTGCATGCCGTATGGAGCATCCCAGTGGGGGATATCAAGGAGCTCAAAAAGATTGGCGGGTTTGGGTGGAAGGCGAAGCTAGTGGTGGGTTGGGCGCTTGATAGCGAGGTTGCGGATGGATTGGAGATTGTGAATCGTAAGGGTGAGACGTGGAGGATTACTGCGTGTCCGTTGAGAGATGAGCTGTTTAATCGGCTCATAGCGCTTGGTGGGCAGAAATGGGAGAGTTGGTAAGTATTTCGCGTTGGGACTCGCGCAGAGATGAGGTATCCAATCTCGGGTCACACGATTGGTCCTACATAATTTTTTCCTATCAATTTGACGCTTCATGACTCGATGAGCACTGGCAGGCTTCCTTGAACTTAGAGTGGTAGTCTAGGAATACGTGGGGTTTGTACTTTTATCTCTCCTATTATTCTAATTACACATTTTCACACTGGTTGTGCGTATACTTGTCTAGCGCTACTCGAGTTTCTATATTACATTACAAACTGTAAAAGAGACTTTTGGCAACCCTTATCCTAGGCGGTGCTGAACTGGGCTAGCAACGAAGCAAGTATGCCTCATTCCCTCCCACATTCCTGCGCCAGTAGCGCGTGTCAACAAACATATCTCCACCATCTCACTCCGCCACCCTTCATGGCCTCCTTCAGAAGACACTTACGTGTCTCCGCGAACTTTTTAGTCTCAAACCATGAAAACTTCATCGCTTTAGGTTCTTTTCTTACATTATGGTTTCTCATTCGCCTACAAAGCCGTGGTTTACACCGGCCTCGCTGCCTACTGCGAGGATGGTTTAACAACGAACAGCTCATGCTGGGACGCCGCAGGCTGGCTTCTAGGGAACGCCTCCCTTGGGTTCAGCAGCACCCAATTCCTGAGCCACTCTCAGCTGCTTGCGGCCGATCTCAGCGGAGTTGATCTCTATCTGCAGCCCGGTGGAGGCGGTAAGTGCTACTCCGCGCTTCAACACCATCTTACTAAACATGTCAACAGACAACACAACTGACTACGCCGACGTCTAGGCCGACATGCAATCCCTGAGCACCAAAATCAGCCCCTACGTCCGCGCCGGCGGCAGATATCTCGGCATCTGCCAGGGCGGCTACCTCGCGGGTAACTTCAGCGACACCGCCGCAACCATGGGCTTCAACGTGTTTCCTAGCGGTATCTTAGTCGACGAGGAGTGGATCCAGAATGGGACGCAGCGGCCGACGGAGGCCGACACGACTATCGAAATCGACTACACGCTGGCGAATGGCACGCTGCTGACTGGGCAGTGGCAGTTCTTCCAGGATGGGCTGACCTTGCTGGATAATTCGGCGAGTGGGTGTAGCAAGGACTTGCAGGTTGTCGGGCAGTATACGACGGACTAGAATATTGCGGTTGGGTTGATGGCTTTTGGGAGCGGAGTTTTGGGGTTAGCCGGGCCGCATATTGAGGCGGATGCTTCCTCTTGTGAGTTATTCCATTGATAAGATTGGAGTGTTCTACAGGCCGAGAGGTATATTGCTGACTTTGCGAAGAGACGGAAGACTCTTTCCCCAATCCCAACAACCCTACCGATCCGACGGACGGCTACCTCATCGGGTTAGATTTCCTCAAGCAACTCATGACTGCCACTCCGAACACGATCGCGCAGAACGCAGCCGCGGGATGCGAATCTGATGTCGGAGGAGTTGTCACTGGTGTCGCCGCTGGCGAAACACCTTCACAAACCCCTTCCTCGGCCCCTGGAAACACAGCCCACGAGGACGTGTTGAACATCAATGAAATCATCATTACGATCGATGATGATGAATACGATGGCGATTACGACTGCGAATATCAGAAGAAATACGGGCCCAAGCATTATCATTGGGATGACGACTCCGAGATGCCCATAGACAAAGGTATTTTTCCTCGTGGTAGAAGACTAGAGAAGCGTGAAGCGTGTGCCGAAGGAGGATGCGGCCACAAACACCACTCGAAATGGATCTGGCACCACAAGGCGACTTCGACATCAACTTCAACCACATCTTGGTCTTCATCCTCATCTTCATCTTCATCTGCGCCCGTTGACTTTCCGCTCTATACTTGGAGCTTTCCCGGAAAACGAGCCATTGCAGTCGCTACGCCGGCTCCTAAAGTTGCTCGCGGCGAAGGATTCGAGGAACGCGAGCCATGCCCGAAGGATGGATGCGGGCATCAGCATCATTCGAAGTGGATTTGGCATCACAAGTCTTCTGTAACGACTTCGACGACCTCGCCCTCGAGCTCGTCTTCGTCTTCTTTTTCTTCGTCTTCGATTGACTTCCCGCCTTATACGTGGAGCTTTGCTGCGAGAGGATCGGCTGCTACGCCAGCTCCTGGGATGATGTATTAGTTGGAGGATGAGTTACGGCATCCGCAGTCTTTTGAGAATTTAGCACAGGAATAGAAATAGAAGTAGGAATTTGATCTGCTTGACTTCATTGCAGTCCGAAAAATGTTGAAGCGCTGTAGAGATGATGTCTATTGAGCATATCTAATCACTATGCTAGTCCAAGTCGCTTGAGATCTTCGGCAGTAAATCCTCAGTGAGCCGCCACAGAAGTGACGAGTCATACGCGTGGAACGCAGCTCCAGTGTAAAACGTCTGCTTCTGTCCTTGCAGCGCGTATAGCTTCGAGTAGAATCCAGACTTGATGGCGTCGGCGGGCACCGTAAGCTGGAATGGTGTGTGCGAGGTAAATGCTACGAACTGAGGTTCGTCCGCTTCCGTGACATTAGCGATGCCAGTGGTCTTTAATCGGCGTATAGACGCGAGGATGTCCGATTTGACAGCCTCGATTGGTTGAGGGGAGGCACTGCCGTATTCCACCTGGTAGATCCCAGTACCTCCAGTAGGGACAATCTGGTAGACGGCCGGGAGGGTGGGCAGGTCGTAAGGATTATTGCTGTCTGTGTTTAGAACTGCTGTATCGGCTGGAAGCCCGGTATTCTGGACGAGAGATGTGTAATAGCCGACCGACCGGAACTGGCCAAAGAGGGCCTTCTCCGAAGAACCAAGATCGAATCCATCCAGGTTAGATAGTAGAGGTGGGATTGTCACGACTAGCTTCTTCGCTCGTATGACCTTCAGACCCTGTGGGGACTGAATCTTGATCTCGATTAAACCGTCAGCATCCGCAGTCCTGTTCGTCGAGACCACGTGACTCTGGAGCAAGACGTTCTGGCCTAGCACTCTGGCGGCCTTGTCGTAGATCTCGGAGTTATTCTGGCTCTTGGTGTCTATGAATCCGTTGAATAGGTTGTAGATGGCGTTGACTCCGAAGTATTTCATCACGTAAAGGGTCGGCTGATGCAGGATATCCCCGTAGCTGCGATAGACCACGTGGATAACACCACTAACATTGTACTTCTCGATGAACTGACCAAATGACATCAGAAGGTCTTCCGGAACTGGTTCGGGAAGATAATAGCCATGTTCCAATTCCGGGTATTTGGCGGCCACTTTGCCATATCGCGTCAGCGCATCGAGAGCATTTGGAGATGTATAGTTCAGCACTCTCTGGCCGGTCTCCAGGTTCGCCCGCACAGTAGTGCCTTCTGTAGATTCTAAAGGACCATACGCGACATCGAGGCGTTTGAAAAAACTCTCCACCACGGAGATGTTTGAACGGTAGTCTGCTACCCCGTAGTCGATTGGGATATCACCGTCCGGATCGGTGTATGTATTTACCATTCCTCCAAGTGAGTTGTCTCGCTCGACTACTATAACGTTATACCCCAGATCCTGCAATCGCACGGCTGCGTAGGTGCCTGAGGCACCACCTCCGATGATGCACACATCACGGGTTATTGCTTCATGTCTGGATGATTGTGAACAAGTCGTGTCGATTGCGAAAAAGGTGGTTATGATGGCATAATATAGCCAGGATGTTGACCGACCCATGAGTGTGGGACCTGGCTGGCTTGAGAATCTTTGCGGTGTTTCGACGGGCCGGATTGTACTTGCGGTATTTTCGAAAGGGTGATGTCCGCTGCGAGGTAGAGAGAACAAAGAGATGGGATACTATACAACCAATGCTCAGGTTTGTGTCCTTATATACTCAATTCCGATTGGTTACCCACAAGTAGATATAAGAATTTAGGGCTGACCGGAATTTGCCATTGTTGGGTACCCACCTTAAAGTACAGTTCCATGTCCATGTATACGTAGTACCCTCCTCTCATATTTACCAGGATACGGCTGGGTACCTTACGCGATACCGACGACGTATCCCTTGTAGATGCAGAAGCAAAATCCTCCTGCGGACATCGTTTAACTTCCATGTTTGGAGGCGATCGTCGCCGGCTCCGCGGATCAAAGCAGATCCGAAGCCATTGCTCATATGAGGTTGCAGTTGGGTCCTATAATCTATTATTGCCTCAGACCGGGTTAGTCGTTGCAAGACTTGTGGAGACATGAAATGCGCCTCGCCTGACTTGTTCCGACTTAGTCCAACCTCACCAAAAGTGACCCCTACAACATTGCCGTCGTTGTGTCCGTTGTGATACCTTTCCTTCATATCTCCAGAGATCTTTCGACGCTTGATGAATGTCAAGGCACGCCATGTTTACTCAAGATCAGCGTCTATCCACTGATCTTTCTCTCCATGACAAGCAACTAGAAAGTGAACCTTTCATCGGTCACAAGTCTACCGAAATCGAAGACGCGCAGTCACCAGCAACGTCCAAAAAACGACTATGGGTTAGTCTTATTATAGTCGTACAATGGATCATCCTTGGAGTCTCTTTCTTTTTCAATGCCGTCCTGTGGTTCGGTCCAATTGATCGAGCTTCTGTAGTGTATTGTAGGTGTCCGGCGGCCAGCGGAGTTTGGCCGTAATGCTGATACAAGACGTAGCACCTGTTCATGATGCGATTCGATTTCATGATGTCGTTTACGCATCTGGATTCCGCTCTCAAGTCACTAAGTTCCAAGGCCCACCTACTGTAGAGGTTGAACAAGCATGGGAAGAGCTGTATCCATGTATGTTACGGAGCAATGCTTGTGCGAGTCTAGAGAGCGCAGAATACTCACTACATGTAGCTACGATGACTCGAGTATCTGCAGCAGAAGCGGCAAAACTTGCAAATAAGACGGTTCGTATACCCGATGACCCGGAAAACTATCTGGTCTCAATAGACGTTTTCCATCAGATGCATTGTCTGGTATGTATTCACTTGATTACCTTGCCTTCGTTGATATATTGCATCCGGCTAATTCGCTCTGAGCTAGAATATAATCCGCAAAAAGGTGTGGGGAGTTGTTCCTGACACATACGTGGAGGAGAAAATGCTAGAGCTCGAACATGTCGACCATTGTGTGGACAGCATCCGGCAAAGCCTAATGTGTTCGGGAGATGTAACCCCCTTGCCATGGAAATGGGGAAAGAATGAGACTGATGGGACTGACCTGCTGCATCCTGAGGCACACGTTGTCCATACCTGTCTCGACTGGAACTTGCTTATTCATTGGGCTGAGGACCGAAAGATCGTTAACTTGACGCGCGACAAGAAGCCGGTAGAAGAAGAATCAAAAAAATAAATCTTTAAATAGTCAATACAGTGCCTTGCCATAGATATCCGTACACTTTCCTGTCACTTTCTGTGGGGCTTCAACGCACTAATAGAAACTGGGGGCAGCAAATACACTTCCAATTTGTATACACCCTGTTGACACTGTCTGAGTTAGCCTCACAAGATTATTAGTTGTCCAAAATACCGAACCTCTCTCTCATTTAGAATGCTGAAAATACTATGAGGCTCTTCACGCAGCGGTAATCGGGTGTAGGGATTCCAATGATGAGGCATTGTACAACATGAGAGCTGCACTCTCCAGGCCCCCGGCACGTGCTCCACAAGCTTTGTATAAGCAAAGCTTGGCTTACACCAGTAGGGACTGTGGAATCGGGGAATACACGTTTCGGAAGTCGGTTCGTCCCGGCACCCGTGCATGAGAACAAAGCCCCCATTCAATACGAAGAACTATGATGCAATGGTCCCTATAGAATGTCAGCTCAATCCGTTTTGTGGGGATTATTTCAGTCCGCAATATGTAATATGGATGGCGTCCTCCGAGCGATTCCGAAGTATTACGAGGGATCGACATGGATATTAATCAATTCGATTCCTAAACGAGCGTGAGTCTTCTAGCAAGGATCGGCAAGTTGCCGACATATCAACCCCCGAGCAGCGAGATGAAAATCTTTCCCCTTTAGCGTTGGTTCTGAGAAAGCTTGAGGATCGTAATGCTTGCTAAACATATCCTGAGTGAATTGTTGCTTCGCAAGTCTGTAAGACAACCGGGAAGCCTGAGCGGGTCCAAGTCGATGGATACGAAACGGTGTTGCCGGATGTACGATTTGGCCGACACCTACATAGTCTTGTCAGCACGTCAAGTGGGGCACGCATTGGGATACCATTAACAGCTCTGTCTTCGTAAGTGTGATGTGACGCGCGGGGTATCTGTATCCAGATCCGGACCCTGCTCAGAGGCTGCCCATAGCTGTAGTGGTATAAAGACCTAAAGACCGACAGCACTGAAACTCCTGGTCATCATCGCAGACAGTCTTCCGAAGCTCTTCTCCTCCTCAAAGAATCTTGACAAAATGAGGTGCAGCATACTCGCCATCTCGCTCCTGGTTGCCTCAGTCGTAGCTATTCCTCTACAGCTTAGTGAAAGGGTACGTGTTCCTCAGACAGTATCTATTAAACATCATGGGAAACTGAAATTATGCAGAATGCACTCTCAGAGCGTAGCCCCGAGGAGGCCTCCGAAGATCTTGCTTTCTGGCAGTCCGGCGATTGGAAACGCGAGGCCGACAAGAAGGCCAAACGAAACGCAGAAGAAGCTTCTGAAGACCTCGCGTTTTGGCAATCTGGAAGCTGGAAACGTGCCGCAGAAGAAAGCGCAAAACGAAATGCGGAGGAGGCCTCCGAAGATCTGGCGTTCTGGCAATCCGGGGACTGGAAACGTGATGCGGATAAGAAGGTGAAGCGAAGCGCTGAAGAGGCCAAGGAGGATCTTTCTTTCTGGGCATCCGGGGATTGGAAGCGTGATGCTAAAGAGAAGGCAAAGCGGCATGCAAAGGAGGCTTCGGAAGATCTTGCTTTTTGGCAATCCGGAGATTGGAAGAAGCGGAAAGAGATGAAGCAAGCAGTGTAGACAGCTGCTTAAGTGACACCCGACTGTCGCAAGGGAGGATCAAATTCAACATTTGATCGCAAGTGGGATTGCTACAGCGGTGATGGTCGCACAGGCGTGGGAGGAAAAAAGCTGGCAGTAAAGTATGTCATCGTTGCAGCGGCTTTTAATGGGTGAACAGAGAATGTACGCTGAAGCCCAGTGATGTAACGCAATCAGTGAATAGGAGGATCAAATTACAATGCCAAGCTCGTCAGCCTGCAATTGCGAATCCATGATTGAAGAAAAATAGCATATCACTGCAGAAGATGTGAAAAGTTCAACTTGTAAGACTATAGCCAAAGAAGTAAACCCACCTCCCATCTATGTAAGAGAATGTGGACTTGTGTGTTGCTAGCAAAGGGAAGGCGTGAGTCATCTGCCATAGGAGTGTCTTGTTGGCGTTGAAAGTATTTCGATTATTGGAAAAACAGTCCTCTGAAGATGTGTCGACAAGGAGAAATGGAACCTGTATGGAACCAGGTGTAATAGTAGGAACGGTGACGGGGATGAGTTGTCTGGCGGGAAATCGAGAAGCCGAAACTAGTTCTAGAGAGGCTAGCCGCGAAATTGGTACTTCAGCTCGTCTTTCGAGGTCCTTCATTGCAATTATTTCCTTAAAATGCCATGTGAAGCTATTCTCAACGTTTAGTACATCTAAGGCAGTGTGTTGCTACTCTTAGGCAGTCCGAATCCACGAGATATAGCACTCAGGACACCTAAGATAACGTCCTCGTGACTGTAAGAAGCTTCTCCCGGGTCCAAATTGCCGCCTTGAACAGCATCCTAACCTACAGCGAACTCTTTAGTATAGAAGATCTGTATCGTTGCATTTGTACCTGTCATCTTCGGTTCGTAAAAGTCAGCATTGGGCCATCATAGTCTAGATGGAGCCTGCTCCCCCCCACGACGAGGGCAGTGCCCGGCCAGGACGGACTTTATGTGATTACTGTCAAGGATTCGAGAAGCTCGTCCAGAAAGAGATATCTTCGACCGCGAAACCTAGAACATTCTACACATCCATGAACCACCAGCCAAGCCTATATGCTCTTCAAGCCTCCGCAGACGGTGGTTGCGACATGTGCAAATCCTTAAACACACAGATGTTAGCTGCAGCTGAACATAAAGAGCCAATGAAGCCATCTACATCGCCCATCTTTATGCGGATTTGGAATCAGGATATTTGGTGGGAAGGTGAAACCAGTCTTATCTCCATCTACGACAGAGAACACGGGAGTACAGTCAGTGTTACATTAGAACCGTTTTTTGACGTTTGCTCTGGGCACGGCGGTCGCGAGCCAGAACAGGTCAGCCAGTCGTCTGTAGCACAGTGCTTTGCAAAGAAGAACTTTCCAGGCCGTTCCGTAGACGCAAATCCTTCATCAACGCGAACGATCAGCTTCATCAAACGATGCCTATCAGAATGTCTTGAAAATCACGATGCATGTCGATCTGCAATACAAGCGCAACTCCCACAACGTGTTATTGATGTCGGTAATCAGTCTGGTTCTTCTGGCATACGGCTACTGGTGGATGCGCAGGCCAAATCGGACTACCTATAGGCCACATATCCTACAATACAATCCATAAGAGTTCTCCTCAATTCACTCCAAATTGCCAGCTGACATGTCTTGGAACGGACTTGTCAGTGCGCTGCTATAGAAATCTCGCCACGCTGAAACATCAGCTGTAGAAGAGCACAACTGAAAGCTCAGCTTGATAGACACCAGCTGAAGTACCCTGGCGGCTACTATAGGGATTATCCTGGCGGCCACCCAGGGGTGGCCCCCGTCCTTCTCCTGCTATATATACAGCTAGCTAGACACCCAAAAGAATCAGAGCCAATATACCTGACAGGACTGTTTATTTCTTGAAATGAAAACCTGGATGCTGCCTCTAAGACGACTCAATTACCGAAGATCGCAACGCCATATGCAATGCTAGACCTCCTTGTCGCTTCATTCTTTCAAAAAACGAACGCCTCTCCTCACTGTAAACCGCCCTGTGGAGGCGACCCATCCGTAGTATGATAAATCTGGACTTGCCCCGGGCAATTCGCCAACTTAATCGACGCGTGCCCGCCAACCACATTCTTGTCACCTTTCGCACATTTTTCCAAGATGGCTGTCGAGTAGTCGTTGACATCCTTCAACGACATTCCACAATCATCTCCCCAGTCTTCTGTGTAGAAGATTGCCAATGCACAAGACTGTACGTACTAAAGACATTTGTTAGACTTCGCTAGGAGCTAGGATGATGTGACACTTACACCCGCCCACCAAGTCCCGTCTTTCTTCCCATGTAACACTCCCATACTCCCAGACATCTTCAACGTTCCGAATGCGTGATAGCAGTCAGTGATCTCTGGCGACCCATCTGACGTCTCGCACACAATATCATCGTTTGCCGGACCGTTGTAGGTTGGCGCACCGGTAGGCTCCGTAACATCTGGGACAGGGTCGCCCCGTGCAGCTTTGATTACGGGTTGATACCACTCCGGGTACGATTCCATGGGAATATAAACACCATTCTTCAAATCGGCGGGTGGGCTCTTTTGGTCCACATTATAATCGAAGGCATCAGGGACAGCTGCGTTTTTGCGCTCTGGCGGGAACCCGGGCTCACTCTTTTGCGCCTCCCAGTTTTGCCCCAAGTCTTTGTTAGGATCCCACGCCGAGGGGTACTTTGGATACTGCTTCCAACGCTTTTGCATAAACTTTGACGCTGCGTAGAACGCGAAGTTGTCGCTGTTCGTGGCCGCGAGAAAATTCTTGTTCTTGTCAAATGGGACTTTGGCTAGCAGCTTTGCGAATCCGGGGCCATAGACTGTCTCTGGTTTATTTCCGAGGATATAAAAGTGATCATCGCAGCCCTTGGCATCCGTTACTCCACGACACACTTTTGCAGTGCCCCAACCGATATGAGTGAGCTCGTGCATAAAGCATGTGGCCCGCGACTCCAGATTTAAGCAATTCTGTTGCAAATCCGCGTTGTTGTCGATCGTTTTGATAGCATCGTCCAGTGGCTTCAGTTCGTTGAAGAACTTGTCGCAGAAGACGAGCAAAGGATAACCGTATTTGTGGTCTGGGTCGTAATATGCATACACTCCCCCTCCCGCACATGGTTTATCTTTGTATTCATCGAGACAGCTAACGAAAACACCGCGATTGTTCCACCAGTCGTCGAAACCCCAGCCTGGATAGGCTTGAGCGACATTGTACATGGTATCTAGAAGTACGTTAGCTTGAACCGTAATAAGCTATCAAACGTACCAAATATTCTAGCCTGCTCAGGGGCATTTTCGCTCTCTGGACCAAAGAATTCTATGGCGGCTTGTTTCGAGAAGTCAACTTGCTGATTTTTACGTGACGGATACACATCCGGAGACAATTCGTCATGTATTGAGTCGAGGCCTGCGTCAGCCAGCCTGATAATGTCTTTCATAGTCTGCTTCAGAATCGACCCTTGATTGCTGTCGCAACCGGCATAGCCGACAAAGCTAGTCAAGACGTCAACCGGGTCATCTCGCCGATTGAAGACTGGGGCACCCCCTCCGGGGTAAGCCAACGCTGGAAGGATGAGAAGGAAAAGAGTGAGAATCATGATGGAAGATGGATGATGGATGAAGAACTGCAAACACTGTAGGATGAGAAGATATCAACGAGCTACGTTGCTTTTATACACCGCTGTATGTACCTTATACGTGGCATTTACCTTGCGTAGCATTTACCTTATACGTAGCATATACCATTACTTCCATGTAGCCACCAATGTATAAGCCCCCAGGATTCGATTGCGGCAGAGACAACTGGGGGTCGAAGGAGTCCAAGTGGAGTCGAACTATGGTGGCCAAAACTTCTTCGACAAGGAATCCCCGAGTTTGACTCTTTGAAAAGTCTGCGCCGTGATGCCAAGGTACTAAAGAAAGTGATAGACTGTGAATTTGGATACCATACTCATGATCAGAGACACCGGATGACCGTATAATAGCGTTTGCACCTGGCCCATGTCAGTTGGATAGCGCCAAGACCCCTGTGCCGCTCGACGCCTCTGTCACTGGAAGTGGCTGTGAAGGCTCGGTATAAGACTTTGTGTCTGAAATGGTGTCCATTGAAGGGTCATAGCCACTTCCTGTACGACCCCGCAAGGCTTCTTTGCTCGCCGCACTACTCCCGCATACGTTGCTCGTACGTTCACGCTTCTTGGCATGCACTCCTCTTCACTCCTTCAACTGCGACGGAACCAGATCTACTATTAATACAGCCACCAGCAGGGCGTTAGACTATGCATCTTAAGAGGTAGCTGGGCAGTGATGTGGGCTACCAGGCACAAATCCACAGGACCAAGATTGAAACAGCCCGGGACCCCCAGAAGGATCGTGCTGGAAGGTTTCTGGGGTCTAAAGTATGTGCGAATTAGTACTGTACAGATATCCTGCCCTCATCTCTAAAAAAATGAGCACCTCACTAACAATGCCGATGCGCCTTTGGCATAGCCTAAAGATCACGTTAAGTGTAGGAGACTTCATTACACCATTGAAAGCCTGGATAGAACATCGATTTCTTAAACTGAAGGTATAGTCCTAGGCTGCCTGGACCTTTTCCAAAGCAAAGTCCTCCATTAAAAAGCAAGATCTGGAAAAGTGGATGTTTCTTCAAGTTACCATGAGTGAGAGTAAATACTGAGAGTTGAGAACTTGAGCCCCATATCTGCGTTCCCTTGCCGAGGAACATATTTTCGGTTCGCAGAAACTGAAGTGTGGACGTGATACATTCGTACAATCAGAAATCATAAATGACCTGCAAAGCCCATTGGGGGGCGAAGCTTCCGGTAGACCATATGGGCAACTCGACGTCCCATTCGGCAACTCATTTCCATAGAACTCAGCAATTCATCTGATAATCCCGTATAGAATACGCCATTTGCGAGCTCGACGTTGTCCAGTTGAGGGCCCCTGGTATGCTTGGGAGAAGCTAGGGGCCAGACTTGACGATCAATCCATTTGACTCCTGATGATTGCAATGAGCTGTCCGGAGAGTTTCCGAGCATCTGCAAAATCATCGAGTCTGGAATAGGCCCTGATGATATGATTTTGTAGATATTTATCTGCTCTATCATGTCGCCGGAAAAACCATCGGAGGTGTCATAATGCTCTACTGTGAAAATGTCGGTTTCGTTGGAGATTCGTGACCCTGAGGTTGTGAAGATCAAGTCCGGTATCTCGTTTGCGATAGTGAGGTTGAAAAAGCTCGGTGCAAGCCGAATTTCCTGTCGAGTGCTGAAATGTGTGACATGTCTCTCAACGAAGTCGGGAAGAGATTTGGGTAGGAGTGGTGCCGGGAAATCAAATTCTATGCCGGCTCCTTGCAAGTGTGTTGCAATGACTACGGCGTCGTATTCATCGTTTTCTTTCGTCCCTAAGGTTGCAAGCGGATCGGTGACTGACACTACCATAGTATATTTTCCGTTGCTCGATCTGCTGATCATAGAGACATGCGTATTCAGCAGTGTTCGTGCTTCTGACAGCCGAATAAGTCGGGACACAAGCTCCAAGTTCCCTCTCGGCTCGCTTTCAAGTCGATACGTTGCTGTGGGATTCATTGCTATGAGAGCGGACACTGCATTGAGATCGCTCAGGTTGTGCGCAAATAAAGCTCGGACAGTAGGTTGAATTATGTTGTGTATGATCTCCGGCGGTATCCCGTTCCCCATCAAATATTCGTCGGCAGGTCGTCTGCTCTCTTCCTCCAGGCCAAGTCGCCGAATGGCATCGGGGAGATTTGGATTCGGATCTTGATTGTTGCTGTACAGACTGTGAAAGAGCGGAAGCTTGTCACGAATGAACTTCTGTAGCTTCCGCGCTGAGAGTCCGTACTTAAGTATATCTCGAGCGTACTCTAACTGAGTCCGTGACTTGAGATCTCGATCTCGACGTAGGACGAAAGTTTGGCCATCCCAAACACCGGCTGTAGGCTGCTGATATGACGGCACTCCTTCGACGACTTCTCGTCGCATTCCTGCGTCATCGATCGCAGTCTGCAAGCACCAGTCGTCGGCGGAGAATGTGCTTGCACCAGTGTCGACAAAGCCCCCGTATGTGTAGGCTAGATTGTCGACGAGAGTCGAGTTTACGCGGCCGCCGACCCGAGCAGCTACCTCGTAGATGGTAAGGTCCATAGGTTGGAGGTAGCCATAATCGGCATACAGTGAGTAGGCCAACGACGCTGCAGCGATACCTCCCCCGACAATCGCTATTCTTTTGCGCCCGTCCTGCCGGGTTTGATCTTCGGTGCTGTGCAGGTCTATGGGACTCTGAGCCACGTCCCTGGCTATGACCGTCGCGGCGAAAAGACTGAAAGAAAATGCGAGAGGAAGTTTCATGATGACGGAGTAGAACAAAAGAGCTATAGAGCAATCTTGGTGGAGCTGAAGGGGTGAGTCTGTCCAAGTTCTGGACACCTACTGTGCCGCCTCTTGTCTGTGCCGCCTGCGCCTCCCGATTGTTCCACTAGAATATGAACCCAGCCCCGGTCTCAGATCCATCAAGCCGGTTCAATTAAACTAGGTGGGGCTGGTTGGTAGTGAATGCTCAACTTGAAACGAGAAGGAAGGGGCACGAGGGCACGAAGGGATGGCCGGATAAGCGCCAAGACTGAAGCCTGTGAATTCTTTGCCCGACCCTCTGTGTTCACGTGACCCGGCGCCGCCGCTATGGCTGTGTCCCAACTCAGCTTCCCGAATTCACACATAAGATCTACTTTTATGTGCCCGTTAAATAAGGCTATTATAATATATAAACTTATAAGATAATTAACCTTCCTATAATAAGGGAAGGTTATTATTAAGGTAGCTTTCTAGATCCTTTTTATCTTAATAAAGTCTCTTCTATTTCCTCACTCCTCACACCGAGTGCAATGCAGATGCAGTGTGTATGTGTGTATGCGTGTATTTGGCTGGCACGGCCGCCTGTATACGTAGGAGCCTCAGCCTCGCATCTAGCTAGCCAACGGCTAATAGCTAGAGCAGCTTGGGGGTCCTACTGCGTACGCAGAGCTGCCGCTGACGCTCTCCTAAGGAGGCAATCTAACTAAAAGAACAGGGGATGGCGGGTGGGTAAAACAAATCAACGCAGGCCTCCCTTGAGGGCTCGAAGAAGCGGACCGCCGTAGAAACGACGTAGGCCTCACAAAGGCCTAACCAGTGCGCAAAGCAAAGGTGTGGAGAGAGGAAGCAGGAGGGCCGTAGCGTGGAGTTTTATTGAAAACTCTACTAGCGGCCACGTGATGCGCTAGAAATAGACCTATCCAACTTGTCACGGGGTGAGGCTGCGCAGCCTCGTGCACGATGAGGCTGCACAGCTTCACGCCCATAATTCATACAAGCGAGCCTGGACCTCCAGACTCGCTATAGCCCGTACGAAAGGCGGCCCGTGAGCTGCCCCTGGAGCAGGAGTATCCCCTTTCCCGTTGACTATGGTCCTACGTTATCGATAAGGATCCAGCCAATAGGAAGCTCTCGTTTGACCTGATTCTTGGCACCGTGATGGGAGCTGCACAGGACCTGAGGTTATTCAAATCCGTGATTTCTATGCATATATTGATATTGTAGCTAGTCCTTGGTGTTGAGCCTTGCCAGATGTTCACCCCAACATGTTCCTCTCGTGCAGAACGGAATTCTACAGACTGTACAGCCCCACGAGGTTCGTGGAGGCCTTGTGCGACGCTTCCAGCCGTCGGAGTCCTCCCGTTTCTTCATTGTAGAGTTCGCAGATAGATTTGCTAGTGGCTTACGAGCTGCCCGGTGTGGTGTTGTAGTTGGGCGCTTGGCCTCTATGCAAGCGCTGCAGAAGACCTGTTTCCGCCACACACGCTTGTGCTGATGCTCCTCCACCGGCCTCCATACAATATCCTTTGTGCTCTTCCTCCTCTGTGTCTTATTTGGCTCGCGAGGATGAACGGAGGACTCGAAGAGGGCATCTTGGAGGTCGCGACGGTACTGCTTATGGCTCTGCTCGCGCAAGCCTCTGTCGCCGGGCGGGGGCTTGTACGTAGAGAGGAGGAAGGTGTTGTTAACAGCTGTATCTAACAGGAAATAGAACAGTGGTTTCCAGGTCTTCCTATAGACTTAAATTATATTATAATTACTGCGGTACTGGTCTACGTGGTTAACAGCGCTTATCCAGTGGTTATACTTATTAATTAGGTCGGGAATAGGCAGCTAAGCTCTAGGCCTGTCGCTAAATATCCTAATAGTTTATGTGTAGCCTGTAGTAGTTATAGCAGGTTGCTTATAGTGCTTCTTAACGCTGGATTAACCTAGCAATATATAATATTAGCGGCTCTGCAGTATAGTATTAAGGCTCTGCAACCTTAATTAAAGCCGCTATACTTACTATTATAAACTGTAAACATAAATAGAACTACTATAGCGTCTTTCTATATAAACTGCATTACCTGGCAACTTTTAGAAAGGGCTCCGTAGAGCTTCCCCTATATAATCTGGCTAGAATAATTTAATTTAAGGTCTATTAGTAAGGATGGAGGTGAAACAATGCATTAAACGAGGTAAGTAATATGTTGGATAAGCATCTATCTAGGCTACGTACGCCGTATATATACTCCTGTGTGTGGAGGCTTACGTAGCCGTACCGTAGAACTGTAAGGGCTAAATATAGGAACCGTATTCTATATTAAGGTAGCCGACGCTAGCCGTACTATACTCCGTAGGCTAGCTGGCTCCGTTAATTAGTAATACTAAGAAGGGCTCTACAGGCACCTTCTTTTTGCGCGCTGTCCGTCCTTATATACAACCTTATATATTCTCCTTAACAGCCTCCTTAATATCTATAGCCTTATCGCCTAGCTTCTTACGCTGTATTTGTGTTATTCGCACAGTGCCAGCTACCCTAATTCCTAGGCCTTAGAGCCTCTTAAAGAGCTTCACCGAGCTAAAGAAATTATCCAGCTAAACCACGTGCTTGTAAGGGGGGTAGAGGACCTTATTAGTAACCGGATTGCGCTGTATAAGAAGGTTAAGTACAACAGCTTAGGTCTTTATAAAGCCCTTATTAAGGAAGAACTTATCTAGGTCTACTAGGCCTTTTTTATTGCCCTTAGCATGCTATAGCCAATCTAGAATATAGCTATAGTTAGCTAGAACCCAGATTTTAAAGCCCTTAGGCGTTAGCTTTAATAATATATTAATAATCTCGGGGGCCTTGCCTGTAAAGCGCTGAATAGTCTTATTAACAGCTAGGTAAGGCCCGGGGTTCTAGTGCATGCGGCAGCGTACGCGTAGGTGCTCTAAGAGCTTATCTACGCGGTCGAATATTGTATAGAAGCTATTCTTAGGCATAGAGAAGCATTAAATATAGCGATCTAGCTGCTTAAAACGGTCCTTTAATATATAGTCCGATACCTTGTAATCTGCTCCACAGGCCCGGGGGCCCTAGTAGTCCTCTACTGCAGATTCCACCGTAATTCCCATGTGAATAACCACGCCAAAATATGCATACAGCTCCTCTCTGTATGTAGGCTGCCACTTCCTAGGCCTCCCCTTTGGCATACGCTCGTCCGGTGTCGGGTGAGCCTCTGTATGCTGGTTTGTCCACTCCACCATCTTATCAACCATTTTGTCGGTAAAGAATAGCCTGAAAAGGCGTAGGGGGCCGTGCCTGTCAAGACTGGGAGGCAGATAGGCTTCTCCGGGGTCCCAATAGTTGACTATTGGAAGGGGAGTGAACGTAGGTAAGGGCCATGGCTCTGGGGGTGGATTTTTCGAATTTTTGGTGCGTAGATCACTCTTCTTAACAAAGTCGATGTTGTTGGATATTCTGGGCATTTTGTGGCATTGATTTGGTGCAAATAGCTAGCTAATTCGTTTGTTTACATGTTCTGTTGATGCCTCGCGAACATCTGGGCACGGTGTTGGTGCACGGTGCAGCTTGGCGTTGCACCCCAACGGTGTAAGGGATACATCCAGCCCTTCGTACGGAACCCCCCCTTCGCTTCTTAGCTTATTCTTCTTGTTCGGTAGCCATAGGCCTCAGGCCGCATCAATTCAAGGCTTTACGTTACACCCCTTTCAAAATATCTAAGATTTTAAGGGGCCCTCTTTAGGCTCTACTACCTACCTCTATAATAGTAGTATGACCATAGGCATCCCCACAACCCCCGCCCCCACAGCCTCAGCCAAACTAATGGGGAGCAGCGTAGAGGCACGCTAAAGCAATAGTAGTGCTATAGTACTTTATATATATGGATGCTGTAGGGAAAGAAGTTGCGAGTGGGTATGTTTGTCGCTAATGCGCTTAGTCATGATATCTATGGATAAAAGGGGACTAGCGGTAAAGTCTGCCATCAGGTCAGACTGGTGGCTCCAGTCGTGGAGCGATGCGCTTTGCATTGTTCAGAACGATATACAAGACTGGGCTGAGCAGTCTGCGGCAATGTCCACCATCTACAGCGGAGCGCTACTTTCAATCTCTGCGTGTTCTGCTATCTCCAATGAGTCTGGGTTCCTCCAGCTACGGGAGCAGCACTTAATTCTTGAGCTACAAGTTCCCTGTCCAGACCATGGCAAAGATTGCACACTTCAGTTTCGGAGACAGTCAAACGTGGACATAATTCAAAAACACGACGGAAAAAAGTGGCCGCTGGACCGACGCGGCTGGACTTTGCAAGAAATGCTTCTTCCTCGCCGGCAGATTCGAATTGACGTAGAACAAATCACGTGGGTTTGTCGCTCTATTGTCTCTTTGGAAAGCTATGATCGCGAGGCGCCTTTCATTGGCGTCGCAAGAGGAGCAAACGATATTTTCAAGGCCCTTTCGTTTCAAAGTCGAGCGAACGGGACGACTACCCCTTCAAACCCGACTACAGAAGCAGGGGAGAGGGACCGTGCCCTTCGTCGTTGGGCCGTGATCGTAGCAGAGTTCTCAGGGCGAGATCTGACATATGCAGCAGATAAGCTACCAGCTCTATCTGGACTTGCTTCGTCTTTCAACAATATTCTTGGAGACCAGTATCTGGCCGGCCTATGGCAGAGCGACCTTCACAGGTCATTGCTATGGTTCAGGGATACCTTTCATACAGGAAAGTTGAGTAGACCATCCGAATACCGAGCACCATCCTTCACCTGGGCTTCAGTTGATGGCTACACTACTCTACTATGGTCATCCGCCCAGGAAGACGTAGGATTCCCTCGGCGCCTAGTCATCGAAGCCGTGTCTACCCAATTGAGCACAGCCGACCCTTACGGGAGAGTCAACGGCGGTGAGCTCAGAGTGAAAGGCTTCGCGAAACAGGTTCAACACAAGAAAATATTCATGAAGGAAATCCCGATATTGAATTCTCACAGCCGGTCTTTTCATTGCAATCCAGACGTCTTCCTGGATTTCCCTGAGGAGGTAGTGGTCGGTGAAACCTATACCTTACTCCAAATCATGAGTCCAACAGGGGTACATACATCTCCCAAAAATACTCCATGGGTCTCAGGCATCATTCTCAAGCCTGTCACCGATGGAGCGACGTACCAGAGAATTGGAGTCTGGTGGCAGCCAGTATCAGAAACAAGTGGCTCGCAGTGGATCCTACAGGACATCACCATCGTCTGATTTGATCCTGACATCTCATATTTCTGACCCACGCTTGTGATACAGGCGATAGTGTAGGCCAATATCCAACCCACCAAACTCCAACCTGGGAACATTCAACCAACCAGCATCCCCCCTCCAACCCCATTGTCATGTTATACACTGGCGATCTACAAAAGCTCTAGACCACCGCGACGCCGCCGACGACAATCATGCTTAAGGCCGCAATCTCGCTCGGGACTCCACACTGGCCGCCGACCTCGTCGACGACTCCAGTAGCTACATCACCGTGATCGTCGACCATGTGTACCCAGGATGACTCCCCTTCTTACGCACGTGACCTGCTACCACTTCAAGAAACTCTTGGCAGCCGCGACAGGGCTGAGTATAGGAGGGAGCAAATGGCTTCGCGGTACCGAGACTTGAACCTGATTTATGTTGACTGACAAGAGCCGGGAACCACACTACTAGCGAGGGGATACCAAAAAGGCTGTCGAACGAGGGGCAAAATAGAACGTATTGGCTAGAGACTGTGAATCGGACCTGTTTCCTTGCGGTTTTGGAAGCTGGTGGTGATGCCTGAGGTGCTTCCGTTTCAAAGCGCTTGACGAAGAAAACAGTGTCGCGATGGCATTTAATTTGCACTTCATGGAGGATTGGAAGGATGAATGGGAACTTAAAGACCTAAATGAGCTACGAAATACTTGCACAGATCCTTCAGCACACTTCCCCTGTCCTCTCTCAGTCTCCTAAAAAGCAGTCCCGAACCCCAACTAAACTCCGCGCTCATGAAGAAGGGTATCCCGCAAAACTCCAAACGCAACAAGGAAACGCAAAGATAACGAGCACAAATATCATAACCAAAATCGTGAACACGTAACCCATAAACTCGTAAATCGGATCAACTCAAATCACTCCTCCCCACCCCCCCTCCTCAAAAACCCAAACAACCTCCGCCTTGGCCTCTCCCGCTCCTTCTCCTCCCGCGGCTCCACCGGCCACCCCCTCGCCAACGCCTCCTCATTCAGCCGCCCACTGACCTCGTAATCAAACGGCACCGTCCAGTTCCGCATCGGGATCTCGCCCAGCTTGGTGCTGTCAGACGCGAACGAGTACGCCGAGGGCGTTGCCTTATCCAGCCGGCGCGGGATCGCTAACAAGGGCTTGGCGGTGGTGTCTGGGGAGAGGTGTTTTGGTTTCGGTGGAGGGGTAGGAGCACTAACTGGGAAGGTGGTAGCTTTCACTGGTTTCTCGGCGGGCGGCTGGGGCGTTTGAGCAGGCGCGTGAGGCCAGGTTTGAGGTCGTTCGGGGGCCGCAGAGGACATTTTGCGGCGGGAGTTTGCAGGCGGCTTGGCGGAGGGGTGGTCTCGAGGGCTTGGGGGCGCGGCGTACGCGAATGGATCGGCTTTTCTGTAGTCTGGCGATGCGAGGGGCGAGGTTAGGGGTGTGTTTACTGCTGTGGATGCAGTGGAAGGTGATTTTGTCGACGGGATTGCAGAGGATGTGCTTGATGTTGATCCCGTCCTCCGATTCCGCGGCCGTACTATAGCGAGTTGAGTCTGTGAGGAGCTCTTGACCGGCACGCGCGTGATGGTGGGCGTGTTGGAGCGGGAGCGGCTTGTGGTCGTAGACCCAGATTTACCCCCGCCTTGTTTGTGGCCCTTCCTGCTCTTCTCGCTGCTACTCCTCGTAGCCACAGCACCGCAATTCGCGTGCTTCAAGCTCCCGCATCGCGGACAGCTTGGTTTCGGCTGATACAGCGCCACATTCGACTGCGACAGCCGCTGGTACAGCAAATTGAGCGTATCAATCGCCTCCGCCCTCGACGCATCCGACAAATTCGTCAGCGACTTATAGTCCAGATCCAGAGTCTCCTTGCGGTCATGATTCAGAAACGAGGCTATGATGCCCACGAGGCCGGTGTTGAGCTTGAGGAGGGTTTCGGCGAGGGAGGCGTGAGCAATTGCTATTCCAAACATCCACATTAGCTACCTTCCCGATTCCAATACTCTCATGACATTGCACACCGAGATCGAAATTGAGGTTGAGGTTATAGAGAAAAGCATCAACTAACCATCCCCCTTCGCAAACCTCTCCCCCACAACCCCATAATTCCGCTCATACTGCGTCTGAATATCCGCTGGCCCCTTCCTCAGCGAATTACTGAGCCGCAACTCCGCTCCCGCGCGCGCATCTGGCCGCACGCCCCCAGCACCAGCACCGGCTTTCCGACTCTTCTTCCTGCGCCGCTTCTCCCGCAGCCGGCGGAACACGGCAAACCCATCGGTAAACGCATGCACGATCGAGTTGACGCAGTTCGAGACGTCCTGGTGATGCGCCATCTTCAAAAGCCACAACGCAAGCAAAAAACAACGATATGACAATATTTACGAAGGAAGAGAGAGACAAAGCGAGAGAGATCTACACGTCCTCCAGCAGGCGGGCCCCGGCGGGCATACATAGCCCTCCAGCCTCGAAGCGGCCGCGGTGCCTGTCCTGCATTGCCCTCGTTGGAGTCACCCAGCGCGCCTGTAGCCGCCGCGGTTTTGGGCGGTCGTGGCCGCTGAGTGGCCGCCCGCGTCGCTGGGGATGGCGGGCCCGGCGCACCACTGGGACGCCAGGACACGCTAGAAACAGGGCCTGGGTGGCCCTGTTATGGGCCCGGCTGCAGCTCGGAGTCACGGGGATTTTTGTACGTGGACGTATCGGAGGCGCGACGGGTTTTCCTTATCGTGGGGTTGAGTGTGGGCAAGTGTGTTAGTGGTGAGAGCGTAGAAGGGCTCGTGCATTGCATTGCAGCTTGTTTCATCGCTGTAGGTGCTGAGGGTGAGGTTGTGGCCTCCTCGGGGGAGAGGAGCGCAGGAGGAGTGAAGCTTGCAGCTTCGACGATCTCTCAATGGCGCGAGAGGACTTCAAGACGCTAGATTTATTCCGGCTTGCTGGCTTCCTCGGATAGACGTCCTGGAGCTCCTCCCACGAGTCAAGTTGCTCGGTGACTCACGTTGTGTGAATCGTTGAAACGAGACGGTGAAGGAAAATAGACACCGTGCGTGCGGTGTCCTAAAATTGCTATTCTACAGCCCTGAGGATCCTGAAAGAAACCACCTGCGGTAAACCCCAACGCCTCGCTATGCCAAAGTGCCCGAATACAAATAACCCAAATGAAACCCAATTCTTCATCAGTCATTTCGATCCTCCGAGTCCTCCACTGTAGCCTGACGAGGAGCAGTTTGAGCAGCGCTGCTCGACGAGCCCTCGGCTTGACCACTAGCAGCAGATGTATTGCCAAAGCTCCAACCCGACGGCACAAACCCGGAATGCGTGCCCTGAGCCGGCCCGTCCGCATTAGCTGTAGTACTAGGAGACGTGTTCTGGGTTGTTCCAGTAACACCAGGACTAGTTGCCCGGGATCCCTGGTTATTTTGCTGACCGTTGTTCTGATGAGCTTCAGGATAAAGTGCACGTCGAATGTGGTCCGAGGGTGCCCTCTGCGGCGCCGGAGATGCCAGCGTGCTCGGTGCCTCAGTGGGAGTTGGCACCGGCACCATCCGTCGCAAAGTATATCCTGGTGGAAGTGTGAGTCCTCCTGGGAGATCCGCATGACCGGGTCCCATTGCTGCTTGTCCTTCCACAGGGAGATACGCCCGTTGAGCTCCTGCTGGACCCCAATTTGCGTTCAAGGGCTGGACATTGGGGAGTTGGACGTTCGCCGGCCCACCAGTCGCCTGCTGAAGCGTGTGAAGCTGCGCGAGTAGGGCTTGCAATTGCTCAAGCTGGCCATGCTGGGCATGAAGCTGCCGAATAGAATTGATGATGTTCTCCTGGATACGCAGAATGTCTGTTTGAACGTCGCCGTTGTTTACACCAAGCATGCCATTTATCGGTTGGCCTTGGTGTACGAGGTTGTTCAACTGCGCGTTGTGTTGCTGTGTTGGCGCTCGGTTCTGAGCATTGTTGGCTGCTGCGGGAACAGCCATATTCCCAATCACTAATCTGAATGGCCCGAGATTCCATGTTCGCACATTGTTCGCTCGAATGACTTGTGCCCCTGGTTGTCCGTTCTGTCCGTTTTGCGGTTGGTTGGCCGGTCGGCCTCCTATCCTGTTGAAGAAATTTTGTAAGTCGTTCGGCGGATTCTGCTGCGCTTGGTTCCCTTGAGCTCCTGCATTACCTTGATTCGCTTGTGGAGCACGCGGCGTATTCGCTTCAGCAAGGACCGGCCGCCTACAAGTTGGACAAACTTGTTGTCTTTCGAGCCAACTGCGTAGGCAGCCGAAGTGGAGGATGTGCCCACAGGGTAACTTCTTAGGTCGCTGTCTTTCATCCATCCGTCGCCCTGGACGAGCTCCTTCTGCGCCAGGCTCAACCCATGGTCGCATCTCCTCACGGCAGACGATGCAAGTGTTCTCATTGGCAAGCTGCTCGACCGTCGCATCTGGATAACGAGCGTTCATATCTTTTGTTGCGTTCCGGTATTGCATGAAGTCGTGGATCCTTTTGATGAATGATCGAATAGTGAAGAAGAGGTCGCGCATGATATGAATGGGTATTCCGTGGAATGCTATGAGAATCGTAAAGAAGCCACAGTACACCACTGACTTGATGAAATCTGTTCAACCGTAAGCCACGTGCACCGGGTCGACAAGGCAGACCACACTCACCAGTAGTTAGATCAAGGTAGAAAACCCAACGACCCTTTTCTTCCCATCCAGGAACATCCTCGTCGTCATCGTCATCATCCTCTTCAACAACAGCCTGAACATTGGCGTCGGTGCCCGTTTGTCCATCTGCACCGGCTTGTACCTGTCGTTGCGCCTCTGCTGTCGCCAATCTCTGAGCCTCGTCCCTGGCCTTAGTCTGGCGGTGGATGACCAACATTTCGACGAGTGATAGGACATATCGGAGGAGTGTAGAGACCGAGACAATGGCGAGGAGCGCATATTCGAAAGCAAACATAACCATCATTCCGGGACGCGCTTCTCGCAGTATAGTATCAATGCAATACTGCATCATAAAGACGTCAAACACCACCGACAACAACAAGGACACTGAGAGCCGGGAGTGGAAGAGGCGGGGGTTAGCGGGCGGTTGTTGCTCCAAGAATTCCACGCGACCTTCCCCAATCCATTGCCAGACCTTGCCGCCGAGGAGGCATAGGAACATGACAAAGAATGAGAACCCTATATCATCTCGGAATATAGTCATTGCCAGCAGTGTCTCGCTAACTGCGAACCAGGCTTTGTCATAGAGTTGTTCGGTTTCGATGGGGCGGAGAGGGCCATAGAGGAGCCTTTGGAGGCCATACCCAAAGCTGAGACAGCATATGAGGGCGAGATTGACCAGGAGCATGAGCGAGCCATTGCTTTGTGATATGTAGACGGCGGCGGAGTAGAAGTTGGGGCGCTCGTAGTACGCGCGGAAGAGGACAGCATTTGCTAGGAGTGTGGAGACCTAGATATTGATATTGTTAGCGTCAACTGAATGAGAGAGCTATTCAGCTATTGAGGGGAGCTGCCGCTTACTCCGACGTATATCGTGTATCGCGACATCATGGTGCAGGCGGGAATTAGGACCGTCAAGCAAAAGAGAGGCAGATAAGCTCCATCAGAAAGCCAGGCACGGCCTCACTGCGCACAGAAGTGGTCGGATGATGGTGTTTGGTGAAGTGGCGTAGGCGGAGGTGTTGAAGCCACGACAGCTCTTCCAAGGTCGCGTCGGCTGTGCCCGGGGTGGGTTGTTTTACATCACCACTAAGACGACACGTAACCAGTAAAGAATCGGCCAGAGTACTTCTAAATTAGGGAGAGGACCTTTAATACACCATGTTCACCCTCAGCAATTCTCTCTTAAACTATTTCACTTTCGCTAGCAGACAATAGCCGCCAGACGCTCTCACTGACGCACCCGCATGTGACAGTTTATGTGACGTTCAATCTTCATAACTCCGTGCTTTAATCATTAATGCTAAGAACACCCAAGTGTTAAGGAACTATGTACCGTGCCGCGAAAACCATCTGCATCCTGCCCGCAGGTGTAAACCAATTCACAAGTCTTGCCCCTCCTCAACCGCCTTCTCCTTCTCCCTCTCCTTACTCGCCTCTAGAATAGCCTGAATCTTAGCCGGTCCGCCCTTGGGTTTCGGCATTGGCTTTCCTTCTACTTTCTTCTCTCCATTGGCCTCGGCCTTCGCCCATGCATCCACAATCAGCCCAGCAACGTTCTTCCCCATCAGAGCACTCGTCTCCATCGTGCTGATGAATGACTCTATCCCACTCGTATACCACAGCCCCTCATCGAGCTTAATCTCCTCAAAAGTGACGCGCGGGTACTCATATGGATAGCTGTCCCACTCCTTTCTGTATATCCAGCTTACAAAGCCTTGGCCCAGCTCCTCGACTTCCTGGTCAGGTGGGGCAGTGCCGAGGATATGCGACAAAAAGGTTGAGTTGATGCGAGCGGGGCTGAAGATCTTGTAGATGTATTCTGGAGCACCGGTGGTGGGGTTCCAAGATTCGGCAACATTGCTGATGCTAAAGAAGCCGGGTTTGCCAACACCGTTGGGATCGGTGCCAACAGATTCGTCAGGTGGGAGAGTAGTGAGGATAAAAGTGGGAACAATGGCACTTGGTGCCAGGTTGAAGGCCTTAGGACTGAGGGTGAGTGGAGATGCGAAGAGGGTCACGTGGAGGCGAACATAAGGGATGGTGTCCGGAGTGTGTTCTGGCTCGGGAGAGAACTTGATGCTAGAGAATTGATAGGGGGTGGCGAGGACGATGTCGTCAAACGTTTCTCCGGCGTTTGAGGCTTCCTCATTTGAGACAGATGCGGACTTCAGGATGTAGGTGCCGTCGGCTTGCTTCGAGATGGTTTGGACGGTAGTGTTCAATCGTACGTCCGCTTTCGAGGCTTGGACCATGTTATCGAAGATCTGCCAGTTACCGCCCTCCACAGCCATAGCGCCATCGGTGGCCATACAGACCATGGTCTCCAAGCCGTGTATGAGAGGAAGGTTCTGAGCATAGTTGACTCGAGTGCTTTACGGTATCAGCTATCAATCTGTCACACACATGACTTCCCGAGGCCCATACGCAGACATACCTTGCCTGAATAACCTCGTCCGCAAACTTCACCCCAATCCCATTCTCCTTCAGGTACTGTTCTCCCGTGCTAGCCGTGACAGGCGCCAACCCCACATCATACACCGCGTCCGTGAGCGACGCAAATGGGAACTGTGGTTCCTCGTACAACTTCAAAAACTTCCCCACCGTCGACTTCATAAGCCTGTTCGTCTTGATAGGCGCTAGCCCGTACCGCCACAATAGCTTCGCGATGTCCCACCACCCATTGTGCGCTGGTGTCTGCAACACAAATTCGTCTCCGTTCCAGATGCCCAACTCGGGGCTATCTGCTGTGCGCAACGAGTCCTTGTTATCGATGGACAGGTTGAAATTGTTGACAGCATCAACAAGAATGCTGTTCACAGATACGAATATAGAGGCGCCGAGCTCGATGGGGACGTTGGGGGCGTCCCAGGCGTAGACGGTGGTGGAACGGCCCCCCACATAGGGAGAGCGTTCGAAGACGGTGATGTCGACGTCGAGGTTGCGTTCGAGGGCGTTTTGTCGTAAATGGTATGCTGCAGATGCTCCGCCAGCTCCGGCACCTGTCTTGGAGTCAATTCAGAGCTCGACGGGTGACGCGGGGGTCTCGGAGGTGCTATGAGGCTCCCGAGCTAACAGGCTGGGTCCAAGGAACAGAATGGAGCTTACCGATGACCGCTACCTTCTTTGAGCCTGTACGAAGGCCCTCGAGTTTCTGTGAGGCTCCATCGTGGTTGTGAAGAGCATTAGAGAATGAGAGCCCGCAAGCCAACGTCAGCAGAGTGGTTCGAAGCAACGACATCTTCAATGACTTTGATAGATTGATATGTTTTAGGAGAGTATTAATAACTAGGTGAAGTCATTGCTCAACCTAAGGTGCAGTCTGCAGTATTGGACTATGGATTTTGCGCGATGAGGAAAGGCTGATTTGCGACTGCTGTTCATGAAACGGCCCTGCAGGTCCATGGGCTGATGTCGTGATACTTCGGCAACGCGGTCGATCAATGGACGCGAATATCATTGAGAGCTTCACGCGTGCCACAGCTTAGTCAATGAACGGTTGCCACCCATCGAAGATCGCGAAGAGAGTGTAGCATTCCAGCTATCGATTTTCGGAATACTGTATTGTCGCCAAGACGCCAATAGCCCGCTCAAATTCATACATATCATCGAAGCAATACACCAGAACCAAAAAGTAGTCTTTCCTCCTGTGTAAACAATGCCTAAGCACCTTCGCTACCGAACTCCTTAGTCCAGTCAGCATTCCTGTCTAGATCCTCCTTGCTCACAGTCGGCCTTGAAGCTTTGATAGCTTTGATGAAATCCTTCACTTTCAGCGCTGGCTCCAGTAATTCATCCGACTCTATCTCTGTCCAGGACTTCTCCACCGCTCCCCTGTCGCCTGGAGAACATGGCGTCCACTTTTCCACGCCTTCCACCGAGACCTAAGTCGTATTGTTAGCTAGATGAATTGCTGAGGTATCAAGAGAGCGTGTTTACCTTCTTGTAGTGCGTCGCTGTCTGGATGAGACGGACGGGTTGCATAAGCGCATCCTGAACTGCGATACTTATGTCGCTACCAGAGTATCCTTCGCTCAATTCGGCCAGCTTCGCGTAGTCGTGCTGAGCTAACTCGCAAGGGGTATTGCCCACCGCAAGCTCGAACATCTTCCTCCGAGCTGGGGAGTCTGGGAGACTGATATGTACACGTCTCTGGAAACGACGACGGATAGCGGCGTCAAGTTGCCACGGGATGTTCGTTGCGCCAAGAATCAAGACACCTTTTGAGTCCTTGCCCACGCCGTCCATTTGAACTAGTAGTTCCGTCTTGATACGTCTCGACGCTTCCGACTCGCCTTCTCCTCGGGGTCCACACAGAGCGTCGATTTCGTCGATGAAGATGATGGAAGGCTTATTCTCTCGTGCCATACCAAACAGCTGTTTTACCAGCCTACAACATGTTCAGCGAAGTAATTCATAGGGTAGAATATAATGCTTACCGTTCACTCTCTCCCATCCACTTCGAGACCAGATCGGAACTGCTGACACTGAAAAACGTGCTGTTCGCCTCCGTTGCCACAGCTTTTGCCAGATAACTCTTACCCGTACCAGGTGGTCCGTAGAGCAGTATACCTTTCCATGGTTGACGCTTGCCGGTGAAAAGATGCGGAAACTTGATGGGTAATATGACAGCCTCCTTCAGTGCCTCCTTTGCTGCGTCTAGACCTGCGACATCTTCCCACTTGATGTTTGGCTTTTCTGAGAGGACAGCACCTTGAAGTGCATTTCTAAGCTTCTTGGATTCGGGATCCTGCTCTTCGTCTTCGTCATCGCCCCTAAGAGTAACATATCAGCACCCCCCCGAGGATATAGTAGCTCTAACGATCCCAGTTAGACTCACTTTCCCTTCCCACTTCCAGCGGAGACCTTCCCATTCACGCCCACAGCACTCGGCTTCTTGCGATTCCCCTTGTCGTTGTCTTCTAGGTGTGTCTTCAACTTCTCTGCTCGTGCCATGTATTCGGCCACCTTCGCCCGTATCATCTCCTTCGACTTGGCGTTCTTCTCCCCTACGATATGCGATTAGGATAGTGCTAGTATCGAAAGTGAGGGCCACTAACATTTTAAGGCGAGCATAAAGAGCTCCACTGTAGATAGTTAGTTCCAAACTATCGCATAATTCTTCGTAATGTCCATATTGACTCACAGGACGAGTAATACATCTGGTATGCCTTCTCGTACTCCCCAGCAGTATCCGTCTCGATCGCCTTCTTCACCGACTCTATCGCCCGCCCCAGGAAGTCTGTATTGCTCATGTTGACTGCAAAGGCCTCCCAAACAGGAGCAAGTGTATGTGTTTTGAAGAGAACTCTCGAATCGTAGGTGTAGGGAGTACGGTTGCGCGGAGGGTGGTGGCCTTGAAGCGGGACCACGCGCGGAGACGCTTTTGGCGGGGCAAAGCCTCAATCGAGGCGAATAAGAGGTAGGGTCCTGGGAGGTCTGCAGAAGTTATTCTAGATATAGCGTTGTCCTATGGCGCAAATTGTGAATGTCGCTCGGGAAGAGAATGCGATTGTTGTTGATAGAGCTGGGATTGCCCTCCACCACCGACATCACAGCGATGTTCCACACCCCGCGCCAAGGCAAAGCAACGCGATTCATGGATCTCTGCCAGACGACCACTTTGTTTCAACATCCACTCTCAGCATGGGTGACACACAGAAGAAGCTGCAGGAGCTTTCCGACGACTACCAGAAGATTCAGGGAGGTATGTCGAATCATGTCTGCATTACACAACGTTTGTCGGCGAGCTGATAATCGTGCAGAGCTTTCGTCCGCTATCGATGCGCGCCAGAAGCTAGAATCGCAGCAGCAGGAGAACACGGGCGTCCAGAAGGTTAATCTCACATATCAGCGTTACAAGAGTCCGGGGGTCTCACAAATGCTTGCAGGAGTTCGCCAAACTCGACGATGATGCAAACATATACAAGCAAATCGGCCCAGTACTCCTGAAACAAGACAAGACCGAAGCGGTGATGGCTGTGGATGGACGATTAGAGTTCATCGACAAGGAGATGTGAGTTTCTGCAGGATATGTCAATGCTGAGGTCATAGTTATTAATATTGGACGAAGCAAACGGTTCGAGAAGCAAATCGTAGACATTCAACAGCGAGCGGAGAAGCTGAAGGCGGAGGTACGCATAGACATCAGCGTGTTGAGGCAACCTAGCTAATTATCGAAAACAGATAATTCATATCCAGTCTCAGGCTCAACAAGCACAACAAACTGCCGCAGCCACATGATCGAAGGACATTCACGATTCTTGCCGTGACAGCAGCCGATGGTATGGATTCAACCCTATATCAGCAAGCCTCCCAAGGTCTAAAACACACTCCACGCCTAAAATGCTTCCAGTCCCATTAGCATAAACAAAAGCTCAATTGGAGAACCTGCAAGAGACATAGTCATGATGTACAATGCCTCGTCATTGAAATCCGTACACTTGTTTACCGCTGTGCGAGGAGCTTCATAGTATTTCCAGCATTCCGAATAAGGGAGGAATCTGGCATTTTAGGCGGCCACTAACCTTGTGAGGCTACCTCAGACAGTGCCAACAGGGTGTACACAGATTGGAAGTGTATCCGCTGCCCCCAATTTCTATTACTACGTTGGAGCCCCACAGACAGTGGCAGGAAAGTGTACGGATATCTATGGCAAGGCACTGTAGGACATGCCACTTTGCTACATGATGTCCATGAGGTTGGCCTTGTATGACCATCCCAGACTCACACCCAACCCTCTTCACACCCCGCCGAGGAGCTAGCCATCTATTGTGGTAGCTATTGACCATTCTCTGGCAGATACCCGGGTCCTCGGACTAAGAGTCGGCCTTAATCTCCTTCAAGTACTTCTCCAATGACTCTTCCCAAGGCTTTTTTCCCGCTGGTCTAGGTCTGTTCTTCGCAAAGGATATTGCCAAGTTAGTCAAGAACTCTGCTGGACAATTCCGCAAATGCCACTCCCAGCCCTCATAGGCGCACCAAGTGTAGAAGTCCACAAAAAGAAGTCGAGCCTGTGAGCGTTCCGGTGTACCTTCATACAGCGCATGGACCGTGTCAGAGCCTGGCATGTGATTGAACTTGATGTTAGAAGCGACGATTTTAGATGTAGCAACCATTCCACGAAGAACCGCGTTCTTGAACGCGTCGTCCATCAGTTTTTTCCCCTGGGATGTATGCTTTTACCAGCTTCATGTGCTCCAGTATGATGTCTTTGCAGGAAGGATTGTCGTTCCGGATGGGTATGGTTTCGCGGCACAACCATTGCGTGTAGCATCGGAAAGTGTTAGGGTCGTCTTCAAGCAGCTTGATCTTCTTTGGATCTTCTTATGTTCCAGCCCACTCCTTCTTCCGGGCGTTTCTGAAGAAATGAGAGCTCGCACAGATAAGATCTTCGTGGATGCTGAATTCCACCATTTCTCGCCACCGCCAACGACAACCGAAATTGTTTGGCCGCTTAGGCTGCGGCAATTAGTACATTTGCGAAACTTAATCAGCAACCAAAGGGAGAGACAGGAAAAAGCCAGGTAACTCCCCTCGCCACTATCTGATCTAAGGAACATATCAAATAGCTTCATCGACAGAGATGCAAGGATCGTCTTCAGTCGCTAGGCGTTTGCGTTTAGTACCTTTCGACACCATCCTGGCGATATCGTTGGCGGTGTGTTGTGGAGTCGCGGAAGTGAGGAGTCGACTTTTGAATCCACGAGGTCCGCGCCAAAACTTCACTTCACCAGCTGTAGGTGTGTTCCGCCTGGCGCGCATAGCTCTGCGGGATGACGCCGTCTGAGGCGGCCCCGCAAGTCTTTTACACTGTTCAAACCGTTTCGATCGAGCTTTTAGAAATAGGTTGGAGCACGTCAGACAGCGCCAAAACAGTCTACCTAGGTAAGGTCAAATGGTGGATGTCATGAAGTAAGTTTCCAATATTAACAGGTCTCGGCATACGAAAATACACGCACAACTCTGCAGGATGGCGCTGTCTGAGGTGGCTCGCAAGACTTTCACACTGTTTAAACGGTCTCGTTGGAACTTTTGATAATGGGCTGAAGCAGGTCAGACAGTGCCAAAAGAGCCTACCTATCTAGACACATATACAATAACTAACGCTCAAGGACTCATTATGCAGCGATTGCAGAGCACTGGAGTAATAAAGATGTGTGGACAGATTTTGAATAATATATTGAAGCGCCCCAAGCAGCAGCAGGTAGTGTACAGCTTCGTAATCGTGCTACAACTTGGCCAGTCAACTCCGAAGATGCTATCTCGACGAGAAGGTGTGTCAGAGAAGTATGGACTGATTTTTCAGAATGTGCCGAGGCGCCTCAAGCAGTAGCAACTGTCTGTACAGCTACCACTCTAGTACTGTAAGTTCCCTAGTAACCAGCAAAGGCGTCGTCATGCCTTCTCCGTGCCTCCCCACCCACCCCAATTTGCCCTACTCTGTATCGTTAGCTTCCTCCTTAGCTCCGTCTTTGCCATATGATTCAGGTGACTTGAGCCATGGTTTCTCACCCTGAGGGTGTTTACGCTTGATAGACAGCGATCTCATCACATCAAACAGGAATACAGCCGTATACATGTCGAAGGTAGCGTTTTTGGTCCAACTCTCCTGGGAAACCCATGTCCAGAAGTCCACAAGGAGACGCCTCGCAGGTGATCCCTCAAGCGTACCGTTGTAGATGATGTTGACAGCTGCTTTGGTAGGGTACTGTCTGTGCTTGTCTTCTCCGATCTTGGTGTCTGATCTCGCAATAATAGCTTTCAAGACAGCTATTTTGAACCCATCGTCCGCCAATCTTTCTCCTAGAACGTACGCTTTCGAGCTGAACGTATCCTTCTGCATGCCCTTCATCATTGCCAACAGGCAGATGCTTGAAGTAGAGCCACTGCATATAAGTCCGAAAAGTGTCCGCGTCGTCCTCCGGCATGTCAACTGAACGAGGGTCGTCTCGCATCTCGGCCCGTTCTGGCTTCATTGCGTTTCTTAAGGACAGTGAACTGGCGCAGATGAGCCCCTCGTGAGCATGGAAAGTTGTTGTGTCATCGCTGCTGATGATAAGGGCGATTGTCGGTCCGTTGATGCTGCTGATAGCCTTGTCACAAGGGACACGAGAACTGGGGGGAGTCGTTTTGGGCGCGCTTTCCGCCATTATGCCTTGGTGGTGCCTGTGGAAACGGAGTTGTGTTGTAGTGTGGTTGTGGGATGAGGTATTCAAAGGTCAGCAACTTCATATTGTTATATATTCCCGCTCAGAGCTCTCAATTCACCATGAGGTAGACACTCATGCTCAATTCACCAGGAGGTAGACACTCATGGTCTTCGGACAGCTTCACGACACCGTCAAGGCTGCTTCGACCCACTTCCAGCACTTGGACGTGATTGATTTAGCACCAGGTCGCACGGATCTATCTACCCGCTCAGAGAGTCGCTGAGTATCTCATGCCACCTCTAAACCTCACCCCGTCGACAAAAACCAGTCAGCAATGCATCCGCTTCCTCCTGCTAGACGTCGGTGAACTATGCATTGGTGTTCTTTTCCACGCCATTTTTGCTGTCACAGGTCTTCGCCTCGCTATCCTCGCCGCTATCCCTCTTCTCGCCGCCTTTGCGATACTTCTCAGGCGACTTAACCTATGGTTTATCCGTAGCTAGCTTCTCTCGGACGGATGCCAGGCGTATCATTGCGTCGAATAAGAAATCCGCCGGATATGGATTGACGGTGAGGTTTTCGAACCAGCTTTCAGAGGCTTCCCATGAATAGAAGTCCACAACAAGGCGTCTGGCAGGAAAGCCTTCGGGCGTGCCCTCATAGATAATCTGAATTGCCTTAAAGTCAGGCATATATCGAGTCCGACCCTCCCCAACCTGCACAAGCACTGCCGACTTCGCAATTATGGCATCAAATATACCTTGTTGGAACCCATCGTCCATAATCTTCTCGCCTAAAACATATGCCTTCGCGAGCTGGTCATATTCCTCGCTGCTTTTCTCATCGACTCTAACGGGTAGGTGCTTGACATAGAGTCATTGCATGTAGATTCGGAATACCTCGGCGTCGTCGTCGGTTAAGTGAACAGAACGTGGATCGCTTCGCATCTCAGCCCACTCCGGCTTCATAGCATTCTTGAAGAAATTAGAATGGGTGCAAATCAGCTCTTCGTGGATGTAGAATGTAGTCTTTTCGTCCCCGTCGCCGACGATTACTGCGATCATAGGGCCGTTGACGCTGCTACTAGTGAGTAACGCCCTCCAACATTTTGCGTGGAGCTCTGAAGTTCTGTTGACGGACCTCAAGCAGCTGCAAATGGATTTGAATTGACTCACCTGATAGCTCTGTCGGGAGGAACACGAGGATCTGGTGGGCTCTGCGCCGCCATCGTGCCTCTGACGGATATTAGCGTGTGTAACAAAAAGACCCGGTGGTGGAACGTACGGGAATTCCTGGACCGGGCACTCGGTTTTTCGAGTGATAGTTGTGTGGTGGGTGGAGCTGTGTTTGCAAGCTGAAGAGGTCCAAGGTATACTCAAGGCATTCCAAAGCTGTCACGTCCCCTCCATAGAAAGGGCCGCGATAGATCTCTCGTCCCAACTCGAACGCATGTAAGGCCAATTGAAACCTTCTGGTGATTCATCTGCAATGACTGTTTCCAGTGGCATGACGACTGACTGCATGACTCATCCAACTTGAGCTTACCTAGGCATTCTCACAGTCACATTCCAAATTTATATAGTCATGCCTCTAACACCTTGAGTTTGAAGGCATAATGCAAAGCCCATCCCGTTCCAACGTACTTCAGACTTGACCGCACTTTCCAAAATGCTCTGACCAGATTCCTGCCATACCTGAAAGGACAATTCGATCCCTTCGACACTACCAAGGCTATGTGAAGAAGCACCAGGATCTGACACTTCTCTCTTCGCTTTCTCACCTCTGATCGGACGTTCGAAGGGGCTCTGTTGTGATCTACTACAAACCTTTCCGTACCACAAATACACCTTCCACACCATGTCAGACTTCGATCTCGACCCCCTCGCAGAATTGAACCGTCTCGCCGACGCTGCCTTGTCCACAGACGCTCAAGCAGCCTCCACATACCCATCTCCCGACACTATCGCCCGCTGGCAACGTCTTTTCCACTACGACCGTAAGCAAGCACTCCAGCTCATCACCGCCCAACGCCTCGACCTATCCCGCACCCGCATCTCCGACACTCACTGGGAGCTCGTACGCCCCTCCCGCGAAGCAGCTGGTCATGATCGCGAGAGCTACGAGCATGCGCTGGGCCTTGGGAAGGTGTTGAAGGAGCAGTCGGCGACCATCACGATTACTACTGCGGACGGGAGGCAGGAGCAGGCGTTCGTATTTCGATTGGGGGGATTGCTGGAGAACGCGGAGAAGGTTAGGGAGGTGGCGGGGCTAGAAAAGCTCCCGAAGGTTGTCAATGGGCAAGGGGAGATGGGACCGGCGCAGTTTTGTGTGGTGGACTTAAAGGCAAAGGGAAAGGTTGAGGATTGGTTGGCCATGTCCCAGGTGGCGCAGTCCGAAAAGGGTTCTTGAAGGGTGGCATGATTCTAGTGCCGATTATTGTGGAGTTTGGTCATGAATGAGAATTAGTTCTTCTTGATGAATAAGGGATGTGGATGGTGAAGGAAATCGGATCACTGCAAGAATAATGCAGCATCCTACTCTTCCAGGTTAGAGTACTACTGGAGATATTGACCCAATAATAACCAACAATCCCTTACCCAGGCACGTGGGGTATGGAAATGGTGGCACAATAATTCTAGAACAAGCTGTCTCGTGTGTACACCTGTCTACCACTGCTTGGGTTGCTTTAATATGTTTTCAGGATTGTAAAGAAGATAGAAGCTCTTCACCTTGGGCTAGAAGTGGCGACCGGCTCGTGCACGCTACCACCTCGTGCACGGTTTCTTAAAAACCCCAACAACATTGCTAAATTGTAACGCTCTAATAGAATT